GATACGAACATACACATGCATGCAGATATAAGAGTTTCTGCGAATGTTGTAGTTCGTCAATATAGCGCTGTCCATTGCTTTAATAATAATAAAAGCCAGTATAGCTTCCTTTTAACTGCGCAAACGAACTAAATCAGTTTCAAATAACTAGATAACGAGACTATAAACAAAGATTGATTCACTAACCTTTTCAGGACTCAGCTGTAATTATACATATCTGATTGACGGTATAACTAAGAAACTTCTTTTCCAGACAGCAGATAAAATAACTGTGATTGCAGTTTGTAGTTCTGCGATGTTTTAAGCTGAAATGTGAAGAGTTCATGACATCTATGATTGATGGTATGTATACAATTATAGGGAATACGTGTGTGATTACAGGTGCAGTTGACATGAGTCGAACAACTGCAAAGAACTCGATCAACATCGTCATCAGTGCATGGCAGTGCGGATGAGTGACTAATGAGTGACATAACTGTTTAATTTCACTTTCCTCCGCATATAGTCCGGTGTTGTGGACAGAATGTATAGTAAAGTGGTGGGACTCAACACTAACTTTTATCATATCAAATAAATTCATCAGGACAGAGTTTTGGAAGCATAACCGCATGATTTTACGGAACGTTATCAGGTATCAAGCCAATCAAATATATTGGATCATTATATTTTTTAATTCACTTATGATAAAAAATTTCTTACGATTTACACTTAAGGTAGGTCACATATATTCCGTGATGGAGGTCTGCACTTTTTTTTTGCTGCCCACATAATTACGTTCAGGTAAAAATAAAACCATTATAGGATCACGTTTTCTAATATTAGTAACAATAGTCAATAAGCGTTTCTCGCTTTTGCGAGACAATTGCCAGAAACAACAACCTCATCAGAGAAGCGAAAATACTGTAACTAGGAATTAATACTATTAACCTTGAAGAATTAGAGTATTATTCTATGATAAAATGGCAATTATTTAAGACACAATACGGAGTTAAATTTGCGTATATTAGAGTTGTATTCCATGAACTGATTTTAGGCTTTTAGCATTAATTATAATTCATAAACGATCTTTTTGTATGTAAAATAGACGTGGGAGTACAAAGCAAGCGAAAGCACTAACCAGTTTAAAGTCGCTTGACCACATAAAATTATACAGGGTGAGTAAAAAAACCCAGACACCTTTGAAATTCAAATTAGCGGCTGTAATGTGACCGAAGTTGCTTAAAATATCTCATGGGTATACGAAGTATATCAAATAAGTGAATCCATTAATTAACCTAAAACATAACGTTTGTTCCTTTTGGGAGTTAAAATGCATTCTAAGCTCTCTAAATAAAAAAAGAAATCGTATCAAATCGTTTTTCTAGCTACGTTGAATTAGTTCAATTGATTTAAACACTTTCGCATTAATTAACCACGTCCTGTTGATTGTACACATGCAGGGCCGTAGCTAGACCGCTCAAGTGGGGGGTGTATATTCATATATTCATGTTTATATACCGCAGGAACAATAGCATACAAAAGAAATAAATTGACCAAATAAAATAAGTAAAAAATAGAGCATCAAAGACAACCGATTATAAATCGGTCATGTAAAGATAATGTCCAGGTGGGCTGCGCATTGAGGAGCGACGCAAAGATTAAAAGTTTTGATGTTGCGAACAACGAGAAAGAACACCACAGCTTTTTCGAAATTTATATATTTAGCTGCTAGCTACATGATGATATATAAAATACATTCTTGTGTTCCTGGTGCACTGCATGGCTACTACTTTCTGAGAAACTGAACTTATAATTATGCGCCTATTAAATCCTTTCTATACCTAATTTATGATACAAATCCACCCTCCTGCCTCCTTTCTGCTTTCTACTTGAATATACGAAAACTAAACAACGCATCTTCTATTAATAAATGACGTCGTTGGCGGCCGGTCTCAGTATAGATCTCAGTTATCCTTTCTTACATATAATCCTACACTGTATGAACTATAGGCATATTCAAGTGGGCCTATTATACTCAGTACTTAATGAGAATAAACATTGCTAGTTCTCTTCCAGTTATAATCAACCTCATTATAACGAAGGTCAAGGATTGAAATTCTGGAGCATATTAATTATTAGATTGAATTTCAATAGTTATCATCAATCTATACCCAGCCAATATCTGGAAGAGAGTCATCTTTTATCCCGACTACTTTGATTTCTTCTGATTGTTGCCCATCTGTGTTTTCTCTATCGAGATGTGAAGATGCTTCATTGGTTTCACTGTCGTCATCTGTTTGTATTTCTTCACAAGGGATTTAGATTTGGTCTACGAGAAATTGTTCAATGCACTTATTATAATTTCGTAGACGCGATGAATATATTATTTAAAAAAAGGGTTGGGGGCTAGCTTGAAGAAGAGCTGTTTTTGAAAGTATACCTGGAATAGCATGGAGTTTAAGCTCCGCGTTTTCGGGGCGTGAACTTTCGTGGTAGAATTTCTGTTTAACCTCCTCGTTTCATATTTTATTTCTCAGAGGCGTAGCCAGCATGCAGCCTGACGATTTTGCCCCGCTATGTAAATATCGAGTTATTATAGTTATTTATGTCCTTAGAAATTTGTTGTTTTCACATTCAATGAACACCATAGCGAGACATTTTCTTCTTTGTTATGTGAAAAGATTGATTTTACCTGCATGGTTTTTCAAAATACTAGTTTGCTCTTTATTGCTTTCTAGTATAGCCGAAAATTTGGGCTACAAAGGCCGATATAAGGCCATTCTGTATTCTAATAACTTTGATGAATGAAGAAACCTGTAATATGAAAAAGTTATATAAAACATACCTTTTCAGTAGGATCGTTTGCTACAAACTCCGTATTGTATGGAGCATCATTTGAATATTGGAGCCTTGATATTGGAGCGCTTCTCGATATTTCTGTTTGATTTTGTGAACCGTTACTGATGGATTCAGTGGACTGACTTTCATCTATTTTTCCTTGAAAGTAAACTACTTTCTCCAAAAATTCTGGTGCAGGTGAGGGTATATTACGATACTGATTACTCTTATTGGTCAGTCTATTTAGTGCCATTAAATTGTCATTCATCGGGATCTCTCGTGGTGGAGCGTCATTCCCATGCAGCTTGCACTTGTGTTGCACTTTCTGCATTTATACCTGCATCCTCGGGTATTTTTCTTTCTAGATACACGCTTGTGGTCTCCACCGTTGAAATCTCAACTCTTTCTTCTTCATGTCTTCCTCTGACTTGTGTAGGAACATGAGGTGTTTGGCTCGCTTGGCGTTTGTCATTCTCCAAATGGATGTCGACACGAGGTTCGAGATTATTTGATTCGAGGTATTGGCACCTGCATCAATGTAATGGGTTGCATAAATCTCTTTTAAAATTGCATGTCTAAAATATTGCGGCGTCTTACGCTCCGTTTGCACTACACTCAATTTATTGGCACGGCACGGCTAAAATTGCTACTTGTATTGGTAGCCTCAGTTCCGATGAAATTGGTTACAGGTAACCATTTAATTTAGCCGTGCCTTTCAATATTAAATCAAGCGCAGTGTAAATGGGGCGGAGCTTATGCTAATCAGTCAGCAGTGCTAATCCTTTTACAGAAATGCATGTGAAAGTTTGTTACCTTTTGTTATGAGGAATTTGGCGACATCCACGTTCCATGACCTAGCAATTTGATCCCAAGATTGTTTGTCCAGTTTTGTCTGTACTATTGATATCTGCGCCGTTTTGAAGAAGAGACTCAACGAAATCAAAATCAAATTTATCTTTGGTGCTGTTTGAGTTTGCTAATGTTGCAAGATAGTGTATTAAAGCATGATTTCTGACGTTCTGAGCTTCTCTTCCCTCTACCTTCTCACTTTCACCAAGTTCTCCTTCAAGTATAGCATGCATTGGTTCGTTTGTTCTGTAGCTAAACCCAACGCCTATACTTAGTTCTTGGTCCAAAGGCTTTACGTTTAAAGTTTTCAAACTTTTATAAGGGTTTAATCGTTTTAGCCTTCAAGCTAAAAACATGTTTCATTTATCACTGGAAGAACGTCAATGACAATTGCTTTACAGATACGGATGAGGAAAAAACATTGTTCATAGTAACAACGGAATTTTTAATTATCTTTAGTGAGGTGCTGATCATTTATAAGTGCATGTCGATCACCAGAAAGGTTCACTGAAGTCACACGATCGATCGTTTTGGCCGCACCACGGAGACGTCACCATGCACGACCCCCCCTGTGGTCATGTTTGGATTATTCGTCATTTCTTAAGGCGCGTTTACACTTGCAATTTTTGCTGCGATTTTCTTCTATTGATTGATAAGAACGAGGGAATTAGATACGAATGTTCAAATAGAAACTCGTACACATCAGAACATTCGTAACTTATTACTCGTTCACATCTATCAAAAGCAGAAAATCGACGCAAAAATCGCAAGTATAAACGAGTCTTTAGGATTTAAAATTGTATTTTTGTCTGGCTCTTTTAATGGCTTCATAAAATATTCTTTCCTGCATGCTTTATCACCAACATAGCCATATCATATCATAGCTGCATGATTGTATGCTTGTCGATCAGATCCGTGGTCATATCAGTGATCAGAATGGTGATCAGATCAGTTGTCAAACTCTTTGCTTGCCATTTAGTACATTGGAAATGCATTTGTATTGTATAAGTACACTAATTACAATCAGATCTTCATTACTTGTACACTGATTTCCAACCAAGAAATTATTCATTAGAGAATTAACACCTTCCTACATCTTAATCAATCGTATTATCCTGATAAAAAAGCAGAATTTATGTACAGCAACCTTGGATCGCGGTAAATATTGAGCATAGTAATAATTTTTTCAATTTACATCTACAAGATATCCCCGCGAGAAAAAAAATTTTCATCAAATAAGTACTGAAAGTTCCTATTCTAACATTAGATCATTTCGAAAGTTGGTCGGAACATCGATGGTGCTATGCATATAATTATACCGACCTTATGTGGAAACTATGTGTATATGTTTAAATGTCCACAGTTGCTGGAGACGATGGTTGATCATCATCAGCGTGAACATTCTCTGTGTTTTCATCTTGGGAGATGTCGTCTGCCTGATATCCTTCATTCTGTTGTTGATCTGTTACACTCAGTGATTCGACGGTTGGAACCTTTGATCAAATTTCAATTGTTGTAGAAGAGTAAGTAAAGGGAAAATACGAGGTGTGCTGTTTAATACAGCATTTAATTTGTACGTTTGTAGCGCTAGGTGCAGCTATTGCAAAAATCACATCATGGAGTGCGCCAACATCTATCATCATCTTACATGAAAACCCTGCATTATCTGAGCCTGGCGTAGGCCTATTTCTGAAAGCCTACAACACACGTGTTATCTAAAGCCTGGTTTTCATCACTCGCAGACAGTCGGCGATGCTCTATGTCGATGACGAATGAAGTAGAAAATATTTCTCTACGGAGAGGGCATGTTATGCTTCGGAAAGAAACAACAATAGAGATCGCCGACTGTCTGCGAGTGATGAAACCCAGGCCTAACGACGCTGCGTGTCGGATAGCTTTGTTGTATATGGAGTTTGCCACAGACGAGAGCTTCTAGTAGAAGATCATTTGACCACGTGTGAATGGCACGTAGTTTTCCTAAATGTGGTGATAAACTATAACACGCATTTTATGTAAGGTGGTTCAGAGGCGTAGCTTGGGCAAGGGTAGGAGGGCCTGGCCCCCTGGTGAAACTTTGGGCCCCTCCTGAGAAAATGAAGTGAATCGTTTTTATGCTGTCAATACCGCAAAAAGTCTGTATGTGATCTTGCCCATCGAATTTGTCCATCAATAATGCCACATTGAAATCCTGCCCAGAATGTTTAGCATTGAAAATTTTCTCGAATCACACTGCCGGCCTGGCCACCTTGACCCCTCCGCCCCTGAAATCCTAGCTAGCTACGCCTCTGAGGTGGTTCTAAGTTGAAAGCAATAAAGTCGAAAGACTGTGTAAATGAGTGTAACCCACAGGGTGAATGACCGAGTGAGATAACAGTCCCGTGATATCCTACCTGTGTCATATTTTTGGCAAGATCGTTGGAAACCGCTCTTGATGCATCATTAGATGTTGGTAATGCGGCAGCGTCAGACACTTTGGAAGTTGAAAGATGAATAGGCTGTATTTCTTTACCATAACTGGTGGATGTTGAAGAGTAAATTTCATCCAATTTCTCCTCGAAGTAAGACACCCTTCGCTGGATACGTGGTGCAATTTTCGTACTAGGATAACCATATTCACGATACAAGTTGGCTTCATTATTTGCTATTGACGTTTCCGACGTTTCATTTTGAATTCTCCGGATATTTTGTGATGTATCAGCTTTGATTGCTTTGTTATCATCACTTATTACAGATTTCTCAGATGCTGATTGGACGTCAGTTGTTTGATGTTTGGCGATAAGATTGGGACCAAGAGTTGTGTGGTCATCGAGGTTGTCTGGGGTTTTTGTTTCACTCCGCAATATTTCATCCTGGAGTACTTCATTTAGGTGCGATGGTTGTTCTATGCACGTTGTCGTATATTGTTTGGCGTCATCATGATTCAAATCATTTTCTGAATATTGCATTTCAAGAGTCTCAAACTGTTTTTTCGTTACACTGCAGGTTGTAGGCTGTGGTGGCATGTGTGTGTATGACGCAGGCTGCTGATCTGACACTGATAACACTGGATTAATCGTTTCTCCATCGGTAGATACTGACATGTTCCGAACCATTTGTCTGTACCCGTTGCTTTCATTTGACCTTGGTTGATAGAAATCTTGATTCACAAAGATCTCTCTCGCAACAGGCGAGGATTGCGATGATTGCGATTTTTCAATTGGTGGTGGATAAGAGTTTCGATGATTTTTGTCGCGAGAATGACCCATGTTATATGGATATAGTTGCTGGTTGACATTTGGCGACGAAAAATCTTGGCTTAGTCGTTTATTAAAGTCATATCCCTGGTGAAGGAGGGGGTTTTCTACTGAGTGTTGCATGTGAGGATGGGCGTTTTGGTCAGGTGTTACAGTGGACCACTGGTCATAAGGCGAATGTGCCTGAAAAAAGCAAACAATTACTTGTTATGCATGGTTGAATTTTGAATGGCTAATTTGGGTGATGTTTTACCTGAATGCCAGCATGATTCGTATTATAGCTATATTGGCTGTTGGAAAAAGGATCTCCAGAATTTTGTCGCCATGTTTCTGGATTTGTTGATATCGATTGACGAGGATAAGGTTGATGTGTTGGACGTCTAGAATCATCTGTTTGAGAAGTAACCACTGTCGCTCTATTTCGTTTCTCCATTTTTTCGTTTCCAAACAACTTTGCGTGTTGTTTTTTAGTTGTACTGTTTCCATCGTTTGAGTCATCTTCCGATGTTCCTGTTTCCGAATCATCGCGGCATTTTCTTGATCTGTCACGAAGCCTTTGTTGTGTTCCAGTTGGTGTAGTGATGTTGTTCGAGATGCCCTTATCATTCTCTCTCTTTATGTCTTCTAATTTTTTGGCTATTATTTGCAAAGTCTGCTTCATGTCTTTCGCGTCGGTATTATCCATTTCCCTGACCTTTTCCGTTATTTCTTTTAAAGTCTGTTTCATATTTTTGACATCGACGATAAGTTCCTCCTGAAATCTTCTTACTTTACTCACGTCCATTTTTACAAAGTCCAAATCAGATTTCTTTCCTTTACCAAATTTTCTCCCGAACTTTTCGCTAAGTAAGTTTACAATAACTTTCACGTCGTCACGCACACGTTCAATAGTCGCGTGATCGTCACCGTCCATCATCGAAAGCCGGCCAAGAGTTTTAACAATAACTTCAGGACTACCGTTAGTTTTAATGAAGTCATAATATTTCTTTTTCTGTTTTTTCCGTAATGATTTTTGAAGTAAGAGTATGGTTCTTGCTCTTTGCATCACGGCGTTGGCGACTGCGTTCTCGTACAACCTCTCAAATGTGTTCGTAAGTAAAGCAATGAGCAGATTTAGGGTGACTATCGCAGCAATCCCTATGAAAGCACCACAGAGCAGCCTCGCCATAACTGGATTTGCTTCTTCTAACTTTTCATAATTATGATCATTAACAACCATCATTGAGAAGATGTTGTATAACAAGGGGCCAACGTTGTCGTAACCCTGGACAGGTGTCAGTGAAATTGCCCCAAATGTGATCCAGAAGGCGCAAGCAAATGGAATGATGATGATGGAGTTTAAAAAGGCCCACTTCACGATGTCACCCAAAACATGACCAAAGATGACTACAAAAGGACCAGCGCCTTCGAAAGGTCTGGCATATTTAAAAATTCTCAACCAAAGAATCAGCAATAGTGGTATGAGGATATAATGATGGATTTCTTTGGATATATCATTACTGAAGTGAAAGAATGTCACGTGTGATGCAATTGTTGCTAGGATTAACACGAGCGCTGCCCAGTCGAAATATATCCACCAATCAGAGCCTGAAATGAGCGAGAGATTTCTCACAGCTTTGATTTCTGCTCTAAGGTATTGATCTTCTTGCGGCCATCTTGGATGACAATACGCCAGATCTCGTTCGAGTTCTGCGGCACGCCATTCTCGCCATTTCTTCAATTCATTGCGGGTTTTTATTGTGTCTGCCAGAAAGAAAGAAGAAAAGAAATGTAAATGCAAAGTTCTTGTTTGACGGCGTTAACAGTAGAATTGTTCTACTATAAAATTTATACATATTCTTAGATCTATCGCAGCTTTTCCTCGCGAGGTTTTCTGAAACCATTTTACTCATCCATGATCGTGTTTTATTTTCTTTGGTTGGTCTTTAAAATGCATGTTTTTCCCTAAAAACACTTGTAAAAAGCTCTTCTCGCTGTTCTTAAAGATTGGAGAAAAAAGTACTGTCCTATATAACAGAGCATGGCTTGCACTTGTTTTCAAAAAATCATGTTGATGTGAAGGAAGAAATTATATGCAAAAAGAGACGTCAGGGCAAAAGTACATATCGTTGTTGATATTCTGAATGTTTTGAGTTCATAACGGAAATGTTTTTCATGTTGCAAAAACTCACTTAAAATCTGCTTCCTTATTTCCATTATTGTGAATAGGATGAGTAGAATTCCGATGACCAATCTCCATGAGTGTTCTGCTAGAGGCCAATATAGGTCTTGTCCTATTCTTGGTAAGGTCACTGCAAGCACCGTCCACAATATGGCGTAGACTAAATTTATTACTAGATCTAAGATAGCCCCCCATTTTCCGTACATTTGCCACTTCAATCCGATCAGTCGTTGCATGACTGGATGCATGATGATGTCAAATCTCTCATTCTGAACAGCAATCTCAAGTGGTGTTCTAGCAGGCGTCTTCTCTTCTTTTAACTTTGTGCTTTCAAGATAGTTGAGAAAATAGAACTCTTTACGATTGATTGTGTCCACTGAATGAAACTGATCCATTGCATCTAAAGCCACTTCAGGGATCTTTTCAATGAGAAGTGACAAGGCAGAGTTTCCCAAATTGTCATAAACACCAGCTGGAGCACCTTCAGCAACCAGGAGTTTAGCAGCTTTAGAACGATTCATTTCAGCTGAAACCTGTAAAACATAAAAAATTTAATCAGTTGAACAGTGTGTTGGGGGCATCTTGATAGCATCTCAATACCTGTAGTGGAGTTCTATTTTTACTGTCACGTCCGTCAATATCTGCCCCGTATCCTAGCAACATCTGAAGTGAGTTGATGGCGTCATTTTTTGCAGCAAAATGTATTGGAGTCTGTCCTTCGCCAGATGTTTTAATATCAATATCGGCCCCATTCTCTAGAAGAAATTCAACCATTTCGGCGTAATCGACTGCGGCAGCAACATGAAGTGGTGACCTACCATACTGATCTTGTTGGTTCACATTGGCACCTTAAAAAGAGACATGCAATAATTTTCATTTTCATCAGAAACCGTGATTGTTGTATATACAAAATATATATTATACATTTATACTGCAACGTTTCAGTGTTGAACTGAGTTCAACATCGCCAGTATCTTGGTGGCAGGATGAAGCGTAATGGTACAGCGGCATCTAGGGCCAGGCTATGTGAACCAGACTTTCACAATCATCAAAAAATCATCGCAAAATACAATGTAAACTATATTTTTTGTAAACTGTAATCTTTTGTCAGAGTTTTTATTGTAGGACACTAGGACTTGACTCCACGATGCCTTCCAGGCAAAGTTAAGTGAAGGCAAAAACCAACCAAGAACCATACTTTTCAACTGCATTCGAGTTTTTGGTACAAGTTGATATTTTTTCGTTCCCAAAAAAAAAATTAATGAAATTCTGCTTCATGTGTTTTGTATTTTATAATTTTAAGCAACTGTCTCTTTAGAAAGAAGCATTAATACCACCATGTCGTTGGGAGAATTTAACATGCGGCACAAAAGCAATAGACCGGTTTCACTGATGAGAACAGTCCACGGCGCTGGCTATTCAGATTGATTTAAACGATTCATCGCAATTTGGTTTTCCTATTCACCAATCCGGTAAGTTTTTTACTAGTACATTTTAGTGACGTTTGACTACTATATCAATATTTAATATCAAATCACTAATCGCAATTTAAACAATCAGAAAGATGTGTATAAGACGTAAGGCAACCTATGTACTGTCAGCGTGTTAGCATATCATGCAGTATCGGTGTTTTTTAAGAGGAATAGCAGTATACCATGTTCGATCAGGAATTTTGCGACGTCAATATTCCAAGATCTTGCAACTTCATGAAACACACATTGACCAGTTTTGTCAGCACTGTTGATATCTGCGCCATTTTTTAGAAGAGATTCAACGAAATCAAAATCAAACTTATCTTTTGTGCTGTTTGAGTTTGCCAATGTTGAGAGATATTGTATCAGGGCTCGGTTTCTGACATTCTGAAACTCCTCGGCTTCCAATTGTTTCATTTCGCTAAGTTCACCCTCCAGTACCGCGTGCATTGGTTCATTTGTTCGCCTGCTACCTACATATACGAAAGTATGAATGCATGTAAATACCATGAAAGGGTATATACCATAGGGTATTGGTCATTGAGTTTTAATATTGATATTTGATCATGAAAAATACTATTAATTAGGAGCTTAATTAGGGAAATATACGCCAAAATTTAGTGAAAGGCAGGGGCGTAGCACCCTAGGTAAAAATATTAAATGCCCCCTCCCCTTCTATAAACATTTTATATGTAACCTAACCACCTTGCATGCGAAGGTATTCGTATATATTGCGATAATTGCCCAGAAATACCTTTTATCTCTTTCAATAACATTTCTTCAAAAGGTTTTATTCTTTTCTCCCTTTGATTACGTCTTGGATCCAACATGTTTGTGCTGTAGCCTTCGTTTTCCATTATGTTCGTGAAGTTTGAATAAAATACTTGTACACAAAAACACTTGCACAATCTTTGACTACAAAGAAATGCAGGCATTATTAGGTATCCACAATATTTCTAAGTTATGATATCTCAACTTTATCTTCTTCGATCGAGGTTATATAATCCACCGAGTCAAAATAGGAACTAATGAAAAATCCGCCAGTTTGTTAAAGATGTTTTAGCACTCACTTAATCCTTCGATCTAATTAATGTAAGGTCCTTAGTGTTGAATTCTCAAAATTTATTTGGTGTTGCACAGGATATATATGGACTCTAATTAAGAGGAAATACTTTGCCGAGTATCGCATGTATAAAATAACCAACTTACGTAACTAATATGCACGAGGAAGTATATATAGTCTATATAGATAATAGTGCCGCCTCTAGACCAAATGACCAATGTAAGTTGTAGGGAGTATAGCCGAACGTCGTAATCATCGCATATCGTCGTATAATTATCTTTCGTAGTGAATTTAACAAAATTTTTCTGGGTATCACAGTTGATTATGTAGTGTATATGCTGAAATCAATTTGATTAATTTGGCAAAGACGAGATATATCAATCCTTTTAGATTTTTTATTTACATCCTTCTTATGTGCTGATCAAAACATCATGCATGATACGAACATACAGGTATAAGAAACTGTTATACGGTATAAGAGTTTCTGCGAATATTGTAGTTCGTTAATATAGCGCTGTCCATAGCATTAATAATAATAACTTAGCAAGTATGGCTTCCTTTTAACTGCGCAAACGAACTAAATCTGTTTCAAATAACTAGACAACGAGACTATAAACAAAGATTGATTCACTAACCTTTTCAAGCTGTTGTAATTACATAACTCAGTGATTGACTATATTACGCAGCTGTAATTACATAACTGATTGACTTTATATAAGTAAGAAACTTCTTTTCTAGACTGCAGATAAAATAACTGTGATTGCAGTTTGTAGTGCTTTGATGTTTTAAGATGAAATGTGAAGAGTTCATGACATCTATGATTGATAGTAGAATTATAGAGGATACGTGCATGATTATAGGTTCAGTTAAAGGTCAAACAACTGCAAAGAACTCGATCAACATCCTCATCGGTGGCAGTGCGGATGAGTGATTGACATAGCTGTTTAATTTCACTTTCCTCCGCAAAAATAAAGTGCATGGTGGGACTCAGCACTAACTTGCATATGGTAAATTAGGCGAATTTAATAAGTTTTATCGTTATCAAGCGAATCAAATTTAATCCATCCGATTCAGTATTTTTTTTAATTCACTAATAATAGAAAATTCTTAAGAATTACACTTAACTCTTAAGGCTGCTTTCCCCTTACGCGTTTTTTATACGCACGTACACGTACGGTAAATTTTAAATGCTTTTAAATTTTTATTGTTTAACATCTAGGTCAACTAATGCATACTAAAATATGCAGAAAACTAAGTTCCTTCGATTTATTCGCTGAGTTTTTTCAAAGGTAACATGTACAAGGATTTAGACTTTCACGTGCGTGTACGTGCGTATGGCGCGGAAAAACGTGTGGAAAAGTGGAAAACAGCCTTTAGGGTAAGTCACGTCTTCCGTGATATGGAGATCTGCACGTTTTTTTTTGCTGCCCACTGCACGTTTTTTTTGCTGCCCACATAATTATGTTCAGGTAAACATAAAATCATTATACGGTCACGTTTTATAATATTAGGTAACAATATAGTCAATAAGCGTTTCTCATTTTCAAGGCGTGACAATTGCCAGAAACAACAATCCATTCAGAGAAGCAAAAATACTGTAACTAGGAATTAATACTATTAACCTTGAAGAATTTTAGAGATTTATTCTATGATAAAATGGCAATTATTTAAGACACAATACGGAGTTAAATTTGCGTATTAGAGTTGTATTCTATGAACTGATTTTAAGCTCTTTAGCATTAATTATAATTCATAAACGATCTTTTTGTATGTAAAATAGACGTGGGAGTACAAAGCAAGCGAAAGCACTAACCAGCTTAAAGTCGCCTGACCACATAAAATTATAGTTATTTTGAGCAATATTTTAGTTCGTTTGGACAAATAAAATAAGTAAAAAATAGAGCATCAAAGACAAGCGATTATAGATCGGTCATGTAAAGATAATGTTCCGGTGGGCTGCGCATTGAGGAGCGACGCAAAGATTAAAAGTTTTGATGTTGCGAACAACGAGAAAGAACACCACAGCTTTTTCGAAATTTATATATTTAGCTGCTAGCTATATGATGATATGTAAAATACATTCTTGTGTTCCTGGTGCACTGCATGGCTACTACTTTCTTAGAAACTGAACTTATAATTATCCGCATCTTAAATCCTTTCTATAACTAATTTATGATACAAATCCAGCCTCTTGCCTCCTTTCTGCTTTCTACTTGAATATACGAAAACTAAACAACGCATCTTCTATTAATAAATGACGTCGTTGCATGGCGGCCGGTCTCAGTATAGATCTCAGTTATCCTTTCTTACATATAATGCTACACTGTATGAACTATAGGCATATTCAAGTGGGCCTATTATACTCAGTACTTATTGAGAATAAACATTGCTAGTTCTCTTCCAGTTATAATCAACCTCATTATAACGAAGGTCAAGGATTGAAATTCTGAAGCATATTGATTATTGGATTGAATTTCAATAGTTATTATTAATCTATACCCAGCCAATATCTGGAAGAGAGTCATCTTTTATCCCGACTACTTTGATTTCTTCTGATTGTTGCCCATCTGTGTTTTCTCTATCGAGATGTGAAGATGCTTCATTGGTTTCATTATCATCATCTGCTTGTATTTCTTCACAAGGGATTTGGTCTACAACTTTTGCTTGCGAATTCACGGATGTATTTTCTGACGAGGTTCCTTCGCCATCTTGATATCTGGCAATATCTTGCGGATTGTTCACTAAATCAATGGTTACAAATTCGGGCTCTGCTGTTAAACCTTCGGGTGGAGCAGGGAACTCGAACATATTTTCTAAAACCTTCAAAATAAACAATCTTTATTAAAAGACCTGTATTCCGAGAAATTCTTCAATGCACTTCTTATAATTTCGTAGACGCAATGAATATATTATTTAAAAAAAGGGTTGAGGGTTAGCTTGAAGAAGAGCTGTCTTTGAAAGTATACCTGGAATATCATGGAGTTTAAGCTCCGCGTTTCCGGGGCGTGAACTTTCGTAGTAGAATTTCTGTTTAACCTCCTCGTTTCATATTTTATTTCCCAGAGGCGTGGCCAGCAACATGCAGCCTGACGATTTTGCCCCGCTATGTAAATTCGATGAATGAAGAAACCTGTAATATGAAAGAGTTAAATATAAAACATACCTTTTCAGTAGGATCGTCCGCTACAAACTCCGTACTGTATGGAGCATTATTTGAAGAGGCCTTGGATATTGGAGCGCTTCTCGACATTTCTGTTTGATTTTGTGAACCGTTACTGATAGATTCAGTGGACTGACTTTCATCTATTTTTCCTTGAAAGTAAACTACTTTCTCCAAAAATTCTGGCGCAGGTGAGGGTATATTACGATACTGATTACTCTTATTGGTCGGACTATTTAGTGCCATTAAATTGTCATTCATCGGGATTTCTACCGCTGGAGCGCCATTTCCAGCTTGCACTTGTGTTGCACTTTCTGCATTTATACCTGCATCCTCGGGTATTTTTCTTTCTGGATACACATTTGTGGTCTCCACCGTTGAAATCTCAGCTCTTTCTTCCTTATGTCTTCCTCTGACTTGTGTAGGAACATGAGGTGTTTGGCTCGCTTGGCGTTTGTCATTCTCCAAATGAATATCGACCCGAGGTTCGAGATTGTCGACTTGTGGAGTTGCTTCTTTTGGGGAACGTAATATTGGAAAATCGACTGTCTGCTCTTTCAACTCCTCTGCAGGATTGCCATGTGCCTGAACACCAGCGGAAAACATCACTGCATGAGGTGGATGCTGGGTTTCGTTTTTGCTTCTTTGATATTGTGGACTGATGATCTGAGTTGTATTAAAAGGTGTACTATGGGATCTGATTGTTTCGCGAAGTGCTGATGATAGTATTGGTCTGGTGAGTTCTGCCTGACCATCTTTGTTTTGGATTTGTGGTATATTCCGAGCCATAAGATGATTGTCGTACTCACTTGGCATGCCTTTTCCAGCATTTTGATCAATGGACTGAAAACCATAGTTCTGATATCCATATGATTCCTTGGCATTCTGCAGGCTCATGGGTTGTTGAAGCCGATTTTGAACAAAAGGTTGTCTTGCATATGGCGAGGATTGCATTTGGTCGAAACTTCTCGGCATTTCCCTATTGTTAAAACGTTGAATAAATTCTTGTCTCTGTTGCAAATAAGAGTTCTGTTGTTGGTAACCACTTCTATTAGATGTTGGTTTCAACCACTGGTGGTTCTCCTGGGGTACCTGCATTGAAGTGATGAAAATAGTTATAGTAAATACACAGTAAATTCACACAAAATTGCTTCAAATCCTTTCATGTTTAAAGTGGCTTTTCCTAAAATTTGATCTGCATGAATGATAAAATCATGACTTAATTTAGTCTTTAAATTTTTTTAAAAAAATTAATGAAAGAAATGTAAAATTGATTCATCGTGGTAATTTTTTAACATGCTATAACATATATATATATATATATATATATATATATATATATATATATATATATATATATATATCAACATGCATATATGTGGTACAAATTCTGCTTTTAACAAATGATCGCTTTTCAAAGAAATGAAACTCTTTACGAGTTTGCCATTTTGTAAAAAAACTACGGGATACCAGGAAGCCTTCGTATTGAAAATAATGGAGTATAATCAGTACTTTACCTGGTTTTGCAGGGGAAGGTAATTGGTCTGATTATGCAAATATTGATTTGTAGGATAACCTTGCACACCCGGACGAGCAAATGCTGAATATTGCATGTCTCGTCTTCGACTTTGAATGTCTGCTGTAGGTGGATAAGCGAGTTGCTGATTCATCGAATTTTGTTCATTTTGTGAATAGGGTTGAGATCTTTTACCTTCACCTTTATTTCTATCTTTGGTGAGCGTTTTGCGTTTGTGAGACGAATATTTAAAGACGCTGCTTTTTCTACGACTTTTATGTTCACCATCTTTCCTTCTTGACTTCATAGATTTACTGTGTTTATTGTTTTTTGTTGTACTTCCGCTTTCAGTTTCACTCTCTGATGTTTCCGTTTCGGAGTCCTCTTTAGAACTTTTATCCGATAGTTTTCGAAGCCGTGATTTTCGGTTTTTCTTCACATTTTCCGACGAAATGTGTGTGGATATTTCCACCGGAAATGCCGTGACAGCAGCCTTATTCTTGTTCTTAATGCTGTTGTCATTGTCTTCTTCATTTTTATTGTTAGTAAGGTCTTCGGTGTTGTTATTATTGTTATTTGTGTTAGTGTTAGTGTTGTTTTGGCTCTTGGCCTTTATTTCTTCTACTTTCTCTGTTATTTCTTGTAATGATTGCCTCATGTTTTTAACTTCTAGAATAAGTTCCTCCTGAAATCTTCTTACTTTACTCACGTCCATTTTTACAAAGTCCAAATCAGATTTCTTTCCTTTTCCAAATTTTCTTCCGAACTTCTCACCAAGTATGTTTACAATAACTTTCACGTCGTCACGCACACGTTCAATAGTCGCGTGATCATCACCATCCATCATCAAAAGCCGACCAAGAGTTTTAACAATAACTTCAGGACTACCGTTAGTTTTAATGAAGTCATAATATTTCTTTTTCTGTTTTTTCCGTAATGATTTTTGAAGTAAGAGTATGGTTCTTGCTCTTTGCATCACGGCGTTGGCGACTGCGTTCTCGTACAACCTCTCAAATGTGTTCGAAAGTAAAGCAATGAGCAGATTTAGGGTGACTATCGCAGCAATCCCGATGAAAGCACCACAGAGCAGCCTCGCCATAACTGGATTTGCCGCTTCCAGCACTTCATAACCATGATCATTAACAACCATCATTGAGAAGATGTTGTATAACAAGGGGCCAACGTTGTCGTAACCCTGGACAGGTGTCAGTGAAATTGCCCCAAATGTGATCCAGAAGGCGCAAGTAAACGGAATGACGATGACGGAGTTTAAAAATCCCCACTTCACGATGTCACCCAAAACATGACCAAAGATGACAACAAAAGGACCAGCGCCTTCAAAAGGTCTGGCATATTTAAAAATTCTCAACCAAAGAATCAGCAATAGTGGTATTATGATATAATGATGGATTTCTTTGGATATATGATTACTGAAGTGAAAGAATGTCACGTGTGATGCAATCGTTGCTAGGATTAACACGAGCGCTGCCCAGTCGAAATATATCCACCAATCAGAGCCTGAAATGAGCGAGAGATTCCTCACAGCTTTGATTTCTGCTCTAAGGTATTGATCTTCTTGCGGCCATCTTGGATGACAATACGCCAGATCTCGTTCGAGTTCTGCGGCACGCCATTCCCGCCATTTCTTCAATTCATTGCGGGTTATCAATGTGTCTGAAAAGAAAAAAAAGAGAATAAATAATTTGTTTAAGCTGAATTACGCAGTAATGACAATTCCATGCAGTTGGAACTGAAACGATTTGTAGGTTACTTACTGACTATCTGTTTTCGTATTTCAAGTAATGTGAATAGAATGAGCAGAATTCCAATGATCAGTCTCCATGAGTTTTCTGCAAGTGGTAAATAAAGGTCTCGTCCATACGATGGCAGAGTTACCGCAAGAACTGTCCATAATATGGTGTAAACCAGATTTATTACCAAATCAAAGATGGCTCCCCATTTTCCGTACATTTGCCATTTCACTCCAATCAGACGTTGCATGATGGGATGCATGATGATGTCAAATCTCTCATTCTGAACAGCAATCTCAAGCGGTGTTCTAGCAGGCGTCTTCTCTTCTTTTAACTTTGTACCTTCAAGATAGTTGAGAAAATAGAATTCTTTACGATTGATTGTGTCCACTGAGTGGAACTGATCCATTGCATCTAAAGCCACTTCAGGGATCTTTTCAATGAGAAGTGACAAGGCAGAGTTTCCCAAATTGTCATAAACACCAGCTGGAGCACCTTCAGCAATCAGGAGTTTAGCAGCTTTAGAACGATTCATTTCAGCTGAAACCTGTGGAACAGATAAACATGACGCTTCGGGAGGATGTTTGTGGATGGAATATTCGATGGAATATAAATTCTGACGTTTATGGTTAGGCGTGGATTTTTGCTATAACCTAACTACAATCTATAGGAGGATGGAATTTGGACAAAGGTTATGGATTCCGCTGGAATGATGCTTAATTACGCGAGGGGTTTATGTAAACTACTTATTTCAGTATTTCGTAGTTTCATATCAACAGTATAATCAATTTTTTTAAAGAAATGGAAAGTATGACATATACTTTTATAACGTATAATTTCTATACCTGCAATGGTGTTCTATTTTTGCTGTCTCGCGCGTCAACATTTGCACCATATCCTAACAACATCTGAAGTGAGTTCATTGCATCATTTTTAGCAGCAAAATGTATTGGAGTCTGTCCTTCGCCAGATGTTTTGATATCAATATCGGCTCCATTTTGTAGAAGAAATTCAACCATTTCGGCGTAATCAACTGCGGCAGCAACATGAAGTGGTGACCTACCATACTGATCTTGTTGATTCACATTGGCACCTTTAAAACATATTGTATATAAATCTAACTATAACTCTACAACATGCAATCGTTTGTTAAGTTTAATTTTAATCCATTGTTGCCTGGCTCTTTGAAACTAAGTCCTATATATAAAATCTAAACCCTATTCTATTCCTGGTTCTAAACCCTATATATAAATCGAAAAAGCACTATAAACATATATAAACATATATAACCATGATGTTATATGCATGGGATATAACCCAAGTGTATTATTTCAAGGCTTGCTGCTTTATATGTGAATAGAAGAGAACTATTACCATGTTCAATTAGAAATGTCGCGACGTCAATATTCCAAGATCTTGCAACTTCATGAAACACACATTGTCCAGTTTTGTCAGCACTGTTGATATCTGCGCCGTTTTGAAGAAGAGATTCAACGAAATCAAAATCAAATTTATCTTTGGTGCTGTTTGAATTTGCTAATGTTGCAAGATAGTGTATTAAAGCATGATTTCTGACGTTCTGAGCTTCTCTTCCCTCCACCTTCTCACTTTCACCAAGTTCTCCTTCAAGAACAGCATGCATTGGTTCGTTTGCTCTGTTGGTGCCTAAATAATTAAATTTAAAGCGTCCTATATAGTTAGACCTACAACTCTTATGTATATGTAAAGAAATATTAAAAATATACACAACTGAAGAAAGATCATTTCTTGAATAATTATATAGCCTATATATATGTCTTCTTTGATATATATATACACAGTGTATACATTGACCTCGAGAGGATAGCTTTTCATTGTTGTGCATGTTGTTATAAATATGCCACATTATTTATGATGTATACAGTAACTATTTTAAGTAGTGTAGTATACATCAATTCCAACATTTATTTTTCTTGTGTAATTTCAGTGTTCTATTACACTTCTTATGCAGTAAAGATGAATTTTTTGCGTTGTAGTTCTGGTTTGGCTTATTTGTGATCTGCCTTATTTGTGGATGCCTCCGGAAAATTTTTAAGATGGGGAAATGCTTCCTCGTAAATAGTCTCGTTAAATATCTATTTATAATTTATATAGCTATATGTTAAGAACAGTTCGGCGCGGGCGGAATAATATTTCAGTAAAACCATTAACCATATAATTTTCTTTGGATCTTTATTATTTGTTGATTTATATCATATTTATTTATATATAGAGCTAGAGAGTAGAGAAAACTTGATACCTGGCATCTCTTTCAATAGCATTTCTTCAAAGAGCTTTTTTCTTTCTATCGTCTGATTTCGTCTAGGATCTAACATCACTACGTTCCCGTTTTTATCTGCCATTTCTCTAATACATATCAAAATAATGATGTTAAATAAATAGTAATCAATCATCAATCCTTCATGAATGCTGGCCTTAAATCCGATAACATGCGTGCAGGATGAAGTACAATATTTGATCCAGTGGTAGCTACTGGTGGTGTTTTAAAGAAATAAATATTATCTGCAACAGACGTCATGGCAATTAAACAGTAAATTATATAGAGTGAAGTGAATTACGGAACAAATTATGAACCCTATAATATATATAGTGTATCGCTGGAAAAAGATGTTGTTTGACCGTGCAGAAAGATGTATAGAAAACTGTATACGCAGGTAAGAACATATGCAGTAAATAGCACGAAATATGCCATTGGAATTTCGGTTTAACCTTGGGGATCAATATAACCGATACAAATTTTGACAATCCTGCATTATATGCATGCATTAGTTTTAACGATCATGTGGTTGGATGGTGCATGGTTTATTTAGCATGCACTGTTGCAGATTTGAAATATATATGGGGAAAACCTTTTCGTTATTCTGTAGACACACTGTTTTACTGGTTATATCCAACGATGCAACGGTTTTTTCAGCTCAATCTAATCATCTCACGACTCACATACAAGCTATATAGCAACGAAAGAATGTAAAGTCGAACTTATGTATACACTTACCTTTATATACAGCTCTTGCCGTTATACGTCTGGTTCAAGACCAACCCTTCTAAGAATACTGATTTGTGCCGAATATGCCGACTTTTTCTGAAACCATGCAAGTACGCACGAAGCAAACTGAGAGCGTGACAAATGTATTTACATTACTCAAATATTCTTGCGTGATCTCTATAAGCTTGCCCACCTCTGCTTGCAGAATTAATAAACTGCTTCAAAATCAAACAGATCAACGTAGTAATTTTTAGTTATACATTCCTGCATGAAATTTAATTTAAATATGAAAAAGTAGAGACATTAAGTAAATAGCTACCTCAATGGTATAGGAATTGAAATATTATCACAAACTAAGACGCGAAAAGAGCATATTTCTAACGCAGGCTATATATAGAGCTATATAATTCTTTTTATGTTTTTATATTGAATATTAATTTTTCAGCTTGAACAAACTACATGCATGGGAATATATATTGGCATTGCTGACTTTGGTTGAGATGGAATTTGAACAAGATTAGCTGATGTTTATTCAGATTTCAGCATATTATTCCGACTTCCTGCAAAAGTCAATACCTTCAAACTCTATACGTGTAGAAAACATTATAACTGAGGTCATGGATCAGGGATCGTGGAGGCCGGACGAGGGATTTTGGGGGCTTTATTTACTAAAAGAACGAAGGATTTTATTCAACCCGTTAAAACTGATTGATGTACGTGTTCCCTCTAGATGTCTCGAGCTTCCACTAACTAGGGCTTCGATACATTTAGCCTACTATTTCAGTGCACGAATAATCTATTCATACGATTCTCAGGAAGATTATCTTTAACGAGCATATGCATGCATATATGCACATACATTATATGCTCGTAATAACAGACTAAATTTAATTAATGTTAAATCTAACCGTAAAAATACAAAAATGCCATGATCAATTAACTTGTGATTTACCAATATCATCGCAGTCTCGGGTTTCCGGTGTTGTTCTAGACATAAATCCCTCTTCAGTCTTTTCTTCTTCTACATTTTTTTTGGTACTTGGTGATAAAGATGCTTCATCCTGTGAAAACGCGTCACTGCTATCATTTGGCTTCACTGCTTGTCGTCTAAATGATGTAGTAAAAAATGCATCTCGTAAGAAATGTTTTAATTTCTTATTTTGTGACTGTTCATTTTATTGCTTTAAATAAAGGACAATCTGAATGAACGAGCTCTATATAAACTTACAAACTTTGAAACGGCTCAAGGAACTCTTTTTCTTCTATCTGGAAACTCGGTCGTTTAACATTTACGTTCTCCGACTGTCGACGCCTGGAAATTATTTTTAACTCGTTCCGGGTAGGCTGTAAAGAAATACTGCGCTGGCGTTCTCTGCTATCAGAAGCTGCATGAACAAAATTTTGATCACGATGCAAAGTACTGTCGGAAGAAGACTTCAAAAACTGGGAAAATAACGGTTTCGTACTTCCTTCGTTAGGAAATGTCGAGTTAACGCTTGCTGATGCTGGTAAACGTCTTGGGTTTGACCTTATTTGATCGAAACTACTGCTTGGAGAGAAAGTTCTATCTTTGTCGTAATTTTCATGTCGATATTCTTGCAAGGAATGTATACTCTGCTCCGTCTCAAACCGGGGGGAAATCTGATCGTCCGGTGGATATCCTGTTCTTATGATTGGTTTGAATAGTTCACCGTCTCTCTCAAAGCCATAATTCTCGGAAACATATGTTCTCGGTTCCTGAAGTGTAGTTGTTGTTTGGGTACTGCTGCGGCAAATTTGAGGCTTGTTTGAGCTAATCTGTGGCGTTGTTCGTCGTAGAGCGCTTGTTGGCATGGGTTGGTCAGTTGCGACACCTTCTGTTATTTTGCCTTTTTCCAATTCCCTTTCATGAAAATATCCCAGTTGATGTCGCCTCCCTGTTGATTGAACCACGCCCCCATTCGAAGGAACGTATTTTGGGTCGCTCCAGATACTAGGGTTAAGCATATAAGGTTTCCCGTGGACAACTTGAAACTGTTAAAATGACAACAGCAATAAAAAAAATCAATAAAAATAGGTAATAATTCATATAGATTGGTTATGAGGCCAATAGTGCTCTCTGGACTAAGAAGTTTTTTTTTATATGAACTATATATTGAAATCGTAATTAATTAGTGATTCACTGATTAATTTGGAACATGTAAGAGGTAATTACCTGTGGAGGTAACTCCTGCTGCATTGAAACTGTTCCCGAAGGATTCGTTTGGTGCACCAACGGACTTCCTACGTGAGTGTTGGAGAATGATTCTTGGGGTATAGGATTAAAAGGAATATCATTGTATTTCCACACGCCTGGCGGGAATATTTGTGACTGCCCCTGTTGATAAGGAATTCTTTGAAAGGCCAAATTTTGGTTATCACTCGAGGCATCATGCAATGGTACGTATCCTGGTGAGTACATCAATGATTGCTGAGGCACAGCCGGATCGCGTACGTCATAGAAGTGCGATTTTACTTTTCCTGGTGGCTTTTTCAATTTCAATTTTGTTGCTCCGTCATCGTTTTGAGTAGGCATTTCTTCGAAGTTTGATTCCCTTTGAGAATTCTTCTCCAGTCTTAGGTTGAACTCATTCCGAGGATTAACGCTTTTATTTTTGGATCTTTCATCTCTTCTCTTATATGACATCAATTTAACATTGTTTTCAAAGTTTTCTTCACTTTGACTGTTCGACTCTGTATTGGAGCTTCCCGATTCTGTGGACAACTCTTGACTCTTTTGGGGTGTCTCTTGACCACTACCATTATGAGATTTCTTCATACTTTTGAAATCACGTTCCTTAAATCTTCGCGATAGAGCGTTCCGAGAGTTATCATCCATGTTTTTGTTTTTCATTTTGTCGTTGATTTTCTTTATGTTCTTACTACGGTCGCTACTGGTTTCCCTTGCATTATTTACAAGAATTTTCTCATGGGAGTTGCTATGGATGTTTTTCCTTTTGTATCCATCATCTTCACTACTACTGTTCTTTTCATCACTATTATCGCCGTTATCCTCGTTCTGATTCTTGCAGTTGGTCGTTGTCATAATAATGGGAGGGGTCATTTTGCAAATTGAACTTAGTTGTTCCTGAACATTTTCAAACAGTAATTTCATGTTCCTCACATCCACAACCACTTCCTCTTGAATTCGTCGTAGTTTATTTATATCCGTTCTTACAATGTCCAAGTCAGATTTTTTGCCCTTTCGAAATCTCTTTCCAAACTGTTCACCCAAAATCTGCATAATCTCCCTGACGTCATCACGAACGCGTTCAATTGATGCTTCGTCGTGGTCCATCGTCATCAGCCGACCAAGATTCCTGGAAATCACCTCAGGACTTGCTCTCTCCTTAATGAATTTGTAGTATTTCGACTTTTGCTTTCGTCTTAAAGACTTTTGAAGAAGAAGAATTGTTTCTGCTCTTTGCATAACTGCGTTGGCAACGGCGTTCTCGTAAAGTCTTTCAAAAGTGTTGGTAAGAAGAGCAATGAGCAAATTCAGTGTTACTATTGCAGCAATTGCGATGAAACCACCGCATAACAGCCTGGCCATGAACGGATTTGCTTTCTCAAGGTTTTCAAAACCGTGACTGTTAACAACCATCATGGAGAAGATGTTGTACAATAACGGACCAACATGATCGTAACCCTCAACAGGTTGTATCGAAACTGCCCCAAATGTCAACCAGAATGCACAAGTGAATGGTATAATGATGACAAGATTCAGAAATGCCCACTTGGTAATATCACCGAAGACGCTGCTAAAAATCACAATGAAAGGTCCCGCACTTTCGAAAGGTCTTGCATATTTGAAAATTCGTAGCCAGAGTATCAAGAGCAGTGGCATTATTATATAATGATGAACTTCTTTGGATAGATCTGTGCTGTAGTGGAAGAAAATCAAGTGAGATGCGATTGTCGCGAAGATAAGAACGAGTGCGACCCAATCGAAATAGATCCAGTAAACAGAGCCTGACATAAGCGAAAGATTTCGAACAGCTTTTATCTCTGCGTTGACGTACTGAGCTTCTTGTGGCCAACGTGGATGGCAGTACTCAATGTCACGTTCAAGTTCAGAAGCTCGCCATTCTTTCCATGCATTATGTTCCTGTCGAGTTTTTATCGTATCTAAAAGGAATTAGTATAAGTTTATGAAGCTGACATAGTAACATTGCCTTGTATGTGACGTAGCAAAAAAGCAGCGGCATATACAAATAATATGCTTCAAGAGGATGCTCTAATTAAGCTTTCTTACAGGGGTAAAGGATATTGTACTTAGTATCCCGAGAAGCTAGGACTTATATAAGGTAACTTACTAAGTATCTGTTTTCTTATTTCCACTATCGTTAATAGTATCAGGAAAATGCCAACCACTAGTCTCCATGAATTTGGACCAATTGGAATATACAAATCTCTTCCATACTTTGGCAAAGTGATTGCAAGCAATGTCCATAATGTGGTATATATAAGATTGAGTGCCAGGTCTTGTACCGCGCCCCATTTACCATAGCATTGCCATTTCACTCCAATCAAACGTTGCATGACTGGATGCATGATGATATCAAATCTCTCATTCTGAACAGCAATCTCAAGCGGAGTTCTAGCAGGCGTCTTCTCTTCTTTTAACTTGGTACCTTCAAGGTAGTTGAGAAAATAAAATTCTTTACGATTTATTGTGTCTACTGAATGAAACTGATCCATTGCATCTAAAGCCACTTCAGGGATCTTTTCAATGAGAAGAGACAAGGCAGAGTTTCCCAAGTTGTCATGCACACCAGCTGGGGCACCTTCAGCGATCAGGAGTTTAGCAGCTTTAGAACGATTCATTTCAGCGGCTACCTTCAATAGAATTAAAAAAGCACATGAAAATCATATTATTAGTCGAAATAATAAAGCATTTACGTTTACAAAACCTGTAGTGGAGTTCTGTTTTTGAGGTCGCGTGCGTCAATATCTGCTCCGTATTCTAGCAACATCTGAATAGAGTTGACGGCGTCATTTTTAGCGGCAAAATGTATTGGAGTCTGCTCATTTCCAGTCGTCTTGATATCAATATTGGCTCCATTTTGTAGAAGAAATTCAACCATGTCAGCGTAATCCACTGCGGCAGCAACATGAAGTGCTGACCTGCCATAGTGATCTTGTTGGTTCACATTAGCACCTGCATGTAGAGAAAATATATGGAAAATAAAATGAAGAGTGTTAACCATGCAAGAAGATTTATAAATTATATTTCTGTCGATTAGACTGAATAAACCCAATTTCGGTTATAAGAATAGCGAAGCATTCTAAAATAAACCGCAATAGTTTACAATTATTTTCCTTCAGAAATGATTTGTTCTTCTCACTGTATAGCCAGCTCTTTCTACAAAAGAGCCTGCTATATCCTTTAAATTTTCATTACACTTGTAGACCGAATTGTGGTAAGTTACATTCAGGTTAATTGGCATTTTTTGACACAAAAGTACAAAATGTATGTTTGCATATAGTATATGTGTGTATATATGATAATTAGTTAATAGTCACTTTTAACAGTTAATTTTTATCAGTCTAACCATTTCGACGTGTTTCTCTGATACACTACCTTTAATGTAATATTGTACGGTAGAAGAAGTAGAAGTCCTTACCATTCTTAATGAGAAAACCTGCTACGTCACAATTCCAAGACCTGGCTACTTCATGAAACACCGTCTGACCTGTCTTGTCTGTACTGTTCACATCCGCACCATTTTTGAGTAAAGATTCAACAAAATCGAAGTCAAATGTATCTTTAGTACTGTTGGAGTTTGCCAATGATGCCAGATAATGAAGTAGAGCACGATTTCTGACATTCTGAGCTTCTTTGCCTTCCGTCATCTCACTTTCCGCAAGTTCACCTTCAAGGACGGCGTGCATTGGCTCGTTTGTTCTACTTGTGCCTAAAAGTAATAAATTTTGATGTTATAGTTTCTGTTAATTATGGCATAAACTTAAATTGTTAAAAAATGCATTTTCATGCTTTTCAAAATTTTGGAATTCTTGCACTCTTTCTACACTGCATATAGCGGAAATTGTTCAGATCAGAATAAATTGTTTTGCAAGATTTGCATCTTCCCGTTAATAGAATCAGGTGGAAAGGTCAAATTGTGCATGCCATGCAAAGAGGATGGAAGGGAGACGTGGAAGGGAGACGTGGAATGGACACGTGGAAGAGAGACGTGGAATGGACACGGGGAAGGGAGACGTGGAAGGCAGACGTGGAATGGAGACATGGAATGGAGACGTGAAATTGAGACGTGAAAGGGAGGCATGGAAGGGAGACGTGGAATGGACACGGGGAAGGGAGACGTTGGAAGGGAGACGTGGAATGGACACGGGGAAGGGAGACGTGGAAGGGAGACGTGGAATGGACACGGGGAAAAGAGACGTGGAAGGCAGACGTGGAATGGAGACATGGAATGGAGACTTGAAATTGAAACGTGAAAGGGAGGCATGGAAGGGAGACGTGGAATGGACACGGGGAAGGGAGACGTTGGAAGGGAGACGTGGAAGGGAGACGTGGAAGGGAGACGTGGAAGGGAGACGTGGAAGGGAGACGTTGGAAGGGAGACGTGGAAGGGAGACGTTGGAAGGGAGACGTGGAAGGGAGACGTGGAATGGACACGGGGAAGGGAGACGTGGAAGGGAGACGTGGAATGGACACGGGGAAGGGAGACGTGGAAGGGAGACGTGTGGGCTAACTAAAAGACGTGATGGAATAATTATGCTTTCACACGCGGCGGCTTTTGATAATTGTCATCATTCATCATTGAATAACTTGATGCTTTTAACCATTCACTTAAGTTAATTTGTGTATTTAAACTCGCTATTTTTATCTTACTTGTCATAGTTAAATTTCTAGATTCCAATCTCCCTACATTGTGTCGTATGGTTGTCTTTTTTGTTACGTAATACTTAATACTTGCAATATCACATTTGCACAACAAACCTGGAATTTCTTTCAACAACATTTCTTCAAACAGTTTCTTCTTTTCCATACTTTGATTACGTCTGGGATCTAATACCACCACATCGTCACTTCGGTCAGCCATTTGGATATCTTAACATATAAAAGACAAACGTATATAAGAGACCCAAGAGATCGATTGGATTATTTAATGAACAAACTGTTGAGGGTAAAAAGAATATTCCTCTACGAGTCTTCATATCAAGCCGAAGGAAGGAAGGATTTTGTAACAGGAAATAAATACGGCGTAGCTTGAGCGAATAAAGAGGCTTTTTAAAGAGGGGAAGTTAAAACGGCTTATTTAAGTAATTATTCGAATAAACGTTGTAATTATCCCTTGGATTAATCACATGCATACAGTATTTTAGTTTATTTCACTGAATTGTAGCAACATACCGCAATATCAATTTATCGCTTTTAATTTAATTTTTGGTGACTTACCTAAACGGTATATTTTATTTAATCGACTGCAATGAGTTTTCTTCAACTTTGTAATTCCGTTTTGATTCTGTAACAGTGATTCGTATTCCTAGGACCCAAGAAATGAGTACTTGGAAATGTTTGTAGCAATACTGATCAGTTTTTATTGAAGCGTGTGTAGCTGCATGTAGTCCTGCGAACGGAAAATAAAATGCTCTTTCCCAAACCCGAATCCTTTAATTAAACCATTTTCCCTAATTTAAATATGAAAAGGACAATTAGTTCTTCAAAACTGTCACAATCCGTGTTTCCAGCATTTGTTACAGATGATCAAAAGCAAATACTTTTACAAGTAGAAATATTCAAAGACTAAGATATAAAAGATTGACAAACTTACTGCATGAGTGGAATTCCCAATTATTACTACCTGCGTTTGAGGTGTTCGTTACCATGACGCTATTGCATCAAGTCATGTTAGTTTTGTTTAATGATCATGCAGTGTTGAGAACGCTCAATTTATCACAGTCCATTTATCACGAACCATGTGGACATTCACTTTTGCATTCACAAGTGCAAACAGGGGACGAGTTTCACACAAAAACTCTGAAATTCGTTTCTTCCTCCTGCATTTTCATGTGTAGTTGCAATCATGAAGCATTAATCTTTCGCAATTTAGTATGTCTACATTCTATAAAAAAACACTCTGTCAATAAACTTGTTATATGGTATATTAATATGCACAGGTATATTTTATACATTGCTGAATTATTTTCCGTTATAAGAATTACCTTTCATCGAAAACAGAACAATAAACACAAAAGCTTTCTTAAGACATTAAGTGATTTAATATTTTTTCGTTTCCAATATATCTTTAAAAAGTTTTAACATCAAATTGAGCGTCATTTGACGTTATTCACTCAAGAATGATAAATGCCAACTATAACACAATGGGAAGCTGTAGATTTAACTGGCGTAGAATTGTTTCGAAACCTAGCAAAATTAAAGCATGAATAGTGAAAAAAATCTCCTATCTATGCATGATTGACGTACATGCACAGGCAAATGCATGCACGTGCATGCATGAACTCATTCTAAAAATGCTAGAAATGGCATTTGGTACACATGCAGCGGTGTAGAAGACTTAATTGTGAATAGCTGTGAAATCTATTTCAGGCATTGAAACCTTACGAACGCCTTCTTACGTTTAGAGAAACCACTCAAGGTGTCAGTATTGTCTCGGTGTATCTATGTAGGTTATGTAATTAAAAAAAAGGAGTTCAGTTACATTCGTGTGGATTCCCTCTGGTGCAAACACCTAAATGGACAATCGGTGATGTTATTTATACATGGTATCTTATCTCGAATACCTCTGGTCTATCTCTAAGTTTAGATATTTACACTTCATTTGCCGAAATGGATATTGCTAACTTTGATATACAAGCAACATTAGTCTATGGACTGCATGACAACTAATTTAATCACTAATTTATTACACCTAAAAAACGTTTAAAATTAAATGGATGGCATGGAAGTGATGAAATCTAAGTCAGCATAAATGATAGTCAGAATCAATGGCGTAATGGGTGACGTTTCCGTATTTGTGATTATCACATTTTCACTTTACCGTTGGTAGTGGAACAAGCGACAGTGTAACTCTTCTAATGCTTTGTTGGTCTATGTTAAATAGGCACTGACGAAAACCTAACTACGATATATTAATGCATAGGGAAGTTTCATCAACAGCCTAGAATCACTGACGTTTCTTTTAACTCAAACTTCAAAGCCTATTTTCCAGTAGGCTACTTCATTAGGGTAAAATAAAGAAAAATTAGGTAACGGGATCGGGAAATCGCTGAATCGCTAAACATGAAATTACGCTAATTAAATACAATCCATTTATACAATTGATCATCTTCTTATATATATTATATCTCTTGCAAATCCTCCAGGAAATATTTATCGGTTCCAGTTCTCTTCAGTTTCCTTCACTGCTGCTCTAAATTAATGAAATATTTAAATAACTATATCAGTAAACCACATTCGTGCAGGCTTACGTTCAAAAAGTGTGCATTTCTTTTTGAATGGCACGAAATTTTACCCTAGATGTTTGCATTTTAAAATATTAGGAATGACTCAACACTATTTCAACAAACTTACAAAGTCTGAATTTATCGCTGGAACTGGATGATAGATTCTCTCCACGTAAGGTATTTCCACAATCCGGCTGTCAGAATGCCTACACCTGGGACCGATGTTTTCATTTCGTGCTTGTTGAACAGGTCTACGACGACCACTTAGCCTGTTTCGTGAAAAGTTTGGTTGGATAGAATGGGAACAATATCCTAAATCATCATCGAAATGCAAGAAGGTGCTGCTGAAGGTTTGCTGGGGTTGGTTAAGCCTATCTTCATAATGTGTGTTCTTCCACAAGGCTCTTTCGTTGTTTGTAGAAATCGTATCTTGAACGTCGTGGTGATGACATGTTCGTACTCCATCATCCGTTTCGCAGTAACAAGGTTGGCAATATTCCCCAGTTTGTTGTTTCTGAACATTGTTCATCAGATCAAATTCATTGAAAGAAGTCATCTTGTTTCTTCGTGTTGAAAGACCCTCAAAGTGCTGCTTTTCATTATTTTTGGTCATATCAAACTCGTTGAAGGATGACGCCTTCATTCTTCTTCTTGATGAAGAGTCTGCAGAATGTTGTTTTTCAGAAGTTCTTGCCATATCAAACTCATTGAAAGACACTCTCTTTCTTCTTGGCGTGGAATATATTCGGTCGCTCGAAAACTGGTTGTTGTTATGTGGCTGTGCGTTTTCGGAAGAGTTTTGGCCGAAATAAACTTCTGTTGACTTTTCTGGGTGGAACTGTAAGCATTTCAAATTGTTTTTATCCCTATCAGGTCTCATTTGGAACTCATGATCGTCGACAAAATAGGTCACCTATTAAAACGGATAAATGTTAAAGTGAAAATGTATTTCTGTACAATTAGTTGACGGACGTTAATTTGGAATTTTTGCAACAAAACACACGCACAGCTTGTACGATTTAGGCGTAGGGCTCAAGCTCCTACAAGGGGGCAAAATAGACTTTGCCAAATTTAAACCTGAAACCGATACCTGCATTTTTGTGACAATTGTCACGATATTTTTTATTTTAATATATAATCAGTTCGAATACATCAGTTCTAAAGAATAATTAGGGAGGGGTGCCCCCACATCTTCAACGCCTATGGTTTAGACACCATCAGAATGGGGATAGATATCTCGGATGGGAAATATTCATAGGGCTAGTTATCATAATCAATGTCAATTGTTATTCAGCGAATTATTGTTACCTTGCGTGATTCATTCTTCTTTGAGTGCATTGGAATATCTGATCGCTCTTGATATTGAGACTGCCCCACATGATGTGAGCATGGTTGTGAAAAATTGGTGTTTGTTGGTAAATTTGTGGGTTGGCACAAGCCAACTAACCGCCATGAGGGATGTCTTATCTTCCGCCTCCCTGTGTTATTTTCACCTTGCATCATGTCATATCTTTCATCGTGATCATCATTTTCTTCGTATGTTTCTTTCGCAGGCTTATCCTTTCTGTCATGCCGTCTTTCTTTATCAACGTTCTCGGTTGTCTGCTCAAACTTTTTGCGAAGTTTTTCAACTTGTTCCTTTTTTGGTCGATCTACTCGAGGTTTGATGATCGGTTTCTTTGATGCGATTTCAGGTTTTTTAGGGAAAGGTGGTTTTGTTTTTGCCTTTTTTTCAGTTTGTACTTCATCATCATCGCTAGAGCTGCTACTGTTGTCATTCTTTGTTTCATCATTCGAAGTAGAGTTGTCATCTTCCTCGCTGCTCTCTTTGGTTTCATCTACGGTGACGTCATTGCTTTTCTTGCTGCTGCTGTTATTTGCAACTTGACTAACCACTGCCTTGATTTCTTCCAACGATAACTTTATGTTTTTCACGTCAATAACAATTTCTTGTTGAAATCTTTGCATTTTGCTAACATCCATTCTCACAAAGTCCAAATCAGACTTCTTACCCTTCCGAGACTTTTTACCAAATTTTTCAGCTAAGATTGCAACTATTCCACTCACGTCGTCACGAACTCGCTCAATCGTCGCTTCGTCTCTGTCCAACGACAGCAACCGACCAATATTTTTAGAAATGACTTCTGGACTTCCGTGTTTCCTGATGAACTCGTAGTAGTTCGCTTCTTTTCTTCGCCACAACGACTTTTCGAGAAGAAGTAAAGTCCTTGCTCTTTGCATGACAGCATTTGCGATGGCATTCTCATAAAGTCTTTCAAAGGTGTTTGTGAGAAGCGCAATAAGCAAGTTAAGCGTAACGATTGCTCCGACGGCAATAAAACTTGCTGTTAACAATCTGGCCATGAATGGTTTGGTTCTCTCCAAATACTCAAAACGATGACCATTTCCAACCATCATCGAGAAGATGTTGTACAACAGCGGACCAACTTTGTTGTAACCTTCGACGGGCTTCGTTGAGACATTACCAAATGTCATCCAAAATGCACAGGCGAATGGTATACATATGATGATATTGAAAAATCCCCATTTTACTATGTCCCCAACTACACTGCCAAAGATGACGATAAAAGGTCCCGCTCCCTCAAATGGCCTTGCATATTTAAACATCCTTAACCAAAGTACCAGAAGCAGTGGCATTGTTATATAATGATGAACTTCTTTGGATAGATCTGTGCTGTAGTGGAAGAAAACCAAGTGAGATGCGATTGTCGCGAAGATAAGAACGAGTGCGACCCAATCGAAATAGATCCAGTGATCAGAGCCTGACATAAGCGAAAGATTTCGAACAGCTTTTATCTCTGCGTTGACGTATTGAGCTTCTTGTGGCCAACGTGGATGGCAGTACTCAATGTCACGTTCAAGTTCAGAAGCTCGCCATTCTTTCCACCCTTTGTGATCTCGTTGAGTTCTTATCGTATCTATCGCAGAAAGAAAAACCTATTATAGTAGGGTTTTCATTGCTATTGGTCTAGAAAATTTTACATGCTTTGGTGGTTTTGCTTTTTTAAAATGAATAAGGGATGTTATGATGAAATAATACGGGATGTTATGGTGTTTTAAACTAGGTGACTCGACTGTGATGGTGTATATCAATTAACCGGTTGCTATGCCTCAATCAATTGAGCTACGAAGTTAAATTGCCCTAGTACTTTTAAATAGTGTATACGAAATCCTGCTTGGGTGTATTTAGTATTAACCTTGCTCTCTTCGATCTACTTAAAATACTGAAAACACGTTAAAGCTTACTGAGAATTTGTTTTCTTATTTCGTTCAATGTGAGTAAAATTAGGATTCCAACAATGACAATTCTCCAGATATTGGAAACTAGAGGGACGTACAAATCTTTTCCGTGTCTTGGCAAGGTAACTGCAAGGATTGTCCACAATATCGTATATAATAAATTCAAAACAAGATCAAGAATCGCAGCCCATTTGCCGTACATTTGCCATTTCACTCCAATCAAACGTTGCATGACGGGATGCATGATGATATCAAATCTCTCATTCTGAACAGCAATCTCGAGTGGAGTTCTAGCAGGCGTCTTCTTCTCTTTTAGCTTTGTGCTTTCAAGATAGTTGAGAAAATAGAATTCTTTACGATTGACTGTATCCACCGAGTGAAACTGATCCATTGCATCTAAAGCCACTTCAGGGATCTTTTCAATGAGGAGTGACAAGGCAGAGTTTCCCAAGTTGTCGCAAACACCAGCTGGAGCACCTTTAGCAATCAGGAGTTTTGCAGCTTTAGAACGATTCATTTCAGCAGCCACCTGTATTAAAGAAGCCATAAGCCAATACGGTAAAGTAACGTGTTCTGGTATTCAAAATTCACTATAGAAATAACTACCTGTAGTGGAGTTCTATTTTTACTGTCACGTCCGTCAATATCTGCCCCGTATCCTAGCAACATCTGAAGTGAGTTGATGGCGTCATTTTTTGCAGCAAAATGTATTGGAGTCTGTCCTTCGCCAGATGTTTTAATATCAATATCGGCCCCATTCTCTAGAAGAAAATCAACCATTTCGGCGTAATCGACTGCGGCAGCAACGTGAAGTGGTGACCTACCATACTGATCTTGTTGGTTCACATTGGCACCTTAATATCAATGACAGATCGAGTAATTTCGTTTCATTTCTTTAATTTACTTGCATATATTGAATGAAGCAAATTTGCAGTTACAAGATACAGGCTAGCTACAATGTTCTACGGTTCCCGTTTTGACGAAAGAATACACCGTTTATCAGTAAGAAAACTACCCCCAGTGGTGTAGCCAGGGTAGAAAATTTGGGGGGGGGGGTGACCAGTGAGTGGGGAAGCCACAAACTATCTGGAGGGGTCCGGGGATTGGGATTTCTAAGGCTTGGAAACGCCATTTCCCACATTCTGATACGAGCTTTTATAAGTAATCGTTGAGTTACAAATCACAAAATTCTGTCATTATTACATTAGATCAACGAACAATACACGTGAAAATCTCTTTAGATTTACTGATTACTCGTTGCTTACCTAACTTGATCCCCCCTCCTAATATTCCGCTGGATTTAAACATTTCATGAGAGCGGTTTTAAAGACCATTGGGGGGGGGCGACCGCCCCCTGCGCTTGCGAGACGCAACCATGATTGAATTTTCAAATTTCAAGTTCAAATTTGTTACAAAGAACCTTCATAAAGTCTTATATAATAAAAATATATACAATATCTCTTATCTTTAACTGGTAGTTTGTAGTTTAACTATCCCCTGATTGCATTTGCCACTGAACATATTTAGCACATGTCCCTGTTTGCCCTCCGAGTAATTTAGAGTCTCCTTCTGTCAACTCCACTTGCCAGCTATTGAACTTGGGCGCTAGGAGCACTGCATGCGTGTACACCCGACCATGCAGCATTTTTCGTGATTAACTGGATAAGAAACTTTTCGAGAAAAAAAATTGCACGTCTGTGCGGGGCTCTGCAATGCATTAAATAGGTCGCATCAACCTCGCAAGCCAGGCTTTTCTACCTACATATCACATTTGTTCGTACCATGGTTAAGAAGAAATTTCGCGACATCGACATTCCAAGACCTGGCTACTTCATGAAACACTGTCTGACCTGTCTTGTCTGCACTGTTCACATCCGCACCATTTTTGAATAAAGATTCGACAAAATCGAAGTCAAATGTGTCTTTAGTACTGTTGGAGTTTGCCAATGATGCCAGATAATGAAGTAGAGCACGATTTCTGACATTCTGAGCTTCTTTGCCTTCAGTCATCTCACTTTCTGCAACTTCACCCTCAAGAACGGCGTGCATTGGTTCGTTTGCTCTACTAGTACCTGCAATGAAGTCAGGGAATCTATAAAATACGTGCCGCTGACCCACCTCATATAAAAAAGGTCCCATGCAAAACGCGCGTGGAATCAGGGAACTAAAGTTAAAGAGAACAAATATAATCCCGATCCTCATTTCCCATCGGACAATTTCTCAAGGGGTGTCGTTTTTATTTTCGTTTTATGATGTATAAGAACAGGTGGACTATTGTCATGCAATGTTTTCCAGTCACGTCTAGAAACTCAGTTGATTGTTTATATAGCAACAGTCAGCAGATGTTTTAAAGGTGTTTTCATCATCTCTAAATCATCTCTCTTGACGAACTCATCTATATATCAATATCTTGTTGAACTTGTGTTAATATAAATGTATTTGTGTATATTAAGACGAAAAATGTTTTCCATTAGTTTTTAAATGATAAAAATGAGAGTAAATTATACAGAAACACATTCCCTCTCGGACTTGTTGGTCCATAAAGTCCAGATGTTATAATTAATCACTCACAACGCCTTTTAAAATTGCGCAGTGTATACGCACATTTCTTTAGTAAACTATGAATTGTACCCATCCTATATATTCCTAATATCTCATGCATCTATTAACCTGGTATTTCTTTCAATAGCATCTCCTCAAAAAGTTTTTTCTTCTCCATATATTGATTTCGTCTTGGATCTAAGAGTACTACTTCGTCTTCTCCAGGGTCATCAGCCATTTTTTTATTTTCTAGCACAAAAATATGTGAATTATTGTCACTATATTTAATGAAATATATACATCTATAGAGAATGAGAATATATAGTTTATAGCATGAAGCATTTAGAAAAGCATTTTGGTGCGCATAGCTTTTCATTATTAATTCTGTTTCGAATTATGCTGGCGCATATGGAGAGTTGGCAAATCATCCCGTATGCATTTTTATATCAGTTCTTTCTCTAAATCCATTGTAAAATACTGTTTCAAGTGATTGAATATTCGTAGGCAATTGTAATGAGTTCTTGGCCTGGCCTAGTTATTGGGCAGTGTTTCCCTGTTTGGTAAGTCAGTTATTATAATGAGAGGCCATGCAAATAAATTGGATATAGGTCGAAATATATATGCTCAGGCTTACCTTATGACCTCAACAACTTGTTATTCAGAGTATTTGATAAAGATAGTCTGTTATCACTGACTGCGATTATACTGAACTGTCGTCACTCACAACTGACCAAATGTGAAGCCGGCCAACTGGCGATTGCCAAGACCAGCATAAGCTTTTTCAGCCTTTTGAAATAATTTTTAGGATGCACGTAGTCTTTATTCAGCACTTTAAACACTGTACACAAAAGCCACGAATGACGTGCTAACGCCGTTGTCATGCAGTTTCAAGTTTTGTTTTCCTTTTTTGTCGTACGACCTGCACCTGCCGTTACACTACCATTTTGTTTTCATTTTTTGCACTTTTTTCCTTAACGTTTTTTGCTATCGTTATTGCTACATTCTATCACTTTGGTTGCCCAGAAAATTTACGTGTTCAGCCCAGTTCGAACTGAATTATACTGAGAGCTCGTTTATGAAAAGTTATTTAAATTGTAACGTTATATATATGTTCGTGGATTAAAATGCCAGGTCCTTTTCCAAGTTATGAACAATGGTTCGTAACTTGGAAAAAGATTTATCTACAGACTACAGCGGGAATTGAGAAGGAAACTGCAGCTAGACATGGATGATTTCCTATAACTTCAGGATGTATATGCATGTTTAATATCTTTCAAGGCTGAGATATTCACTAAGAGAGATGGGTCGAAGTTCATCATGACAAGAGACTATTTAATGATAGGAGTTTTGGCAACTGGTGTAGTGATAGTATCTTTGCATGTGTGGGGGCCACGTCAGAGGATACTGAGAGTTGGAAATACCAAACAGGCTTGGTTGGGTCCAAAATTTGTATAGCGGGAGTAAATTGTAAGGCTGGTAAGGCTACTGCAGTGCCTGTGAATTCGGGCATAATCTTTATATAAATCGTCAAAGTTTTCGAAACTGTAACTGTTGGCGCAGGGGATAATTGGATATTTCATATTTGTCAATGCCTATATTTATTTCAGGAACAATTGCTAAATGTAGAACTTAAAAACACAGTAAATTAATTCGATGAATTCTATAAGTTTTTTTATATGGAAGTTCAGGCTCGAGGTGGAAGTTAAATTTCTAATTCTCATTAGCTGCAATGGGTAACCTAATCTACTACAGGAAATTATGCGTTCTTAATATACTTCTTTATTGACTTTCTTGTTCTCTTCGTTGACAGTCTAACGACGTCGACATATACGTATTCCAAAGGCCAATATTGCATGAAGAATAACATATTTCAGTAAGTGCCATCAATAAATAATTCGAATTTTATAATGAAAGCGTTCACGATCAAAGCAAAGGTTGCTGTTCACATTTTGTTAAGAATTCAGACGAGGCAATTACATCAATACCCATATTGTAGTCATATATAGTCATAAATCTCGTCAAGCCACTATGATATGTTCTCTGCAATATTGATTGGTAGGGGAATCCGGGAATGAGGGGAACTGGAGAATACGCCTAGTGCCACCATCGCCATTTATGTAAATTAGTTACTAGTATTGGGTATTTTTTCAACAAGTCTAGTTAGAGAATTGTGTTTTCTAGCCCCAATCATTAGCTTATGGCAAAAAAGGAACTAAACGTTTTCTGGTGAAACGCTCGCTAACGGTTGCTTGTCGTTTGCTCTCAACTCATTTTCAGCCATTAAATCTTACATGCATGTATTCAATTGATCCATGAAACGTTGATAGTTCTATTTACGTGGGAGCTAAGGACTGGAATTGATTAGCGAAAGAAAAGATTAATTTCACATTTAAGAGCATTAATGAAACGTTTGCAGATAAAATCGACGGCACATGCAACATTTCGATTTTAACTTGTTTCAGTTTTGAAGGTTCAAAAATAACAAAGATCATAAATTAAAGTTGTGAATACAATGTTTATGCGAAGAACCATTAAACAGGGGGGAACATTTTCCCATCCACTTTTTATTTAACGGGCTCTTGATAATTTCCGACATATTTTTTGTGGTAAGTGACATGCGCAAATTGTCAACACGACGAACGAGGAAGGAAAAACTACAATTTTGATGTAAATATTTTTCGAAACTGGCCATCCTCAATTTTCTTGTTGCGCCTTTGTATTTGACATTTCAAGTTTCCAGCTGTAATATGCCTAAACCATAATTAAAGTTAGACGTTACGCCAAACATTACAACAATCAGTGAAATTCACTTGTATCCAATTTCACGATACAGGGACTAATATTTTATCCAAGACAACATGATTCATTGTCTATCATAAAATCAATAATAATTGGAAGAATCTTAAGATGAAGTTTGCATAACCTATATAAGTTCGAGGAGCATTTTGAAACGCATTTACTGAGCAACACAAGAACGCATAATGAAACCACAACAATTCAAATGAATATTATCTGTTCGTTTGTTTCGCTAAAAAAAATTGTCAATTTTGATGAAGGTATTTAAAATAGTTAATTACCAAAATTGGAGTGAACGGAAGAAATGTTGTTTTGATAGGCTGTGACTTATTAGAACCCCAGGGGATTGAAATTCTATGTCAATATATTCTATTTTCGAATTCATTAGCATACGCAATATTAAGTTTACATAATTGCATTTAATCTGTTTAATAATGAAATGCTTTCAATAAGGAATAATTTAAAAAGCGCATGTGCACATATCGTTTGTCTTGAAAGTATTTATATTGTAAAGCACGTCTAGCATCATTGTCAACGATTCTTGTAGACAACACAACTTTGAAGTTAACCATGGCTTTCCCAACATACATCAAAGATGAAGGTGATATGGATTTTGGTACAGAGTGCCCAATATTTCCACCGAATTGTCGTTACAAAGTCGCTTCTGTTACTATCAACGGTAGAAGCATTACAACATTATTGACCGAAGATGAAGAATTGTTATGCTTTCCTCAACTGGTCGATTACTTCTTGAAAGACCATGTGGCAGGCATGCCTACTATTTATGCTAAAGTAAAGCGAATGGGTATCATTGCAAGAAGCTGCAATCTCGATCAAGTTCGACTCATGCGAAGCATGGGAGCCATAGGGCCGGTTGTAAATCGCTGTAAACTTATCACGATGGATGATTTCAAGAGACTTTACGAAGATTGTCTCTTGTTTAGGTATGTGTGACTGTCGGTTAGTTTGTCAGCCTGATTTCACGCATGACTTACAGGTCAAAAGTAAGCGGCCGCCGTGACCATCGCGCGTCTTTCATGTCTTTTGTGTTGTCTTCCGAAATTATAAACATTATAAAGACTCTAGACATATTGAATAATATATTTGATTTAGACAATATTGTCTTTTCACTTTCTCTTAGCGCTAATCAATCTAGAAAACATGTTTGCGGCGATGTGATTGAAAATTGACACTGAATTCCAGCTTATTTTTTGTTTGTTCCTGATGTTCAGCTCTGGTTTGGAAAAACAGAAATAAGTTTACATTGTCAAAACTTTATTATTAAAAACGGCGGGCTACCATTCAGCAATGTCCGCAGTTTGTGATTTAGCTATGCCCCATGCATTGAGTCGACGAGTAAGACTAACGGGAACAGCGAGCGTTTTTAGTATATATAAATATTTCATCCTTATAGCCGCATATCATCATATATTTTGCTAAGTCAGTCTAATATTGAACTCCATTCTTGCCGCTTGAAGTATGTATCGGGTTACAATGAATTATTTAACTTCAAAATGACAAATGCCAAAATGGAAATTTATGATTTATTGAGGTAATTAGGTTTCGTGCTTTTCGCCGCTCCATCACATCATGTGCAAGGGCTGTTTTTTGACAAAATCAAGTGCAAATCAGAGCTAGCGACATGAATGTCTTAATGATATATGACGATTTATTTATTATCAAAGCGGTTAGATTATATTGGTTAAAGCTTTTTAATGTTAAGCAGATGTGAATGGTTACTTGTGGGAAAAAGCTGGTACTGCGATCAAAAATCTTCGAGTTCTCCGTAGTTTGGATATTTGTGAATCAAAGGCTTTACTGAGGATGATTTTTAATATCCTCCCAGCCGGTGTTGACAAATATTTGAAAAGTGCTTTATTATTGTGGTGAAGAGAATTAATAAATATCTTCATGCTAATTGGCTTTGTTATATATAGAAATATTTTACATGATTATAATCTATATAATGGAATTTTTTCATCCTACTTCTGTCGGTTCATATTTTGTATATCCAGCGAGAGAAGCCTGAAATTAGCCTTGATATCATTCGAAGTACCGATAAAAAGGTCTTTCGGTTCTCATTGTATGCAGGGGGGAGATATTTATTTGAAGTATCGGCCATCATTTAATGACGGCAAATATAAAGTATTAATGGATTTTGACGCAGGTGAAGGGTCAGCTATATGGCGCCTCATTGGCACGTTCTTGTTATTCCTTCAATCTTTAAGAAACCTAATTTATTTTTTTTACTGTCGCTTCGAAAAAATACTGGTTGTCTGGCCAAAAGAGGGTAAATAAGACAAAGTAATAATATTGAAGTTATTCACTTAACCAAAGTGTTGTCTCGAACCTACCCTAAATACCTTCCAGATATGCTGAAGTTAATATATTTGTTGTGTCAAAGACAAAGACAAAGATGCCGATACGGCGATAGTCTATTTTTCGAGACATATGATTTATTGTGAATATGATCATCATTTATTCATTCATTAAAATGCCTTTTTTGTTAAGGAGACTAATTGCCGGTTATTGCCAAAGTCGATACCCTTGTAATGAGAAATTAATCTTCGTCTTATTTGGGAATACACTATAATGTCAGTATATATATCATATAAATTTGCAAGAAGAAACTGTCATGCATAAACGACTCTCGGTCAAATACATGTCAACCAAAACTGGTAACTAAATATATTAGCCTTTCCATGTGAGTACAACAAGTACAATTAAATATCAAAACTGTCTAAAATTTTGTATTTTCCATTAGTTCTCTCGGTTTCTCTCGAGGCTTTTTCGGATACTTATAGTGACCTATAGTTCACATTTGGTCGAAAGCTACTTCAAGTCGGCTACTCCCATTTTGTCCACCAAGTTAGTCGGCAATTCGTAAACGTTTAATGGAAACCAGACCTAATTTCTAAAACCGTCATTAATAGAATATTGTCTGGAATAAGACGTCTCCCTTTCCTTCAACTAATTGGGACCTTCATAATTAAACTGCATTAAAACGGTATTGTTGTTCTTGCATCATTCCGTTTCAGTTACAAATCATATATCACATTTCTTATATACTAAAGAAAGAAAACTGGCCATTTGGGTTCCATAATATATGGTATAACTGGTTAAAGTAACGTTCTCGCGACGCAAATAATAGTTAATTATATCACTTCCCCTCCCTATGGCGCGTGACTGGGAGGCGACTCTGTTATTGTACTTTCAAGCTTGATTCACATTCGTCCTTAACATTCGCGATTCTGATTGTCTATTATACATAAAATTCTTTGTCCCTCGGAAAATAATACATTAAGAATGGATCCCTGACTGTTATAAGCCTGCTTGTCCAAGGTCAGTGGTTACATATGCTTGTCACCGACAGTGCATTGCAGTTGCCCAAGATCGGTGATCACCATATATGCATGTCACCGACAGTACATTGCAGTTGCCCAAGGTCGGTGGTCACTGAATTTTATTATCTGAAATTTTTTTCGTCATCGACCACGCCAGACAGATACATCGCCGACTGTCTGCATAATATCATTATTTCCTGGATTAAGCGACTATATAGAACTATTGAACACAACGGGTGCACCGCTACATGCAACGAATGAACGAAAACAATGTCCACTGTGGCCTTAGGATAAAGTCTGCATGAGTCGCAAGAATAGATTATTTCATTATTATACATGTCTGTGGTTCAGCTCTAGTGCGACTAGTTAGTGTGAAAACTTTCAAATTATTCTTAGCAATCATGAATTTTTTCCTTTCCTTTATATACAAAGTTTCAAAATAGCTTTATCCCTCTCAGTCTGCACATTATATCGTCTGCACTTGAGATGATCTTATTTAAACTTGAATTTTTCCACCTACATGAATGTATAGTTATTATGTATGTTAGTTAGCTATAATAGCTATATGTTAGATAGTTGTAATGAGTAACGCAAATCTTTTATATTTTTTCAAAGAGGGCCTGGTCGTCGTAAACGTGTTTCCAGTGACGCAAGTAATTGCTGCACACCAGTGAAGATCATCATTAAACGTCCATACCTCGAAGAAAATGACGATGCTGAAGGATCCCTTGGTGTCGGAAGGAAACCTGAAGAAGAAATGATTGTGAACGTGTCTTCGCCATTAGGAAACCAAGGCAGTTACTTTTCCAGCTCAAGTGATTTTAATAAATCAAACGATGGAAATGTCATGTCATATCGTCGCTCAAATGGCTATTCACCCACTGAAGACAAGCTTGGTTTTCCATCTATGATCTACACAACATTTCCTCATCAAGCTCCTGGGGCAGTTACATTGACACAGACCTTTGATAATAGACTTTCTACCACAACATCACCTAAAACAACTTTGATCCAACCAATAAACGGGGAAATGTCACCTACAGAAGGAACGTTTGAGAATCAAGTAAAATCGGACAACCAACCACTGATGAACGAAAGCCCGATTGAAGAAGACGCGTGTTTAAATGATCAATCTTCAAGTAATAACAGGCTTGAAAATGGTATTTCCTCTCAGGACTCTGTGCCCACGACTCCTAACAGCACATCATCTGTAATATCAACAGGTAAAAATACTGCAGGCCTATATGCCATTACAAAATATAGAAAAGAATAGTGGCACAGCCGTAACTCACCATCATGCAGGTATAACGAATGAAAGTAGATTTAAAATCTAATGAATTCTCATCTGGTGATTAGATAGAATGAAACAAAAGAAACAACGTTGCTAGTTACCATTCTCTAACACCTGTTTTAATGATTGAATTTCCCTTGTGTTAAAGTTTTTTCAAACCAGAAAATGCGTTGAATTTTTACCATGCATGGAATGGAGTTGATTTCACCAGAATAGTTGCGTGGACAATTGACCTACTTAATTCTTGCTTACTCTCTAAAGGGTGGAAGGGTCTTTAACTTTTCCGGTTACTGATTCCTTCATTCGTTGATCTGTATTTGTAATAGACCCGCCAAAGACAAGTCCAAGCAGTATTGGTGTTGTTAAAGCTGCTGCCACCAACGTCATATTTACACATGTTAATGGGGGAAGTTCAAACTATAGTCCCCGGTATTCAAACAGATGCAACTCTCAAAGTGGAAATCTTCCTGTTATAACTTCGAATAATGTAAGTAACATTTAGGGCCGTAGCTAGACCACTTAACTGTGGGAACAAAGCATACAGACGAAATCAGTTGGGCATAACATGAATATATGAATATGCACCCCTTCCCCTCCCCTAATCAGGCTTCTAGCTACGGCCCTGGTAACATTTCATGTTCGGGATTCCATCGTATCTATCTATATACGTACATCTCTAGTACCTAATGTTTCAATATTGCCTATAATTTGCTATTTATCGCAGTTAACTACGGCGAGAATAGTTAATAATAAAGATTCTACTAATTCTTCTAGATGAGACAACGTGAAAGAATGACGTCATCAGGTAGGTTTAGAACGAATGCCATTTTTGTTACAAATTACAGAGAAGGTGTGCTGAAATAGTAAATAAACTTTAGCTATATAAATGATGTATAGTACGTTTTCACCTTACTTTCACTCTATTGCTTAATAATTAATAAAGATTTAACCTATAATTTTTGACAACTTCGCTTCAAATGTAGTACAACAACTGCTGAAAATAGACGAGAAGAAGACGAAAGAAGGCAGTTGTTTATACCACATTTGAAGCGAAGTTGCCTGAAGACTCTGCCACTACACTCCCTGGTTATATTGGAATATAATTTTTTACAATGCTTTTTAATTTTTTCCTTTCAATGTCTTTGTTATAGAAACGTTGCTTGGAAACATACAGGGATTACTTAAAGTAACCAGTGACAATGTGCGCATGGTGGAACGACAGATGCTGGTCGACAGAGGTACTATATATGCTACAGTTAATATCTGATTTCATTCAATATATTCAATATATTCAATGTATAGCCCCGAATGGATAGAAACAGTCCATTATTCTGTATTCAAAGGGAATAATATTCATTTCTCTTACGCAGACGAGTTTTCAAAAGAATTCCAAAAGGAATACGAAGGAAGAGTAAAAGCAACAAAGATGATCACAGATTTGCAGAAAGATAAAAGTAAGCAAAATCAACTTCACATTTGTGTTTTAATTCTTCAAACAGTAATGAAAAGCGATGCGGTTTGTTAGGTCTTCACATTGCTGGATTTTTGTATGGTACAAGTTCTCGATCTCGATCAAATTGAAATCTTCCCCTAGATCCAAGAAACTGGAAATTTATTTATTATCTATCTATTATAAACACCGATGATTTATTTACGAGAAGACAAACAGTATATTGTACTTAGATACGAAGGAAGAATAAGTAGTGATTAATTATATGATATTTATAAGAAATAGAAAATATTCTCCATCGCTTCGCTTGTCAAGTTCGGCGTGAAAAGTCCCGTGTTTCTATACAGTTATAGAAACACGCTTTTTGGCCAATCAGCAAGCGCGTACTATAAATGTTATAACAAAAAACTAATGTTGCATGCGTGTGAATCTTAATTGACCATACAGGTGAATTGTGATGATTTTGTGTACCGTTCCAAAATATTGAGATCGTGATAGGAAATCTATTCTATCATATATTTAGGTATCTTACAGAGAAAGATACGCAGATTGAAGAAAACAACTCGTAGACTAAACAACCATTATCAAGGTATTATTGAATGCTCAAATTTGATGCTTCACAAAAGTAACAACAGTTTTTGTCATGATCAAATATCAGTAACAACAATGAATTTACTTGATGTTACTCTAAGTGATGTTTGGACTACTATAAATTTCGACTCCACCGCCATCAAAACAAACGCAAAAATTTGAGATAATATATACACAACGATGTAATTATTATATATTGCTGTGTATTTTTTGAGGAGTATTTTTATAGGTCAGCCATTCTCTTTGTTTGCATGTGCTGATATAAGTAGGATCTTATAGATCTATATATGTTTATGGTCAAACTGCATGAGCTATACAATATACATTATTTTTTCAGCTGCAGAACAACGATGTTCGTCATTAAACCGAGAATTGCAAGAATCTTCTTATGCCTCATTACGGGAACAAAATGGTTAGTGCCTTTTGCACAATAATTTTACAGAAATTACAATTGAAATCCAAAAAAATTGCAACCGAAATCCGAAAAGAACCGTAGTATTTAGTTCACAGGAGCTGTGAACGTTCATTCCTCGAATTTAGAATCCCTGCTTCAAATGTTCAGTTGATTTACGTGATTTTAAATACTGCAGTTTTTGCATTTTCTGAAGTCAGAACTATTTTTGAAATAGAAATGTTACAAAATGAGCTCGAAAAAGAAAGACTTGCCAGGATTGATGCAGAAAAGAAACTGGAAGGTAATCTGATCACGTCGACGCCCTAAAGCATTTCACTATTCAACATAGTTATACGCTTGAAATGTTTTTGTGATATTACAACAATAAAAATGGCCTTTGTTTTTTGTTTAGAAGCGCGCGGTGGAATACAGAATTTTGTTCACAATTTTTTCGAAAATCCAGAGCAAAATGGTGGAGTTATGGTTCCCGTGTAAAAAGTTAAGACATGATATAGAAATATAGTGCACCTTCGTTACATAGTTGACACAAGATAATGCTGACTTGGCGGGCCTTTTGTCATGTCATAATTGTACTTGCTTCAAGTAGAAGCACATATAAAGAAAAAAGTCGCGGTATATCTGCAAAAATGCAAACGCGCGGTTGCATATTATTGGCTATATTGTGGTAACAGAAAGAGTGCAAACTATACTACAGGTTGTGTTAAAAAGCTGCCTCGCGTGTTATTTACCTTTCAAGTATATACTTTAGTACACTGAGTTATATGCTTTTCGTGGAAATGATACTGCGTATATATCATGATAATTCATGGGTATATCATGATAATTCTATGATTGCAGTTGAAGGCATTGGCGCCTGGAAGAAATATCCAGCGCATTAAAAATTTGAAATATCCAGGCTGGAGAATTTTTTTGTGATAGACTCGAAATCAGAATTTTTGTTTTCGGTGGTCAGGTCGTTTCCGCGTGTCTATCAATCTGGGTTTTTTCGCCTCCTTGCGACGTCCCTTGTTTGCAAGATTATGTTTTTACGGTTGCGACAATACAAGCAGCTAAAACTGTCAATATTGTATATATATAGACTAACTAAAAACAGATATATGTATATATCTATATGTATATGAATACATCTTTGTACAATTTTAGTTTTATACATTTAAAATATAATTTATGCATGTATTTTTTATTCATGTCACTGTCACTATTCTCAGAATTTCACAGTTTTTTGCGTAGCCTGCGCCGCAGAGTCGCAGACCCATGCCCGAAATAGAAAGGCGGGGACGCCATATTCCGTTTATGCGTAGACTAGTTTTGCGAAGATCTTACAGAAAAGACGACTCAATAATATCATCCTTGCCCTTGGCATCGAACTCGTGCGTCTTCCATCTGCGGATAGTTTTACAATTTTTAAGACTCGTTTTCTAAAGCCGTGATATATAGCCGAGGACGAGGTTTAAAATGCATTGTATTAGTTTGCATAATAAAAAAGTATGTGCTGGAAATTCTGCAAAGAACGATTGTTCTCTCAACTACCTTATTGAAATAAACCATGGGCTCGGAAAAGCTTTTCCGGTGATTTTGAGGCCAAATTGCCAAAACTAAATTCTTCCGCAAACGAGGGTGACACCTGTCTCAAGCCTAACGTTAACGTCGTCATTAAAAAAATCTCATTGATGCAAAATCTGCTGTGAATCATTACGTACCGCAATTTTTCAAGAACTATGATGGATGAGTTTTGCTCTCGGCGGTTGCTGGATGTTATTTAATGTAGTGTTATTTCCTTGATACATACGTATAATGCTCAGGGGTTTTTTGAATTTTTAGAAAATATTCTCAGCGGCAAAGTTTCGCAACACAACAAATACCTTAATTAACTGTTGTTGCTGCTTTAAGGTTTAGTTGTGTGAATGAATTATTGCGTTTAGCTTGGTTTTAAACTTAAACGTGCATGAAAGAACGCGCAATGTAAATATGCCCTAAGGAAAATACCAGAACCCGGCAAGAAATTGAATTTTTCCAGTATATGCGTTTATTTTATAATGTTAATTCGAGTGTCAATTCAATTGTCCGTAAATGAAGTATCGCAAAAAATTTTGCAGGTGTTCGGGTCCAGAAACTAAATACTTCACAGCTTAGACTGCTTTTAATAGTTTTAAAATAATTTCCAACTTTCAGTTTTTTGTGGAGAAATTGTAAATGGAAGCGCAAGAGGAGAATGCACGTGAAAATCAACAGACACCGTCACGTTCAAACTGGGGTGCTGTCAAGGTAGTAGAGGTCTCAATGTAGAATTTAGTTATATTTATAGTATAAACTATAAAGGTCTTGAAATATACAGTAAACAACATAAATACAATAATAGGAAGGACTGAAGTATCGATAGGCATATTATCGGTTCTAGCTTGCTTAATTAAAAATGTGGTTACATTGATACAAGCTAACTTTAACATCAGGAGAAAAAAGACCAATAAGACCTATTCAACGATGGAACAATAAGACCTATTCCGACCCTAGTATCAATAATATAAACATGTTCATGATTGGATTTCTAAAGCAAAAGTTATTAACCTTAAGTTATTAATGTTTATACCTTCTTATAGCGAGTTTTACTCCATTACTTTGGTAGAAAGTAGCAATTTCAATGCAAAAAGCCATAGTCAAAGACCAGGGACTATATTAAACCTCAGAGATGGGAAATCTTGACCATTCAGAATGTGGAAAAATTAATAGCCATTTGTACCTGTATACTGGCCTTACCAGGGATTGCTTCATTACAAGTGTCTGTGCACTTGTGAAGTTAATAAATCAATGTTCAGGTTATAGGATTTGTTAAAAGTTTACATCTTAAGTATATTTGTCTATTACTTGTCTAGACCAATGTAACATTTTTCCGTAATACTACATTTTTAGACGTTCATCATTGAAAGTAAAATTGATTCTTTATTATGGATAACAAGAATATGCACAGTTGTGAATGTCATATGGTATTTGATACCCCTAATAAGGTATATATTCTATATATATCTATCTTTAAATATATGCTATAGAGTTGTTTATAAATACTGGTTGGCGGCAAAGGGTTATCACATTCTGCATGTAAACTTCTTGTTTTCTTTTTGTTTTTCAGTCCGTTTTCAAGTTACTCATGCTATAGAAGAGCTCTTATATGCAATGCAGCTGTTTCCGCATTGCGACTTCATCAACGGTTACCGGTTGGTTACAAAGGACTATTAAATATTCTTGGGCCGGTTGTTTGAAAGGCGCTTAGCTTAAATGGTGGATGAGTTCAAAATGAAACACAAAATTATCTATTTATTGAACAATTAGACTGAAATATTTCGATGTAAATAGTTTAATTTTCAATGGAAGTGCATATTTAATGCAAAAAATGTAGGTTCAGTCATTCACAAGACATAGGAGAGTATTTTTAAACTTTGGCCTTTCCACCGTTTAAGCTAAGTTTACACCTTTTGAACAATCGCCCCCTGCATGTTAACTTCTAGTCAGCTTTTTCAGACTAGGGTCATTTGGGTAAATGACTATATGTTTAATACTATATTATTCTGGTGTTCCAGTCCCATATCACATATAAACATAGCCTCATTATCATAGCAAACACCTTTGGTATTCATCTAATTTTTTACCATAAAAATTAAAAATAATTTTGTGTCCTCAACATACCCCTAAAGTGTATCCTACATGACTTCAACCACAGAAAATAACTTTTACTGATTTTCTGAGAACATATTTGTTCAAGTTATTGTATTTTTGTTTTGCTATCCACATGTATACTTTGTGCACTAATCATTTAATCATTTCTGTTACTTTAGAATTTTCGTTTCACAAGAGAATATCTTGGTCAACTATTGTTAGAAGATAGTTGTCACTACCTTATATATAGTTTGATGTTTCTTTATTGTGCCTACCCTCTTACTCGTATCCTTTTCATGCTTTATTCATTCAGAATGTATAAAACTGACCCCAGAAAATACAGTATGATACGAAATCTTCAGGATTTGCCCTACTAACATGCGTGCATGTAATTTGCGATGATGTTTGTGGTGTACCAACTACCAAGTCTTGCAGATCTTTACAATAACTGAAAAAGTCTGTGTTATGAAGTTGTTTGCAGAAAAAGTATGCTTATTACTGGATTCACATGCATGTTTATAGATAAATGCACACGTGCAAACGGACGTGTTTTCTTTAACAACTTGAAAAAAGCTGCCTTAATTCCGTTGGGGGTGTTTGCTCTACTTCATACCTCGTCATTTAGTAAGAAGTTACTTGATGTAAGTTATGTTAAAACATGCCTGGATATTAATTATAATAATACACGAAATTTAGGGGTTGCCCATTTTTACGCAGTAAAAATGTTCTAGATTTGGTCGAGAAAGAAGTTGCGTTTTATGCGATCTGGTCATGCAAATCTGTAATGTTCAAATCCCTGTGTGCTTTATTAAATTATACATGAGAATCCTATCATGCATCCACACTCTTTTAACTTTTCTTTTCCAAAAAGGTTTTAGGTACAGCTGGGGTATTTGGGATGGCACTTGTCAGGTAATTACTGCACTTGAATTGTTTTGAATGCGTGAAACCATTTTTATTTGGAAAAAATATATATATCTATATTTGCTATAGCAAATCAGTATTGATGTATATCAAAACGTCTCTTAATGTTCTGTAGTTGGATAAGAAAAGGTGTTGAAAAACTTCAAGGCAATCAAATTGCATTGTTGCGTTTTATTGCATCGACGGAGATTATGCTAATGCCATTAACAGTCGTTTTAGTAATAAGGTAAGAGCAATCAGAAAAGTTCAAAAGTCGATGATTCAAGAGATTACGAGAGGAAGGCTGAAAAGGCAATAAGTGCAGCTGCTTCTTTTGCCTTTTACCAGCTGAGCACTGAAGGATGCCCGAATAAGTGTGCGTTAGACAACGCTAGAAATGCAGTCAAGGATTTAAGAATAGTAAACCTATAAGGGTCTAACGAGACGCCCCAGACACCAGAAGCAAACACGAAGAGACGAGGTTCAACTTCCCAAGTTTTGCAAACAATTTCTATTATGCGTTAATTAGTCGCAGGCATATTTCTTACATACTATAATAATGTAGATGTAGGTGAACTGTGCATGTCATCGGCATCGAGTGCACAAAATTAAGAAGTTTTGAATCTTTTTCATGCGTCCGACCATTTTTTTTTGTTTTTTATACAGTGGCGTTGCTGGTCTGTTACTGCCGTTCGTCTATTATAAATTTTTGACATTTCGATACGCCTCGAGGAGGAACCCATATTCAAGGTATCAAAATATATATATCATCAAAATTGCAAACTCAGTTTGAATCAATGAACATTGAACATGTTTTAAAAATATTTACAAATGTTTACAATTGCATCCCATATGATATATTCAATCATATACTGCATTCGTATAATAAGAGCTTACACATCTAATAAGAATAAATTGTCGCTATATAACTGAGCAAGATCGCGTATATAGTATTGGGGCATGTGTAAGGGCTAGCATGCAGAGGGGATCACGAATGCTTTCCTTGGGATGTTAGGCTATTATACGTATATACACCTGCACCTTGTCCTGGAGTAGAATGAATGCAAACGAAATGCAACCACAATGCAGTCGGAATTACCAGGGATTCTCATGATAGAGATCTATCATCTACCCTGGTAACTGCACTCACTCGACTTCAGGACAAGGTGCTGGTGCATATAATCTGGTAACTAAGAACACCTGTTACCTGAACATGTATTCAGCACAATATATTACATGTAATTACAATATATTACATATTACAATATATTACATTACATATGCATTTGGTCAATATACCTGAGCAAGTTGAAAATGCATGTAGAAAAAACATGCGGCGGTAGAAGTACAAGCGTATTTTATGCAAGAGTGATGTAACGATTGTATATTATTTATTACTTGGGATGAGTTTCGATTTTGATAAAAATTTATTATTTTTTTCAGAATGTTATTTGGTGAATTTCGTTTGGTTTTTCAACATTTAGCGATGCATGAAAGATGTCCGAATTTTATTCGTAATATAATATTTTCGTTTATTCGCTTTATATCAAATATGGCACCGGCTGTGGCAACAACGACAAACACCGGTACGACTAATTAACATTGTTGACGGAGTTGAATTAAACAGTAAGATTTTAATGAAACATCTGTAAGTATTAGGGACCAAGCTCGTTTCTCGCTAGCTTTGGGTTGATCAATCCGACCTGGTCAAACACAAAGAATACGTCGGCGATGTTTACAAATAAAATGTTAATTCATGCATTGGGTGTTACTTGAGTTTGACACAGAATGGTGAAAAACAAATAACAATGCTTCCCCAAAAATAAAAGCCCCACATGTCTCTTCTGAATTTACAATATGACGTGACATTTGCATGTGCTATATCACGGTCCGATAGTATTTGTTTATTTTCGAATGCAACATATATTGTTTTGTTATAGAGGCTATATTATAGTTTATTTTGGAAAGCATTAATACAGCCGGTAATGCATGCGGGCATAATTTCTAATTAATATGAATAGATTCCTGCGTTGGTTGCTGTAGAGCTGTTCATTCCAGAGAATTGTGGAAAATGTTTTTCATGTTGTTCAACATTTAGTTCTTGTAACTGGTCGGGTTGAAGTGTTGATACGCCTAGGTAAATATAGGGAGTACAGAAATTAAATGTGCCTGGGTGAATAACGAGTTTTAAGGAAATTTCATATCTCTGAGGATTTCTAATATTACAAAAAAATCTCTTTACGAACTACATTCCAAAACTTACGAAGAACTGCATGTTCTCGCATTTGGTTACTTCATGAAATAACGGTCGAAACGATAGAACTATGAAACAGAAATATGGTTAAATAATATGAAATTATTGCTTTAAATACGAACCTTCAGTTTCTGCTGTTGTTAGTTGTAATCTCTCGAAATTCTGGGAAGTTTCATCAGTAGCATTAGTCTGGTAACTTTGAGCAGTATCGAAGGTTGGTGGTTTTCTTATGCTTCGTTCTCCTAGTGATGGTTTTATGCCGTATCTTCCTAAATTTTTGGAATATAAAAACGTCAATATCAATCCACTATAATGTAACCAAAGCAAAGAACCCGGCAGTAATACAAATTTCAATATACCAGGATCACCCATTCGCTCTTGCTTCCGACGTTCAACGTGTTTATTGATAATCAGTTCAGCCTATAAGTATAATCAATATTGAATTTTGTCGGCAGGGTCATGCAGCGTTCATATAACAAATTTCTCTCCATAGTTATAAAAGATACACATGACTCGACTCAAGTAATTTACAGGTGGATCACAGCAGCATGCAATGAGAAGTTAAACTTTTCTAAAGTGAAATGCAATTTTAGTATATTTTACCTTTTGGGTACATGTAATTTTATCAGGTTCTGTACAAAGTTCAGAGTTGGAAATATTATTCTTCACTGACTATAAAAATTAAATGAAAGAGTTGCCGAGTACACAATACAAAATATTTAAAATGTAGTTGTATTTGTGTCGAATATAATAAGTTGTACACTAATGAGAATACACATTTAAAATATTTTTTCATACAACACCTGAGACGCTGTCGAGCGAGCGTGCAAAGGAAGTGTATTCTGGTAACTAAAATCTGTAAAATCAACGTCATTTGCTTGAACTGTTTTCAAACTAAAATTGAGAGGATAATAATGATAATTAATCAGACACTACAGATTACAGACACTGTAATGCTTTCATAGTAAACCCTCATCTAGCACATACGGTATCTTAGTTCTCATATGGGAAGGAACTAATTTTTACAACAATTGTCACAACAATGTGAACAACGCGAGAATCTACGTTTTTTAGCAATTAGAAACTGACGGCGCAAGACGACGTTAAAATGACATGAGGTTTAACCAGTGGATTTTACTAATGCTGGAATTAGTACGCGGAATTAACCAGTTTCCGAAGTTGCAGTAGAAGACTGGTGATAATAAGGTTGACAAGGTTGCAAAAAACGTAAATGAGAAAAAAAATCCTCCCCAAAACATCCCCATGAACATCGTCAATATCACTATCACCAGTCCTCGACTGTAACTTTGGTGTGCTTCGGTCGACCAGGTGGTTAAAAAAAATCTGGGACAGCGGAGACACTAGTTCATCAATCACTGTAACTATTGTCTACTCGCGGACATTATCAGCGTTAAGGTCTTTGATAAATATTTCTAACGCCGTAACGCAGCAGTATAAAATCGGTTGATAATAGCTGAATATTAGGAATTATGTATAATAGCTTACCTTCTATTAGTAAGAAGTGAATAAATAATTTGGACGAATAACTGTGCAGCACCTGGCTTACAGTGAATAACGCCATCAACAAGTTCTTTGGGTATGTCAAATGACTGTTTCTGAAAAAACTAAATTAAAAATCACTGTATTTATAACAGGCTATATATTCAGGATTCTCTCTTTGTAACCTTTAGATTTATTAGCCACTGGCAGTGACCATATTAATGGTTTAAAAGTTTAACTTGTGGTAGGTGATATGGTAGAAGTATAATGAAAACATGCAGTGAGTATAAAGTTATAGTTAGAATGAAATGTACTGTTGTTGCATAGGTTACTGTGTACTATCCCCCTGCACAGCCATTGAATTATTGCATTCAACCTCATACCCAGGGTCTTCACTCTACTCGTGGGGAGCCCACGAGTAGAGTAAAGACCCTGGGTACGAGGTTGCTATTGCACTGTGGACTGTGGTGTTATAAAACCACTGGTGTATCAAACGAAGGCAGGGACTGTGGAGGATGCCTAATTGGGGAGGGGGTTGATATTCATTAATTTATGTTCATTATAATTGATGTCAAGTATAGGAAAGCAATAATTAAAATATGCCAATGAGCAAAACTCAAAGTATTTATAGCAGCTAAAGGTATTATAGACTGTGCTATATGACATAGCTTGCAGCAGGGGTGGATCCAGCACTAGCTAGTGCACTAATTTGCATGACACAAGAAAACTGCTAAAAATAACCACTTTGTTTTGTAATGCAAATTTGTGCACTAGCGCTGGATCCACCCCTGGTTTGCAGGCAATGAGATTGCCACAGGGCAAATGTACATTAGTTTTCAACTAAACGTCTTTATAAAGGTCTATATGCAAGGGCATCTATCAATGTAAATTTACTCACATTTTCAAATAAATATCAGAAAATATCTGATGCTATTTAATTAAGGCATTATGCACCTTAGTCTAGAAAGACTAAAGCTCACCGCACACAAGAGCTATCAGCTGATCTAAGAGCTCGCAATTCAGTTAGCTCAGTCCATAAACCATCCGCACACAACAGTAACTTCCTGAGCTAACAGCCACGCATGGTCTTTAGCTCAGCTAATAGCTCACGTGTGCTGCGGACTTAAGGTACAAAAACTGTAGATTTATTATTCAAGTCCACATTATACAGTAATTACTTCTCATCTTAATTTGAATGATATGACAATCTTCAAATAACTTTGTATTTTTAAATACCCCACCCTTGTTAGCTGTGACCAATTGCCAACTTTGGCTTCCAAAGATGTACCATTTGCATAAGAATGCATAGTAACTTCTTGAGGGTAATACCAAGAAAAAATTTCAGCTACAAGGTACCCATTTGAAAAATCTCTTTAAAGAGAAGAATAAGAATGATACTTGAGTTTGCATCCAATTAATTTCCTTTCAATTTGTTACAAATATATTGTTGGCAAATGTTGCAGACAAAATACAGCAGGGGTGATTATATTCATATATTCATGTTTTCATATCGAAGGAACAATAGCATTCAAAAGAAGTTAGACGGGCATTAGACAAATATATGAGTGTATATGAGTCTCCAATTAGGTTCTAGCTACAGCCATGATCAAAGTATAAAATGCTTGCATATATGACATTCACTAAATTCAGGCTGTATAATTTTAAGCTTGCCGGCATAAAGTCAAGGAAACAAACAAAATGTATGTATTTTTACATATCCTTATATTTTACTTTCTGGGATTAGAGCTACATTTGCCAGACAATGTCAATAATTGATTTCGTAAGTCATATCTGGGCACTTCTTTGTGCTGAATATAATTATTTGACTAAACGTACCTTTTACTATTCCTTACAGGGTGACTAAGGTCTAAACTTTGAATCCATTTTAAAATGTCACGCGGTAGCCCACTCATGCTTTTAATTTCTCTTAATTCTAACGTCTATTTTGAAATATTTATCAGTTTTCTTTTTACGTCCTTTGGTTTCCATTAAAGCTTCTTGTTGCTAAGGCTTGTTGCCAAGCACAACAACTGTTGCTATGTGATGAATTAGGCGAATTTATTTGCGCGACCACTGAGTGCGCGACGCGATAACTGAAATCTGGTGATGGGATTGGTTAGCGAAAAAATTCGCCGCGAAAAAGTAGGGACGCTTCCTCTTAAGCACAGTATTTATATCATTACGACTATACCGGCTGCAACGAGTACGGCTTAGGCCTGTACGGAAGGGGGGGGGGGATTGGAGGAGTGTTGCGACCCCTCAGTTCGTTATTCCTATATTTATAGAAATTTATAGAGGTTTTTAATTTAATTTTTTTCGAATACCTTTTTTCTTACTTTCAGAATTAAATAGAACGATTGAGCAAAATAAGCGAATTGCACAAATACTTAATATAAAATATAAAAAGATGAGACGCATCCAGTAGGTTCAAAACATCGCATCAATCAGCCAAAATGCAGGATCCGCACCTGGATCTGTTCACGCAATCAGTCCAGTTTTGTCGCAAGTTTGTGTTGGATCCAAAGTATTATAATCGGATACACAATCTGACAATTAGATCCAACACAATTGGAGTCGGACGTTTGGACGTTCATTGGTTTAAAATAAGATTTCAAAACAACGTGACAAATGAAGAATAGAAAGCATACAAATTTCAAATTCCTGAAACAGCATAGTCAATCTCCTTAATAATCCTATTTTTATACATTACAACTGCAATTTTGCCTATCACCAATGCACAGCTACCATGAGGTTTCTCTAAGTACTGTTACCAACATATGTTAACCAATAATATATACGTTTTCCTAGCTAAAATGGCCTAAAGGTACGTTTCCTCTCAGTTTGTCAGACCGTCATTCAGATGCATTAATGATATAATCAGTCTCAGTGGAAAAAATACGACAAACGTCAGACAAATCTTTGTGCAAACGTATCTTTAGATGATCTATACAGCTGACCGAGGCCTGCGCGTCCTTAAAATGCAAGTTTATGCACAATTTTACTTTTGGTAAAATACATAGTATTTAGCTCGGTATTTGGGTTTAGGTTTACGGTAGTCCATAATTAGCACTACTATTTGTAAGTAAGTCATTAGTTCTTAACACACTATTTGAAAATTATGGTTATTCCCTTAAGGCCTTGTTACACGGTGCGATTTTTCCTGCAACTTGCAATGCAATTCTTCTTTTGAGAGATGTAAATTTGGCAACAACCAAACTTTTGTTATTCATACATTCCATGGCCAGTCCATGGCGTTTCTTACACCAGACTCTTCACTAATTTACATCTCTTAAACGTAGAAGTGCATTACAAGTTGCAAGAAAAATTGCAGCGTGTACATGGCCTTTAGATATAAACAAAAAATATGGAACGAAAGAGAACCTTGTCGTAAGAGAATCCATGCGTCTTTCAATGTATAAAAAGATGCCCTCCAATCAGATTTAATTAGCCTCAGTATAATTTCTTTAAGTTAAATTTCACGAAATAATCCCGAGCACGAGGTATATCTTTAGTATTCCCAACCAGACTCGTGCTGACAAGTATATGGTCGCCGTGGCGTAGCGTGGATAAACCCACGCGTCATTGATTCTGCGTTTTGATAACCGCAACTCAGCATTTGTCATCATCCAGTTTTGAAAACAGCTCACCATCGTACTTTGCAATATTTATATGATCCTAAACAAATATCTTTATAGTTAAATTGCACTTGAAGATGGTAAATAATGTAGATAAATTAAAAGGGGAAGTAGTGGAGAAGTTGGTTTCAATGTTTTTGCTGAAGTGTTGTGCATTTTGGAAGTTTTTTCTCCTATAAAATGATGTTTTTTAATTTTAAAATTACAATCTGTGTAATTGTAATATAGACTAAAGCCTACCTGGTGTTTGTTCATTAGTGTCAAGGTTCTCATAACTTTCACCAACTTTTCAAAATCTGGTCGCTCGCTAGGATCGTTTTTCCAACAATCTAACATTACTGAATATCTGTAAGACAAATGAAGTGAGATAAACTATAAAAGCTTTACTTAAGTGTAAATTAGCGCAAATTTTTGTCAGCAAGATAGATAGCGAGGATTTTGCTTTCGAATTATCTTTGAGCAATATATGCATAAGGAGAAAAAGCTCGATTTGTCAAATTTGTCATAAATATGTATAGCCAACTTAAGTCAAGAAAAGAGTTTGTTTAAAATTTTTTTTTTCGACTTATATTTGCCGATAAAAATATCACCACAGCTTTCAATCGAATTATTGCTCGTCATATTTATGATAGGAAGAAACCGTCATGCTCTATGACAGGCACGAACCCAAACTGAATTGTGGGACGTTGAATTAAACATTAGCGTATCGTCGTATGCTTTATATAATTCGGGTATTAGGCAATACCTGATGATGAATTGACATTATGAACACTTGAAACCTCGTGCTCATTTGAAACCTCGAGCATAAACAAATTAGGTTTCAGCGACACAAATGTTATACGCGGAAATATAGTATATATAGGTATCTTTAATACGATTTAGTTTCGTAGCAATATGCAGTACTCATAAAGAAATTTAGCTAATTTATATATACTTACAAAGCTTCACTGACATGGTCAGGACAAGGCATTCGATAATCCTCTTTTAGCATATCTAGTAACCAATGTTCATCTTTCCCAACATATGGAGAGCCACCTTCACAAGACGAACATTAATGACAGAATAGGAATTAGGAATACGTCAGGGATTGAAATTTAATGACAAGAACTGCAAAAACATACCCACTGTAGCAATTTCATACAAAAGTATTCCATAACTCCACCTTTATAACAATGGAAATTCGATTATACATTTTTTAATTCGAACTTTTCAAAGCAACAAAAAAATACTTACACATCACTTTGAGTTGTTCTCACTTTATCCATCACAACTTCAATAGCAGCCCACTTCACTAACAGACGATCCTTCAATTACCAAATTATTCATATTGGATTATTTAGAGAATAATCGCTTTGGAAGCAATTGACAGGTTAAGTAGAACTCTTTACAAACAATTGAAACCCATGAATCCATGATAGTTTGAATTAATGTTATTGATAAAGCACGTCAAGTTTTTGTACTGCCATATTGATTTTTTAGACCGAGTTGGTTTTGGTATAGTAATAATAGTATACTGTCTAAATGATAAAGAACTTTAACAGGATCTTATCCACGGTGTCATTCCTTTTGGTTATTCCTCATACCTTTCTCCTAGTAGCATAAGTATCTTTGTCAAAGACCATTGGATGTTCACCGATTCTTGTTAGTTTACAAAGACCTTGCCGCCCTACCAAAACATTTCTGGCTGCCAGATCACCATGCGTAACCTACAGATATGTAAATTTCAACACATGGTATGGTATGGTGTTGTGTGATTTATTTGGAGATTACGATCTATATAAAGAAATAGGGTTACTCACTTTGTGACGTTCTAAATGTGCCATTGCTGATGCTATTTGCTCGGCAAATGACATAAGCTCAGCTGAGCCTAAATCATTCACACGCGATTTCTCTGCCTTATAATGTTCATCATGTAGTCCACGACTTGTTCTCATATATCCTAACAGGTCTCCATATGGTACATATTCCATGATTATTGTCGTCGGATCTGTCAACGAAAGCAAAATTATTTCAGTTTTAATGGGAGCTAGATAGAGAATATCAATGGTATGTAATCCAAACTGATTTTTACTTCGTATCTCGTTCGATAAGATAGAATGACATTTTAACACATTTTTGGCCTTGCTAGGAAAGAATATTTTCCTTAATCAATTACTTCAGCTTTGAAAGATTACCATGTTTTGTAATACATCCCAGCAAATTAGTTACACCATCATGTACAGGTAGCCTTTTCATCACTTCAATAATTGATAAAAATTCTGCCTTTAAACTTTCGCTTGGTTCGTCTATATATTATAATAAGATCAACGTTAAAAAAACTGTAGCTTTGGACTATATTAAAGTATCGCACTGTTACATTAGAATCGTCAATTGCATTATTCTGAAGTCCACTGAACTCTTCGTTTATTGAACCACTTACCTTTTAATATTCTTAGCATGACTGATCCATCCTCATTATCACCTTTTTGGGACCTTACCGAACCTTTGCATGTTTTTCCAAAATGATCATGTTCAATTTCTTTGATAATGCTAATATGGTCTTTAGAACACTCCCATTCAGTTGAAGGATCGGTTGATGATTCTGCGTTGCTGTTTAACGGTTTTGCTCGAATTGGTTTCAAATCCTTCTCGTTAACAGCGTCCCCATTTTCTTTTCTTTCGATCTAAGATATGATAGACGGTTTTGTATATTAATATCCTCCAACAGTAACTGATCTAATTCACGACATACTAATTTGCATTCATATGATACATAAACTGAACTGAAGACCAACTGTATCTTTCATCCACGTGTCAATTATAATATAATTATGGACAAATCAGCGATAATTGCAACAGGTCAAATGTTAATAAACACCATATATAGTTCAATATTATAAGACGGTAAAATGATAACTATGATTTGACTAACCAGGGCGATGTTCTCTTCATCTATTTTCCTACTTGAACCATTTTTCGATTGATGTGGCTCTGCTGCATATTCAGTTGTCATACTTTTCTTTAAGAATCCTGACGATGCGGGGTAAGATACATATATAATCACCATGCATGGTGTTTGTGACGTGAAAGTGACATAGGGGTTTACATAACTAATAAGAGTTTCGGTTCGTCAAATTGATTACGAAATCGTTATATATGTATGCTGCTATACTATAAGATTGATATAAAAAGATCTGAGACATGCACTATCTTGCGGCACTCCAATAAAACAGACAGTTACTTTGTGCATCCTTAAATGCATGGACAAACCTTGTTTCTGTCTTTTTCTTCTTCTCAGACAACAGAAAACTGCCATAACTAAGATAATTAACAGAACAACTGACCCAACAGCAATTATAATAATCAGAACCTGCATCGATGATTCACCTACAAAAGATTAATGTATATCCATAATTTAGGTCCATAATCAGCTGTAAATGTAACGTCCTCGCTACATTTCCAATTTAACTTAGTGTATAAACTACAAAATTTGAAGGATGTTTTGCAAATTTACCTTCACGAGCAACTGTTTGTAACTCCATTCCTTCCGGCTCTGTAAAACATTTTGACGCTTTCGTACAAACATATAGATACGCCTTGTACTTTTTTCCTTTCTCCAAATTTTCCACTTTATACGGAACGTCTTCCACTTTTTTATCAAAAATGATTTTTTCTCCTTGTTTAACCACCAATTTGTAAAAAAATTTTTTAGATTTGACTCCGCTCCAAGCAAATATCAACCATTTTTTCGATACCTCGATTACAGCAAGTTTTGGAACTCCTGGTAATTCTAGCGAAAAATATATTTCTCTGTTGTCATTTATACGATTTCTCAATCGTCTCATTGAAAGCCTACTCGCAAATTTTAAAATACAGGGCATAAAATACAGTGCTCTGTACAGGAACATGCAGATTCGTGACACTCACTTGTTGTAGCCACAATGAATTTTGGTTTTCCGTAGATGATTGTATCCTAAACGTTGTGGGAAACATGAAATTATTCCAGTGACTCTAACGACAGTAATAAAAAGGCAAATCTCGGCGTTTTCAGGAAAACACTTTGTTGCATAATTCCCTGAATCATAGTTCAATCAAGCACGCAAAATATTATGGGAATGACATATTGTAACGATGTACGAAAATGCTTCAAATATTTAATCCTATTACCTCCATCTTTGTGAGTTACCTTGTCATTGAAATCTTTGGCCAAAGCTCTTACGTATATTCTATATTTTGTTAAAGGCTCCAGTTTCTTATTATTGTGATACTCATACCACTTATTATCGCCCAGAGTAAATTCACCGGGTAACTCGTTTCCATTGAAGTGTGCTGCTATATAAATATGTTTGTTTTTCAGTGAATTATTGCCATAGACATTCGGTAATGCTATGGGGGTACTCGTTACTTTGTCGCTGATCATTTCAACAAATATCTGATAAGCTCTAAAAATGAAGACAAAATTGTACTGAGAATTAGGAGTTGTCTGGAGTTAATATCACCCTCCTCCTCACGATCAGTGGTCTGAGACGAATATGAAAGCTGAACAAATGTCAGTAAGGATAGTGTTCATTGCCTTGGGACGATAAAGGTGTCGCTGGTTTATTGTAAAGCTTTATGGCCAGAAAAAGTCATATGTAATGATGTATCTTAAATAATCATCCATTGTTTTTATGCGTTCGTCACATGCACGAGAAGCAAAACAGACATTGATTGTAATTGATATGTTTACGTAATTGTAGCAGCTTTTTCAGGCGTGCATGATTTTTTCGACATGAATTCAATGCAGGAAATATCGTTGCCGGCCAATGATTTTGTGATGTTGTTCTATATTAAGTGTTATGTCACAATAATCAAACTGAATTACAAAAATATATTTTATTATTTTTATACTCACAAAATTTCTTGCTTGTTTAATGGCGAAGGGAAAAATTTTAAAGAGATGTTTTGATTCGTTACAGGACCATCCAATGATATCTCTGGAGGTTGTGGGTCTAACAGCAGAAACAATTTAAAAAATTATTTATAGCAGTTGTGTACTCTGCTATTAAACTTGTTTTTCCTTACCAATGGCTTTCGTCTTCTCGATAACGGGTTCTGAGGCTGCTCCGACTCCATACCTGTTCTTTGCAGATACAGAAATTGAGTAAGCCGTTATCTGATTCAAGCCTGTTAGCTCATATTCATAATTGGCAGTAATATTTTCTTTGGCGGTGACGTTGATAGATCGTTGACTTTTCTGATGATCAGCATTAAAAAGCAGAATGTACGACTCTATAGGTACACCATTTGGTACTCTCGTAACCGCTCTCCAATTTACCAAAATACTCGAGCTGCTGGTCACTTTTGAAGTGTAAATCACTGGAGCCATTGGTTTTACTGACAGATAAAATGTATAGAAATCAGTGGACAATAGAAAAGTGGTTGACTCTAACCAGTTCAGCACTGGGCTAAGTTCAAGTCATCGAGGTACATAATTCCGTAACATTACAGTTGCATATATTTAATAACCTATCATAAAGGAAATGTTATTTTTTAAAACTAGTGAGTAGTGTTTTGGCCAATCTGGTTTAGTACGAAATCTTGATGTTAAAAATCTAATAATTCGACATTGGTGATATCATGAAAACATACTTACCATCAATACGTACAAGGATTTTTTTTCGACCCATACCATTTTTGTTCTTTGCCAGACATTCATACCTCTTTGTCATTATCTCCTTTTGAACCGCACACCTCAAACAAACAACGCTTTTGATTGTTAGGACACTTTTAGTTTTTGTTGACGTCAGATTAGTTGATTCAATTACTGCGCCACTTTTTTCGTCTAAACAAAATTTGTATAAAATGTTTTGTATAATTTGTTTTGTTTTGTTTTGATCTATTTTATTAATATGTTGGTCTGTGTTTTTCTTTTTCTACCTAATGTTTCTCTTCTTGCTCTCCAGGTGATCGTTGGCTGTGGTGATCCAGTTGATGTACAAGAAATCGTTATTTGTGAACCATAATATGCGTAGATTTCCGGGTTGCTGGTTTCAACTGTCAGAGTCGTGTCAGCTATCAGAAGAAAAAATACATGCATACATGTTTTATGCAGGAAGAAGGTAGTGAAAATCTTTAGGCGGATTCTCTAATTGTGCTCAACATTCCTTCCAATAAGGATAAAGTGGATTATATAATTTTACATTATAGAAACCAAAATTATGCTTAATATAACAAGAGTGCACTCTTGACTCAAATGCAAGACAGTCCATTCATATATTTTACAAGGATACAGTATTGTTTCTCATGCATGCAATTACGGAAAGTCATACTGCGCTATTTTCATGCAGCAGTTTTTAGAGTACTTACTCGTGCATATACAAACGATCAAACACAGAAAGGTCGACACAGACCGAATGCGATGCAACCTCGTACCCAGGGTTTTATTACCTACGCTAAATTTGGAATCTATAGACGCCACAGTGGCACAGCAGTCCGTGCCTGGTCTTTCTATTGGTAGCCTGAGAACTAATAATACAATTATATTGGGCACGCTACCAATTCTATAGCCGTGCCAATAAAGTGACTGTGGTGTAAACTGGCTGCACGCATTATTCTCCTTTTACCAGGGCCACAAAAGATACTTTTGTTCGATTGGTTCGTTGAAGTATATGAAAAAGCATACAACGGACTAATTCTATTTTGAACCCAAGATTAGACAGAACAGAACACAAATATTTTAATAGAGATATTTCGAGTTTTTTGGTATCGTTGTCATACTAGACTAAATGCACTTGTAAACCAGAGCTTCTTATGATCTATATATATACAGAGAAATGACGCCAGTTTTTTCCACTGTTGCTTCTTTTAGGAAAGCAGGCAGCGGTACAAGTGTGGAGTAATTTTAATGTTACTTGTGTTTTATAGAGGAACAAGAGGCATGATTGTCTGGCACGACAAACAGTAGATTTCCTTTAAAGTTTTTATCTCATTTCTGTATCAGCAGATGTTCGCACGCCTATAGTTCTATAAATATATTTCGTCTGACTTTGACATTGATCTGAGTCGAAATGTCATCGAGAATTATACTGAATAGAGTCCTGCTATTGTTTTTCCAACTAAAGAAATCGTAGTGGATTTTAGGATTACTTAAATATGTACAGAAATATGTGAGTTTTTATTGCGTATGCCATGTCGTTTCGAGATTTTTATTTAGCATTTGCCTCGCTTTCGTTTTTCTCGTTTGCCCCGACTTCCGGATCCCGTGCCGCGTGTCTTAATTTTATGTGCCGTATTTTGCGATATCAAGCTGTTATTTAGGACCGGGCATTTGGGTTTTCGTAGTCGTCTGTTAAGAAGTTGTAGGAATTGTATAGATTAGTTTGATTTTGAAGTGTTTGAAATATGAGTGAGGATTCTTATCAAAGCATTCGTATCTTCGTAGCTATTCCTAGCAGTGTTTTAACGATGAGAAATCTGACAACCGAATGCACTGGCTAATCTTTGATTACTTCTAGTAGAGTAGAACAAGTAGAACAAGTAGAACAAGTAGAACAAGTAGAACTATTTAACCTACTTCTTGTTCGGCCTACCGTCCAAGTAAGAAACTGGCGCGACTTGACTTCAGGAAACGACTAATTAGCATTTCTCGCGCTCGCAAATATCCGCCATTTTTGGAGTGTTTTCAATTTGCCTAAACATGTTTAATTCTGACCAGGTTGAAAGAAATTTTTTGGAATGAATTTAAAACAATTATGAAACTGACATGAATAATCGCTGTTGCGTGGATGGTCTTACGCTCGCAAGATTAAAGTATGCCCAGGAATGCAGATATTTGTCATCGTGAAAAAGGTTTATTAAGCGACTAATGCAAACCCATAATTCATGTCTGTCAGTCGCTTAGTCCTCTTTTTTTTCGAAAAACGTCTGTTTGTACAATGGTTATTTTGTGAGCAATCATCAAATAGTCAAAAATATTTCTTGCACAACAGATTAAGATTGTTGATAATGAACTTGCAAACTACGATAAGCACAATCCGGACGATTGGGGACAAATAAAAGTGTGATTGAACTGGTTATATCATATATTCCTTAATCCTTATATTAAAAATCCTCTTGTTGCAAAACATAGCTACACTTTAATTACGTCTAAATGACCGACTATTATAAAATAAGCTGCATGCTTTTTTACTGCTGTGTATATGAACCGTAATTACAAAAATGCTTTTTAATTTCATTTGGTTTTAGGCTATTGTTATCCCACTTAAACTTCTATTCGACTGGAATAGGATCATGAGGTCAAGGAGTGGAAAGGGAATAAACAGGGAGAAAAGCCGGAATCCTTGCAAAAGCCGCGATACTGTATCACCGGAATAAATATATAATTGCAAGCTTCATGCATGCACGACCCGGCCTTTTTATAAGTTGGAAGGAAAAAAAAACATAATCTTTAACCAGGATTAAGAGAACAAAGAATTTTAAAACCGGAATGAAAACACTTGGAAGCTTTTTATAATTTAGACGAATTAAGAGAAGCTAAAAACCAGGGATACGAAAAATTGGAATCATCAAAGGCAAAGCCCGAAAGAGCGAATTTTTTTAAAAAACTGTATTAATGCTAAAACCTTTATGTATTCAAAATCCAGGTTATTCCGGGTTCTATTACTACAAATACGGATCTTTTTCTAGTTTCGTTCCTCGATTCCTTGTAACTTAAACACAAATAATGACCATGTAAGCAATTAATGAACGTGCTACCTACCACCAACATGAACATGCATCGCCAGACAATTTCATTTATTCTTGAAATTACAAATATTCTTTGAAAATACGCAAATCCCACGATATATGTATGCAATTTCTGGCGTCAGTCTTAGACGGCATAAAATGCGAGTTCATTCATTAAAATGTCTTGTATGAATGATTGCATATTCATGCAAAATGCATTATCAAAGGGCCGCGCGCGAAGGAGAGATTATAATGTATAAGTACTAAGTCTAAGAGTTGTCAGTAATTATCCAGTCCCATTACATAAACAATAAATCAATTTCTTGGACAAGCTCTTTCGCCAATATCCATAGATTTTACTTGATGATAGACGAAACAGATAAACACATTGTTATAAAAATTGGTGGAAAATTTTGTCGGAAATGTATATAGACAAAGTAAGCGTTCTCCTCTTTTTTGTTCACCTCTTACGGGCTTTTCTTTGCATGAGGATTTTCTATTCAAAGAATTCTCAGAATGAATCTCTGACTCTATTTTCACTTTTCTGAGAAATCTTCTATCATCTTTCGAATACATAGGCCTGCGTTGCGATGGATATGTTATTTCTGGACCAGGCATGCGATGAGCCACGCGTGCATGGCCAATTCTAATTCTGTCCTTGCATGTGATTCATTTAATCCGAATTGCTCGTTATTCGATCTATTTTTTCTCTTGGCAAAGCATTTAATCGGCCATATTGCTATCTCACCTAAGTTGTGTCATCCCAGTAGAATTTAGTTATCCATCAACTTATTATTATTCTTTATGATAAAATAAACAATTTCCATACGTAGGTATGGAGATGAAATAAAACTAGGAGAGGCGGACTCTTTGATTACTATATCATTCGTGACAATTATTTAAATTAGCCAAACAAATCTCTCAGTCCAATCACTTGAAATGTAGTTACGCACTCCGAGTTAACTGCGACTTAACTAGTCAAAAGGGAAGTTAAAAAATACTTATAAGAGTTTTAAATATCTGCATGGTCCTGGTTGATTGCCAACTTGACGAAACCCTTGAGCATAATTACCGTAAACCGTGTAATCAATCAATGTTTGAATTGGGAATGAGTATGACTATGACTTGTCAAACCGTGGTGACCTGGGTGAACCAAGTTCGCCTAGCAATTTGCTATACCAATCGTTATCTTTCTTTTCACATACATTAATCAAAGAAATATATATTAATAAGCTTTCTTCATGTTTAGTCAACAAGATTTAATAAGATCAGGGAAACCAAACCCTGTTTTCTAATCAGATTATATCTGCTGACAATGCACATCCAGGAAACAAAACATTCCTTACCGGATAACATATTTAACACAGTAACAGGAAACAACTGCTATTCAGAACATACAATGATAATAGTTAGAACAAATTTGCCTTAATTTCGCTTGCCTTGATTTCCCGACAAAGAGTTTCATGACATTTATTCATCCATGATCTTTCTGAAGCAAGAATTATTGAATTATTGGCATATTATGAGTACATAACATGCATCTTAAGTGGTCGGAATTGCATGTTCTCATATCTTAGAAAACGTTTTGTTAATATGATAAGATTTATTTTACACGCACGAAGCACAATTCTTTGGGCTAAGGTAATGCATCACTCAGGTATAGTCATGCCCAGTTTCAAGTTTCAAATGTAGTTTAGCCTTTAATACTATTCTATCCCATAAAAGCTGATTTTCTTGTTTGTTTTGTTTGTCGCGCAAGAAAAGTTATCTCGATTCTGGCAATTCGCATTCCATATTCAAAACATAGTTCATCCTCTGAGTCTTCTTTTTTCTACAATCAAGCCCAGGCTAGATTCATCACTTCCTACGTTATTAGTCCGTTCGTCACGATCAAAATGGGATCTATCAGCGTCCCGCGGACCGTAACAATTCACAAATTAAATATTGGTTCGATACGCTCGTCTCTCACTGTATACCATTGCTAGCCTAACAGGTTATCAGTTTATCAAGAAGTAATAAGACGCAATTAATTAACTGGCTTTGATATGTCTGACTACCAGACCTAGCTAAGGATACTTAAAATTGCGTATACATATATCCAGAAATGGCATGAACGGAGTGCTTATTACTAACAATTTCCTGGTATGGTGCAAAAATACTGAAAAATAGAAAGCATATTACTGACAGTTGCGGAATTTCGCATGCGCATTTGAATCTTGACAGGCACTCGTGCATTTTCATAATATGCGTATAATATGGCATCATTTAGGCGCGCGCGTTTATTACTATGCATTGTGTAATGATACATGCACTCAGGAAAACCAATTGAAACAGTTGAGAGCAATAATTCCTAAGAATATTTCTACCAGACAGGTATGTTTATTTTGTCTTATTATGTAATAACAAACGGTATACAATTATGTAATCTACAGCTGCGTAAAGATATAGCATTTGCCTAAAATTGTTTCAAAAACGAAAGTTTTGTTGATGAATAATGTTTCATAAAAAACATGAATTGAAGTTTCTAACTCACGGTATAAGATTTACTTACCTATGACGATGCCTAAACCAGCCACAGCAACCGCAGCTAAATATACACATCTCATCATTGTCACCTTATTTTTACTAATATATCAAATATATTCTCAAAAACAGCCGTATTCTCTTGTTGGAGAACAAATCTTGAAACACCCTTTGAGCCTGTCGCAACTGAATGCCAATTTTGGTCTGATCTTGTCCTAATCGTTAGATAATGTCATCAAATGAGCCAATTAGAGTGAAGAGAAGGTAAACAGGTTTACAAACGTGTAGGTCTTGGTAACAAAAGTTTTCTTTAGAAAAAACGGTGTGAATTGTGTGCTAAATCTTTCTTTACACTTTTCCCATGGTCCAAGACGAGTACGAGTTCTTTTGAAGATAAATAGATTTATATTCAGTAATTGACGTGTAAAATGACTCCGGAAAGGTCTTAATTTATTCGCGCCACATTCTTGCCAATCTTGTGAAGATTATTGAATCAGGAAATTATTTAATACCTGGGTTTTGTCCAAAGTTAAAAAGCATCAGAAAATCAGCCTTTGCAAAGTTGGTCTGCAGCGGGAAATTAATCGCTATTCTTCCGTGAAACCAGACTAAGGATTGATTACACTTACATGGTAATCCGGCAAATGTATGATTATCATATAACGATCTTCTTATATTTCTCCATGCTCATGTGTGCCGAGATTCAATGATTCATTTGACGAGGGAAAAATACAAACAGTTCTGTTAATCTCATCATTGCAAATATTCTAAAATACTTAATCAGATCACTGGCTTTCCAGATTATACATCTGCGCGATAATTAAGAATTCATGTATCCCTAACTATTTTTTATATTTCCGAAATATTTGTTTAACTATTTTTTTGTCATTGTCACCACTTAAGAAACCGCACATTATACCAGCGAAACTAGCCAATAAAGAATAGCTTGAAAGGTCTATGACAATATGATAACAAATGATTGCTTATTTTATATTGTTATCTTGTCTGTTAATCTTCGTGCAAATACATTTTAATACGATTACAACATGCCAGAATTCATGACTTTATTTGCTATAATGCTGAATTTTTTGCCAAAACCTTCTAGAAAATGGTTCGAAAACATATATGTATGTTTTTCGTACAGTTTTATATGTCAATGAGGCAAAGAGATGCATGCACCATCTCTTCTTCAGCTCCGGCTAAAAAGCAGAGTTATTCCTCATTGCTAATAGAATATCCCTGTCATTGACCGATACAAGCTCCCTAGGTAGATAACTCAGTCCTTCCCGGCTCCCGCCGTTTACCAACAAACTGCCGCTCGTTTTGCGCGTTAGTTCATCGGTGGATTAGTTTGATTATCGCTCGGTGAACGTCAGTCAGAGTCGCGTCAGAGGAATTTTGGGGAGTTTCCTTGCGTGCTCGCTCTGTTTAACCACTGATCTATGTGAAAAGCCTGTAGTGTTCCTATATTTTATTTTATTTAAAGCGCCTGGGAACGAGGATGTGCGTGACGAGAAGAGTGACGTCTGGTTTAGGACTGGATCTGGGTCTTGTCATTTTCGTTCCCGAGGCCATGCTGAGTTTTTCTTCTCAACTAATCCTTACCAACCCTTCCTATACTGCTACTTCATTCTCTATTTTCAGGTGATCTAGGGAGAAGTAGCTGTTTTGTCCTATAATTATACTACATCTACAAACTATATCGTCTACGATATTTATTGCCAATCAAAAATCATTTCGCATACTGAGTAACTTCCGGTCAAAGTCAACTTCCATCGCATGCGGCATCACAGTTTCGGTTTCGAAACCTCTCCATTTGCATCTCTTGTATTGGGAATCTCAAGCAAGTACATCATGAACATCAGTTTTAGTGTGATCAGATCTGATAACTTTTTTACTTGGAAGGGGCAGTCTAACTAGACATGGGCAGCTTTGGTTAAAAAATTTCCATATATGGTCACACTGATCGGTTTCGTACCCAGATACTAATATTAACTAGTATTTGCTGCAAGCAGCTTTATCGTGGCCATAGCTCTGCTTTACCCTGCATCCGGTATTGGCCTGTGAAACAAGTGACAAGAGGTTCCCGGACAGTATGTTAAGGTTTGTTCAAAATATGTTAAAAAACCCCCTAAAAATGAGGAATAGGTGGTGTGATGCCCAAATATGGACGTGCAACGCCATTTATTCGCCATTTTAACGTCGTCTTCGATGTTCCCGTACTCGAGCTAAACGGCAGTATACTTTAAGGAATCTAAAGTCAGTTATTCAGAGCCCTATCAAATTAACCAGATGCAGATGAAATGATTTCTCTACCTCTTGGTTCCTTAATGTTGTATCTCATGTTCCTGGTGCCTACATCTTTGTTCTGCTGCTATGGAAGAGCCAACTTTCATTCTTAGTATTTCACCTTCCTCTTCAGTGGAAGATTTCTTCTATGCATATGGCATGATTGTGTTGTTGCAACTCTCTCCAGATAGTATAAACCTGCACACATTAGTATATTACATAATTTACGTTGTTAAAATCCGGCTCTACAAAGGGGTCCTTCCTCAACGATCACTTCCTTAACGATCGTTTTCCTCTTTTTCACTCCTCAAAGTTGAACGTTGATACATACTGTACAAAAATTACGCCTTAGTCAGTCTAACCGCAACAGAAAACTCGAAATGTTGTGTTATGAGCCAATGGCCCGATTTTTACTAGAGACGGATCATCTTTCTGGACGTATTTGGGCAAGCAAGCTTCTAGTTCCTCTTTGTGTAAACACGGGCAAACAGACGGATCATCCATTAAAACGAATTGTCCGCATAGTTTGAATGGTAGTTCGGCTTGACGCAACATCCATCTGCTGGTGTAGATACGGGGGGACGAAACACGAAAAATTCTTCAGAAACGGCTCTTGTGCTCTTTTTTACCACTCGAATAATTTTCTAATTCCTGTAGTGCACTTTCTAAACGCGCAATTCTGTTTCGTTTAACATATTCATCTACATAATTCGTCCTGATAGTTTGTCGTGCGCTTATATACGGTCATACATCCAGACGGATAATCCGTCTCTAGCATAAATCGGGCCAATGCAAAATAACGTTCCCTGATTGACTAGAATTCAGCTAGGTATAAAGCATAGTGACAAAAATCTAATAACAATCAAACAGATTCGGAATTGCAGGAAATCACTATCCCTGCACGGCGCTTCGTGCCGTTGATCAGTGGCGAAGAGTAAAATTCTGGGCCCTCCTGGGAGAATAAATACCACAATAATTAGTCAACCGGCCGAAAGCACCCGATTCACCTCGGTGCCGGACGTCCTTGGCTGGCCTTCTTGGACAAACGTTTGTTCAAGCTACTCCCTTGTCGCAAGCTCGAGACCTGCGCTATTTTAAGAGATGATAGTTTGCATTGTGGTTTTTACAATATTGCGTTTTTTCAAGAATTGGTCTTGACTGAACGTGTCACCCGGAACTATGAGTCTATGATTACAAATATGAAGAAATACGCGTGCAGCTAACAATATCGATACTTTCAAATTTCATTTCGGTTCGTTGTGAACTTACTTCCTTTATATTTGACGTATTAAAAGGTTTTACAAGTTTTTGTGCCAAAAAAATCGAAGCCTTATAAAGAGAAACTGATTGCGTGTACTTATGATTCCGTTTATTTTTCCGCTAGCCCAATATACCCTCTGAAGCATCTGAATTAGCTATTTTACATTAGCAGTTTACCCAGCGACTAACAAAAATATACTAAAAAATTGCAATAGTAAACTTTTGTCATAAAGGATCATTTGTACATTGGCACGGGCCGTGTCCTGAAATGGACGACCCACGTGAAAAGTGAAAAATCTATATGAACAGTTTTATTGAAGTAACTATATTGGCTATTTCTGCTCGATTGATGTATTTTTCAATAATTTCTATTATAAAAACTCAAATTATTTTAGTTTCCCACTTTTTTTATCCCTTACAGTTCTGTACAATGTTGGAAGTCTCACAACATGACATATAAAGACGAATTAAGAGGAACTATACCGGAAATCATAGTTCCACCCATGATATCATTACTCTTACATGGATTCTAATTGGTTGAAATGACCGTGCGAGTGTAGGAGAAGTCTTGACCGTTCTGCCAATGGAGATTTTGAGATTCATATTTTCATTGAATCAATATTGTTTTATTTGTTAACTGTTTGCTTTCATTTCACGACTTCTACATGGAGAAACAGTAAAGTATGAATAGTTTCGCTGCCATGTGGCCTCAGTTGGCTTTATTGTTCTCGTTTTATTTTTGGATTTCATTTTGTATCGGTAAGCATGCAGTCAGCCTAGCTTGATTAAAATACATACGTGTATATAGTAATATACTAAGATATATATGCCGTAATTTGTTGTTGATGTATTTTTGTAGTGTGTATCTCATTATTATCAAGTTCTAATTAATAATAACATGTTTTATCGTCGTCATGTTAAAATCAATATCAGTTAAAATGAAAGTACATGGCTGATACGGGCAAACCCTATTTAATACAATAATAGAACACCATTATAATAGCAACTAAGTGAATCATTGAGATCTGTTAATCAAAATTTGAAAGTTCTGACGATTAGAAATTATTTTCCTCTGTTTTTATTTGAATTTTTTTCATGAAAACACCCAAAAGGAGGATTGTTTACGCATATTTAATAGCTGCATGTGCTGAATAATATGTCTGAAAACAGCACAGCACCTGTTGCCTACTTCAATCTATTTTAAATGTAATAAAAAGAAAGGTAAATCATAAGTTAAAATATATAAAATGTTACATGTACATGCATTGAATAATTGAACTGCATTTATGTTAATGATAACAGTGGTGTAGCTAACTCTGTATTTGGGTTGAGCACATTCATTTATTTGAGTCCTGCATTATTAATTGCTGTTGAAATTATTTGTTTTTGCTGGCAGTGGACACAAATTTATGCATACGCTCCCCCTCCCAATTATCCAGCTGGCTAATGCTACGGTAAACAAATGAACAATTTTATTTATGGTACATGGTAATGATAAGGAAAATTTCATTGGGATATTAACAAAAGAGGGAATTTTTGGCCCTCTAACAGGATAAAAATCACGAAAAAGGTAAAACTATATGTAAAATGTGAAATACACTGTTGCTTTATGTAAGTATGGTAGATCTAATTATTCAATAGTATGTTTTAGTGTGTGACTTACATGCTACCAACAACATGGTGACTGCAACTGTTCTAACTTGCAATGCTATTTTAAAATTGTCTGTCACGGACCTTGCTTCAAGCCTCTATAAAGTTTGTATTTTGTCAATACAATTTGTATGTACTAATAAAAGCATAGCCTTGACTACAGCCATTTGTCAGGCAAAACAAAACTACATGTGCCAACTTCAGGGAGCATTTACAAGTTCCATCATTATACTGAAACATGATCCATTAATAATATTTTAGACTTTGATTCTCATTGTTAGCTCGTGAGGCAATTTTTCATGGTGGTTTTGGTGGAGCTAAAAATGCCAAGTTATACCATTACCATATGAAATAGGTGCTTGATAAAATCGCACTTTGTATAAGTATCCTTTTTCTTTGTATGAGTGCAAATTGATGGTAATTAAATCGTAACATACAAATGTGTCTGGTTGTGTTGACAAAACAATAAATAAATTGGCACAACTTCTACATTGTGAACAAATTTATAAATGCAAACGTGGCTAGGAACTGTGAATGCTGTTATTAGGCTGTAATTACCCATGTAAAAACATTCAATAAAAACTTCATTCAGTTGAGTAGGGACAGACCATTAGATTTTTTAATATTACTGCCTTAAAATATTTCATTTTTTTAAAAAGCATTTAAATTTTTTTGGGGTGTTATCTGCTCGATGGAACATAAAATGGCACCCCCCATATTCATGAGTAGTGCTAGCTGGCACTGGTGACAGCATCTATCTTGAAGCATTCAGAATTATTACATTTCCTACAATCTTATGAAAAAAAAAAGTTTTCTATTCAATCAATGTTTGTATTTTGAATTTAGATTGCAAAGATTCACCTGTATCAACCAGCAACATAACTATCTCCTCACGTCTGAATCGCCAACATGGGGCTAAAAGTCTTAAGGGTTTGTCAGACGAACCTTGGGTTGGTGGTACTGGGTCTTCAAACTGGGTTAGCTTGGAGTTCCCCAAACCAATTAAATTGAGCAGTCTTTCCATGACTGGTGGTGATGTAGTTGTGAATGGCACTGTGGTGAAATGTCATGTTGAGATATTTTTGTTAGAATATAAGAAGGAAAGAAGTACAGCATGGGAACGATATAAGCCAGTAAGTTATTACATATGCTACCATGCCCATGGTACTCATAACTTTTGATGTAGTATCTGTGTGAGCATCAGTACCGTAATTTGAAGGAAGTTCTATTGATTAAGATTCTATAAAAGATTAGAAGAGGAGATGTATGATATTTAAGATTACATTTTAGATAAACCTAAAATTTTATTAACATTATATTTAACATTAACATTAGCACATATACAGTCTTGTCCAACCATGGTTTTATTGCTCTTAAATGATGGTAAAAAGCAAAGCTAGTATAATATACCTACTATATAAACTAATTTATGGTTTATCATGTACGTACATATTTGTCTTATTTATTTTAGAAGTTCCTTAACGTAACGCCTGTGTTTAATAAACAACTTAAAGAACTAATAAATGTAAAAAGTATCAATATAACAGTAAAGAAATATACCGGATGCCCTGCAGTCAATTTGGAGCTAAATTGCGGTATGTATGGTTATTGTATGGAAAAATAAAAATATGCTACATGTCGAGGGATCGCGTTCTACTACGTTTGTATTCTGTTCCACAAGTTCAAAAACCCTGATTATAAGAGGTAGAACGCATGCACATTAGGAATGTAGTTTGAGATCTATTTGAAATTTGCAATTGCCGCGTGCTCATTAATAAGTTGAGAAATTTTCAAGTTACGAGGTACAGCCAAAAATCACCGTAATTTTTTGTCCAAAATCTTATGGGTTTACAAGATGTTGTTAGTTGTAGTATTTTTCTTATGTTAAATAGTATGCTGTATGGTATGGTTTTGAAAAATATGCTTTAACTAAGTTTAAGCGAATTATGAAGTATATAGTTAGTTAGAGTCTAGTCTTTGACGCCTGTAGTTATATAGTTTTAAATACTTCATTTTATTTAGTTGATAACAACGAATGCACCGAAACGCCGAACGTTTGTGGTCCTGACGAAATTTGCCGCAACACATTTGGCTCGTACTATTGTATTTGCCAAACTGGTTTCACAGGAAATAATTGCAGAGGTCAGGAAATTTTTAACTGACTGTTAAGGGCTGTTCACATGAGCCAGGTTGCCGAGATTTAACGAAGCGTAAAGTGGACTTTGAAGTATTGAAATAAGTAAATAACATGACCCTGGTGGTTGTGTAATCATCCTAACATTAGCATGTGATTGTTTTGTTTTAGAAAGACTTATTTCAATACCTCAAAGTCCATTTTACGCTTCGTTAAATCCCTGTAACTGGGCTCATGTGAACAGTCTAACTGGGCTTGCCCCGGTAGGTCCTTTGCTTGTCCCAGGAGTGTATTCCAAATATATATATATATATATGGAATTAAAAAGCAATCAAACGTTTGCGTAAATAAATGTAAAAAAAAATTGTGTCTGTTTCGCATTGGCATGCATCCTATAAGACTCACTTTACCCCAGTGATCTAAATTTCTTAAAAACACCCTGACACAGGTGACCTATGTTGTCGGTGTTTTACTAACAGTAGTGTTGAAACGAGTGTAATTAAATTTTTCTCTCAGTTTCGCAAATGCAAACAGACTACGACATATAGTTGGTCTGTAAGCGGCCAAACTATTATCTTCATCAAATTGTAACAAAACTTGTTTTATTTCTTAGATATTGACGAGTGTACGGAAAACTCAAATGCATGTCATGGTGATGCTGATTGCACAAATACTGCGGGGTCATATTCATGTAATTGTAAGGATGGATTCACTGGTAATGGAAGGTCTTCTTGCAAAGGTATGCCATGAAATATTCCCATTATAATAATGATTTGCATGTGTGGCATGCAATGTTTGGTGTATAAATGTAATTGTTTAAATGTTATAAAGTTTTAAAAAAGTGAACATTAATTTCACTTCTTACTTAAGGCATTCATAAATGCGTTGCAGCTCTTTTTAGAAGACAACGTGAAAGGATTAACAGCAAGAGACATGTTTTTCTTATTTTAGTGCCGATTCCCCAACACCTTTCACAGTGTTCTCAAACAAGTCTGAAACATTTTTAATATGTGTTATCATATTCATATACAAACCTCTCCGATATTATTATTTTTTCTTGCAAACTCTTATCAGGTTCAATGCGGCGATAATGCGTGCGGGAATATTTACATGCAGCCTCGAATAATCTAAAATGTAATTTAACCGCGGCTAACTAGGTTTTTTGGCCGTTAGACATCTGAACTTTTTAACCGAGTCAGGCACAACTTTTGAGAGAGCCTGGGATTAGAGAGAGAGAGAGAGAGCCTGGGATTAGAGAGAGATAGCCTTGATTAATGATAATAATATTTCGCGTGAATATTCACTTGTAGCCATCCTTAAAATCGGGCAATCGACGAAATGTAGCAAAATTTTACTTTTAACAGTTACACCGGCTATAAAGCTTTACAGTCTCCCGACCTTATGACTGTCAGGGCATTTTCGACTATTTAATGCCGTATTTTCTTTGGAATCTGGAACTGGGGTGATCCTAAGTGTCCATTTAGCATCGTCTTAAAATGTAACAAAACTTATTTTATTTTTTAGATATTGACGAGTGTACGGAAAACTCAAATGCATGTCATGGTGATGCTGATTGCACAAATACTGCGGGGTCATATTCATGTAATTGTAAGGATGGATTCACTGGTAATGGAAGGTCTTGCAGAGGTATGCCATGAAATATTCCTATGTCCATATAATAATGTTTTTGCACGTGTGTATCTGCAACACTTTCTGACCGCTCATGTAGGCCTCTACTGTACCTCTACTATACGGATTGTTATATGTACCGGCGGCGGCAGGGATACCAAATATAAACCAATTAATTTGCTTCATACTGGGGCCAGTTGTATAAAGGACTGTAGTTAACGTTTAACTGTAGTTAAGGACAGAATATGCCAAACAGAGTCGTGTAGTTCTGAGTTAACTAGGATTTAATTATGCAAAATGTAGTTAAAGAGTTTTAAAACGCGACAGTAGAAAGCAGCCCTAACACCAGTAAGCACTTGCTACATACTGATCATTCTTAACGGCAAACGAAGATCTAGAGTTTGATGACCACCCCTTCCCCCTTAGAAAAATGTGAATGCAAATATCTACGGTAAATCTTCGTTTGATCATTGCCAAATCAACTACCAGTGACTCCTACATGATTCATTGGAACTCGATCACCGCAACATCACGGATGACCGTTTTTCGAGTAATAGAATAAGAATTTCGTCAATTGTCGTTCTAAAGGTGTGACCTTACCCAGGCGTGAGAATTGTGTTCCTGTATGGAACGTGCTTTCGCGTATAGCAATGTATACCGTTGTAATTATTGTCTGTAAATCCTACAAAAACTTGTTTCTCCTAGATATTGACGAGTGTGCGAAACACCCATATGTATGTGACCGACTTGCTGTATGTCATAACACTCCGGGGTCATATTCATGTAATTGCAATCCTGGATACAGTGGTGATGGAAAAAATAATTGTGGTGGTACGTAGGTGTATCAAATTAATGTAATTCTTCAAAAGAGGTATCGTTATTTCAACGTCTTATCGAATTATCAGTCATGGCCAGAAATTGCGGACATGGAATATGCAGATTGCCGTAGCAAATTTGCATATCTGTTCAAATATTATTCGTTTGCAGAACTATAAATTATATTGCGCATTCTTAAATTTTGCAAAATTTAAGAAAATCATTGCATCTTTGCTATTTGCCCTGGTTGTTTCTTGTAACTCGTGTCATATTGAAGATCCTGAGGTAATATTTTGCTGGCAAAGGTTTATGTCGGCTCTGCATTTTTATTTTATTTCTACGCTATTACGGTTTTCGTTTTATATGGTATTCAACGTGATAAATGACCAAAACTTTGTTTTGAAAATGCAGGACGAATACTGATAAAACATTTTGAAATACTGTATAAAAATATTAAGATTAACTTGCTCTGCAACGAGCAATTAAGGCAAATTATAATCGACCTACCTAAAGGTGTATTTTTAGCGTTTAGTACTGTGCACATTACAGTTTACTATAAACTCACAAAGCTTTATTTTGACACCATATGCAAATTTAGGCGGAAGTAGAATGTTAAATATGTCCGAATTTTCTGGCCATGCGTGTCTGTATAACCCAGGAGTCTTTGAGAGAGCTGCATGCGACTTGGTTGTTTATATAAACAGCAATTTATTTGTCTGTAAGTGGCCTTCAAAGTGTATAACAAAACCTGTTTTAATTCTTAGATATTAACGAGTGTACGGAAGACCCAAATGCCTGTGGTGATAATGCTGAATGCGAAAATAATATTGGGTCATATTTATGTAATTGTAATGATGGATATGCTGGTGATAAAAAAATGTGCAAAGGTGGGTAAAATGTGCAGAGTGTATAAATATGTATATACAGTCGTTATCATTAAGGTTGTCACCTGGAAATATATATAAGTATATATATACGTAAATATCGATCACGTGATTGTACAGCATATATTAAATGTATGGGAAACTGTTGGACATCTGTCTTGAAGAACTATATTGATATATACATTATATACATATATATATATATTATATATATATATATATATTATATATATATATATATATTAATATATACATATACATATACATATGGCTTTTCAAAATTCTGATTGGTTGACGAGCGGTCCGTAAAACCCATATCCGCACCGTGGTCCGTGTATGCCGTATCTGGACCAGTATCCCGGATGTCTCATGCAGTTCAGCCATGTAATAAACCGATTATTGACCTCGCCTGTTCCGTCTGTACTGTGAAATATCAGACGGATGTTTTTTGCATGGATCTCGCTCCTTCGCCGCTCGGTCCATACTAAAAAGCCTCGGTCGGATATTTCACAGTACAGACCTCACGCTCGGTTTATAATCAGTTAATATTAGATTATATATAGACTAATATCATCATATTAATACACGCCTATATTATGGAATATTTAGCATTGTTTCTATAAATTTCAATTTTAGATATAAATGAATGCAATCAAGCAAATTTATGCAACCTATCGCGTTCAAAATGTGTAAACACCCCAGGAAGTTATCATTGTAAATGTGATAAAGGCTATACAGGAGTTGGTTTCAATTGTTCAGGTTGGTCTTCAAACCATATATTATAAATTCTTGTTATAAATAGCTTTCATCAAACGAATGCATGCATGGCAATTATTTCTAGTACCTTTCCGAAACATTTTATACTTGTGACTATAAGTGCTTGAACACATGTTATCTGCTGAAATGTTTTCTGTTGTTTACCTTATTTGCTTTTTATTTCAGATATCGACGAATGTGGACTTCATAAGTGTTCACGCAATGCCGACTGTATTAATACTGTGGGCTCATTTATTTGCACATGCAGAAAAGGTTATAGAGGAGATGGCATGAATTGTATTGGTAGGTTGAAATTACAGCAAACTATACTTGCAGGGAGCTCATAGCATTTATTTATAGAAATAATAGACAATAATGTCTCCTATTTTTAAGAAGGAGCTTCAGGGTACGTCCAGCCTCACCATACTAGAAAGTTATGCATTGCAGAACTTTGTACAGTATAAAATTTCTCCCTCAAAAATCTTTAGTCCTTAGTTTAAGTAAAAAAGATCTCTAAAATACTACCCTAGTCTTGAAAGAGAAAGTGCACACATTCTGCGGAATCAATGCCAAGTTTTTGAATTTTGCTGAAAAACTTTTCGCGGATAGGTGAAAATCCCGAACTTGTCCCTATAAAACATAGCTACGTCCGGGTGGGCTCGAAAGATCGAGGTATTTAATAATGTTACACACTCCGATATCTTTGCGGTATAGTGACTCCTCGTTGCATTTCATATTTTCGTGTATGCCATCTTGCATGTATCGTACTGTGGCTCCTTACGTTTAAACAACATCTGTATTTCTTTATTGACAATGGATAGCTCATGATATCCAGTATAGTTTTAAATGTAACCTCCATGTGCCAAACAATGCTTTGTAATGTAGTACCCGCTTTACAAACCCCTTTGAAATTGGTAGTATACTTATTTTATGTTGTCATTTATATAGTATAGCAAAGCAATGCTTTCTCTTTTCTAGGGCAAGATGCTAAGATTACATCTATTAGGTCTTCTAATACTGAGAACAAATTCCGATTTCGCGATCGTCTAGAATTATTCTGCAACGCATCGGGTCTACCAGTACCAAAGATTGAGTGGAAAAAAGAAGGCGACGATGCAATTACCCATAAAGCCAAATCAGGTATTTTTACCCACTTCTAATAAACGTTTTGAAATTATGCTAAATCCAAAACAACATTTCTCTGCAATGTTCTTAGGAATGTTGTTTTAGAAAATTTAATGGCTTGAACTGTTTTCTACGTTACTAATGTTACTTAGTGAATGATGAGTTCATTGAATGATGAGTTCATGTTACTTAGTGAATGTAATGTAACGTAGTAGTAATATACGTACACATGAATAATTAACACGAAGCTAGAGTTATATTTATAAAAAATTTTAATTCATTCACACAAGCGATTATTCTCTTCTACTCAATTGCCTCGTTTGTGTGTTTTCAGAAGATATATAAAGTTTATATTCCTGTGTTTCGAAGCTTGTTTCGTATTAATCTTGGCTTCAACTATAGGCATGAAATTACATGCGAAATGAAGCCATTAGGTAGTTAAAAAATAAATGGTATGTGGGGTTTATTAATGCATGTGGCCAAATGTTTTATAGTTAACAGTACGAAATATTTGTGGGCAGCAAGTACTTTGGTTATTAAATCGCTAAAGTTGAATGATGCGGGACTCTACAATTGTACTGCAAAAAATGAAGAAATGGACATAGAAGGAATTTTCGTTCAGGTTATTGGTAAGGATTTTTGCTTTTTTCAATATAGCCATGTTATTTTTGGTTTCATTACAATAGTAACTCAATTTTAAAGAAAAGTTAAACTACGTAGTTAAACTGCAGGAATTCTGACTAGTTTAGAAACCAAATATATATTGATAAAATATATTGATTTTTTATTGGGATTTACACGCAATTCACCTGAAAGTCAAAATACGCCTCTATCAGGGGGGGAGGTACTTGTAACCGATGTTGTATTGAAATAGTGGAATTATGTATCCCACCTGAAACGTAGGTCCAAACAGTAGGTCTGCGAACAGGCTATTAAAAAATTTTAAGCAAATCGGGGCAAAAGAAAATGGCATCCTACACAAGAATCCCATGCATCCTCTCTTGAAATTCCAGTCGTTCGTTCATAAGTTGAGAGATAAGTTTTATAGTGCAACACAGTCTTCTTGGAATGTTTTTAAGGAACACCAACTTCTCCTAAAGCCACAATTAAAGAAGTCACTGATACTGACATACACGTGTCTTGGGAAAAACCATTGGATTCAGGTTCAAGTGATATTAATCGCTACGTCGTATATTATTATGACACATCAAATGCAAAGAAAAAGTCAGAACCCTTTTTGGGTGATAAATGGTCTGGAATAATCTCTAACTTAAGTGCGAATACAGAGTATGCAATATGGGTGGTGGCGGGAAATGAGGAAGGTGAAAGTGAGCATGATGGTGATCTTGTTCATGCTACTACTCTCGCTCCAAGTAAGTCCATTTTCAATGGAATGTAGCCATTTTATTCGCGATATTATCGTCGCCTCCTCTCCCATTTTCTAATTTTCATGCTTTACTTTGTCGACGTAGAACCAGTTGCGCTACCTCAACCTGAAATGGGCAGAGCTTCAGATACATCTGTTAAGATACAAGTGAAGAAGTTTGATAGTCAGTCTGAAGCGTACGTATGCATATTTTCTTCTTCGTTGTACTTATTTTGTATATGACTTGTACATGCACGATGCTTGAGCTTGCATGGTGAAGATTTTTTTATATTAATCTCGTATGACGAAGCAATACAATAATTGCTTATGAATCTCATTTGCAAACTCTCATCAGTTCTAATCTTTGTTTGACCAGAGCATTGCAAGTGATCGTTCAAAAGGTGTCAGAAAGAAGAAAAAGGTCAACGTCTGGTATTCCAAACCGTATATATGGTTATAAAGAAGCGAAATGTGAAGAACTAACGGACTGTTACTATATTGCGGCTGAGATACAAAACATTGATATAGAGTTCGTTGTTGGTGATGGTAAAATGTATGGCAATTACAAGAACGTTGAACTTGAGCCTTCCACGACTTATAATATTTATACCAGAGGTGTTTCATACAACAAGGATAAGGTAGGTAATTGTTAATATACTGCCGCGTTTTAATTGTCCTTCCTCGTCGTGGTAAAAAAGACGTATTGCACTCGATAAACTGCTGAACTAATATCATATTTCCTATTTTAATACATTTAGAAAGTAAATTATGGAGACCCATCTCCGCGGTTACAAATATCGACAAAAGGTACAGTTTCATCATTCGATATAACAACTAAAAAACAAATAATATGTCTGCATAAATTGGCTGTTATTGATCATTTTAATTATATACAAGAGACAAAAACACTATCTGACGTTTGACCGAAGAAGAGCCTTCGTCAGGAGAGTTATAGTGCGGGTTGTTCCTTGTTCCCTTTTTTGCAATTTTGTATTCCCCAGAAATGTACAGTACTATCAATTTTTTTATGATTTGGCATTTTTGTCAGAGTTCTCCCGTCATTTGACACTCAGACACCCCTCTTCCATTACACCAGTGTGCTTCAAAGAGTAAAAAAGCCTTTAGAATCTCTAATGAATATCTAATTAACATTTTAATCTCCTTAAGGTCCCGGTAGCAGTGCAGAGAGTGATGATGGTAGCGTTGTTGGTCTCGCAGTTGGTTTAAGTGTGGTTGTTGTTGTGCTTATTATTCTCGCTTTTCTGGCTTTTATCTATATCAGGTGCAGTTTAAATAATATATTAAAAAACCTTTTATAACCTAAAATATAGCCTACTCGCGCTATTTCAAATATTTCGTGCTATTTCAAATTTATTCGGGTTTTTATACACACTGCTGTATGACATAATACTAATTTCCCACAAAACCAATCCTAGCCAACTATTTTACATTATTCTTTCTAAGGGAATGAAGTGTTGAATATTTATTTTTCCGTAGATCAAAACGTCCTCAAACAATTGAGATAGATCCTGAAACAGGGGAGAAAAAAGGACGGAAAAAAATGAATTCAGAATTACTACCCCTGACGAGGAAAACACATGGTAAGTTGGCACAAGTTTTATAATGACGTTACGTGCTTCCAATCCGGATTTGTCCGATATCGTTTGTGTTTACACTATTTCATTATGGATTCATTGTCTAATTAACAGTCTCTTTCATTTAGGAAAAAGAAAAAGTGGTCAGGTGGAAGATGGTTCTCCAGATCCCAATCATCCACCAGTGGCTACAACTGCTTTCGCAAAGTATGTCGGGAAGCTTCATAAATCTGATGATCGTGGATTTATGATTCAGTACAATGTAAGAATTATTTTTCAAGTATTTGCTAATTGCCAAGTTCATGTTCATATATTGAGCTTTCATGGTGCTATGTTAGTTTGATTTTCAATTTATTTTTACATCACATCATGCAGTTGTGAAATTACTCCTCCGTTGTCTCTATGTATGGCCAACCAGTCAGTTTTCCAAAAATATGAGAAACCGAGGAAATATTCGAATAACCAAGGAATTGCACTTCATTAAGTTTAAAAATATCCTTTGCTATTTCAGACCTTGGAAACGAGCCAGACGTATACGAGCGATTTCGCCACATCCCCAGAAAATAAAGAAAAGAACAGATACGCCAATATTGTTGCATGTAAGTATGATGTTGCAAAAACTCACCATTAATGTGTAGTGTAACTGTAATGTGACTGGTTGTTTGGTGATTTTTAGATGATGTTTCTAGAGTTCATTTGAAACTGATCGATGATGATGACAATTCAAGTTATATCAATGCCTCGTTAGTTGATGTAAGTTTCAATTATCGTGCGCCATAAACCCGAAAACAAGTATGTACCTTCTTAGCACTAATTAGCATAAAGAATGATTGCATGAATAGTTAGCATAAAAACAGAAGCAGTTCGTCCAAAGAAAGTAATATTGAGGTCTATTGTGAAAACACTTGGTTCTACTCTCTTAATTTTGTTTAGAGAATATTACCTAATATTACCTATTATGATGCTATTTTAGGGATATAACTCGGCAAATGCATATATCGCAACCCAAGGTATAACAATATTCTTATATTTTAACTTGTCTTATTGGAATTATTCATCTTTGACTTTGTAGTAATATGTGTAAAATAATTGTTGATACATCTTATTTCCTAAGGTCCTCTTCCTGGAACATTCAATGACTTTTGGCGAATGGTTTGGGAAAGGAATTGTTCATCAATTGTAATGCTTACCAATCTACAGGAAAGACACAAGGTATTTAAAGGCGGCTTTGTATTTCGTGGAGAAAGAAAGCATGGTATTAAGAATTATAAGGATTGCAGGATAGAGAGGACTCTCGTTTATTGTCCTTTCAATGTGTTTATCATGACTGATGACCAAATGATTTTTACGACTTAATGAAATGTGTTATATATGTGATAATTGTGCACGATTTCTTTTCTTAGTCGCATGTATGGGTTAACCTGAAATAAACCTATTAAAAATGTTCATATTATTAGTTGAAATGTCATAAATATTGGCCTGAGGAATCTGAGGTCTATGGTGAGATCACCGTGATAGCTACACGAAGAGAACAATATGCTGATTATGTGATTCGAACCTTCCTTTTAAAGATGGTACGTTTTTAAAAATTTTAGTTTCACATAATACCAGTTTTCGTCAGCATGCCAAGCCTCGCGTGGCAAATGTTCCTCCCGTGAAAAACCGTTTAGATTGCTAATATTAGATTGAATCCTTTGTTTTCACGGTCACGTACTTCGTTATTGCTTATTTGTAAAACTATAGTCATGCTCGTTTGACCATGGCTTAACGTTTCATAGCAAGGGAGGAAAACTGCTTCGAAGCACAGTAGTAGACAAATCTCAACTTACATAATTAATGTATGATGCTTTGTTTTCTAGAATGAAACAGAAGAAGAACGTGAAATTAAACAATTTCATTTCACTGTGTGGCCAGATCATGGCGTGCCTGAATATCCTACTGCTATTCTTGCATTCCAGAGACGTGTACGTGCTTATAGTACTCGTGACTCAGGACCTCTTGCTGTCCATTGCAGGTATGTGTCGATCCTCATGCACGAAGAAGGTTGTTTCGCTATAGCTGTTATTTTCCGACTAAAATTGACCACACTTTACAACCCACTTTCTTACATTTTGTACTGCAGTGCACTTGTGTAGGGTCAGCTGCTTGATTCCTTCCTTATTCTTAAATTTTAAGGATCAAATATTTTATCAATATTTTATCGATGTAATCTTCCCCGTGTTTCTCAGTGACAATGATATTATACTGTATGTTTCTTTACATTAATGTTCTTTCTAGTGCTGGTGTTGGGCGTTCTGGTACATTCATTGTAATTGATTGTATGCTGGCTAGGATACAAAGTGAACAGGCTGTCGACATATATAACTATGTTAGATATCTGAGAACCAGACGAATGTACATGGTTCAGACGGAGGTAATACAGCACTTCAATTTGAACATTTGAGTTTCATCTTCTTTCCAGAGTTTATTAAACTTTCCTGAATTTGCCAGGGTACTCACGAGCTAAAATGACTATCATACTAGCTATTGTTTCGTATACATGCACTGAATGCTAGTAAAAAACAGCGAATGGAGTGTATTTAGTATTTTTTATATATGATTCGAGGTGATTATCATGATTACGTCTTAAAGTAATAATAACTGTATTCTATTATCGCCACCTTTTTTGTGTTTCAGGAGCAATATGTGTTCTGTCATGATGCTCTACTAGAATCTATTTTGTGTGGGAATACACAAATGGCTGCTCACAATTTACGCATAGAAATGAACAAATTAAGAGACAGAGACGCAACAACGAAACTTACTGGCTACGAGGCTGAATTTAAGGTAACAGTTGTTTAACAATGTTCCGTTCTTTCAATATGTTTTTATTTCAAAGGACGAAACTAATATAGGAGTGTTTAATCCCATCAAAATTTATCATCTCGAGTTTTAAACTGCTAGCAATCCTAGTCCGACACGACATAATAAAATACATTCAATTTGTGTTCAACGTATGCTATATACGTCTTCTTCTAGACACTGAACAAAGTCAGTCCCTCGTTACCAAAGGAATCTTTTACTGTTGCAACATATCCAGTGAATTCTTCTAAGAATCGCTACCATGACATACTTGCATGTGAGTAAACTACATTTTACTAAAAACTTGAGAATGAAATAGGATTTCGCTACAATTCACCTTTCATTTTGGCTCTGTTCAGCTGATCATGACCGAGTCATTCTGGGTGATGAAGATGATAAAGACGATGGCCCTTATATAAATGCAGTTTATGTTGATGTAAGAAATCCTTTACTTTTATACCATTTTTGTATTAATAGAAACAAAATTGTTCCCGACCACATTGTAAGTAGAAATGCTGTTGTATTTAGGGTTACAAACAACAAAACGCATTCGTTTTAACTCAAGCTCCGCTGAAGGATACAATAAAAGATTTCTGGCAAATGATGTATGAAAAACATTCTGCTTGTGTTCTTCTTTTGACAAATCTCACAGAGGAAGAAGGAGTAAGTTTATTCCTAAAATTTTAGGTTGTTATGAGAAACACCATGCATCCATCGTGTAAAGTCCTTAGGTCTAAGATAACCTCCAATATAGTGTCCATTAGTACCAACCATTCAAATTATTGCTATCAATGTTATCAACAAAAATATTTTTACTCTAGGATTTTCCGCAGTTCTGGCCTGACGAGGGATCTGAAGATTATGATGTGTTTAACGTTGAGCTGGTGTCAGATGCATCGAAAGGTGATACTGGAAGTGAAGATCAATTCCAACAAGAGAAACTTAGCAAAGATATTGTTGAAAGGAAATTTAAAATAACTAAGGTTTGTCCTGAGATTTTCGGTGTTCTTGTGGTACAATAGACACGTTAAGATTAACGTTTACAACAAAACGCAAATCAACTATTTACTGATTAAAATTAATACAATTTGTCCATGGAAATCCATGCAATAATGGAATATGAACTAAGGTTTGGAAAACCTGTAGGACTTACTTTCCAATTGGCGTCTACGGCTAGGGGTTTCAGTGTAGCGAACGTCAAAATTCTTCTTTCTGTTTCTTTTGTTCGTTGTCACGAGACTGACGTAGACATTCTAACTGTTACTATCATATTCCAAGGAGGAAGACAAGTCCCTGGTAATTAAAATGTTTCAACATCTTTCGTGGACGGAAACATCAGTTCCAACAGATATTTCTGCAATCGTATCGTTAATCCAACGTATTGAAAAATGGCAGCAGCATTCTGGCAATGGCCCTATCACGATTGTTTGCAAGTATGTTTTTTGCTAATTTTATAACTTTCAGAGCTACTAAGCAATTATCTTAAACATACTCATCTACATGTATAAATATAAAAGTAGCGATGATATTTGCGAATTTAAACATGCAGTTGGTGATGCCTATATAACATAATAAAAAAACGAATGTACTTTCACCAATACTTATATCGAAATCTTTCTTCCTAGTGATGGTCAAGGTCGCAGTGGAACGCTTGCAGCTTTGTGCTCAGTTTTAGAACGAGTCAAAACAGAACAAGTCGTGGATGTATTTCAAACTATTAAAGCATTGCGTATACAAAGACCAGGCCTCGTCAAGCATGTGGTATGTTTTCAAATAGTCATATAGTTATTCGTAGTTGAATTAGTATGGAGAACGAAATATTAGAATACTGCAATGTTTATGATTAAAGAAAATGCTATTCTAGTGCACCAACTGGAGACAAACGTATGCCTTTACCTATGTTTTCATGAGCGATTAAGAGTTACAAACAAAATCAGTCCTGAACTGCGTGGCACCAAGTAACTTTTAATGGTTGCAAATATACCGCGCGTGATAGAAGACTTAACAGATGCCAGCTGGATCCCACCAATCATAATATCCTACTATACATTTCAACACACAACCGTTTAAATTATTTCTGTTTAGGAACAATATCAATTCATTCACTTGGGGGTTCAGGAATACTTGGACAGTTTTGCCGATTACGCCAATTTTAAATGAGATTTTTAATAATATGTTCATTTTATTTGCATGGAGTGCGCAGTGGGGAATTAATGTGTGAAACTTATTCCTTATATTACTAGGTTTGTAAATTTAAATAATTTAGTGTAGTGTACAATTTTTTACAAATATAGAAATAGTAAAAAATATTGATACCCCTATAACAGTTTTGCTAACTTTTATAAAATAAGTGAGCTGTTTTGCATGTCCAGGCTTGTGATATGTGTTAATTAATAAGGTATCTAAATGTTATAATCAAAGCCCCATATACACAGACGAGCGTTCACGGCAGCTTCTTCAAACCACGGTTTAAATGTTTGATCATGTGTACGAGCGTCAACGAATAGTTGTCAGGACCACTGGGACTGTTTACAGGATGAAAAAGAAAACCCTTGCGACCCCTGTAAAGGCCCTGGGTACGAGGTTGTGCGAAGAGTCGAACAAATGTACTTGACTTTGCTCGTCTCAGTGTATAGGGGCTCATATAAACTAATTTTAAAGCAGTTATTGGAAGTTTGGGAAGATAGGTCTAAAATAATTTCTAGTCTAGTTAAAAAAATTGTAAATGATCCTATACTATTGTAGAGCGCTGTAGTTTCTACATGTAATCTTGTATATATATATTCAATGGTAAAAAGAATCGGGCAATTTTTAATAAACTTTTAAAAATATTAAAATCAATCTTGCCGGCTGTTGAGTGTTGGTTCATATTGGAAGGGTGCCTCTGATACCTATCATGCATGAGTGGTAAAAATTCTTCTCTGTCAGTCAGTTTTTCTGGAGTTCGAATTATATGTTTTCATCTATTGTGCAAACAAGAGAGGTGACCTTACAAGTTGTAATCACGGGCAGCAAAAACGCAACGAAGGCCTGGCCCTGGATTGGGGCGTGGGTAGTTTCATTTTAGCCAATCAAATTGTGTATTTCTAAATTTCACCAATCAAAGAGAAGCGAACTGTGCACATGCGTTGACTCGTCATTGTCTAGCGCTTTGCCTCGAGGGTCTAGAAGGAGCGCAATACTTCAGAAATTTATATCAAAAATTGAATATATTTTATGTCAAAGAAAGAAACTACAAAACGTAAATATGATAAAATATTATCGTACTCCTGGCCTGTCAGAATGTTCACATCAAGAATGTTTATCAAAGTTGAAAAAAGTATCACCACATGTGGTACGAATAGCAACTGAGACATGCTTCTGCATTGAACTCGAGAAAGGATATCAGTTGTGTAGTGCAGATGAACAAAGGCTTTTGTGGATTTTGACCCTTCCTTTTAGCGAAAAAAACATTAGCAAGAGGTCTTTTCTTCAAAACCAGTTAACACAAAAAGTTGGATGTCAGCACATTACAATTGAAGTTGGGCCAAGGTTAAATTTTTCCACTGCTTGGTCTACCAATGCAGTGTCAATCTGCCAGTCTATTGGTTTGATTCATGTAAAACGTATTGAAGAGTTCATGAGATATGTAGTCGAAGTTAACATTTGTGATGAAAGTTCAGCTGAAAATGGCTTTAATGAGGATCTTAGTGGATCACTTGCAAGGGTTCTACATGACAAAATGACACAGTGTACTTATGACCAACCTTTAGAGTGTTTCGATGTTGATATTAAACCTGATCGATGGTTTGAAGTTGATGTTCTTTCCAAAGGAAGGATTGCACTTGAACAAGTTAACCAGGACCTAGGCTTAGCATTTGATGACTGGGACTTGGATTACTACACTGCATTATTCTTAACAAATCTCAAACGAAACCCAACAAGTGTTGAATGTTTCGATCTGGCCCAATCAAACAGTGAACATTCAAGACATTGGTTTTTCAGAGGGAAGATTTTTATTGATGGAAAGGAAATTCATGAATCACTTATGGATATGGTCAAGAAAACTAGCAAACTTTCAAATGATAATAGTGTCATACGTCTAACTGATAACAGCAGGTGAGTACCGGTAGACCTCAAGAGCAGATAGGTATATAGAATAAGATCCAGCTAGAACTAAAAATATTACACTGTATTCAATTTGACCAGTGCAATAAAAGGATACAAAGTCCCAGTAATGTTCCCAGGTGACACATCACAAGCAAGTTCAGTTGAAGTTGAGGAAAGCACCAGGCATATCATATTTACTGCTGAGACTCATAATTTTCCTACAGGTAAAATGTATTTTTTACAACCCTTAATCAATGGCAGCACACAAGGATTATCATTTATTTGCTTTGTTTTAACAAACAATGTAAACTTATGAAAGATTGTGTTGTCCATTTTAATGGGTTATTTATTAACTGCCCAAACAAAATTTATTAACTGCCCAATTTATCAATTTCATAATTTTTGTTTCACTCTAATTGTCTTGAGTAAATTTGTTCAATGTTTGAATAATTTTGAAGACAAAGTGCATTGATCAAATATGGTCAGTTTACAATGTTACCAAAATATTTCTTTTGCTATATTGTACGTGCATTAACCTTTGCTTCGATCACTGTTTGTGTTTAGGTGTGGCACCTTTTCCTGGGGCCACAACAGGTACAGGTGGTCGAATACGAGATGTCCAAGCAGCAGGGACTGGTTCCAATGTTGTGGCTGGAACTGCTGGCTATTGTTTTGGAAATTTAAATATTCCAGGTTTGTTGTCAAAGCAGTGTTTCAATTCACATGTCAGCATTGTATGTCAAGTTGATGTTGCTACAGTATATTCTTTACAATGTCCACATTTTAATTTCTGCTGTCTTTATTTTAAATTGTATTTTTTTAAAATGCATGGTACCAGAATAAAGGACCACATATTTTTCTGCTGTTTCAGGTTATGACTTGCCATGGGAGGCCAATGACTGGGAGTACCCATCAAATTTTGCATCCCCTTGTGAAATTGCGATTGAAGCAAGTAATGGTGCCTCAGATTATGGGAACAAGTTTGGTGAACCTGTTTTGGCTGGTTTTTCTCGCTCTCTTGGAATGTTATGGAATAAAGAAAGAAGAGAATGGATAAAGCCCATCATGTTTAGCGGCGGCATTGGATCCATCGACTGTAGACATATATCCAAAGATCTCCCTGAAAAAGGTAACAGGTGGATACAAAATCACTCTTGATTTGTGCACTATTTTTACTATTTACTATTTATGGTAAAAGTAGCAGCCAAGAAACGTAAATTAATGTCGCGGATGGCATTTAGTTAAAATACTTATTTAACCGTTTTACGCGTTTATGAGTATTTTTATGTATATTGATGTAAAGTATTCTTAGGAATGAATGTCGTAAAGATTGGTGGTCCAATCTACCGTATCGGTGTAGGTGGAGGTTCTGCCTCATCAATTCAAGTTCAAGGAGATAATGCAAGTGAATTAGACTTTGGTGCTGTGCAAAGAGGTGATGCGGAGATGGAACAGAAATTAAACAGAGTTATCCGTGCCTGTATAGAAATGAAAGAGAATAATCCAATATGCAGTATACACGATCAAGGAGCTGGTGGAAATGGTACAATTTTTATTTTCTCAATTTATTAACATTTTAATGATTTATAAACCTTAAACCTTGATTTAAAAGCGTTACTACGAGTTATACGTGTAGTTGGCTGTTTTGAAGAGCTTGCTAATAGTACATATCTGATTCTGGCGTGTTATCAGTAAGAGGATATAATCAATGTATTTACTGCTTTTCGCCAGGTAATGTGTTGAAAGAATTAGTTGAACCAACAGGGGCGATTATCTATACTGAAGCTTTTAAACTTGGTGACCCAACGATATCAACACTTGAATTATGGGGTGCTGAATACCAGGAAAGTAATGCGTTACTGGTTAGACCGGAACACCGTGGAATACTTGAGAAGATTTGTAAGAGAGAAAAAGTCGACGTTTGTTTTGTTGGCAGTGTAACAGGTGGGAATATGTAGTAAAATATTCTTGTAGTTTTTCTACCATTTTTGTGTCAATTAGACGATGTCGATCATGATTCTTGTCAATATTTAACTGCAGGTGATGGTAAAATCGTGTTAAAAGAAAGTGCAGAAAACAATGGACATACTTCTAATGGGAATGCAAACGTTGAAGTTGAAGCTAAGAAGGCGAAGAAACGTGATCCAGTTGATATTGAACTAGATGTCGTTTTAGGCAAGATGCCGAGAAAAGTATGAAACTCCAAGCTCTTGCAGAAACAACGTTTTAGTTTCAACACTGCCGCAGAATAAAAAATTACTAAAGTTACTTTATTTTTTTAGGAATTTCAGATGAATCGCGTGAAACCAACCCTGAGGCATCCTTTGAGACTTGATCCTAAGTTAACTGTAAGAGATGCGCTTGAACGAGTACTGAGACTACCATCAGTTGCAAGTAAAAGATATCTTACAAACAAGGTGAATTTTTGTCTAAAAATTATCGACGCATATGCGGTATTTTTGATATATGATCGACACAAGACATTGAGATAAATAAACAACCGACGAATAAGATGAATAAGGTTAATTCATCTCAATGCTACCAATTTTTTTTCTCATCGGTTAGGTTGACCGTAGTGTGACCGGATTAGTAGCTCAACAACAATGTGTTGGACCGCTTCATACACCTGTCGCAGACGTTGCTGTGACGTCATTAAGTTATTTTAATACTCTTGGTGCCGCTACTGCTATTGGTGAGCAGCCAATCAAAATTCTCATTGATTCTTGTGCTGGTGCCCGGATGTGTCTTGGTGAAGCGTTGACAAATTTGATTTTCGCTCAAATTACTGAATTAAAGGTTGGTATAATAATTTTTTTGAAAATGTGTATAATTTGAAAGATATTTGCGATTGGGTATGTTTAGTGCTAAATCTTATGACTCAACCAAGAACAAAACCTGGACTCCTCACCCGAGCAACACATAAACGCCTAACGGAATGGAAAGATTTCAACCAATAGCACCAACACAAAATATATATACTACCCTCTATTATCCGTTCTGGTTTGTGGGTACATGTAAATACCGTAGTCACATGACACTCGAATAATTTGCCTTTAGTATATTAGTGCAAAATATTGAAGCTAACATTGCTATCTTCGTTTTCTACTGTAGGATGTTAAATGTAGCGCGAACTGGATGTGGCCGGCTAAACTCCCTGGTGAAGGAGTTACCTTGTATGATGCTTGTCGTTCTGTATGTGATGCAATGACGTCATTAGGTGTTGCGATTGATGGCGGTAAAGATTCTCTGAGTATGGCGGCGAGGGTTGGTGACGAGACAGTAAAAGCCCCCGGGTCACTTGTAGTGTCTGTATATGCTCCTTGTCCTGATATTACTGCTACTGTAACACCTGATCTGAAAATTTTTGATGGTAAAGGATCAATACTTTATGTGAAGTTAGATAAAGAATATTGCCGACTAGGAGGAAGTGCATTGGCTCAAGTCTTCAACCAAGTTGGAGATGTATCTCCTGATTTAGATAATCCCGAGGTATTATATTAAACAAATATTGATTTCCCTCAATTGTTAAATTAATCGGACAGCACTGTATGTTATGCCGTATGTTGTACACACTCTTGATAAGCCAATCCTGTGACTAACTGTGGATTCATCCAACTGGATTCGATTGCCACGTCGCTGTGGCTATCACATTTTCTAATAATTGTTTTATATGTAACACGATATATAAACTTTCTTTAGTTTTGTTAGAACTATCGATTTTTTATATAGATGCTTTCGAAATGTTTTGCTATTACACAAGATCTGCTGTCCAAACGAATGATATCATCTGGTCATGACGTCAGTGATGGTGGTTTAATAACCACGCTGCTTGAAATGGCCTTTGCTGCAAACTGTGGACTTTCAATCGACATTAAATCAAGCGACACAGTCGGAGGTAACGAAGCTAAGAATATCCCGCTGAATCTCCTGTTTGCAGAGGAACTGGGCATTGTGCTGGAAGTTTTGGACGAGAATGTCAACGCTGTTTGTAAAGCATACACAAAAGCTGGTATCATCTGTAACAAGATTGGTCATACGAGCACATTTGGTCAAGATGGGATAATTATGGTCTCGATTGATGACGTTGTTGTTCTGGAAGATAAAATGACGTCATTACGAGATGTCTGGGAGGCCACAAGTTTTCAACTGGCGCGATTACAATCCAATGCCAAATGTGTGATTAGCGAAGAATCCATTCTCAGTACTAGAAAAACGCCTCCATATAGTTTGTCTTTTACACCCTCCAAGAAAACTCCAGGGTCAGTGCTGCTTTTTTTTACCTTACTGTATGTTGTATGTAGGTCTAAACCAATGTTAGCAATCGTTATATGATATTTTATGCACTGATAGTTCATGCACTGAAAAACCGAACGATATAGATACAGCAAATACAGGAATTATGTAGAAAATACCATAGGCACTGTACCTTTAAACAGTGTTGAAATATTTTTTATATATTTTAAACTGGTTTTAAAATAAGTTGCTTTTCTTTTATAGCAGATGCAAGTACGCAATTGACTATTTTCATGTAATATTTCTTGTTTTGCTATCCTTTTAGAGGTGATGATGTGAAACGACCAAAAGTTGCTGTTATTCGTGAAGAAGGTAGCAATGGTGATCGCGAGATGAGTGCAAGTTTGCTCCAAGTTGGATTCGAAGTTTGGGATGTCAACATGCAGGATATTTCTACTGGTCAGATAACCTTAGATAAATTTCGAGGCATCGTGTTTGTCGGTGGTTTCAGTTTTGCCGATGTTTTAGGCTCTGCCAAAGGCTGGGCTGCAGTTTCACTTTTCAACGAGGCATGTCAAAAAGAATTTCATGCATTTCTCGCTCGAGAAGATACGTTTAGTCTTGGTGTTTGCAATGGTTGCCAGTTGATGAGTTTGCTTGGCTGGGTTGGTAAAGATTCGACAACAGCGGAAAATGATTACCAACAAGGTGTTTGTTTCACTCATAATGAGTCCGAGTCTTTTGAATCCCGCTTCGTGACTGTAAGCATTCAAAAAAGCGACGCCATCATGCTTCGTGACATGGAAGGTTCAACATTGGGTGTATGGGTATCACATGGCGAAGGTAGAGCTCAATTTAAAAATGAAAAAATTATGAAAGATGTGCTCGATCGTAACCTGGCTCCTATTCGTTATGTCGACGATGATGGCGTAATTACCATGAAATACCCTTTGAATCCAAATGGTTCCCCTGATGGTATTGCTGCTTTATGTTCAGATGACGGTCGCCATATTGCCATGATGCCACATCCAGAGCGGTGTACTCAGTTGTGGCAATGGCCTTGGATGCCCGAAGAATGGAAACGTTTGGATTGTTCTCCGTGGTTAAAGATGTTTCAAAATGCATTTGATTGGTGCAATTAATGTACTATTATATAATATTTGTATGAACTATGTAGTATAGGTTGGTGACTAAAACTACTAGTCTAGCAGTGGATTTTGCTTTCGTTTGTTCAAAATATTTAAGATAACTCGCGATGAAGCGAGATGCTTACATAGGCTGTTGTTCTAAACGTATGGACTAATGTTCTTTAGTTGTGGTATTTTCTATACGATGTAGATGAAAAATACACTCTCGTTCAATCGAACCAGATTTTTGTCTACTTGAAAAGCTCTGGGTGCAAGTTGTGACTGTGACATCATGTGACATGAAGATGAGGTAAAAATAATTTAATTTAATAAATTTATTTGGATCTATATTTACATAATTTTCGAACAAGATCAGATCACTTAAATTAGAGCAAAATTGCAACTACGAGATTTTAAACTGAAGTAACAGGACATTGTGGTTGTTATTTTCAATAACTTTCTTTCAACGATCTCAAACAAATGTCAATCTATCGCCGACTTTTAGCGACCTACCTAAGCACTAAACGTAACGAACTACGACAAAATACGGTGAACTATGATACATGCAAGCGAGCATGGACAGGACAGAAAAAATCTGAAATTCCTCTTCTCGTAAGCCTCGTTCCTGTTTCATATACCATAATCTCTACTCTGGCGTCGAAATTGTCTTTCAGGAGAGTTCTACAAAAAGATATTTCTCAACAATACTTTGCTGTCTATTCATATTTTTTAAAGTATTATAACTATTTTATATATTAACTATATATAAATATAAGTAACTCAAGCCTTAATCTTCCCTTCTTTATTTAAAACCATGTTTATATTATTTTCGTCATTAAAAATACTACGATCTTGACGTCTGACGGTTTGAACGTTGTCGGTTCTTTTTAATATCATGGCCCTGCTAATTGCTTTAGCACGTAACTTCACTCTTGGCGAACTTTCTCCAGTAACTTTCAAACGGTCTTCAGTGAATTATAGCCAAACAAAAATACTCCAGTATAAAATATTGAATAGAACAAACAGCACGAGATATACCACCCTTGCAAATCTATCAATGTTTACTGGATTGGTAACAATCATGGGATAATTGTCTTTGCTAGCGAGTTTTGTTATGCCATTCTTATCAGTACGACTGTTATACTGTCGTCGCGACTTTCGCAGTAAGTAGCTTCCTCCCTGTAGACAAAAGAAAAGGTTTCAGAACCAAAAGCAATGTGGTTATCTCCGCAGGATGCAATCACTGACAGTTGGGTGTACATTCGAATTCAGGTTTTAAGAATATTTTATTTAAACGAAGACAGGGTGTTTAAAGTGGTATTTGTTTCAGTTTTTAAACTGTAACATTGAACTTACATTTCTTATTAAGCCACCATTGGGTCTTTGGTTGTTTTCCTCTCTGGAGTCTAACCAATCAACTTCCGGCTTATCTTGATAGTACGAACCAGTTTCCTAAAGAAACACGCTTTTTAATCATTTTGAACTCAGATCAAAGGTTATGAGCGCACCGTTTGGAGTTTTGTAAAAGGCTAAACTCCTCCCATGCATGATAAGCTAATGCATTTCTAACATGAAAAAGTATATTTCTTTATCTTACCACATCCCCTTCAGATTTACTTCGACCCAGGTAGTGTTTAGTCTTTACGTAACAAATACTAACAAGTGTATATTCCAACATAGCACCAAATACAAACAACAAGCATATGAGTAGGTACCAATCAATTGCTTTGACGTAACTAACACGTGGCAACCCGGCACGTGCACTTCCACTTATGGTTACCATGGTTAAAGCTGTCGTGATACCGAGGGCAACCCGTGCTGGCACCGAGTCGGGAGGAATCCAAAATGATATCCAACTCAGAGCAACGATGATACACGATGGGATGTATGTTTCGATGATAAAAAATCCGACTCGACGTTTCATGTTGAATTTCACTTTCAATGATGAGAACATGCCTGTAAACAGGTCAAAAAAATATTAATGATAGCATCCTGTATTGAATCAGGTAAAGACAGTGAAGAAGTAACGGAAGACGGTGAAACTCTCCATCATTTGAATTACAGACACTATTTGTTTAGCGAAACATGGCAAGGTGAGGGCATATGTTGTCCGTTTTTGATCAATGTTTGTTGACTTGACTGGCTTTGTTTCTTGGTGGTTGAGCATTCAGTCGTGGGCGATTTCACTTACCAGCATTATACGAGTTATTTTTCTCAGTTAAAACAAGTGTAGTCATTTCATATTGAAGAAAGCTAAGATCGCTTGGTATAACGACTGCTGAGGTATTATCATTTCTGTTATTCCAGAAGTACACTGCATCTTCAACCTTGTAGCCGTCTAAATAATTATGCATGTTAAAAAAGGGATATCTGTAACATTACACTATTGTGAAGCTATGCTGAATCTGCATGTCTACCACGAAGGGTGTCTAAACTAAATCTCCATGGAACATGCATACATGTGGAGAGCTAATTTATCGAGTCGTTAGCTGTTTTCCATCATTCCTTTAACTATAGTTATGCTTTATGCTGCCAGGGCGAAATTACAGGGAATGAAGGAAACTATGCCTAAAATTTCATATTTTCATATTAAAATAAGCGTTAAAATAATCCCTATGTCAAACGAAATCAGTCAGGCACAGCTATTAGCTTTATGGCTCAGTCTGAACTATGGGGATGTGGTTGCCATACTTACAACTTTCTAAATTCAATGCACATGTTTGATGATCGTGTGGATAACGATGAAAGCGTAGTTGACAGGATGTAGTCACCGTTACTCTAAAATATATAGAATGATAATAAACATTGAAACTCGGGAGTCGGGATAAAATTGTTGAATATATTCATGACATTTAAACGTGTGCTCAATTCATTTCAATTCTTTCTATATTAAGAAAACTTTTTCAGGTAATTGCACTGATGAAGGCCCGGGTTAACGAACCTATTGCAGTATTAAATACTTACGTGGTGTACCTACAAGCTAATTAACTTTTTTGATTATATATTCGCATATATATATTTAAAAATATTATTAACACGGTTTATTTGCCCTCACCTCATACTAAAGAATATTGAGCCATTTTGACTTATTTGTAGTAGATAATTATCTGTGGTTACGTCATGAAAATACGCCTTTTTGCTACCGATAAAATATGTACTGGGAATCCAGATTTCTTTCCAAATTTCGCTAGTTAAAGTTAGCATTTGGTCCTTGTTGTCTGCATGAAACCTCAGACGTTCGTCAGTCCAATATTGTCGGAGGTAGAAATCGACAGTAAAATCCTCAGATTAGAAAGAAAAAAATATGCAAATAACAGATATAGAACTACTGTATGTCAAGAATGGTTATGATATTATGAATGAATGAAATTCTTATTACTGACGAAAGCTGTCAGTCTATGTCTTGGCCTATGAGGTGTATATGTATACATGTATGCATGCATGATAGAAATGATAGATTAAATATATCGTTATATTTTATACGGTATTCTGCTTTTACATTGTAAATCAAAAGGATATTTACCATGTTAGCTTCTTCTATCGTCCAGAAGTTTGCTATAAGAATGTCCACCTTAACAACTGTTGGTTTCTCTAAATGCAAAATGTATTAAAGATGGCGTTTTCGTTATAGTATATGGATCGAAACACGGCTAAAGAAATATTTTTCAGTTACGGCCCATAATATTCGGCATAGAATAATCATAGAAAGATTATAGAATAAGTAAAGAAACATGCACGAACACGCATGATGCACTCAACTATCGTTAAATGCTGTGGTGGAATGTGTTATATTTTTTGTGTTATCTAAGATTTCTGTGATTCGAGGGACATTTCAAAATATTAAGTCGAAAATTTACGTACCAAAAATTCCTGGTCTAATTCTTTTATCATATTTACGAAGTAGTTCATTAAGACATGTTGTTGCATTCATGTTAGCACCAGTTTTTCTAAAACACAAGAACATTACATTACACAAACAAGTGGGCGTCCCCTCCCCTTCCGTTCCGTTCTATGTACAGACTAGCACAGTATCGAGTTTAAATGCATTAAAAACGGTCGCGGGGAGCATTTTATACCCACGGAAAAGAATTTTATGACTGAAACTTCACGATGTTGATGTAAATAAGATAAATTTCAGTGATCATGCATGTATGATAATTTTACCTTAAATCACATTTACACATTCCAGGATGCACGAAATATAACAACCATAGCATTTTCAACCACATTATTAGTTTTCCAACAACTGCCATTGCTTTCCTAGGAAGAAATACATTCAAACATTAAGTGACTTAGTGACTTGGACTATATACACAGCCAGATAGATCTTGCAATGCAGGATCATTTAGGAATTAAGATAACGGGGAAAATCTATACAAGTTTTCAAATTATTGCATACAAGAAATAAGATTACAAATATAGCTATAATATAACAAAGCACTTGACAGGTATATAGTACACATAATAAATCCAAGCTGAATCATATAAAATATGCTCCATAAATTAATGCTGGCGAAACTCAGTATTTAATAAATTACCATTCTGATAGTAAAAGCCAAATTTTGTTCAACATGCATGATGAGGGAATATTATTTCGTTATTTTTACTACAGACTGAGTCACGTCATTAATATGTATACTGACTGAAATATTGTGTTTCGACAAGAGCAGCGGTATAGAGCTATAAGCTTGTCTTTGATATCTTTTCCCATTTTCTCGTTCTTGAATTTGAAAAAGAGCAGACGTTTCAATACCTGTGGTTTAAAAACGTAGCCATTATGCATGCACTCCAATAATGGTTGTTTTGCGAGCAGAATGAGCCGTGCAAATTCTAGGTTCATTTTTTTCTAGAACATTTTTATTTCTAAAACAAGCCAAAAAGGCCTCAGTTTAATTTCACAAAAATTTCACATGCATGAAATTTCATTTGCAATGAACGAGCTGGCCCTGGTTTGTTCCCTTCTCTAAACCACAATCTAAACCAATGGTCTCCATGCTATGTCCAGAATTGCCATGCACGCAAGCATGCATGATCAAGAAAATGACTCGAGCAATCATTATTTTTAGCAATTCTTGATGCCTAATAAAATATTTAAATTTCAGTAGACGTCAGTGCATGGCGACACTCATAAATAATCCACTTTAGTTAATTGTTCAACAAGAACTTATCCGTATTTCCTTCTATTTATATATATATATATATGTCTTATATTTTTTCTGTGATTTGCCTACAACACGATTTATGACTGATATTATATATACACAATTATACTTGGTATCAGTTATCGTCCTCTATACGCTTATACTGACAAAATGACTGTATAGACATATTATATGTAAGGCATTATAAGCCTGCTTTTCATACTGATCCGCGTTTTTGTATAGCGAGGCACGCCCGATGCTTGAGCATGCATAGAAAATATTAAGTCCTTTAAATTTCAATGTTTTGCAGAATGGATATGATGTATATGGATTATCGTATTTTTCATAGCCTATATAGATATATAGCATGTACGTATTGGTACAAAACCTGAAACTCCAATTGAAGTTCTAACAAATACTGCAAACTATAATGAAGCAGGCGTTTTGGTGTTTAAATCAACATTCGACTAGAAGCTCAAAAGAGAGGTATAACTGGTCTTATCAAAGAAAATAACAAATAAGTAAATAGATATAGTGTCGCCATATTTACCGTTTCTTCTCGGCGAGCCTTTTATGTTGTTTTGACTCCATGTCCGATTTTTTCCAAAAAAACGTTAATTTTATATGTATCGAGTTATGGAGCCTATATAATATTCCTCAACTCTTCAAGCCTGCATATGGGTTTGAAGATTGACTTAAGATACTGATATGTTGGCTGTATATACTCTTACTTATACCAACTCGTTGGGTAGTTCAAATTCAACAGTTCTATATATATTCACTTCTAGCTGCATCTGTAGCCAAAATATAATCCTTTATTCATTTTTATTGATCCATATAAACCAATCAATAGCTACATAAAGTCACAGTGCGACTGAGCATGAAATAACTTCACGCTGATTAAACTGAATTGTTAGAATAAACATATAGGAATATCTTTTGAATTGGATTGGCTGACAGAGTTAAAAATTTGTGCCGACATTTGCAATAACAGTGCAACGACCTCATATCTATAATATATCTACTACGTGAACCAATCAAATTTAAGCTAGGTTATGGACATACTGGGCCTCTTTATGCAAAAACAAATTAATACAGTGTTAGTTGTTAAAATTAAAACTCTAGTTATATACGATTTAAATGACGATTTATAAATATTTTATAAAACGAGAAATTAATTTAATTTTTGTCATCCAGTTTTAAGCTATATAGCTATAAATATATTGTCATGCAGTTGCACGGCTGCGTATATTGACCGACAAAGAGTGTAAATATAGTTGTGACTCAGACAGAGTCTGTATAAATGTCTCCATTCTCGTATCATTCCATTGATGACTTGCCTCATGTACTATTTCTTCATGCATGCATGCATGGTAACATCGAAAGATTATACCAAGCCTATAATTTTGTCCATCAAACTATTTTCCACTATACATAGTTAACCTTAAATTGGATGATTTTTTTAGAGAGAAGTATAACATCATGTGCAGGGCCGTAGGCTCTCACTCTCGCAGTAGGGGGGGGGAGAAGGATGCAATGCAAGGAGGGGCAGGTGCTATCGGTTCTATATATAGTATCGTCATAATCTTGAGAATAAAACGAAAATATTTTACAAGAATAAAGACATGGTGCACACATTCTCCAAAAATACTACCAGGGTTTCTTAATCGATCTACTGAATGCCAATTCTCAGTCGATATCTTGAGATCCTCAAATGTACATATGTCCGTGGATGGACTTGCAAAGAGCCTCATATTCTGTGTATGTTCATGCATCACCTTAGCAACAGTCGAACAGAATCTTCCTGTGAAGGAATGATATCGTATAACCGAGGTCGTCGCCAAAATACAATGATCATTCTTGATTCTCCATCAAATTTGCATGTAGTGGTTTTAACAATTTCCAGACTGTTTAGCGAGGATTGGGACTCGTGTGTCTCAACTCGATTATGTTAATTAATACATGCGAATTATGACAGCTGAACCTTCAGGAACAGTAATGGGATTGTGTAGACAAAATATTGCGGCATAACTCTGCGGTATTAACAAATAATTAACGAGCTTTGCCTGGCCAGGGAATTAATTGACAATATCAACCTGCGTTATATGTTTGGAATTAAAGAAGTGAGGTTAAAGATGAATGGAATTAATAAATCTTATTTCTTGAATATCCATATTGTATGATGATATTCAACAATTCCCTCTTTCCCTATTTTCCCTGCTTGTATAAAAGGCCAGAGGACAGCTGTTCCGATAACCCTGGTAAAGTACTTCCATTGCATGGATGTCAAGGATGTGATCATGTGAAATCTTCCGCCGATTGATTGCATGCATGGATGGACCCTTTTTTGCCGCGGTAACGCTTATTGGAGACACTCTACTTTAACAATGAAATATCCGACGCTCTGTTCAAATGTAAAAAAAAATTAAACCCTCGACCTAAGTAAACTTAAAGTCGCATAATTAAAAGAGCGTGTTTTTATGGTTTAAACAGGCGTGGAGCTATCTCATGTCATTCTAAAAGCGGGTGTTTCCCACTTGATTGAGCAAAAATAGTCCTAAATGGAAGGAAGTCTCATATTGATTGTTAATCACAACCATGCAAGGAAAGCGATTTTTCTTTGTTTTTTCTTTGACGATTACTGGAAATTTTTTCCAAAAATTATGGAAATGATATGGATGCTAGTTGGAATTAGTATAGGAAGTTTATAATAACCATTGCCGTTTCCATACAATGGACATAGTATACGTGTGGAACAATAGCATATCTCCATAGTATGGATTTTGAAAAAAATTCCGTTTTGCCGGCATGAAGTTCTATTGTTGCTATAGAAAGGATTATCAAGGAAGATATTCTGCTTCCCTGCTCACAACCCGTGGGAGAAATTTCATAATTTATACATGCAAGACGGCAACAGATAACGCTAGTGATATAATTAAGCTAATGAGTGTAGGGGGAACGACAAATTACATTAACATCACTCAGTGTCGATTATTTGTAACAGCAATGATAAACGTTCCTCCGTGCCAGCGTGCATACATTCAGAAGTCATACTTTTGGTCTTGCATTTAATACCGAGTCGTTCTCCATACTGTAAAACTGGGCAAAATCTTTGAAATTTATCTGAGGTGTCTATTATAGTTATTTAGTGTTCTACCAAATGACCGGACCAAAAGAATTTAGCATACTTCAATGCCAATTAAAAAGAATTTTTGTGAAGTAAAACTCTCAAACCCGTGATAGCTATATATTTTTGAGAGCGTGCCTATGACAGTAAATGTATTTTGTCTTGATTTCAGCTCATAGATTTCAACCCATGACTGATATATATGTATATATTGTACACTATATGTTCCAATACCACCACTATAGTGCACGTCTAGGTTCTAATTAGATACATTTAGCGGTTAATTCAACAGGAAAAGACACGAAATTGAGACAGTAATGCATGATATTGTATCAATTAATTTCCCCCGTCATGCAAAGTTTCCTAAAATGACACAGGCGTACATTATACCTATTAGTATAGTGTGACTGAATTCATAAGTAGCATTCTAAATCATGGATATTATATGACATACATGCATGAAGACATGGATCGTTGAAGCTTTGCAGCGCAGTGAGACAGAACAAACAATAATTCAGTTCTGTTACAGTCAAGTTTGTTATAAAGATTAATACAATAATCATATTCTTCATTATCTATGCAGCATCGGGTTGTACAGTACATATTCTGAACTTATAATGCAAAACTTTCAATGCCGCATGTCACAGCAGTTTTTACTATATATTGGCCGTGTTTGGTAGGATTAATACACATGTAATATATACACTGAAATACATACAAAGCCTATATAATCGGAAAGAAGATAGTGATAATGTTTGTTCGCTATAGTGTTTATAATCTTTTAACTGTGCTATTTAAGGTTATCAGCCAAAACATGTAGTATTAAGCATTTTTAGTAAACACTTGAAAAATGGTATATAGCGTTTTGTATGTTCATGCCTTTTTTGTCTATGTCTACGACATTTGGACCTAATTTTCACGTTTTGCTAAAACAGGAATAGATAAAAGAATTTGACTTTGTGATAATTCAACAAACTGGTTTGTGTATTGAATAAGGTTAATTGATATGAAATTTATAGTATTTTTAATCCATTTATACATCTCCTAATATGGAACATATCTAACTTATGAGATTGAATATTTTTTTGCCATGCATTTGGTTTCAAAAAGTTGAACTTGTACAACATTGGCAGTCGTATTCTCAACTCACCTTGTCTTGAAAACTCTGCTCTGCCTGACTCAATACAGCTCCCTGGCACATGAGAAGAACTTTCACCGCAATTCCGCAACGAACTGTTACTTCTCAGAATGAACGATTAAGAAATTCTTTTATTTGCGTATCATGCACGTTTGGAGTAACCTACGATAGCTTTTGCTCTTACTTTGACTTGAAATTATTCAACGTTGTCTGGGATATACCAGTCTTTGCATAGTTACCAAGTACAATGAGTGGAATTTGTCACATATATTTAGCCATGCTATACATGTTTATTTTCGCTAACTAAATCTGACATCAATTATGGATAACTCTGAGCTTAATTAAACGGGTCAGAACACAGCAAGAATCTAATTGCATCAAACGAAAACGAAGAAATGTTGAGATTTTTTATGTTCTTGTTTTCGTTTTTAGACAAATTAAAGTTTATCAAATGAAAGCTCAATTTTTAGTTGTTTTCTTGGGTCAATTTGACTGCTGTTAGAACGTGAGTTGATACTGTGGACTTACAGCTCCGTTACCACATTTATTAATAAGGGAGTACATGGTAGGTAAGACGTATTAAAAATGAAAAATGTCGCTTTATTTAAAACCAAACCTCACCGCTGATGTCAGCAGGAGTGTGAACAAATTATTTCAAATATCACGCCACCCCCGAAATCAAAGCTGCTTTTCAAAACGAGACATCATGTGGATAACAGCTGCAACAATGCGTTTACTACACCGGTCATTCCTATTAAGCCAGGGTAAACGTTTAAACGCGTATATCATATATATACAAGACAATCATACGACAGTTTGATACCTTAGTATATTGCATATATATATACCATCATCACGTCTGACCAACTAAAAACTAAAACATCCAACTATCAAATTGTGCATGTAAGATGCCACATGCAATTAATGGGCGCTGTAAACTAATTGTACATTGCTTCAAAACCAATTGTGTCCTGTGTAGTACAAGTTTATATTCGTTCATTCCCTTTTTTGATGTTATTATTTATTCAATATGATGAATAAATGCAAAGGAACTATACTAAATATATATGCGCACGTTTTTAAGTACGTCGTTATCAATAAATTTTCAGCTTAGAAGCATACGTGCATATAGTATAGAAAATACTCATAAATTTACCAGCAATTTATATTTGAAATTTTCACCTCTAACTCGACTGCTAATACGATATAGTAATATTGCACTGACATGGCTATATATTGCGGTAAGAAATATATACTGTTCTCCTGCAAGCACATTATTTAGTTCATGCACAGACATCACATGAATGAAATATATAGAGAGAAATTATCTGTGGTCAGGTATAAATATCAGCGTATAATCGTGTTATCATGCATTACTACTTTACGCTTCGCGAGGCCATGCTTGCATATACAAGAACTAACAAGCATAGAGGGAGACATGCACTGTGAAACCTTGTGCCCAATGTACGTGATTTTTACCGGCATTGTTTGTGGTCGACAAACTGAAGTCGAAGATACGACAGGATTAACCCTGACTTCATAGGCAAAATCGTGGTTGAAAATTAGATTACTTGTAAGAGCAGAGTGGCAAAGTGTTGTTATTTGGAGTTAGGAAAAAAAATCTCGATAGCAGTCAGTGGTAAATACCAATTAATCATGTATCATCAATATACTGATAGTGGTAATACCGTCATGCAGTCGTTTCCTATAAAGCTGTGATTCTGTTATACCCAGTAAACGATCCAGTTTTACTGATAACCTTATAATAACCTTTTAGTACTTAACTTAAATAATGATTACCTTATGGTGGTTAGTTATATAGGGATTACTATATAAACTATAAAGAATACCTTATACTTATAAGTCGGATTAGCAACCTATGGTGATAGATAGAGTGATAAGCAACCTATGGTGATGCTAACCTTAGTATAACCTCATTATATTGAGACAGTACCATGTGGTGATGGTGATTACCATATAATGATTACCATGTAGCGATACCTATCGCAATCATTATATAGTACTGACAGCACTATAAATTAATCACTATATATAAGTGTAGTAGTCTGCAGTAATTTCTAAATTTTATATCCAAGATTCACAAAATGTAATCCGAACTTTATTCCCCGACCTGACCCTAAACCAATCCTTACTATTCTATATACCAGAAGATTAGGATTGTATTTGTGGATTCGGGCCAAATTAAAATGCAGTCTCTATATGGTATTTGGCAAAGCAAATGCATGTAGAGCGAAAATAAGGACCCACAGTCACAGATCACTTTACTGACCGTTTTTTGCCATTTACATTGGCGTAGCCAGCCTGACAATTAGTCATGCTATGCTATTCTAATATATTGGTGTTTATTGACTGTGAAAACAATGAATTTCTAAAGAGTTTAATAATTCTAATGACTTGAAATTTGCATAGCATGACCAAATTGTATCAGTCGACGTAAAGAATGAGGCTAACATTTATCTCAGATTATCTTAAGATTTTTTTGTTATTTGCTTGCTGTTTATCGATATTTAAGTATAATAACCGATTGATAATAAAAGTTCCGGATGCATGCATAAGGCCGCATCCGATACCCTAGACCTATTTAATATTTTAAACTTCTCCTCACCAGCTAGCCCTTCCAACTGGCTTCTTCTCCAATGCAAGCTTCGTTCTCAGAGCTATATATTAAAAAAAATCTCGCGTAAGAAATCTGATGCATCGTAACGAAATTCGGGTGTAGACAAGCCCCACTCCGTCACAAAAGAATGCCGGAAAATTCTATCAACTTGTCCGGAATTTGGGAAATAAGCTTGATTTGCCCTCGCATGATGAATTTTCGTCACTGTTGCGGACACAACTTGCAATAGTATGTGAACAACTTTGTAACAACTTGTAGGAGTGTTCAAAGTTTTGTTTTTACGCGTGCCGAGTCTCTGTCATTGGCACGTTGTCCTATAGTCTAGACTTTTCTGTCGTTAGACTTGGTATCACGGTATGCACTTGATATTGCCGTGCATATATGCATGAGTATGCTGTATTGTATCTTATGATAATTTAAATCTTTAGTTTTGTCCGGATACGATGCCAATACTTATAGTTCACTATATATATATTATATATAAGCCTTTTTCTGCATAGTCGACGGTTAACGCGTATTTAAAATTTATTATATCGTGAACATCTGCGGCCGACGGGCCGAGGCTATAGACAGTGATCCAGTGTCGTTAATACATTCAAATGTGTATAAGAAACTGTATATGATGATTATGATCTTTGCATGTACAGCCTCGAGCACACAGCAAACGTTTAAGGCGTTGCTCATTCGTAATGCCATGTTCGTATAATGTATAGTCTAAATCTCCATGCATTATACAGTCTGTATATGCATGAAGACACTATATGTGGTCTGCATAACACGTCATGTATATATGCGGTGATGCATGTCTGATTTTATCGTATTCACTTCTTCCTTTTTCCTTATCATCAGTGTTAAATTTGGCAAGAAGCATTGAGCATTGAATAATGCAGAAGCTGAGTTTGTATATACTTGTTGTTGAATTCTGTGCAGTACGAGGCGAATTATTTGAGAAATTTATTGACACTAAGACACGAACCTTTTCCTTGAACTTGTGATTGGGCTTTCAAAAAGTCAAAGCTCAAAAGGTTAAAACATGCACTGTTTTCCTAATTCCTATAAATATACATAAATCTGGTTGGACCAACAAAATTGTACCAAAAATATTCGCACGGATCTTGTAAATGTTTGTAACAACGCTAAACCTTTTGTTTTTATTGAACAAACAGAGTATCTATTATTCAAATATCATCAGAACAGTATATGCATGTATATCAGTTGATTATTGGATACAGCATTTGTTTCTGAGTGTTACTGTTACTGTTACCTGTTAAACCACATATTTATTACTTAGACGTAGCTTTTACAGCTATTGCATGTGACCTATTGCATGTGACATCTACATGTTACATATACAACGGGAAATTTTATCATTTGTGCAATGATAATGTAATTGAACTAGAAACCTAGCGTCTGTACCTGCATTTATGGGACAATTTTCTTTAATCATTTATAATAGATGTTATATAATTCGGTACCGATATAGATTTATAGTTTATGGCTTTGCTAGAAACTGAATCTGAAAGTGATGTAAAAACTCTGGCACATCATTGCACATATATCACGCGATTGACAGATTGCGTCAAAGCAACAAACTCATCTCGGAAATATGGGATGAGGCAAATCTTACTTGTGGTTAACTATAAAATTCATAGAGTTGCATTACTTACGTGTCTAATTTGTGAAAAAAGATATTCATCATGGACAAATAATCGGTTTTCAGTTATATTTCATCAAAAAATAACAAACATATGACATGTCAAATAGGCAATAGGAACACCAGGCCTAGACAAACTCTTTTACTCTTCCAAATTTAGAGTGATATGATATGATATGTAAATTCGCCACACTGAGAAGCTTTTTAATATGCCACTATAAGCCCTCGCGTGTTTGTATTTGTAGTCAAACCAGTTAATAAGCTAAATTCTATATCTACACTATCACTTTAGTCGATGTAATTTCCATCTGTCTACTCGTTATATTGCATACATATTTTTTCAAAATACCGGCATACGAAATATTACCCAACTGATAAAAAATTATCGAAAATCTATTCACTGAATAAATGCTTGCAAATCAAGGGCATTGGCGTTTTAATCATGACTATGCATGGGATATTTACTACTTTTCATTCAAGAAAGAGCACTTTATAATCATGTCTAAAGGTACTGGAAAATATTTATCCGGTTAGAGTGAAGACTAAAGTTGCAAACGACCATTGACGGTTTGTCCCGATAAATTTGGAACGCTGACGATGATGAAAGTCATCGGACTCCCGTACGTTGTCATATATAAAAGTTCGAATAATCATAAATGTCTGACAATCAGGAAAACTATCTGTCAACACTAGCAATAAAAACTAATAATTCATATATGCACGATTCGGCAATTTGTCTGTCTGTAGTGTAGCTATCTTGAACTTATATATGATCACAATGTGATATAGCCATGGCAAATAATGTTATACAAACCTGTCACTCCAGCTGATTGTCGCGTTATAAAGAGTCCCAGAGATATTTCTCTGTCTGTGGTTGTATGTAGTTTTACTAGTTTACGTACGTTTTTATATACACAAATATAATTATAAAGCGGCTGGCGACTGATTATTTTATGGACATTATGGGTTTCCGTTCTTATGTATAATACCGTAGATTCCTCTCGTGTATATATAAATGTTTGTAATTAGAAATGAGAAGATTATCGTAATATAGGGGTGTGCACAATAGATTTGATAAGGCAAAACAATAACTCAGTTGGTTTTTGTTTTTTATGTTTGTATCTTTACAATAAATCACGACAACCATATAATTATAAAGTTAGACACTGTGGTTATAGTTCATTTAAAGTGAGATAAAACTAGCAATTTTATGTCATTGTCACGTTATGATTGGATAATTTTTGTTTTGTGGAATCGCGCAATATATACCTAGTCCAGACTTCATGAAGCTGTGTGTCTGGCGGTCTGCACATACATTATAGGCCACCATGCATGCATTCATACAAATATATTGGGTGAATGTTGCAAAAACTGTTTTCTGTTACATATTATATAGGTTCTTAATTAAGAAGTTATAAGCTCGATCTAACATCAAAGAGCGTACAGTTATGACAAAATATCTCTTGAAACACATGAAGAGTTAACCTCATATAGCCTATATAGGTTTTCTGTGTTATTATAAGACTGGCTTACTATATATACACGGCTGCTCCATAATTCTGTATAACCAAGTCAATAAATGTTAGCGACAAAATGACTATTTCATAGCTAAACATTAAGATAAAACAGGTACAACATATTTGTCTAACCATGCCGACATCACATGCTGTTTTTAATAGCGCCGAAAACGGAACTGTCTACACTCATCGACACTGATAATTTGTTAAACGGGCGTCTCAAATAAAAATGCAATCTTCGTTTCTGTTTTATCGGGTCTTCGTTGTATTTGTTGATATTATATCACAACAAATTATCCAAACAGATCAACATGCAGGCATCACTCTTAATCCTATTTCATGAAGCTGACAGCTATAAATACACCACCATTTTCGGATCTCTCTCGCGGGTTGTTCCGCCATTATTATCTTACAATTTCCTACTCATCACCTTTGTGGTATAAGGATCTCATACTATATAGAAAGATCAACCGAAAAATATTCATATTAATTTTTAGTCCATTACAGTGCAAAGTATTCATGCATAAAAACGACCATGCATCCTCGGAATTGATGTTACGTGCATATATACTCTTGAATCATGCATGCATGCAATAGCCTCTCGTTAATTATATTGTAAAATTTTTACCATGGGTTTTTATACATTTTGTGAATATATACCTGTTTTTCATCTGAATATAACTGACAGTAAAATCCATGTGATGATACGTTTTCAAGCTGCATGTTTCCCGTTTTCATACAACCATGAATTTATACGTGCATGCTTTTGTTAGAGAACAGAAGTTTCTTAAGACGTTCAACGCGGGCACTTAAGACCAATTATTTTACTCATTTAATTCATTTCTTAACATGCTCACTGTGTTGTCACAGTTTTATTCTCAGCGGTAGCAATGTTGTTACATTATCACACTTAGCACTTCGCATATACTTATTCAAATACATACATATGTTAAACACAAAACATAGTTTGGAGTCATTGCATGTGCATTATAGTGTATAATTGCCTAAAGAACTTTTCCTGTAGTTTTCACCACTTCATTCCCTGTTATGCATTCAAATTCACCACGTTTGAAATCGACGATTGCAGTTAATCATATATACAGCTATAAATAAAAAAATATTCACCTCATTTAATGATTAAATGGTCTTGCGCATGTTCAAAGCTTCACTTGATATATCTTTAATCATCAATTGTTTCCCAAAACTATTAAAATGTATCATTTAACGTGAACGGCTGTGTGTTTTAGTGCAAAACTTTAAAAACAGGATTCCGGATTGTGACTGATCAGCTTCCCATTCGGAGTAATCTTAACCTGCAAAAATCAAGTCAGCGATCATTCACACTTTTATTGGAGAAAAACATTAAGAACAATCAGATAATTAACAATCAGTTTGACGAAAGCTTGCTGTGGAGGTCATAAGTCAATAAAACCTTCTTTAGAAGTTTATGTATCGATTCTGGTAACAGATTTACAATAAAGTAAAAAGTAGCAGTGTTATCATGCAACATTATTACAAAACAGGGAACTCGTCATTTAGCAAGAAGTGGCAGTTGTAAAATAGATTGTAGACGTAGTTACTTGTAAGATAATATACGATAATAGGTAATACGAAAACCAACAGCATTTATATAGATATGGGCTAATGAAAAGTAAACAAACTCCCGTTTGAGCAGCAGACACAAATTTTCCCTCAGTCAATAAAAACCGCACTACTATGCAAGTGTATACTAACGTACTAAAAATAAGCTGCGCCTCATTTTGTGCCCCATGTGCAAATTCATCATGACATTGCATCAGATATATTCTTGGTATATGCACGGCACTGATGGCAGGCGTTGATCATTCGCAGCCGCAGGTGACTCAGCACATGTTTCTACATGGCAACTGATTACAAATTTGGCTCGTAAAGTAAGGGATATATTGTGTAATCTCTACTGACATGCATATGGTTGCGTAAATCTGTTCATGTTTCGAAAGTAGCTAAATAGCAGACAGAGTATTTTCTGATTACCACATCGCCAAGTGCATGAAACTGAATATACTGAAATTCCCTTCGTGACGTTAGATTAGAGCGCATAGTCATAGTCATAGTCCTTTTTGATTACATGTCCCTAAAACAAATGTTGTACAATTTTACCAAAAACAAAAAAGATAAAACAAAAAACCTCGTTATGAGACTTTTCTGGTAGCTATATGTCTTCACAATTTGAACGTGAAGAAAACTAAACAGTTATTGAAGCGGTTTCCTGTGCCTGTGGTTTTGTAAATATGGCAAAATCATGGTTTAGATAAGATTAATTTTACTAAAAGCGGTTTTTAAACAAAAGTGGTACCGCAAATCCGCATATTGTTCTATATCGGAAATTATTCACCAAGATGACGTCTTCATTTCTTTTTATGGCCGACATGTTGCCGCGTTGCACATTTTGAACTCAGTATATACTCTGATAGAAATAAAATATTCTAGGAGTTCGAGATATCTGTAAAGCTGTATTTTTCAGAAAAATAAATAAAAAAATTGATTCTTCTTTAAATATATTTTTCATTTAATTTTAATTATTTTTAAACCCAACAAATTATTAATAAGTCATGGATTGCCAACGGCAATGCCAATGGCAATCAGACTTAGGTGAGGTTAAAAAAATCCGAAATTTCACCCTAATACTGATAGAAATTTACTCAAGGTCGTTGCTATAGATTTACAAAGAGAACTTAATTATATAACGTATGCTTCGTTAATGTCTTAATGAATCATCATTGAAAAGCGTCTCGCGTCTGAGATTATTCAGTAATCAACTCTTGGCCTTGTTGAATTTATTTGCATGTTCTTTCATAGCCCGCTGCATTTATCTTAAAAGTCCATAAAGTGAAAGAATACAAGGGCTAAGTAAACTAATACAGTGATTAATGTCATCCACCAGAGAAATACGATAGAAACTGTCTAGAACTTTCAGATAGATTGATGCAACAGATTTACATTCAGCTACAGCACGTTGTCGTTGTGTAGAATACGTGTCGGGTCACTGGACCACTCCATGTCATCTTGTATTAAACCTTATTACTTCAACTATTCAAGGTGCATGTGGGGTCACATTTAGTAATTAAAGTATTCTCAATTCAACAATTAAAATCGTGTAGATAACGCCAAGGCGATGACGACAAACTTCTTTGCCAAAAACGTTGAGTATTTACGTAGGGAAATCTGTGTTCAATTTATATTTCTAAATCATGTAACGAGTTTTTAATGATTGTATCATGTTTAAAAGAATTTAGTAAACCATTCATTCGCATAAGCCCACTAAAAAGACATTTAAGAACAAAAAGACTTAATCCTACATCAAATATTGTTGTATTCTTTTTAAAAAATGGTAAGCAGACGTGAAACAGTAGTTTCAAACTCATCACACTAAAATACACATGATCAGGATGTGTGGAAGAAGTACCTCTACTAAATGTAAGGCCCAGTTTACACTATCAAATTTTCTGTGAACACCGTTGGAATTTTCAAACAACAAAATTGTTGAAAATACTGGGAAGGGAACTTTAACACTAATTAATACTAAGTTATTTCAACCTAATATTCAGTACATAATATTTTAAACTATGGATTTAACCACAGAATTGCAACTGTGATCACAGAAACCCTTTGACAGCGTAAACCGGGCTTAAGTTTGTAAAACCCTGAGCACTTGCTGGACTAATTAGCCTATTTTTCAATCCCTTTAAAATTACAACCATACATAAATTAAACTCAGAATATTTGTAGAATAATGTTCCCTTTCTTGTTACTGTTATGGAAGTTAAATTTATATTACATGATCTTAGCAACATTCTAAACCTTTCTGGTTATTTTATTTCTCACATACATGTCCTTCAAATGGCAACCACTCAATTTCACCAGTTATGAAAAGTTTTTCTGAGTCAATACTTTCTAAGTGAAGAACTTGTTTTCTTACATACTCAACAAAGTTTGCCAAGTTAGATGCATCAGTATTCTTTTTATTATGAAACATATTTCTCCAGATTGATGCAGCTAAAACTCGATCATGTGAGAGGAGTCCTTCATCATAAGCCAAGATAAGACCATAAAATTCTTGCATAAGATCTTTAAGACTTTGTTTTCTCACACTAGGATCAACAACCTGGAAAATTACAAAATGCCATTTAGTAACTGGGCGTTTAATATGTATAGGTAATAGCATTTTTTCGAGTTCAATTTGGATATTGTTAAGCTAAACTGCTTGAATATTTTTTGAGGGCCAAGAAAAATAGCAAATATAACCCAATTGTTTTTGCATTTAATGTGTTCCAGTCAAGCTTAACTGCATGCACTTGTCTAATTTTCCACATATGACCAATATGGCAATATCATCATTAGCACAAGGGCATGTTTAAGTATTTGGGTCTATCAAATTCCATATTAGAAAAATATTTTTCTCTTGTCAAGCAACAAGTGCTATAAAACAACCTAGTAAACTAGTATGTGCTGAAACTCCCACTCCACTGTGTCCAGGTGGGAAGTGAAGAAGATTACATAAGCCTAACATTTTACCCCCATGACTTTCATTCTTTCTTCCACATCCTCCCAAAATATCTGCACCATTCTTCTGTACATGTACCGACCATCCTTGCCTTCAGGTTTGAGTCGAACAAGACACATCCAGACATGAAGTTGATTTATAAGAAACCATGACTGGAATGTATCTGGCATTCCGGCAGCTTCATAAAATTTCTCATAATCTAAACCTTCAACACAGCATTCATACATCACTTTAGCACTTCTTGTTAGAACTGCTTTTCTGGAGTAGAATCCCCCAAGCCAACCAACCAATTTCAATACTTTGTTACCAAGGTTATCCTCGTTCTCAATTGAAGTGTTAGAAGGTATTTCTGAGAAACTTCGAGACACAACATATGCGGTACCTATGGTAGGGGATGGATTTAAACCATTCCACAGTCGAGAGTGAAATGGTATGCACATCGCCCTCAAACTTGAAGGTTGAAGACGGATTATCTGTCGCGAGACTCTTTGGATGACACTCATGGCAAAATAGTGAAAATCCTCTTAAATTTTTACATCGAATGTCATGTATTGATATGTTAATAAATAATTTTTCATACGATTAAATAAAAACACATTTTATAACCCAGCTTATTCACAAATAGACCTTCGATAATCTTCGCATCTTGTCGGAAATTTCCGTAGGAGACCATCGTTTCCTCCTTTGGCGGTCTGGCGGGAAACTCAAACACTTCTCAATTGCAAACACAACCAAACATGGCCGAAAACGGTGATTTCTGTAAGAATTATTGTTCACCATGGACGAGCACATAAACTTATTATGCTCCAAAACGAGTTCCGTTAGCAATGAAAAAGATTTGAAAGATATATTTATTAATAGATTTAAGCTTCCTGATGGATTTTGGAGCGATTTGTTTGAAATTAATTGTCCAGAAGGTAGAAAACGTATAAAAGGCCTAAAATCTATAGTATATTATTCATTTTTTATTGAATATTTTCAGAGTGTTTAAATATAGTTATATTAATTATTTTATTTTGACTATAAATATATATTTTCTAAAATATATATTTTCTAAAATATGCTAAGTAAATAAGTAAATATTACATTAAGGCATTATATTAATTGCTCGATCATTGCTGTATGTTATAAACTTACGAGTGAGTTTAAAATGGAAAATTGCTACAGCCTCAGTTTGAGTTGAACCCCACCAAAATCTAGCCATGGGACTGAATGTAACATCATTCAATAGACCATTTCAACTTGCATGCAAATGAACCCATTTCAGATGTTGTGATCATGGAATAGCCGATAAAACTTAACCATTTCAGACCATGTGAAAAGGTCTATTGGCAGAGCAATGGGCAACAAAATTATGTTGGTTAAGGAATCTGGGATTGCCCAGCTGGTAGGTTATGCCGGTGGTAGGCTTGGAAACACGAGCAAAGAAATCATTGCTGTACTATAATCAATAGAACATTGCTAATTTTTATTGCTAGGTTTGGGTAAAGTGAGTGAAAACTTTAAAAATGATGAAGATTTAACTGCTGATGACTTCAATCATCTTGGTGAATCTTCAATCCATAAAGAAGTTCAAGGCAGCAAAAATGAGCGAAATGAACTTGAATTTAAAACACCAACATTGGTGAAATCAATATTAAGCACAAATCATTCTCCATCACTGTTTTCCCCTTTACCACCAGATAATGGATTACAGAAAGGTATATAATTAGATTAATTCCCAGGTATTATTGTATCAAAGCTATTGATCTGCATTAATTAATTATCCTGACTTTGAATTTACTCAGTGTAACTGTATTATTTCTGTATCATTTGTTTAACATAAACTTGCTATTATTTTTTGCAGGACCCAACAGCTCAACTCCATTACCATGGAGATCATCTCTGAAAGCTGCATTTACAGTCACTCCTAAGACAGCCAAGCATGTTGATCAAAATAATTTTTGGAGACCTGAACATACACATTTGGATTATTCACCTTATGATCATGCAGATACAAGGAAGGTTGTTAAACTTGTATATGACATGACTTTATAAATCCTCTTGTGTTGCCATAAATTAAAAAGCATATAGATACACATACAGTATCTTATAACAACTTTGCACCAAGTAATTTTTTTAAAAATATTTTTCACTGTGTTTATTAAGTTGTCTGCATCCCTTGCAATGGATACTACAGAAATGAATGTATCATGGAGCAGTTCACTTGCCACACCACATGTTCCTGGATGTGGAAAACAACATTCACAATACACTGAAAATTTCAGGATTAGTTCAGATCGTGAGTAATCTGTGTTACTTAATTTATTGTCAATTGAGCCAATTACATAGTAAACTATTTTTCTTTTACTTCATTTTAATTTCGAATCTGAGGTATATATTATTACCAGCGCTTGTTGAAAATTGCCATAATGTCACACATTTCTACATTAATTTTTGTTCTTAGTCGCAATTATAAAAGATACAGCATCTCTTTTTTTCCAAACTGTGTGTTCTGTTTTATAATCGTTTTCCATCCAAAGTGTCGTAAAACGCGATTTTTTTCGTTGCCAATAGCAGTTTCGCTTTCTTTTTCTGGATTGACGCAAGTCTGGATCAATTGTTTCCACTCTCTTTAGAAAAAAGATCGTTTCAGCTTAGCCAAATTCAGTCGAAAGAATTGGACACAGCCATTAGTGTTGAACGTAACTCAAAACCCAAGGTAATTAAATATACTCAAGATTTCGCTTACAGATGTATCTCTGCTTGATACGCCTAGTAGAAATTTGTATACCCGATGAATTGTAACCCAAGCTTATTTTTGCAGACCAATACAAAAAAATCAGACAACTTTCAAACCTCAGAGGTTGCTTTTAGATGTAGACTCTGTTTACCCTGAAAATTACAACATACCTGAGTAATAAGCTAGTCTAAATCGTCTGTCCAAAATAACATGTCCCATATGCAGCACAGATGCAGTTAAAATCCGAATTTACCCAGTTACCTTACAGGCGGAAATAGACTGCGTGAAGTTTTTTTTATTGCTGTCGCAGTGGAAGCAGTACGGTTTAGTGACAAATCTAGTGTTGCACAAGCGTGTGGCCACGTTTTCATTTCCGTTTCATCCGTTTAGGGCGTTGTTAGAATTTTGTTTCAACAAGAAATGAAGGATTTTAAAACAGATGTCCAGATCAGCGAAGATCGTTCTTTCGAAAATGTGCAAATTTACGAAAAGAAAAATCAGTGCGGTAATAGTTCAAAGCGACCTTTAACTCTGAACAAAGCTGTATTGGATGATGGTGGTCATGGAAGTCCTAATAAAGTTGGCCATACGGATTTCAATAGTTCAAACTACTTTGATATGTCATCTCTGTCACCAGTTAATGAAGAAGCCATCAATAAACTTTTATCATTGCCATTGGCGAATATTCACAATTCTCCACCAGGTATATAGGCAAAAATGTTGCCATTAAATGATGTTATAAAACTGAGAAACTAGTTTACGTTTAAGATTAGATTTAGATAGTGTGTTCTAGGCATAGTTTACTCTTCCTGAAATCTATATATTACTTTATAAATTTAGGAGTAAGAGATGTCTCAAATGTCATTGAAAAGAACTCGCACATCGTAAGGAAGTTGACACAGGAAAATGGTTTAAAAAAATTATATGAAATAGACGATGTTCATATGCACCTTTCGCATGGTTGCAGCGTAAATGAACGCGCTGTTAAACCAACTGATCCAGATAACCATAACTTGGAGCCAATTGCTTTTACGAATAATAATTCAAAAGAAGATAAAGATTTTAAAAATCTGTTAGATATGGACGCTTTAAGCGAGTTACCTATGGATGATATTGATGTATCGCGACATATTATGGTGCCAAGTAAATTATCAATACAAGGACAAGAGAATATACTCGTCGATCACGGCCAGACTTACAACCCGGCCCTTTATCCAATGTCCGATAGAAAGGTGGGGGCCTGTGTCAAAAGTAGCGTTGAGTCTCTAAATTCAGATGCCGGTAATAACAAGGAGGTGATCTCTGAGGTCAAATCTGAGAAACATGAGGGCGAAGAAGTATTTGACATGGATGCCTTGAGCGAAATTCCTATGGATTTTGATTTCTCTGAGCAGATCGTAGTAACTGGTGGTTCATCGCTGATCTCTGGTAAAAGGTGTGTGGATCTGGCAAAGCCAAATCATGACCGAAACAGCAAGTGTAATATAGACACTGGACAAAAGAATACGTCAACCAAAAAGATAGAAACAGCATCGCAAGTTATAGAAGATCTATCTCTGCAACAATTGTCAGATATTAGTTTAGGTGAAGAAAGTATTTCGTATAAGCACGCAAACTACCAAATACGTCGATCACCACCGCACGAAAAGCAAAATACAGTAACACTCGATAAAGAAAATAATCACACACTGACTGCTGCTTTCAATGTAAGGAAGTGTCAAAATGAAAACTCGTTAAGTGCTATTGTGGGATTTTCTACTGCTTCAGGAAAGAAAATTACAATTTCAGAAAAGTCTATGCAAAATGCCAGACAACTTCTGAACGAAGTAAATATTTCTTTGGGAGATGAAAAGGTTATTAATAATGAAGCTGGTATATTAGATATTAATCGAAAAAAAGTGATCGGTAAATTCCAAGATAATAGCCGAATAGAAAAAGTTCTTAGGGTTGGGATTTGTTCAACGTCTTGGACTAAGGTTGACGTTTCATTATTCACTTCCACGAAAATTGTGAATGATGTGCTACGAGAGGAGAATGAGGAATGCGAACATATCAGGAAGAGTGTTGTTAACTCGCCAGGTATTGGCTATTCTGCTTTGCTAAAAAATAAAGTTGATGTGCCGATGATTGCATCTTGTGGTAACGCGGCACTTACTAATGAAAGTAAGGACGATATGGTAAAAATAGAAGAAGTGGAACAAAACATGACAACCAATTTCACTACTGTCTCCAGAAAAGACACTAATAAAGCAATTTTAGATGAATATGAAAATATGCTGGAGTTCTCTGAAGGTTTAACAGAAGATTTTGATAAATTATTCGCCGATCTTGAGAAAGAAAAATATGTTAACAAAGCATCCATAGATAAGAATAAGAAAAAGGATAAATGGGAAGAAAAAGACGTGAGGGATCCCCAATCAACTTTCGTTCAATCAAATCCACCACATAATAACGTTGAATCTCCAAATAAATCGTCTACTTTAGAAGAAGATCGTCGTGTCTCGTCGAAAACATGTGGAAACAATAATATTCCCAGTGTCATCGGTGGTGCATCAGGCAGACAAGATGAAGTCATTGAGCATTCTTTACAGAGAGAGAAACGTATTCTTGATATTCCCAATCCAAATGGCACCAATGACCAGGTAAAAGGTGGTCTAGTGAAGAATTATCATTTAGACTCTGGGAATATCGCCACCCTTTCTAACGTTTCGTCAGAGAAAGAAAAAAGTGTGATAAATCACGAAGAAAATGAGAGATGTTTTGAGCACAGACGTCCTTTGTTTACAAGAATTCCACAGTTTGGTTTCTCTACAGCATCGGGAAAAGAAATCAAGATTTCCGAAGTAGCACTGACAAAAGCTCGAAGCATTTTGAAAGATGTTGACAATCAAGAAAATCAAACGATTCCACAATTTGGTTTCTCTACAGCATCGGGAAAAGAAATCAAGATTTCCGAAGTAGCACTGACAAAAGCTCGAAGCATTTTGAAAGATGTTGACAATCAAGAAAATCAAACGATTCCACAATTTGGTTTCTCTACAGCATCGGGAAAAGAAATCAAGATTTCCGAAGTAGCACTGACAAAAGCTCGAAGCATTTTGAAAGATGTTGACAATCAAGAAAATCAAACGATTCCACAATTTGGTTTCTCTACAGCATCGGGAAAAGAAATCAAGATTTCCGAAGAAGCACTGACAAAAGCTCGAAGCATTTTGAAAGATGTTGACAATCAAGAAAATCAAACGATTCCACAATTTGGTTTCTCTACAGCATCGGGAAAAGAAATCAAGATCTCCGAAGAATCACTAACAAAAGCTCAAAGAATTTTGAAAGATGTTGACAATCAAGAAAATCAATCAATTAAAACACTTGCAAACGTAAACCGTAAAGTTCCATCTCCCACATCACCTGTCAGCAATGAACCTGTATGTTTTACCTTTGGAAACAACGTTGGTGTTTCTGAAACGCCGTCACAGAAATATGAGTCCAATTCAAATAGAATTCCAAAGTTCGATTTACCCTCTGCCTCAGACAAAAGAATTTCGATTTCTGAAGAAGTAGTGAAGAAAACTAGAGAAAACAATGAAACGGCCTCTGAAAACTATGATTCAGCAGAAAGAACAAGTTGCAAAGAAAACGAAGAAAGCGCAAAAGAGGCAAAGTCGTCCAACGCATTTCCAAAGTCGGGATTTTCCACTGCTTCAGGAAATGAAATTACGGTATCTGAAGAGTCGCTAAAGAATGCTCGAAAGTTTCTTAACGAGGTAGACAAAGAAGGACACTGGCCAAAGAGTAAAACTGCAAACAAAAGACACGACGTTCCAAGACCAACGCCATCTACAGCCAATATAGGGATAGTCCAAAAACCTGAAAGAGCGTTACAAGATAAAGAAAACGAGGAAAACAGGTTGTTGAGCAAATTTGGATTCACCACTGCTTCAGGTAATAACATTGTGGTTTCCGCCGAAGCGTTAAAGAAAGCTCGAAATATTCTTAACGAAGTAGATAACGAAGGATGTCATCCAAATTCTAAGATATCAACGAAAAAAGACTTCCTATTTTCAACGGCATCGGACGTGAAGATAGACGTAGGTCTTACCTCTAACCCCGAAAGAAATGTTAACGTTTGCGAAACTGAAAGAATCTTTGATGTCCAGGATGATAAGGAAAATGTACAGGAAAAATTATTGAATAAAATTCCAAAGTTCGCATTCACTACCGCTTCAGGAAATAAAATTTCGGTTTCCGAGGAATCAGTCCGAAATGCTCGAAAGATTCTATGTGAAAAAGACAACGAGGAACCTGATTTGAACTACGAGACAAGAGAATTCAAACATTCTTCTGGGGGAATTTTTCCAAGTTCTACACCGTCTACAGCTAATTTAAAGGTAGACCAAAAAGCTGAAAGGATAGTTGAAGATAAAGAAGATGATGGAAGGAAAATGTTGAGCAAGACTCCAAAACTTGGATTCACCACTGCTTCGGGAAATGACATTGTGGTCTCCGACGAGGCACTAGAGAAAGCTCGAAATATTCTTAACGAAGTAGATAACGAAGTATGTCGTCCACCAAAGTTAAAATTTTCAAAGAAAGAAGACTTTCAATTTTTAACAGCATCCCTCACAAAAGCGAATGTAGGTCTTTCCTCTGCCTCTGAAACTGAAGAAATCTTTGATGTCTATGATGATAAAGAAAATGTTGAAAGAAAATTGTTGCATAAAGTTCCAATGGCCGGGTTCACTACTGCTTTTGGGAATGAAATTGCGGTCTCTGAGGAATCAGTCAGAAGTGCTCGAAAGATTCTTAATGAAAAAGACGGCGAAGAACCTAATTTAAACTTCAAAGGGAGAGATCTCAATGCTCGATCTTCAAAAAGAAATGCTCCAAGTTCCAAAAAACCTGAAAGCGTTGAGGATATTAAAAAGTCCATTAATAATAAACACTGTGTTGAGTTTTCTGATGATGGGATTTCTTCAAGAATACCCGAATCTCCATTGTGTGATATCGTAATCCCGACAAAAATGACGGGAAACAAAAATGACGCTGAAACCAAGAAATCACACAAGCGAACGTTGTCTGAAATTGAGACCAATAATGGTAAGATAAATAATTTCTTATTTTATACCCTTGATGTGTGTCTGTTGTACTATTTTGTGTGCTCACTCTTCGTTTTACACAAAATCCTAATTGTACACTTACGCTATTTCGCACTGCACAATATAATGTTTTTTTTTACGCAGATCGTTCACGAAAAGTTTCCAAAACTGAAAAAGAAACGGAAACGGTTGGTTCATTCTACGAATAATTATATTTCACGCATATTCCATTTTTAGTATAGACAAGTAAAACATGAATGTGGAAGCTGTAATTGAGATATTGCTTGATTTTTTCTATAGAAACAACATGGAGGTAGATATTCAAAGCTCAAAACTATTGATCCATTAGGTATAATAAACACATTTTTTTTATTATATCATAAAATTATTCTGTCATTACTGTTATCATACTATTGGAATTGATATCATATCAACATTTTAGTGGAGAGTAACGACAGAAATAAAAACCTTGCATTACAATCCGTTACGGTGTCAGCTAATTTAGATCCAGACAAACAGAAAACCTCCAGGTAATTGTTATATATATAAATGCATGTATACTAGCGCAATCTTTGTATCACTTTTAACACTTTGATATTGCTATAAAGCCACCTAATATACTAATGCTTTTGCGTTTGCTATTTTAAAATGAATCCTGACCTGTGTGGCCGTAATAAAAAAATTATTCTCTTATACGGATTTTGAAGATTACGGCTTTGGTTAAGTATATAGCGACTGATTGTGTTTTACAGTGACCTACTTGTTGATGGGACGTGCAAAACACCATTGAAAGAATACTCTCGCTTTTCTACACCTTATCGAGCCATGGAAACAACTGTAAGACAAGGAAATTCGAGGCAGTTAAATAAAGCAAATACCCGAAAGAATTGTTCAGAATCGACGAAAAAGAAAACAAATAATGCGAACAATAAGGTACTGTATATATATCCAGGTATAGACCCATCCCACGACGAGTAACGGTCCCACTCAAGAAAGACAACCGGATTCTTTGTACCCAAGCGTAAGAAATATATTAGGGAAGTTCTGGGATAAGAAGATTGGGTGTCTTCCTAGTTGAAAATATTATTTGATCTTAAAAAAAATATTAATTTGTAAAAAAACAATTTCAGGAGTGTTCAATAAAGCCACAGGCTGGTTCCATCTATAAATTAAGGAATAATGCCAGCCTTAAGGCGAAAAGAATATCTTTTGCTAATCTTGTTGGCACTGTAAAGAAACCAGCATCTGACGAGGTTTGTTTTGTACATCTTATAAAAAATGCTATCAAAAACTCATATTATATTCCAGGGGCCGGTTGTATCAAGCCCGTTTAGCTTTAACGGTGGATAAGTCAAAATTAAATAACACTCTTACAACTCTCTTGAATGAGTCAACTTGAATATTATGCACTGAATAAGTAGTTGTAAATAGTATCTTTGTATTAAGATAAAAAACGTTTTATTCGTTTGTTGAATAAAACGGCAGACTTGCTTTCTATTTTGAACTTATCCACCGTTTAAGCTAAACGGGCTTGATACAACCGGCCCCAGGTTTATTTCCTAGAATTCTTGTTGCTAATTCATTCACATTGCGTATTACCACGTCTAGTTTTTATTTCACCCCAACTAAAAGCTTCTCTATTCTCAAATATTTCCCGATCAATAAATATCCGACTTTTATTTAGCGTGTAAATTCCTCAGCCATGTCGGTCACCAGTGGAAATGCAAAATCGTATCGTTTCAAAGGTTCGGATTTTCTGAGTGAAGATGTCTCTGTCAAAAATGCAGGTGTTACCTGTACAGATGGGGCAGTTCTTTTTCTTGGTGAAGACAAGAATATCGGTTTGGCAGAATTTACTAAGTAAGTTGTGTACAACCTATATTTATTTATTGCCATGCATGTGAGTTCATGGCAGTCTATATTTTGTATTCACTCCCAGAATGATGAGATTGTGAAGGACAGGGGTGGATCCAGCACTAGTGCACAAATTTGCATTACAAAACAAAGTGGTTATTTTTGGCAGTTTTCTTGTGTCATGCAAATTAGTGCACTAGTGCTGGATCCACCCCTGGTGAAGGAGAAACTGAGCATCATTTATCACATCATTCTATGATCAGGTCTGAAAAGCCCTAAACGAGGTTCTTCTGCAGTCACTCCCTTGGAATAACCCTACAATTCAATAAGGTCACATATACAGTCCACTTATATAGGTAGTTAAAACTCGTGCATGCGTGACGGTGGACCATCACCTCCTAAATTATCGTTCTTGTAAAAAACATATAGGTCCTTCTGCTTCTCCAAATAAAATTGTCCAAAATACCTAAAATAATGAAACACACCAGACCTATATTCCAATTTTGCTTTCAATGATCTGATAAAAAAGTTCTACTGTAATCAATAATTTTTTTGTCATCACTCCTTCCAACATATCTTGTAAATAACTACAAATGATTTCATAGCGATTTAATTAAACATTCAAATATAGAGCGTTCCTATCTTCTCCTGGAGTTGATCCAAATTTGATAAGCGAATTATGGATAGCGAATCATTACGCATGGATTGTATGGAAGTTATCATCATATGAACTCTCATACCCTTCTGTTTTCACCGGAAGGTATTTTCTAAAATATGTTTTCACAAGGCTAGGTTCTTCATAAATTTCCAAACGTATGTTATGCTTATTATTGTTGCACATATTGTAGGCATGCCCTGAAAATCATATTTATATATTATGGTCTGGGCCGGCCTGCACACGATCATGCACGTATTTGAAGTCACTACAAGGAATGTCCCAGATATTAGTATTAGTAAAATACAATGTTGCATTTTTGTGATGTGTATGTTGAACCTCTATATTTTTGAATATTTCTTCCAGAGCTCTTACACCTGATATGGTACTTCGTCAACTGAAATATCGATACGATAGAGAAGTTGATCATTGTGAACGGTATATAGCTATATGCATGTCATATGATATTGGGATTATGATTTACTACCTCTACCCTCCCACCTCCCCCGCTACGCACGCAAGCCCTGATCTGAAAAGCCTGACCTTGACTAAGTTGGCATACGTATAACAATATTCTTTAGATCCGCCGTGAAAAAGATTTTGGAAAAGGATGATTGTCCCTCTCGCAGTTTAGTTCTCTGTGTCGCAAGTTTGGATGTGACGGATATTGATGAAGGCGAAAGATCAAAAGGCAACACTCACATTAAACACGTTGAGGTACAAATGAGTTTTCACACTACATTGACACATTATTGTACCTATATTCAAAATATAATTTGTAAGAAGTAAAAATGCTACGGAATCTTCTGCATCACTTCTTCATTAATAGAAGATAATTCTAATGACCGACGGCTGGTACAGCATCCGTGTTATGCTTGATGAGTACCTACAGAACTTGGTTAAGGAGAAGAAGATTTACGTAGGGCAAAAGTTATACATACAAGGTGCTGAATTGTGTGGCTCAGACCAAGCTGTTTCACCGTTAGAGGTTTGTAATCATACGTTGTAATGTTGTCAATTGAGAGTATAAAAAACATTTTTAAACTTTAAAGCCCGAATCGACGGCTGCAAAACTGGCTTTGAGGTTTTAAAGATTGCACTCGAAAAGAGTTCCCTAATAAACTATTTAATGATTAAATAAGAAAATGTTATAACTATATATCAAAAACTGGTGTCATTGTCACAGGCACCCACCAACCTACATTTACGAATCCATGGCAACTCAACTCGTCCAGCCAAGAAATTTGCAAGACTGGGTTTTCATTGTAAGAACAACCTATTTACAGTTCCTATCAAATCTATATCGACTACTGGTGGTCTTGTTAGTTCCATTAACGTTATCGTTACCAGGCAGTACCCTCTTCAGGTATTCGAGTATACTTAAAATTATTTGGTTTACATGCTATATTTATTAATTAGGTCTTTAGAATTTATTAATTAGACGTACCTAATGGCTTGTATCGGTGTCACTTTTTTGCGTCGAATGCAATTATAAGAATGAACATAGATGACATTGAATCAAACGTATCGTTATTTGTTTCAGTTCATGGAAAAACTGCCAGATGGTAAATGTGTTTTTCGCAGCCCGAGATGCGAAGAACGTGTTTCCAAGAAATTCCAAGATGATGTTCAGAGAAAACGAGACAAGATAATGTCTCGAGTTGAAAAGGAAATCAAAGACGAAGTTAAATCGTCAAGTGGTAAGACTACAGTATATTCGTTCTAATATTATAATGGATTTGCCTAATAACATGCATGACCACAGTGTTTCCCTCGACTTTACAACTTGAATTTATATATGTAGTTTACCAATCATGCATTAGCATTACCTCGACATTGGAAAGTGCAAAGAATAAATAATGCATGCGTGTTATTCTATTTTAATACTAGAAACCCAAAGAAATTTCCACTCCGTATCAATGAATGAAATCCAAAATCTCTCCGATGGAAAAGAAATATTTGATGCCGTTAGTAATGCCAGTGATCCCATGAGTTTCCTGGTAAGTTTTTTCACTTTTTGCTTTGTAGGTGTAAAGTATATAGTATACAATTAATTATTCCCAAACGTATTGCAAAATTATTCATCTCTTTCGCTACTTTCGACAAATTTGGATCTTGAAAAGTTCATTGTTTTGAAAATAAAACCCATTCCGCGCAAGGATAACATTAAATGATTGGTCGTTGTTTCATAATCATATTTTATTGGCAACGTACAAGTAGCTGCAGTTTTGTACATCCATTAGTGGCATTCTCAATAATTCAGCATGAAATACTATATTTGAGAATAAATCGTTTGCAATCAGTTAAGATATTTAGAAATTTCATGCCCTAATTTGACCGAACGCTGATGCAATTCACTTCTGACTTCCTATTAATTTTATGTAACTCGTTTGTTGATGAAGCAGTATATATACTGTATTTACTGTATTGGTTTTAGTTAGTTATAGCTATTCGCCCGCCTGAACGAATTTTGCGTTGATATAGCTGCATTGTCAGATTGATATAGACTTGAAAGAAATCTGAAATAGTATGGTCGCCGCTACTGCATGCATGACAAGGTATTTCTGATTTCTATAGAGTTGTCTTTCTAATGAGCAAAAGAAAATTCTTAATAATTACAAAGAAAATTTGAACAAGGACCGTGCTGATAATTTGCGTCGCAAGTACGAGAAAGCTTGGAATGAATTGGCCAAAAAAGTAGGTGGAGCATAGTTTCCGTTTTATATTGTCATACGTCGTATTTAGATATAGTGCATGTATTATTATTAATACAGGAACATTCAAAGCACACATCTTGAATTGTTTAGGAAACTCTTAAAAGAGATGTTGTTCCTGTTTTAAAAGTGAAAATCGTCGACGGCTGCGCATCTAAAACCAAACAAACCCTGGGAAGTAAGAACTTCAATAATTTTTCTTGAACCTGTTCATTTATTGCAATCTGTGTACTCAAAATAGACAAAAACGTTCGGAGAGTGACTTAAAGACATTCAAAACATGATCGTATTATCATAGCTAAGATCTTCTCTTCACCCAAGATATCACACCGTAAAGTTGTCCTAGCTGGTATCGAGGCTACCGCTTCACTTCACTATTAAATTTCTATCAAATTTCGCTCCTAGCTGCCTTGCTAACCGTATGGCGGCCAAATGAACAAACGATAACGATGTTGGGGGAAGAAAAACGATTGAAGGTTTTTAATCTTCAGGTGTCCAGGTAAGATCTATATTCATCAGATCTGTGAATAACTCAGATAAACAACTAATGTGTGGTATTGTACAATGTTGATCTGGTTAATGATAATTTATATACTTTCTGTCATTGGTGCATAAAGTATAATTTTTTATCGCAATTATTTTCTTTATAGATCTCCCACCATATAAGCGATACAAAAAAGGCTTCGCAATTCGCCTTCACATATATACCCCTCTCGTATATATTTCATATGGCTTTCCCCGAATGTATATGTACATGCCCCATTCGTTTCCAAAAAGGGCGTTTCGGTGATGCATTTATATTATTTACATGATTATTACCTCTTATTTTCATGCAGGTATAAAGGCAACAAGACAATCCAGGTTAGCTCGCAGTATAGTTAACCTATACCTTGATATACATTCCAGTATATATAGCATGCAGGTTTTAGATTTGTTTCTAAAATACTCGAAATAAGCACTACGTAATTTATTAATGATCTGTAAACTTTCAGCTGTCTGCAAATAGATCTACTATCTACAAAAGTTTACCATTCGATGCGACTTATCAGAATACCTTTGAAGCAAGAAAGGTAAATTTAAACCTTTAATTTTTTGTAAAGCTTTACCAAATAATTCTCACTAGTTTGCATTTTAACAAATATCTTACATGTACATAACAATGTCGACAGTTTTTCTAAAATATGTGTATCTTCGATGTAATCATGATATTTACTTCTTCCTTCCAGTTGTACACATTTCGTGAAATATCAGACGGGCTTAGGCCGAATATAGAAGTTGATGTTGTGGCTATAGTAATATCCTGTTCCACCCAAAACAAGTAGGTACATCTAAAGCATTGTTCATTACGCATTTTATGTAATAAAGGCAATAGCCTTTTCTATTACCATTTCAAGACGTCTGCGCTTTAAAACGTTCTATGCAAAAGTGGGTTCCAAATACCTGGAAATTGTTCAAAACTGAATAGAGTTACATTCTTTGATAAAAACAATTCATTTGAACACCTAAAACCATACTTTCATGTTTTTTCAAAATTTCAGAAAAATCGGTAACGGGGGACCAAAAGGAAAAATCGCGATTTTCTTCAATTTTTTGAAATTTCAAAATTCGGTTTCAAATACCTCGAAATGGTTCAAAACTGAGTACAATTACATTCTTTGATGAAAACAATTCATTTGAGCACCTAAAATCATACATTCATGAATTTCAAAATTTCAGAAAATTCGGTGGTAATGGGGGACCAAAGGAAAAATCGCGATTTTCGTCAATTTTTTGAAATTTCAAAATTCGGTTTAAAATACTTCGAAATGGTTCAAAACTAAGCAGAATTACATTTTTTGATGAAAACAGTTCATTTGAACACCTAAAATCAAACTTTGTTATTGTGCATACATTTATATATTCTGCATACATAAAGATTTATTTTTATCATTATGTTAGTTTAAATCTTGTGTATCTGGCCGACTCTGATCTCAATTTGGTACGAATAAAAGTTTGGGGTGGTCTTGAGGTAGGAACACATCGCCTATAAGAATGTACAGAGAATCATGTGGGTTTTTTAAGACAATTTTTTTAACGAACATGAGCAAAAAGATAGTTGGTCGATATGAAATTTAAGGTGGTCATGTATAACGCTTTAAAAAGCCATAAAGCTACATCATTTAAAATTTAGTAAAAACTTTTTTTTAACTATGAAATTGAAGTTCAATTTTGGCTGGTCTCAAGTTTTTTAATTTTAAATACGTCAGTAAGTGAATGCATGTGTCTCCATTTATAGTCTGCGCTCCAGGCAACATAGGCCTATATAGCTGAATGTGCTATCAAGGTTTATCAGTATCTGTGACTGTGTCTTTTGGTATTTCTTCCATTAGCTTATATGAGTCCAGTGATCGCCTTTCGGTTTATAATATTACAGAGTCAATGTCTACAAGAAGTTTTTAAAGAAAGGAATTATGTTGCGGCGTGTAATCTCTTATCCCAACCAGACAGAAGATCTGGCATTCCATCTCTGAAATACTATGAACTATCTTTGGTTACATCAAATCCATCAAACAAAAAGACGAGAAGTAGTCTTTACAAACTTAAGAAAGCAGTCTCGGTAAGTTGCTACTTGTTTCGTAATGCCGATGGAGTTAATATGTACAAAGTATTTTGTATGATTAACATGTAGGTAAAGATCTACTGTGCAATTTTTTTATTGTAGAACTTAATGGTACATCTTGAGAGCCGGCTTTTTTTAGTAGTAAAAGAGACTTTTTTAACCCTAGGACCCAGATTCATTTATTGAAAAGGCCAAAGCTAAACTGGATGGGTTATACAATTCAAGCTGGTCGACACCTAAAGCACAACAGAACTCTTTTCTGGATGCTGCATCAGGTGAATCTATGGCCATTGGAAAGCGACGACGAACTACAGAAACACCACTAACAACACAAAATAAGAAGGTTAGTCGCGTTTTAGCTTTTCTGCTCTTTCAGATGAAATATAAAAATTGTGTACCATCCTATCTCATTAGGCTAACACTGAAATAGTCTCCGGCGAAAACAGCGCTATTGTTTCAGATGTTGCTTCACCGTTAGCTTCAACAGTTATCACACCAAAACAGAATGAAAGCATACTACAAACAAGGAAAAGATTATTACAAGAAAAGCGTAGGAAACTTGATCTTCTAGGGAATCCCCCACCAATATCACCGATCCCAAATGCTGTGCCAGCGAGTGTGAAAAAACAATTTCAAACCCCAAAGCGGATAAGAACACAGGTGGACGATACTGAGAATGAAGAAGAGTGAGGAGAGAAAAGCTTCTCTCTGTAGTATAATGACTTGCAAGAACAAGTTGCCAGAAAGTAAATCATTAAAGATAAACTATTGTTTTGGTAGTATTATCTACACGCTGTATAAATGTGGGTATCAAAAGGTGGCTAAGAAGTATAATTGAACTTATCAACAATGCACAAGTCAAAGGTAACGAGACTCTGTCCATTCTTCTTTTTGATATCTCATAATATCATAGATCACAAGATGTTAGAAAAGAATATTTCATTTTTGGCACCATTCTTCAAAATGAAAAATGATGTTTGACTTATGTTTTTCATGTTCATGTTCGCGGTAGTTTATATATACCTACAAATAAACTTATGAAGTATATTTTGCTTGAAATATCAAATTTATTATTACGAAGTAATATGAAGTACAAATTATTGTATAGAATTTATGTAGATATCTAACAAAAATAAAGAGAACTGTTCCTTGTGTATGTAAAATTCTTACATTTCACATAAATTTTTCTTGATATAGGTATAAAAAATAGGTCTAAATGTACACATGTACAATATCTGACCTGATTACACAATCCTGGTTAGGGTAAGAAAATATTATGCACACAATGAGATTTGCTGTAGTCGGTCTAAATGTAACAAGTAAGAGACCATTCACAAAGGATGTCCGTGCCAAGGGGGGAGGAAAGGTTTAATAATCTGAACGTCCGAACACCTCATAGTATCTATATCTCTTTAACGATTTTCACTCATTACTTCAAGTTTGCAAGACATAGCAGACGTCAAAGGGAGGGGTCTGAAAATCCATTATTTGGTCGGACATCCTTTGTGAATGGCCCCTAAGGAATGGTCATTCATTAAATTAACCAAATTATGAAGCACTTTTATAAGAGAGTTTCTGTTTTAGTAGGAGCTAAAAAGAGATGTTGTTTATGCAATTAGCCTCCAGACAGTTGTAGTCAGAATGCAACAGAATCTAAATAATTTGCTTCACACACTCTAGAAATCCAATTTCAAATGCCTCTTCAGAGAAGCGTTCTTGCACAGATGACCTAGCATTTTCTCTTATCACATCAATTTGATCTGGTTGCATTGAGAATATTTCATTCATTGCTTGAGCATATGTTTCCTCAGTATTAGCCAAGAATCCAGTTTGGACATCTCTCCATTCTGTGACAATGTCCATTTTAGGACCTCCAGAATTATGCGCAAGTGTGACAACACCAGCTGCCATGCATTCAACCACTCCTATACCGAAATGTTCATTCCACATAGTGTGCAATCCTATTGTTGCCTTTGCAAGGTGCTGCTTTAACTCGTCAAAGGATACATTAAGAGCAAATTCAACATGTTCTTTGATATGTAACTGATCAGCAAGATCTTGAAGGTTATCTACACGATTAGCATCATCCTGATTTCTTGAACTACCGACAAGAACAAGTTTATATTGCTTTCGATCACCTATACGTGGTATTCCTCGAAGAAACTGCCAGAATGATCTGATCTGTAGTGCATGATCTTTCTCAGGTCTGAACTGCCCTATAGAAACAATACTCTTTATACCATTGTTATCTACTTTCTTAATACTTAGGAATGCTTTTGTATCACATGGTGGATACACAATAACGACATTTTCTTTTTTCCAAAGTGTTTTAATATGGCCAAATGTCCAGGATGAATTAACCATGACCACATCTCCACAGGATCCAGCCAAACCATAAGTATATGCAAACAGTTGGTAGTATAACAATTTCACTCTACTCAAAAGGGGACTTCTTGTTATGAAAGATGCATTATTGTAGGTGGCTTGCCGGTCACTAACTTTTGATAACATATCAGTGCTGATGGTTGGGTAATGCACATAACAACCTACATGGCATTTACCAATGTATTTGAATAATGGTAATGTGAACGCATAACCCATGGTATCAATATAGATATCTGGGTTGAAATTGACCAGAGCTTCCCATCCAAGAAATATTGAACCAATACTTTGACCAAGCAGTGTAAAAAAAGGATAACAACTGGCTTCTACCCACTGACGTTTCTTTAAGTAAACAAACTTGACAGGTCTAAGTAATGTTATATTGAATCTTTCTTTAGCTCGTCTTAAGATATCCTCTCCTGTAACATTTTGATCGCCTGTGTAGACAACACACTGTAAATGACCAAGTTCGTTTTGTAAGGCACGTATAGCAGACCACAGAACCCTCTCTCCCCCACCACCAGCATTACAATACGGGTGAAAGAATGCGACAGTACGAGGTTCTTTACCAGAGGTGTATGAGAGTGAATTCTCTATTTTTGTTTTGCCCCCTTTGTTTATCCACCATCTTGATGCGAGAAGAAATACAAATATCGAACTTGCTAAAAAGAATAGCAAGCCAAACGTAGCAACAAAAAATATAAGAGAAAAATGTAAAAATAATGAAAGCATCGATAAAGACGATTTCTTTAATATTATTGTGCAATGAGCAGTAATGTAATTGAACGTCACGGCTGGAAAGTGGTCTGGATGCTTGTGGCATTTGCCTCGCTTTCGTGTTTTCCGATTTCCGGACGACCGGATTTCATATCGTGCCAAGTTCAGAAATTTTACATACTTTCCATATTTTGCGATAATAAGCTGGGGCCGGTTGTATGAAAGCCGGATAGCGCTATCCACCGGATAGTGATTTTTCCAACCGTTTTAAAAATTCTCGAAAAGCGATAAAATCTCATCTTTAGAATCAACAATTATTAAAGAGGTTCCTTGATTTAGGAATACTAAGATTTAATCAAAATTATAGCAAACAACGAGCGCTTTTAAAGCAATTGAAAAAACCACTTTTCGGTGCATAGCGCTATCCAACCTTCGTGCAACCGGCCCCTGTTATTTAGAACCGGGCATTTGGCCCGATTTGGGCTTTCATATTCGCCTCGCTTCAGTGTTTATTAATAAGAAGTGGTATAAGGAATTTTATTATATGGCTTTTCAAGAACTTCTATTCTGATTGGTTGAAGAGCGGTAAAAACCACTAAAAACCCGAAAAACCCAAAAACTTTTTTTACCCTTGGCGCGAGGTTGATGCGGTTGAGCAGAAGACCCTGGAGCCTGGGGTGAGGTTGCATGCAGTCATAATTTCTCAATTAACATACCTCTCGTAACTTTTTGGCCAGCTGAATGTCTGAGATGTCTCGTGAGTTGCAACCTATCAATAGCGGAATCTTCGAAGTGAACGCAAAGTTTCTGTAAATGTTAAAGATAAGACTCCTATTTTTCTCATTAAACATACCTTGGTAATTACAATGTCGCGAAATTATCCGATCTTGTTGATTCTAATTTTCATTTCATCAGATTATCATCAGAAAAAGGACACGGACATCACCGTTTGTGATTTTCAATTCATTGCAGTGGCATGAAAAAAAAACGAAGTATTTGTCTGCTTTAACACTTGAGAGTTGAGATTTGTCTGCTTACTTTAGATAATCCTGTCCCAGCATGCAAGCCTATTGAAAATAGAAACTGCACGAAGTTGTTTATAAATTACTGTATTGTATTGTAATTGTTCCGGGATCTTGACCGGGTATAGGAACTGATTTATTGTAAGGATGCTGTCTATAAATATGCTTTATCAGCTTTAACCATTAGAACAAAATCACAAGCACTCATATACTAAAAGGTGTATTGGGTAATACATCTAACTCTTACAGGGAAAGAGGTCGAAATAGAAATTATAAAAAAGTGTAACTCTTATATTCCACTATTTCAATGTCGATTGCAGTATCTGTCGTTCACCTTTTAAAAATTACATTCAACGCCATGATAGATGAACGATCCTGAAGCCTCAATTAATCACGGCTCCCGATCAACGCAAATGCCGATTTTTCGTGTCCAATTTTTCTTTCTATCTAAAACATTTTCCCATCAAAATTTTCAGTCTTCTTCTGTCAAAATTCTTTTTATTTCGAGCCAAAAAATTTTTTCTTGTGTCAATTTTTTCAACTGTCAAATTGTTTTTCTTGTGTCCAAGATTTTTCCCTGTCAAATTTTTTGACGAAAATTCGAAAAAACGAAATTCTTTTCCTGAAATTCCTGTCAATGTTTTTTGTTGTGCCAAAATTGTTTTCCAGACTTTTTCCAAACTTCTTTGGAACGACGCAGACGTTATTCATCATGGGTTATGGAGCTCTTCCGACATGAATTTTGGTGTATTTTCGATTGACAAAGAAAGGCAGTATGGTGTTTGATCATTGATTATGGAGCACTTCCGACTGGAATTTTGGAATATTTTCAATTGTTAATTATAGGGAAGATGCATACATTTTTCCAGAGCAAGTAATTTGAACTTCTTTGGAACGATGCAGACGTTATTCATCATGGGTTATGGAGCTATTCCGACATGAATTTTGGTGTATTTTCGATTCACAAAGAAAGGCAGTATGGTGTTTGATCATTGATTATGGAGCACTTCCGACTAGAATTTTTGAGTATTTTCAATTGTGAGTTAATATGCTGAAATGGCTTCAAATATTCACTAAGACTAATCTCTTTGGTTTTTGAGCATATTTGGTTTGTTTTTGTAAAATTGGAAAAATTGTCAATTTTGGCCAAAATGGTAACGGGATACCCCGATTTTGGCCAGAATTGATGAATTTTGAAAATTTTCCAAAAATGTGTTAATATGCTGAAAATGGATTCAAATATTCACTAAGACTAAACTCTTTTGTTTTTGAGGATGTTTGGCTTGTTTTTGGAATATTGGAAAAATTCACAATTTTAGCAAAAATGGTGAGGCTACCCCGATTTTCCCCAAAATTGACAAATTTTGAAAATTTTTCAAAAATGTGTTGTTTATAAGCTGAAAATGGCTTCAAATATTCGCTAAGGCTATCACTCTTTGGTTTTTCATAATATTTGGTTGGTTTTTTGAACGTTAAAAATTTTTTTTTCTTTTTGGTTCCTTTTTGGAACATTAAAAAAGTCCCCAACAAAATCAAAACAAGTATTAACAAACAAGGTTGTAAGTGTAGGTTCGAATCCTGCGTGTGAAAGATTCGATTTTTGCCATCGAAATTACTATTTAATTTAAAATTCTTCGAAAAGGATTTGGTCAAATAAACAACCCGCTTCGACAAATGATGTTGTGGCAATGCAAAAAAAATAAAATTGAAATTGAAAAATTTCAGTGTGATTTGGAAGCTTTAAAACAGTTAAAAGGCTCCTCGGCCTTTAGGTTCGTATGTTGATAACAAGGTGGCCCAGTGGTTAAGGCTACGGGCTACCAGCTTTGTAAGCGTGGGTTCGAATCCTGCATGGGAAAAGTTCGATTTTTCCACCCGAAATTACTATTTAATTTAAAATTCGTCGAAAAGGATTTAGTCAAATAAAGAACAATAGCTTTCGACAAATGTTGTGGTGGTCTAGTGGTTAAGACGTTCGTCTCTCACTCCGGGGATAAACGTTTCAACTCCTGGCAAGATTACCTGAAAATTTTCGGTGTGATTTGGAAGCTTTTAAACAGTTTAAAGATTTCTCGGTCTTTGCGAAAGACTGTAAATAGAAAAAAATTTAAAATCAAAAACCAAAAAAAATTATCGCGTTCAAAAATACCTGAAATTTGGAAGAAAAGCACAAGTAAAAAAAATTTTAAAAACATATGTGTCTTCTGAAAAGCCTGAAAATGAAGAAAGTCAGACGGGAAATAAATTGAAAAATTTCCCGCTTTTAAAAAACTCATGTTTACTTACATTAATTTTTTTCACGAAAATTTGACAGGGTGATTTTCTCGAGACTGAAAAAATTTACTTTTTTTCACTTTTTTGAAATTCTCTTAGATTTTGACGAAGAAGTATTTTGTCTTGGGCCACCTGTGTCTGTCTTGGGCTACCTGTGTCTGGCTTGACACAGGTAGCCCAAGACAAAATACTTTCGCATCGAAAAAAAAATCTAAGAGAATTTCAAAAAAGTGAAAAAAATTAAATTTTTTCAGTCTCGAGAAAATCACCCTGTCAAATTTTCGTGAAAAAAAATTAAGGTAAGTAAACATGAGTTTTTTAAAAGCGGGAAATTTTGAAATTTTTTTTCCGTCTGACTTTCTTCATTCAGTTCAGGCTTTTTAGAAGACACGTGTTTTTAAAACTTTTTTTAATTGTGCTTTTCTTTCAATTTTCAAGTACTTTTGAACGCGAAAATTTGTTTTCATTTTTTTTGTTTCAGATTTTTTTCAATTTACAGTCTTTCGCAAAGGCCGAGAAGTCTTTTAACTGTTTTAAGGCTTCCAAATCACACCGAAAATTTTCAGGCCAATTTTTTTGCATTGCCAGGAGTTGAAACGCTTGTCCTCGGAGTGAGGAACGAATGTCTTAACCACTAGACCATCGCATCATTTGTCGAAAGCTATTGTTCTTTTTTTGACCTAATTCTTTTCGATGAATTTTAAATTAAATGGTAATTTCGGTGGAAAAAATCGAACCTTTCCCATGCAGGATTCGAACATACCCTTACAGCCTGGTGGGCCGTAGCCTTAACCACTGGGCTACCGCAATAACGTATATTGTAAGGCTGCTATCAAGATATAAATCGATGGCCGAGTGGTTAAGGCTACGGCCTACCTGGTTGTAAGCGTAGGTTCGAGTCCTGCATGGGAAAGGTTCGATTTTTCCACCAAAATTACTATTTAATTTAAAATTCATCGAAAAGAATTAGGTCAAATAAAGAACAATAGCTTTCGACAAATGATGCGGTGGTCTAGTGGTTAAGACATTCGTTTCTCACTCCGAGGACAAACGTTTCAACTCCTGGCAATGCAAAAAAATTGGCCTGAAAAATTTCGGTGTGATTTTGGAAGCCTTAAAACAGTTAAAAGACTTCTCGGCCTTTGCGAAAGACTGTAAATTGAAAAAAATTTGAAATAAAAAAATGATAACAAATTCTCGCGTTCAAAAGTACGTGAAAATTTGAAAGAAAAGCACAATTATAAAAAGTTTTAAAAACACGTGTCTTCTAAAACGCCTGAACTGAATGAAGAAAGTCAGACGGAAAAAAAATTTAAAAATTTCCCGCTTTTAAAAAACTCATGTTTACTTACCTTAATTTTTTTTCACCAAAATTTGACAGGGTGATTTTCTCGAGACTGAAAAAATTTAATTTTTTTCACTTTTTTGAAATTCTCTTAGATTTTTTTTTGGACGCGAAAGTATTTTGTCTTGGGCTACTGTGTCTGTCTTGGGCTACCTGTGTCTGACTTGACACAGGTAGCCCAAGACAAAATACTTTCGCGTCCAAAAAAAATCTAAGAGAATTTCAAAAAAGTGAAAAAAATTAAATTTTTTCAGTCTCGAGAAAATCACCCTGTCAAATTTTCGTGAAAAAAAAGTTAAGGTAAGTAAACATGAGTTTTTTAAAAGCGGGAAATTTTTAAATTTTTTTTCCGTCTGACTTTCTTCACTCAGTTCAGGCTTTTTAGAAGACACGTGTTTTTAAAACTTTTTTTAATTGTGCTTTTCTTTCAATTTTCAAGTACTTTTGAACGCAAGAATTTGTTTTCATTTTTTTTATTTCAAATTTTTTTCAATTTACAGTCTTTTGCAAAGGCCGAGAAGTCTATTAACCGTTTTAAGGCTTCCAAAATCACACCGAAATTTTTCAGGCCAATTTTTTTGCATTGCCAGGAGTTGAAACGCTTGTCCTCGGAGTGAGGAACGGATGTCTTAACCACTAGACCATCGCATCATTTGTCGAAAGCCATTGTTCTTTTTTTGACCTAATTCTTTTCGATGAATTTTAAATTAAATAGTAATTTCGGTGGAAAAATCGAACCTTTCCCATGCAGGATTCGAACCTACCCTTACAGCCTGGTAGGCCGTAGCCTTAACCACTGGGCTACCGCAATAACGTATATATTAAGGCTGCTATCAACATATAATCCGATGGCCAAGTGGTTAAGGGGCTACGGCCTACCTGGTTGTAAGCGTAGGTTCGAGTCCTGCATGGGAAAGGTTCGATTTTTTCCACTGAAATTACTATTTAATTTAAAATTCATCGAAAAGAATTAGGTCAAATAAAGAACAATAGCTTTCGACAAATGATGCGGTGGTCTAGTGGTTAAGACATTCGTTTCTCACTCCGAGGACAAACGTTTCAACTCCTGGCAATGCAAAAAAATTAACCTGAAAAATTTCGGTGTGATTTGGAAGCCTTAAAACAGTTAAAAGACTTCTCGGCCTTTGGGAAAGACTGTAAATAGAAAAAAATTTGAAATAAAAAAATGAAAACAAATTTTCGCGTTCAAAAGTACTTGAAAATTGAAAGAAAAGCACAATTAAAAAAAGTTTTAAAAACACGTGTCTTCTAAAAGCCTGAACTGAATGAAGAAAGTCAGACGGAAAAAAAATTTCAAAATTTCCCGCTTTTAAAAAACTCATGTTTACTTACCTTAATTTTTTTCACGAAAATTTGACAGGGTGATTTTCTCGAGACTGAAAAAATTTAATTTTTTTCACTTTTTTGAAATTCTCTTAGATTTTTTTTTCGATGCGAAAGTATTTTGTCTTGGGCTACCTGTGTCAAGCCAGACACAGGTAGCCCAAGACAGACACAGGTGGCCCAAGACAAAATACTTCTTCGTCAAAAAAAAATCTAAGAGAATTTCAAAAAAGTGAAAAAAAGTAAATTTTTTCAGTCTCGAGAAAATCACCCTGTCAAATTTTCGTGAAAAAAATTAATGTAAGTAAACATGAGTTTTTTAAAAGCGGGAAATTTTTCAATTTATTTCCCGTCTGACTTTCTTCATTTTCAGGCTTTTCAGAAGACACATATGTTTTTAAAATTTTTTTTACTTGTGCTTTTCTTCCAAATTTCAGGTATTTTTGAACGCGATAATTTTTTTTGGTTTTTGATTTTAAATTTTTTTCTATTTACAGTCTTTCGCAAAGACCGAGAAATCTTTAAACTGTTTAAAAGCTTCCAAATCACACCGAAAATTTTCAGGTAATCTTGTTGCATTGCCAGGAGTTGAAACGTTTATCCCCGGAGTGAGAGACGAACGTCTTAACCACTAGACCACCACAACATTTGTCGAAAGCTATTGTTCTTTATTTGACTAAATCCTTTTCGACGAATTTTAAATTAAATAGTAATTTCGGGTGGAAAAATCGAACTTTTCCCATGCAGGATTCGAACCCACGCTTACAAAGCTGGTAGCACGTAGCCTTAACCACTGGGCCACCTTGTTATCAACATACGAACCTAAAGGCCGAGGAGCCTTTTAACTGTTTTAAAGCTTCCAAATCACACTGAAATTTTTCAATTTCAATTTTATTTTTTTTGCATTGCCACAACATCATTTGTCGAAGCGGGTTGTTTATTTGACCAAATCCTTTTCGAAGAATTTTAAATTAAATAGTAATTTCGATGGCAAAAATCGAATCTTTCACACGCAGGATTCGAACCTACACTTACAACCTTGTTTGTTAATACTTGTTTTGATTTTGTTGGGGACTTTTTTAATGTTCCAAAAAGGAACCAAAAAGAAAAAAAATTTTTAACGTTCAAAAAACCAACCAAATATTATGAAAAACCAAAGAGTGATAGCCTTAGCGAATATTTGAAGCCATTTTCAGCTTATAAACAACACATTTTTGAAAAATTTTCAAAATTTGTCAATTTTGGGGAAAATCGGGGTAGCCTCACCATTTTTGCTAAAATTGTGAATTTTTCCAATATTCCAAAAACAAGCCAAACATCCTCAAAAACAAAAGAGTTTAGTCTTAGTGAATATTTGAATCCATTTTCAGCATATTAACACATTTTTGGAAAATTTTCAAAATTCATCAATTCTGGCCAAAATCGGGGTATCCCGTTACCATTTTGGCCAAAATTGACAATTTTTCCAATTTTACAAAAACAAACCAAATATGCTCAAAAACCAAAGAGATTAGTCTTAGTGAATATTTGAAGCCATTTCAGCATATTAACTCACAATTGAAAATACTCAAAAATTCTAGTCGGAAGTGCTCCATAATCAATGATCCATACTGCCTTTCTTTGTGAATCGAAAATACACCAAAATTCATGTCGGAATAGCTCTATAACCCATGATGAATAACGTCTGCATCGTTCCAAAGAAGTTCAAATTACTTGCTCTGGAAAAATGTATGCATCTTCCCGATAATTAACAATTGAAAATATTCCAAAATTCCAGTCGGAAGTGCTCCATAATCAATGATCAAACACCATACTGCCCTTCTTTGTCAATCGAAAATACACCAAAATTCATGTCGGAATAGCTCCATAACCCATGATGAATAACGTCTGCATCGTTCCAAAGAAGTTGAAATTGCTTGCTCTGGAAAAATGTTGGCGTCTTCCCCATAACTCACAATTTAAAATACTTTAAAATTCCAGTAGGAAGAACTCCTAATCCCAAAATAATATAAAAGGAATTCAAAAGGGATTTCATTTACGGCTGTGTGATACTATGTATTATTGTTCGTGATATTCGATTTCAGGGATATGTAAAGACGTAGATAAAATAGGAAAACAGAAGACAAAAAAGTCAAGAGTGCGGATAAGTATGCCCGTACGCGGCGTTTCGTCCTTTTGCGGACTCGTCAGCGGGGAGCCGCATGGTTGGCTTTGTATAAAAAAAGAAAGAGGATAAAGAAAACGGTTCACCATGGTTTGTGCTTGTGTGAAAATCTTAAAGAATCAATGTGCGTGGAAAATGGAAATGTATATATATTTATAAAAGGTAAGAATGTAATGTATGTCTTACCAAAGGTGTTGTTGAATTTCGATAAACCGACGTGATGTGACATCTTTAGATTTTTTTTTTATTTAAAACCGAGTAGAGATTTATTCACAAAACTGGTGTTCGTATACCCTTATATACATCCTAAGTATGAGGTAAATTTATTTGCGTTGAACGGAGGCATTATTGAGACTTCAGGATCGTTCAACTATCATGGCGTTGAATGCAATTTTTTAAAAGGTTGAACGTCAGATACTGCAATCGATATTGAAATAGTGGAATATAAGGATTACACTTTTTATAATTTCTATTTCTATCTCTTTCACTCATAACAGTTAGATGTATTAGACAGTATATTACCCAATAATAAGCTTTCTGCATTTTCACAATAAAATATGAATGGTTGTGCATGATTTTGTTCTACTGGTTAAAGATGACGAAGCATCATAGACAGCATCCTTACAATAAATCAGTTCCTATACATGCATATTCCCATCTAACACATTGCTTAAAACCGCCGGCTATGCAGACCGGCAATACCAATAAATTATTTGATTGATCAACATTTAAATCTAAACACTCTCAGAAGAAAATAATAACAATTACCGACAATATGTAACTTTTAACAAATGTTTTTGGATCTACCGAGTAAATGTCAAGATTCCGAATCAATTACTCCGCAATACACTAATTTATACAATTTCATAAAGTTTTTATTTTCAATAGTCTTCCGTACGGGAACAGAATTAATTAGCTAAAAATACTTAATATATCTCAAGTAAACAGACAAATACTTCGTTAATATTCATGCTACTGCAATGAATATTGAAAATCACGAACTGTCAGTTACAGATTGACTTCAGTAACGAGCGAACACGACCCGTGATTGTTCGAGGAGATTCTCGGAAAATGCGAGTATTAACAGAATATATAAAAGGATTTTGTGCAGAATTTAAAAAGGCCAAAGTGTTAACATAAGGGAAAATGTTTAACAATGTTTCTTTCTCGTTCACATTTTGTGTCGTCATGTAGATTAAGCCCATAACTTGCAGAGGAAGCCAGGAAAATAGAAATGCTCCACAAATGACCGATGTCGTTTTAAACGCTTTTAGTTCTCGAAAAAATGTCACATTTTGTTTCCAATACGTTTTATTCTTCTCGTGTGAGTTACGACTGACTGCATCTTCATTTTTAATCGACTGAGTCTTAAGTACTTTGACTGCTTTTAATTCTTTCTCAATTCTTTTGCGGTGTTTTGACGCGACGAAAAACAATCGAATATGAATGAAGATCAAAGTAATCATTACGAGGAAACAGAGGATGCCAACTAGCCCGTGAATCAAACGCGTTAATGATCTAGAAACCAGTGTTAGTGCAGTTCCTTGAGCTAGCGTGAAACACCAAACTATAAACAAAAATACAACACACCAACCACAGGAGTGTTTTAGTTTTTGATGATACAGATTTGGTTTACATATCGCAAGGAAACGATCCACTGATACAATTAGAAGATGAAGCAATGAAGCAACAACCAAGGCCCATCGGGATGCTTTCACAAGTTCCACAAAATTTGTATTTAATGTATAGAAAAGTGAGTATACATATAATGGCTGTACGATCGTAATAACTAAGATATCAGAGACAGCAAGACTTCTTAAGATGATTGTGGAAGGCGTCCAACGATTGTTCTGATACAAATTTAATACAGTAACAACCATTAAGTTGCCGAGTAGACCAAACACCATTGAGAAGACGTTGAAAATGCACAACGTTATCTTTTCACTTTTAGAAAGATGATATATAGGATAAGTCGAGACGTTCATGTTGTAGTCTTCTCAAATGGACCTGTTAAATGTGCTGCCGGTTAATGTAAGTGCCGTTGATGATTTTGGTCTTTCGTGCACAGCGAGGTGTGCTCTCCTTTTTGTCAGCTTGAGACATACGTATATAAACTTTAAATAATTCATCAAACCGGCGTCGTAATTAATGTTTGTGTCAAAATTTACATTCTATTTCACGAAATGAATATGTTTTTATATCGTTATCAGTGAGGCATCAGATTTTCTTCGAACCAAAAATAATTTGGAGCTTTGTGCGACCACCTGCTGCCATTTACCACAGCAGCATAGTTATAGACGTGATAACATTTCGTATTCCAGATAAACAACGAGAATGTAATTTGTTTCGTGGATTTCTTCATTCAGTTTTTATTCTGGCATTGAACTGATCATGACCACAAGAAGTTCTCTATAGTGAATGTGCAAGGGCATGCATGCATGTGCGTCGTGCGACGTTGAGATACGTTTGTGCCAAGTGTGGGAGATGATAATATTTGCATGATAATATGAAATCAGAAAATCACTGTTTTAAAAAAATGTTGCAGAAGTGACCGTTGATGTCCGTGTAGTCCTATTTCTGACGATAATCTGATGAAATATTTGGAAATTAGAATCAACACGATCGGATAATTTCGAGATAATTGTAATTACCAAGGCATGTTTAATGAGAAAAATAGGAGTCTTATCTTTCACATTTACAGAAATTTTGCGTTTACTTGCATCTTCGAAGATTCCGCTATTGATAGGTTGCAACTCACGAGACATCTCAGACATTCAGCTGGCTTAACACGAGATGCCTATCTATTATAATTTCCAAGATCACGAGAGGTATGTTGTTGAGAAATTATGACTGCATGCAACCTCGCCCCAGGGTCTTCTGCTCAACTGCATATACAATTTGTCGCAAAAAAGTATGGTCATATATATATATACGAGTGACACATGAAACATCGACTATTAAACTATGACACTTAGAAGGGCTTTGAAATATGTTTTGCATGCATGCTAAACCTTTTTAAGGCGTACGGGGTATGTGACGCATGTATATTATGTTATTAATCCAGCTTCGTACCCGGCGTGTGTTTTTGTTTTAATAATTGCGTAACGCCGTAAGAGTATCAGGTGTCAGAATAAATGTATTGTTTGCTCAAAAGGAGCGAGAAAACTAAACAAACTCCAGTAAATTTATACGAATTATTCCTACTTACCTGGTGTACGCCAAACAAAGTTAGTTATATTTATCTTGTTTTAGTTTATTATTCTGTTGTCTGCTCTTTAGTTGCGGAGTTTAGTAGTGTATAGCGTTAAATTGTCATAAATGTATACCGGAGCTTATGTTAGCAATAATCCGCAATAATCTATGGCTATGCTATTCCGCTTTTACAAATTATGTAGTTTGAACCCCCATAATCATATCTATGATACATATTCACATACAACAAACCTCAACCTCAGTCCTAATGAAGAATCAATGACAGAACGATGTATAAAGAGTTCGTACAGAGTACGTACAGCCGGAAAACCGGAATGACTAGCTTCTATGTCTTAGAATTTGGAATAATAAATTCAAGGCATTGAAAATCGTACAAAATATGGGAAAAGAGTTTGAAACTCTTTGAATTCTAATTAGAGATGTGATTGGGGATTGCAGGTTTAAATTATTAATTCATATAACCTGAATTTCAAAATTTCGTCTTGTATATAATATAGTTGTATTTCTTGCTCCATGCACTTCCGCTTTTCAGTGAACTTGAGTTAATGTATCAAACACCGAAGTGAGTAGTTATATAAGGCAGAAAATTTAAACTATAGTTAAAACACACAGCCACACACACAAGATTGTGGGACAAAGGGTTCTCAGGAAGAAGTGCTCCAATTATATAGTAAAATTGTGGTCAAAGTGCTACCCCACAGACAGGTTATGCTGAATGTTAGAAATATACAATAATTCCTGAGGGGTTGTTGTTCCCCATATTGGATTTCTGCGCAAGGGGTCGTTGCTCCCCTAGATGGGCATCCTAAATGTCCAAGGGGTCGACCGTAGATCCCCGAGATGGCCATTGTTTACATTATATTTACACCTAATAATACACATAAAAAAATTGTCAATTCTGCTTGGTTTAGAGCAGTGCAATTTTTAGGAAATCCCAGTGCTAAAAATAGGAAATCCCAGTGCTAATTTTTTTAAGATGTCTTAAAAAATGCTCCTGAGTATCATAATTGTTGTGTTTTTACATAAAATAAATATTTTATGTAAAAACGTTGAAACAGTTCTATTTTGACACGATTTGAATCCCAACAGGTAACATGGATAACACGGAGTCGGAGTTCCGGAGCCGGAGTCCCGGAGTCAAAATTACGGAGTCTGACGTAATAATATTGGAAAACACGGAGTCAAAAATTATGGAAAACACGTAGTCTGCCAAAAACTTGGAAAACACGGAGTATGAATGTTTGGAAAACACGGAGTCAACGTAAATTATACATATATTCATAAATGAAGGATCGCTCATAAGTCTATACTAATTTTTTATACCACAGTAATAGTATAAAAGAAAGAATACACAATAACAAAAGATTATAGCTATCAATGCCTCTTGCTCAAAGTCATAGAATTATTGTTGTAGCTAACTACATTACGTGTCCTTATATCACCTTAAATCACACCAAAACTGCCACATCCAATTTCCTCTTTGTCTACACAATATCCTCCCAATTAAATTGAGGAATATTATAAGTTTTTCGGTCGTTTATTTACCATTTGCGGAATAGCAAAAACGTTACGCGAATTTGACGCCATGTTGCTTAATAAAACACGCTAAAATTTGCATAATTTGCGACTCCGTGTTTTCCAATATTATTACGTCAGACTCCGTAATTGACATATTCCATAATTTGTGACTCCCGGACTCCAACTCCGAAACTCCGGCTCCGGAACTCCGACTCCGTGTTATCCATGTTACCAAAAAACAAACATTGAATGAGTGAGGTATTAAAGAAGTGAGAGGAGAGAGAGAATTTGAGATTTTGTGTTATGAATTGAGATTTACGAGTGTTGTAAATACTGATTTGGAGGCGAGTTTACGACACTCTTATACTATGTCCACAAACACTTCTCACGTCTCGAACTTATCTTACACTAATAAAACACTGCATGTTGTGTTGAAAGGTTTGTGTTATTGTACCATGATATGCTAAAACTCTTCAGAATTAACTTGGGCTGCATGACAGATTTCATCCAGGAAGACTAGCATGGCAGTAACAGAGATCGTGAACATAAGAAAATAAGATGCCATATACCAGTACAAATATCATCAGTTTAAATAATCACAATTACCGTCCAGTTTTCCTGCGGTCATAGTTGACAACATAAAATATAAAGACAAAATTTGATCTGACAAAACGGACTAAAAAGAATATTTATTTAATATAGTTAAAATGTAATCTATGTGCATCATGCGTTGGTTCTAGAAGGAAGCCCCTTCACAGTAGGTGCAGAAGGGTAAGGTAAGGATTTAACAAGCTCGTACATTTTGTCGCTAAGGATTCTTCGCATCACTTTATAGCCAATCGGATTGTCTGTTCGTTCTCATTGATATTTAACTATCTCGTCTTAATCTTGAGAATTAGCCAAATGATACGGATGAGGTGGTGATTAAGAGACCATCTTGAAGTCTTGAAGAACACATATTCCACGTTTAAAGTCACGTATCTCGCAAATGTGGTCGTTCTTTTATAAGCACCAGGATGAGGAAGTATTGCATTTCAATTTGGCTGTATCACGTCTTTCAAAATCAGTAAAGTGTTCATCAACAACTCGTCAAGTGAAATTATAGTCTAAAGACGAGGCTTTGCATGCTTTAATTGAAGAACATGAAATTCATCGCGACAAAGAACAGTGTTCCGGGAATTGAACCCAGTAACCGTGTGTACTAGTCAGCTTCCATTAGACCATTATGTTTTCTATTCTGAGGGCGTTTACGTCAGACATTAAAGTCTACTGGGTTGCGAAAATATTCTTAACTTTTTATGAGTATAACGAGATATACCAATAATGCGGATATAAATTGTCAACAGAAATGTTTAGCTTTAATGCAATTTTACTCGTGAAAAGTTCAATTTTCGTATGGAAAACCAACCGTAAACACGGTTCCGAACACACGGACACTGTTTTTTTACGAGGGAAACCAGAGTGCCTGGAGAAAAACCCTCACCGAAAGCCGGAATTAAACACAAAGTACACAAGTTTGAGATTTTATTAAAACAAAGTCATGTATTACAACAAAGTGTGTGTGTGTGTGTGTGTTAAGATATTGAAATCAAGAGAGAGGAGACGGACAATTTTGGTCCTATTTTTATTAATACTTCACTAAACATGTATTACAAAGCGTGTGTGTTTTCTTTACATAGTACGTCATTAATATACGAAGACATTAAACTATTACATCTAAAACCGGTTACAAAGTAGGTGCGTTAAGATCTTGACATTTAAATTTATAGAACAGTGCAGGTTAAATGTTAATTTTGCATACTTTAGTATAAATTGTTCATGTCTTTTTACAGTGTGCTATTGTGTTTTAGTAATGTTTAAGACTGATCAGTAAAACATGCATTAATGTGAGTAAGTGTTTCTATAAGTTATCGTGTATATATTTTTTTGTTCTATTATAGACTTAACCCACTAAATCTGGTAGAGAGCTGAATAAAGGTTATGAGATCGACGAACTAATATAGTATCGTCCAAAAACTAAAATTATTCTGCTGACAAATCATAGGCAGTGTTCCTAATACTTTCGTTTTAAGCTGTCGAACTGTGCACACATATTTCAAGGATCGAGTTAACTTGAAGATATTTCATGAGCCCTTATAGAAACAGCATGAAGGAATACACAATTGTCCTTGAAAACTTCATTGCACATTTCAGAGCTGAGGCATATAGCCAAAGCAACAAAATGCTGCACTTGGCATGTCGAAACCAAGTGCAGCATCAATTGTAAATATTTTTCTTTTGAAAGAATTCAGTCAACATTTGTTGAACCATGCAAGGGATATTCCCAAAGCAAGATGCCCTTATAGAAACAGCACCTAGAGTACAATTTTTTTTAGAGAAACTGAACTAATACTTTCAAAGCCAAGGCATATAGCCAAAGCAAGCTGCTCTTATAGAAACAGCCACAGGAGTACATTTTTTTCTTTGAAAATCTGGTTTAAAAACTTTTAGAGCTTAGGCATATAGCCAAAGCAAGCTGCTCTTATAGGAACAGCAATCAAAATAACACTGCAACGTTATTAGATATCCCAAGACACCTGCTAACACTTCGAACCACATAGCAAAGTCAAACAGTACAGACAAAAAGCGGCGCCTTACTTTTCATAAGCACTGCTCGACGAAGCTAAATGATTGGAAATCTCACAGAGACCTTGGAAAAATAATAGAGTTACAATGCCACTGCCAATGTTTGTCTCGTAATTATAATTGGTTTCTAACTATAGTAGAAATAAGGCATATCGTTTTAAGATAACAGCATGCAACCCCCCCCCCACCCATTCCTTATTTTCTTCAAGTATATTCAAATTCATTAATTGAGAGTATGTGTGTGTGTGTTAACTTTGATTGCATAGTCATGTATTTAAGAATGAGCAAGACAGTATAAGACATGCCGTAAAATCAATGTTTCTGGCTTGAATATTAACTGTAGCCTTAAGTGAATGCAAGAGATAAGAGAGATATAAACTAGAAGCCATTATATAGGCCATGGCATGGTTTGCATCAATGTATTTACTCGTGTGCGTGTCTATTTTATTTGCAGCTACAAGATCATGAGGTATAGTGCATGATGTTTTGTATCTGTTCATATTTTGATATAAATCATGTTTTTTCATAAATACATACACAATATTATATGTTCAATTACAAAATATGGTAAGGCAAGATATAATCGTATATTTACAATGTTTGCTGAGAAATCAAAAACGTATTTACATACAAATAATTTTACAACCAGACCGAATAGTGACCCTATATATAGTTATCATTTTACAATGTTAATTCCGAAAGCCGCAATTGACCGGATTTCAAGAGCCGAAGATGATTTCAATCAGGACAAGATAGAGAAAGAGGAAAGAACCTACGGGATTATGTCTGCCATTATTGGCTATGGTTTGTGTTAATGTGCATGGCTTTTTAGCCATTTCTTAAGTGAAATATGGGTGATATTTAACAGTTGTGTTATGTTTTCAGTTTTAACAGACAAATTATCAACCTAAACCTTAGCGCAGCCCTAAGCGCAGGCGAGCAGTCCTAAGCGCAAAACCGATTAAAATATTTAACCGAATTTAAGAAACGTTTGCTCACATGCATCATGCATTAGCTATGTTCCTGGTGGCCAGAACCTAGTTAACTGAATTTAAAACTTTATTTAACTTAAGTTCGTTAACTAAATTAGTTAACTTCGTTAAGTTAATCATGCACAGACTAACCCCTGCATGCACATTTTTTGACCACCAGGCTACTCTAACCTGTAACGATGCCCGGGCATCGCTGAACGTTGCTTTTTGGCGTCGATTTGGCGTAGTTTTGGCGTATATTAGGCGTCGAGTTGGCCTACATTAGGCGTAGATTTGCCGTCGAGTTGGCCTACATTAGGCGTAGATTTGCCGTCGAGGTTGCCTACATTAGGCGTAGAGTGCCGTCGAGGTTGCCTACATTAGGCGTAGAGTGCCGTCGAGGTTGCCTACATTAGGCGTAGAGTGCCGTCGAGGTTGCCTACATTAGGCGTAGAGTGCCGTGGAGGTTGCCTATACATTAGGCGTAGAGTGCCGTCGAGGTTGCCTACATTAGGCGTAGATTTGCCGTTGAGGTTGCCTACATTAGGCGTAGATTTGCCGTCGAGGTTGCCTACATTAGGCGTAGATTTGCCGTCGAGATTGCCTACATTAGGCGTAGATTTGCCGTCGAGATTGCCTACATTAGGCGTAGATTTGCCGTTGAAGTTGCCTACATTAGGCGTAGATTTGCCGTAGAGTTGGCTTACATTAGGCGTAGATTTGCCGTCGAGATTGCATACATTAGACGTAGATTTGCCGTCGATATGGCTTGTCGGTAATAGCTCAACAGAGCCCATCAACCTGAAATAAGATTAAAGAAATAAGCAAACTACATTTTTTCATTGAGAAGAAACACGCGTAAAATCGGGATTGTAAACAGACCCAAAACAACATCTATAAAACCTCTCTGGGATTTCAAGTATTTCCTTGCCATTATTCATATTAAATTATCATCCGGCCGTTGTCGTTCTTGACCTGAATCATGCATGAACTCCCCAGTTCGGTTTATCTAAAAATGTTCAATTGCTTAATACTCACGTTTTATTATGAACAGGTTTTGTCGTTGTTTCAAATGGCTTGACCCGCTAAATCACTACCTGCAATAAAACCAAAAGAATGCTTGTTATAGACAGCGATTTCAAGGATTTACCTTCGATGAAGGGAGCTTAAATATCGGGAGAAAACTTGCGGTGTGATTATTCAGTTGAGAGAACCATGCACGATGCCTGATCAAGCGTTTCAAGTTTTCCCATCCTATTTTGAATAAAATAGACCCAAAATTACCTGTTCATTTCAGCAACAAGTGTTAAAGAGCAGCTTTGGATTTGCCGTCTCTTTAAATGCGAGTCATCTCGGGGATTTCAGCTATGGGTTTTCTTTCTCAGCTCATTTCTATATTCGGTTTGGTTTTAGCTTTTAAACTCCACCTGGAAGAACAAAAGGCAATGTTAGTTTACTGGTTTGGTCTTTATAACTCAATTCAAAGCTAATTGCTTGCGATTGGAGCAAAGGTTAGCGGCTCACATACGATTTAGCGTATATTACCTTTCTCATATCATCAACAAGTCCCAAGAAAATGCGTAGACGTGCTTTCTCTTCAAAGGCGAGTTATCTTGAGTCAAATGCGAGTCATCTCGGGCAATTTCAGCTACGGTAACAGACTTTTTGCCCACTTCGCTTCATTCAGTTTGGTTTTAAGCTCTCAAACTCCGCTGGAAGAATAAAAGGCACCATTAGTTCACTGCTTAGGTCTTTAGAACTCAATTCAAACGTAATTTGCGTGTGGTTAGAGGGAAGGTTAGCGGCTCAACGGTAAGATTTGACGTATATTACCTTTCTCATATTATCAATATTCCCCAGAAAAAGGAAAAAGCCTAGACTTGCTTTCTCTTCAAAGGCGAGTTATCTTGAGCCAGTTCAGCCACAATTCATCAGTCATCAATCTCTTGTTCACAAATTTCATCGTTTAACTTCGCTTTAATACGTCAAAATTCTGCATGAAAAGAATAAAAGCTACGTTAGTGCTATACAAGTTTTGTATTTGAAGCTGAACACAATACGAGAGAGGCATAACAAGACGTGAACTAAAGACACGTGGAACCTCAGCCCAAAAGCTCACCATGAAACAAGCTGATGAAACACGCAAAGGGAAAGGCATATTACCTGGTATTACACCAACGACAGTTTGTCAGAGATAGTAAACTTCTATTAAACTTCTATTAAACTTCTCTTCTGCTGAAGACGATAGCAATCGACAATTGATAGCAATTTCTGTTGAAATTTTCTTGGCATGGAGGAGACTCGTCTTTATTCTTCGAAGACCAGCGCTGAAGTGATGTCTCAAACTGGAATAAAAAGCACATATTATTCATTTCACCCGCTCCTCGTGTCTGCAAAATAAAGTCATCCTATTGGCTGAACACTCCCGGCCTGACAGCTCAACATTGCTTCTGATTGGACGAGCATAGTAATTTGAATAATATGATTTAATAATTCTTTCCTTTCATTTCTGATGTTCAGGCTCAGGAGAAGAGAATTAATCATATTATTTAAATTACTATGAACGTCCAATCAGAAGCGTTGTTGAGCTGTCAGGTCGGGAGTGTTCATCCAATAGAATGACTTTATTTTGCAACACGAGGAGCGGGTGAAATAAATATCTAGCTTTCATTCAACGTTGCCACATCACAACATGGATAACACGGAGTCGGAGTTTCGGAGCCGGAGTTTCGGAGCCGGAGTTTCGGAGCCGGAGTTTCGGAGCCGGAGTCAAAATTACGGAGTCTGACGTAATAATATTGGAAAACACGTAGTCTGCCAAAAACATGGAAAACACGGAGTATAAATATTTGGAAAACATGGAGTCAACGTAAATTATACATATATTCATAAACGAAGGATCGCTCATAAGTCTATACTAATATTTTTATACCCCAGTAATAGTATAAAAGAAAGAATAAACAATAACAAAAGATTATAGCTATAATGCCTCTTGCTCAAAGTCATAGAATTATTGTTGTAGCTAACTACATTACGTGTCCTTATATCACCTTAAATCACACCAAAACTGCCACATCCAATTTCCTCCTTGTCTACACAATATACTCCCATTTAATTTGAGGAATATTATTTATGTTTAAGGATAAGTTTTTTGGTCGTTTATTTACCATTTGCGGAATAGCAAAAACGTCAGTACGCGAATTTGACGCCATGTTGTTTAAAACACGCTATCAAATTTGCATAATTCACGTTGAGTCATTGACCACTGAGCTTGGCAGACTTCCAAACATTTATACTCCGTGTTTTCCATATTTTTAACAGACTCCGTGTTTTCCACAATTTGTGACTCCGTGTTTTCCACATTTTTAACAGACTCCGTGTTTTTAATAATAGGCGGTTTGCTGAGACAGCAAAATGTGCCTAGAAATCGATTTATGAAAAGCATGCCGTGGAACTGAACAAAATGCACATAGCTTACTTTTTAAAAACACCCTGAGTCCGAATCTGAAAAGTTCCCGCTCTTCCGACCTGCAGTTTTTTCACAAAATACATTTTAAATGTCACTCCTTAGAGATTTTTAAAATGAACAAGCGCCATTTTGAATTTGTGATCGTGTAATTTTCCATCGTTCAGAATACTAAATTTTCCGTTCCAGTCTCTCGAATTCGCGGTAAATTGTCATCGTAGGCTATGGACTTTGCTCGAATATAAATAGTTCCAATCCATACACACCGGACGCGATTCCACAACGCGACGCGATTTTTTAGTTCTTGAAAGTTAATTGAATAGCCAATGAGAGCAAATTTTGAAAGATATGTAGACCAGATAACTCAAAATATTGTGGCGCTTCTGGAAAATTCAAACTAGGTCAATTTAAAGTTGATCGTCGCGTCGCGTTGTCGAATGGTGGAGATGTCGTCTATTTGCGATTTAGCACATAAAATGGATTGCAACAGCAGTATCCCATTCTGATTGTGTCACTTTATGAATATCTTTAGAAGTTGACTGTTTTAAAGACTGTTGACTCTTTACTGTTCATCCTCACTGTCCTCATCCGAGCTGTGATCGTCACAGGAGCTAAAAGTGTCGGAATCTTCATAGCACTCGCTTTCGTCATGGCTTTCGCTATAGCGGTTTTTGCAATCGTGGCATTGGCATACATCCGTACACTTCAGCGATGCCTTCAAACAGGAACATCTTCTATTTTCACAACCCTTCGTACACTTGCAGTTTACAAATTCTAAGATTGAGTCTGGGGCTGCAGGAATGGTCATCCAAGCAATTTCTACGTTTCCTTCACCATCTACTTTCCAGCCGTGGTTGTAAAATGTAGGAAGATGAAGCATTGGTTGCGTAGCATGTCGCCAGATGTAACATTGGAAATTGGCTCTGAGAGCGTGCTGGTCGAGAGAATCTTGGTTAGGCGGCAACAATTCTTCCTCGTATTTCCCTCTTTTAAATAATTGGTAACGCGCAGTATTGACGTCCGAGCATTCGTCATAACCATAGAGATGGCATACATACCTTGATAAGTCCTGTTTAAGTGCATCAGATAGTACTATTTCCCTCCCAAGATTTTCGAATGTAGTGGCGTGCGCCACTTTCATTTTGGCAATCTTCAATGCACTTATCTTGCCTTTGCCGTAAAAGGAACTTGTGGTATCACAACCTGTAAAAGCAAAAATGTAAGCTAAGCTATAAGCTAGCATATTAATAAAGTCATGATCCAAAATAGTAGTTACCAAGCTAAAGCGGAAAGCAGGGGCTCAGTACATATTCCAATGTTACCTCTTCGTTCACTGCGTGCGCAAATGTGAACGTAACGTTGTATAGTAAGTGAGGTTTAAAAGAAAAAGTACAGATTTAAGGCCATTCTAAATATTATAACATTTAGTAAACCCGTAAACGCATGAAGACCTAACAAAGACCTACACCATTGGTCTCCAAGAGATTGCCTCACATTGCTGAGGGAGATTATTCGTCGTCCATGTCCTACACCCGTTTCCATGAAAATATCAGCATCGATGTCCAAAGAGGCATTAAGTGCAATAACGAAAACATCCGTATCAGGACTTTTGATCAGAATGTTAGGGAAATGTTGAGAGGCATGTCTTGCATGGGTTATCATTCGTGTATCGGCTTCTTCGTGATCACAGGAGAGCTCTAACACCTCAGTGCACGTCAGCTGTTCGTTTGATTCAATAAAGCTATGGCATTTTTCTTCGTGTGAAAGGACCACTTGAATGCCTCTTAGCAGTCGCGGTTTGGCGTTCTTCCAGCACGTGAAAAGGAATTTCATTAATTCTTCTTTGTTTTCACCACATGACATAAATTTTTTCCACTGTCGAGGAACTTTCTGCTGCTCACTGTATATTCTAACCACTTGCACTCCGCCAGCTGCTCGCCTGTTCCTCTCTAAGTTCTTAATGCTTTCACGCGGATATATCGACAAACAAAATCTACGCGTTTGCAGTTCGAATATACGGCAGAGTTGACAACCTTCACAAGTAGTTGCGTTGCCAATTCACCGAATGTTTCTGGTATTGGAGTTAATGTTTGCAACATTGCCATTGCATCTAAAACGCAGGCCTTCTCCGTGATGGGTAACTCGCTGACTGTAGCTTCTTCTACTTGCTCTTCAACTGCGTGCAACAGCTTTGCCTTCGATGTTTTAACAATATCTCCTTCATGTGTTGCCAAAGAAGCGGGGAATGGACGAAGAGAATATTTCAGAACATTATCCATTTGTAGATTACGACTTTTGGCAATTAACAGCATTTTCGTGAAAAGGATTTTCGAATTCTTCATTGCTACAAGTTCTCCTTTCTTATTCTTACTCACCACTTTCTTGCCTGCAAATATATGACGTAACCGGCATCAGAACGAGGGCTGCCTTTTGGCGGAGGAAACAGAATGACAATTGACGAGTACAATATACACGTGTTGCATTACGAGTTGTAAAAATAACCGTAGAAATTACAATATAAATAACATAAAACTACCTAGAGAAGAAAATGTTTCCAACTTTGTTTTCTTTATAGATTCGTAAATATTGGGCATTTCTCCAACAATTTTAGACTTCATGAAATCGTCCGCGGCGAATTTCCCCTTTTCAAGCATTCTTTTCATGTCTTCGGCAATCGCAGCGGTGGCAACTGATCCACTGGCCAAATGTACCAATTCATCTTTATCATTGTCGAATGGATTGATCATTGACTCCACCGTTTTAATGACCTCCATCACCGCCTTATCGTCCGCTGCCATCCTTGTCCGGTCTAAATCCTTTCTACTCCTATACGATAACGCAGGGAAAAGATTAGTTTCATATGAACTTCGGGTGGAAATAACTTCAAAAACTCAACCTTGCAAGATTTTACCTTGCAACTTCAGAGATGTTTGCCATGGCTTCACACTGTCTTGTTATAGCACTTCTTTCTGCTTGCCCCATCAACCAACGATGTACTGCTCCTCTGTTCAACGTTTTCCCGATCAATCCACCTTTCATTTTAGAATCTCTGAAAAAACAAAATGCTATTCGTATAGAAATGTTATAGTCAATTGAATAAACTTCTGAACTTAAAGCCTTCTAGTTAATTTACTTAATGCGTAATTAACCTGTTTAAAGTTTGCTCAATCGTCTGGTCGCAAGCAATGCTGGAAAATGAGTAGTTTTCTTGTCTCTGAACAGTCCAATTTTGAGAAATGTTAACAGCGACGTCTAAACAAAAAGTATAATTAAAGTGTAGACATTAGTATAAGATGAGGAAAAATTTGATATTCTATGCACCATTAAGAAAGCAAAATGGACACGTGTTTGAATAGGGGAAATTACTTGCTATGTTTAGTCACGTTTCCCTTAGTTTAATCTTTAAAAATTGACTTGTTCTCGCATTTTAAAAAATATGAATATGAGGTTAACTGTTTTTACGTACATGGATGAGTGATTTCGAGACACATCATTTCCAACCAATAACACGAAGCATATCTGGAATAATTCACGCGATCTGTCGCGAAGAACCATGGAATCATCGACTTTAGCGAACTTAGGTGTAGAGACCAGTCGGTGGTTCTTGTTGCCCGAATGTAAAGTAGTAATAATTGCACCATTTCGATGTAATGCGACCAGAATGAAAACAATGGATTCTCCTCGCAACGTTTCTGAACAAATAGGTCGTACATCATTTTCGCTTCCGTAACGTTGTTGCCGCTGCTGATGTCCAAAAAGTTATCTCTTTCTGGATCATCTTCCATGATACGATTGATTGACTCGAGCAGAACTTTCTCGGTGGTTGTCAAAGATTTCTCAAATGCTTGTAGCCGCAATCTTTCCATTGCCTCAAAGATGATCTTGTGTGCTCGTATGGAACGGTTATAATGCTTTCCAGTCAAGACACCTTTTAATGATCCTGGTGCTACAACTTCCGATTCGATCATGATATCCTAAAAATATATTCGCAATTAAATGTACAGCACAGAAGAGCCCGTGTTGGGATTGGCTTGTAAAAGCGAATTGAGATGATCAGCACTTATGACTTTTCCCTTGATTCGAAATGTTTATCTATCAGACATTGTCTTAGTGGCGTAGCCAGCTCGATAATTGGGGGGCTCCATAAAAACAATCGATTTCAAAAGAAATTAATAATGCAAACACGAATATATGAATAGCCCCTCACCCCCAATTATCGATTTGGCTACGCCACTGCTGTCAATCACAAGGTTTGCTCATAAAGATTGAAAAGATAGTTACCTGTAACCCTGCGTCCTTGAAAATTTTAGAAATACCGCTGCAAAATGACATAACGTATGGAAAATCACCGAGTCTTATAACCAGACGTTCCTTCAACTCATCATCTTTCCATCTAATCATCTGAGCTTTGGCATATATGGCTTCGTCAAAAACCAAGACAATTTGGGGGATTTGAAGGCGTTGGCAAATCGAAACGCTATGTCGGAGCAATGTGTTGACCGTTGCCATGTCCGTAACCGGTGCATCAATGACTGGTAAATATGCAATGCGGGAAACACTTCGATTCACTTTGTGTACTTGAGTATTAAAGCCGGTCCATCCTGGCATTAGCTTTCCACTCTCCGAAGCATTCATTTTAGACAAAAGGTATAAAAAATCCGCATTTCTTCCCATCTCTTGCACGTGGCGATAACATTTTTCTTCCAGTGGAATCTCGGAACTTTCATCTCGCAGGGAAATATTTCCTTTCTCTTTGCTTGTGTATGGGAGAATTGTGGTTTCCGGAGCTACAATACTGCGGTTCTTCTTACTCACTACTAGTTTCGTTCCCAGAGTCTGTCCATCGTTTTCATTCTGCACGATGATGCCATTTGCTACGTGCGTTGTACCTTTTCCAGAAACCGTTTCTTCATTAAAGTCATTGTTGTCCCAAATAATCGTAGTAAATACATCTGGATTGATGCTTCGTGGAATAGAGATCTCTTTTCCCGCTTCGTCGCTGCTTATTATTGCCAACGCAGTATCATGTTTGTAGACGGTGTCCGTTGATGCTGTATGTCCTAAACCATGAAGAATTCGGAGTAATCTTACGGATCCAGTCATCTGGCGAACGGCCATCCCGAGGGCCAGCGATTTATGGGTTTGTGTCCTCCCTTTCGATTCTGCGTAAATGAGATCTTGAGCTATTGATACCACCTTCACATCTTCACTTGAGCTAATTTCTACTATTTTTTCCACTATGGGATCGGAAGAGAATCCGAGACACCATGCCAAAAAATTGTAAAGCTTTACTGGAACTGATTGTCGTGCAAACTGTAAAGTTACATCATGCGAATCAGGCGGCCACTCTGAATTAACGCCTTTACTTTCCGTTAACAACTTTCTCACTTCCAATGCCGTAATATACATATTTCTAGTCATAGATTCTCCATTCGTACTTATGCTGTTATCGTCACCCTCATTTTCGTAATCATCTTCATCCTTCATCTTCAGATTCACTTTCCAACGTTGACATATCTTCATGGATAGCTGCAACATCGCCCGCTGTGATAGTATCGACGTAAACTAGAGTCCCTTTAGTCACGCTCTTTGAGACATGGAACACGAGCTGTGGGTAACGATCTTGGATTCTTTTCTTCAGTCTTGGCGCTTGATATGGGACATCAACATTTTCGATAGCTTGAACGCAGCTTATAAATTTTCTTAACAAGTAACCAAGTAGTAGCACTTCCTTCTTTTGAATTAGGCGTTTCTCGATTACTTCGGCGCAAAATACGTCAAATGCCTTGTCGTACAGTGTTGGAGTAGAAATTTTCGGTTTTCGGGTCAAGAATTTTGTGTATGTGAGATAGCAACGTTTGTGATATCTTGCCTCTATCGCGACACAATCTCTTCCTCTAATGTGAATCAGGACACTTTCATCATTACGTAGCAAGGCTGCTTGTTCAAGGACTCCTGCAGTAACGGTTTGTGCGGTCGATAGTTCTTGTTTGACACGTTTCTTTGTAACCTAGAATTAGTTATATACTATTACTAGTTATTACTTCAATTTTTTTAAATTGATATTTTATAAAGAATGTATCTGCTAAATTCAATAAACTGAAACTAAATACCTGGTCTGTGATAAATAATGGCCGGGCCGTTTGCAGATTAAACAAATTTCAGGTAAGACGTTTGAACATCGATGAGGAGGAGTGATCACTCTTTGACTTTGAAGAGTTTGGCGTGTTGTTCGGGCGATCTTTTCTGACCTTATGTCCAGATTCTCTTGTGCTTGCCCAATTGCTTCCTCAGCCGAACGTTTTCTATCAGTATTAGCAATGGTTCTTTTGGCTCGATCAAGTTTACTGATATCGGTGAACATGCGATAACACCCCAGATGGTAGCCATGCGTTTCTACAACGTTGCTTACGCTCAATTCGTCTGCGACTGAGTCGTCAAACAACTCTAACGATTTTTTAGCGACTGCTGTAAATGACTGGTATGATGAAGACAGACCTAACCACTGTTTTCTTACATCAATTATTTTCGCCAAAGTTTCATTTGTTAACTTTTTTATTTCTCCGCCTTTCCCGTTAAAATGAATTATGCATATGGCATCACTATCCTCACTGTAAGAAGCCATATTGAATTATAATAAAATTAAGTCACACATAGCCTACGATGACAATTTACCGCGAATTCGAGAGACTGGAACGGAAAATTTAGTATTCTGAACGATGGAAAATTACACGATCACAAATTCAAAATGGCGCTTGTTCATTTTAAAAATCTCGAAGGAGTGACATTTAAAATGTATTTTGTGAAAAAACTGCAGGTCGGAAGAGCGGGAACTTTTCGGATTCGTACTCAGGGTGTTTTAAAAAGGTAAGCTTTGTGTATTTTGTTCAGTTCCACGGCATGCTTTTCATATGTGAACAATAATGGGCCTCAGCAAACGGCCTATAATTTGTGACTCCGTGTTTTCCAATATTATTACGTCAGACTCCGTAATTTTAACTCCGGGACTCCAACTCCGAAACTCCGGCTCCGGAAGTCCGACTGTTATCGTGAGTTTTTCAAAGACTTCAGATTGCACTCCTCTTTTGGTCTTTGAAAAACTCACTCGTGCATGTTTTTCCAAATTGCACTCGAAACCATGATATTACCTACACAAATACATTGTGAGTCTATGGGTTAGAAGGTGACCATTGGGAGCACTCCATCCCCAAAAACCATTAGTTATATTATATCTTCAAACTCGCGTTACTCTGCATTTACATTTGTATCGTGTAGTTCGTTTCCCGCTAAACAGAACTCCACGTTATTTACAGTTTTTTTGCGTGTTGGTTTTTTTTTTTATTTATTTATTTTTGTATTTTTATAAACGTGCATGTACCTGTGTGTAACCGTATCTAAATCGTATACTAACATACCCTGTTATGAAATGTGTAATGCGATTCACGAATGCGATTCCGCTGACGCTCATAGGGGTGCGGCCGGCTGGTGTTTGAGAGATTGTCACAGGGAGTAAGGGGTTATCACTGGTGACTTGACGCGACACAAGTTCTTATGTCGTTCTTACGTGCAAAAAAATTTTTAAATCGACCAAAGCCCATTTAAATATTAAGAACGCTTGTCGCAACATTTTTTAACTTGCTTCGATTCGCGCAAACAAATTTGCCTGAAGGAGAATTTCATAATCTTCTCAAATGATCACCTTTGACTTTGCAATTACACTAATTCGCCTCAGCCCCAGTGAATATCACCAATAACAAAAACTTCATTTCGGTTTTCGTGCAACATGACTGAAAGATGTTACAATTTCTATATAATTAGAATAGTGGAGAATAATTGCATAAATTATATAGATTGACAGGTAGAAGAAATATTCTTCTCATGATGACAAGCTACGAACATTTGACTGCTGTACCATTGGTCTTACCCAGAAGCGAAACTTCCAACAAAGATAAATTAGCATTTATCGTGGATGTGTTTTTACCGATGAGGTAACATTTCCCCCGGATATTTTGTTAGCGAAAAGTATTTATCTTTTTTTCTCTATAAAATTCTAAACAATTCCTACTGCGTCAATCCGAAATTGTCTAAATGAATTTCAGGATGGTTGAATAATTTCAGGTTAGATTTCAGGTAATAGATATTTCTAAAAAAAAACATTAATCGACAGTGTGTCATTCAGGATAGGAGAAAGATGAATTACTTAAACGTATAATTTTCTATTCCAGGAATGCAAACAAATGATACTAATGACTGAAAAACAAGGATATGTTAAGGCTTTGATTGGGAGAAGGTATTGTGTTTGGAGTGTAAAAAAAGGTTGGATATTTTGGGGGTTAAATATTTTAAGTCTTGATACTGCAGGTTGTTAAGAAATAAAAACTGTAGGTATGTCCCTTATTTTGTGTAACCACGCAAGGTTTCCTAATTCCTACAGGGGAGCACAATCAGCACATTACGGTGGTGTGTGGGGGGGGGGGATTGTGCCATTGTGGGGAGCTTTTGTGACATTATAGTCATAAAGGCAGTCCGCGAAAACTCGTTTGAGACGAAATATGTTCATCGCGCTTAAATTTGAACTATTGTGTTGAGCTTTTGACTTGAATAATGCACTATATGCAATACTTAAAATATGTGGCTCAAATACAAACGCTACAAAAGTCGGTCCCATGAACGTAGACACTCCCAGGTATTTTTTTTGCGCCCAATGTTGCCTTCCTTGCATGCCTACAGTGTTTTATCTAATAAGTGGTAAGAAATTAACTGCTGCATGTCTGATCAACATTTAAATTCATTTTAGACAAGCATACGTGCCTGAAATACGAAATAACTACAGATGCATAGTGGATTCAATCGAAGTAATTTTAGAATGATACAGAATACGGCAGTAATTAAAGTTGTCTATTTTAAGATCTTGCTGTTCAGTAACCTGTACAAAATTGCTAGATCATGGCCTATTGTGCATTCAATATCATTAAAAGGATGATTTTTTTTATGACCTTATAAACACAAATCTAGGAGAGTATTAGTAACTGCTTAAAAGAACTAAAAACCAAGCACTCTGTCTCGTTTCAGTAAATTGAGCATAGCTATATCGTATCTTTGGTTAGAAAACTGCTGAAATTTGGGATAGAATCAAACATTTGATCCCAGAGAAATGGGAAGGTCGGAAAGCACTTGGTTTGAATGAACGGTAAGCCTCTTTATAAAACGTTTATATATCGTGGTCTTCATCATGAGCTATTTTTAACAAATGATTTCTTTTTCAGATTACGTTTTCTTCGCTATGATTCAGGACAGGAGTTTAAGCCACATTTTGATGGGTCGTATGCGAGAGATAATGGTGAAAAAAGTTACTTGACTCTTCAACTTTATCTTAACGAGGTGATCAACTGTTTAGCTTTTATAGAGTAGTAGTAATAGTATATTAAATATACTGTATTCTGTATAGAAACTGTGTCTGTGGCCATCACCATATGGATCTACAACTTACTGTAATGAGATACAAATTCTCATTACATCGCTTCGATCGCTTGTCAAGTTCGGCGGGAAAATTCCCGTGTTTCTGTACAGTTATAGAAACACGCTCCTTGACCATTCGGCGCACGCGTACTATATATAAATGTTATATTATAAAGATTTACATGATTATTGTTGCGATTCATATATTAACTAATTAAATAAATATTAATTAAATAATTGATTATTTAGGATTTTACAGGAGGGGCAACTACGTTTCTCGAAAATCGCTTCGAATTAAGTGAAAATGATGTACCTTGTGTTCCAAAAACTGGTATGTTTCCCAAATAAAGCATGTTGTGGCGTCATTATTTGCGTTATAAAATCCGGTTGGTTTCCAAGGATCATTGTTAAGATTTTTTATCTTCTTCAGGTCGAGTTCTTGTTTTTCAACACGACATCCTTCACTGTGGTTCAATATTGGTGAAGGGAAGAAAATACTGTGTGCGCACGGATGTAATGTTCAGTAAAGATTGATGCTATGAGCTTTCAATTACGCTACACAACATTCCGTTTATTTGGTATTGATTGGGCATTGATTTTCATCTTTGCCTTTGGCAATTCAGAAGCACGATTTTATACTGTGCTCGTAGCAAATAATATATACATGTTAATATTACCTCGTTAGCAAAATTTCTTACATCTTCTCTCCTTTTGTATAAATATTATATCATATTTGATTAAGTTATGCGACAAGCTATGTCATTAGGAAAGAGGAAAATATGCGAGCAGCGAAACTAAGGCTGAAAATCAAGAACTTCGGAAGGAGGGAAAAAAAATTTAAAACCTGAATAAAAGAGCAGGCCCAGATACATATTTGATATTGGAGTGAAAACTAACATTTAAAACGCCAAAATGTACGACAATGTATATTAAACAATTCTTATTACATTAATTTATTAAAACAGCGAATCACAATGCTTAATGTGTTCAAACAACAAACCTACATTAGTATTTAATGCAACATCAAACAAGGGCTGTGTGCTTAGCTATGCCTGGTAACAGTATTTTCCAAGGGCTTAAAAAAATATCATTTTGCTTCATTTTCTTGCACGGCTAACAGCAGTCGATACATTAAAACTGATAAAAATCTGTCCATTGGATCCATAGCACCACGCTGAACCCATTTAGGAATTGTCAAACGCGCATGTTCAAAGCCCAGCTTTTCCAGGACCCAATCAATGTTAACACCTTCCATGCGTCGACCAGCCCATGACAAAAAGCGCACAGTGGGCTCAAGTTTCCATGCTTTACTTCGAAATTGACGAATTTTTTTACGCTGACCACCATTACCATTACCATTACCAGCCTTTTCATCTTCACCCGGTGGTGTAGTTGGAGCATCTGGTGTGTCAATTGATGTCGAGGAAGCTGGAAGTGAGATAAACTGGGCTAATTAATAGAGTGACAATAATATAATACGATGAGATTATGAATACGACGAGAATACTTGAACTAAAGTGACAAACACCAAAACCAAAAGCGTACAAGTTGCTTTCTGATGATGAAAGAGAGTGTTGTGCTGTGGCCTACGAACATACTTGTTAAAAATCGACAGCGACAAAATTGCTAACAACATGTTCATTGAGGGCAGCACAACACGTTCTTTCCTTTTTTATAACTCAAATAACAACTTGTCGCGGTTTGTATATATCCATGCTTACCCGAGGTGGTTGCTGCAGCTTGCGCTGTTTCATTCTCCTTCATATAAGCTTGAATCATCTCATGCAAGAAGAATATTAGCCCAACGTCCATTGTCACGTAGAGACTGTCATAAAAATGCGAGTCTAAACTACATTCCACAATATGAGGACTGCTGGGGGTCTTTAGTGGCCAGGCTTCAGTTAGTTTATCCCCAGATAAAATATACACTCTGATTGGTTGGTCATGCTCCGTGATGACGTCAACTTTGAAACTTGGAAGACCAAAGATGGCCTCAGATTCATGCTCGTGTTTGTAACCTGCGCTTATGGACTTGTTTCGTCTTCGAGCGAACATGGAAGAACTTTCGCTCTCAGACTTCGATCTCGGCGACATCGGTTGTGGTGGGGGTGATACATCACCGGGACTGGCTTGAGAAATATTGTTTACTGATGAAACATACGATAACCATTCTGATACAGAGCTGCCCATTGATGGGGGGTTACGACGACCTCGCTGTACTTTACATATCATGCCCATATGAGCTAGATAAAAATATCAACATATTATCGCAAGCAATCGTTAGAGTATAGTCAGGACAGAGTTATATCTAGGTTTGGTTGTTTGTAGGTTACGCAGTCAGTCACAGTACTGTCTGCGTCCGTTGGTACATCGACTTTTTTTTTAAACGTGACAGTTTATATTTAATAGGCAGATTTAGGATGAGGAGGTGAACGTCAAAGAGGACGTGGCTTCGCATGTCCATATATAGACGCATCACGCCATTTATTCGCCATTTTCACGTCCTCTCTGACGTTCACGTCCTCGTGCTAAATCTCCCTAAAAAGGATCTTCAACCATCAACTGACCTGCTTCTTGCTTTCCACTAGTCTTCGGTGGTTGAGTTCGTGTTCCAAGTTGAAAAGACAATTTCTGAATTGAACGAGCACGCTTGACTTGGCAACTCTTCTCTAACGAAGCAACTTTACTGGAATACGTTGCACTCGGTTGACTGGAAGAAAATAACGCCCAAGTCTGGGATCGAAAGTTCATACCATTAAAACATGCAAGCGAGACCTCCCAGCAAGACATTTCCAATGTTCCGCCAACAACGGTTCCTTTTTGAGGCAATGGTGAAGGCAAAACGCTAGATTTGAGCCCAGATATTTTACACAAAACTTTACTCCAGTGTTGATATTTCAAGCCTAGAAAGTTGTAAAGAATAATATATTTTAAAAGAATCGCTGCATTTTCCGGTCGTTTATTTATATTCCTAACATTCCACATGTGTCATCCTCGAAATCCATAAGTAAACCTGCGCTGACCTTTAACCTACCCCAATAACCCTAAAGGTACATTGACACAGACCGGGAAAAAAATTCTACAATATTTTACGTCTGAACTCGCAAACATGTTTTACAGGACTACCAGGAGGATACAAAACACCCAAGATAAAGAAAGGGCGTACCATCTTTATTTTTCTCTTTCTCGTTCTTCGGTACAGATTGTGTACGAATCGGATTAGCAAGAGACGATACAGCATCACCGTCTACTGGTGGAAGATAGTTGACACTTGATAACATTCTTACACTGTTACTTGCTTGTTCAGTAAAGAATGTTGTGATTTTCTTAGCCATCTTAATAAGATCACTTGTAGTTGAGCGACATATCACAAGCCCCATGTTTTTCCAATGCAGTGTGCCATGAAGATATACTGTTGCCTTTGCATGTTCTGTTCCGCATGTGCTTTCTTTGAATAACTCATCTAAAATATAAGAGATACACGTAGGAAAAGTCTTTAGCAACATTTAACAGCGATTGTCTATTCTTGAATGTATGATTGTCTGCAAGGTGATATTGCATGGCTGAATAACAATGCATTTGAAATCCTCCCTAGTTCATATCGAACACGTTCTCGACATTAATGCTAACAGATTACTATGAAGAAAATATTACAGAAACTCTTATGACAGTGATTGTCATAGGCTTGATTATACTAATTTATAATAACATTCTCTTACCTGAAGATGAACATTTAGCAAGATTCATTTTCCATTCGTCAGACATTGAGATACGAAATGCTGAAATGTTTCCCATGAGAATACATGTTCCCATGTAGTCAATACGAGTTTCACAATATCGAAATCTCACGTTAAATGAATGCTCCAACTCAGAACCAAGGCTTTCATTCACGTTAACTGCATTAATACAATAAAAAATATAGCTTATAAGTGTCACGATATGATTTAACCTTTACAGGGTGTAGACACTAACCGTAGGAGGATATATCTTGTAATTCAACATGACCACCAGCAATGCCACCACGTGATTCCCATGTTGATTGACGAATGTTCAGTTTAGAACGTAATGTACGTTCACCAAAATTTGTAAGTCGTAAATTACCAGACGCACGTAGATCACTTGTGCTCCAACTACATTTAGTTGAATATGAAAAAGATAAATACTACCAAAACATACGAATATGAAAGACTATTGTATATGCAAGCTGTGTTGGTATAAAGTACAAATTTTATACAATCCGCGAGTTGCAAAATGAAAGTTAGGAAACATTCTTTACTTAAAAAAGGAACAATTAAAGACCACTGAACTGATATATAGCTAATAGGTGAGTTCAAAAACAGAAACTCAATATAACGTACCTTGTTTTTCCCATAACATTCGCCATGTTAGTTGATACATCAAGCCTTGATAAACTGACAGCCAGGACAACAACAGTTTCCCATTTTGTCGTCGGCGTTGTGCTATGTGTAGATGAACAGCTTGGTGGCGAGTCCACCTGATCGAATGTAAATAAATGACCGCTTGGAGTGTGAACTGGAGCATCTGAAATATAATTAACGAAACATTTACGATCATTATCGAACTTTTGAACCTTTATCAAATATAGACGGCAATTACGGTCCTCTGCGATTCCGAATTCCGCTAGTTCTCAAACCTCTCGCAACGTTCCTAGTTTTTTTATTATCCTCAACCTTAATATATTTTCACGAGGATGTCTAATAAGTCGAGGAAGTCCATATACCCTTTGAAATCCATAATTATATGTACATATGTGAATAACATCCAATGAACAAATAAATGCAACGAAACATCAGGTTCAAATGCAAGGAACTCAGAACAAATCACAACCCTGATCAGTGCAGGAATGCAGAATCAATTACCCTCCAGGTATGACGTCGCCATTATCTTGTTCCTATACCCTGGTGTTTGATACATGCACCCAAAGAGTGTAATACCAGAGAGCTAGCAGCGAAGAATAAAGCAAGATTTACTCACGTTTCAAGTCAGATCGGCTATGACTTGAATGCGTTCTTGCAGGTAAAGTTCCCAACAAGCTCGGGGATGACAAGAATGGTAAAATTCCGGGCAGTGGTGTTGACATATTTCGACGATGACCTGAAAATCGGGAAGTATATAAATTTAACAAAAGGTGTGCAAAGGAATTAATGATCAATAGTATTTTTTTAGCAGCCCAAATGTTTGCAGCTGGTTTAGCAGCCCCAATGTTTGCCAAATTGAGGCAGCAAATCAATACTGAGTAACCCAACCAATATGATTGAATCGAGATATATTAATTCCATGCACACATTCATATAATCACATCTATTGGCTGAACATTTCTGCGAGTTGATTTGACAAAGAAATGACTTTCCGCCATCAAAGCCAGAATAGCTTACCAAATACACTTGATTCAGGTGCACCAAGTTTATCAGGTGTCTTGGAAGTGCTAAAAGGAATCGAGAGTTAATATGAATGTCAAAATATGACAACTTACGACATTTAAAACCGTACTTGAGTATAGAGTAATATGACGATATGATGACGCTTTCTAGCATACGAATTAAGGCTTACCCCGGCTGAACTTTATTTACACCGTCAGTAAGATCACCGCCAGCCTGAGCTCCAGATTTTGTTGCATATGTTCCTTCTTTTCCCAGAAATAAACGACTAAATAAACCACGTTTATGCCAACACTTTGGAAAATCTAAGATTTCCTGTAACCGCCGCATGTCGTACGTAAATGTCGCTGAGCCGAAATCACATATTCCTTGATGATACATTGAAAAAAAAACGCACTTTTAAGTCAATTTCAATTGGTGAAATTCACACAACAGCACATATTCATCTAGAAAGCTAAAATGTTCGTCTTCCTTGTGGTAGGTAGTACACCTTAGAATCAAAACTATTTGTACATTTGGCAAAAACTTGCATTCAATCTCATCAATGGTAGCTAATCTCGGAGTAAACGTACTCTCTCTCTTTGAGGTATTTTCAACTACTATATTATTTATTACCCTCATTTCCCAAATGATCATTCCGAAGTTGCAGGTCTGCTGAAAGCGAGTTTACCAAGGCATCTTGGAACTTTGAGAGTAAACCAAGCAGCCCCGTGATGCATTGCTATGCAAGCTCGCTATTACCAGTCCTCTAAATGCAGTTTTGGACTAAACGACTATAGTATCAATAATACCGTACCTGAAACTTTAACGAGCGTAGATGATTCCACTGAGATCTCATCCTGTGATCCTTGTCTATCTTGTTCAGTTCGTGAATTTGTCGTACTCACATCACCGAACCTCCTTCGTGATAAATTGAACTTGATGTATTCCAAGCATAAACTGAGGGCATCCTTCTTACCGGATATAGGTTGAGGTTGAGCAATATTAATCCTTGCTTTGGGAGATAAATTACTATGTTCTTCAGGTGCCGAAGAAGTCTTGCTGGCCACTGGATGCTGTTTCCCGTAAGGATGATATATACACAACGAGAATCGGGATAAACATATCGTAAAACTGATTCCACCGCTGTCATAAGAGCGAACAACGCCACTATCCACGCTTTGTGCACGTTGCGAACCAATTGAGTCCTCCAGAACACCAGATTTATTGATAGTTTTATTGGGACTTGGTTTGGATGAGTAAGAGATGTCAAGTGATGGGATTTTCATAAGACATTCCACGCGAGATGTTGGTAAACAACTTATGCGTATACTTGAGGGCTGCACTCGAGCAACGACCACGATATCGACGGGGAATGAACTGTTTTCTGATGTTGAAGATGAAATAAATGAACTTGTTGGGCCACCTTCACTGTGAATACTCTTCATTTCTGCTTGCTCATCAATACTACTTGATGGAGCCACGATCGGGTTCAGCGCTTTATCTATGAAGTCTAATATCGCAGGGCGTAACAGCATTTCTTCAGGCAAAGGTTGTACAAGCAATGAAACATACAAAGAGGCATGTTTACCAACTTTCTTAGAAGACAGCAGTGAATCAGAACTAGGTCCAGCAGTAAAACTGAGTGCACTATCAGTGACAGACGAATAATGTACTCGGGCTTCCACACCAGGTAACAAAATTATAGAACTATCTGGATGTTCATCTTTTTGTTTCATGCCAGTCTTTGTTCTACCTCGGTGACCCATACTAGCGGACGTCTTTAAAACTTCGTGCAAGCGAGCGGCATAACTAGACCTAAAACGTAATAGTAATAATAACCCTAATCAATTACATATTGACGGTAAAGGTAAAGTACACTGGAAAACAAATTATATCAGGCGATTGTGACACATACACATACCTTGGTTCGGTTTGTTCAGCCTTTGTATCACTATTTGGATGAAATACGCATTTACCGCTTTCAATATTCACGGTTACTTGCAGATCAAAGTCCAAATCCTGTTCTACAACGGTGGACTTCTGGGACGAGAAAGACGAAGTATGTTGCTTCGAAGGTGTTTGACGTTGAACTTGATTTGAAGAATCTCCGAATGCAAGATATTTTCGACTGTCTGTGGGATATTTCTCTCGCTGAGGCATCACACGCATTTGTTCATGAGGAGACGAGAATGAAGAGTCTAATGGTATAGCCGTCAAAAATCCAGTACGCTTTGCACCATCTTGAGTGACATTTCCAAGATCAATCATCTCGCTGCTTTCAGCAAAATCTACCTCATCTATCCCAGCTTTTTCTTGTGACCTCTCTGTGATAAGTTTCTTTCTAAAGGATGAAGAACTCTTGATAGGCCGTCGTTGTATCGAATGACGTCGTTCATTCAGCGCAAACAACGGTCTTTGAGATTGTTTTTCAAATTTCCGCTTCACATCTCGACGGAATTCATTGAACACAGCACTCTCTAGTTCTTGTAGGACTTCAGTCTCGGTTTTTAGTGACTTCGTATCAATATTTGATTGTCTCCTGAAAAATAGTATATTTTGAAAGAACTTCTCTATTTGGAGTCAAAATGAGCGATTATATATTACTAAAATTCAAAGTCTGGTAGGACCGGGCTTTCACAAGAAACTACGATATTATGCTTCAGAAACTTTGATAAAGCTTTTCAAGAAGTTTATTATTTTATCATGCTAATAAATGGCGGTATTAAAATGGCTGGTGCAAAATATATCCTTACCTTAGTTCGTTAACTTTCCGAGCTTGCTTCCACATTTCTTTTTCAAGGTTTTGAGGTTTTTCATTTTGTACATTTCTAGGCGTGAAATCTGTTTCATCAAAGTATTCATCATCAGTTTCCCCATGTTCAACTTCCTTTTCTTTATCTTTATCTGGTATGAGGTGTTCTTCAGAATCCTCAGCAACTGACTCCAGATTCGCTATATCACTGTCACCAGTCACGGAAGTCAATGTCTGACCTAACGCTTTTAAGCGTTTACCAATCTCAGTATCGCAATGTACATCAACGCCACACATCTTCCACATCAGCGACATCACCATTTTGCCTGCTTTATTCATATCTATGGAAGATACAAAGCATATGTTATTATGGTCGTTCCTACCATCGTTCCATGCACGAGTGAAAAGTCTACCGGGTGTCCCAAAAAAAACTTTACCTGTTTGTCTTAATATAACTCAAAAACGATAAAAGCCATTGAGTTGAAATAAACTCCACTGTATACAAGCAGGGCTAACTTAGATTTTGATATATAACATTAAATTATTGATGTGATATTTACGGAGATACAAGCATTTGATGTCGCAAGGTACTTTCAAAATCCGTGAAAAATTGACAAAAATCGGCTATTAAATTAATTCGAAAATACTTGCATGCCACTTCCCGTGGTAAGTTTTTAACTTCAGCGATTTTAACTTTAATTGTTCGCTCTTATATAAGAGTAAGTTTGCAATGGAAAATTGTACATTTGAAATTAAAATCACTAAAGTTAAAAACGTAAAAGTTAAAGTATTAGTTTCGAATTAATTTAATAGCCGATTTTTGTCAATTTTGCACAGATTTTGAAAGTACCTTGCGACATCAAATGCTTGTATCTCCGTAAATATCGCATCAATAATTTAGTGTTATATATCAAAATCTAAGTTAGCCCTGCTTGCATGCAGTGGAGTTTATTTCAATTTAATGACTTTTATTCGTTTTTGAGTTATATTAAGACAAAGAGGTAAAGTTTTTTTTGGGACACCCGGTAGAGAAGGGTCACACATGGAGAGTGTTTTGTAAACTTATGATGGCGTTTGGTTTTTGTTTTTCTGCGGCAACCAAGATTCAAGACAACCCAAAAAGCTTTTCAGTTAGGTATGATTTTATGAAAAAATCAAACATAACCTACCATTCGCGTAAGGTGCCCGTATTGTACGAGTACAAATCTCGTAGGTTCCATTTGGTACTTTACCTGCAAGTCAAAGCAAAATATAAATGAAAATTTGTTACCATTATACATGTTATACTTAACGACGTCGGACTGCATTAACGCATAACCGAATCTTCCGTTTTAATGTAAACTCGGAAAGGAACTATCCAGACGTATGATTCCAAGTTGTAATTTGATTAAAGCCATCAAAGCCATGTCTGAGTTAATTCCGAGCTCCTGATACTAATTATCTGGTGCAAAACAACAATTTGCTCTACAATATCGTGCCACTAGTAAGCTAGTATATAATCGCGTGTTATATACCATATAATTACGGGCGCAAATATATGTTGCGATATTTAAAGTAATAACATACATGAATTCATCAGAATACCATCTCGCTTCTGAGGTTTCCAATCAGCTTGTTTAACATCAAATTTCTCAGCAAATCGTAAACAGAAATGCGTAAAATTTCCTTTGCTCACAAATGATGCACTTGAGCAACATGTGAGTAACATATTCTCCATCGTGACAACAAGTGCGAGGTTGATGTCTACAATGGAAAAAGAAATTAGACATACATTGTGACAGTATTAGAGAAATTCGCATAAGCTACTGTATTATACATCACTAGTTATCGAACTTCATGAAGTACCTCCAGCACCTTGGGAGGTGATCAATGGTTGCTCCTAAAAGGTAAGAAAATATTATTCCAGATAGAGTAGACCACTAGACAGCAACATGTTATCACTCAAGAAACGAATACAAACCTGGTTAAGATTGTGTAGTGGTAAGCATATGCCTAATTCACTAACAGTTAGCTGCAAGAATAGATATCCAGAAAGCTGGGCTGTCGGGTGGGGTTGTGGCAATTTTTCAAATACAGCTTGGGTGGCAAATTGTACCTGTAAAATAGAATTAAGTTAGAATCCGTGATTCGATACAACTCTTATTACGTGAGAGATATTGCTATCAATGCGGTCTAATAATTTTTCAATACATTTTCTATTTATTTCATACATACATCCTCATTGAGAGACATCCTTTGTTCATTCCAGTAGCTGTAGGCATTCTTGTAGTTCAAATATAGCAATACAGCTAAGAAAGAAAAATTTAAGCCATGTTCATGAGTCTCGTTCAAAACGACGAGAGTTAATTAATTATCTTGATTGGCTTGTGAGGTTCTGACGAAATATTAACTTGGTGTTAAAGATCTATTGTGGAGTGTTCGTTGTTATTATTTACAATTTATTTCATTAAATAAGTTGACATTTTGTTACTATTACCATACTCTATACACAAACCCAATCATCCATATACTAATAAATTTGAAAAAAAACATCTTACTGATCTTACAAACCTTTATCAAAAGCCACAGGTTGAACATAAACAAAGGGTTTGACGACGGAAATAAGTAACGTCTCCTTTTCTTCTGATTTATCTCTTCCCTGAAAAATACAGAATAGGAATTTTTAACGAAAAAATGCCACTTTTAGCTGTTTGTATGTTCCCTTGATGTTGGAAAATATCACCTCACTGTATATCTGAATATATACAGCTGGGCAAACTCCAGTAAGAAAAAAGAACAACGACATATAAGAACAATTGCATGTTTATAGTTAAAAATATTGCAAACCTGCAGGCAATTTCGTATTCCAATGTGAGTATTAAAGAAAGCAAGTTGTTGAAAATCATTCACTTCGCCATAATATTGATCCTATGAAAACAGCAAAGAAAGGAACATAAGGCAACTCGCGTGCGCATGCATATAGACGACATGATACTTGCATGAGAGAGGTTTATAGTTTACCCGCGATAGCATTGAATGAAATTACCTTCAAGGACTGTACAAGTGATAGAGTGAGGTCAACATCTGCTTTAACAAACACCTTAGATTTCTTCTGATCACTCTCTAAATATTTCCAAATATAGCGATATGAAAATGACGTTTTTAACTGAGGAACGTTTAATTTAGACGAATTAAGCTTACTTTCAATATGGCTCGAACTTTCTTTCTTAACGACTGGTTCGTTATTCGATACTTCCAGGTTTATAGATCCGGTCTCCAAGCGAACTGCGGTCGACGAAGGTGTAGTTGCCGTGATTTTTATACCCTTAAAATCATATATTTGAAAATTGTGAAAAAATGCACGAGCTTCACGTTATAAAGTTGTGACGATATGATGGAGTTTGCGAAAAAAGAGCGGCCAGTACGCCCAGTTAGCCAATCAGGAACACGCTTTGTCAGTGTGCTTTGAACTTATATAAAAGTGCCGTTATTAAATCTTACCGTCAGGTTGAGAGTGAATGTAAAAATAAGAAAAACATTCTCTTGATCATCCGTGTCAACATTGTCAGTTGATGCAGTGCGCCATAACGGGACAGGTTGACTTTCTCCGGACACTCGTTGCAAAACGTCGTTCACTTCCTACACACAAATAAACAGTATGAAGGCTGATAAGCATTAATCGCAGATATACGTATATAAATCATAAACACTCTATATATCAGCTAGAACCACAGTAATATGCATACTACGGCGTGCGTGCCTTATATACCGGGCTTCCTGAATTGTATGGACAGTGAACCGTCTTCAATACAACATCAACTGCATGAGCGAGAATTGTATATAGCCTCGCAATCATGCATGTCAATTTCAGTTAAACAAGATAAACCACTTTGTGCATATGGTTTTACAGGCTGCCCATAAAATAAACACGGCCTTATTTCGCTGGAAATATCGCATACCACCACCACATTACAAAGAAAAAAAATACTTTGATTGTACAGATTAGACCAAAGGAAGTTCAAAGCGAATACAGATGATGCATGAAATATATGATGAAATTTATTGTACCCAGTTTTAATAGAATATTTTGATACCTTCATAAATCCTTTTTGGATGAATATAAGATGGTTGAGTAAATCAGTGGATAGATTTTGGTTGAATGTTCCAATATCAGCGACGATCTTTAAGTGTCTTTTTCCACGAACTGATGTTGCTGCGTTAGATGCCGATGGATTGAACTGATCCAGGACGCCAAAAATATCAACCCGAGGAAGATGAATCGAGGTTGAAGCTGGGATACTACTGTCAAATGATTTTACCTGAATAGAAAAAATATATAAATAGCATATTATGAGACCAATAAAACCCAACAAACAAGTGTTCGAAACGACGTTTATAATTTTCATGCATGGAGTCCCGTTCTTCAGAGCTCGTCCAGGATGAACGCTGGGGCTAAATATATGGATCATATAAACACATTGATTTGAAAAGCAAGAAAAAGTAAAAGATTATTTTGGAAATTTTGATTTATAGATTTGCATTAACCCATTATTAATAAACTAACTGGCTTTTGAACAACCGCCGTGTTGTTTATAACGAATATGAAAACTTTTCGTCGGCTGAAATAATCACGTGCATGCAATTGAGTTCGTTCACCATGACTGGAGATGTTACCTTACCTTTGAAGTGAAACTAAGATGGTGTTGCGGCATATCAAGTTTAAAAGTATTTTCTCTACCCGTCTTTCCAAATGACGAGACTGTGCCGATCTATAATAAACAATAAATGACCATGATGTCAATGTAGTAGATATCTAGCAACGGTACATTTATCACAAATATAACACGTACTATACCTTATATTCTACTTTCAGAGAAGGTAGAAGAGAAGCCCCAATTGAGAAACCTTGCAATACGGCTGTGATGGACATCTGAGGGAAATCTTTAGTCGGAGTGTTCGTACATGGAAATCCAGCGTCAGTGACATCAATATCGCCTTCAGAGACCTGAACTACAGGAACATTATCAACACCAACCGCTCCATCACCTTCATCTCTCTCACGTGATAATTCCACAAGAGACGAACGCTCCAAGCTGCTGAAAGTTCTATAGATGGAACATGTTGAACATTTTTCACCATTTCAACATTATATGTTTGTTTTGCTGAAAGCCTATATAGTTTCCACATTGATCCCACAGACTCTTAAAAAGTAAGGAATATTGCAATGGAGTAAAAATAAACGCTATAAGAACATGCGTGCTTTGAGATGTGATTTCAACTGTCGTAAATAAAATACCTCATTACACTTCTCTGACTCTGAATTTCAGATAATTGTTTTGACAAAGTTTTAGAACTTCTGGTCATCATACAATGTAAGGCGACAGGATGTTGAGGGATATCGACATCAATTGCACCAAGTGAGATAACAATACTTTTCTTCACATCTTCTCTTTTGTTCACACATGAATACATACCATGAGATGTATTCAGGACACAACTCACTACAGTTCTGAGAAATGTAAAACAGTTTACTGAGATGATATATGTCTTCATCGTGCATCCCAACCAAAATGTATCTGTAAATTTGTGACAAGAATTCTGACATTTGCATATGTGACGTTTCCAGCTTCCGTTTGATAAGAATGATAGCTGAGTAGCGTTGATACAATTATTAATGTTGATACAATGTCTATAAATGCAATTGATACAGTGTCAACTAATGCGAATTTGACAATGACATAGTAATTACCCATCTTGATTTCCAACTTCCGAGAGAACGAGACGTGCTTTCTGTAAATGTGCTGACACAGAAGATGACACAACCTTTCTAGAACACGCCTCTAAAATTTTCAAAAAATAGGAAGCATTGATATCACTATCAAGCATCGATCTTACTGGGTGTGCTTCCTCCCATTTACATAATACAGAGACCACACTACTGCGATAAACAACAGATTTAACTAGAAAATATTCCTAGAGCCACCGTGATAGTCAACAATCTTATTCTTGTCAGCAGTAAATCAGTAAAGGAAATACGTCGAAAGAAGAATGGAACCTATATCAAGCATTCAACATTATAGCTCGAGATTTCGAACGTTCCTGTACATGCACATTCTTAACTACCGAAAAATTATTATACAAAACAAGTTTATACAAATATGAGAAAACTACGGTACACTACCTACCTACTGAGGCTTTTTTTACCAATGTTCCCTGTTGTTTTTCGAGTTTATGACAAGCGCAAATGCTGATACCATTTATATCAGTTTGTAAACAAAGTTCACCCAGTGTGGCCACACACTTTAATTTATGTAACATTACCACCACAACTATCTTCAATTTAGGTGGATCACGAGGAAGTCTACTTGAGATAAACCTGATATCTTTAGGGCTGCTCAGTGTGCGAGATAATTGACGACGTTTGACCTGATTCAATGTGCTCTCCATATCAATCTTATGTTCTCGAACTTGAGCTAAATAATTAATAGTTATTAGAGGGGTTGGGGTTCTCTAATGGGGTTCCTCTATAATATTTTTTTCTCTCATATTTTTCGCTCCGAGGTCTTAGCAACTATAATAAAGTGGCATGCACGTTGACATAAACAAAATACAAAACTTTCCTTTACCTGATCCTTCCCTGGTTACACTTGTGCGTCCCGAAGGCAGTGTGGAATATAAATCAGAAACCTGGGACATTATTCTCCAACATTTTTGATTTTCAGAGGCAGCCTTCACTTTTTCTGCTTCTGTCGTATTCAGAAAAGCATCACTTGGAGAAACTGCTTTAATTCCATCGTAATTTTCACCCAGGATATCAATTATATCTGCTACCTGAAGCAGCAGTCGGATTAGAGAAAGATTAATACTTTGCGTCGCTGACTGACAACTGATTTTGACATGAGCAGAACGTGACAAGCTCGATGACTTCTGGAACGTTGAATCCAGTTTGTCTTTTCCATAGAATTTCTCCTCAGCATTTTTCTTTGGACTTCGGAATAAAGGAGTACTCTTGATAATTACTTTCGTTTCAAAATTTTGGAATATAAATGACGGCGTTTTGTTTTGGGTTTCATTAGTAACAACATAAGGTACTTCAACTTTGGTCTTTCTCAGGCAGTCTAGTTTTCCTTGAGATATGTCCAAGCGTAAACAGCGGAGTTTGACAAGCAGTGAAAAGTTTTTGTCTGAGCAAGGAGAGAATTCGTCTGAAGGTTGCAGAAAACCCATGCCAAGAAAGAATGCTTTGAAAATAACTTTCTCGTCCGCAATTTGTTTGCCACTTGTTGGCTGACTGACCATTTGACCAAATAAATCATCTTCGTCTTTCACAGGTGCAGCCCACGTTACTACAGAAATTATATAGAAATAAAGTCACTTGGTAAAGCGGAAAAGGTTTCTAAAGGTTCTTACTCCGAATCTAATCCAAGGTTATTACAATTAAACACCATTCATGCATAAAATATACTGAACTTTATTGCTTAACCCGCGCGCCGACCATCGTTTAAAAAAATTACTTTCGAGGAATCTAGTGCCAAGTGCAGCATTGCATACTTTCGAACACCGCATGCAGTGTGCAAGGACAGCACCTTTAAGGAAACAAGTATCTACTGTTGGGTGTTGGGTGGGGTGAACACTTACCGGTGGGCAGAGTTTGTTCTTGTCTATCCGCTAGACTAGTATCATGCTGACTTGATCTTGGAGAAGCGACCGGTGATGAGAAATAACTGTACAAACTTTGTTCAACTTCTGGTTTTTGCGTTTTCTTCCTCTTTACTCTCGCTCTATCTGTAGGAATGTTATCACTTTCACTCGTAGAAACAGATGTGATACTAGATGAAAGTTTGGGTGACAGTTTATCACTGATACTGTATAAGGTGTTACCAGGACTGCCACCACTTGCAGTGAAAGCTTCAAAATCTTAAAATAAGACAGTAAATCAGAACATAAATATGTATCATTTCAATACCTTAGCATCAAATAGCATCATTTCAATACTTTACCGTATAAAACCTGCACCAATGTAATATAATTGCTACATATACTACAGTATATCAGTTTTCGGAGTTGTTAATGTTTTGTAACTCCATTGCTGCGGACACCTGGTTTTATCATATTTATTGAGCATAGTGCCAAACTCCATGCATTGGGGGGCATTTGGATTGATATATACGAGTAAGATATCACCACTCTTTACTTACGCTCGACGGTGTTCTAGACAGAAACTGAACTGCACGAGAACAAACTTATTCACACAAGTGAATTACCTGCAGCGAGTGTTCCTTCATCTTGAGACTTCCTGTATTCAGTTTTCATCAAGATAGCTCGATCACGCTCCGTTAGGACACCACGACCAACCACAGGTCGCTTTAACGTACCAGCAGGACGAAATTCTTCATCCATGACACCCAGAATACATTTCCACTGTCGTGATAGGGCCATAATACCACTTTTCAAATCCTCATTACTTGGGATGGCAGCCATATCAGACAACGCTGCAAGAACTTTATGTTTTCTTGTGCCCAACAATTGACGTCGAAGATAAAAGATTAATTGACTGGAGTATTCTCTTTGTAGATATTTCGACTCTTCGCTTGATTTACTCACGATGTTGTGCTTCAAAGGATAAAATATTAGAAAGTATAAAATTAGCCGTTTTAAATGATAAATGGCTTTCCAGATTTGCTAGAAATATGCTATCTTCTATCGTAGTGGCGTTAATCGTATTAAATATCATTTTATAGAGAATGATAATTGCATGGCTTTGAAATATCAGTCTATGCACTTGGCTGGAAACCTCTAATTTAATTGAACTGAAGAGTCTATTATAGAATTATGGATTTTGTTGGACTGAGTTGCTTAGGTCCGGTAAGCACTTTTTTGTTTTTGAAAAAGGTCGCTCCTTGGTCATCAAGGTTTTTCGTGCCTGTAAAATTATTGCGACAGCAAACATACACGGCTAAAATTAAATCAACTTACCGCGCCTAACATTTTATTTTTCTCTGGAAGTCCCAGTGCCATGATACATGATGTAACTGAAAAGAATTTTCGACGTTGGTCATTCTGGAGTTGTACAAGAGTTGCACGAAGTTTTTCTGCACCAGGCATCCAACTTGACACGGCAGGTATTCCTGTTGTTAACAGATTATTATGCAGATGATAATTCTCAGGAACAGGTTTGATTGAAGACGGCGATGCACAATTGAACCAAATACACTTGAAATTTGCAACGACATCGTTTTCATGATTCATTACGTATATTGGCTTTCGATCTTCCTCTTTTGTTGTCGGTGTTAAAGCTTTTCCAACTCTGCCAGTTTCTTGAGAACGACGTGCAAGCAGTGGCTGTGTGTCGACCTCGTCTTCACCCTCACTTTCATTATCAGTTAAGTTACCAGTGCTGACGCTTCGGGCACTCAACGAAGACGATATTGAGCTGGCTGAATCATCTTTATGGCTCAACGGGGACAACGGAATACCCGGCTGTTTTTCAACAACAATACTTTCCAAAACTTGCTCACTGTAATTTTCATGTAATGTTTGTTGAAACGGTCGTGGTGCGTCGATAATATCGCACTGGGTAATCTTAGTCAGCAACTGAGCAGGAGCGCTCTGGCTTCGGTTATGACCATATTTCTTTTTCGTCGCAGCATGATGTTTCAACTTTTCTTCTCTAGCCTTCAATCTCGCGCAATTTCCAATTTTCAATGAAATATTATCTATTCCAGATTCTAACATAACAAATATAACTATTTCTTCCTTTCTTAGGTTTTTTACGTTCAAATCCTTTGAAAACTGAATGATGTTTCTACTGGAGTAAATGAAATCAACTTTACTGCATTTTGGCGGTATAGCAGTCGTATGGCTGTTTTCAACGTCACTTTTGTTACACAAACGGCTAAACTGTAGTTGAACTTGTTCCAAGTTGAAACTTCCCGCAAATCGATTGCCCACTTTTTCGGAACATTTGTTTTTCGCAACCGTAGGGGACTGGGGGATACTCTGATCAGACGTCGTGTGTTCAGCCTCCATTTTCTCGTGCATGTACTTCGCAAGCGATGCATTCCGCTTGTTATGGCAAATGATTTGTCCTGAAAATTTATTCAGTCTCACGGCCAGCAATGAAAGACTAGGGTTTGGATGATAGTTAGCATGCATTGTGTCTGAAAGTTCACTTTCGCTACTAGCTGCGGTGAGCGAGGTCGTGGATACATGACGTTCACTTGTCAAGGCTTGCAAGAAACAAATATTAATGCCAGGCAGTGAAATGTAGATGTTTTGTTGACTCTCTTTCGACTCAGAGGACCCGTCTGGAAGATCCATTTTGTACTTCGCTTGAGCTACATTTAGACTTTTCACGTGTATCTTATCGAGGATCGTGCAAGGGTGAAGTGAGTTCGTCAGCTCGTTAACCGACTTTGTATATCTAGAGGAAATTCAAACAAAAAATAAATTATTTAATAAGATTGAGAGGATTACATTGCGAGGGTAATAGAAACTAGCAGAAAATTTATAGAAAAATTTATCTTTGATTCTTATTCTATGCGTATATGGGAGCAAAAGAACTAAACACTTGCAATCAAATTAAAAAAAGATATAAAATCAGCTCCATAGGCATAGATTTAAGCTATTATATCGTACCTACTTGACTAAAAAAGCTCTATATTTAAAAAGGAATTATTGATGGCTTTGTACTGTCTCTGTGCATGGTAGATAAAAAAGATTTTTATCGGTAACGACGTAGAACTAGTTGCCATAGTTCATTACAAGAACATATGTTCATTATAATTACAGAATGTTGATGCAAACTGCTTACCTGTTAACAGCTTCTAGAAGAAGTGGAGACAGCATAACGTTAACAAATCCCTCAATCCTGATGATTGACGTGCCACGACTAACTTGAGCACATTCTATATTCTGTGTCGAATTCGCAGCATGACGTTTGGATAATACAGGTTGTGATAACTCATTATTAATTTCTTTCTTCCAACGACGTTTCTTTAACGAGTCCATGCCAGACCTAAACAGGAAAATGCGGCGGATCAACGACGGAGACAACATAGCGATTTTACTACACGAGATCGACTGACGACCGTCCATGATCCAATCCATGATCCAATCCATGATCCAATCCATGATCCAGATTCTATAATACCACACACACAAAAAATGTAGAATACTCACATCTTGTCAGATTCATTTTCAGAAATCGAAAAATCCCTTCGTAGCACAGATATACGTTCATCATTAAAACCTGGTGCAGAGACATCGTTGATCTTTCTCGAATGAAGTGTGTGAAATTGGCCAGCATGACGCCCGACAAACTGAAGTCGTTTAAAACACGCTCTGGGAATGTGATCAATAGCCTGTGAATTGAATAGTACAGTGTATTATCATCGAGGAAAGGGTATATCTATAAGTAAGGAGAGAGTGTATTATCATTGAGGTTGAGGAAAGAGTATATGCTATAATTAAAAAGAGTGTATTATTATCATTGAAAAATGAGTATATTATCATAAAGATCAGAAGATATTACCATTAAGGAAAGGTACCATTTAAAAATTGTAAAAGAATATCTCAACTTCTCAGACAGTCAGGTATATGTTGCCACTATATACCTACTCTCGTTGTGGTCCAGTAAGGAACTGCACAACCGCTTATTTTAGCTAGTAAACTACAGAGAAAAGCTACCCGAAAAGAGACCAGGGATCTCTGGGACCAGAGATAATGATGGCAATATCGCATCCAGGGTGGTTTAGAAAATATATTCGAACTGTAATGTATACGAACCTTAAGATTTTGCATCAGACTGAATTTTCTTGTTGCTTGTTCGGTAAAATTCTCGTTTTCTACCCAATGTTCACATTTCATTTGAGTTAGATGACTCCTGTACTTTGACAATAAAACTGAAGGGAGAAGGATAAATTGTTCTTTAAAATCTTTACAATGCACTTCAATTACTGGTTGATCGCCGTCCTCATACGCAGAAGTAAAACTATCCAACGACAAGATTGATGCTGGTCTAGATGCAGCAGAACTATCTCTGAAAGATTTGAGATCATTTCACTATTAGAAATTAAGTTAAGGCGCTGGATATTCATATCATTGAGCTATATGTTTCTGCATGTATGCACACGGTTTAGAAATAAAAAATGGCCGGAAGGGGAAGAACTGGGGTCCTGAGTGGCCAGAAGGTATCCGAGCAAAGCCTCCGCTCGGGGTTACGGGGGCCCCCGTATACAGCCTGATTTGTCCCTTGCCCTCTCGCCAGCCTGATCAAAATTCAAATTATATTGACATTATAATTCCACTCTTTATACTTACAACCCACTAGTACAAGAATAGAATGATCCATCACTTGGCAATCTTTGACGACTGAACTGCGAGTCTTCCACGCTAGTTGAGCTTAGACCTTCTTTTCCGTCATCTTCATTGCAGATGGTAGTCTTTTGAAAATTATCAGGAACACTCCAAGCACTTGTTCCACTTATCACTGGGACAAAACACCGAGAGAAAAACCGTAATTAATAATAATTAATAAACTTTTGTGCAAAAAGGTGCCGGACACAGAATTGAATCGAGGTCTCCGAAGATGGCATGTAGTAGAATCAGATTACTTTACAGCCTGAATTTTTTAAGGAAAAGAGCAAATTCCTACCTTTTTCTTTAGTTTTGATTGGAAAAGTCGCGTATGTTGGAATATTGTTTCGAGATGAACCGCCTTTCGATCTGAAGATCTTTGCAGACCTCTGAGAATTCATCCTACGAAACCTTGGAGTTTGACTGCTCCCCGCCCAGCTGTTGTGTCGTTGAAGTGTCCTCGCACTACTATGGTTTTCAATAAAAGCATCATCATCTTCGTCTAACTCAGTATCCTGCCATCCATCAGGGCTGCCGAAGAACCGTCCCTCTTTCTCTTCGTGTCCAGCATCAAGATAATCAAGTTTAAAAAATACAGAGCCATTGACATTCTTCCCAAAGAAATTGCATCCACCGACACATCCACATCGACCTTCTTTATCACTTGGCAAAGTTCCACGTGCTTTATTACGCGGCCATAGAAACCAAAGACGTCGAGTTTTTCGGTCATGTTTCTCTAAAAACTCTTTCTGATCCGAGGGTTCAAGACTGCCATCTTCCTCAAGACAAATATCTGAGATGATAGGACCAACATGAAGAGAAGCAGCTTCAAGCCAACATGATTCTTCTTGTGCTAATTGATTCTTGAGTTTATTACCAGCCAAAAGCAGTACATATTGGCTTACGTCGATCTTATGAACAAACACACTAACACCAGACTTAGTGCTGTCTGTATGAAGGTTACACGAGGCAATTCGGATTGGTGAAACCTATACAATGTATTCATTGCGAACGTTACCCAATAAAGAAATAATAGTGATTCATTATAAGCTACTTTTGTGTCGTTTACCTTGACATTACAACAACAACTCGCTTCAACTAACGAAATATCAATTTCTTCTACAGATACTCGAATGATTTTGTACTTAAAATCATCTTCCGTCTGACACAAGGACGTACGATCTTCACCAGTTTCAGGGTCTTCATAATCCTTTGGTCTTTTCTCGCATTTTGATTGTAATACACCATGCTGACAGAGTTTATGCGGTGAAGAATCTTTCATGCAATTCTCTTCGTCCAGAAGATGGAACGCAAATAATTCAGCCCAATTAGAAATGGTCATCAACTAGATAAGATGAAATATTCCTATCATGAATATTAATATTAAGCCTATTATTACATAAGGCTAACTTGATGTAAAAAAGTGTTTGGCCTGACTAAATTCGAAATTATGTTACCACTAATTGAACAAATACCTGAGGTAGGGTAACCTTTCCTGAAAATGTTCCAATTTGCAACTCAAGTAACCAAGCATACTCTAAGGTCTCGACTTCCATTGGTCGATCTTCAGCCGAAAACATTGCATGACCACGTAACTGCAGTCCTGAGAGATGAAGATAGCCTTGTCCCAGATGGCTGTTGGAAGAAGCTCTCTGCGAACAAATATGAAATAAATTCTAAAGTTCAACCAATGCAACATACGATTGAAAGACCTATTAAAACAGTCAACTGAAGTCAACTAGGTTTTGTGATAGCAAACTGTGTGAAATTATATTTCGATATAGACAAACATGTCCATGGAAAAACATTTGCTTTGATACCAGTCCCAATAAGCAGGATTTCAGCTATAAATATGTACCTAACCATCATCATTGAACTTGCCAAACGTCATACAGAGCTTACAAAACTGATTGTTTTGTGTAAAGAGAAGTCGCAGAATATACCGAGTTCTGTTGCACTTACCTCAATTACATCCGAAGCAAAGATTGTTGTAGGTGCAAGCTGAAGTTGCAATCGTGTCTCGGAGAAATTCTTGTGCATTTCAAATGTTAACCGATCCGTAACAAGAAGAGGAGCGATCATATCTTCAGTACTACAGTGCTGTTAAAATAAATGTAGTAAATGTGAGCCAAATTAGATCCAAAAAATTTGATAAAAAGGAGTATATACTGTATTACGTGCCACCAGGCAATTTCAGGAAAACGTCATTATGCCTGAAAAGTTTTGATACAGGCCTGAAAAAATGATAAGTACAGAATGCTCTGACGAGTGTTGTACCTGAGTCAATTCAGCCCTGACGGAGCTGAGGTTAACCAGAACGTTGGCTTCCATTGGTCGCAGTGATAACGGGTCATTATCTTTTGTACTTATGTCATCATCATCAACGTCTTGAGATGCTACAGATCGTTTTATTTTCGATAAACTTCGTGCATCGAAATCTCTGTAAAGTTGGTAGGATCCAAAGTAGTTTTCCTGCAAAGATAAAAACACAATTCACGGTAACACTTTCTCATACTTTCTAATTTACAATATTCACTGCAATACTCGGTACAAATTAGTTGGATATAATACCGAGCGTTGATTTTCCGATCAACCATCGCGTTTGGTTTTCAACAAGTGATTTACAACGAAATACGTGAGGAAGGTACAGTAGAGAGCAAGAGAGAACAATACAAGGCGGAAACTCGAGAAGAAGAAACCTTGTACTAGCTGAAGATCATGCAGATACTCTACCTTAATATTGTTGAGGGCGTTCAATACCATGCCTATGAGTTTAAATGCACAAGAATTCGCTTCCACTTCTAGATTGATTACATCAGCTTCGAGGTCGATTGGTTGTTCTGGTACATTTTCACCGTATGTCTGATAACGTTCTTGCACACTTTCAAACGTCTCACCAGGTAAAATAGGATGATAAATATATGCAATAATTACTGAAAGTATCGGGGTGGAAAATACATCAATCCATCCATTTCTTAACTCTGTGTGTCTTCTCCAGCCGCCGCTGAGTTCATTCTCACTATCAGATGTCGTCTGTTCATCTGAACTATCGTGAGCTTCTTGGTAAACATTTGCCGATGTCGATGATTTAATATTTGGTGTCTTACGATCTTCATTCCGAGCCAAGGATAACAAACTACGACGAAGAGTGTTCGATTCTGGGATATTTAATCTCCCTACAAGTCGTTCCACCTTACATACAAAGAATATAATTAGAATTTGATGACAATTATCCGTAGCAAACAGAGATAACATGCTAATGTCTTGTCTTCAAAAAGGCAGAACTTGGCACCTCTATCTCCTGTACGCTAAAGGTAGATAAGATACTTACCTCAATAACAAACTTGATTTCTTCAATTTCTGGCAAAAATACCGTGTAAGATAGTACAAAAGATAGATCTAAAGACTCCCCACACAAAGCAAGCTCAGCTATAATAAAAGAGACAGTTGGTTTAATACAGTACTCCTCTTGAAATAACAGGGGCTGACTGTAAGACGTAAAGAAGAAGAAATGCATCGTCTACATTGCGTATCCTGGTAAACAGTGACTGAATGGGCGTGCTGGATGCACGCGTACCATTACACAATGTATTCTTTCTTCAACGAATTGGATACTTTTGAGAGATGTAAACTTCGTAACTGCGAAATTCTTGTGTTTATTACACACCGCGGATGTTTCATTAGACAAATATTTTGAGGGCTCTTCACTAATTTACTTTTCTCGAAAGTAAATTTGCATTGTATTTTCCAAGAAGAAATTGCACCGTGAAACACGTCTTTAAGTGTATGAGCTTGAGACTCGGCTGTACCAGGTCAAATAAACTTTCTAAGTATTACGTTTTGTAGTCTTTTCATCAGCTTTCTTTCATTAATTTCATAACTTACTGTTTTCTTGGAAAATAGTTGAACAGTCTATCCAGTTAAATTCATTTGCCATCCATATCATTTCAAAATCTCTCAACGATATATTTAGTGCCCATTCATAGGGAATAAAAGTTAAGAGCTCTGACGTAGTCTTGGTGGACCAATCGAATGCCAGATCTTTAAAAAAAACAGATTATACATTAATTCTGCACATAATAGTAGTTGCTTATGACATTGCCGTCAAAATCGTAAACTAAAGGTGGCTCGATCGAGCCGGACAATCACGTACACAGAGGTTTAACTACATACATATAGTCACATCATCACATGATTTACAATTACACAGTATTGGTTAGTATGAGTTGGGGATTTGAAAAAAACCCACGCCCATGGAGGAAGAAGTCAGTATTTGCCTAACCTCGGAAGACGCAGATCACGTATTCATATAATTGCTGAGGAAAGATTGGGTGTGATACACACTTAACACTATCCTACCTTGAAAGAAGAACTTGTGTGCAAATATAAAGTACCAAGTTACTTTGCTTAATGTAATATCCGCTGACCAGTGTTGCGTGTGATTCCAAATGCGGGGTATCGTCATGTTGACAGTGACCTATAGAAATTATAAAGGTCATTGTATGGCAGTTGCCCATAAAATAAGATCATGCAAACAAGTTTTTATAGTTTTAGACGTCACCTTTATGTCTTCCGCCTCCAAACACTGGCGGAATTTCAAGCTTGTTGAAGCTTCAACCTGTCGTAAATGTGCGACTACAGACGCCATATAACCATATTCGTTCACCCTCCATGGTTGGTAGATTTGCACATGAGAACCAGCGCCAACACATAAATGAACTGCTTGGGTCTCCTATGGCCACGAAAAGAAAAATTAATATTAGAAATAACTTATCCAGGATAGATAGGTAATACGACAAGTCAATGACGCCGTTTCGTTCATCTTATATGCAATTCATCTTAAAAGGCTGGAACTTTTACTACATTTGTCGCATTATTGATATCTGTTTACCATGTCGACAGTATAGTGTGAAACTGGATTTGAAAGTTTACCTGATCTTTTGTGAACAGTAAATCAAGTGTAGAATCACAGGTAAAATCAAATTTGATGTCCAACCCTGAATGCTCTCGACGTTGGCCTGGGGCAAGGGCTTTGCTCACAATTTGCTCTTGATAGTCAAATGGGAAAAAGAATTTCTGAAGCTGTTCTCTAAAACACAAATATTTTTAAATACAATAAAACAACCGTATTAAAGTAACTTTTTAGGGGCAGGAGTGAGGGTTCAGGGGTGAAGGTCCAGGAGCGGGGGTTCAGGGTCAGGAGTGATGGTTCAGGAGTGACGGCCGGTTTAGGGAAGAGTGTTCAGGACAGAGGATTCAGGAATAAGGGTTCAGGAGTGATGGTTTAAAGAATTCAGGAGTGAGGATTCAGGAATTTATAAGGGTTCGGGAGTGAGGATTCAGGAATAAGGGTTCAGGAGTGACGGTTTAAGGAATTCAGGAGTGAGGATTCAGGAATAAGGGTTCAGGAGTGACGGTTTAAGGAATTCAGGAGTGAGGATTCAGGAGTGAGGATTCAGGAATTTATAAGGGTTCGGGAGTGAGGATTCAGGAATAAGGGTTCGGGAGTGATGGTTTAAAGAATTCAGGAGTGAGGATTCAGGAGTGAGGATTCAGGATTTATAAGGGTTCGAGAGTGAGGATTCAGGAATAAGGGTTCAGGAGTGACGGTTTAAGGAATTCAGGAGTGAGGATTCAGGAATAAGGGTTCAGGAGTGACGGTTTAGGGAAGAGGGTTCAGGAGTAAGAATCATAAACGCACGTTCATCACTTGAATCATATTATCCTCGTAACACCTCCTGCACTCTTTATTTTACCTTTGTCTGTCAGCCCACGGACCATAACTAAGCGATGTTGATTTTGTAAAAGTAACATCAAGGTTCCAACATGGATCAGTTTCAATTGCACTCTCACTTTCGGTGTTAATTTTAGGTACAACGCCTGGATAATAAAACATTTTATTCTAACAAATAAAAATCTGAAAAACATCACTGAAGTTGAAAATAATATTGTACCTGGTTCGTCCTGTAAGTACGCAATGTTACAAACTTGTGATTGAAGAACAACAAAACCTTCACCCATGTAACGAGGAGGGCTGTAAGAGAGGTATGGAGGAGCGGAAGATGATGAACAAAGCTTCAACAAATTGGTAACTAGAAGAGCTTTGACTCATCCTCTGCAAGTAGAATAGTAATATTTAATTGAAATGTGTGTATAATGACTTACTCATCACGGTCGCCAGTGTAGCCATTACTTGGAGCTAACATAACACGGACATTCTTACAGTCACATAGTATATTATGAGCAAATTGGTCCAATGAGGATGCAGGCTAAAATCAAACGATATGATTATGTTGTGTTTAAGTTATGGGCCAAGTTGGATGCAGCAGTCACATGCATGCAAGGAGAAATTCATTCCTCAATTTGTAACAGTATAAATAAGTGGGTTACTCTCGGTGAGCCTGGCGAACCAGGGGTTGTGGGTTTAATCCTACCTGCAGTCAACCATTTGCTATCATACAGCCTACAGTAGTTGGTTCTTATTACCTTGGTTATCCTATATATGGCCTCTGCACTTTCAAAATGAAAGCAAAGTGTTGTTTCCACCAGCTTGTTTCCAAAAGCAACCTTTCCCTTAAGAAGACACATACGGAAGACATTGTATTGGAGTTTGAATGTACTTTATCTATGTTATAATTTGTAGATATATAGTGTACAAAGGTTTTCATGCAGAAATGTCACCGACATCACCAGTGGTTTACTGTTCTTGCATGGGGAAAAGAGCATTCCATGATTCCATGAAGGAATCAGAACATGTAACATACGGTAATGTGAATCAACCTTTACAAGGCATACAATTGCATGCATTTAAGCATAATTGTTCACTTACTGAGTTGATGTCAAATTTAATGGCTGGAATGAGATCTCTCCAGAGATAACTTCCATGGCGATCTGGTATACTCTCACTGAATATGAAAAAAATTAGAAAAAAAGGTACATCTTTAGAATGAACTTCATAAAAGTGTTATCCATTACAAGGTTTGCAACATTACCTAACCAATTCTGGCAAAACATTATCATGATCGTATATAGGCCTAACAGCTAACGGTAGTGCTATGAAACATTATAATCATAGTAAGGTCTACTGTCACAAGAGTATTATCACAGCATAATGCTTGCTGACCAATGAGATTGGGCAACTTTGAAATAAAACATTACTTTGTATCTTTATCCTCATTTAAATTCTCCGATGATTTATGGGCATCTGGAAAAAATGAGCATGATATCTATTAAAAATACAGCTGTTGCATGTTTATAATACCATCCCTATTAAATGCTATGTTTGGTAATATTTTGTCCTTCTAGAGTTTTATAGCAAATTTGCTGAGTAAAAAATACTTCAATATTTCATCTCATTGTAACAGTAAATATATATTATTTGGATAACGTGCCTCCATAGCGATCTTTCTTGTACAAATCTTGTAATCTGTCATACAAGGCAGATCTAAAAAAATGCCAAGGTTACTGTATCGTTAATATTTTCTGATTGAGTTACAATGAGTCAACCAACAGGATATTATTGCTACCCATTATTATTTATAAAATACAGTATTTGACTTCAAATATTTGCAAGCATACAAAAGTGTACCTGTTATACACGTGAAATTCAAAGCCATTCAGCGAAACTGACAATCGACAGGACTTGTTTTTGTTTTTGCCTTCATCTGAAATTATCACAGCCAGGAAAAAGAATATCATATGAGGTCAAGGTAGATGTCTAGGTGCTTTCCTTTGTAAGGTATATAAAATAAATTTTAAAAATGCAAAAACAATTAAAATAATCAATATCATTATTCTGTTTTTGGTAAAATACTGGTAAAGGTCTACTGTGCTTGCAGAGGGCTAACCGAATTCTAACAATATATTTTTTCACTAGTTTTTTATTTTTTCCATAGAAATTCATGTAGATAATAGCTATATATATAACTACAATTTACCGCTATTTTCTGGAATATACTTTTGCCACCAATGAAATATTGCATATCCATCAACCACTCTAGAAAATTTGAAAAACCGGAAATTATTTGTTGGGGCCCAGTGGCTATAAATAGTGTATGCAAGCATAGTATACTTAGTAGTCCAACTTCTATATCAAATATGGCTAAACTTATCTATTTAAGATCTATTTAGGATCTGAATACACAGACTACTAGCTACTGTGTGGTCAATTACCTAAAAGTCAAATCCTTGGTCACATACAGGACATCTCTAAACATCAACTTTCCAGACAATACTGAGATAGAAAAGGAACCTATAACCAAAATATATTTTTCAAGTCTTTTATTAAAACATGCGTAATGAAAGGTGCAAGGGAATTATCCAGAATGCTTGTACACATGTTCAGTGCTATGCTTCCTCAAACTATTAAAGAATGGCTTATTAAAGCACGGCTTTCTATAATCACTCCTGTAGTTGTGAAAATGCTTCCGTGATTGACAGCTAATTAACTGGTATTACAGGAAATGGCAAACAACATTGGAATAAATCAGTCTGTAGGCATTTTGTATATATGGTTTTAAAAACATGGAGCAGTTCTTTAGACCCAGAATTCAACAAATAAAACATACCAATTCTTAAATAAGCATCCTTTGGAATGAAGAGCTTACTGAAGACTCGAGTAAGAATAAGACCAGCAAATCTTGAAAAATAAAAACCCAGGAAGAGGAGCCAAAATGATAATAAAAGACATGCCAATACAACAAACAGCAAACCAGGCTCAGCTGGACTTGGGGTTACAGTTACTGTTGTATTATTCATAATTCATCATATTTGTGTGCACCCATTCTTTAACCACAAAATGCATTTTCTCTCACATTTTGCATTTTTCATCTCGAACAAAATAGCTGGAATTTAAATAGAGAAGATCAGTTGGCACAACCACAATAAACTGGAACATATGAACACATAAAATTTCATTTACATGATATTATAGTCTATTAACTATATTTAACAGCCATAATCTTTGAATAAAACAAGTTCTCAAGTCAGTCAAGTGCACTTCTGCATCTTCAACTTTGAGGTTTAGATAACTTTTACATATAGTTTTTGATGAATGCAAAAAAATATTTCACACTCGTCAGCTTTATGTATATAATATATAACATCAATCTAACCTGAAATCAAATACAATTACTGCCAGAATGTCAAGATCTGCCAAAATCAAGTTTACATTGATTGGATCATGTACGTCAGACTGTCAGAGCCAGTGGTCAGAGCATATGTATGCCGAAATAAATGCACAAGGTTCAATTTATTCAATTCTGCGCCCCCTTACCTCACTAGCACCAAATCATTTGAAAGAAGAATTAATATAAACATCTGTTAACGAGACCTTTCTTTAATCATACTGTAAATTTTTCTTTTTTTTGCAAAGTTTAATAAGGATGCTGCTAGCTGTATATTTGTTTTTTAAAAATCATCCGAATGTTTCCGATCTTATTCCGATCAACCAACGATTACAGATTATTCACTCAGTGCTCCGGATGGGCTATCTTTTTAAAAAAATCTTTATGTAAAAGGGGAAATCGGAAGTCAGCAAGCTGGAAAGAGGAGATCGGGAAATTGGGAAATCGGGCTCATATATATTAAACTTGAAACTGAATTGTGGCCCAACTTCATCTCAACGTTTTTTAAAAGTATCGGCATTGAAAATTTATTTACTTCATTTGAAAGAACATTCACCTAAAACCACTCACGAATCTCTTTTACCAAGTTCTAAATTTGTATCTTGCTTAGTTTTCGAGATATTTAGGCCGAAACTGGGCCGAAATTAGTGAGCTAGCCACCATCTTGGATTGCTGCTGGATGCCTGGATATGCATGTTACGTCACAAGCAGAGTCACGAGTTTTTTATCCAGACTTATCCGGATTTGGGATTTTGGTAGAAAAAATTTTATCGGCTCACCACCACTCTCTATTTAATGCATCCGAATACTCTTCCCAGTGACCCAGTCCCTGCTTAAAGCTGGTATCGAGCGGTATCGATACCCCACTCGACGGCTTTCGACACTTAAAGTTTTCGCACGTACACGCACGTAAAAGTCTAAATCCTTATAGAGGTTTTTCTTGGTGGTCATCTTTGTGGTCAACTTCAAAGTTCCGCCTTTGTAATGTATGCATGTTCCTTGTCAGAACTTTTGACCCAGTTCAATGAGCTAGCCACAAAGATGGCCGCCATGAAAAACCTCTATACATTTTAGTGATTTTACCTTTGAAATAAATCGAATGAACTTAGTTTTCTGCATATTTTAGCTATAGTATGCATTATTCAGTGACCTAGATGTTAGATAATAAAAATTTAAAAGTATTTAAAATTTTCCGTACGTAAAAAACGCGTAAGTGGAAAGCAGCCTTTATGCCCTTACACTATACGCGCGATATTTGGTACGGTACGGATAGAACTGGCACCCGTGGCCGTACCATTTTTATCCGTGACGGGTGTTTCGATGATGCTTACGATTTACGAAAGCAGGACGCTTACGCCGTGCACGAAAGCGTATTTGGGCGATAACGCAATTTGTTGGGTTTGATAAATAGCAATACTAACAGACAGATGTCTCATGATGACAGATGAAAGGATTTGAACAGTAATATTTGTATGTCGACTGCGAGGTGCCAAAGGCAAAGGACCTCGCTCAGAAGTAACTGTAAGCCTAGTTGAAAAAAAGAAAAAGGAAATTGTTCGTGCTATTCTTTATATGACCATGATAAAAGACTTGAAGACTAAAAAGCCAATAAACTAAAACAAAGTTTTTATTATCTTTCTTTATATGTATTAAGAATTTCTCAAAATTATTACTATCATGGAGGAAATTGCTTGAAGAGTCCCATAAAAAGGTGCTCTAAATAAAAAAAGCCCAAAAAAAAGTAAAAAATCGCCGAGCATGATCCGCGAAGGCCTGTGCGGCGCCATTGACATTTTTTTTGGTCAAGTAGTGTAAATTCTTGCTATACAAATGCCAAAGAGGACAACCAATGTAAAAAAAAGAGCCATGTAATTGATTGATCATCTTCAGACGACAGACATAGGCGTATGTGGCGGGGGGAGAGAGGCCGTTCCGCTGTAGCCACTCCAGGGCCGTCGAAGCAAATTACGATTCGGGAGAGGGGGGTCTGAAAATGCAAATAAGTAACCACATTTGAAACTACCTTTTATTTAATGAGGGATGCGAAAATCGTGTTAAAATCCAACGCAATGTTTAAATATCTTTCTTTCAAAGATTGTCGCAAGCCCCCCGCATCCGACGAGCCTGCATTCAAGGCAGAATCCTCACCACCCCCACTAGTTTTAGGCCCGTACATTGTCTTTATATTTCTTGCAGGTAACTCTCGCTTCTGTCGCGTGTCGCCGTCTACATCTTACTGCATGTTTCCACCTTTCGGTTTCCAGGCAAGTGGTATCAATAGTTTGATACTTCAATAAAGCAAAATTGCAACTATGCTAAACGCAGTTAGTTATTAAACATTCGGTTTTATGATTCAACATGCCTAATATAGAAACTGATGTCGATCCATGACAGCGCTCGACAATTACAGTGGATCTATTTTCTATTGAGCTCTGGCTTCCAAAACTACGAAATTTAGATATTTTGCGACGCGAGTTGATCTGAAAGCGAGTAACACCGTAACCCTGACGTGATGAATCAGATATAGCAGAAATATCACTTATGGACTGGGAAGAAACTGAAACCGAAAAAACGGCTCTTAGACTTATAGGCTCTTAAAATGCTCAGTGGATGACAACACCGGAAAGATGATTAGGGGTTTTGTCGTTAGAGAGACAGGATAGCGCCGGCCCCCCTAGCAGAAGCCATAGTGGTGTATTGGATCATTGTTAACCCCAGCGTGGTACCAAACATTGAAAATAAGCACCCTCTGGGAGGTCTAAGCAAAACTGACTTCACTTATCAAGGGGACAAAATCACAATTTCCGTTTCGAATCTTGTATATAGTCTAACTGAACACCTAATAAAAGCATTAACATATCGAGTGTGTCCCATACTGATACTGAAGGTAGATGGGAGGTGGTGGAAGATATCAGACTTTAGCACCAGGGGGCAACAATGTTTTGCCATGCCGAGAATTTTTACCACTAGAGATCAACTCAGATGTCTGTGAGTCTGTCATTTCTCTTGATCGCTGTCGGCTTTAATTGAGAAAACCCTTCAACAATAATCCACAATGATGTAAAAACCATAATAAATATTCAACTGCTTGTTTTTTTATTTTTATCACAAACAGATAATGTAAGAACTAGGAAGCGATTCTACTTCTTTGCAGCGATCTTTTTCGCCGAGCAATGCATGCTGCTGGAAGGCCGCGGCTTTCTGAGGAAGTCTTCCACCGCGAGATGGAACTTTTCCCGGATTATCTTTGAATTGTGTTTACGAGAGTGGGTCCGCTTTCGACGACTTGTAAGAATTCCAGACTGTATTCAAGACCAACAATGAAATGTAGCCAATATATGATTTATTTATTTGGCGGGGTTTTGAACGAACCCATGCATATTTCGCCGAAAGACACTAAATTATCACCGCAAAAGTGTCATATTAAAAAAGACGTAGCTATGTTATACAATATATCAAAAGCGTCTTATATTGCTTACGTTAAGCGGTTTTAGAAACGCAGTTATCCGGAATCCATGCATGTAAAAATACAATTATGACAGGGAAAGAATACATACAACTGATACAAGTACAGCAATATAAAATGCAATACATCAACTATGAAAGTTATAACGTATATGACTGATTTCAGATTCTGGATGTTTCTTTTTAATATGCCGTGTTAAATGACTGCGATTATTAAAACAGCTTGAACAATTTGGGCATTTATAAGGTCGTTCCCCAGAATGAATCAATGAATGCCTCTTTAAATTTCCTTGAATTGAGAAAGCTTTACTACAAAAATTGCACCGATATGGTTTCACTCCTGTGTGCACTCTGCTGTGGATTTCCAAGGCACTTCTTTTGGTGAATATTTTGTTGCAAACTTCGCATTGGTACTTCGTTTGACCTGTGATATATATGCAATGTGGAATGCTTCAATCGCATTTATAAGCAAATTTGAAAACTAATAAATAAATAAACTATATGTTTATATAGTTAGATAGCTGTTCTGACAAATACTAGATCCAATTGACATCGTTATAGCTAGATCATATTTTTCACTGATCGGATCATTATATAAAAGGCTTAGCAAGATAACCTCTGCATGCACAGATATCTATATTATTATTGGTGGAATGTTCAGTAAATAAGAATCATATAATAGTCACCCCTGGTGCATTGCATTTACCATATCATGCGTCTATATACACCGCAGTGAGTCTGGAATGCCAACATGCATTTGAGGTCCACATGCATATGATGCCCGATTCTATTGGACTTTTCAGGGCAATATGTTATTGTTGAACAAAATTCCTACCTTTGTGTTTTTGTATGTGTTTCATCAATCCAGCGAAACTGTGACACATCTTACTGCAAAATCGGCATTGTGGTAATGATGACTGTATTTCATGAAATTGGAGCATGCTTCGTTCCGCGGTGGCAGATCGGCCGTGAAGACAATCTGAGTTTAGTCTATTTATATTATGAAGTTCTTTGTGACATTGTAACCCATCGGATCTCGTGAAAGATTTTCCACAAATTTCACAATGAAACGGTCGTTCTCCAGTATGTATTCTTTCATGAGATTTCCAATGCGAACGCCATTTAAATGACTTTTTACAAAACGAACAGTGGTAACAATTTTCGGTTTTTCTTCCTTTTATAATTAAACATTGCGGTGATGCGAAAGATTTTGCTTCCATAGCTGACGATGTTTCTTTTGAAAGTGGTTCTTCATGCACGGTTTCTTTGGAGGATTTTACAGGTTTTCCACCCCACTTTATGACGCTTATCTGACGAGTTCCAGCTCCGGTAATGTCGGACATATTATTTTCCATTAAACGCTAAATCGTCTAATAAGATCTTGTGGTTACGTCTTTCAATATATCTCAGTATATCTCAGTGTGTGGCCATTGATCATGATGATGCTGACTATCTCCTCTTTCAACCCATATATTCTCTCTCATAGTCGTGCAAACCACATAAAGACATAGACATAAGTGTCTTATCAATCCATACAATGTTATTATTGACTATTGCAAAGTCAGAACTCCACAGCTCGTCCTCTACTGGATCATGTGTTGATTATAGAAAGATCAATGGAAGACAATATACAAAATCGACGGAAGGAGATTTTCTTGACCAATGCCGTGAAACAGTAAAACTGTAAAATATATACGTCTTAATAGTACATAAAGTTGATTCTTGTAGAGTTCCCACGGTGGTAGATTGGTGATCCTGCCGCTGACCACTTAAGCGCCGCGAACACTATTATCCGCTTATCTGAATGTGCTTGGAATCTTACAAACTAACCAAGCATAATGTCTATAGTGAAATAAAATGAGACTCAATGAGTAACTTGCATGTTATCCGATTGGTTTCGAAGTTTGCGATGATTCATTTCAAGCCAAACGCTTTCAGGAAATCATCAATATCTCTGCCGAAGGTCCACCTTTTTTGCGGTGACGCACGCTATCTTCATATATTCCAAATCTTTTAACGAAGCCTTTTGTGACGAAATGTCGAGGAATTTCTTTGTAAATTGTCCCATTTTAATATGTTGATGAACTGATTTGTTTATTTACAAGATTTCCTTTCTTATGCACAAAAGTTGAGACGTGCACTAGAAGTTATTCTGAAATGACTGAATTTACCTTTTAGAGTTAAAATATAAAATTCATTCCACTTACAATGACGTAAGTCAGTCACCATGATTTTTTGAGATGTTGGTTATCTTGTCTTAGTGCATGTCACGTCAAATACAACGTCAACAGCAAACCATGCAACATGGAAGATTTTAAAATGAAGAACTACACCCAGAAAAAGCTTGCATTTATAAGCAATGAGTATAAATGATTTAACAGCATTGTTTAATAGCACACTTTTGTGCCTGTGCAAATGTTCAGATCTAATACTGATAGATACGAACACCACTGTTACACAATCCATATAGTTACACCTTAGTTTTTTGTTGGATATACTGATGACATGCAAATATTTCAAGCTATGTTATCGTGATACTGACCTTTTTCCTAATGATCATAATCAAACCATCAATACTTCATGATTAATCTGATCAAAATTCGAATGAAATCCATCATTACTCTTTATTTGTAATTTAATTTCTTCAATTCACTTTTTTTTTCATTTTTACAGCTGAAATCCAACAACATTCCAAATTGTTTCATACGTTGGTTAATAAGATCTTTTCGTTTGATAAGAAAAAATAGGGAATTCGCGTCTAATGAGCTTCGACTCATTTTTATAAAAAACCCCACCTATTCTTTAGATGTATACTTAACAGGCACGTGAAACCCGCTATATGGAACCTGCTTGAAATAGTGTATCAGTATATTTACACACACCATACATATTTTATCTTAACTTTTCCTCTTCTTGTGGTTTCCAAGACAAATCAACAAAAATTGACAATCTACCATGGTAACCTAGCCAAAGTAATTTGCGATAATATTTTTTTTACACTTGCACGTGCTGTCAGTGCGGCCGATTTAGCGCATGCTCAGTAGCTCGAAACTGGTCACGTATGACCAGGGCGCTTATTGTACACGGGTATATAAGCGCCCTGCGTATGACAGTAGAACTGTAGTCTATTTTCAAGGCGGCTGTCAAAACGCAAGCCGTACGTGCGATTTCGCGTACGTACGTGCAAGTGGAGGCCGGCCAAAAGATAGTTACGTATAGTCAGCGTTGATACGTGAATACATGCATACAATCTTGATCTATTGAAGTTACACGCCTAACAGAGTCAACATAGGATTGAACATGAATAGCATATTTCACGGACCATGCATATACATTTATTACCAGTATATAAACACGACGAAAAATCTTGCTTCCTATGAAAATAATGTGGACTAGTAGGACTTATCGAGCAATTGGCAACTTACATATTCCATAAGATTAAAATTCTTCGTGCATATGCGCACAAATATAAAATAGGTTTACTCACGGGCAAATCTAAGCTTGATTCAACGTTTTTCACAGAGAAGCGTTTTTCGCTTGATTACGGACAATTATATGGTTAGAAATTTGGAAACAATGTTAAATGCATGCTTATCAGTTAGGCCCTATTACGTAACAATGTAATCGCATTTTCGGTGTTTTAAAAATGAAGTTGGTTGTAACGAGGTATTTTCTTTTACCGTACAGGGTGTTCCAAAAGAGTTAAAATTTTCTCCTATGTCAAATTTATATCAAATTTTCCTAATGCGATGCATTGTCATCATTACTATCACCATGCAGTCTGATACTGAGTCCAATCGGCATTGTTTCTACGTCAGTACACAGATTTTCGCTATCAATATTTAACGGTCTGAGTGACAAGCCGTTCGGTCTAGCCTTCATGACCAAGGATTTGTTATTTGTTGGGGACCAATACCTCATTACTGTGGCCCTATTATTAGTTCCTCCATATAAATACTTTTCCGGGTAGGGAGCGCAGTATCGAAGAAGTTTCTTAGTTTTAAAGTTAACAGTTTTATATTTAGAGAAATGTAATACATTTCGAGGTCGAGAATCCTGCTACTATAGTGAAAAAAAATCCAAATCGTTCACATCTGCCATTATTAGTTTACATCCACTATGCACTTGTCGTAATATTAAATTGCTTTAGATTACCGTGTAACTCAGATGTTGCATGTTAAACAACTCTTCAAGTACAGCAGAACAGTGATACTGCTGGATAATCTAAGAATCATCAGTCCTCTGTCTTATACTTCGTTTTTTGTCTTGGTTACCTTTTCTCTTTTTAAAAGTAATGTTTGTATCATTCATGTCATTTTTCTTAGTGACAGGTAACTGTTTTTCTTTAAATTTTACAGCAGGTACTTTGTCTTGTTTATCATTTATCTCAGAGATTGCTTCTTTCGCATCTGCATCATCATTCCTGGAGAAGAAGTTTCTTTAAAAATAGAAAAATCTAAAAGGGCTTACAACTCTACCATTGGGAACAACTCTACCATTTTAAACAAATCCTCGCACAAATATTATTAATCATCATGGTTGATACAGCACCTTTCGTAAACAGCAACAGTTTCCCACTTCCCAAATGGATCTTTGCGTTCGTTGTCTTCTTCTTTATTCTTCAAAAAGAGTTGAAATATATAAAATGTATTTTAAAAACTTTTTAAAGGACTTTTTTAAACAAAAACAGCATTTTCTGAATGCCATGCACATGAGAAAAATAGAATTTAAAATGTTTAAGATCTACAATGTTTTCAATTCATTTAGTTCATTTCTTAACATCTTTGACTCAGTAGAAGGTTGATGAAAATGTATGGTGTTTAAGACATAAAGTGAGGTGATTATTTCACAAAGACAACGCATGACAAACCTGGTTAGATGCATCTTTCATTACTTTTATTTCCTCATTTTGTTTACTTGAACTCTGTTCATTGTTGCTGTATAAAATCAAACCGAAACAAATATAGGGATGCAGATAATAGGCTATCGAAATATACGAGCAGATGTCATACTGAAAAGTCACTACAATGTGAAGTCCATTTATTTTACAGTATAAAAACTCATCATTGACTCTTGAACATAATGTTCACGCTCGCTAAGCGTTTGGCGAGTAATTGATAAAATAGGCCAGCTCCAAAAAATAAAACAGTACGCCTATGACTATGATAATAAATCTTATAACAGGAAAACTTACCTAAACGCCTGCTGATTTTGCTGAATGGGAAATGAAAAACCCTCTGGAGGATCCCATCTGGACTCTGGAATGTAGTTTTGAAGAAAGGATTGTGTTACGTAACTATGAATGTGTAATTTCATAATATTTAGTTTCTGATAATGGATTTTGCCCAAGTTCATCATTTTCCCCAAGTTCATCATTATGCAATATTCAGAAAATTCTATCTTAGTTAGAAGTGTACTTGGCACAAGACGACGGCGTATATGACTTATATCTATGGTTATATATCGCTATGGTTATCGATCATAATAATGTAACCAGTACGTGAGAAATAAAATACTATGATAAAGAGTCCAGTTGTGGTGTGTGCATGTCGGAGAATATTCGGAGCAACAATCTTCCATTCAGACATTTTGGTCGACAACCCCACGGCATAGTCAGCTAAACGACCACTCAAAGGTAACTAAATTGACTGATACAAGAGAGCTCTTGCACGTAGAAAACCAACTTTCTACCGCATGCAGCCTCTAACACTAACCGTCTAGTATACTAATCATGTCCACGTTAGTAAAATGCATTATAGTGAGCATGACAAACGGGCATGGGTTATAAATTAAGATTCTACAAGACAAGTGAGAACTATACCTCCAGTTTGGTTATTGTAATAATACCAGTATCCTTCTGGTGTTTGGTATGCATTCCAAACATCATTCCCAGCACCAGGATCAGAAAAACCAATATTGTCTGAACTAGAAACGTCTTTTGTTTGAAGCTCTTCTTTAGCTATACCAAATAAATAGAATAGCTAAAAGACTTAAAATTTTGACATAAATGCAAAGAAAATTGCCGGATGAATTGAAATAAACTTGTTGTTTCCACCTAGGTAATCAAACTTACGTAGAGTTTCGCTTTGTAATTTTTTGCTTTTGGATTGGCTTGAATAACCAATATCTTTCTTGTATGCTTTTAATGCAGCCTATAAAGAAAATTGATAACTTAAATTACTTTGCAAAACATAAAGTGTTTAATGTAAATTTATCCAGGAGGGGTAAGGTGTTATCATTCAGTTTTACTTGCACTAGCTGAAATACCAAAGTAGCTACTATAGCTATAATTCTGTTTTAAAAGTTTTCAGTAGACGTTCTTATCGTATCGTTATCGTGATCTTCAATTATAGGGGGAAATATCGCCCATGTTAAAAAACTAGTTCATCATAAAAATTCTATCAAATTTAATCCTATACATACACAAGCGATGATACGAGTACGTATTAATGTAAGGCATGTCTAATCCTATTTTGAAAAGAGTCTGGGCATTTGATTCGGATTAAAAATTCAGTGATTTATGTCCTAACATGGCAGCATGACAGTCGTCCTTTTCAGTATAATGTTTGAGTGGAATCCAAACTTAAAGATTATTTCAAAATTAGGGCTAGACGTCTAGACATCACTAGAGAATTATGCCACATGATTAAACTTGCACATCTTCTTTCTAATCTCTCGCATGCATCAAAAGTATAAAATACTGTTATATAGAAAGTGAAAGAGTTTATTTTCATTGTGAAAATAAATCCCTGTGAAAACAAGGCAAAACTCACGGCAAAAACTGACTAAATTTAAACTGAAAAACAGATTAAATTCTTAAACGTAAAATAATGAATTTGAAATAAAAATAATAAATTTATATTTTACAAAATAGAGTGTTTTTTTTCACTTTCGATGTTTTGGTGTTGTGTGCCCAGATGAGATATTTATCATTAAAATTACTCATAAAGAATTAATCATTACAATGTCTGCATGAATTATGCCATATAATAAAAAACTTACTGACTTCGACTGTTCGGTCTGTACGGTAAAATATCAAACCTCGGTCTTGGTGTATTGACCTCGCTATCGCTCGGTCAATACGGCACGACCTCGGTTTGATATTTTACCGTACAGACCTCACTCTCAGTCGTGCATGCAGAAGGATATTTTAAGACTGCAACAATTAGTTCGAGATACCATGCAATTAATTAATTTATATATCTCTAATCCAGTTAGCATGGGAAGAAATACCAGACCGCACAACCCGTGCATGGTGAGTGAAAACGACGGGTATACGAACCTTATATATCGTAGAAAATTGAATGCTTTACGTAATTTCGACTTAATTAACTAAATGGTGACATATTTTAGGCATCTGCTTCACGCAATTTAACCGTCAGAAATACACAACTCGTATTGGCCAATTCTGCCCTTAACTACAGTTAAAAGTTAACCAGCCTTTTATACAACTGGCCCCAGCCCCAGGATGTGTCAGAACGTCCAGGGGATGCCCGTTAAGTTAAAAGTAATTCACACTTTTTATGAAGAATGGTGCATAGTTTCCATCAAATTGTGAAGGGAAATTTGAAAAATCCACTAATCCCCTTTCAGACATGCATGCAACTATGTACGCGAGTTGATTTATTTCCATGAGCATTTCATTTGAGCAAAACTTATAAACGTCCATGCAATTAAACAATTAAGCGTTGTAAATTTTGTTGATAGACCAGAAAGAAAAAAATAATTGTTCTTCGTTTGCAGATTACATTATATACAGTATATACACAATCTGGAAAGTATGACGCAGGATGAAATCACACTCAAAAGTTAAAGATTTTTATAAAAACAACTAACAATAGGGTAAAAAAAATATATTACCCAATCATGCATGCACAGAATAGTTTGATGCATGTTTTTTTAGCTTTTGTCTATTGTAAAATTACCAACTAATGGTCCAACTTCTATGCATGTTGACTGATGAAAGCTACAAAAAAGGTGATGGTATGCATGTGATGAAAAAGATGTGAAATCGGATCGTTGATGCATTTCTGCACACCGGCCGTGCATGCTGGGTTTGAAAACTGTTATATAGGATCGGACATCGACGACATATTCCGCTGAACAAGCAAAACACGTCGGCTGTATTGATTTTGGCTAATAATCGTATTCTTTGAAGGTGTATCTTGAAGGTGTATGTGCATGTAGTCATGTAGATGCACACCACTCCCATCCCCTTAACATTTTCATCAACTTTACTGGTGTGATATATCATATTGAACTTTTATGAAAAAATTTAAGAGAAATTGCAATTAATCCAACTGCAACAGTTTTGGTGAGTGGATTGCTGAAATATACTTCCCTGCCCCGTCCTGAAAAAGTCGATTTTCGTTACATCTTAATCCTTATTTTAGCGTACTCAATTAGTAATCTTAAGTGGTATAAATTAATCCTATACGTCACGTGTTGTTTTAGTTTCAAAAATGAAGAAATCAGTAAGCTTTATCATATATAAATTTATAAGCTTTACCTGGCATGACCCGAGAGAAAACTCGTTGTTAATATCAAGTGGATTGTTGCAAGTATTTACAGGTGATGGCATGTTTAGATGGAAAATATTTCATTAATCATTATAGAGTCAAAAATGACTAAGCCGCCAGAAATTCCAAATGACGTCAAATGAGTTATAGTTCGAGGCCAGTGCATGAAACCAAGTTAGTAGGTTTGTTCTATCTGCAGTGCATGGATGAATATATTCGGCTTTGCATTTAACTGTCTCACGCGGGCAGCTGGAAAATATCGTGATAAGGTGTGACGTCACACATACTTGTCAAACACGTTCGTAGCGAGATACGCGCACTTTGGCGAGCTAAACGTTTAGAAATTGAGGCTGAAGGTCATGCCGTTTCGGAAAGTTGATATTTTGAGAAAAAGTTCCCCGAACATTGATATGGATCTACAAGTGCTGAATCAATTAAGGAGCTGAGATGAAGAGTGACCGCGCAAACTGATCTGTGCGTTAACGTCATATACGTGTCATGAATATAGCTACACAAATATTTAGCTTCTTCATGATACTTGCGCAATTCTATAGGGTTAGGATGTCATCACTGAATGATCTTCAAAATCTACAGTCCTTTAATTCTCGTAAAGATGAAAACTGCATGGTCTGTATTTAAGATCGACCATTTTGAATGAGCTTCACTCTGTCATACGAACTTTGAGAAGATTCTCACATTAAAGCGATTTACTCTATGGCTTGCATGTACCACTTCAGTAAAGTTTATTTACAAAACTTTGATGTTTTCCAGGCTTTGATTTCGCTAATAGCAGGAATATTCCTGCCATTTGCTCTCAACATTCCTGTGCGATCAACAGCAATTAATGGTGTCAAAGGATAAAGATTGTGAAATATTTGTTTTACGGCAAATTTGAATGACAGTGGAGAATTTAGGAGCAAGCAAAGCGATATCGCTCGACTGCGCATCATTGAAGCGAACAATAATGAATGATTGTTTGAAACTTAAATGAGAAGTAAAAATTAAAAATATTGAAAGACACAAAAATTTATAACTCGGAAACCAGATCAGACTCGAAAAAAATTAACTAAAATGAGAAGAATGCTTCCTAAGAGCATGCATATGTGGTTTGATTAAGAATATAGATTATGCCGAGAGAGAGAGATAATAGTTGCCATTATTTTTAAGGAATACTAAACTTCTCCCCGAAACTAATTTCTCCGCGGTTGTGACGTCACGCCTTATCTGACTGACGCACATCCAACATGGCGGGGTTGTGTAAGAGGGTTGTAATATTGAATATTGAAGAAATAAGGATCGATAGAAAATCCCATGGAATGTTTCTCCCAAATTAGTTAAAATGATGGTAGTCAAATATAGGAATTGAAATTACATAGAATATATACACGATATCTGCATGCAAGGGAGTACAAACTTCGGTAAACCATTGCATGGATATCTTCACTGCATGCTTTATATTCAGGTGCACGTCATATATAAGAGGAAATTAATTGCAAATTTTCATTTATTTATTTAAAATTGCATCAAACTAAAGAGTAAAAAGAACGATTCTCCAATTATAGCATACAGTAATCTCTAAGACTATGTCTATGCCAAACTAGAACAACGAAGCTAAGTAAGAAAGGAAGTTTGTTTTGTGAGTGAGAACGTTTCTTATCTTTAGACATGCAGACACTTAAACGCAAGTATATAAATACGTGCAGTATATATACACACAATATGTACGAGACATGGAAAATATTCACTCGGTAACCAAACGAGCATAATACTGGTCCTGTAATTTTTAAACAATTTAGGAGGAACTCATTTCGAATATAAAGTTCCCACAAAGACTATATTTCAAAAGGCCCTACAAAGAACATATGTCTGTCAGTTTCTGACTAAATAAACATATACGTATACAAAGCGGACTTTATATCCATTCTCCCAGATTCCTGCGTTAGATTCGTCTTGTTATTGTAAATCTTACATCAAGAAGGCATGCTGCGAATGTTTAGCTGTATTATTATTGCTTATGAAAATTAAAAAACTAAAACAACTATAAACTAAAGATAGTATAATTTATGGATACTATGCATACTACAACGCATAAACTGTCTTTAGTCGTAGAAACAACTATTGTCCATATACATATAATTATGTTGTCGGCAAATGAATTCATTTGAATATTCAAAATTGTATGTTTTATATATTCACTTCTCAGAAATTCAGTTTTTATGTTTTGATCTAACATGCCTTGCCAAATGACTAGAAGTATTAAAGCAACTTGAACAATATCTACAGCTATAAGGTCTTTCTCCGCTGTGTATAAATAAATGTCGTTTGAGGTTTCCTTGTATAGAGAACGATTTCGAGCAAATGTTGCAATGATATGGTTTCAATCCTGTGTGAACGCGATTGTGGATCTTCAATGCACTTGGTCTGTTGAAAATAGTGTTGCAGATATGACATTTTAGATCTTCTTTACCTAAAAGAAATACTAAAATTAAGAACATCAGATTGTTAAATAGTTATAAGTCGCGCTCATGCAGTTATCGACAACTATCTTTGATGCAGGCCTTACTTTAGACGCTCATCAAAGCGTTACGAACATCAACGCGACATATTATAATCTTTTTTTATATAATGTAGCTACTTTAATTTATAAATACATTTACTGTTTGTATCTTACAATAATGTACACGATTTTATTGCCGAAGAATCAAAATAATACTAAGGGTCGTTTTGAAGATGGGTGGATAAAATGCTATAACTCTTTTGGTTGCCGTAAATACCAATGGCAACGAAGTTATGAAGAAATAACAAAAGAAGGTCACGGGAGTAAAGTTATTGCATAAACGCGTTAACCTTATTTATGAATACATGGCGATCTTGATCAGACAACGCTATGCGTATTACAGACATATGATATGTATTTCAATGATTTAATATATAAATTTCAGAGATACAGATTATTCGCTATTCAAGGAAACCTTCGACGATAATAAGCGACCTCTTCTCGAAATATGTCGAGAAAACTGACCATATATATAATATATATATACATTCAGAAGCTTCATGCAATTTGCTTCGAGTCGAGTCATTCGCATAGCGCTCTATGCCAACATTGACCAGTAAAACATTGGCTTTGAAATAATGTATTGTATACAAAAGGGAAACACTACTTGATCTAAACGTGCAAAGAAAATCCCTTCAGACTAAATAGGAATATTTCAAACCTTTGTGTTTCTTATCGGTGTGTCTGCAATATCCACGAAGACTACTGAACGTCCTCCCACAGTGCGCACAAATGTAAACTTTGTCTTGTTTTAAACCAGTTTTACCTTCAGTAACATTGTTTGCAATCATATAACTTGTCTGTGCTTCGGAAGAGCATGGTTTTTCAATCTTAATGTGGACCTTTTTATGAGACTGTAGACCATCAGATCTGGTGAAATGTTTCCCGCAAATCTTACATTGAAAAGGTCGTTCTCCAGTATGTATTCTTTCGTGAGATTTCCAATGGGAACGCCATTTAAAACGTTTCTTGCATATCGTACAATCATACTTTTTTTCTGTGTCCGTCGATTCAAGGAACGAAGATTCGCTACTTCTAGAGGCATGAAGATTTTCAGTTGATTGTTCAGAATCGCTGTTTTTCGCTTCTTGTTGCGAGATCTCATATGGCTGCCCACTTGCTACCGTGGAGGAGTCACGTTTGTCTTTCTCGGAATACATATCTGGGGTTGATTCTTTGCCAACCCACTTAATAACACTAGGTCTGCACTTTGAAGGTTCTCCGTCCATTTTCAATATCGTTTGTTGTGATGTGAATATCAAAAAAGAGCACTATGAAGCTGAAAGTAGCATTCTCATTAAAATGTCTTCTATATTTATATCGGCAATATTTCTCGAAATAAATTCATGGTCTCTGACGCTTTGTACACTCGCATAGTGATTGTGAGGAGGAACAAGGAGCGCGGGGAGTGATGGGATATTATGTGGCGTGACTGCCCACTGGTTTACAAACATTGCAAAATAATATACAGCCACATTTTGCAGTTGACAGTATTATGAATGAAGTAAATAGTAATGTCAATTTTCGTTTCATCTTCTATGATTGGTAATCCATGGCGACATTTATGCTAATCCAAAATGAATAGGAAAGTATATAACTATATAGAGATCAGTGATAAAGCTGAGCAAGCGCGTGGGCGAGACCAACATTTATAGATTGAGAAATAAATACCATAGCTTTTCCGATATGAAGCCTATATTTTTATAGATGTTTTCACTATAAATGACCAACATTTTAAGTTACACACAAGATGATGATATGATTGGCGCAGGGCGGGGGGGGGTTCTGCGGTTGAAGGTGTGGTGCATATTAATTAATATATTTGCGCTTTTAATTAATTAAAAGATATTTGCGGGCAGAACTGATTATATAAATACGCACCCCCCCCCCTAATTATCGCTAATTATTGCCTCTCTGTATATACAGTTACAGGACTAGATAATTTATGTGCATGGTGCATATAAGTAGCCCTTAACCAGATGATGTTCTGGCGCAGGTGGTATGACAGCTGAATTTCTTTAATTGCCTTGGGTGAGATCATACTTTTACAAAACTTTGTAATATGCCTGAAGTCTCTAAAATGATATTTCCTGCAATTGAGAGATTCAATAATATCTTACAAGAATTCTGTATGATTATGATCAAGCTCTAGGAGGCAATAAGTAGTCGTGGAAACCGCAAGCGGAATCACCTGAACCGGCCGGAATGTAATAATAGCGGAACAATTTATTCCGGAAATACGTGAGGGAGTTAAGTAACGACCTTCATCAATCATTTTAGACAAGTGTTTTCACTTATACACAGCTTAGTTATTTTAATCTGCAAGAATCCTATTCTTATCGAGATGGCATCGCCATATATATATGATGAAAACATTCTGTGCATTATAATGGCGCATACACAATGATTGTGATAAGTATGAAATAACATTGGTGAGGGAGAGACTTACAACAGTCTAACATTTTATATGCATGCACGCTCCAGGGTCATGTTGGGACTCTTTAGAAAGGCTAAGAACAAAAGCTTTTAAAAAGAATCATCTATTGATAAGGTCAGACTTTTTTAAGGGCATTTCCTTAGAAAGTAAGAATACTGGCGAAGAAGCCTAAAAATGAAGCTTATAAACTTCTTAACTCCCTAGTCGTAACGTAATACGTATATTGTAGAACATTCTTGGTCAGAAATTGCAAGCACTTGTACTGACGCATAAACAAGCATGAATTTTAGGTGAAATAAAAGTGTAATTTTAACATTTCGAAACAAAAATTCCCAATATATCTTTAACACAATAAACAAGATTCATATAGGGTTAAAAAGTAAAACCTAAACACTCTTCTTTGCTTGGAACCTAATTCCATGTTGCATTGATGCCTATAAATTATATATTTGAAGACGAGATAGTAACACAGACGTTTTGTTGTATAAATGCTATAGACATATATGAAATGCTGGACAGGCTGGACAGCCCCTTGGAATCAAAATGAATTTGATTGTGAAACATCAATTCAATTGTGTTAATTATAATACATCTCTAATCCAGTTTGAAGAAAATACCTGCCTACGTTACCACTTCATGAGGCTGGAATTTGTTAAACCCGGCTGCTTTTAATCCTCTTTTCATACATTCAGCAGCCAGCACTTTCTTGAAGAAAGTACCGCAACTCTATCAAATTTAATATAGGCCAAACAGTCATACAGATCTTGAACACCTAACAAAAATAAAACCTAAGAGAAATAGGCAATATAAACTATGTATATTTCATCGTGACTAGAATTGTGATCATAGTGAAAATACATGCCACACTGAAAGGGAATTAAATATACTTCTTGCCTATAGGTCCGATCTAAGCTAGGTTTGATATTTCTATACAAAGTTATGTTGTATATAATGCATTTTGTATATAATGTTGTAACGTTGTATTCCCGCCGCACACCTTGATAACTGGACGAATACCATAAACCAGTCTCATGCAATGTGATTTGGGATAGCCCCCCAAGCATACCATTTTTTTCAGACGAAACTAGAAATTTTACCAAAAATCCATTACTTAACGTAATAATAAATGTTCTGGTTTGGTATATTATATCCCCTACTTATACATAAGAGAGAGAGGGAGAGTAAAGCTGCGTTCAGACTGAGTGCTCGCGACTATAACGCCCGCATCACTTTTTTGGCGCTTGGAAGGTTGAACACGTCGCTTGAAAACAAAATAGGCACAGTACCTAAGAACGGGCATTATACCTCCACACGCAGTACTTAACAATAGCAAATACTCGGCATGTTTTAGGAACCAGTTTTGATTTGAATACCAGAGTCGGGGCACGATCTCAGTTTGAAGGGAAAGAATCGATCTGCATGATTTAAGTTAATTCAACCACATGCATGCATACATCGTGCACAAACACCCAAAAAACAAACTAACGAATATTCATGCATATAATATCAATATGTAATACTGAAGCACATAATGGTTTCACGTTTTCTTTAGCATTACAAAGCCGTGTTCAATTTATATACTATTAACTTTAACAAAATAGTTTTGACTTGAGAATGTCAACAACTTAGCTTTATAGTTCGTCCGGCTTCGGATCGGAACATTTTCGCACAATGTTTAGCTTGATAAATATATGATCTACACGCGATTATACTTAACAGAAACGAAATTGGAACATGGTGTAATTTCATGGCTATTCATATATATACTTAGTAGCAAGAATGTGGGTGTATCAATAACGTTTTATTTAGGTTTTTAAACTTGCAGTGGTAAACGCACCGTTTATACGTTTGCTTTTCATTGCTAAAAGAGGTACCTATATATGCAGCCGTCATAAACGTCCTTTTTTTCACAAGAATGCAGTATATTTCTTTCACGGAATGTTTAGTTTTAAAAAAAATTGGAAGAGACAAATTGATTAAAGCTCTTATAATGCAAATTTAAAATTTTAGGTTGTTCCAAAATTGTTAACTTTTTTCGATACACCCATGCATTTATAGTGCATGCATGTGTATATTTTTGCATTTAGCAATTTCATTTGTATTTTATATTATTTTTTAATATTGAAGAACGTATAATGTATAGTGTTTAGCACAAAATATATATCCTGTACACCCATTATTTGATATAGCTATAGTGCGTTTTGGAAGGACGAGCCTAACTTAATTCCTACACTGCAGGCCTATAGTACTAACGCTTAATCAACATTATTTTTAGTTTTATGCTTAGACATAACATGCCTTGCCAAATGACTAGACGTATTAAAGCAACTTGAACAATATCTACAGCTATAAGGTCTTTCTCCGCTGTGTATAAATAAATGTCGTTTAAGGTTTCCTCGTATAGAGAACGATTTCGAGCAAATGTTGCAATGATATGGTTTCAATCCTGTGTGAACGCGATTGTGGATTTCTAATGCACTTGGTCTGTTGAAGATAATGTTGCAGATACGGCATTTTAGATCATCTTTACCTACAAGAAATACTCAGTAAAATTAGTCACGAAAAAGCAGATACAGACATATATCTTATTTAATTTCACAATATGTTTATTGCCAGGGAAAACTTTGCATTATCACGGTATATATCATGGTATATTATGGCATGCATGTATGTTGGAAAGCATATGCATCAGAAATGTATTTATTATATATCAGGCCTCTTTTGGATAGAGGCATCCTTATGCATTAGAGAACAAATATGATCGATGTATGTAGTCGTAGACGTAGATCCCGTTTTAATATATATACGTACAGGTACAGGTTCACATTTGTACAGAACACATATATGAGTTACCCACAACTCACAAGAAAATTAGGAATTATTGATGCATATAAAGGCAATTTCAGCTTTAGAATTACAATCATAGAGATATATTCTCGGCTATAGAGTCCAGACCAGCAATTTATTTGTCTCAATAAATCGCTCTTCCAGACGTTCATCTTCGAAAATTTAGATTTTCATAATGCATATACATAGAGCATAAGCAAAGCATGCACAAAAGGACTGAAACTATATGGCTATACAAAATATTGTACGAAATTCAAACCTTTATGTTTTTTATCGGTGTGTCTGCAATACCCACGAAGACTACCAAATGTCCTTCCACAATACGCACAAATGAATACTTTGTCTTGTTTCAAACCGGTGACATCTTCAATAACATTGTTTCCAAGAAAACGATTTGGTTGTGTCTCAGGAGAGCAAAGCTTGGGTTTTTCAATCTTAATGTGGACCTTTCTATGACATTGTAAACCATCAGATCTGGTGAATAGTTTCCCGCAAATCTCACATCGAAAAGGTCGCTCCCCAGTGTGTATTCGTTCGTGAGACTTCCAATGCGAACGCCATTTAAAACGTTTCTTGCATATCACGCAACTATACTTTCTTTCTTTGTTCTTAGATTCAAGAAACAAAGATTCATCATTGACACCGACTAGTTGATTTTCTGTTGATTGATCAGAGTCACTGGTTTTGGCGATCTGTTCAGGTTGTGCTTGCTGCGAAAAGTCAAGGTCGTCCGTCTTAGAATTTATAACATCTGGGGCCAACTCTTTGCCGACCCACTTAATAACACTAGGTCTGCATTGCATCGAACAGTTGCCGTTCATTTCCAAAACACTGTACAAAAATAACTCAGATTCATAAAATATAATGTACTTTCTCCATATAAAAACCTCTATCAGGAACAAGTTCCCCGAAACAGATCTCTTTTCTTCAGGTCACACGTTTTGTACTCACGATGAATCATTATGAGCGTTATAAGAAGAACGAAGTGCGCATGGAGTGCATGATGGGATAGCAGGAATAAAATGCGGACAACAAGCTGCACAGGCGACCGAGTCACACTGCTGTGTGTGTTGTGTGCATCAGCGATTCAACGATATGAAATTAAATGTATAAATATATAGAGAGCGTGTTTTGATTTACGAAATGTTATATATGAATGCCCGATAGAACAAACAGATTTAGAGCAAATAGTTTTCACTAACCTGAGATATACATGTATATATATTTATACATATATATACGTATATATAATTATTAGCCAGCCTGTTTTATGCATTTATTATATTAGATCTTCAAGACGAACAAACTGTTTTATCGAGCGTATATACTGCTCTAAACGGACTGTAACAGATACTCCTCAGTAAGTGAAAAGTGAAAGCTATACATACTTGACTGATACGTATATATATACGGAAATAGAGTTTAGATAGGATGTTCCCTTAAAAAAAGTTATCGTTACACCTATATATAATTAGATTTTCCGACTAATGAATATTGTGCTAACGAAATGAAACAGTATGCAGGTACTTGGGTAAAATTATTGTTATAACACCTTTAAAAACCTTTTCCGGCAGAAAATTTCGAGAATTATCACAAAACATGAAAATTCCTTTAAAAAATTAACATATATGAATTATTCAAAACGGGATTTGTGATGATATTTCGACTCAAAATCACAATACTACCATATACAAACATTTTTGCCTTATTTTGAAAAACGTACATTCATGTTGTTCTTAATTCAGGATATTTATTATTTAATACTTGCAACCAAGTTTATCAATATTTAGATTTTAGCAGGCGCGCCGTGCCCATCAGCACACAGACGCTTTAGGGCCACTATAAAAACACGAAACCACTCACAACAAGTGCTGCGTGTAATTAAAAGACTCGTAGAAATGCATGCATATAATGCATGATTACATGCACTCACTCGCAGCGAACTTAATACACGTGTTTAACATAATATGCGTGTCTATCTGGTCATTCAGTTTTCTCTGGATAAAAAGTAAGGAGAGTATTTGATGTACATGCTTCATTGTGAAAATAATGAAGGTCTCTCATTTTCAGGTGTAAAGTCACATGCATATTGGCCTATTCCATGCAATTTATACGGGGCGTTGCCAAGACGATATGATATCCGGGACAATCAGGGGTTTATCAGAATAAAGCTTAACTTGTTTGCTCAGATCAGTAATGTCTCTGAGTTCTAGGACTATGAGAAAGGACTGATATTCCCAACTTTTCACACGGACGCTTATTGTAGTTAATTACTAACATTTAAAAACCGTCCGCGCTTGTCTGTCCCCTCTCCAGAAACGAAATTACGCTGGGGTTGGTTCTGTTTTTCACTTTAAACATTTCCTGTCACATGCACCCAAATGAATCTATCTATCAATTTGAAGCCAAAAGGCCAGTGGGAGGAGTGAAATCATTCTGTTGATCGATACTTAGAGAAACAACCGCCTATCGATCTACCAGTTCAACAGAGCTTATAGTTAGAAAAAACTTTATTCACAAGAATCCCGCTACGAATGCTCAGTGACTCTCTAGAGTTCAGTTTTTACACTGCACTGTTTTCACTGTTCGCATTGTGTGGGGTAAGTGAAAACTGATTGTCTAGCGTTTGTATCAGATGCGCGACAAACCCTTAGGGGATTTGGGATCATGCATGCATGCATGCAAGATCCTACAATAATTTTGAAAATGAAGTCTTTAAAATGGTATTTCCTGTATTTTCAGGGAAGAAATTATTGTGATTAATGATTGGAAGAAGCAAACGCCGTATGAACATATGCAAAAAACCCTAAATGAACTATAACTATATCACAATCAAATTAGTCCTGATATCGATATTTGCTATTAAATTGGACAATTTAAGGAAACGCAGGAGAGTAGAAAAATTGAACAAATGAATGAGCTATATTCTGGATCAGGAGGCGAATTTCCGAAAGTATTCAGATCCCTATAGTTCTCAGCTTTCATCATGCTCACATGCAATGTGTTAAAATGCGGCTATTTGGGAAGCATAACGTGCTTTAGAGTACCGAAATTGACAATAAAATTATATATAGACGATTCCTTCATCAGAAATTATATATCAATCAACTTATAAGTGGAATGTGTAAAACCTCGGTTATTACCACTTTAATCTCCTTTTAGTCTAGACATGTATGTGTTACATAAATACGACCATCAGACTGTGGCACTGGCTATCTTCACATTTCGAAGTTTTACTTTTGGGCTTGAGGGTCATTATGTGAAGTGTTTTTAACAGTTTTACAAAAGAGATATCAAAGAAATCACATGTGAAAAATTGTGTGCGAAGCCAAAGATGAAGCCGGGGATTAAACCGGAAATTGTGGTCATTGGACCTATTTCAGTCAACATGTTAATCATAAAACGCTCAGACAAATCGAAATGTTGGTTTCCATAAAAACAAGACAAGATGGCCATACCATGAATATTTACCTGAAAATACTATACTCTGAATTGTTTTGATTTACAAAATAATGGGATGCAATAGCATGCATAAAGAAATATCATTTGATGCTTGCAGAAAAGTTTAATTTGAATAATCTTCGAAAGTGAATAATGAACATTATATACGAGACACCTGTTTTGTATGATTTATAAGTGAATTTATTTCAGCATTTGGAGCATGCACTGTTTAATTTAACTGTTTATATGCTGGCCTAGGGCACTAGACGACTGTTTGGTACATTGCAGCGGACTACAGAACTTTTTATGTTACAATATATTGTACTGGAGCAGTAGGCTGTGGAGCACTCTCGCTGTATGTTAAGTGTTAGCTATACAGTGCTGTAGACTGGAGTACTATAGCTCTTCAGTTGCGCATGCAGTACAGTGAAATTAAAAACAATAGTACTAGTTTGTTATCACATGTGGTCGACTAGTGCAAGGTTTGTTACACGTTCTTTGGACTAGCAATGTTTGTTTATGGACTGGAGCACTCTTGTTACCGTATGGTGGGGATTGGAGCACATGCTGGACTTTAATAGCCCGGCGCAAAACAAGTGGAGCTAACCCAAACTTTGCTGATAAGCTTTTCCGGATTAGACGATTGCAATCAAACCACCATTGATCGGCTAACACATCGTTTAACAATAAATGACGGGACGAAATAACTTAACTGAAGCATTTAGAACACTGGCGTAGCCAGCATCGATAATTGGGGGGGTCCATATTCATATATTCATGTAAACAGACCGTAAAGACAATTGATTTGAAAAGAAATTAATCCTGCGTATCACGAATATATGAATATGGACCCCCCCAATTATCGTTCTGGCTACGCCGCTGATTTAGAAAACAAGCTCAACAAATAATCAAAATAAAAGAGGAATGAACATTGTCAAGAGTCTTAATTCGTAATTTTCCGGCTTGCAGTAAGATCATTTCCGCTCGCAATGATTGGCTTGACAAGAATGTACTACACAACGATAACAGAACAATGCTTGTCCCTAATCTATCAAGGAGCGTTGGCTGAGCATAATTAAAATAATTGGCTATTCATATATCTTATTAAAGGCTTTATATCTACGAGGTAAGTGTATTATAGCCGCAAATGGGCTTCAAGACAGAATATAACTATGTTGGAGAAGGTTCCTTGTTACTACGAGAAATAATAATAGAAACAAACCATTCCCCATGCATGCATCCTTATTTAATTATCTTTTTCATAGATGGAAGACAAAGATTTTGCCCCAATGGTTATGCATGAAATATAATGCAAAAAAACTCTCTTACGTCAGTCATATATTTATTTTTTGTGGAAATTTAGCTTTAGTAACCATAAAAATCTAAAATGCATACACATTATATCCATTAGACAAAGTTAAAGATGAACGTCACGAACTTGTCCTTGCATGCTTTGTCTGTGGTCAATGCTATGTTCAAATGTAGTAAACGTAGTAATTTGTAGCCATATAGAGATAACTTTATATAATAGAACCGTTTTAATATAAAAAATACAAATACAGCTATATATAGCTAACTATGAAATCCATGGACCGCATGCATGGTGCTTTCTGTTCAATAGTAAGAACGGACTATGTTATATCCATTGGCAATTATATCACAAATTCTGTTTAATATTACACATTCCCGCATGGGTTTATATACAGCTTTTCTAAGCAGCAATCAAAACTATAGCCTATATATTATAAGCGGGTAATTTGTACACAATGATCGTAATTTTTTTTAAGTCATGCATCGTCTTCTCCCCATGCAGTATTTTTAGGTTCGTACGTATACGCCTATGTATGCATAGGACGATTTATAAAAGGGTTCATTGTCTTACATTGAATGTATAGATGTTATACAATGTTTAATTCGACAGTTTTGATATGTAAGCAGTTCTGATAGCTGCTGTGGGTATTAAGCATGATATAAAGCTATAACTGAAGGCAAAAAAGTACAATGACATTATTCATTTAATATCACTCTTTATATATGATGCTCGTCGTTTGGCACTAAGTTGATTTTGTAAAAGAATTGTATGGAAGAGGTATGATGTTATAAATAGGTTTAGGACTGTCATTTATTTATCACCTTTATTCGTATACAGCATAGAAATTATTCTGATAGTCGAAAATATTATACAACGACGAAAAATATGCGAGAAAATAGCACCGTATAGATTAAGCAATAGCAAGCGAACAAGCAAGCAAGTTGCATCGTATATAAAACATGTTACTATAATATACATACATGCACATGCAAGTTATATGCACACTGACAAATTTCTTTCCATGTATACGTAGAAGAGAAAGCTTTTCTCCAGCCTCTCCAATTCATATATCTGGCGTGTCAAACAACACTAAATAATTATATAATATTCTATGAGCCAGCAAGTGATCCCTACTGTTGTTATTCCTCAATTCAAATAGTTCTTATGTTTAGATTTAATATGTCTTGTTAAATGACTAGACGTATTAAAGCAACTTGAACAATATCTACAGCTATAAGGTCTTTCTCCGCTGTGTATAAATAAATGTCGTTTGAGGTTTCCTCGTATAGAGAACGACTTGGAACAAATGTTGCAATGATATGGTTTCAATCCTGTGTGAACGCGATTGTGGATCTTCAATGCACTTGGTCTGTTGAAAATAGTGTTGCAGATATGACATTTTAGATCATCTTTATCTGAACAGAAATACCAAATTTAATAAAGAAAGATCGGATACAAATAACAAAGGTGACTTAAAGTTAATATCAAAATTGGAGGCTTTAGAGAGGCCAGTTGAATGTAAACGTTAAATAAGGAAAACAAAGTATTGTTCTTTGGTAACCCTAGGGTAAGTATATCAACTTGTTTCTACTTTTATACATACAACGGTTTCTGGCATGTACTGTTCACTTCTATACATATCATGACGAAGTAAACAATATTTAGTTACTTTGAGGTTGGGTCAATTACAAAGTTACTGTGTACGGTGTACCACCCTTTCTTCTTGCATGATATATAAAATGAGGAAAGATATGATGACATTTGAATGTTAGTATTGTTGCTGTCTTTTTAAGAAAAGAGTGTAATACTAATAGACATTCATTGCACAAGGAATTAAACAGAGAAAGTGTGCAACTCTGGAAAGCTTTCAGGAAACGTCAGGACGGATGGGTTTGTACAAAGTGTCGGAACTATTATCTATTTTTTCTGTCAAAATGAAGATATCTTTCCTCAATAAAGTGTCCAAAAGTTATGGAATGAACTTTATGTTTCTATCTTCCTTCTTTTCCTCTCATTTGTCATGAATCTATTCTCTTTGATTGATTAGGTTTTTTAAAATTTATATACATAGGGGTTCAAACACTATGTTGACAAAAATAAAGAAACACAATAAGAAATACAAGTATTTCAAACCTTTGTGTTTCTTATCGGTGTGTCTGCAATATCCACGAAGACTGCCAAATGTCCTTCCACAATACGCACAAATGAATACTTTGTCTTGTTTTAAACAACCCACGCCTTCAATAACACTGTTTGAGAGCAAATAACTTGCTTGTGGTTGTGTCTCAGAGGAGCGTGGTTTTCCGATCTTAATGTGGACCTTTTTATGGCACTGTAAACCATCAGATCTGGTGAAGCGCTTCGCACAAATCTCACATTGAAAAGGTCGTTCTCCAGTATGTATTCTCTCGTGAGATTTCCAATGGGAACGCCATTTGAAACGTTTCTTGCATATCTCACAGCCATACTTTTTTTCTGCATCCGTAGATTTAAGGAACAAAGATTCGCTATTCTTGGTGGTCTGTTTAAATGATTGGTCGGAATTTTTGCCTTTCTGTACTGGTTGAGAGATTTCATACGCCTGTACACTTCCTACTGTGGTGGAGTCAAGGTCTTCTTTCTTGGAAATTATATCAGGAGCAAAATCCTTGCCAGCCCACTTAATAACACTAGGTCTCCCCCATATCACCGATAGATTTTCGGTCATTTTCCAGACTATGTATACAATCAAGATTTGCTTACAGACAAAGCAATAAGGGATAAATTTCAATATATAATATAAAGTTGCTTTTTTTCTTTAAAAATGTTACAAGGGACAAATTCCTTGCAATGGATCACTTTTCTCGAATTCGTAGACGCTTTGTACTAACGTATGACGTATAGGGTCGTAAGATAACACGAGGCGCGCACGGAGTGATGGGAAATGCAGCATGATGTAGCAGAACATCATCATCCTCCTTATCAAACAATGAAGTAGGAAAGCTTCAAAGATGAGAGTATTGTACGTGCAGTATAAGATATCAAGCAGTATCTTAGAATAGCAGCCTTAAACACAGCGTAACTCATACTGTTAACCCCAAACTTCAATCCACAATCTTCGAATGATGGATCCCGCACGGGAATGGGATTCCATTTAGTATGTTATACAATAACATCACACACTAACGTACTTAAAAAATTATAACTCCATACATTTTTCAGAAAAAGTGCGCTTAACATACATAATGGTGTTTTTAATTAATTTAAAATCGCCGTACTCTAAAACAAAATTAGACGTTTTGGATTATGCAATCTTTACAAAATTCCGATGACTTTACGACATAGGATAGGCGATTACGACCACGGATATTTACTCAAAATCTAAGGAATAGTATAGGGAATGGAAAAGATAAAGCAATTTTGAAATGAATTTTGGTGTAGGATTACTAAATGGGCTTCTGCATGTGCATAGCGTGATACTGCCCCACGGGATGTTACGAGAATTTCGGAAAGTATATAGAAGACCTATTTTTAGTTTTCGAGCTATATTTTAAGTTCAAGGATCACTCTATTCTGTACGGAAATGGCATACATCAACAACAGAAAACAGTAAATCTTTCGTGCAGGTTGCCTCGTCTTGCAGGGCCATCGACCAATCAAAATCGTTGTTATTATTACACCAAGCGTCATCTTTCATGTATTGTTTCCAAGAGTTATGTGTCCCCGGGGTAATCACGCAGAATTTATTCCTGCCGGACTTACACCGACAAGCCACAAAGAACCTACACTGATCAGGACGATTTTCAGTAAGCCAAATTTCTACCAGGAAAGAAATTTCTCGATGGTGCATACGTCGAGAATCGCAGACAAAGGAAACCTCTTATCTTTCCCGTAAAAAAATTCTCAAGTGGACCTATAGGGTCAAGCTTTTTTTAGGGAATTAAATTCCTAGAAAGTGAGAACAATATTTTACGCTGTATAATATTACACACGAAATTTCTACCACTCAAGTGGAATGCAATAAAATATTTGAAGTGGACCCAGGAGCAAAATGCCATTCAGTAATTTCTAAATATTCCTTTCAAGAATTTCTTCCAGAACTAAATTTGTATTTCCAAGGTTTCCAGATTTCACGGATGGTAAAGCGCGTGTGCTTCACCGAAGAATTTCACCGCCGCTGGCAATAATATTGACAAGGAAATGCCGCTTTCTTGTCATTTGTCGCCGAAAACGAAACCACAGAAGGAAGGGCGGATCACGAAAATATGTAATATAAAAGTGTTTACTATTTATCAGTCACAATTAACTAATAATATGGTCGATAATTATTTTATTAGGATGGTTCTGGGAAAATGGTGTGAAATGCTGCCTCTTTATTATAAAAATGATATCGAACCTTTTTACACTTAGTGGACTACTGCCGAAGCCCTTAATTGTCTGAAATTCATCAAACTTTAAACTCACTTAGCTGTTTGACCTCTATACATTGCCCGACAAAAACGTGTGAAGTCAGTTGTGAATGCTGGCCTTCCTAGCTGTTTCGGAAATACGTGGGGGAATTTCAGTAATTATGTATTTTTTAACAGATGGAACAAAGGCGTATTAGTCATACTGGAGACAAGTGTTATAAAACATTGGTTTATTTTAATAAGCTACAATAATTGAAAATTCATCGAGATGGCGGCACTATTTATGAGGTAAGGACTAAGGAAGGAACCTCTTTTTAGGTCTATATTGTAAAGCCGCGTTAATTCCGGATTTCACCTCAACGGGGTGTTTTAATTGACAAATAAACGAAGTAATATTAAAGCTTCCTGGTTTGTGTATTTATTACGACTTTATAGACGTAGGAAAAAACTGAGATTTATCATTGAATGAAAAAACAATGCCGCGCCAAAAAACCCAGGATATACTGCACTTACCTCCTCTATGGCTGCCAAATCATCGTTTAATTGTTCTTGCTGCTGACGACGTTCTGATCCCTTCTTTTTTACCTTAATAAATAAATAAAATGAAATGAGAAGTCTAGTTTTACGAAGGTGTTTACAGACGAATTATTCGATATCATGCTCAACTTTATGCCCACAGGCATAGGGTATCTGAGTGATGCCGCCATGCGGCTCAATTCAGTGCCGTACCAGCGCTCTATAACAACAACAGCACAGACGACATCCCACGACAAATCAATCAACCAGTTTCTTATCTTATCCACGCTAGCAACAAGTTAAGAAAACAGCAACACTACTAGTTTGTAATGTTCTGAGCTTCTCGATCACAGCTATGTTTGACGTAGCATATACGCTGCACCCAGGCGTAACTATGCTAACGACAATGCTCTCATCGACATGATTCAGGACCTAGTATCGGCTGAGCTGGGTTGATAATAGGCGGCCTAATAAACGTTGAATTGGATGAATTTATTTCAAATAACATTCTCAACTTACATCAAAAATTGTTATAATGAAGGTAGCAAGAATATTTCAGAGTAACGAATTGTATGCATGAAAACAAACTCGATTTACCTACAGTCTCAACATCAACACGACTGACATTCGTCGATAAATTCAATGTAGGCTCGCTTGCCTTTAGACGTGGGGCCGACAGATCTTGATTAGGACGAAACAGTTTCCGACAGGACTTGATTTGTAAATTAGTGCAAGTGTTCTGGTTATAAAGGCTTGAAATAATCCCCCCAAATATAGTGATTCTTTACTAATTTACGAGTCTTGAGATTGATTTATGATTCATGCTCACCTCCTGAATTCTCAGTTTGACATTCTCCTGATGCTTTTTCCCTTTTTCATGAAAATCAACACTCTAAAATGTAGACAAGCGAAAAAAGGTTGAACCTGCAATTTTTAATATTGCAATCAGTTAAAATTTACCAAGTTAAGACTATAAACACTATCATTTATACATCATAGGAACTACGTAGATCGCATTATGCGACGTCTATAGTGTGAAAACGGCCATTTTCATTTATAATGGCCTATCACCGCTTCATCACACGATTCATATAAAGGTGATATGGCTCGCGCGATATAATTTCAAACTTCGCATTTATATGAAATTACTTGACCAACATTGTTTTATATAGATTTTTTATGTGACTATCAAATCCTATGTGACCATTCGGCTCGGGCAGTAGGATTAGGAAAATAAGAATGTTGGAAGAAAAACAAACAAAACGACTAACAACAAGTACTATAATGTCAGATTTTTGAAAATCAAAAAAATGTCATTTTTCTTTGAAAATTAATTTTGGCATTACAGATTTTTTTTATTTTTGGTAAAATAAAAGTTTCCTACAGTACAATCCTGCAAGCAAAATTTCAAAACCTGAAAATCCTGTAATTTTCCATGGTAATTTCTTGAGCGCTCGCAGGGTTTCGCAATAGCTATATCGAGCCACCTTAAAATCAGGTCACAGGAAGATAAAAGATGTGCAACCAAAAACTACAATTTACGCTCGCTCAATTTCCAAATTTTATGCGTACTTCATTAAAAACCCTGGGGACGAGTTTTCCTGGTTTTCCAATTGAGCTATTATTATAGTTCAGTGGGTTTCCCCCACTGAGGTTTCCCCCATGCGTATGCCCGTTCGCAGGTGAGCTGTCACCAGAAAACGCCAAGGCAGGACGCCAGCAAAACAAATTTTATGGTTTTTCAGACGTTTTCTTAGCTAAGACCATAAAACTGATAAAATGCATGATTGCGTTTGTCTGTCTAAGGGGGGAAAAAAGGAAAAAAAAAGAGAAGAAAAAATTGAGCACTAGAAAAAAATATGGTCCGTATGAGTCTCGAACTCATGACCTTGGCGTTATTAGCACCACGCTCTAACCAACTGAGCTAACGGACCTCTTGAAAGATGCTTGAAAACTTTAGGGTTTTAATGTTCATCAATTTTACTCTACCTCACTTGATCTTGAACTGGAATCAGAAAATTAAAACATTTTCCAAAATTAATAATGTAAATGAATTCAGAAATAGCGAAAAGCTATTCAGAAAATACAAATCTGTATTACTGATAGGTATAAGTTTTTAAACAATGAATTTAAAGGGGGCTGTTAGATCAGTTGGTTCATGACTTCATGGTTCTCGTTTAGACTTTAAAGCAATTTCATAGATATGAGTTCTACGCATAGAAATAATAGACATTATAAACATTATGTCTATTATTTCTATGGTTCTACGGCTTACGGCCATGACGATTGATATCGCTTATCATACTATCTATATAATTCTATAGATTGGAAGACTGTAAAAGCTTGATATTTTATAATAGCTACAGCCTATAACTGATTTCTGTTCCGAATTTAATACATTAACTGAAGTCTCAAAGAGCGCTAAATTCAAAACAGGTACAACTGCTAAAAATATTTAACAAAATGTTTTCGGGTATGTCATGAAATGCAGATTGATCTTACCGCTTTGTTATCTGCTATCCAACATTTACAGAAATCGCAAAACTTCTTTGGCTGAGATTTCCAGTATTCCGCCCTATTTGAAAGTAATATACTGACATGATGCCGAATTATATTCGAAATTCTATTAACATTGGAGCATGTTGTTTGAAAAGCAATTTCAAAAGCGTTTGATTTTCAAAACGTTCAAATTTAAAATTTCCAAGTCTATACATACATTTTGAATTATGACAGCAAATAAATCATCCAAAATATCAAATTAGACGCACCAATATTTCAAACACTGTGATTGACTAAAATCTCTTCGATACAAAAGAACGTGAAATTGGGATTCAAAATTGGTACATGACTTTGTTTTATTTATGAGCCCGCGTTAAAGGTTTAGATTATAGCACTATACTTTATGTCGTTAACGTACATTGTTTCCCAAAAGGCCGAACAACTTCGCTATGGCCTCCTAGACTATGGGCACTGGCCTATGGCCCGTCCTATGCCTTCTAGGCTATTGACCCAATTACCGAAAAAAATGCAGGCCAATTTCGTAAATAGAGCACACGATGTAACCCTGCATGAGGTACATGATCAATTTAATGAAGCTGAAATGCAATTCCAACATAGCCCAACTCCCATCCAATAGCAGCACTTTCTATTAGACATTTCTGTTTAGTGTATTAAAAAAACAATCCCTTTCTCAGAACGAACGCTTAAAATTAGCGATTTTCAAGAGCGTTCCAGAGCGTTTTAAAGAGCCTTTAGACTACAGTTTGTTGAAGCTGATAACTTCTCAGCTTGTTTCATACAGACGATGGCACTCCTCATTGTCGTATCCGCATGTGCCATAAGACGCTTTTATTTGTTGGCCATCACCAAATCCCGATTTTACTTTATCCTCTTTTTTGGGTGGCTCCTGGGGAATATTTGTCTCAAAAATCTGGCCTCAATTTCATCTGATCCCTTGCTCTGAACTAGGCGTCCATATAATGATTTAGTCTATATCAAATGGAATAGAATCAAAACACAAGGTTAATAATTCCAATCCCTGATTTCTAGTGAAAGTAAATTGGGTCATGCAAAGCTGGAGTTTAATCTAATGTAAGTGCAAAATGCTGCGTTCTTCATAGTATAATCAAGCAAATAACAAGCCCAAGTATAATCTGCAGTGTATGTCAGTGAGCCATACGGTCCCAGGACAGAAGCATTGCTGCGAGGCTCCTTACAACATTGCTGCAAGGGTCTTTACTGTAAGCCTGCATGGCTTTTGATATAGGTTAAATTGGTTGGTTGTACTATGGAGAGTACCTGAAAAGCAACGCTCGACCACGATCATTTCCAATTGCAATATAACCGCTTCTTGGTGAAAAGTCAAATGTCTCAACATATCGTAATGGAGTGTTTGACGTTGGCCAGTTGGAAAACACACTTAGCGATGGTACATGAAGCTATTAATGATAGAGAAAATTCCTTTACCAGTATTTTCGTGTCTTCCTGCGAAATATTTTTAAAACAGAACGAGAACATAACAGGGCTTACTGCAGTACGCACTAGGGCGCTTACCATTATACGGTAAAAACGGTCAGACTGGTCCTGTTAAATTTTAGTACAGAAAGATTACTGGTATTTTAGAGTACTTCAAGAACTCGGCATTCGAGTACACTATATCGTTATTCACATCTGCCTATAGCACAGGAAATGCAGTTTTACCGCTTTATTTTAAACGAAGTACGGTGTTTCAATTCAAATGATGACCGGTTTGACCACTTTGGCCGGTAAAAAGAAAGTGCCCCTACTACATTAGTTAAAAAAAGGATGTCCGTCATATTCGCTGGTGAAACTACGTACAGGAAACCAAGGGAAAATGTACTGTACTTTAATTTTGATGACGAATTCGAGAGAAATTTTTGAACAAATTTTCAATCTTTGAATCACTTTATGCTCTTTCACAGTATATCTGGCAGTTTACGGATCTTTACTCGCTTCGCTACTCTTGAAAAAAACCCTATAAATTTAAACGTACCAGTCTGAAGGCATTCTTAATAGATCTTGACGACATTCCCAGGATTTCACTGCAAGAAAATGATACTGTTTAATATCAACCTTTTCACGCAGTATTTCTTAGGAGAAAACATAAAAGTTCCAATGTTCCATGCATTTACGTTCATTTGAGGTAATTTTAACATAGCTATTGCACCTTGTACTATTGAACTTCAGTTTACTGATCTGGGTTGTCAGATTCATCACTGTTTTTATAGGTTTTGGGAACTCTTTGTCAAAACATTGTTTGTCATATATATTCACAACTCCAGAATCAGACCTAAAAAAAAGAAAATATACATTTTACGGTAAATATTTTGAATATTTCAAAATAATTGAAAACACTCATATTCACCCCCGGTTATAAAGCCATGGCTCTATAATAATTAATTAATTATTCATCTTTTTATTTGTTTTCATTTGTACACCTTTTAATTTGATATTCAGTTACCAAAAAATTTGACAGGCAAAATGATTGTTTGAAGTTGGCCGAAGACATTCATTGTCATCAAAAATTGAAACCAATTATGATTAAAGATCAGACTATTAGTATGAACCTACCCACAAGCAATATATTGACCATTTGGTGATACAGCAAGGGCAGTCGATATTATGCAACCTTCATCTTTGAATTTATGAAGACATCTCCTAGACTTCATATCCCAAATGTACACCTCACCATCACCTGTGCAAAAGGGATGATATATACAAAGTAAAATAATTAAAGGTTTTGAAGCTTTAAGTGCAACAGGCATTAGAGATCTATAGAATTTAATATTTACACCTTGATCTGTGGTATACATAAAAATTATTAGAAATACATGGAGACGATCATATTCATAAATGTTCACAGAGGTAATTACTTTAACTTGCATACAGTTTGTGGTTTTTTTAGTCAGGTCTGCAAGATGTCCCCTATATATGATAATACGACTGAGACTGACTTTACTAAAACTTATACCAATATACTTGATACAAATGAAGCCAAATTACAAGAAACGTAGCTAATACCATACCCAGGTATACTTACCACCAGCAGTTATCATTTGTTTTCCATCTGCAAAAAATGCAATTGTAGTCACAGAGCCATTCATCTTGAGGTCCGCTATCCACTGCTTTGTCTAAAAAATTATTATACCAATATAAATATCAATTTTTATCTGTATTTTCTTCAATAAGTTTACTGCATGCTTACCTTGCTGGACAACAAGTAAATATAACCATTCTTTCCAGGAAACACTAAATATTTTCCATCTGGGGATGCAATGAAATTTGAAAAATGTTTCTCCTCCTTCCCTATTAATAAAATACATTTATTTAAAGCTAACATTATTTTAAATATTATAGCAAATATGCAAAACCAAAATGTTTACCATCAATAGGCAAACAAAATAGAAATATGGTCATAAAATATTTCTGTCCTTTCTAACCTTTCTAATAAATAGACATATATATACCTCTTATTTCTGGAATTCTAGTCACCCTTCCATTCACCATATCATAGCAATAAAAATGTTTCCTTTTTGAAGCAAGAATGACTTGCTTGCCACTTTCAATAAAATGGGCAGTATGAATAGGAAAACCATTTAAATGTATTGTTTGGAGATTAGCATTGGCTTTTCCATCCACCTGTTAAATGTTACTAACATAATTTAGATTACATATATATAACCAACCAAGAGCCTGTTCATATGAGATGGGCTGAGCTGGCCCACTTTATATTTTCATACGAGCCTGTAAAAGGCGAGATCTCTCACTGCTGGAGGTTGCAGCAGATTTTTTTATGTAAAGTAACAGTATACATATAAGGTTATCATTTTCCACAATGTCTAGACCTCTGCTGATGAGGTTACAGTTGGTTACAGTATATTAAAAAACCTTCAACCTTTCAAAAACTCCATACCCAGGCATTTTTAAAATAAGTAAACATGATGCAAAATGAGTTGCTGAACCTTTTTCAAAGAAGAATATTGTAAAAATGAATACACTTGCATGTTGAATTCACTATAACATACCTGAAATATATTCAATTTATTATTCAATCCAGCAACAAGTATAATTTTTGAACTTGGATGAAACTCCACACATTTAACAACAGCCTAGAAAACAAAATTTAGTAACATGTCAGGTTTGAACTAACTGTAGAAGACAGATCCATGATGATTTTTCTATTGTGCACTTGCATGACTTACATCAAAAGGTTTGGAGCAGTTAGCATCCTTAACCTTCCCAATCTCAATTATTCCTTTTGGAAGATGCTCTGTGCTCTTTGAAATCAAATATCCTGCATGCTGGAGTATCTCGTTTTCGTCCTGGCTATCTTCCTGATCTCCTGACTGTTTAGCGCTTGTTAATGTTTGACTTGGCCATGCTGGAGCACCATAGATTTTTTTAAATCTGAAAAAAAAACATTTACTGTTATACAACCAGTACTAATGACACTTTAGAATATGCCAGATGTAAAATCTAAGGACTAACTGTGTTTCTAATTTCTTCTTTAATGTTTCACCAGAAATAGTATCATCATCTCCATCTTTAAATTTCTTTAATCGGTTTGCTGAAGATATGTCAACCCTGAAAAGAAAGAATAAAGTAGGCATACTGGAATGGTTTTATAGAACAATGATTAGAAGAGGCATTCATAGACCTCATAGAAGACACTGCTGCAAAGTGGTGACTGCAGATGAAATGTTTACACTGACTGTATTTGACATATTACGTAAATCAAAATTGGGAAACAAGGTTGAATTCTGATTGAATCTTAGTACCTGACATTAGAATCATCTTCATCAACCCATGCAGGTGTTTTCTCTTCCAGAATATGTCCTTCTTGATTTAAATTATACAGTTTCTCCTACAATATTGTGCTATAATTTACTCTAACATATTATACCAGTCACATGAATGTAAAAAATCACCCTCACATTCACTACAATAGGAGAGCATGATTTAATAAATTATGCTGTATGTTTATATAATTTATAGTCTGTCAGTCAAACCTACCAGTTTCAAATGTCAACTTTATATTTATAATTTATTGCAAGCTAAAAGCGTTCGTTGTACTCCGTTTTATACAACACGGATTATGACGTACCTGTATATCGTTATCAAGATGGTGTTGGTAGCCAAATACAAGATTTTCTAAATCATCATCGTCCTCACAACGTTCGGTGGTGAGACGGCCATGCTTCTTGGCTACAGCCTCAACAGCCTCTTCGTGATCAGAACTCCCGAGCTCTCTTTTAACCTTCCTACGTAACATCTGATGAAGTTATGTTGTTACAGAAAATCATCCATTCTCTTTGCAAAGTTCTGCTTAAATAAGTTTAAAATCAAGTGAAAAATTGAGCACATGGACAGTATTCTCTGATTTTCTTTTCCAAACAATGAAAACAGCTTGCAGTAGGCAAAGTCATGTAACATGAACTATTGTGGATCATGATTGTTTAACTGCTCTCCTTCCACCCCCCTGTGATCAAAGTTTCAATATTACGCCGGCTGTATGTAATAATAAAAACTCTCAAACAATCTGTCTTGTTTGGTTTACTTTCTAACAACTATTTCTCAACCTGTTTTGGATAAATTTCACTTTGAGGTGCCATCAATAATATTAATAATCAGGGCAGAACTAGGTGGTAGCACTTGCAGGTCATTGTCAACTATCCCCCCTTTTTATAAGAGGCAAAGGATGCCCTCTCAAATTTCAATGTAGAGCATTGCATGCAATTCTCTTAAGAAGATGCCTTAAATATGGGCCATGGCTCCTGAAGAGAGCGGAAACACCAAGGGATGACTGCTGAGCACGCAAGGAAGCATTAGCGTATTTAGCGCCACGCCAGCAAAAGAAGGCCGTGGTCTGCGAATTGGACAATTTTTTTTCGTGTCGCGGTGCACCCTCTTGCTATACGTAGAGCACAGTTTGGTTACCTCAACTAAACCGTCGGTTTAGTGTGATAAGGTGCAGACATTATGGATGGTCAGGTGCAGGCAATGCATGCTCACGTGATGCATACCTGAATCCAAATGACTGGTAGTAGTGCCAGTGTCGCGGTCATGTCTGCACCTAACTACCCATACGGGTAAGTATAGTGACATTCGAGATCAATTTACACCTCAAAAACTGATCAAATGCTCTCTTGACTTTATGAATTATGCTTTCTCTGGATGTGTTGCAAGTGCCACGTATTCGCCGTTAAAACTTGGCCATCTTTGCTTTGAGTCCCCCCCAGTTAAGATAGTCATGCTATGCCCCTGTAAATCTGTGACACGGTTTTCAACTCATTACGGAAATAATGTAATATTACCTACAAATAGTTACAAATTATCAAATGTCAAGTAATATTTGCTACAGATTATCAATTGTAAACTCAACATATAGTTTCAACCTATTTTACAGCATTACCATAATAATCTAAAATAGATATAGAAGTATTTTGCTCTGCAATGTTGATTATTATCTCATCTATAATAGAATTACAGTTACATAAATCTAGATAACATAAGCGAGGAAGCCTCTGTGGTATCTCTTTAAATGGTTCCCCAGTAAGTTCGTGAACGCCAGTTAATATAAGTTTTTGGATGTTACGACAACAATAAACAATGTTCTTTAAGCCTTCATCTGTAATATACCAGCACCATGAAAGGTCTAATGAGGTTAAATGTGGAGAACTGCAGGAAATAATAAAAAGTGAAATTGTATAAAGCTACAAACTTACAACAAAATCTTAATCCATTGCATCTCAAAAGAAAAAGGGAGCAAAAACCGAATTTCAACATTTTACGCAGTTTTTTTTCATATAACTAACAGAGTCTCTGGCAGAGAGTAATATGTTGTACATATGCTTCCAAGTAAAATACATTCAACTACATATGTTAACTGGGCAAATAATCTTTCATGCAACCATTCTTAAGGGGGGTTCAACTGTTGGTAAATGAACCCGGTTATGTTATGTTCAGTTATGCAAGACCTGTTCATAAAAACTTTAATTACCAAATTTCATTTTTAATGACTAATGACTTACGATTGTGTTATCCAAAAGACCGCTTCATCATTCAAAGCTTGGCAATCATAAAAGTCCAGGTGATACAATCCTTTACAAAGGTTTTTAAATAGAAAAATAATTCCGTCTTCTGAAAAATTCTTTCCCTTTCTTAAAGCTAGTGAAGTAAGGCCTGGCATCTCGGCAATTATTCTCAATGTCACATCTGTTAACTGTTCACAGAATGATATTTTTAAAACTCTAAAATACAAGACATGAAGTAAATTAATTAATTTAAAAGATATATGCAGTATATAATTTTTGTGGCTCTGTGTGGAAGTGTGGAGATTTCCTATGTTAACTGATGTGTGTCAAAATTTTCGCTCATGTGGATGAACAAGTATTTGGTTACCGCGTACATACTTAATATTATGACAACATTGTAGCAGCCTCAATCCGTCATCTGTCAAATTTTCCCCATCTAGCCATAGATGTTCAAGTGAATGTTGACAATTATGCAACAAATGTTCTACAGCTTCATCGCTGATCCATTGAACACCATCAATATTCAGATCCCTGAGACTCCATTGACTTATCATAATCACAAACTCATCGGTCAGGTTGTTGCAGTAAGATATATTGAGTTTTGTTATATTCATTTGGTTATTAAGAATAGGAAAACAATCATTTGTAATGTTGCACTCTTCCAAGTTTAAACTATGTATATTGCGGCAAGAATCAGAAAATATCCTTAAAACACTTTTATCAACCTGACTGCAAAATGCAAGCGACAGTTCATTAAGGTTTGGTATCAGAGATGGGAACTTCCAAGATAAATCATCTTCGTGTGTAATGTCAAAGCGGTCCAGCGAAAGATATTTAAGAGCTGACTCATCAAAACAAAATAGACGGCGTACTATGTCATAAATTGAATGATTTTTCAATTCTTGAACGTCGTCTGATGTCAACCTGGCCCACAGGTTTCTATCATATGAAATATTACACCATCTACGGCAAACAAGTCTTATTGTACACATCAACTTCTTTACAGTGAAATAAAAGAATATCTTTACCAAAAGCTCGTCAGGTAAGTGGTTTATAGTATCTTCTTCTTCGTAACTTTCCATTTAAAATTCTACATCGACACTCGATATAAAATGTACGAGAGCTTTTACTAGCCATATTGTTTATATTTATGAAATCTATCGTTTAAACGAAGTATACCAAACTTTTAGAGTATTGCCGCACAACAACAAACACGGAGGCTCGGATGGTATTGGGGGTTAGGAAATCGGCGCAGTGGGACCAAAATTTATACCAGGGGTGTGAAGTCTAACTAGATTTGAGCAGCTTTGGTTAAAAAATTTGCATCTATGGTCCATTATATGGCCACACTGAACTGGCGTATCTATTGAAATGAGGTGCGTTGGGGCCCCCTACGATGTGTTTTAAGGTGTTTTCTACCTTTGAGTATGTATAAAGTCGATCTTTGCCACGCAGTAGTAAGCACTGCTCCACTCACACTAAATCGGAATCAGTGAAGTTGTTTAATAACAGTGATTTCGCTATATGCGATAAAAATTCTTATTTGTTCTAAATTACATGCATGTAAATTAAAAGTATTGCCATAATTCACGTATTTAATAGTTCTTAAATTCTGGTATCATTCGATTCATTCGGTGTATTTTTCAAAATTTTGTATCTTCAAGAAAATATCTAGCAGACGTTCAAACAGAGGCAATGGTCAAGGTTGACCGTTAACACGACAGCGTCTAATTTGTGAAGCACGATATCAAAATGCAAATAAGCGCATGGCGGGCAAAGCAGAGAATAATATTCACATTACACTAACGCAAGCTTCTTGTTTTCGACAGATCACGGTATTCAGTCAACGTCCATTTCATTATTTTGTGGATTTTCGTCTTTTACTTCACTGTCATTATTTTCCTCAGCCTCAGGTTTATCTTCAATCGTTTCATCGTTGTTATCCTCCTTCTCTTCCTTCTTCTCGTCTTTCTTCTCGTCCTTAGGTGGCTCTTCCTTTGGTTTAGGTTTTGGTTTATTCATAATAGGTGTGTACAAACTTTCAAATTTCTACACAATGTTAACAAACAATACATTAAAAAAGAGAGTACTGTGTTTTATACAAACAGTACATTAAAAAAGAGTGTCACAAATAAATTATTCAGGATGAAAGGAAAACGGTCATGACATTCTGTAAGAGCGACCCAATACAAGTCGCCAAAAAGGTTTTTGTACGACGGTGTACTGCAGTCTCTCCAGTGTACAGGTAGCCACATGAACAATTCGTAAATATTAACCGACTACAACAAATTCATGAACCTTTTTCTCCTCTTGTATTGCAGCTGTTAATACAGCAGGTGTTTCATGAGGTTCTTGCTTGTTAACTTTATTCCAGACTTCATCCAACCATTTTTGCTTCTCTGAAACAGCATCTTCGACTTTCTTAATTTCATTAGCTTCCAAGTGATCATATTTCTCATCCTGATTCACAGAGTTAGAAAAGAGTACCACAAATTCAGCAAGATTCTAATATTGATATTTCATTGATCATTACGATAATCATCACAAACACGAACCTTTTGTTTGTAAAGATCCAAAAACTTTAGACACAATTGAATCTCGTGTCCGAAAGACTCCAATGCTTGAGGCCTGGTTTTTGCTTCATCAAACCGTAGATTTATAGGATCACCAATTTTCTAAAATTGATACAAGATTTTTTATTCAAGATTTTTTGTGCCGTCATAATTTATCATTACCAATATTTTCCAGCCTAATGTTCATCATGCATAGCTCCAAATTTTGCAAACAGTACACTCCAATACGGAGACGTGACACTCAAATACGGAGACAACGACGTCTCGTTACGAAATCATTACGAATGACTAGCCGTACTTTTAGTGAATCTAATTTTCCTTGATAAACGCTCTTTATTTGGTCTTCCCCTTCATCGTATAACCATTCTTCGGCGTCATCCAATTTCGTTACAAACGATCCCCTGTCCTGGAAAAAGTAAACAAAGAGATCAAACTAAAAGTTTAAGAGAGGGTAAGAGAGCATCACAAAACAATGACTTTACCTCATCAGTGACAAATGTCTCATATTCACTATATAATTTACTTCGTGTCTGAAGAACATATTCCTCCAGTGCATTCATTGCATGTATACGGTCATTTTCTTGTCGGTCACGGGATATTAATTCATTCTAAAGAATGCAAAGCAATTGCAATCAAGAGACCAATCGATAACTGATACAATAATTTACAATTACACCTAATAATGGCAAACACTATACAGTGCATGGCGAAGACGAAGCCGATTAACAAATAACAATCACCTCCCGCTCAACAACTTTGTTCAAATCAACTTGTGACAGAGATGATACGAAATGTTCAACTTGAAGATCGACTGTTTTTGTCGTTGGCTTCTTTTTCTTTGAAGATTTGGGTTCTTCTTGTTTCTTAGGCGTCTCTTGCTTTTCTGCGCCATTTGTAGCTTGTTCTGTGGTGTTCTCCGACATAGGTTCACCTTGATCAGTGTTGTCAGTATTAGGAGCAGGATCTTTTAACCCCTGAGAGGAAATATTATCAAAATATTCAAAATGTGAATTTCAAGACCAGTATCATGCACCTGTTGGTGGCAACACGAGAATTGCAAAAGCAAATATTCCTGTGAAAACAGAATATATCCTAATGCATTAAAAAATCTGAAGTGAATAAGTGATACTGTAGTTCAGGTTTAAATCGTTTCAAGTGTACCTCGTCTGTATCCATAGGTTGTCGTGTATCCTCCTTTTTCACATCAGGTTCATCTTCACCCTAAATTATCAAAAGCAGCAAATGAAGCGATGGAACATCGCCGTACGCTAATCATCAAGTGGTAGTTTTCTGGTGATAATCAACACAGGTACACACGTGAAGTAAACTAGCGCGCTACCTGTGGTCCATTTTTCACACCATCTTCTGCTGCATCGGTGACATTCTTCTCAGGATTCTCAGTTTCCGCCACAGGCTGTGTTTCCATCGGTTCACAAGCAGCTTCGTCGTCGGATGGAATCTTTTCAATCATTTGCGCCTTAGATACGTAGAAGATACCATGAATATCCATACGAATCTTTACTTTGATCTTTGAAGATTCACCATCCTTTGTTGGAGTCACATTTTTGACTGAAAATCGACCTTAAGGCAAGTAAAACAAAATAATTTTCACCGCTAAAATATTCGCTTGAAAAAAACAAATGATTTTGAAGAAAAAATCGAAATATACCTATTAGTGCCGGAGAGTTTTCACGTAAGTAAAATGCACTCAAATCAAAAGCTTCTCTTCTATAAAATGTTAGTTGCTTAAGGAAAGGAAAAGCGTGGCCATCATCGCAAACGTCCATTGACCTGAAACAAAAATAATCCTTTCAATGCGTGTCATCATTGTATGATGGAGTGTGTCAATGAAAATAGACAACAGAATTAAATGGAAACGGTTAATATATGGCAATGTGGCTATTTACCCAGAATCTTCTCCTCCAACTGAGTCCCACGTGAGTTTGATTGGATAGGAGGAAACATCCTGTACGTTGAAATCTCGTACACGGAATGCCGGCGATAACATTGCACACTATGAAATAAAATATACAATACAAGTTATTTGACAACCCGAGCACTATTCGAATTTATAACATTGTTACGACATGACGTTATATAAAGTGAGCATTTCGTGAGAGGAAAATTGTGAAACAAATAACCTGCAAGGAACATCCTCTGGACACGGCTTCATCTGTATTCAAAGTTGTACTAGTTTCTTTGTTGAAAACGTCACGAATGCGATTCTTAACAGCGGGTATTCGGCTTGATCCACCGACGATCTCCACAGCATCCACATCTTCTTTCTTTAATCCTTTTAATGACATAAACACAAATTAACACTGGTATTTCTAAGTCGAGATTGCCTTGGTCATCGTGGACTGTCCTCATTAGCAATATTCTATTACATCAACCAGCTTGACATGATCATGGCGACAACATGGAACAAGGGCATTATACTTCAGTTGTTTCTGAAGATCAGTCATCACTGTCATCTAATATCGATTTAACACCAATTTAAAACAAACCTGAACGCTGGAGCAACTGTTTTAAACAATTTTCTACTCTTATGAATAACGGTTTACACATTTCTTCAAACGTTTCTCTAAAAATTGACACAAGTTCATACATTAAGAGAATTATTCTGGCGTGAAAACATTAAGCATAATTTATTGTCAAGTTTGGAGTTTTTTCTTTTTCAAATAACAGTCTTAAAAAGTCACTTTTCTTGTCATGCGATTTGAAAGCTTCTGGTTTAGAGCTTATATATGTAGACGGCGAAGGTGGCCGCGCGTGATCGACATACAGCTACTGTACAATGCAACGTTCGCTGGACCGCATTGACCGGTCTGTTCGTCCATTGCAACGTCCGGTGGCTCAGATTGACTATAACTATACTGTATGAAAGTCCGTTTCACGCTTATGTGCGATTTTCTCTTTTGGTAGATGCATGTGAACGAGTGAATTAGTTACGAATGTGAAATAGAAGCTCGTACACATCAGAGCATTAGAAACTTATTACTCGTTGACATCTATCAAAAGAAGAAAATCGCAGCAAAAATCCGAAGTGTAAACGGGCCTTGAGCCCTTGACGGTTCCAAGAGGTCTATATACAGTAGCTATTTAACTTAGTATATACTTAATTGCAGATTCAATTTTGGAATTTGCAAGGTAAGGATAGTACTTGAATAAGCATGAATACTAGGAATTGTTGGCGAATACCATACCCGAGATAAACCGACAGTTTATCCCAAGAGATTAAAAACACATGTCATGTTTACCGTTTCATCCTTCCAACGACATCTTTATCATCAACAAAATTATCAATAGCCATGGGTATTTCAACAGAATTAGAACTCATCACTTTCTTTAACTTCTCACACTCCGCTTCAAGTCTCAGATATGCTTTTTTGTTCCCCTTTACGTCAATTTTATAACGGGTCTGAAGAGAAATCGATCCGTTTTGGATAAAATATTTCGTTTCTAGGGTAAATTACCACTGTGGTGAAGAAAAATATTTGCATGCAAAAACTAGGCATTTCCATTTAAGGGCTTTCATCTCCAAGAAATGTAACACAGACTGTCAACTTGACATAAGTTAGCATCAAATGTGGTATAACAACTGCCTAAAATAGACAAAACACTTCTCGAGTTAGTATGATACTTACTCCCCTGACGAAGGCCCTCCGGTTGAAACATCGAGAAGTGTTTTTGTCTATCTTAGGCAGTTGTTATATACCACATTTGATGCTAAGTTATACAAAATGTAGTAAAATAGTTTTATATAACCAGCCCCAGAGCACTAAAATATGTAGATAGTTACCTTAAAATCATCACAAAAGTGTTCCACCAGTTTTTCATCAAAATCACGTCCACCGAGACTAGAATCCGACGCTGTAGATAGAATCTGTATGGAAAAGATTTTGAATATGGTCCAATTTAACTGAATGCAAGTATATGTTATAACAAAATGCAAGTATATGTTTATATGTTTCTAAATCATATACCAGTATCTAGAGTCTAGACATTTGAATATTGCCACCTTAAGTTTTCCTTTATTAAAAGCTGCAATTGATGTCTGCAACGAGGCATGGCCAAAATCAATAAATGCAACATTTCTTGACTTAGCATTCTCCTCAGGAAGATCTTGTTTATATATACCATACGCCAAAGCAACTGAAAATCAGAATTTCACATTTCAATACATGTACATACAAAATCATACCTAAAGCTGACACATTTATGTCATGTTTCTCTTCATTTATATCTTCTTTATATTTAATAATTCATATCAAACTGAGCCTAACTGCTTTCTGAGATTACATTAAATATCAGTGTACATAGTAACAGAGGCACTAATTTTGGATCCACTTAATGCAGACTAGTTCCTTTTATAAAATGTAATACACACAATATACCTGCTGTTGTATCATTCATTATTCTCAGACAGTTTAAACTTGCTGTATGGGCTGCATCAAGCATCGCCCTTCTTTGCTGATCTGTGTAGTAACATGGAACCTAAAACAAGAAGCAAAGTCATTCTTGAAGTAAAATATCTAATTAAAACATATTATATTTGGTGGGTACAGTAACTGCAATTTCACCTTACCAATGCTAACTTGTAATTACAGTAATCATAGCCTGCCTACATGTGTACCCTTACCGATATTACACAATCTGCAACTTTAGTAGAGATAACATTTTCTGCTGTTGTTTTAAGATAAGTTAACAACATTGCCATGACTTGCTCCGGGCTAAATATGGATTCCTGCCCTAGACATTGGACCTATATATCATAAATAGTAAGACTTAATTATATACATTTTCAGTATTAATATTTTTGCTTAATTAAAAAGGATAATGCTTTATGTACATGGTATGCATACTGAAACTAAGGGAAAAACAAAAAAGATACTTTCTTATTGATGCCAATAATGATCATGTTATGTTCATAATGATTCATGACTTGGTTCACGTTAATTGGAGATTTTCTATGATTCAGTGTTGGTGGGCAAATATAAAGAAAACAAAGCTCTTTGTGTGTCAATAACCAATACGATTGGCCATCACTGATTCACAATTAATGTGAAGCAGATATAGATATATTTCTCTTTAAACATATTTAGATGTGGGGTTAGAAAGACAGATACAGTACATTATACCACAGTAAATGAAAGTTATGTACCACATATGTATTGTGGTATCAAGTTTCAATTTACTTTGATCATTTTCATACTTCTAAGAAGAATATTTCACTTTTACTTTCATTCCAAGAATTCACTTACTTTGATTCCAATCTTTCCATCAGGTTGTTCAACAATGGTGTAGGGAATCATCCTTGTTTTCAGTTCATGCTGTATATCTGCATCAGAAAATTTCTTCCCAATCAATCTCTTGAACTGACTCACAGTATTCCTCACATTTGTTCGTTCCTGGTGATAGATAATATTCGGTATCCTTAGTTTTAAATTGAAAGTAAAAAAATACAACCCAAAGAAAGTTATAAGCTATATATACATATATACATACCAAACTATATAATTTTTAATTATGACTTTATTGGACAAGCTGTTCAAGATGTTCATTACCTGGTTTTTAGCAGAAACTCCCAAATAGCGCTGCTTTTCACCAAAAGATACATAAGAACTGAAAGCATGGAGAGTACAAGCTAAAGTGAGTTAAGTCAGTGTACAAGACTGTATTTTCATGATTTTTAAAAAAATTTGTGCCACCTGTATTAAATATTGAGGCCTATACATATTGATTTCCCTCTTACTGGCAAAACAACAAACCCATTCAATATCTCCATAAAAATTACATACATACATGTCCAACTACAAAAATATAAAACTGTATATCACACAAAAAAATTAAATCTTACGGTGTCCGCCTATCACTGTATTCATTAGCTATAGTTTCAATTCCACCACCTCTCGCCACCGCGATAAAACAAGACTGGTTCCCAACATCAAAACCCACTACGGACATCTCTTATATAACTTTTGGTAAGCGTATTTACTGGGTTTTTAAAGAAACTCTTCAAAGCACGTGTCAGTCAACTGATATTTCAAAATTTTAAACTTTCAATATGGCAGGCAACTGAGGCAAGTTTAAATAAGAGGAAGATGTTGCAGCGGTCTCGTACCCAGGCCAGCGAAAGGTCAGTGACCCAGGCACAATACAGATTATATAGACCCTTAATTCGATAATTAAGTCAAAACATTTAGAACCATTTCAAGTTTTACTCTCACAAGCCACGTGCAAAGATGCAAAACATCCTTCTTCAACACATGAATGAGAAAGAATTTTTAACTTTGACAAATAAGTGTGGAAATAAGCTGTAACACTAAAACGAGGCTACCAGCCCACGACCGGAAGCCTCGTTCTCGAGTTATGGCTTATTTCCACACTTATTATGTCAAAATGAAAATTTTCTTTTCATGCGTGTGTCGAAGAACAATGTTTTATATCCTTGCACATAGTTTGTGAGAGAAAATCTATAGAAATCCATCTTATTTAGGGTGGTTCTAAATTTATAACGATAATGTTGTGACGTAATATCGAAAGGGTCTATTTGAGAGAATTTATTTGAGAGTCAGTTTCTGAAGTTTTAGATCAGATTTTCAGTTTCTAACAACAGTTCAACTTCAAGAAAAAACAGACTGTACGGCGTCCAGTATTCAATACATGTATCTCGTATCCATAGTTATGATCAACACAAATTACACAATCCTTTAAAATGAAAGGTCATCTTCCCCTCTCTCCTTCTTTCGCCAGCTAGCATAAGGGAAGCTTCCCTGCTGTTTCCAGTATCGGAGCAACTTATTCTGCTGTAGCCTGCTCTTAGAGACTTAGACTGAATTAGTGGGCCCGTTCTGCTGCGGTTATTGGCTTTTATTAAACAGCAGTGGCTTTCATTAAACAGCAGTGGTATATGTTATATTAAACAGCAGTGGTGATTTTTCCTCCTTTTTTTTTAACTTTTTCGGAGTTTTTTTAGCTTTTTCTATGAACAAAACTATCAGCGAAAAAGTTCAACAAAAATTCACTAACAAATAAAATGATGGATGATGGACTTATGTATAAAAAACAAGAAAAGTTCTGGGAGATTGGGTATGATTTACATAACATAAAATTCTACTGTGAAACATGATGCTTGACAGTAGCGTGCCTGCAGCCTGTTAAAATAAAAATGATGTATTACTAATTACGAACAAACATAACATTCTTCAAAATCTCAAGTCAAATGCGTTGATTTTATCGGTCATCATCCGATTTAGCACTGCTTCTCAATATTGCGTTATATCATACGATACACAATACTATAACTAACTGGATTCCATTAACTTAATTTGTCTGCGACTCACTTTATGCCAAGAAAAGGAATATCGTGACAAATCTCTCGACAAATCTCACTCTAAAATATGTGGATAGTGCGTCACGTTTAAACTCTTTACCCGCTGGAATCGTCAAAGAATTGACTGCTTCAACTCCGTGCTGCTGGATCGACGTGTGTTTGAGAAACTGTAAAAAAGAAGAAAGCTGCAGAAAGAATGCCGGTGGTCAGCGTAAAGTGTAATGTTTATCAGGAGGCTTGCACTGAGGCACGCAGATGGATCGAGGTCAGTCTTTTCGCCTTTCTGTTAATTGATTATGGGTCAAGTATCACAACGCCGAATTAAAACAACTTTTTGTTTTATTAAAGGAAGCAACCAAAATTATATTCCCGTGCGAAGATTTTCTAGAATCTCTAAAAAATGGCAGGTTGTTATGCAAGTAAGTGGATAGTTGAAATACCATCTAAGATAGTGTCGTCTTTCTGATATCGATTATACTTTACTTATAACAAGCGGCATGAACTCGTTGACCACAATTAAAATTCCGGGGATGTAATCTTTCACACAAACGTTTCCCCTCGTAGCTTTGTAGCTACGTATTTTCAATATAGGGCCTGATTACTTTTTAATTGTCATTTCATTCATTTGACTTAGAAATATTTGGATTGATAAGGTAAAAGTAAACTTTTTCTTGTACAATAATACATCGTATTAAAATACCTTTAGTTATCAATCATTATAAGCCCTGTAATCTATATCAGTACTCGAGAATTACGACAAACATAACTTTCCTACGTTTTCTTAGCTCTTTCGCAACTGTAAACTTGCATCTTCATTCCGCAAGTTCGACTTTCTTCTCCATGCATGAGGCTTAGAACTGATATTACTATGATGCAAATTAATGTGTTAATTCAACACATTTATTTTCAATGGACTTTGAATCTCCCATTCGGAAAATTTTCCCGCCATACTCAGTCTCTTTCCCTCCACCCCCCTCTACCCCCCTATAAGTGCCAAGGTTAGGCCTTGGTTCGATGATGCTAAAACTGAAGTAGCTTGAAAGACAAAACCTTTTCCTTGTTAATTTGTTAAGCCTCGTGGAGAAACTGAGTGGCATTAACGTTGGTCAACTTAATGACATACCACGTTCTTTGGCTTGGATGGTAGGTGTTCTACTTTTCAGTTGTAGACGCAGATTTGCCCGAAGGGCAAAGTAAAGTTGCATTTTTGCCTATGTTCCTCAGTGGAAAGGTCTGACAAAATCTCGGATTCACAATTTCACACTGACAATAAGACCACTCGAAATGGAACTTTTGAAATCTCGTGCATGTATCGCTTATTGTTTCAGTGCACGGTGTCGGACTACAAGCGTCTTGTTTGTCAATTCCGTTGCTGATTCCCCTTCATTATTTTTTAATAAGCATTCGTACATGCAGTTGTTCAGGATAATACTGAAATCGTATCATTAAACTAATTAATAATATAGAAGTTCACTGAATTGAATAAGACCAGCCTCACTAGTTGTGATCACAGTTTATTGACCCAAAGATATCGGGAAAAAAATTTGAACCTATCTTAGGCCTGCGCATGCTCAATGATATGTTACGGTACAATAAGTTCGATGTGGAGAACGAGCTTATGTATAAGAATTAACAAAGCGAGGTGCCGAAGAATGATTTCTTATTTGCATTTTTATTTCTATATATAATTTCAATAAAAAATGAAAAATTTTAAAACACATTCCAAGTAGGAGCATAATATAAGCTAAGCCTAGGAGAACATCGCGATGCTATTAAAAAGCTCGATTCTCTATTTTTGTGTGATCACTAACATATGGTCAGTACTTTTAACAGAGCTGACTGAAAAGCATTTTACATCTCGAAAAGCGTCGGGCCTAGTATTTTCAGTACCCAAACTATTCACAAGTGACCACTATTTTTTATCACATTAATTTCCTTTTTATAGGATAATCTCGTTATATTTCTGAACGTATGTCGCTACATGGGTCTAAAAAAATCCCAGCTATTTCACGTTAGCGATTTAGCTGCTGTTCAAAATCATAATATCCCACACATAATGTAAGTGATATATATCCTAGTGCAAGCTACATACGTGCATGTATATCGAAATTATAACACTCTGACCGCATAGCGCCTGGTTTGATCGTTCACATGCGTTCTAGGAACTTGAAAAATGCCACTACATGCAAGGCCGTGCTTTCAGTGTCGGCTATCTGTATACTACAATAACATTAATGAAGTCCAAAAAAGCGAATTGATCATCGTCTATGACTATGGAATCTCACATGAGATATATTTTCAATGATAAATTTCGCTATATAAGACTATATATATATAGGTTCTGATCTTAGGGACTACTCGAATTATACCCTATAAAAATAAAGTATATAATGTGTGTTTTATTGTCTCGGTGCCGCAATACTTTTCGTTTTATTTCCATGTTGAGGATTGAGAAAAAATGTAAAATTTGCATACACGATCTATTCATGCAAGATATCATACTGCGAAAGCTTTATCTTCAACTGCTAATTTTGACTTTTCATTGTTAAACTCTCAATTGGATAGGCGATAATATTTTATTTTTCATGCTATTGCCAGAAAACAGAGGGAAGAAAACAGAAGATTACGAAATGTAAGTACTTGACTAAGATCTGCATTTTCTGCACGCTAAACAGGTAAATGTGTGACATCTGGCGTTTGTTCATATTGATTTCAAAGTCAAATTAAAGTGTTGTAACACAGAATATAGAATAAAGATCTGCTTCAGCAATTCTCCGGCATTGTTCAACAAGCCTGTGATTGAAAACACTTAATGCTTATCCTCGAAGAAAAAGACTTTTGGAATTCTTTATTATTGGCTTTAATCTTTTATTCTTCTTTGACTATGCATATATAAATAGAAATTTTGAGTAATGAAATTATAACAAATACAGATAAGACTAATACAGAAGACAGACAATACGCTTCATCACTGTTTCTCAGAGGCTTATGCACCAGTATGCGGTCTCGTAGGAATATGATTCCTGTCTGTTTTCTCAGCTATCGTATAACTCTCACCTAGATATGTTGTTGACATTGTTTAACGTTGAATTAGATCCATGTATACACGAATGTATCCAGTTTTTTTAGTCTGTCAGGGCTGCATGAATCACATGATGTACAATTCAGTGGAGTCCAGGGCTGGGGGCTTAATTGCTTGAAAAATAGTGTACAGCGTCGTCTGTGAACGATAACCTGGCTATATGATCAATACAAGACAAGCAGTAACATGCAGTTTGTACTATTATCTTAATTTGTTTTGATTCCTATTTAACTTGTTTTGCATTCAAAACATGTGACGTGCCGACTTTCATGATTTTTCTTACAAATTCCTAGATCAAAACGTCGAATGATTATTTATACATATTGGTATAGCTTATATCAATTGCCGTAAAATATTGGTTTGGAAATACTTTTATTATCACTCCAGCTCACCCTCCCCCCGCTCCATAATTTAATTAATTTGACATCCTATTCCCATTCGTTGTAACAGCAGCAAATGACCTTGAATACCTAGCGACAGCAATGTAAACACCAGTTTAAAAACAAGGCTTGCTGTTATTATTAAATGTTACTGTTAATCATGTTAGTAGTCTTTTCCCTAATGATGGCATGATATTCAATATACCCTATAGTATGTTTCCAAGGCCCATAGAAATAACTAACGGCGTAATGCATGGAATGCGCGGGTTGTACTGGTCAAGGATGGCGAGAGGAAGGCTTGTGAGGGAAAATACCCGTGATTCGGAATACTCAGAATGGGCTGAGCATAATTTTGATTCGCTGTATTTCATCAAGTTTAGCAAAGTATATACGAAAATCGGCCAGAAGAGACAGAAAACGTTCGCGATATCAGCAAGAGCATGAGCCCCGGGGCCTGGGCTGGTTCTTGCCAGCCTTGAATCAACATCGAATGATCGATGCATGTCTTTTAGTAATCATCTTTTGTAAACCCAGGGCCATGTGCCGATCGAAGGTTCATTAGGAGGTTGGGGGGAGGATGAAACCCCCAATTTTTCCTAACGTCCGGGTCCCTCAGGCATTTGATCATCCCCACCTTCCCCCACCCATTCAACCTTTTCCCACCGACCGTCTTAATGAATGTCCTATTACTGACAATGTATATCAGCGTAGCTACATCAGTACTTACGACTGACAAATATTTATCAGTTTTCTTCATTATTATATGGGCTAATATTTTATTCTTCTTTAATTCTTAACTTCTTTATTATAGGTACTGATAACAATATTTTGGTTGGGAAGATTAGCATATTCGCTTGAGGATTACCGAGGACCATTGCCAAAATTGGACGCATTTGAAACCCTCATTAACAAAAACAGACCACCAGAAATGGTATAGTAGCTATGTTTTAAAAAAACGTTGTGTGGCAAGCTGTGCAAAGACGTATTAAAAAAATGAGGAATTAGAAAATTGATCTTGATTTTTGAAGTGGTTGAGGGACATGCCCCATGGGCAACGTTTTACTACTAAATTATATTTGCTTGATTTCTAAAGAAATCTGCATGGATGGCCTCCTCGAAGTCCGGATAAATTTAGTAATGCTCACCACGATTATGCGGTCGTGAAGCTCGTTGAAAAAGACTGAAAACAATTTTTGCCGGTCGTGACTATCTTCACACTTTCGTGCAGCTAATCACTATAATTGTATATTATACAATAAATGATAAATGATAAATGTGGCCGGCAAGATGTAATGTTTCAAAGTAAAATATATAAATCAATCCTTCTTAATGGGTAAGTCGTAAGAGCTGAAAAATTGTGACAGTATTTCTCAGGTCAATATAAAATATGTTGCATGTGAATAAATTTAAGGCTAAAGGCTCTGCAATGAATATTGTTTATGTGCATGTTATTAACCTCCCACGGTTACGTAAATTACTCTAACATTCTTCAGCTGACTGAATTATCATGGCTATTTGAATAAGATCGTTTTATTCATTCCACACGAACAGTCCACAAACATCATCATGGACATGGCATTGTGATATTTATTCGGATGACTCCATTATAAACTGATACACAAAGCCTAAGAATCAATTTTTGGAGACGTAGGTAGTATTTCTAAATTGTCGAGTGCCAATCTCGAGACGTCGTATAATAATTGTTATGATACTGCTATAGTTGGTAAATATATTTATTATGTTATATTATTATATATTTGTTTGTAGTTTATATGTCTGGACTGTATACCATAATCCTGGTTGTCAGTAAGGATCGCAACATATAATAAATCTGTTTCCTAATATTTTGGTGAACGCAAGATATTTGACCTTTTACTCGAATATAGGAATTCACAATAATCTCAATGCCGTCATCGCGTCGACACTATAAAGTTTAGTAATAAAATATCAGTTTTTATGTCCACAAAATTTCAAATGAACATATACGAGTTGATTAACGTAAAATATATATTTTCACACTATATATCTGCATTTACATGCATGTAACAATAGCATGTAACAATAGTCATTTTGGATTTGCTTCGTCTGTATTGACTGACGATATCTGCATGCGTGCATGCATGTTGAATTGTATGAAGTTAATTGATATACACTTTCCGATCAATTTAGATGATTGTTCATTTAATTACATTTGCAGCACTAGCCTAAAATATACAGGCGCAGCATTATTTCATCACATTTTTCATTTATGTACTGTAAGCGAAGTTGTTGTACATGATTCATATAAAATTGTTTTACAGTGTTAAATATGTAATCATAGACATAGTGATAAACAGTATTCAGTATTGATTGATCTCTGTAATAAAAACAAATATATATATATTTTTGTATTTATATATATATATATAATATAAATTATATATATATATATATTTTTTTTTATTTTTTTTTTTTTTTGGTGTAGTATAGAGTTTAAAAGAGTTTAGACATTGTTTTTAACGAAAATGTCTAAAGACAGTAATGTAATGAGCCAACACACACCGGCGCAAATTTTCAATGTTCTCTAACAAAATCACATCTGCATGTATGGTGTGTTCAACTAGCTACTGACGGTTTCCGCTTGGATACCAGGCTGAATTTTTATTATCGAAAATAAACAGCCATCGAACAATGATTAATCAAGATTTAAGAAATGCGTGCTATAAGATCTTGATTTGTATTTATCTCTTGCAAGTTACTTTATATATATTTGTTATAAGAAGACGTTTACGTAAAATTTCAAGGATTTGTAGCAATCGGTTGAATAGAAGACAAAGGCCCATTCCACTTTTGATATACGTCTTTATTGCCTGCCGTAGCCGCCCATGCAGTGGTTTTTGCTTACGAGTTTTAAACATGACGCAGCAAATTCATGGTCAGAAGCTTTCGGTTCGTCTCTTATACTGCACTTTTGCACTGTGCAAGATCCATCCAGGCTAGCGAACGTTTTGTGCAATAATGTATAAATTATATAATCAGTATATATATTAAATAAGTATACATATTATATATTATAATCAGTTATCAGTATATTGATATAATGTACTATCATCTTTAGGTTGACCAAGATCGAAAAAAGTTTGAACTTGATACTCTGAGTGGGTCAGGAACTTGGCCTAGAATAAGTCGTAATCCACGATCCTCGCAAGATTCCAGTGTTAGGGAAGGTTCTTTGGAATATTTTGAACACATGAGACGTCAACTTATCCCACGTCTGACGGCAAATGTCGAACAAAAAGCTGTTGTGTATGAAAGAAGAAAGCAAGGATCGAATCAGGTAGTATGCATTGCGGACTATATATCGACTTGTGCCGTAGTAGTTTCACCTTTTTAATTTGGTCGTTTTTATTTACCTGTAGGGTGAAACGAGGGATGGAAAACATACCGGAGAAAGGCGACGTTCAGTCGGCAATCTTAAAACCTCAGAGAAGACTGAAATAGCGGCAAAACGAGCACACAGCATCGGCGTCTTAAACACGAAAGGCGATCCCACCCAGGCAAGTAACAGAAGCAACATTCCTTTTTACACTGGTTCAATCACAAGACGAACACCTGTGAAAATGAAAGTAAACCAAACACATGTTCCAAAGCAAGCAGAAAAACGTTCGCCTCAAGATCGAGTTAACATCAGCCGTTCCTATGAGCGAACATTCCAATATGATAAAAAACCGATACAAGAAAAAATCCCATCAACACGTTCCAGTGTGGAATCCCGCACCAAGAATAAGAAAGAAAGCGATTATGTGTCAGTGAAAGCTTTGATTAAACAATGGTCAGTTCCAGAGAAAAGAAAAGATCAACAAGACCAACCGGTCCATGCAGGCAAATACAAAAATAGGCGATCGCTCCCAGCCAAGTTTGATGCAAGTGATGTATCGTATGAACGGAGGCAATTGCCGCACTCCAAATCCGTAGAGGAAAATATAAGTTACGAGAGAAAAAAGGATTACATGACTAAGCCAAACAGATCACTGGAAGCTCTTTCGCCTTCTGAGAGAAATCGTGAGTCACGAGGTACAAAGCAAACGTACGTGCTGGAGAATCGGCAGAGAAGAAAATCTGAGCCTTCGAATTTCTCTAAGAGAGAGTGTGAACCAAAGCTCATTGAAAAAGACAAATCATCATTAATGAAAAGTATAGATGTCAACAATGATCACTACCCTAAAGATCAAGTAAAGGAAAGTGTAGTGGAAAAGTCCAGGACTACTAAAGATATGTATGCAGTTCCTCATCTTCGGCAAACTGATGGTAAAAAAATCAAAGGGAACTATTTAGAGCGTCCTCTTACGAAAAGGATATCGCTTCCGGTGTGTCAAAAAGCTGAGGTAAAACATGTTGAAAATTATATGGACCAAAAGTTCATTCAACGACGGGATTTGCAGTCAATTGGTAAATACGCCACAATGCCCGCAAGACAGACAAGGCAGAATAATGAACAGATTACCACTGCAAAGAAAGAAAGAGGTGTTGAAAAAATTGGTGATGTCAATTGGGAAAAGATGAATCAAAAAGCGAATGAAACATCTGAGAGAACGATTGAACATCCTCCAAGAAGATCTTCGACTCAAAAAACTTCGTCATCTCAGCGTCGTTTACCGAGTTATAAAGAAGCCCTTATGCCTTTGGAGGATGCTGACAAAGCCGATGCATCAAAACCGAGTCAATCCGATAAAAAGAAACCGAAAGAGACAGAATACGTGTCAATGAGCCAACTACATCAACGACGAGCCAGGGATAATAAAGGAAAATCATCCACCGTTACCGCGAGAGAAGTTGATTACTCAAAAGGAAAACGTGAAAATTCTTTCAAACAACATGTAACACGTGTACATGCTGCTGATATTGATCGCCCAATTCTAACTTCGAAAGATATGCAGACAAACAGAAGTTATGAAATTACACAAAAACGTCGTAATTCACATGAGAAAAGTGCCACGGGAAAACAAATAGCTTCTTTAACAAATACATCGACAGGGATGTCAGATATTGATGCCAGAAAGTCATCCAGTAAGAAGACGGTAGAGAGAAGCGAAAATAAGGTCAACGTTAAGGACGAGAACAATAATCAATTACCTGTATATGATGAGGTAGCACTCGAAACTTTGTTAACGTCGTCACAACAGATGGGTGATAGAGATGATTCAAGTAAAAAAGGCACAAACAGCGAAAGAGGTTCGTTTGTTAGTCAAGAAACTATATCTGAAAATGACAGTCAGGTACTTTTAAATGAATACGAGTGCTTAAGAGAGAAACATAAAAGTTCCAATGCCCGGGGTGTACAATACATGAATCCAAAGGTAACGCAACCGTCAACAGACCAAGGCGGATCGAATACTCCAAATGTTGTTCATGATCGGGCACTGTTGAAACTGGTTGCTGCTGAAGAAAAATATTGGAAAGACAAGGCTGAGAAGAGAGACATGGATGCTAAAAAAGAAAATTTCAGAAAAGAGAAGGAAGCAAAAAAGGTTGGAAACGGGAAACAAGAGCGTGTTAATGAAATGTTGCGAGAGTTTAAGATGCATGATCAGGCAGAGAGGATTGACTATTCCGAGATAACTGACACACTGCGTGCTGAAGAAGAGTTTCTGGCTCAGGAAGCAGAAAAATATTTGAAGCGAAGATTTCAGGAAAAATCATCAGCCAAACCAAAATTACAACAGGATGTCAATCAAAAGCTCAATGAAAGCCAAAAATGTAAAATCCCTGTTCGAGCAAATCCTTCTGGTTTGCATTCCATTCTAAAAACTCGTCCGAAAAAATCGCCGAGTGTAACTAGTTCCGACGACATTAATTTAAAACCAGAAGCCGACCAAGCTTACCATCATCCTAAAAGGATTTTACGATCAAGATCCCCTGTTTACATTTGCAGCGGTTGTCGTTTGCCTGTAGAAAAAGATATCTGTCTATATGTTGCTGAATTACAGTCATACTGGCACGAGAAGTGTTTCTGTTGCTCAGTGTGTCGTTGTAACTTGATCCAAAATGAACAAACACCAAAAATTCGCGTCATGTTCTCTCGAATTCATTGCGAAAATTGTCTCAGCAACAAAAAAACTGGTTAGTAAACAAAAAATTATACGATTTTGTGTTTAAAACGAGCTTGCGTTCTAAGCAGTGGCGTGGGAAGCACCATAATTAGGGAAACGCATATTTATATATTCATGTTCTCCATGATCAATTTCTTTTCAAACATGAACTGATATATGAATATATGCCTACCCCTGAAATATCGTGCTTTCCTTCCCCCCCCTGTTTGATGAATCGCCATCAATGTAAAGATAGTTTTCTTTACGTATTACTATTTCGAATAAACAATTCATCTAATTGGGCTACTTATGCCCTTTCCTAGGAAATGTGGTACGCGGGAGAGGTCCTATGGAAAAAGTTTACGAGATTCGTTATGAGCTAAAGTCATTGAGTCAAAACAGTTCAGTCAGCTTATATCAATTGAGCTTACAATAAATGTGCATGCAAGCAAATTTTACCAAGGATTGATGTACCTGCGTACTGAATATTAGGCGGATTTAGTTAGATGAGGGAGCGTCAGATTTATCCTATGAGAATTATAACACAATTCATTCTTTCTTCATAGGAGGACAATCCACAATGGTGTAAAGAATCTACCACAACGTACTAACTTACTCCATGCATGCATATTACAAAATGCAAAATATGTAAACACATTGCTTATAACACATTCCCCATATGAGAACTATGTGGAAGAAAAACCTGTGTAAATTAAAATCCTTGCATTCTCCAATGACTGGAATGTACGAACACTATGTTTTAACTGCATCTGTTTCTTATCACTCTTTTGTCGGCTATCCCCGTACCTCAGCTTTGTAAACAGTGCCAATAGAACCTTATTTATATATATAGTCAACAATTTAGGGCTGTTTTCCACTTCAACCGTATCGTAACAAAGCGTCGTGCTCGTCTATGCGTGTGCTTTCGTCATTGAAAAGAGGAAATTCCATTTTCGCAAACTGAAAACAAATGAACAAACAAAATGAAAGAAATCCCCTACGCTCCTCTATACAAAATTCCCTACCCCCTATACAAGAAGCATCGATCCAACATAGGGAAAATTCCCTACACGTGGCAGCCTTGCCATATTGCTTGGTTGCATGATGTAAAAAGTTAATTCAATCTAAAAATTTAAATTAGTATTTCACGTATTTTAAGGACGTAATTAAAACTGCCTTCTAAACAATAGTAATCATTAAATCATATTACTCATATCAAGATTGTTTCAAACAATTTAATGTTTCCACAGCGACATTCATTCTTGAAAAGAGACTCGCTGCGACTTGGATACCAGTTCAATTATCGCTGGCTGGCTATCGAGAACAAACTCGAAGTTCTTTGCAAAAATATTTGAAAAGAAAAATATCAAAGTAAGTTGAGAAAAAAATGAAACGTTGTAAAAATAAGTAATAAAATTAATGTTTTGCAGTTCAGGGCGAGATTGTGATAAAATTATGACACAGTGGGTAGAGAAAAAAATTTATATATTCGTATACATCGTATTTATATATTGTAACAATCCTTTTTCTTTATCTTGTCGGGTTCGTTCTTTGTAATTTCAATTCAGACTATGTTGTTTTGTTGTCGTTTGAATTGCGTGTGACTGTGTCAGCATGTCATGTTTCGTTTGAACAACCTTTCAGCAATGGTTCGCGTCATATGGTTTATCAGCTTTATGTTGGTGCTTGCTGCACTTGGAGAATCGAAAGATTTGTACAGAAGATGTTATCAAGAGTGTGAGAAAAAAAGATCAGACATTGTCATGAACGCAGAAAAGGAAAGAGAATGTATGGAACATTGCAAAAATAAAGCCATAAGAGCAAGGGAAATTTTTGATACAGCAGAAAACGATGCCGAGTACACATCTGATGACAAGAAAAAGAGGGAATTAGATGAACTCAAGCAACTCATTGGATTTCAATATTAAGACAAATAAGACCTCTACATGCACTTGCTTATCATATTGTCAAGAGAACATAAAAATATATCTTTAAAGTACTACATAGTTCATATAGTATTTAAACTAAATGCTGTCCATATACGTAACTACTATTCATGTAAAAGAATAAAGCCAAACAAAATGAAACCGTCAAGCCTGAAATGCTGAAATTCAGAAGGTCATATGACGCAAACATACGTTGTTGAGTAGAGGGAATGACATAACATTCGCTATAGTTTTCGGTCAATTTTCGATTTTAATTTAGGGTATTTAATTGGTCAGTCGCAGAAGCATAATCCTCTCGAACAAATTTATTCCTATCTAAGGGAACCAATAAACAAATTATGGCAATTAATCCCAAATGGTACAGTATCGCAAGATTTTTCATTAACCTGATGTCCTACATGACTATTTTTATGAACATGATTGCCATCAGTTGTCTTAGATTCATCTCTTTTTGATCAACTTTATTAGGTAACTACCAAAAATTGGTTGTTTGAACCACGTTTTCAATAAAAAATTGGTTCTAGTGAATGAATCTAAGGTAACCAATTTAAATTGGTTACTGTTTTTACAGTACAGGTTAAGAAAAGAGTGTATGGAGCTTGGTTTCATGCAGCATCGTAGATTCCAGTGGAGGTGAACTCGAAATTGAGACTTGGTTGGGTCTTTACTCTATGTGTTAGCCTTGTGCTTGGTTGTGAAAATTTCTGCAATTTCATATCAGTAGCCCTCTCAAGGCCCTGTTACATGGTGCAATTTTTTTTGGCAATTCTACTTCTAAGAGATAAAAATTAGTAAAATTTCGTTGTTCCTAAATATACATCTCTCAAAAGTGGAATTGCATTGCAAGTTGCAAGAAAAATTGCACCATGTAACAGGGCCTTCAGTCTGTGCTGCAGCCAGTGGCGAAGCCAGCCTTACGATTTTGTCCCGCTATGTAAATTTCGAAGTATTATAATTATTCATGTCTTTAGAAATCTATTGTTTTCACAGTCAATGAACACTAAAATATTAGCATAGCGGGACAAATTGTCAGGCTGGCTACGCTACTGGCTGCAGTCATCATGAGTGACATACAATAACACAATTTGTGTATGCAGACCCCTAAAATAGGCAACATTGAACTACCTATGGGAACATCTGCTTCAAATCACAAGTGATTTACAACAACCTTCCTATGATCTCTACAAACAAAGATGATACTGTATTTTTAAAAGCCATTAGGAACCACAACAAATTTTAGTATTAACCCATTATCTTTCAACACATGTTATATTCATATAGCATATATGTCAATGTTTTTGGAAAACTACTGTTCACAAAATGCTTATTGGAATGTAATAAAATGTCAAACAGCATTAAAACAGCATAAAACATGGAAACCAACTTATCTTGAGACTTCACTAACTGAGCTGTCCCCAGACAAGGTTTTGTAATTAAACACTTGGATTAAAAGTGTTCCTAATAACTTGGCACGTACTCTCTTGTCATCATTGCTCATGGAGGACTCTGCAGCAAGGACCACATTGATTGCTTTATCAATAAATGTTGTGCGAAAGGTAGCAATACACGTCTGGCATTTTGCAGCATCTTCATATCGAGATAATCTTACCACATGGCCACACATCAAACTAGTAGCTGTCTCTCTCTTGCAAATAAAACGCAGTAGTGTTTCAATAACCCTGAAACTCCCCAGCACCATTCTTTCCAGAATACGACCTTTGGATAATAATAAATTGAGCGCCAGTTTATCATCTGACAATTTTGGTACAAATTTTCCAATCTGTTCCACTGGGATACGCTTCGCAACTTTATTCACCAACATCGATAGAGCAGCCTGGTCATATTGAGCAGCATATGGCAGTAATTTTAAAGCATTTTCATTAGTTAGTTGAGCAAGTTCTACCTCAGCGAGGCACTGGCTAATAACATTAGCCGCTTGATATTCGTCTGCAAGCTTCAGGATCTCAAAGACGTTCTCCTTTGAGATGTGGACTTTCATCTTAGTCATATTCGCAGGATACAAGAGACGTATAAATTGCAGCATCCACTTGTGTGTTTTCCCTTGTAAAGGTATACGCTCTGCTTTGGCTTCTTGAAATTGCCCATTAAACATTGCCTCAAAAACAGGGGATTGTAGTGCCAACATTGCTTTATGCACATGAAGTTCCACATCTTGAACAACCAAAATAACATCGCTATCGCGCCAAGGTAAAGTAAACGCGCTGTTTTCGTTTCCCTTCGTCGAAGAAGAACTCGAAACTCCCGCCATAGCTGTTTCAATTTCCATAGGAAAAGCGCGAAAATTCGCCAGGCCTGGTTACAACAGCGTTCTCACCTCTCACTTTTAAGGAAATTTCCTTAAACTAAGGAAATTTTGATCTTATTTCACCTTTTTAAGGAATTGTTTGAGGGTTTTTAAGGAATTGTTTGAGTTTTAACTAATATAAAGCCAAAACAATTTTCCCGCCTTTTTAGTAAACTACACTAGGTCTCAGGCTTAATATCTGGGAACCCGGAGATTTAAGGAAATTTTACTCAATCTGAGGAATTTTTGTCCTTAGTCTAAGGATTTCTAAACAATAGGATGTGAGAGCCCTGGGTTACAAAGTTTTTCTTTTTTTCAAGAAAATAAAACTGATTGAAAAAAATGATTACAAAAGTTACAAATTGTAACTTTCCAGGGCTATTTAACGGGAGACAGGCCATATATATGTACATTTGACAATAAGCGAACGTACAAACTACAAAGATATAAGAAATGATGCATGTATCATGTTCACATCTTAGTTCAGTTGCACGCATGTATGCTTTGGTTGATATTTTTTATTTTTATCCTTTTTAGTCCTTCGTAGAATTATTCAAAAATTCTTTAAAAATTCCTCAAAAACCGAAATTCCATAGAAAGATCCTCAAGATTTTTCAGAATTCCAATCTCTAAAGAATTATCCTTAAAAGTGAGAGCACTGTCAACCATATATCATCTATCCTCATCTCCATGTGGCCACTACTGTAGAAAGCCCGGGGTTGGGCAATGGTTAAGCCCATCAATATATATATATATATATATATATATATATATATATATATATATATATATATATATATATATATATATATATATGACTAAATATTTTACCACGTACTTGCACATTGAGTCTTGACCAACCTCGTACCCAACGTAGAACCTCCTCAATGTGTTATGTAGGTCTGTAAATAAAACTCATCACTCGTACACGTAGAAATCAATGCCAATTTGAACTTATCTCATAAAACAAACGAATATATGACTATAGAAGCATCGGAAATTCATTAGGATTTAGTCGATCCTGTTTCTAGAAAATAATAGCCACAGAAAATTATTTTATTTTGGCGGAAGACTTTTGCCCTTCAAAAACATGCAACCAACCAGAATCTGATAAATTATATATATAATTTCTTTTAGACGCCCAATGAACCTCAGGAATTAGGAAATGTTTTCATTACTTACATAGTAGTGATTAAGTAATCCTATTATTACTCCGGCGTCAGCGACGGAGTTGAAAATTCGCCCCGGTTTTGTTTTGTTTTTGGTTTTTTTTTTTTTATTTTTTTTTTATTATTTTTCGTCGTCGCAAGTCTGTAATGGCGCGAAATATACTAGTATTTGAATAGTGTATGTGATCGTATTTATCTACGTCCCAGTCTTATCTCCCAAGAGTTGTGGTGCACAGCTTTGGCTAATTTTCCAATGCGCGATTCGATTTCGCTCGCATGATATGGCAATTCCTCCAAGAGGAACAAATAAACCGTTCTTTTTATGCTGTTCGATTAAGTTTAGATTGAATTGGGGTAAGAATATATTTAATACATGTAGACTCGGTCCTATTTTAATAATATCGCTGCTATTTCGCCGTTTAACAAGATGATGTGGTCGTGTATGGGCGCGTTGACACGTCGCGTAGTTTGCACAGGATCGAAGATTTAATACAACTATATATAAGCGCGAATTCCAAAGGCAAAGTGTAAGACGAAGCGAATGTATCATGCGGTTTATTTACATTTTTGAACAATTGAACTTCTATACTGCGATGTGCTTCTGAATTTTGCGATCGAACATTTAGGTTCGCAAGGCATCTAAATGCGAATATGTATGCGAAACAATACGCGAACTGTATTGTTTATGTTCAGAAGCTCTATATTGAAGACTGGCACGTGCGCCGGAGTTAACGCCAGAACGGCGTCTTGTTGCCTATAAATGCCTCGTCAGCCACCGTGCCGAGAAAAAAAGTATTAGAAATACACTTGTCCACAGCTGTATATATTATTATATACCACCCAAAAACATATCTTTGGAAAGTACGCCACCTCGGCTAATAAGCCTTGTTTTTGTGATTAATGCGTTGGGCTTAGAAATATGTAATAAACAATTGTGTGATTATGTCTATAGTCTGGTTTAGCTTGCTATGCCTATAGCCGTGGCGTCTTTACCACCTGCATCGCGCTGTATGTTCATGCCACTGTATGTTCGTGCCGTTTCATGCTGAGTAATTGTGATGGGTATCATTCTAGCATCGTTCAACGATTGTAATCCCGGAAGGATGTTTAACCGTGTTTTACTCTGAATATTTGTACTAATTGGATGTATCATTATGTGTGACCTGAAGTTTCTTGGTTATAAGACTCTTCTCGAGACAAAGGGAAAAGGCGTGAACGAGGAAAGATTTTAAAACACTGAACTCCGACAACCTGGAGTTGCTCAATTCGCTCACATGTGATTGCAACACTCAATAGATATATATAATATCAGTAAATTATTTCCCCTTGCTCAAGATAGGACAACTAGAAAACATTGTTCCGTACACACTCAAGTATTGTGATTCAATATCGATAGCTATCATGAAGTGATTATCAAAAAGCCATTATTAATCATCTGTCATTTAAGCCTCGTACACTTATACCAATAGACCTTTTTCATAATGACGTCAAGCGCGGAAAGACTGATCTTACACGAAGTTTAATTGGCTCGATAATTTTGTGGAGCCAATCAAATTTCATGTAACATCAGACTTTCCGCGTTTGACGTCATTATAAGAAAGGTCTATTGCTGCTATGCCTATATATACACTTATATTAATTAATTTCCTAAGTCCTAGTATCAATATAACTATGTTTTTCTTTTTTTCAAATTATTCTATGCATAGTTTGACTCATTTTTTTTTACAATTGTTTTCTATAACTTTGTCAAATTTACAGGCCACTTGACGGGGTATGCCAGATCGCTTTTCTTTTTGCATATGCATGACTTGCATGTTCATTTCTGCTTTATTAACATGGGCGGAAATTTTCATACTTTTATAAGCTTGACCGATATTCTAATTGTTTCTTTTCTTCAAGTATTTTGAATTGAACCTAAGCTTGTTTTCCACTTAGCGAAACGTTTTGGCACGAAATGCCCCTATAATAGCGGGTGAGCATTTTTGCGATTAAAATAATATTTTGATACCTATTATCTAAAGATTACTATAATATATATGAATAATATATATTTAGGTTAAATTATTATTCCCTACTTGTTATAAAATGTCAGTCTTTCGGATATTGATAAATCCCGAGGCAAGTGCATCACGGGGGTCCAGATTATCACATGAGAGGAAGTTTTCGACTTCGACTTCAAGAAGCTACTCGACTTTTCCTCGAGTGAAGGTGTGTCAATCTAACCACATTTTAAACCAATATAACGTGACCACCAGTGTGTGGAATTTTCCCCTCTCATATGACCCTGCCCAATGACGCAGAACGCTTTGACGCATCAAATATCCACACAAACATAAATAGAGGTATCTTGTGATAGCAGGCGTTATAATATTCCAACCGCAGCGAAATTAATATTGTCAGAATTGGAACAGAGTACTGCAAAGGTAACTATATATTTTGCTGCTTTTCTTTTTTATAGTGGCGTAAAATCTTTGCATGCATAGCTTAGCTATACGATATACCATAATTGTAATTTTAGCACATTTTAAAACGTACAACAAAAAGGGAATATCATTCTAACACAGTCGCAACAAAAAACAACACTCGTGAGTCATGGCCATAAAAGCTACGTCAAGCGTGAAAATTGGAATCTCAATCAAGCGAGATGAAATGTTCAAATGCATATATGCATGATTTGCCTATTCTTGCTGCTTGCAACAGCTTTCTTGTGCATGGGGATAGAAACTGAGATAAAACACATACCCTGTGACCCTAAATCGATTGACAGACTGGTTAGGTATCTCCCCATAAAGTGAATATAGGCTACGTAAACTTTGAACTCGCGGTTGACAGTATATTGCGGGACGCCGCAGGCAAATTCATATATTTAATATTTGCAACGAACGCTTGGTTCAAAACACTATAGCTCATAGCGGAGAACAGACAATAAAAGTGGAGCTTGAGGGCATAAATCATAGATCTAATACAATTATAACGTGCAGTATTTACTAAACCGCCACAGCCTGAAACCACCATATGCAGACAGTGAATGATCTGTTCTCTCAGAAAACGGCGAACACGGTTTCCTCATTGGTATTGTCTTGCTGCAGGAGAAAAGAAAAACAATTGATTTATCAGAAGATAAAAGCAGACGATATGCGAAGTAAATTGCGTCGTTACTAAATAACTTTTATTTATGATTCAGTTTCTTCAAGTTCTGCTCAAAATGTTCATCGGAAGCTTTATCGTTGTGATTATCTTTGTGAATCTGGATTTATCTACGGCGCAGTCAGGTATCATATGATATACATACTCATACATCGAATAGTGTTAGAAATAATCAAATGCAATGTTGAAAAAGTTAGGAAACAAAAAATGGTGCATATGCCCTTACGAGTTTGGTAAGCTGTTATTGTACCAAACATTTCTCGACCGTGAGTGACATTCCTATATGAGGACTGAGGTCAAATATCATGCATACGACGTTAGAACTTGTAGAATGAACACCTTCAAATATAACGAAAAAATCGTTTACACCTTAGATTATTTCTTAGTATAGAATATAGTAAGAGATTAGAATCACAAGTTTTTCTTTTGATAAAAATCTTTTTACAAGTGCGCAAACACATCAAGCAACCATGTCGTCACCTATTGACATTTTGTTGTTTTTTTCTTTCTATATTTAGACGACCAACTCCCATCATTATGCTGTGTTACTGGTGACAGACGAAATTATCGAATCAACACAACATTTATAACAGCTGATTGTAAATCTAAATGTGTTTGTACTCAAGACGCATATCTTGCCTGTATTCCACTCTGTCCAAAGCCAATCCTAAAATGCCCTGTCGGTTTCATACAGCGCAAAGCTAGCGAACTCATTGTAGCCAAAAAACGAGTCTGTACTTGTCCGAAGTATGAATGTGTACCATTATCAGGTTGGTGTATTATGCATGTTATTACTGTATTGACCGTGCATGATAGTAATTATGAACTTTTAATTGAAGTATAACACGCCTGATAATCAACATGCATGCTTTATTAAATTTCTTTTTTTCATATTAGGCTCCAGTTCAATTTTTTGTCAAGAGGGAAATGACCTCCACAAACCAGGAGACGAGTTCGTCAGAAATTGCCAAGAAAGATGTCGTTGTCAAAACAGTGGTCAAGTAAAATGCGTTTCTTTATGTCCGAATAACAAAGCTTGCATGGTTGATCACACAGAAAAGAATGTGCTGGTGCCAACACCTGACAACAAGTGTCAATGCTTAGTCAAATCTTGCAAGCCAGTACCATATAATGGTAAGCCTTTTACTTTTACACTTCAGTTTTTAGAGCAGTAAAATGTGTTCTTTTATGTTTCAAAGAAAATCGAAATCATTCCTATATATGTATATCTTGCAGTTTGTATTTATGTAATTTAATCTGCTTCCTTTTTTGTATAGACAAGTGCATTGTGGATGGCCAAACATACTGGTCAGGTGATAGTTTTGTGTCTTCCGATTGCTCAAGCAAATGTACCTGCAATCCTGGTGGGAAAGTATTTTGTATTCCGCTTTGCCCACCTCAAGGAAATAGTTGTAAACTCGATGAGCAAGCGGTAATGGTTGAGAAAAGGATTCCAGGCTCTACCTGCAAGTGCCCATCTGTGAAATGTGTCAAGAATAACCGTGTGATATCCGTTGTTGGCCAACATGTCAACCAAGGTAAGGACTGACTAATGGAGATATAATATTTTACAAACTTGGATTTATAACATTTGTTTACCTGAGTAACTCGACTTTGTAAAGCTTGCGCATATATATCACCTCTCGTGGTAAGACAAGTTGGGAATTATACAAAACAGACTGGGGTCGTTAACGAATAGATGGTCTTAGGAAGATGTAAAAAGATGACTGAAAAAACTGTTTTTAATCTGCAGCTACGTTCTTAGGTTGTAAAAATTAGAGCTGAATAATGGTAGCTCCTATCTCTGCTCGTTACTTCATAGTCAACAGAATACTGTTACGATAATGAAATTTCACTCCGGCAAATTTAGCAGTTTTATGTAGTTTTGGAAGATTTTTTCATTAGGTCACTCATTAATTCTATTATATGTTTTATATTGTTACACGTATAGTACCAACACGACAACCAATTCTTCCCAAGTACCAATGTACAACATCCAGTGGAATAACTTTCCCTATTGGTTCAGTTTTCACTGACAACAACTGTGCTTCTCAATGCTTTTGTCAAAATGGTGGCGTAATTTCATGCAACCAATTGTGTTATCCTGTGGTTCCTGACAATTCGTGTACGAATTCTAAAACTGTACAAATTCCAACTGGCTTGCCTGATGCTCAAGGAAAAAGTTGTTCCTGTCCATCCGTGACGTGTATCTGATCCAGTTAACGCTGGAGATCAGACGGAACTAACGGAACAATCATAATATATATTTTAAATAACGTTGTCGACTTTACGCTGTATTTTTGTTTGGGAAATATTGGGAAATATTATATTGATTGGGAAATCATTTTGATTGGGAAATAAAATGTTTGAAACATACATTGAATCTTTCTGGCGAAAATCTGTGACAGCCTATATTTTTGTTTTAAAAAACGTGACATTATGAGCTAGAGATTTCTATGAAAAGTTATATTTAATAAAGGCCAAGGTAGAAGACGGCCGTAGCTATTTGTACCTCTAGCTGGCTTTGCATAGTTGGGTCATGTGAAATTTTTGAATTATTCCGTTCGAATAGTTAGCTACCATATCTGGAAGAAAAACAATATCACTGCATCATTATGAATGCCAATAAAATGTGTTTCGCAATATTTGATATTGTTCAACGTCTTCATATCAAATAAAACGGTTCCTTCTTAAAAATGTTGATTCAGCAGCTGATATAGTATAGAGGAGAAACAATCGGTAGCACAGGATTATTCTACTGACACAGCATATTTCTACTTATTTTTATTCCTTGTCGTAACAATCCTGAACTGCATGCAATTAATGTATTGAATTGAATAAGAAATCTTAGCATAACGTGATGAGAACTTAAACTCTGTGACGTCTTTCATCAGTAAGTACGTCTTCCCCAGCGGAATTGCGTGGAGTGGTCTGTCATTAAATGACTCACCTTGCCAAACCGACTTTTTTCCCGTTTTGCACACTTTTTCTGCATTACAAGGCAAAATTTCTAATAATCGATTATTTCTCTATTATTTCTCTCGCTTTATAACGAGAAGATATTCATATGTGCATTATATCCAAGATTTGTTTAATCTACAAAACAATCATCTATATAATCTAAGATCTCGAGTGTCTGTGTCTTTCACTATATAAAAGACGATGAAAACAGGCCAATAAGATGAACCAGACGACTGCGAACGATGTCGATGATCAGGAAGTCGTATATATATGGTATAGGCAGAGTCTGCATGGCAGACATGAAGACGTGAGCCGGGGAAACAGGAACACGATATGCAGGGCCGTAAAACCGGGTGATATTTGCATGGACGAGATGACTTGACTAAACAAGGTTTACACGTCGAAAGACTTAATTCCACAAGCCTGAAAAAACTGAGTGTTTTAACGTGCTTTCTGAAAAGTTTGAAATGCACTTCATGCATGCATTTGGATCCGTTCCAAGCGCTGCAATCATTGCTAACAATATATAATGGCATATTTTCTTTCAATATAAAGATTTTGATATATCGGTTCATAAAGAAACTTTTGATTATGAGAGAGAAGATTTTGATGACCGAATGGGATAAAATCATTTATTTCGAATACGCCATTTTTATATAAGCCCAATGCATTCGGCCTATTTGCATGCACAAAGTTGCCCACATGCAACCCTTTATATTACCTTTTTATAATTAATAATCTTAATTTAATCATTATATACTTGACTGTGCAAGGGTAGCCATTTCTAGGAGGGTCGAAACTATATGTTTTCCGTTCACATGAAAAAACTCAAGAGCACTTCTCTTAATATTCAATAAAATGTGCCCCAAACTGTTGACGTTTTAACGCGCCCTAACTAATTTCTTTATCCTTAGCAACTAGCATGCACGTTATACAAAAAAAACAACATTTCTCGTTCTTGGTGACAGATAGTCTAAACTCTAAACTAGCTTTGAGCTATAGTTAATAAACTAGTTGTCAATATTTCTTGCATTCAAATGGGTATCTTAGACATCGTTGCCTCATCAATGCTGAATTTCGTGCTGAAATGCACATCATAATATCCTTTCTTGGGCATCCTTATAATCTTAGGGTTGCGCCGGTGACGGAGAAATCCGATGAGTAATGTTCGAGGTTGAGATTCGAGGCCCCTTTTTTTCGCATTTTCAGATAGATAACGCCCTATCCCCTCTGAATTCTGAAACGCATTTGAAACTGATGCGAGAGCCTCGTGACTCTCGACTCCTTTCTTACTCTCCTCCCCTTAACCATTACAAATACTTCAGATATTAGGAAGCTCAATCGCATTAGGAATTAGGATACAAATTTGCATGGTTGCGCGTGGTTTAATAATTTATAGAGCGCATGCACGCATTGCATGGAGAAGAGAAAAAGAAGAGAATGCCGGCGTTGACAGGTTTTTTAAGCATTCAAAAACCAAGTTCTTAATAACCGTCAATAACCCTTCGTTTCCTAGAACGGTTTATAACCAAATCATTCTTTCTCTCGACGTTGTTACCTGAAGATACTCGACATTTCTTCCTCGTCAGTATTAATATATGCAATTACACTGATCCGGCGCTTAGCCAAGTGCTTGTGGGCATGGAACATTCTTCAAAGAACCTGCCCATGCAGTAACGCGCATAATCACTCATCAGTAAATCCGCACTTGTCACATGCCATGATATTTAAATACCCTGACTTGATGCTGTAAAGTACTTTTCACCAGGCACCATTGGAGCAGTGTTCGAATAACGAATTGCTAATCATCAGGTAACTATATATGTTATTTTTCATAGCACTTTTTTTGTATATATGCATGCATTATAAAGCATTTCATTTGTATCTTATATTGTATGGATTTTTCATTCTGCAAATTTGAATGTTATCGTTTTGGGCAGTTTATTACAATAATACAAAAAGTGGATCATTTGATATTCAAACGGGCATCAGCGTGCTCAAGTTGCTTAACTCTAATATTTCATTTTTCCATTTCTATTTTCATTGTCAACGTTATAGTTTACAAGTGCATGAGTGCGTTATAGTTTACGGACTGCATGGGCACGATATTTTATCGATATAGTGGCCTATGATAACTTCCAAGCTCTGCTTTCATCAACGCGTCAATATCATACTTATTTGTGTTATCAGTTTCATAACTGCAAGTATATTTGGTAAGATTGTAGTTCTCAATTGACTTCCGCGGACTGGCACGCGATATGTTTGACCCGGCCGGTCTGTTACAGGCTAAAATGAAAGTTATTTGGAGCATTATAGAGAGAAATATAATAGTTTATAGACAAATATTAAGAATTAAAAAATTAAGGGCCTCTGGTTAGAGTATTGTTTTTCAATATTGTAGAAGATACCTTTTTTTTACGAAACTTTTTCGAACTGGCGGACATAAGTTTATTTTATACCAGGCGACATTTACTTAGAAACAGCTTTGGATCAGCTATATAGGCCCCTACCAATATTATACCGTTAGATGTTAGCCATTCCATTATAGTCTTTTTTATTTTAAATACTTAATTGGTCCCGGAAACCGTTAAATTTTGAACTGTGAATCAGAAACATAGGCAACGAGTCAACGACTTACCGGTATTGAAGAGCAAGTCTTTCTGTGCCGGATCTGATCATTAGACTGTTGACAGGACATGCATGCATATACTAGAAAAATTATCAAGAAGACAATATAACCTATAGGCAAGAGTAAGGAAGTTGATGAGCTCGATGCTCAATGTTCCTGCTCTATAAAGTTTTTAATCACTTCACCGCACGGGTTGGGTCACTTCACAGTGACGTATATATCTATAATTAACGCCCATGCAAGAATTGCCGTTATGGAAATTCATGCACAAAGTCTGCCACATTTGAATTTCTTTGTATAAGGAAGTACTCGACCAGTAGCGAGGAATAGATTGAATTATTCAAGTGAATTAATCGCTCCTGGCGCACGGTTGAGACTGTTTATAGGTCTCTCTACAGTGACGTACACGGGGACCATAATAGAATAATCTTGTACAATATTTCAATAATATACAAGGATATTGCAAGGATTGGTGTTGCCTTTCAACATCTAGTTAATTCATGACGGGATTTTGTGGTTTCCTGCTTCCTATTTTTGATCTGCAATTTCTGATTTTTTATCTGGAAAAGCCTCCACACTCATTTGATATATATATTATAAATTATATATATTTATACATTATATATATTTATAATTATAATTTTGTTGTTTTCACTTCAAGCGAATATATTATATTAATACTGGGTCGGGATAACGTGTTACTAATATTATAAATGTCATTATATTCTCTATGCCTAGTTATTATAGGCATTCATTGTAGCAAGGAAACATCACAAAATATATTATCTGAGATTTTCTATATGAGATACTATTTTTTTCCTAAATGCCGAGCGGATAGTTAACTGTTTAAGCTTCGTGTTACCGTTATATAGTATCAAAATAGTGCTAAAGACGGCAGATAACATAATGTTTTTGTATGCTCTCCCTTGTATAGTTCAGAATGTTTATTGCGGGCTTTTTATTCGTGGTCACCCTTTCAAATCTGGATTTGTCAGCAGCACAGCCAGGTATTTACATATAACTGATTCGTCTTTATTTCAACACCATGTGATTCACTGCGCATGTCATGTAATGAAGTTGCGTAGAAACTTTTTTCAAAAATAGTTATATATATATCCATCTACAAACAATTTCATACAATGAAAACCTATCTGAGCCTAAATTATAATCTTTTGAACTTAGTGGAAGCTTTAGTTTCGCAAGTTTTAACTTATTGTTTGGCAGCAATGCAGCATTGTGGTTGTATCCACTTTGTTGAAGAGGTTTTTTTGCCAGTCGATTTAACGCCTTACAGCTTAATTACTTCTCCCGTAGAAATTCTTTAAGCTTCTTAATATTCTTCTAATCACCGTTTCTTGTTTATAGCCGGACACTTTAGGCACAAAAAATGCCTTTATAGGATTAAATTTATTTAAAAAGCATCGAAAACGACCTCCGTTTTAGAGAGCACAAATACTAATGGGCACTATGCATGAAATTTATTCATGATTAGATATACGCGCGCATGCATATATTCACCGCCCAAAGCAACATAAAGAGAAACTTTCAACAATAATTTGAAATGAGGTTTGGTTCTTGCAACTTTACTAAGATGATGAGTTGCGATGTATTAAAACTTTATTTTAATTGTACAATAGATGCCGAAGAACTCCCATCACTATGCTGTATTACTGGTGACAGAAGAAATTATCGAATCAACACAACATTTATAACAGCTGATTGTAAATCTAAATGTGTTTGTACTCAAGATGCATATCTTGCCTGTATTCCACTCTGTCCAAAGGCTATCCTAAAATGCCCTGTTGGTTTTAAACAACAAAGCGTCAACGAAACGGTGACCCAAACTTGTAATTGTCCAAAATACGAATGTGTACGAATACCAGGAGAAGGTTGGTGTCGTATGTTTCACTATAGCAGTGGCGTAGCCAGCCTGACGATTTTGTCCCGCTATGTAAATTTCGAGTTATTATCATTATTCCTGAATCCTGTCTTTAGAAATTGATTTTTTTCACAGTCAGTGAACACCAAAATATTAGCATAGCAGGACAACTCGTCAGGCTGGCTACATGCACTACCGTTCATTATAGTTTCGTGCACAATATGAACGGATAAACATGTTGACGTAAATGAGGTGGAATACGATAAGAAAATGACCGGAAATAAGTATACATGTATACACGTAAAACATACCTAGAAATTGAAAATGTTAAATGTATCCAATGTCATGCAGTATAATTGAATGATATATATACGATAATATAGCTATACAGATCCTACATTCATTTGGGATTTCAAAAGACGTTCATTGAGCAAGGGAACTTGGAAAAAGACAGCTGAAATATTTGACAAGAATAATTTTTCGAGTGAAAAGTCATCAACATAAATTTTTCTCTTTAATTTTAGCCACCTCAAGCCCAAATCTTTGTCGGTATGGAGGTAAACGCTACAAACCAGGAGATGAATTTACGAGAAATTGCCAAGAAAGATGTCGTTGTCAAAACAGTGGTCAAGTAAAATGCGTTTCTTTATGTCCGAATAACAAAGCTTGTATGGTTGATCACACAGAAAAGAATGTGCTGGTGCCAACACCTGACAACAAGTGTCAATGCTTAGTTAAGGCTTGCAAGCCTTTACCATACACTGGTAAGTTATAAACCATACAAATGTGTAGTATAACTTTTCTTGCAACTTTATTTTGCTGATTGAATTAAAAAAGCTTTTGTTTGCATTTTATTTTGTAGACAAGTGTGATGTGAATGGTCAAACATACTGGTCAGGTGATAGTTTTGTGCCTTCCGATTGCTCAAACAGATGTACCTGTACTCCTGGTGGGAAGATATTTTGTATGCCGCTCTGCTTGCCACAGGGAAATCATTGTGAACTAGGAGAACAAGCAGTAACGGTGCAAGAAACAGTTCTGGGAACTAACTGTACATGCCCATCTTACAAATGTGCCAAGAGCGATAATCACAATTCCGTCGTCGGTCAGGTTATCAACCCGAGTGCACAAGGTATTGTAATCTCCTTAATAGCCGAAGAAATGATTATGGATCGAGTTGATGTTTTTTGCCACCATAGATATCTTTACGTGCTGTATTTTTGGATGAGACCTATACTCAGTTTATCTAAAATAGAAGTGCATTAGGTTTAATTTATATCGAAGAAGATGACTATAATCTCACGTGATGTTCTATTGCATAATGTTTTCTTTTCTTTTTATAGTACCAACACACATTTTTCCTAAGCATCAATGTACAACATCCAGCGGAATGACTTATCCTATTGGTTCAGTTTTCGCTGACAAAAACTGTACTTCTCAATGCTTTTGTCAAAATGGTGGCGTAATTTCATGTCATGCCTTATGCGCTCCCGTGGTTCCCGATAGCTCATGCACGAATCCTAAAATTGTACAAATACCGACTGCCATTCATGATGCTCAAGGAAAGAGTTGTTATTGTCCACACGAGACGTGTGCCTGACCGCACAAAGCAACTGGATTGTATTGAAAACTAAGAACTAGCGCTTAGATGAACTATATATGTTATCATAAAATTTTTCTAAGTGTAAGTAGACTAGGATATATATTATATGATTTGATTTGAGTGACCCGTATAGTACTTAGATGTACTTTTTATGGATTCTGTACATTAATTTTGCTATATAGTAAACGTAACATGTGAAATAAAATGAAATGACACATATTTATGATTACAATTCAAACAATTCCCCAGGATTGTCGGGCGAGTTTCTCGTACATGTGGATTACTTCTCAATGCAAAACCACGGACCTCCAAATGCGAAAATATATGTTCTGTCCCTCCAAACAGTTCATAGATGCTTTGCGGTTCGCGACTAAACCCAATACCCTGCTCGATGGGAAATAGCTAAATGTTGTCGGATTATAAAAGCCAAATACTAGTCTTCTGGACTCTGATTAAGAACAATCTTTGTTTTACACGAAAAAAGCTACCCGTTGGCCGTTGCATTAGTTAACTTTCAAAAAGGAAATGGCTGGAAGTCTGTCCGACACCGTCTTATATAAAAGTTGGTTTATCGATGAGGTCATGAGGATAGGATTCGAACCCACGCCTGTCAATTAGCAGTCCATCAAGGACGGGGGGAGACATATCTTCAAAAAACAAGAAAATGGATTGAAGTCTTGAAATCCGACACCTACTTTAAAGGAGATTTAAATCGACGAGGTTGAGATGGGATTTGAACCCACGTACGCGTTCAGAGCACAATGGATTAGCATGTTCTTAGCATCACCTTTTTTTACTTTTGGCACCTTGTTTTGGGTTGTGTAAATGTTCCTTGCAGAAGATTTCACTGGCGTGTTCGACCTTAGAGTTCAAATCTCTTGAGCTTATCACAAAACTTGTACTGATGACTAGAAATTGATGGAAACACTAATATTGTTTCGAATGGATAGTATTTACCTGAAGGTTATTCTAATTATACAATATACTTTGCGCATTTGGGTTGCAAACCTGGCCAATAACGGAATTCTGATGATCGCCATTTTTGACACATTTCTAAGATGGGCATGCAAAGTTAGTTATCAGAACTGTTTTTTCATTGCACTGGTATTGCTTGTTTTCAAATCTCGTCTTAAAACATAGCTATACCAAACTTCTTGCAACTGATTTATATAACCACGCCTGATTGATTACTCCGTCTCGTGTCTCGTCAAACCATAGGTCAAACACACAGACGACATTAGCAACTGAGGCTCGAACATACCAAAACTGAGTTAAAAATTGTACAAAAACAAGATATAAGAGAATAAAGAGATACTTCGAGAACTGTTGAGGGAAACTTCGTCGACAAGAAACAGTCACCTTCTGTTGCTTCCAGAAAGCTGTTGTTTCAATACTGCACATGTTAAATAGACGTACTGTTGAAAAGAAGGACATCTGGAGGAAATGAGATTACTGATAACTCTCAGACTCAGTAATCAGTATTAGTCATGGTGTGGGATCGAATGTAAAATGCCGAGCGTCCCAAGAAAACTGGTACAAATAATTTCTTTTTGAGACAAAATCCATGCATAATTGAGAATCGATATTCAGTCCTCCGTAGCAAGCATGCTCTTCAGATTTTGGCATTATATTAATTTATATATGGCAACCTCTCTTCTGAGTGTTGGTATGCGGTATCTGGATCATTTTACCTCTTTCCTCGACACACGATGGCACCGTCAATCATCACCTCATCCAAACCCGTGCAAATGATTAATTAACAGAAGTTAAAAAGACGCTTGTAGTGTCAAAGAGGTTCATATATCGTCAAAGCTTCGATCAAACATTACCAGCGATAACCAGCCAAGTTTTTCAATTGCCAATCCTATACGTAAGTTATCTTAATTTATCTTAACTGATGTTGAAAAGTAGTGTTTTAACCATACTGTATGTTGGTAGGCTAAACCTTTACAGTCATTACTCTATAGGAACTCTTTGTGTTGAAATTATATTATTAAGAAATAATATTTGTTTAGTGACTACGACTCCCAGACACACCAGCAGTTCGGTTCGGTAACGTGCTGACGTTGTGCATATTTTATCACTAAGTGTGAGCTTTACCTGGTAACCTTTCATGATAAGAAATTTTGTGCCTAAAACAGCAGTTTTAAATTGCGAGTAAGTTCACCGCACGGCAGCAGGCGCTATATTCGGTTCATCCGTCATCCTTTGTCATCCTATACTCTTTCTACCATATTCCATATTCTGCGTGCTGCGTCACTCCATCAACATATCGTAGCTGATGTTTATCTGAAGTCTGAATTTTCATTTTAGTTCAAGATGTTCACAAGAGGTATTTTACTGCTGATGAGCATTTTACGGTGTTCTTCAATGCCAGATCATATGATAGGTAATATCTATATATATATATATAGTATATATAGCTTGAAAATTGCCTAAACTTCGCATGTTTCTGATTGTTCTGGATGCTCTAGTTCATTACGAGCCAAAGCGTTTGTTTACATTACGACTGGATATAATTTTTGAACTTCATAATCTAGTTAAACAATAATTCGGATAAAAAATAATCATGGTATGTTTGCCCCACTTAAAGTTTATACCTCGCGAACATTAAAGGCTCGTTTACAATTTTTGCTGCGATTTTAAGTGCGATTTTCTTCTTTTGATAGATGTGAATGAGTAATTAGTTACGAATGCTCTGATGTATAAGAGCTCTTATTTGTACATCAGTAACTAATTTACTCGTTCACATCTATCAAAAGAGGAAAATCGCACATAAAATCGCATGCACAATGCGCAGTTTTTCACTAAAATCAAGTTTTGAAACAAGTTTATAATTTTTCATCTCTTTGTTTTTCTTTTCCACTCGACGTCCCACTTTGGGTTATCAAAAATGAAAACATAAATTAAGCTAAGATGACTCACAAATCACAATAACATAAAACACAAAATTTCAATATTAACTCTAATAACAATTTTCAGTTGACCAAAAGATAGATGGAAGGTAAACATGTTATAAAGAATATAGATATAGATGCATATACAGAGGGGATACATCTAGATATAGATGACTCTAGATGACTAATGAAAATTATGAAATCACCCTATGAGTATTCAGCGGGAGCGCGGAGACATGATATCGCACTATACTGCATGACAAGCGCAGATAAGGTGAGGTATGTGCATTACAGTCGATTATTAAAGATTTTAATCTCAAATGCCATGAAACACGTAACAAAGCGAACACCCTAAGAACGTAAGAACGAGTTTGAGAGCGAAGTTGCATGTACTTGCCGTTATACTTCCCTTTCCTTTTTCATTTTATCACTGAACGTTTTACTTCTGTCACCGCATAAATTGGTTATCATGCACTGCACACTAAAATTAGGTATGCTCGCAACTTACAACTCCTTTCTATCAGAATGTAAGATCAGATTTCAGAGCACGGTTGTGTTGTCTGTTTTGGGTTGCAACAACATATTCTAAATAGATAACATGGGTTGAATAGGATGACTTAAGAGCCACAATCAGGGTTGAATAGGAAGAGCCTGAGAGCCACAATCAGGTTGTTGCAATAAAGGAGCTTTCAAAAAAAAATTGTGCTTTAAAATCAAAGAGGATTTTTTGGAAATTCATTTCCCATAAACGTACTGTATTTGACGCATGACGAATTGGTTTAAGATTGTGACTTGAGTTTGATTGAGAATTTTGTAGACCTATATTATAAGGATAAGGTATATTGTATATTGTATGTCGGATGAATGAATAATAAGCGGGTAAATCAATATTCTTATATAACCATAAACGTACTCCTAAAAGTGGAGTAAAAATTCAATGTTTAAATTTGAATGCATGCTTGTTATGATACGTCAGTAAAATGATGAACCTATATATAAGTGAATGAAATTGTTACGATATGATAAACCCAACATAACAATCTGAGGCCGGTTGTATCAAGCCCGTTTAGCTTAAACGGAGAATAAATCAAAATTAAATAACACTCTTACAACTCTCTGAAATGAGTCAACTTGAATATTATGCACTGAATATGTGGTTGTAGGCAGTATCTTTGTATATTAAGGTCAAAAGCATTTAGTTTGCTTGTTGAATAAAACGTTAGACTTGCTTTCTATTTTGAACTTATCCACCGTTTAAGCTAAACGGGTTTGATACAACCGGCCTCTGATAAAAACCTAACCAGGCTTAAATTGCATGCATTAATTGTGCTCACGATTTGTCGTAACATTAAACAGTTATTTAATAAAAAGTTACTTTTCGATTCAGTTGTATTTTCGCTCAATACAAAATTAAAACCCCAAACGATTTAAATCACCTAATGTTTTGATTTAAATGCCCTAAAACCAAAAAATGCACTGAAATAAAGTTTATAATTTGTCTATTGCGTATATAATGATAAAATGTCCATAACATGCATCGTTATTCTGCAGAAGTGACATGAGTGAAAGAACCGAGGGGCGCGTAAACACAAGTTATGTGTTCAAAAGAACGTCAGTTTTTTTATATTATTATTAGAATACCAACTGGCAGCTCTGACGCTATATATGCGACGATTTATATGACAAGTATATAATATATTTGAATTTTTTTCCTTAGATACGTGTTCTGATGGAGGAAGAATGTATAAACCTGGTGAAAGGTTTATTTCTGTTGATTGTTCTGGTTCATGTGTTTGTGGTCGGGATGGAGGTGTATCATGTGTCAGTCTGTGTCCGCCCAAAGATATTAGATGCAAGATGGATGAGGAAAAAGTTCCGTTTTCACGTAGTATAGCCAACAGTACTTGCAAATGTCCAGAATGGCGATGTGAGAAAAGAAAAATTATAGGTCAGTATTCACAGTGTCACCAAAGCCTATAACGAAAGACGTGTCATGCACTGCAGTGCGGGGCGGGGGAAATCTATTTAGATGAAATCGTGTAATTTGATTATCCTTGGATTATACTTCAATAGCTACGACGCTACGTTCTATTTTACTAATTTAATCCTCATATTTTAGGCTTTCGCTCTCCAGCGAAGATGGATGTTTGTGTTGATGGTAATAATCATTATAATCCCGGAGAAAAATTCATTTCTGCAGATTGTACAGGCCGCTGTACATGCTTCTCAGGAAAGAAAGTTGGATGCGAGTCTTTGTGCCCAACAGTTAAAGTAATCTGTAAACCTGGTGAGATCAAGAAACAATGGAGCGAGCAAATTCCTGGTAGTAAATGTTCTTGCCCAAGGTGGATATGTGTCAAGAAAGCTAAAGGTAAAAATGACTTTTTGTCATTTTGATAGACACACACCGGGACCAGGGGACAATTTGAAGGCATTAGTGGTAATTAGTGGCGATCCATTTGTTCTCTGCTATTCACGCCATCTTGAATTTGATACGTAATCATTTTTTCCAGTCGTAATTTTTTTCCGTAATCGCGGTTTGAAACGACGTTTTCCCAGCAGTTTAAGATGTCTAAAAACATTCCTAAAGTCCTTCTAAAAGCTCAAAAAGGAGAAATTAAGACACCCTGTAGATGACTTTATTCATCCTTTGTCTGATCGGGAATTAATTACATATTTTTCTATGTTTCCTATTATTTCTTAGAATTCTGCGAGTTTAATGGAGAAAAACACAAAATCGGAGAATATTTTGTACCAAAAGATTGTTTTGGATACTGTCGATGTGATGGACCCGAGGCAATTGGATGTGTGTCTCTATGTCCACCGCATGGTATATACTGCACACCAGGCACACGAAAAGTAAGGACAACTATACCTGTATGGCCAGGAAGAAGCAACTGTACATGTCCTTCTTGGAAATGTGTGAAAGGTAAATTTACAGGACGATATATTCATTTCATTATTTTTACAAACAGGAACTTGAGGAATTCTGCCTGAAGAGAAATTGCAGCATTAGGATTATGCAATGTGCCTTTATCAGTGCTGCGCTTGGGTTTAACGGACGGAAAGCTTTACCATGAATTAAGTTATCAATTCACCATGCAAAATTTCAGGAACAAATTGTCATTTTATCATCGTTCCATATTTGTCCCTAAAGGTTAAACTATATACACTGTTGCAGTGCTCTATGTGATTTTACTGATTTCTGTTATATTTAGTTAAAAGTATGTGGTACTCTTGGTCAAATTGGACAGAATGTAACGCAAAGTGCGGTGGTGGTATACGCTATAGATTTAGGAAATGCATGGAAAACAAAATATGTATCGGACCGAGTGTAGAAACAGAGGTCTGCAATCAATCACCTTGTAATCCATGTAAGTATGAATCGAAACTAGTATTTACAAATCTAACTATTAGCATTCCAGGTAATAGGTTTTCCCTACGAATTGCCTCATTTTATGCCTTACTTTATTCAGCATATATATACTACCTTTAGCCTATGCAGATGCTCCATGTGGCGCACTGAGAACAAATTCGGCCAAAAGTGGTGTTTGGCCTCGCTGTGATAAACAAGGGTACTTCGAACCTTTACAGTGCGACCCAAGTAAAAGCCAGTGTTGGTGTGTTGATAGATGGGGCATTATTGTTCCGGGCTCAACGAGCATTTCCCATAAACCTCAATGTAATTAGAACGATATTTTAAAGGTAAGTTATAACACGCACGAACCTGTCGACTTTGTTTATAGCGGAAAAAGGTTATGTTTTATTTGATGCCATTGAATTAAGACTACGATTAACACTCAAAGATGGAGAGCTCTTTATAGCCGCGTTTACTTTAGAGCCCTAGATATGGCCTGGAACAGGTCTAGGACAAGTCTAGGTAATCTATTCAAAAATAATGTTCCAGGACCTCTTCTGTTGTGCTGGATTTTGTGGCCTAGACCAGGTCCAGCCAAGGCCAGATAAACGACATTCACACCTAGACCAGGCCAGGTCAAAGCCCGTAGTGTAAACGTGGCTTTTGTTGGTTCGGGTGAACCACTCACTTGAGACCCCAACTCTCAGCAGATTTTATAACCGTCGATCTGCTAGCAGTCATAGTATTTTCCCTATATTTCCCTCAATGTTCAAAATTCATTTAATTTTCTTAGACAGTGTCGCGTTCATCCTCGAAGATTGACAACCACTGCATACAAGAAGAAGTATTATTATCTGAACATAGATTCGTGAATTGACTTAATAGAAAGGCATGTTCAAAGTGCACTAAATTTGCATTTGTGGCATACTCTAATAAACTTGTATAATCATTGAAACACGAAGGGGTTATTTTCTTTTCTTGTTATTTTTATGTTCACGAAATAGTTGCTGTATTTATCTGCGTGGCTAAAGAGAGTGAGGTCAGAGTAGTGTCCGAATGTGTAGTTATTAGAATTTCGGCTGCATTTTATGCTTTGAGCTTTAAAAAAATCCCCGTTTTTATGCTTTGGAAAAATCTGAAAGGCTTTACCCAGGTCGGCATTGAAAAAAAACCCATAACGATATGATACTTCAGCCAATATCTAAGGCTGTTTTATCTTGGGCTTTATATGACAGATTGTGTATGACAAGCATTTCGAGAAATTTAACCATGTGAGTTATGTTGAATACATGTGAAACATGTGCAATCAGCTATTATCCTTTGGATTTGCAACAGAGACCATGATTATGAGTAAAAATTTGAAACCTTATGCCATTTTAGAAAAGTTATATGTGGTGTTAACATTTGCATTTAGATAATCAACTTGATTCTAAATTAAATACTTTGATTATCAAATTAGGATATAGAGATTACAAAGAGGTTATATTTAATATGTGCTTCTTCCATGGCTTCTATAATTTACAAATATTTACTCAATATTAAGTTAGTTACTCATTGTTAGATTCTGCGGACTTCAGAAAATCCACCATTTTGTTGATATCATCACTAGATACTAAATTTAAGTTCTCCTTTGGCATCCGACTGCTAAGGAATGGACTTGGTTGAACACCGGTGCTACTTGTCACAAATCTAAACATGGTTTCCACAGGCTCAACATGCCCATCTGGTTCAACCTGGGACAATTCATCCCATGTAAAAAGTAGTGGATCTGTCATAGCTCCAAAAGGATTAAAATCCATCAATTTTATTAGCTTACTTGACTTGATATATATATCAAAAACATAATTATTATCAGGAAATTTGCCAGATATCTTCTTGTGAAAAAAGTCCTTGATTCGGGAATGTATTTCATCATAATTCTGTGCAATATATGGGTAATGGCTGGCTGTGTCTCGTTGTGATATTGCAATGATATGACCTTTCTTAACAAAACAACGAAACTCGGTTGAGGATGAGATTTCTTGCCATCTCCTGAGTACCAGGAAAAATCCAGATGTTTCCAACAAAGTATTATCCTCACCATCTTCACATTTTCTAAAAGGATTATTTATATCATGGCTTACTCTATCTGAACTCTTCAACAGTAAATATACGTCTGAAGCTGTGGTACACTTCAAAGTCCCATTATAACTTATCCAAGCAGCATCTCTTGGGGCACTCCAGTTTAGTTTGGGAAAAACTTCACCCCCAAGCTCTTGTATTGCATTCTCAATGTTCTTTGTCAGTTCTGTGAAGTTTGGGGCAGTTGCTGTTGTTGCGTTGCAGTCATCAGCTGCTGTCCAGTCCTCAGATTCTGAATCGCTATCATGTTGCAATATTTCTTCTTCATCTTCATTGCCTGGCAATACGACGCCATCTTGATTTAGGTAGTCGATAAACTCGGATGGAAGAGGTATAATTATGCTTCGTATTGAACAGTTCTTAAAAACGTTATACCATTCAGAGAGTTGACAATTTAAAATATGTTTCTGCTTCATTTTCAATCCCCGAATTATAAGCGTTTCAACTTTATAAACGATTGATTACTTTTTCACCGCATTCGTGACTCTCGCAACAATAGCGGAAAATGATGCAACAATAAGGATATAAAGGGGTATAGCAGGATAAAGCTAAACTATTATCTATGACAATCTATGACATTTCTATGACTATGACCAGTTTGTGGTTTGGCCCAGACCGCCCATTCTGAGCCTGCCAGTTTTTTCGATTTTTTTTTGTGAACGTAAGACATCAAATCGTAAAACAAGTCGTGTTTTATACGGCAACCCTCAGTGCATTGCATCACAGCATTGTTCTGAGACAGTGAAACGCCACATTTTTTATAGTGATAGCCTTTACATGAGACCCCTCTGTTTTTATAAATATATATCAGCCACTAACATTTAAAAATTAACAAAAGTTGTCAGTATAGAAAAGTTGTGGATTTTCATGGTAAACTCGATAATGGTAAAATAATGACAGTTTTTATGATAGTTATGGTTCTGTGCGTAACGTTTCATGGTCAGCAAATATTGCTTACCGCTATTTTAACTTCAGCTGGTTTACTTTCTAACCTTCGTTCGTTCTTTAATAGAAAACAATTTCGAGAACATACGTTTACGTTGCATTATTTGGCTTATTTTGTCGTTTGGTTACTTGAATTTACAAAAAAAACGTTTGGGCGCCCTGTTTATCTCTTGCACGTGACGTATCAGCTGACCTAAGCTAAAAAGAAATCGAAAGAAGCTTGAAGCAAGAAAAATGGCGGCCGTTTCGGCCATGAAATGGAAGCGTATATCCAGTTCTGCAGGCCCTCAACCTCGTCCTCGCCACGGCCATCGTGCTGTAGCAATACGCGAACTTATGGTTGTGTTTGGTGGCGGTAATGAGGGAATTGTCGATGAACTTCATGTTTATAATACTGGTACGTTTCATGATTGATTTGTTCAGAATTCCCGCCGAATACGTAGTTACATCGTAACATAAAATAATTAGCTATTGGGTTTTGCTATTTTATATGACTTGCTCTTGATATTATTGCATTGATTTAGCTTCAAACCAATGGTTTGTGCCTGCTATACGAGGAGATATTCCTTCCGGATGTGCAGCCTATGGCTTCGTCTGTGATGGAACGAGGCTTTTTGTTTTTGGTGGAATGTTGGAGTATGGAAAATATTCCAATGAGGTTTGTCTTTAATCCACTTCTATGAATACGTGAACAACCAAAAATATGTATAACAACAGTTGTGTGCACATTTAATAGCTGATTGGAAAGGTCGTAGATCGTGAGTACTCATAAGTCATACGTGAATCAAAACAATTTAATGGTTGGACGCCTAGCGCGCTAATTCCAAATATACTGGGAGCATTGCTACTATCTATGGTTTGAAATTCGCTTAATCCAGTTTTATCATTGTCATTTGAAAATATTTATAAAATGAAATTTCCCCAAGGAGTGTATTTATCCATATTAATATACATTTAAAAATGTATTTCACTTAATATAAGTATTTTTAGACTTTGGTATATAACTCATATCTAGTGCGCTGGTCACCCACTTAATTTCCCCTCTTTTACCAATCTAACGTGGAATCAAGACTGTAGTGTATTGTATCTAGCTTGTGTTAGCTGCTGCCTGCAGATGCTCAATGCTGTGTTCAGATCAACCATTCTACCTTATACTTGGTAGTATATATAAAGCATTTGAATATCCAGTATTTTATACAGCACTGAAATTGGTATACAGCACTGGAAATGGAACATTCACAAAAAATCCATGTATCAATAATTTTATTATATATGGATATTAGTTTTTTTCAATATTGCAACAGCCCAGTTTGATAGCAATAAAAAGTAACAAGTTCATCACAAACTCATTGTTGTCATTGGATTTGCATCTCATTTTCATCCATTTTGTTTTAGTTGTATGAACTTCAAGCCACTCGTTGGGAATGGAAGAATCTAAAACCAAAACCAGCTAAAGGTGGAATAGTTCCATGTGCAAGATTGGGTCACAGTTTCACTTTGGTTGGTCATAAAGTTTATTTAATTGGAGGATTAGCAAATGACAGTGAAGACCCCAAATGCAATATCCCAAGGTACAGTAGTGCAGGCATACAAAAACGATTTTTTCTTTCTGCAAAAATGATCTGTGAAGATGCTCCTGTGTAAATTGTTATTGAACCACATTTTTGCTGATATGGCTTGACATTTCCACTAATAGTGTTTCGTTACATTCACAATAAGAATAAGTAGCAAAAGCTGTGGCTAGCCTCCTTGTTGCGCAATTTCACAAAATGAAACACTTGGTTGTAGTGCATTAACTGTAGAGATAGACTTCACTATTTTTGGAAGCAGTTGGTACATTCCCTCTTGTAATTAATATTTCAACATGTAGAACAAGTGAAAATATTGTCATCCAAAGTAATTAACATGGCATTACATGGCAAAAAACACTAAATCTTTGAATGTGTATATTTGATATTGAAATTTCCAGCCCAATATACCAATTTATGTTTCTTCATCAAGACTAAAATGTTTGATTGTGGAGCCAGTGATATTGAAATATACAATGGAAACTGACACTTGCTAGCTGCTAATTGAACCCCTGAGTAACTAACTATATGTATGCCTTTTTGGATGAGATGTAATCATGCAAAAAAATATGTTTTAGTTTAAAATAAAAACTGTGAATTGCTACAATTAACCATTTGTAATGGAGACTTATATATTATATGTTTCCAGTGGTTTCTTCAATATTTTGCTTTATGCAACATATTTTTTTATCGAATTTAGAAATGTTTCATGGTGTTATATTTATTTTAAAATGCCAATCCTTTAAACTAGGACATGATGCACAAGTTTCATTTTTATTTTCATTTTCTGCTGGTAAAATTATGATATTAATATTGATAGTCTATTCTGCTCTTTTATCCAATTAAGACTTGACTTTTCTTTTCATTGTTATGCTAAAGTGGCCAGCCTGAGAAGAGAACCCTTCATTTCCTTGTTGAAAATCTGGTTGTTTAAACTAAAATTCCAACTTTGCTTCCCTTGTTCCATTCTTCTCAATGATAATGACTTGTCACATTGTCATTAATAATTGCCAGTGATGTATATAAGAATTCCACCTGAATAATGTCATGAGGAAAAATGTTTAATATAAACAAATATGAAAGTATCTGAGAAAAACAACAGCATCAATAATATAATAATATTCGGTTATGTCATTGCAACCAAATGCATAACAATTTTTAACTAGGAATTTTTCTATTAGCATAGATATTGATAAAAAATACTTACCCGTTCACAGATATTTGAATGATCTTTTTGTTCTGGATTTAAAAACATCTCAAAATCTTCAATGGGAACTTCCTGCTCAGTATGGCAGTGTTCCCTCACCAAGAGAATCACATACGTGTGTGTCATATACCAAGTCTGATGGAAAGAATCAACTTCTTGTTTTTGGTGGAATGAGTGGTTGTCGTTTGGGAGATTTATATCAACTTGATATTGGTGAGTAACGTTAAATTTCAGACCTTTTATGTACAATTTTGTTCCACTAGAGATTTATAGGCATGGTCTTTGCTGTAAGGCCAGTAATGTTGAGAAACCATTCCACAAGAACAAAGATGTTTTTCTGACAGCCAAACATAAGAAATCTGTACATTATGAATAGAATTGGTCTTTGTGTGTTTACAGAAACAATGATGTGGACAAAACCAAAGGTTTCTGGTATGATTCCTTTACCAAGAAGCCTTCATTCTGCAACTGTTATTGGCAGAAGGTAACAGAAATTGCATTATTTTAGTGTAGTTGTAATTAATCTTTTTCTCCCTCTTTTAATCTTTTTGAATTTATCATGTTTTAAATATGTTTATTCTTTTAATTATTAGAATGTTTGTCTTTGGTGGCTGGGTTCCTGCTAATACGGATAATGATGTTAAAGGAACTCAGAATGAGAAAGAATGGAAATGCACAAATACATTGGCATGCCTAAATCTAGGTGCAGTATTTTCTTCAACTGTTATGCTGTATACTCTAGTAACCAACAAGAATGTTTTTTAACACAGAATTATTGCCTTTTCTTTTGCAGACTCAATGAATTGGGAAGATATGTTAGTCGATGAATCAGAGGAAAATTGCCCTAAACCAAGAGCTGGTCATTGTGCTGTTGGGGTAAGAATTAACAAATAATATCAGATAATCATCAGTTGAAGTAATTATAACAACTCATTCACTTGAATGCTCACAGCCAGTGGCCTGGCTTTGCAATAATCAATGAAATTAATAAAAAGCCATTGTTGAACCATAAATTAGAACTGTCCAATCAAAATCATGAATTTTTACAACCACAGCAAGGTGTTTATTTGCAACCTCCATTCAAAGGCAATGCTACCAATTTTAATGGTCGTATTGTAATATCTGGAGGGAAATTAATACTGCATTTTGTGTTGATTTCTTGACACTATTCAAGATTATGAACATATTTTTGCTAACATCACATGATGCTACTGTACGTACAGTAGTACTGTTACAGTTGCTTCAAGACTTACCAATGAAGTCTTGTTTACACTTATTTAGTAACATTTTACAATTTTAATCTTTGATAGATTAAAAAAATAGCAAATACTTATAAATGCCCTAATGAATAAGTTCCTCAAGTGTAAACCGGCCTTAATGGTATCCATGTTTCTGATTTTAATTCAGATAGGCAATCGACTCTATTTATGGAGTGGAAGAGATGGATACCGGAAAGCTTGGAATAATCAGGTGAAGTGTAAAGAAATTATTTTTATCACGCTGTATGTTGTATTTCTAACTAACGCTGGTTGTCTCCTAGATATGTTGTAAAGATATGTGGTTCTTAGAAACAGACAAACCTTCTGCTCCAACCCGTGTTCAGCTGGTTCGTGCAAGTACTAACACATTAGAAGTCTGCTGGGGACGTGTTGCAACAGGTGAAGTTTCCGTCGTATTTGCAATCATTGATTATAAATTGAATAAGTGGTGATCTCGACTTGAAAACAGAAACCAACATAAGAAACCGTCAAGTGACTTACAACCAATCGATTTCTGGTCTCGCTGTTCAAATAAGTTTTTTTATTTTTTATATAGCTGACTCGTATTTGCTTCAAGTTCAAAAATACGAAGTTCCCAACACTAATTCATCAATCAATTCAGGCGTGAAACTACCTAACGTGAAACCAGTAACAACACCGTCAAAGATGTCTGTGAGCATGCCGCCCAAATCTAACGTGCAATCCATGTCGAAATCTCCCATTTCAGCTGGAGCCTCGCTGATTAAGGTGGAAAATGCCGATGAGCCTAAGTCGCAAGTTCCAAATCAGAAACCTGCAGGAAGTCCACAAGTTAAACTAGTTCGAGGTACAGTGAACCCTCTCCAGGGTGGTGCTGGAAATTCCCAAGGTGTATCATTAGTTCGAGTTCAGACTAATCAAGCTCTGGCTAAATCCGTAGGAGCACCTACCTCTACAACTTCTGTTACACGAAGTACTTCGAAACCACAACAGATTGTAATGGTCATGTCACCAAGTGCAAACAAAGGGGAGCTAGGAAAAGTAACATTTACAACTACACAAACTGTCACGTTAGCGCAAGGACAAAAATCGTACACTGCTGCTGAGTTGAACCAAATTATTCAGTTATCACAGCAGGGAACTGCTTTGAAAATTGTTTCTATGACCAATCAAGCTTCGTCTTCCGCAGATACGCCGTCACATGCTGGAGTGAAATTTGTTCAACGTGGAGCGAATGGACAGGTTATCATAAAGATGGTAAACACAAGTCCATCAACTTCTACAACCACAACTCTCCCACACCCTCCTCTGCTGTTCAGGGTAAAATACAAGACAATGCGAAAATAATGGTTGAAAAAACGAATACAAAATCAGTTGCTGATTCATCAACGTCGTCTACAGTCTCATCTGCGAGCACCACGTCTGCAGATTCTATAATAACCTCGAGCGCACAAGTTACTAGTTCAACTTCTCCGGTTGTATCATCAGCTACCATACCACGTTTAACCACAGCTTTGACTACCACGTCATCAAACACACAGACAACGAGTAAGGCTAATGAAACTGTATCAGATTCAACCACAGTGACAAATACAAGTACAACCAAAGTTACTTCGACTAGTGCTTCTGTAAATACTTCGGACGGTTCTGGAGGTGCATCACAAAGTGATACTCCAGATCCTAAGGTATCCTCTAGTACGAATCCGTCAACGTCTAGTACTACTATCAATAAACCTACAATATCCACCGTAAATACTGCTGTAACATCGTCGACAACATCGGATAGCCCGAGCAAACCACCCGATAAGCCGTCGGACAAAAGTGCTGATACTCCTGATTCTTCGACACCCTCATCAACGACAACATCTGAACCGTTTTCAACACCAAAAACTTCTTTACCAACAACTGTAAATAGTTCCGTGCAAAACACGCTTCCATCACAAACTACATCTACCTCAACTACTACTACAGCAACCTCTGTTATGGGTTCAATCTCGAGAAACTCGGACTTACAAAAGATTGCAACACTTGCAGCTGCTAAAACTGAACTTGAGAATCCCGCGAAAATTGTCTCACGACCAGTCACCTGTGGCGGTTCTACCACTCAACAAGCAACAGCTCCAATCACTACTACTTCCGGTAGAGATATGGGACCCCCTGCATCCGCTGTAAATCCTCCAGCGAAGGTGAAACCTGCTACAAAAACGGTATGTGGACTATTATTGTTACCTTTCTGAGACCTGAAACTACATTTTAGGTAGTTGATTGACCAATCACGGTTAAAAGTTAACTACCTTTTTATACAACCGGCCCCTGCTCATTGCACGGTGCATATTGCAACCGCAAACACCAAACCTTGCATCATTTTAACATCAAGTATTTTTTAGCCCCGTCAACCACAAACAAATGGTGTACACGTCAACAAGATCGGTGGAAACCAGTGGCATGACGTTGGCGTCATTAAAGGAACATCGTCAATTGTGTCGCATTATTTCATTCGACGGACGGGAGATACACAAAAAATTGTGGTGGGTATTTGATCCATGATGTACAAAACCTATCGTTGATCCATGATGTACAAAATCGTGTTGTAGGATAGAATATTATATTGATAGCGTAATCATCATTTCCACACCTCTCTCATGCCGATATACTGTCTTGCTTTTTTTCTAGAACGAAAATCAGACTCCATCAGGAGTAAAACAGGAACTCCTTCCAGGAACGGCGTACAAGTTTCGCGTGGCAGGACTGAATTCGTGTGGCCGTGGTCTATTTAGTGATGTTTCTGCATTTAAAACATGTTTACCAGGTTTGTTTTTATGTAATCTGAACCTTACCAAGTTAGCGGTAACATTAATTTTATGCTATAAATCACATTTACTTTTACTTTTTGCTAAACATTTACATTTCTACTTTACAGGATTTCCTGGTGCTCCATCGGCCATTAAAATCAGCAAGGTATATAGGTTTGGTGTCACACTTAGCTGCTGTTAAATCATCACCAAGCTATAGGATCATTTTGCTTTCTTTTTGTACAGAATGCAGAAGGAGCACATCTCTCATGGGAAGCACCGACAAATGTCGCTGGCAATGTAAACGAATATTCAGTGTATCTAGCAATTCATAGTCAATCCAGTGATAGCAAAGAAGTCAGTGGAATTGGCCCTACACCAGTACAATTAGCGTTTGTACGTGTTTATTGTGGTCCTAAACCTTCGTGTACTGTCAGTACTGATACTCTAAAAAATGCTCACATCGACTACTCCACGAAACCCGCTATTATATTCCGTATTGCTGCCAAAAACGACAAAGGGTAAGGAATTACACTTACATTTGATCCATTTTACTGTAATAAAATTGCATTGCAGAAAAACACAAGTGTTAAAATCGGTTGTAGCTAAAAATGCTGTTCTGACAACTATTTTGTTTACATGTTATCTGTAGTTATGGCCCTGCAACACAAGTCAGATGGTTACAAGGTATCGTAATATTAGTGCTTCTTGCAATCTCTTTTTTTGCATCTTGTTTGTATCTTCCCAGATACAGATGTTGATAAAATTGTATTTTATACAGATGCTAAGGACCTGAAGGACCAAAATAGTTCAAAAAGTGTAGCACAAAAACGAGCAAACGTAGAACGGTAAGTGAGACCCTTCTCGTATAATGGCGTCAAACGCTGAAACCCTGCAGGATGTTACACAATGTTTAATTGGCAAAACTAATGGCCAACAATAGCTAAGAATATGGACAAACTCTTAGCAAATGAATGATGACTGCCAAATACAAAATATTAGTAAAAGTTGTGACTATTTTCTTCTGTTTTTGTTGTGTGTAGACCAAGCGAACCAGCGAAGAAAATCAAAAAGGAATAAAATATTTCAGTATTTTCATTGTAACCACTATAAATATATATATATAGACAGTACACACGAACGTTTATATTAAGTTGTATATGATAGCTGTAGACTGCTAATAATTCCGTATATTTTAGTTAAAGTGAAGAATGAACCTTGCAATGCAATGCTCAAAGAAGTTATTGCATGCGCATATTTTTATTGTTGCTGTGACTAAAACGAATATGTTGCTAAAAGTAAAATGTTAGGTTTAAAAACTCTGGTTTTAAGAAGAGGGGGAAAGAGACCTTTTGTAAAAGAAATGTAATACATGCAGGCTTGCGTTTTTCTGATCAAGTGTTACAACTTAATTAAATTCTCAAAGACATTTATTCAGTCCTAGCGCGACGGATGTTATGGTTGAGACATTAGGTCTCTCATAATTTTACGTTTTAGATCATTTTGTTGATTGTTAGTTCGGATCCCTAATGTAAAGACCTGCGATTTCCACACGTTAACCTCTTTAAAAAAATAGGAGCAAAAATTGCGTGTGTTAACACTGGCTGTGTGATGAGAACGAGAAACCAAGACGTAATCCTAATTGATTTATTAATGTATAAAACGCCGATGCTAGTATAACTGTTCAATAATTACGCGTTTTTTTACTTTACGCGTGTACAACACCATGTACCATGTGTACTCTGGATAGCAATTTCGCTCAATTCAGAATGGTTAATGCATAGAATAAGGCGATAAAAAGGAATAAAACACAATAAGTTAAAGTAAGTAGACTAATATTCAAAAACTAACATTAGTTAAATTCAATAGCCTAAGTCAATATATAATCTGGTAGCTAATCCAATGTTATTACAGCTAATGATGACAATATCAACAGGAATCTTTTGAAGGAATGCATCTGGGCATTTTTGAAACTTTGATAACTGTTCCATCGTCTTTATGATAGTACATTGTATTACTACCAATAGGAAACGGAGTGAGCGAACGTTCTGCATCTGGCCAGTTATGGAAATTATCAATGTACCATTCAACTAATCAAGAAATAGTAATATTAGACAATTAGGTCATGCCAACAGCTAATACCTTGTACCTTGAATCAGCAGGCGGAGTTGAGTTTCAATCGTTTGTCCTAACGCTAAGGAATTTGGATGACGTAGAGTTATCTTCTAGAATTTTTTTTTTTTATATACTGATTTACATACTTGTCTTCTCAATTCCATCATGCCACTGAACAACTGGTTTCCATCCTAATGCTTCCACTTTTGAAGAGTCCATTGGGTAATGACGGTCGTTGAACGGTCTAAAGGAATAATTTCGTGCATTTTTTTTATTGCAATCAGCTTGATAGAATTCTTAAAGTTTTATCCTGTTATTCTCTACAATGGACTAAATTGAGATATTTCTTTACCTGTCTTCTACATATTCAATGTATTTGTCTATCTCTTCATCTGTCCTAACTTTCTTTATCTAAAACGAGAACACAATTTATGTAATTTCTTCAGTCATAGCTACCGTCTTTATTCGGAGAGAATTTTTCTATTATTATATTGATCACTATCACATATTATTATTGGTGTAAAGGCTGTTTTCCACGAGGTGGAATATTTCAATCTAAAAAATCTTGACAGATCTTAATTGAAAACAAAATAAAACAAAACTTAGGCTCTATTAAAATATTTTCAAAAATATCAATAAAATCTTGTGAAATTTAGCATGGTAATTATTATATTGTGATTAGTATTAACGACGTTTACCCGTTTAATAAGATCTTTAGCTAAATCTGCCATAGAAATTTCAAAATCGGATCCAATATTATAAGTTTCGCCTGAATAAAAAAAATTATAACTTCATTAAAATCCATTAGTTTGGAGGATTACAGCTCGGTAATATATGAATCCACTTCGTCCACAGAACGATGCTTAGAGTGAGTCCAAACACTACTTTTTGGATAATTTGAGGTTTTTCGCGTCAAGTTACACCTGGACTATTAACAATTACCAATTGATTTCATTTTCATATTTCAAAACAAAATACTGTATCTGCGTCCTGAGTTCAAACTTATCTTGGAAATTAAATACCATAAGAATGCAATGTATAACCATAATATAACGAAGAAATATTTAACTCGGAATTTGCGTCATCATGCAGCAATTATATTATTTCTAATCTAAACCTTTTTAGGAATGAAAAGAGCATGTTGGGTTGTATCGCGTTGATGTTGAGCACGTGGATGAATCCAAACACTGACCTGCAAAACCTTTATGTAAAATTGAAATAAATGCTTCAGCTGCGTCGGTGACATAGAGAAAATTCCTAAAACAAAATTGAAATGGTTTTATATAAGAATATTAGAACTCGGCCCTACTCCTCCTTATAGGATTTCAGGCATCAAGTACGTACTGTACCCGGTGACTGTACCTTGATTGTGTTCCTTTTCCATGTACGCAACTGTAGTGAGAACAATAAGGACATTTAGACACATAGAACATCCCATGGCCATGCATGCAGAATATAGAGAATGTTGAAAAACTATCAACAAATTAGGTTGAAGATATTCCTGTCATTCTGCTTCTTAATCCTAGCAATGCATGCACGGGGGTCAATGCGCGGACGATGCTCTCCGCGGACGAACTCAGTAAAAAGAGCCATATTTAAGTTGTTTATGGGTATCTTTCAAAGAACAAGAAGGTCAGAATGCATGTGTAAATATATTGAAAGTAGTGAAGATATTGAGTTCTTTGCAGATTACGTGCATACCATTTCCTATTCCTTTGCAAAAGCGCTATAAACTTGGGTACAACCTAAAACAGTATAATTTTGCTATTGAACATTTGGCATATAAACTATTGATACTATTGTTGGCCTTTTCTCACGCATGAGAGCAGTAGCGTAGCCAGCCTGTCGATTTGTCCCGCTATGCTAATATTTTAATGTTCTCTGACTTTGAAAACAATAGATTTCTAAGACATGAATACGTAATTATAATAACTCGAAATTTACATAGCGGGACAAAATCGTCAGGCTGGCTATGCCACTGCATGAAAATGGTTTTCATTTTTACTTCATTTCAGAAGATACGAATTTACAGTATGTAATAATAAAACTCAAAGTTGTTTTAAAAACACCGGATGGCCGGTTTGCATTTTGATATTTCTGGTTTAATGTAGTAAAAACCCGCAAACCTTTTCAGGATGAGAATGAGGTCCATACACATTATTACTTCGAGTGATGATAACTGGGAACTGTAAAAATACAATTACTATCATTATAGTAATATTTATAAAGATAACGATGAACATCATCGTGTTTCTCTATATAGAGACAACATTACCACCCAAGTAATTCTCCTTAGATCCTCTGGCTCTGAAAAATAAATCATTTTCCTTGTCTTAAGGTAATATATCATGTTAAATAAACACTGTTCACCTTAAAACTCTCCCAATATGACATGACGATGCATTCAGCAGCAGCCTTTGATGCCGAGTAAGGATTGCAAGGTCGAAACGGAGAAGATTCAATCAGTACCTGAGAAGGGAAGGAAAGTTTTTTTTTAAATTGCTGGTTGATTAATGGCTTTATTTTAGGTTTTTTTTCATACCCCCACAATTTCGTGCACATGCTCGTTTAAAAAACAAATCACGAAAGAATGTAATGTAGCTGTTTGTGCCACCTTTTACACTGTCAGATTTACCACCATACACTAGCTTATACTGTCAGATTTACCACCATACACTTACACTGTCAGATTTACGACCATACACTTATACTGTCAGATTTACCACCATAAACTTATACTGTCAGATTTACCACCATACACTTACACTGTCAGTTTACCACTATACACTTACACTGTCAGATTTACCACCATACACTTACACTGTCAGATTTACCACCATACACTTCATCTGTACTGACATGAATAAAACGTTGAACATTTGCTTCAAATGCAGCATTCACTAGTACATGTGTGCCATAAACATTGGTTTTTGTAAATTCAAGTGAACTCCAAAATGATTTATCTTAAAAACACAAGGGCATACATTATAGCCTAATTAATTAATGTACAACTATAACAACCATACTACTTATGCATATTAATTTATATTTCATTATTATAGATATATTGGAATTGACAAATTAAAATGAAACAAAGTGACAGTACCTACATGTGATTGTGCAGCAAAATGCATGACAACATCAATTTTTTCTGATTGGAACAAATACTTCATGTATGTTGCTTCACAAATATCTCCCTAAGGATCAAGACAATATGAAAGTATATAATCATAACCTTCATAAAATTTCTTTAGTCAATTAATTGACTGTATATACAGTATATCAAACCTGCCTCAATAAACTTGTAATTTGGTTTTCCTTCAATTGCTCTAAGATTTTCTAAAGAGGCACAGTGGTCAAGCTGTTTCAAAAAAAAGAAGTATGCAAAGTACACAAAAGTATGCAATGAACAGTAATCATTTTATGTTGGTATAAGGCATTCCTCAAAGATCTTGTCTGGGTAGCCCAATTATTTTTATCTTATATGCAACAAAGGGAGAAAACATTACCCATGTTTGATAAAATGAAATTATCTATATTGTATATAAAATGCAATACATATAAAATGTAAACAAATTGTGTCTTAATTAATTTTGCATCTCTCACCTTATCCAAGTTGACAATGAAATAGTCAGGATATCTTTTCACCAACATGATGACAACATGGGAAGCACTGTTGTGGATTATATAACAATTAAGTGAATTAGAAATTCATGAATTATACTATAAATTATAAGGAGTGTATGTGTGCTGACCACCACCACCACACACTACCACCAACCCTTCATTAATAATTGCACCTGCATGTATTGGGAACTCAATTATGATTAGAATTGTTTTACCTTCAGGCCCATCTACCACAAAAATGTTTATGCTCTATTAGGTAGCTGGGTAATTATATAAAGCTAATTTGAAAGAAATCAATGCCACCTGTGGTGAAATTCAAAGCCTGAGTCAAGTCAAATTGCTCTTTTCAATTTGTCCCATTTTACCCAAAATATGCCTTGTTTTCAGTTTAAGAACAATTTAATAATGTCGTGAATTTCCTTACATAAACCCTGCACCTCCAGTAACCAGTATTCGTCTTGTAAATTTTCTTGAACATAGACAATGACAAGCTTCCATATTTTACTATAATGATTTATATTTGATTAATATTTCCCATATAACCGATACCAAATCTACTGCCCCAAAAGAAGGAAATTCCGATTCGAAAGTTTTTGTAATTTTGTTCTTTCCATATTTGAAAAAGTGTCATATAATAGATTAATAGTCTTTGTACTTGTCTTCAATAGTACTATTAAAATAATTGACTCTTCCGTCTTTTGTTTTGTCTTGAATCACTCGGCAGCTTCTCGGACAACTATCGCTAAACGTCGTCTCATTCTCACACTAGACTTGAACCAACTTGAACTTAATCATTGATTATCGGAAATGTCAATTTGTCAGCGAATATCAGATAAAAATACTCTTTATATTGTGGGAAAAAATTGGCATTTTTGAATGGAATGTTTTTAGTGAGTAGAGTCACACCCGAAGCTGTGCATTTACTTCCATATACCGTTTTCGTTTCACCTTGTTTGGTGGTGTCATGAATCGAAATAGACTAAGAGAAGGTTTCCTGGTAAAAAAGGTGATTTTAATTAACAGTTAGGGTAATGTCAATATCATAATACATATATTCAAAGTGAATGTATAAATGTATAGATCGTATTTAAATGGCAGTATACGTTAAGGCACCGAAAGTCTAGGCTACCGAAAGTCCTGGTCAGGTTCTGGTAGTAGCCTTTGAACGGGCTGCTGCACTTCAGTGAATACAGGATATATTTGTATAAGTATAAATGCGATGTCTAACAGGATTAAGCTGGAGTAATAATTTGGTATTACAAACTATGTAAACGTATGACAAATAATAGCTTAAATAGGAAGAAAAAAAGTCGTGAGCAATACTCAATCCAGAACTAATATCATCGTTTTCAAATCTTTATTACTCAGGCATGGATGCATGCATATTCCTAAGTATTGTTGTTCATAGTACATAATGTGATTAGGACTAACCACAGTAAATAGAATATACATGGTTTGGAGACCACATAAAACTAGAATACAACTCATTAACTATGTTGAGGTGGATTTAGGCAAAAAATTATTCCTTTATCATCACACGTCTATTGTATTTTGGACAGATAAACTAATAGCAATCTTATAATTAACATATTTTTCAAGTCAAGGTTGATGAGCTTAGCAAGACAAATGCCATTGGTAAATTGGGCTAAAATACAATAAGCACATGATGAGAAAGGAACCATTTTTTGAGAAAGGAACCAACCTGGACAGTAACATAATGAGTTGTATTGTACCTTTATGTAGTCTCCAAACCAGGTATATTCTATTAACTGTGGACTAACAAATGGTTCCAAAAACTGTAAAATTTCCAACAACTTAGCATGGTCACGGGTGAATGGCCAGGCTATATATATAGTGTATAATACTATATATGATTCTAGTACCTAAAACCAGTGAAATTATAAGATTTACACATGTAGATGATAGTAAACTGCTGTTCTTTGGAAATGATTAGTTAGAATGGTTTTATCAAGGAAAATATATAGACACAAGAGACTTACTATGAAATATATAACAGTAAACACTATGCCAGGCATAGATACAGTATTTCTCTAGGGGAGGGAGTTATTTATAATCCTTACTTATATAGACAATTTTGCATTCATTTCATTAGGGTTATGTTCGTCACAATTGGAAAACAAGATGGTTTGTTTTATTTGATGATGCCCTACGTTACTATAAGAGGAAGGAGGTGAGATGAAATTTGGTTGATATTATAGTAACACCATGACATGCAATCACATTGCAACCTTGTAGCTTCTTCAAATTAAAGGACAATCAGTTTTTTTAAATAGGGCAGTTGACTTTCATACAGGGAAGTTTGAAGCATGTGGTGTATGCAACTGGTTGTGGAGCGATGATATATGTGATTTTATCACAACAGTGCAATTTGCTCGTTTGATTTTGCATGATACTCGCATGATGCAGAAATAATTTTGACATAAAAAGTTTATTTAAAATTATTTAACCATAACAAGCTCATTTATGTGGTGATTCAGATTACAAATATTTTCGTTCAAGGACACCATTTTTGCAGGCGAGGTTCATCTTCGTGGGTGTTCTTTAGTTGCTCCATGCCCTGACTACACCAAGAAATCTGTAAGTTGTATTATATTGTGTTAATAAGTTGTCAACTGTGCATGCAGTTGTAGAATTTTATCCTTAAAAAGCCAGATTATAATTGAAAACTTGACTATAACTATATCTATATACAACTACTATTTTGCATTAGTATATAGTTAAGAACTGCCATTAATATAGTCAAGTACACTCATCTTTTATTTTCAGTTCGTGTTTCGATTGATCAGTAGTAATGGTCGAGAATATTTACTACAAGCTGCAAGTGAAGGAGAATTACAACTTTGGTCTGCCAGCATCGCTGCTGCTATAAGGAAAGCCGAATCTAAACAAAGGGTGAGTTAATATATCTAGACAACTCTATACATGTAATTTATGTAATTTAATCCTTTATTGTACATATATAGACATAAACTGTACTGTTTTATAATAAACTCACTTTTTTATAGTCAGAAAGAAAACCAAAAAGCAGTGAAAACATTAATGAAATTCAAGAAAGTTCCGAACTCAAAGTTAAACTGCCTTTACCTAGCTTCGCGTAAGTTTTACTAACTCTCTCAAAATATTACTTGTATTTGTGTTAATGCGGGTTAGTGGCATAGAAATGCAAGGAGTATAATTAAAAAGATGTATGATGACGTAATGTGTGTTGCGCACTGAGCTATACTATAATTCCAAAAATTTAATAGTGGTGTTGCGAGACGCGTTCAACTCGTCACGAGAAAACGTCTACTAGTTTCGTGTGATACTAAATCTTCCGACGAAGGCCCTTAGATTGAAATGTCCGTGGCAGCTGCTACTGAGCCACATTTCATGACTGACAATTAAGTTATTTGAATTATACTGTGCCAAATTTTTTGAACAACAGTTTATGTCGGACTCTTCCTGTGCCAAGTACATTAAAGTTAAAACAATAGATATGGGACATATAGGGTATCGAAAAGCTAAGTCACAAGATTTTTATAGTGAATTAATAGAAGCAATGCAAGACAGAGGTGCAGGGATTGCTTTGGAGACACACGAGGTGCAGGATAGCAAAGTTTACAGACATTGCTTTAGTGGTAAGTGCATGTCTTCAGGGCGAGCATCTTAATTTATCGACTTTTATAGCTACGAGTAATTGCATGTGATATACCCAGTAATCAAGTCATTCGCAAGATTTCTTCTACCAGTGTTTTCTCCTTCAAATACTGTAGGCACTCAAGTTGTTGATTGGTTAATATCGTGGTCATTCGTAGAAGGTCGTATGGAAGGAGTGGAAGTTGGTAATGGTTTATTAGAACAAGGTCATTTACAACCCGTTGGATTAAGAAGTAGAAATTCGTTCAAAGAACGCGTCACAGATCGTAGAAGGACTGGGGAGAAGAATGCTTTTTGTGATGCTACAAACGCCTTGTATAGATTTGTAAGTGTGTGCGTCAGGTGACTAAACTTTCGTATGATAAGAAAAATGTTTTAAGTTGGGTGCAGACGAAGAATTCGAGATACAATTTTTCTTATTCACGATGTATAAAGCTATATAAAATGTGTATTTACCCCAGTCTCCACTATTTTAATACTGCCTAAGCTTGTTTAAATATCATCCCTACTCCTGTTCACTAATCCTCTGGATGGAAAGTTAAAATAATTCAGAATACTAAACCTTATAAATAATAAAAATCGATCTCGCAATCGAGTTTAAAAAAGTTCTAAAAATGTTCTAAAAATGTTCTAAAAAAGGCTTTGCGTGTCAAGGTTAATTTTACTTCATGTAATATTACTTTTAACATGTTATTTCAGTCCGCCTTACGTCTTGCTAACAGCGAGGTATTTGAAACTGAATCAGATGAATCCAGTGATAGTGAAGATTCTGATAAAGAACATCAGGTATCACCATTAGAAAAGTTATAAAATATTAAAAACTTTTCAAAGTGTTCAAATATTTGAAGTAATATTGAAAAAGGCGTCCCGGTCTCCTGACATGTACATAATAACCACTCTCATAAATAGTATTAGCGTTACTTCATGTAATATTACATAAGTGCCCTGCACGGAATGGTGACCTTTACCCTGCCTTTACACATTTACACACGTCGTGTGGGTAATGATGTATATGATTTATTTGTTCTAGGCCAAAAGTATTGAAGGTGTTACGGTAAAACAAGGTTTTCTTGTTAAAAAGGTAATGAATAATCCTCGATTCGCCATCGTGAACATACTTTTGCAATGTTAAATTGAAAGTTCTTTGATGTATAGGGCCACATGCGTCATAACTGGAAGACAAGAAAGTTTGTTCTGTGCGAGCAACCTGCTAAACTTTATTACTGTAAACCAACAAAGGTAACTAGCTACGAAGCCGAATCTTTGATGGAGTTTCTGTGATTGAGCATTTGATTGAACCTCACGAAAGGTTAACGGCTGAACATAAAAGGAACTCACTCATTATTCACCGCTTCCTTTCCTAATTCAAAATTTCCCTCAGTTCCTTAGGTATATCCTCCTCTGGGAAAACTTTGACTTCATCATTCATGTTTATGCACTTTTAGCCGGATTGTCCATTAGGATGCATTAAATTAACTGGGGCGAAGATTGAGAGAATCACAGAAGAATCCGTTGACGGTAAGTACAGCGTAATTATAATCAAATCAATGTCAGTGCATGACCGACCTTCATGGATCTTGGATTATTGAAATTATGAATAAGTCGTTCTTATGCATAGATTGTAGATAATTGTACATAGATCCTGAGCAAAGTTATTTACATGTGAATATCAAACTTTTGCTAAATTATTGCTAAGCAATGCGCCAATAAACAACACATGCGCAGAGCATTACTAGTTACTGTGTGTAACAAATTAATAAGAATCATTCATTCGACACCATTCATGAAAAGGAGCTTTATAAGTGGACTTCTTATAATGCACGTGTTAGGTCAATTTTACTGTTGTAAACTTCACACAATATAGGTGAGAAGAAAAGCAAACATTTTTATGGGTATCGATTTCGAATACGAACGTGGAAAGAAACGCAATATGTCTTGCAAGCTGGCAGTAAGGAAGAGTTGGAGGAATGGATATCGATATTGGAGAGCGTTTGTAACATTTGATAGTTTAAAATGAAGGAATTTTATAAAATATAGGTATACGTTCTCAGAAGATCATTTAGCGCAGTATATACTAGGGACGATCAATGCTTTCTTGATCTACTGATGTGTGGTATATGCACTTTAAGCCACCAAACATTCTGGTGACCACGTAGTTAGAGGAAGATATATAATGTCCTGAATGTAGCCTATAGGATTTAAACCCGCCATATTGATATATGTACGCTTTGTTCATTTATACATACCTTTCACGCCGAGTCCTAACGATTGCCTCTCTTCCTAACCAAAAAGAGAATGTAAAGCGACTGACAATGTAAAACGACGCTATAGGTAATTTAAGATTTAAAAAATTAGGAGATGCATGCAACCATTCAAATTAATATATATAATTATTTTTTATTTTATTCATTACTGTAAATATTGTGTTTAATTGGAAAATATGTACAAAGTATTGTATGTACACAGATAATAATTCTATATGAATACGACTGGGGAAATTTGTTGAATAGCTAATTTCGTATCATTTGTATAACATTAATTCTTATACTTCAATCGGAAAATTTATTTCAAATCACGGTGTTAAAATATTTATATTTTTACTATAGCAGTAGGGGAGGATAAATTATTACGGCCACGAACAATAGGGGCGTAGCATCTTTATTTGCACCTCTCATCCTCCCTGCTAAATAATGATCAGTTCTTTAGGAGAACAAATTGATTTTTTTATAGTTATTTGTAGCTGGCGAATGTGTTCAGGTCACGCGTACTCTTGCTACATATTTTCTTATAGAAAAGGAGGCACTGAAAAAGGAACTTGTAAGGGCGAGATGTTACTATTGGTATAACTATTCCCGAATGGTTTCATCTAGCTAAATCGCCATGCATGATAGGATAGAAGCGATAGGATAGAAGCATGCAGTGCTTGATATTGGTCAGAAATATATGCAAATGTTTCGGCAAAGATTGATGGTATTAGGCAAACAGGCCTCGTATCTCCGCTTTCCGAACTCGTAGATACATATACAATGTAAAAATATATATATTTACCACTATTCTATAATACACGATATATAAAATTACACATAGATATTCGTTATTTTCTTGAAATAAATTAACGATATTTTTTACACAATTTATACGCGACAGCTATTTTCGATTTAATCTCTGTTTCTGGTAACAATTAAAAACAAATTTTCGGGAGCGGAACGATGCGAATGTGCGATTTTTCAGTCGTAAAAAGTGTCGTTTTTTGGTTACCGAAAAATTATCTGAGCCTTCTCCCTCTGTTTTCTTAGGTATTCTTTTTAATCTGGCTTGAGTCTTCACGCAATACTACTATAATATGACGGTGGTAATCTGTAAGAAGGAGGTGGTGAGTCATATCTATTTGATCCTTTATCATTGTACCTAGGAGACAATCTCTGATAGGAAGGCGCGGATAAAATAGGTGACGGTAATTTTGGAATATCATCCTCGTAATCTTCTGGCGTCTCAAGAGGTGTTTCCCGGGGAAAACGGATTGGAGTAAGAGAATCTTCCGGTAATTCAATTGGTTTACCAGAAAGAGTTGACATCTCTAGTTCACCGTCTAAAATGGTCGGTTTACGTCTTTTGAATATCTGCTTATCTTCTTTTAATATTTTCGAACCTGAATGTTGTCTTAAAACCAGCAAAACTACAGCAATAATAATTATGACTGCTGCCACCAAAACAACGGGGAGAACATATTTCAACCATGGAGAAGTCTCGGAAGAAGATAGTTCAGCGGCTCTGGGGTTTTTTGTGGAAGATACAGCACAAGGGCCTGTATAGTTAATAAACACGTCAGTTGCTCTAAACTTTGGCAAGAAAACGTTGTAGAAATCTGGTTGTATATTTCCTTGTGTGGTTACGAGTTTGCTTGCTGTATCATTTATCAAGTCGTTATCACAACTTTTAAAGGTGGTGTTTCTCCAAGTGAATAGAACTGAACCCTTGGTAACAGATTCCACACGAACCAAAGACTCGTCTTTGTCACCATAATAGCCAGCTATGTTTTGAACAATTGATAGAATATTACTAAGATCTTTGTTGAACATCTCAAGATTGGTTTTTGTCAGTCTTACTGAAAATATGGCAGCCAATGGTATCGTACGACGTTCAACATTAACACTGAACGCATCATACACCGTGTTTCCATCGTTGTCACTTGCTGTTAGAATGTATTCAGTTGAATGCCCTTCAAGTTGATTTTTCAAAATCAAACCATAAAGTTTTTGTGTCGTTGAGTTAAACTGTAGCCATGAATCCTTAGGAAGCTTTTCATGATCTACAGTAAGGCAGTCCAATCTGAGGTTACGCGTGTTGCCATCTTCTCTGTCATGAAAAGTATCCGCTGGTATTTTTACACTAAAAACCTCACCAACATTCACACTAAGGCTATCAAAATCATTGTATAACTTTGGCGATTCTTTTAATGAAGTTGTGGGCGATGTCACAGCGCTAGAACTCGACTGGGATGAGGTAGTGGATGAAAGTTGTCCAGGACTTGATGTTATAGCTATATTAAGTTAAAGAATCATGAGAATGCAATTCGAAGAGTGACAGTTGAACTCGTGATTAAAGATAATCTTTCTAACCAGGTAATAAAACTTAATAATTACCTGGCATCTTTGCTGAGGTATGAGTTAATAACACTGTTCTTGGGCTCTGTTTTGATGGGTAAGATGGTTGAGAAAGCCGCGTCGAGGGAAATAGTAATAACTTCGTTGACGTGTAAATTGAGGACGCCGAGGGCATCATTATTGAAAGTTCTGGGGTAATGGAAGGTTGACTGGAAGCTGTTGATGAGGAGAGAAAAGACAAACTAAGTGTCTGTGGTGCTAATGAAGGTGTTTTGAATGATAATGTACTGCCTGGAGATGCCGTTGTGAAGCTCTTTTTGTCAATACCATCTATGGAGGTAGTGATGGTAGGTAAATGTGACAGCAATGTTGTAACAACAAAAGATGATATTGGTGCTATCTTGTGAGATGATAGGAACACCGGTGAAGTTAGTGGAATAAGAGATGATGAGACAAGTGTATAGTAAGATGATGGTAAGTTTGATTCATTTATGATAGTAAAGTCTGATGTTGGTCGACTGGTAAATGAGTTGGATGTTAGCAATTGTAAAGAAGGGTTAGTGGTACCAGTAGATGTTTGCAAGGTATGATACGAAAACAAATAGTCTGATAAAGTTGCAGTGGTAACAACGACTGAGGGCGAAGTTGGTAAGACAAATGAGGACGAAAAATTAACAAAAGACAATGGCGAAAAATAGGTTTGGTATGAGAATTTTAAAGAAGTTAGGAATGTACTGGGAGTTGTAACAGTACTAGATAGCGGGGTGGATATATAGTAAGTTGATAGAGCTTGTGATGAAAAAATGGTTTTAGCCAAAGTTGCAAGTAAATGTGAAGTTTGACCAGTTAATAGAAAATATGATGGAGTTATAGAAAGAGCATATGTTGACAAACTGTTAGTGTTTAATCCTGTAAAAAGTGTTGATGATGAAGTGTCTGTATTAAAGGAAAGATTGCTAAAGAGGGACGTTGTGGTAGCAGATGATGATAAGGAAGGTGCACGGTATTTGCTTGCAACGATGGTTGAAGGTGAAGTATCTGTATTATGGGAAAAGTCGTTATAGAGGTAAGTTGTAGTAACAGATGATGTTCTGCGGTATTTGCTTGCAACAATAGTTGATGTTAAATCGGATAAGTATGTTGATAAAAAAAACGACGAAGGGACGGTGGAAATGACCGATAATGGCGGTGTAGGTGTATAAAGATATGACAATGATGAGGTGAAAGTAGTAGCGTTTGATATTGGTGTACTAATCTTGTACGATGATCGAAAGTGTGAAGAGGAAGTGGATGTAACGTCTAATGATCTTGATAAAGGTGTACGATATACTGGTGAGGAACTTCCTAAAACAGTTGATGGTGATGTAACTGCTGCATAAGATAAAAAGTCTGATGAAGAAGTGACGGTATTAACAGTTAATGAAGAACTGGCCGAACGAGAAGCTGATTGCTGGTCGGGAGATGATTGACTCCTAGTAACAACAAGAGATGTGGAAGTAGTTGTTTTGTTTGATAATTGAAATTTTGATAAATGATCAGAGAAGGTATATGAATGAAAAGACGAGAACGTGGTCGCAATTCTAGAGCTGAAAATCGATGATGAAGTAGAAATCACTCCAGAAAAAGGAAGTGTGAAGAGCGATAAAGTGGAGGGGCTGGGGACAATGTTCGTGATGGGTGAACCAAACTGAACTGAAATGAAAAAATATGACAATCGGAATGTGAAGACAACTGCAGGCTATAGTACCAACCTTTAGATTTGAGAACCGAAAAATTTCAGTCGTGTTACCATATGATAAGCGAGATATTGAGATCATAAATAATATTAAACTTACTTGTTCTACTTTGAACAGAAATAGACGATACAGGAGAATGTTTGATAAGGCGAGAGTGTGGACTTCTGAGCTCAGTCGTGATATGCGGCGGTGTCCTCCCTGTTGAATTGAAAGATGGGTAATGCTGGTACGTTGGCAAGTGATCGACTTTATTTTTAGCGCTATCTGTTAGACATTTATCTTTAGCCATGTGTAGACATGGCCGCGTTATACTTAATGTATGTATATACGAACCTGTAGACGTGGATTTTTCCGTAGAACTGGAAGCTAATATTGATTCTTTACGGTCTTCGGATAAAACTTGCGATGACTTTGCACGACTTGAAGATATTTGGCTGCTTTCCATAGTACTTGACCGTGAAGAATACATCATCGGGTTAATTGATTCCGACGTCTTGATTATCTTTGAGAATCTATAGTTGGATGATTCGAGTGATGTAGACACTGTTCTTGGTGTTAATAATGTTCTTGAATATATTTTTCCCATGTCACTGCTTTGTGGTGTTTCCTTTGCGGTTTTCAGAACCAATGTTCCAGTTATTCGTGAAGTCTTGTATATGGTTTCCCTGGCAATACTTGATGTTAGGTATAAAGATGCAGTAGAAACACTACTTCTGGACAGTTTTCGTGTAATGGATTCACATCTGCTTTGTGCACACGACAGAAACGAAGTCGACGTTGGGTTTGGTGGTTTATATCGTGTTTCGCTTGATAAAGATGTAACATAAGATGATTGACTTGGAGACGGAGTTTCAAGTCGTTGTGTAGTTGTAATAGTATCAGAAGATGCCATTGCTGTACTAGATCTTGTTTCAACTATAGAATTTTCATACGATGTTTGAGATATTACTGTTGATTTGGTTTCGTTGACAATTCTACTGGTAGTAATATTTTGCGAGGCAGGGGAGTATGTTCTTGATGAGAAAAGCTTAACACTGTCTATATACTTGGAATAAGATGTCTGTAGAGGAATTGTAGAATAATTTAACTTCACAACTACAGTTTTTACACTACTCGCCAGGCTGGAAATTCTAAAAGTTGAAATTGAATGCTGTTCAGATTTAGGCAAACTGGTGGTAATCGAAGATGAAATAGTGCCGCGAGAATCCTCTAACGTAGAAAATGGACCAATGGTGTTTGTTGCAGTCTGTAGAGCTGATAGTGGTATGGATGACGTAATACCCCTCCTTGAAGGTTCTACCGTGTAGGTAGATCTTTGGTTCCAAATTGTAGTCAACGAGGATCTTACTGATGGAGATTGGAATGCAGTGGACAGGTTGAAAGAGCGCGTCTGTGCCAATGTGGATTGCAAATGGAAAGACATTTTCGTTGAGTGCGAAATCTTGGATCCGGATACTTGTTGTTTTGAAGACGATATTTGGTCCAACAAGATAGATTTGTTTGTTGATTGAGAAACAACTGGTAAAGTTTCAGACTGCATTTCTAATGTTTGACTTGAAGACAATGATTGTAATATAGGAGACATATTTTTTGATACAGACATCACTGAGGAAATTGAATTGACGCTTTCGTACTGTGAAATTTCAGACGTTACTCGTTTCGAAGGTGATATGATCTGGGATAAGGAAAACAGAGTATTCGTTAAAGACATCACTGGCAAAGTTGAACTAATGTTTTTATGCTGTGACGAGTCTCGTGTGTTGCTATACTGAGATGTAACTGTCGTGGACATGTTAAGCAACGATGTATTGTTGGCAGGGAATGGCGATGAAAATGTTGGTAATGGTCGGGACAACGTAATTGCTCTCGTTTGACTAACATATCTGGTCCTTGTAATCTTAATTCTTGTCGTAATAACTGTCGCTCGAGAGATAGGAATCGTACTATAAGCGGGAGTTGTGGTTCCAACAATATTCCGTTTCCTGCGTATGTTTTTTTGAAACCCAGTAACAAGATGCCACCCAATGGGGGCATACCTGATATTATTAATTAATACTGATCGCTGAGCAAGTTGCTCAATGGCTTGAAATAGTGAATCATCCAGATGAATGATGCCACACCTGGCTAGCCAAGTGATAGTCGTGCTTGGTCCAGTACTTGATCTATTAGCACCAGGTCCAGAGCCAAGCACATGTGACGTTCGAAGCAAACCTGACAATGTTTCCTTTTCAGTGCTTGACAATATAAATACGTCGTATAGAGAAACGTGATCATTTTGAAGAAGCTCATCAAGTATATTGATCTTGCGTTTTCCGTCCATTTCGTGAAAATTTCCAGCCAAGACTAAAGACGCCAAGACAATTGGTTCATTAGGTTGACAAGCAATACTTTTCCAGGGGGGAGTCGTTGATAATTCGCCGTCAATCACGGCACTCGTAGGAATATCCCGAGTAAAGAGTGGAAAATACCTCAAACACCAAACAACAATTTTGACAGTTAGTAAGCCACAGATGTTGCCTATTGCGCTGTATTGGTGTCTTCTTAATCCAATAATCAATAGTTCACTAGTGCCCTCATCTGAAGGCGAAGGAATGCCTTTTACTGTTTGAACTTCTTTGTCTAACCACAGCCATTTTGGCAAGGTCCGCTCAGGTCCGCTGGATGGCTATAAGAAATAGTTAACATGTCATTGACGATACCCTTTTTAGAAAACACATATCTCAAGCTTTAGTCAGCACTAAGCTGTCGTTACTTGCACAAAAATGATGCAAAAATAACTCACCACATATTCGGAGACGTTGCAAGAAAAGTCTTCCGCCAGGATTTCGTATTCGCAGAGTTTTCCAACAAAACATTCTTTCTCTCGCATGATAGCGTTATTTCGTCCATGACTTATGGACGGAGATGGTACCACTTGGGGGTACTCCGCAGATAAATAACTGCTTTTGAAGAAGGTAAAAAGAAAGATTACTAGAAGTAGCATTTTGCAGGAGAATTCGTCTTCATATTCGATTATGAAATCTCATATCGTGGCATGTCTTTGCACGTGCTTAACAAAATGTTTGCAGAATGGGATGACGGCCAAACTCTAGTATTTTCTTGCTTTCCACGTTAACGCTTAGACTCTCAGGGACCAGAGACCTGGATACAGAAAGTAAGGATTGTCAGGTAACAAAATAAGTTTTGTTGGTTTCGAATTTCGAGGAATATGTTAAACTCGTAATTAAGCTACGGACACTGGATTTTTGTGGTGAAATTAATGTTTAGTTTTAAGCTCGTTTTCATTTGGTGATATCACGTTGATATTATCATAATTCATTGCGGAATATTGCAACAATATTGTTTCTAGATGTCAATGGATGTTGGAGTCATTCAAAATGCAAACGCTATTTCCATTCAAGTCATCAGCGATAAGCAACGACGCCGATAAATAATTGGCTGTACAGCTGTGGCAGAGAATCAGATATATGCCCAGGCGATTTTACTAACGCACTGTATCCTCTTTTTGACAACAGGGTTTTATAAATTGGTTTTATAGGGTTCAGCCTAGCAGGTTAGTTCAGGATAAATAAATTATTCAGTCCTTGAAATTATCGTGTTTTTGCCTCGGCAAAATTGGGGATTTTTTACCATGAGGTTAGAACGTTATCAATATCTCAGTATTTGCTTCGGCGATTGCCGAATGAGTCAATGATAGTAGGAAGCTGCTATACACATAAAGTCTACAAATGCAACAGCAGCGCGGAGTCAATGACGGGTATTATATTATGTGTTTAGTGTACATACCATGAATGATGGAATGAAGCGTCGTTCTAAAATATCTTGATATTTGATGAAATTATAAAGCAGAATATACATTCGATATGAACTGTGTTGGATGAAGATGTGTCATCGCGCGGTAAAATTTGTGTCGTATAGAGACTAGAGTATTTACATGTAGAATTCAAAACTTCGACAGTTGGGACTGCTCATTTGAGCCATTTCCGGGTAACTATGGCTGATCACCTTGACAACGGCATAATAATGATAAATAGCGTCACCCTCGACCCTTTTGAGATAAGTAAATCAATCTTCTCAATGTGAAAAACAATATTCTACAAATGAGCGCGACAAGCGTTATAACGACGAACAAACAACTGGAAAAAATAACTTTAGCTTTAAAAGCAGTTACAGTCAAAACTGATTTTACGTCCTCATTTGATTTTAATTGGAATTTAAATGCTGTAAAGTTTACAAAAACCTGAAAACTAGCAGAGACAAATTAAGCAAAGGTTTTTAGAAACCCTGGCCGGTTTCAGGCAGCGGCGCTCATGTTATTAATTTGTGTGTTGTGTTGTTGTTGTGTTGTGCCTTGTGTTGTCGATTTTACGATGACAACAAGACGTGCAAATCCATTACGTTTGTTCCAGTTAGTCCAGTGTTAACCAAATATTCCCCGTTTTCAAACTGAGTATAAAATGAAAAAGAGTCATTGTTTTTCAGATACATCATTGCGTTGAGACCTTGTGCTGTTGCCATTGTGATCATGTTGGGAAACGCATAAGCACCTGCAGCTGATGTGGGACCATCTTGACCGTCTGTTCCGGCACTTAGCAGGAGATAATTTCGTTTCATCGAAAATTTATTCATTTCAATGGCGGCAGCCAAAGCAAGTTCTTGATTACGACCTCCTCGTCCATTTCCATGAACAGATACAGTAGTTTCTCCTGCACCTAGGATACACAACGCTTTCTCTGACGCGCCAATTTCTTTTATTCCTCCAGAAAGCTGCTTTTCTCCCTCACAAGATATCAGTCTAGCATAGAACTCGCCAACATCCCTAGATTCACCACTTACAGATATATCGTGAATAATGACATCATAACCAAGCTTTTTTGCCATCCAAGATGCACCATCAACTGCTACTGTATTGTTGCCAATTATAATATTGTTGACGTGTGAGAAGTCAAGTTCTACAGTGTTTCGTAAGTCAAATTCACTGCTAAGGTATTTTATAACATTGACAGGCAAATCAAGACGAGCATTCAGTCTGTCGACAATCTCAAGACAATCTCTTTTTGTGGACGTGTCAGGAACGGTAGGACCACATGCTATGATATCCATAGGATCCCCAAGAACATCAGATAAGATTAAAGTGATAACCTGTCATGAATATCAAATAAAGTCTACATTTAAGATTTTTTGGAATCTCCTTCGACAAGTATATGTAAGTGTGGATATGTGCGCTTTTGGGGTATTCCTAATAGTGATACAACTCTCGAATATACATACCGATGCAGGATAGGCAGCTTGAGCCAATTTCCCTCCTTTGATTCTTGATAAATGTTTTCTTACCGTGTTCAATTCAACTATACTCGCACCTTTCTTAGATAAAATTCTTGTAGTCTGATTTTTTTCTTCCAGCAATATCTCCGAGACAGGCAAGGGGAGAAGAGCTGATCCTCCCCCGGATACAAGAACCAACAGAATGTCGTTTTCCTTAACACTTTCTGCAATTTTCATTATCTTAATCGCGGCACGTTGCGCGTTTTCATCTGGGAAGTTATCTTTTGCTCCTTCGATAATCTCTATTTTGTTTCCATTTGAACTACAGGAAGACTCAGTTGTTTGTCTGAATGGCTGATAGTTGGTCGAACTGATCGTCTAAAACAAAAGAATGTCTCATTTTGAAAGGGCCATTGAAATTCCGTTGTTGCGTGGATAAAGTGCTGTCTAAACAGGTATCACGAAAAAAATTCAATCCTAAAACTGACGCATGTTGATTGTCAGTCTTAATGAAGGTGCAGATAAATTTCATTATAGTCAATAAGCGGCCAATGAACTGAAGAACACCCACACTACTTTTTAGGAAGGTATCTTTACTCTTACCTCACTTACATTCTGCGTGCCAATTGGCACACTTGCGACACCTTGGACAATGTGGGAACCAAGAACCTTCTCAACGGCCTGAACCATGCCAAAAACAGCCTTACCAAACGCCACCACGTGAACATTATGATTGAGATGGTATTCTTTGTCTTGTATAAAAAGTTTATCACGTGAAACTTTCAATGCCTCCAATGTCAATTTACAAGGCGCCACTGCTCGAACACCAGCCATGAAAATCTTAAACGCATCTTGTTGAAGTTTCTGCATCATTCATACCTACAAAATTCAGGAAAACCCAACGCTCAATCCTTTAAGGGATTTTGATAAAGTTAAATCAGTAATATTTTAAAGTTAGTTGCTCTGTTTATTATTCACTACAAGTAGAACATCACTAATTCCCTCTTTATTTCCAATGTCTCTGGTCTGTAGTTCATCCTACAAACTGATGTAGGTATAGTAGATACCTTCACCTCGATCTTTATGTTTTTCGATTTATTTAATAGACCTTTTTCAAAAAGAGCAAGAAGCCTGTTAGGAGTTACGCGAAAACAAGGCTAGTCAGGTTTTCTGCTGTCAAAATTTCACGAAATAACTTTAAAATGCAGCAAAGCCAAAGAAAATCTGGCTAGCCTCGTTTTCTCGTAACTCGAAACAGGCTTCTTGCTCTTTTTCGAATAGGTCTCATTATTTCCTATTCGAATTCTATGTCGGATTATGTCGCCGGGATATTTTTTGTGCGGTTGCGGTGGATAGACGGCAGAAGATCGTTAAGTGGGGGCATTAATATATTCATGTTAGCAGACCATAAAAACACTTAGTTTCAAAATGATCTATAAGAATGCTGAACGTAAACATTTGAATATTACTGCCCCCCTCTCCCATTTACAGTAATGATCTTCCGCGGTCTATGTGGTGACGTTATTAACGAATATTTGTGACGAACTCCCTCAGCGTTATGGGGCATGTGGCAGGAAACGGTCGCCCCCACGTGGTACTGTGCTACTTTTTCACGAGAAAATAAAAGTCAGTTGATCAAAGCACGATCAAACATCACAATAATCCGTGATGGAAAGTGATGTGTTAATTTTTGGAAGTATTTGCACTGAAGTAAAGGGCCTGAGTTAAGGGACCGAACTGAAGATTTTCCGTTATAAATATGCGCGGTGTGCCTACAAAATACAATTTTAAAACACTAATTACAAGTTAAGAGAGCTTGTGGGCGACACATCACACTGTTAATTCGCTTCACTAAATCACTAACATTCCAATAATTTCCTTCATTCCAATGTCTTGGGGAAAGATTAGTTTACAGCAAAAGTCTCCTCTGGCCTTTGCAAAAGCATGGAGTGAATATGAGTACTGTAGAGAGCCGGAAAGGGTGAATAAAATAAGAAGATATTGTGGAAGCTAGTTGCAAGGTTGTGGTGCATAGATCCACCTTCACTTTAATCTACAATACTTCACTTTAATCTACACTTTTTAAGGGAGCTATGGCCTAGTATGCAAAATCTTATGAGGTGAAGCAAAGACTATATTCACATCCTAAAAAGGCCATAAATGTAGACATTGATCACTGTCACAGAATAGACTCACTGATTAATTAACTGCAACATATATAATCTATTGGACAGATACAGAGTATTGCCTATGTGACATCTTGATGGCAACCTATAGTCTCATGCACTCATTTCAGCTTTCGATCATAGAGTTTGAGAGATTTTTAAAACAGCCTTGGTTCATCAACTTTATTTTTGAGAATTTTCAAGGAAACAGTATCCTGTTTACCAATTGATCTTGCTTCATCTCATACTTATTGTTCTTGATGGGGGTATCTCCCTTGCACCTTTTCTGCTAGATCATGTCAGAACATAGAATGATAGAAACACTAAACTTGACTATACATGCAGGTGAATAAAATGCTCATGATAGCTCATTCATTCAAAATTGGGCTTTGCCAAACTAGCCATGAGCCAGGGCATTGCTCTCATCCCACTCATATGCAATGCAGGATGTGAAAAAATATTTGAATGTCTCTATTGATGTGTTCAAACTAGCTGCATCCCATAAGTCCACATATACCAATCAATATATGTATAGTACAGTCATTATGTTTTGTTAGTGTTAGAGGTTTTGAAAATGATTAGGAGGGTTTCAGGGAAGGAGGAGATGATCAAGGTAATGGGAAGATTTGATCATAACAACAGACAAACAGAGGAGATGGTTGACCAACATGCATTTATCCCATTCTTTTTCAAGAGAGCAAGGAGCACTACGAAATGATACAATCTTTTTTGCATAGGTCGAACTCCCTCGCACACTGTCTGCGGTTTGTTCTTTCCTAAGCTGGGCTGGGCACATATACCCCATTCTTTATACCCCAAAATAAATATTACGCAAACTCAATTATCCGGTATATTAACTAAAAAACCAAAAGAAAATAATTGTCTATCTTTCTCAACAAAACAAACGTTATTATACCTTGTGAATCTTCGAGAAATTGTTATGAAGAGAATTCAAATGTCTCAATGCAATAAAGTTCCAGGAAAGTTTACCTAAAAAAATCTAATTTTCTGACGCTGATTGGTCAAAATAAATAATGATTCCTTATATGGAAGGTGTCAGCTGCCTAAAATTAGAATTAAAGACTGTAGGGACGAATTTGAATATTCGATGCGATCTTTGTCGTAAACCACTAAAGCTGGCTGCTACATTGCTGTAATTGTTCGAAACCAAACCACAAATAACTTCTATTAACATGAATTTAAAGATGCGTTATACACAACATCAACTACCAAGATGTTTTTAGCATACACACTTGGCGAATTGTAGCTAACGCTGCCGTCAACAGGCAACTAGACGTGGTGCGGCTGCACAAGGAAGTTACGAAGCCCTTGTGTTGTACTAAATTCATTAATCTGTGAATATGAATTCGACGACAAGTGTTCTCCACATTGGAGATATAGTATCGTTGTACACTGAAGGATCGGACAGTGGATTTCTCAGCACATTGGGGTATGTTAATCACGCAAACGTTTTAAGGTCAACATAAACAGCACTTTACAATGTATATTTATAAATCTTGTGTGACGATCACTTGTATTTCGAAGTCTTATTATAATGTTGATTCTGTCAAGATTGGTTGATGATCGTTGTGTTGTACAACCTGCTGCGGGGGATCTTAGTAACCCGCCGAAAAAATTTCGTGGTGAGTTTTACAGCAAGACTCATTCCATATTATATATTGCAATATATCCCTGCGTATTTTTTTAATAGGTTTTTAACCCTTGGCGAAGCACCTGTTGTGTTTATAGTGAATATTTTTTTCATGCCTAGATTGCCTCTTTAAAATATGTCCTATGAACAGATATTCGGCACAGAAACAATTTTGGAAATCAGCTAAACCAATACTCTCAACTGCTAGAGACACTGTATTGTTGACAAAATTACATGTGAGTATATGTAAAAAAATAATGTTCTTTGGAAGTAATTATTCTGTCCACAATGTTGCATATTAAGACATGTAATGTAAATCAATTATGCATACTACACTGTCATTCTATATTTGACTTAAAAATATTAGGTTTTTACACTTCTTAGCAGCCTTGTGATTGTGTGGTTTAACAACTTGAACTTTTTTCAATACACTTCTCTTAGTTCTCTATCCATTTAGTTTTGATTTGCACTCAAACACAAAAATATTATCTTTCGAATACATATAAACATGTTATGTCAGCAGTGTGAAAAGCAGCCTTCATGGCAGTTTTTGGCTAGATATTTATGGCAAATGGTAAATGTTGTCCTAATACAGACATTTTCCATGTTTGTCTCAAATATAATTAACTTGGATTTGAATGAGCTAAAAATTAGCAGTGCATGGCTGTATTGTAGGCTGAAGTGCTGTCATATTTGATGTTTCCAAGAGATAGACAGATTGTGATGTTATTAGATAACAATGGAAATTCGAAAGATTGCAATAGTGAGCTTATTTCACTGTTTTAACACCTGGGGGTAAAGTTCAATAGGTTAAAGGGTGTAATTGCAATTGCCAATGCTCTGAACCTATTAGGAGAGAATAGACCTTTCCCCTTTTAGCTTTCAAGAGTGCAATATGTGTGACGGTAGTTGATTATCAGCAACTTTGAGTTGCAATATCGCTCTACTTAGAAGCGCTTTTGTTTGTAAGGAAACTTCGCCAATTCTTTTTTCCTCTTTGTTAAACTAAATCACTCCTGAACATGGCGAAATCACAACTTAAATTGACCTTGATAATCAAGTAGTAATTAAGGTTGGTGATAGGAGAGGACTTTGGTTAAAAAATATAAAGGTAAAAAATGGGGTGTGTATAATGCAAAGGAGAGGCAAAGGCAATTTAAAATATTAATGGTATAGAGTATTTAAACCATGTGAACCCACTTGAAGTATCTGCAGGATAGACCCATGCTGAACTGAGTATTGAAAGCAATTTATTCCCCAAAGTATGCACTCATTTCTAAGTTGAGGGTGTCTAACCCTGCAGCTTACCAAAACTTGCTTACCAATGGGGCCCATTGGCAATTGGCACTTTGCAACATTTTTAACATTTTACTAATGCCATATTACGATCCAACTTAATAACTGCTGAAACTTTGTTGTCTATCTCCAAGCTTTGTGAATTTTTATTACTTAATTGTGCAGCCATTCTTTTTCAGTTTTATGCCATGTTTGTAAACGTTCATAGATGATCATTGATTTTCTGTAGCATGCTGCAGAACTGGAGAAGAAACAAAATGAATCTGAGAAGAAAAAGTTGGTAGGTCAGGTTGTCAAGTATGGTCATGTTATTCAGGTAATTCTGCCATTGTGTTACTAAATTCAAGTAATTCAGTCTTTAAAAATTAGCCCTGTAAACATATAAAAATCTTCCTCTGTACTGTAACCAATTACCCTGATATCTGGGATAGTTACGAGGGGCCATCACTTAAAATAGGTTATTGTGAGCGTGACAACGAAAAACCCTGTGTATACGAGGTTGATTCCAGCGATTTTACGTGAACCGTCAATACAATTCGTAATATCATGTTATTAAAACCTTGTGCAAGATTCTACCTAAAAATATTTGATACGATATAGCTACGACTATACTAAGCGATCTTCTGCTATTTTAATTGTTCATAGCGATTCAATTTAGACTTCAGCATATTGGCTAATGCAGCGTGTATTTTTGTTGTATAGATTTTACATGTAAAGAGTAATAAATACCTGACTGCAAACAAGAGATTACCTGCACATTTGGAAAAAAATGCGATGAGAGTAACATTAGATACAACAGGGAATGAGGTGATACATGGCTATGGGCTATAATATCCATTTTTATATACTTCATTTTGTTTTTACAATGCATTTGTTTGTCACCTTTCTTCATCTTTTACTTTTTTTTTAGGGCTCGTGGTTTTATGTTTTACCTTTCTACAAATTACGATCTCAGGGCGACGATGTATGTAATTATTTCAGTTGCACCGAATAGCCAGGATAGGCATAATTGCATTTCAAAACAACAATTAAACTGAACGCCGCAATCACTGAGAGTGTTTTTTATAACAGAAATAATCATTCGGCAACAACTATACCGTGGTTATATTTTAGGTGGTTGTCAATGATAAGGTCATTTTAAGCCCTGTAAATGCAGGTCAACCTCTCCATGCTAGTGGGAGTGAGCTGATTGACAATCCTGGTTGTAAAGAGGTAAGAAAGATTACACTATATATATATTCATTAAGATCTCTGCGTTTATTGATGTTACGTAACAACTACTTTACATTGCAATCTCTGCGGCATGCCGGCAATACGATAATCAGGCAACTGTAGTATTTCAAAACTTTGAATAATAAATAGATGGATAGAAAATTTGGATTGTGCAAAATCAAGTCAGTTCAATAATTTCTTCTGCTATATATATAGCTTGATGTGCGTACCAATTAACAAAGTCGGTCCCGTCTGTAATGAAAAAAAAATTAATGAAATATTTATCCTTTTCCAGGTGAATTGTGTTAGTTCTGATACAAATTGGAAGGTATCATTATTTCTTTCATTCAGAGAGAACAACGAAGAGACGTTAAAGGGCGTAAGTAGCTATATGGCACAAATCGCCTTCTCTAAATAAAATCTTGAAACAATATATATAGTGAATGCATTGACATTGTGGTCCCTGTAAAATGAACAATATTCTGCCCTAAGAATGCCAACACCGTGCGTTACTTTAGAACTTATTTATTTAAAAGTTCAGAGTTGCAAAAGAGTTCAACCTTCCTCCGGTAGGATTTCAAGTTTTGAAAACACTCTTCAAAATGACGTTAGCTATACATCACTGAGTCAAGTGGCAACCAGCATAAAGAAATATTTGTTTTTTTGGTACACGCATGTGATCATTGCATGCATGTGCCAATTGCCATTCAAAGTAAACCTTCCTCCGGGTGGTACCCGCGTACCCGCAGGTTTTTTGCAACTCTGTAAAAGTTTAGTTCGATTTCCTTATTCTGCATGATTTAATCCTCAGAGACCATACAAACCTGGATCATACAAACCTCTTATTTACTTTATCGTTCTCCTATAGGGTGATGTCGTTCGTTTATTTCACGCTGAACAGGAAAAATTTTTGACAATGGACGAGTACAAAAAGAAATCATTTGTATTTCTGAGAACAACAGGCAGAACTACAGCAACATCCGCCACAAGTTCGAAAGCGTTATGGGAAGTTGAGGTACATTATTGCATACAAAAAGAAATGGTCTTGGAGATTTCTATTTGTTTTCTATGTTCACTGATTATTTCATCTCAAATACTCATGCATATGATTGTTTACATACAATACGTAATTTATAAATGAGTTGCATATAATTTTATATGTAATATCATTTAACTTAATAATCCTTAAAGATACAGGTATAGTTCATGGTATGGTAGGATTCCCAGTACAATTATATTCACGAGTTTACGCATACTCTCCTCACTATGAGAACTGAGAAGATGCAAAATTTTTATTGTGTAACTGATTGTATAAATGCAAAGCGCTGATATTCATTTTTTTTTATCAATTGCATTTTAAGGTTGTTCAACATGATCCTTGTGCTGGGGGAGCTGCCCACTGGAACAGTTTATTGAGATTCAAACATTTGGCCACCGGTTACTATCTTGCTGCAGAGGTAAATGTGATTACTCATTTTTGTTCATATATACCAGGATTCGACAAGCGTTGCTCAATTATTTTTCATGACATGTATAGTCCTTCTGTTGTACACGTACTCTGGTTTATTAGGCAGTTAGTGATTCATCTTATTGCATGTGACTTACGATAAAGTTATACTATATATAGTTGCAAGTACCCCTGCTGTTCTTACTATATTTTACATGCAGTATATTGCGCTCTGTTGAATTGGGCTCTTCGTGCATCTCTGTATTCAGCTATTGCGAGTTGATAACGCGATGCATATTAACGTGATAGATAAGTATTGATGCGACCATGGATAATAAAACACATGAATAATAATGTCTTATAACTATCCATGATGCGACACAAGCTGTTGTCTTCCCATGCGTCCAATGAATCGGGGATCCATTTGAGGGGGGAATTTCTGGTGGGGGTGAGTATTCAAAGGACCGATAATTTTTCATGAGAGACCGACCCCTCCACTCTATCAGAGGCACACTCATATGATGCTAAATTATAGGGTAAAGTTTTCAAGACGCCAAGATAGTGGGTGTTCAATATTTTACCTAGATTCTTCTATTTCCGCATACTGTTCTTTACTATTCATTGTATATATTTAACGTGTAGGTGGTGTTGTTTTGTTAAATTTTATTCACGATATTCGTGTAAAAAGTAAAAACATCCAACTTCGGACCGATTATAAATTCTTGTTAGGAATTAATGCTCCATTATTGTGGGTGTCACCCATCCACCTGGGATATATTGTATGATTTCGGATTATTATTGCACTGCTAGCCATGCAAGCTGCTAAGACAAATGTAAACGTCGATTGTGAGACCAGTGTAAACCACACATAAATCATGCATGATAATCAATGCATTGCATTCTGATCTTTTATTAACTGCATACGCATAGTCACAAAATTATTTTTGAAAGAATTCCTAGTATGTGATTTGTTTTTATTATATAATTTCGTCGGTATCTTTTACCAAGGTGGACGATGATGATACAAGTGATCCTACCAGAAACAAGCTTCGCGATAATTCTCCGGTATTTCATTTAATTCAAGTTCCACACAGCAACGATATTTCATCGATATTTGAACTTGATCCGACTACTATGGCACGTCCTGATAACTTTGTACCCAGGTGAGGTTCTAATTTTCAATAAACCCAGCAGGTGTTCAGTTTCCTTGACAATAACTAAATATCTTATATGGCGAATGTCTTAACCTCCTTTCTTATATCTGTTAGTATTATTTATTAGTGAGTACAACTTAATTAAAATCGAATTATTGTTATGTCTATATATGCTTTCAATTATATCAAACAATATCCTACTTGCATGCAGCACAGCAATTTCTAATCTGTCCTCCTGTACACTGCATAACATCGCGATAAAAATCAACAGACGCGCCTTTGTAAAATTTGTTTGACGAAGAATCGTTTACAAAATCGTATAACGTCATTTGGTGTAAGCTTCACACAGCAAAAATGTGTCCAGGATTTGCGAAATGTAATTGAGAAGAATCCTTCAAATATCATATACCTTATATATACACTTGCAAGACTATACACAACTGTAACGTGCATGCGCAGTAACGCGATAATCTATGTATGGTTGCATGCGTCATTTGAAGCTATTGCAGTGGCAATGAATTTAAGCATGGCGAATTACCTTGTGTGTCAAGCCACGATTTAAATTAACCGATAACAAGCCACCAGGCCACACGAATATATCGACGTATTGTACTTTTCTCTTGCATTCTTTCGGTCTCTCCCGCAATGATATAATCAGGAGGGTTTTGAAGAACCCAAACTCCCGCAGAATTTTGGCGGAACAAGAATTAAATGGAAACACTCCATTCCCTCTAGGCCCTACGCAATTTCTCGTTTTTCCTAACCTCCGTGTTTTGAGTTAATATGTATTGTATATATAAAGCATGTTTTATCATTTCTTTTTCAGGTCTTCATACGTCCGACTCCGTCATCTATGTACAAATACTTGGGTTCATTCAACGACAATTCCAATTGATAAGGAAGAAGATAAACCGGTCATGCTGAAGGTAAAGAACAAAGATAGTTCATTTTCTAGCAGATCTTCACTATTGTTGTTAAATCTTCGTTGTTATCTTCGGACAATCCTACCTATGCTTGAAGGAAATTAGCCACGTTTGAGATATGAAGCTGTCGGAGCGAAATCTTGAACAACAATTGCTTTGTTGTATAGATTGGAACAGCCAGTGTTCGAGAAGATAAAGAAGCCTTCGCAATTGTTCATGTTTCACCGTCCGAAGTTCGAGATTTGGACTTCGCTAATGATGCAAGTAAAGTTTTAGGTGAATTTGCACTTCGCATGGAAAATGGAAATGTGAGCCAAAATGACAGGAGGTAAGCCTCTCTTGTTTGCTGTTTGGATCGCACCGGAAATTTAGAGGTTTTCTTTATCTGATATCCGACTTGGACTTTATACGGGTACGAAATCTCGATAAATAAACTTATCTGGCTTTCCCGGTTTATTGGGTAATCTTTGCATGAAACACGACAAATATTGTACACAATTCATGTCCGTAATTACGTCGCAGTATATTATGTGCTGACTGATTGGTTAATTAACAAAGGCTTTTTTGTTAGGTTTGTGACGAAATTGTTAACGGACTTGGCCCATTTCGTGACGGACACTCAAGACTCGGATGCAGATCCGCTATCAATATCTTGCCAAAATCCTGACAGAGACCGACAGAAATTGATGAGAGAACAAAATATTTTACGAGAGGTACGATTTCGTTCAAATGATTCCGAAAATATTTAAAGTCGAAAATGACCAGGCCAAGGCCTAGTAGCTGATACAAAGAACATTTCACTGATACTCTGGTTCTTGAATCACGCATTTAATCCATTTAGGTTTAGGGTAACTTATAGATCAACAGAAATTCCAAAAGGTTTAGTTAAATAACTCATTTCAAAATTCTTCATTGACAGATTTTCCATGTTTTGAAAACACCATTCAACAAAAAAGACGAAGAAGCCAACTTAAAACCTGAAGATTTAGTAAATCCCAGCAACGCCCAACTGCGTCATATTCTACGTCTGTGTTATCGTGTTTTAAAATATGCTCAACAAGATTACAGGAAAAACCAGGTTCGTACTGGTGAAGGTTACACTGCATGGAATGTTTAGTTATTTTAGTTGAAGCGCCAGAGGATTCCTTGTTTGCGAGAAAGTTCCTAACGTTTTTTCAGACGGCGTGAAAAATTTGAGAGGCGTAAAATAGACGTAAAAGAGACGCGTAAAATTAATATTTAGCACACTCTATGTCCCAAAACAAGGACAAACACTTATCGTGTGCATTGTATAGACTCCCTTGCCGTTTTTCAGATCACTGTTATTGTGAGTGACAATGTGTTACACTTTTCTAGGAATATATTGCCAAACAGTTTGGTTTCATGCAAGCTCAGATTGGTTTTGATATAATGGCTGAAGACACAATTACAGATTTAGTTCATAACAACAGGAAATTATTGGAAAAACACATTACTGCAACTGAAATCGAAACTTTTGTCAGCCTTGTCAGGCTAAAAAGAGAGTGCAGGTAGCTATCCCGACTGTTTATGGTGTGATGACAGACTATAACTAGTGAACTGAATAATGCTATTAGTAAACAAAACACATAAAAATAAACATTGAAATGGAACAAAAAAATTTCGCTTAAAGATTTTTATATCGTTCAATAAGGGTTTTTGATTATCTAAAGTCTTGAACTGTGCACAGCCATGCAGGAATATACACACACATGCAAAAACAGCAAGTTAAACTTTAACCCGTGTTGGCGTTAATCAGCTTTGAACAGCCGGTTTCTTTAATAATATGTTTACGTTTTTGTGTGTTTGTAGATTTTTGGTGTATTTATCAGATTTGTGCGTTTCTAACAATACTGCAATTCCAGCCACTCAGGAATTGATCTATAAGTCAGTTCTTGAATCATCTTCGAACTCTGATCTCCTCATAAAAACAAGGTAAAAACATAAAAACCGGGTAAAGTGAATAACTATATATAAGGATGAACTGATACTTATAAAGCAACAGCTAAGCTACACTAAGGAGCAAGATAACAAATGTAGAAAGTTTGCTTCATGGCCCTACAGACCTATATGCATGAGTGTAGCCTAGCTGTATACACCGCGAGGAAAAGGTCTGGATACGAGGATGCCTGTGGATGAGGAACATCCATGTTATAACATTATTCATTTTGAAAGTTCGTCCCCCAAAAATTTTTAGATTGATTGACGCCGTAACTTATCTAACAAGAATCTCGATTTCAGGATTATAGACGATGTTGTACATGTTGAATGGTGTACACAGAACGGGACAGTTCAGAAAAGTCAGCATGAACTTGCTGAAGGTTTTAAGCAGGGCAACAAACAAGATGTCGAAATAATGAATTTTTACAGGTAAGTCAGCTTGTACCAGCTAGGGTGCATGGCTATGCAGGACTGTAGCCATGCAGGAGAGATCTGCTTTGAAGAGGGCTTTGAGTTTAGGCTCGCCGGTTATGGTAGTTAATGGTGAGAGTTCAATCTTTTCCCTGGCATATATCGTCACTCTCACATAAATTCACAACGTCACTTACCATGTTGGAATTGTTTTCTTGTTTAGACATCAACTTAATCTATTTGCGTACATGTGCTTTGATCGACAATATTTGGCGATAAATACTTTGAGCGAGGAATTAGATGTCGATCTTATTCAAAGGTATTTTAGAATTGTTACGTACAGTATCAAAAATTTACAGCATGACTAATGCAGTAGCTTCTTTATTCAAGGTGTATGGCAGATGAAGAATTACCCTGTGACCTTCGAGCAGCATTTTGTCGTCTCATGTTGCACATGCACATTGACCGAGATCCACAAGAACAAATAACGCCAGTAAGATATGCTCGACTTTGGTCGGAGATTCCACTTCAACTCAGTATCGAAGAGTACGTATTCTCAGAATCATGTTTTTGAATCATATTAAAGGAAAAAATGGGTTTACTGAAAAACATCTATTTCGGGTGTATAGGAATGGTAGTATCTTATGGAAGGCTGCTCTAGGATCATTCCTCAAAAATTCGTTGATTTTTTTTAGTTATGACAAACAAGATATTTTTGGAAAGAGAAACCGCGCAAAGTTTACGAACACTGTCGATTTTGTTGAAGCATATTTGCGGCAAATAAGTTCAAATATTTGGGCGTTTAACAACAAAGAACAGAATAAACTCACATACGAGGTTTGCCTTTTTTTTCAGATGGTCATGAATCATGATAATGAGACGAAAGTTATATTATATCTTGGCCGTATCAATGTTTAGTATGAAGACAAGTTCTTTTTGTTTGTCAGGTTGTTCAGATAGCTCGACACTTGATATATTTTGGATTCTATGGTCTGAATGATTTAATAAAACTCACAATGAAACTCTTGGCAATCCTGGATGGTGAACAGCGCGCGTATGATAGAGCTAATGCCGTGAAAATGAAAAGTATGTCATTCTTAGTTAGGACATTTGTATTAAGGATATAATTTGGAGGACTTTTTTGACAGCTACAGTAATTGGGAGCACTTGTGAGCACTAAAAACATGCGAAAACGTTGAAAGTGTGTACAGGGTGTCTCAAAAAAAATGCAACATCTTAAATATGCAACAATATTAATATTGTTCGGGTTTGCACCACAGTTCAGCTAAAATGACTTTTAGCATTTTAAATGAAGGATTAAGAGCCATTTTCAATTCCCAGAGGTGCTTATCTATTGTGCTTTAGAGCTGTATTGATGTCTTGCATATTTAAGTGGTTGCGTTTTTTTTAAGACACCCTGTATATGCATGTGTTTGTGATATTTATTTCTCTTTCTTTAGCCTCGACAAAACGGGATGTTTCGAGATCTGTCAGTACAATAGGTACCCTCATGACCCGTATGGTACTGCCCGGGGCCAAGGATCCCTGGGGATTAATTACGTCGGCTGATAAATTGAACAATTTAAAAAGTTCGGATGTCGAGAAAGATCGTGTTGTGATGGAAACGAAAGTGAAAATTATTGAAATTTTGGAGTTTATTTTGAACGTTCGTCTGGATTACAGAATTTCAAGTCTGCTGACAATTTTTAAACGAGAGTTTGATATTAAAAATGGCAGCGCGGTAGGAAATGAAGGTGAAAACAAGAAACAACAACTTTATTTCATATTCTTAGTTTGACTTCTGGCAGCAAGCGAATCGTACACCATGCATAGAATATATAGCTGTAAATGAACCCGCTATACCAATGCTTATCGAATTGGTTTCTTGTTTCAGGAATTGATCTAGAACGTGTTGGCATGCAAGCAGAACAGCTATTTGGAGGCCTTGGGTAATAATTATGCTATATATATCCAGATTCAAAATCTCATTTATAGTGTAAAAGATGTTTTTTCCTCTCCCCTATGCCAGGTGTTAAGCAGACAACACGACACACTTATACTCTTTTTAGAACGTTACTGCATGGGTCCTTTCCCTTGCATGACTTATTCTTTTACTCGCTAAATCACTTTCCGTTGTGTATTTGACTGCGTCTAACCATAAATATACTTTTTTAATAGGATATGTATTGTTGGAGCAAAAACACATGACCTGGACTTTGATGGAACAGGTGGTTGCACATTCCTTCGTGTACTGTTATCCTTGATTATCCATGATTATCCTCAACTTGTCGTTGGAGCCCTGAAACTTTTGCTGAAACACTTCAGTCAAAGACAAGAAGTACTTCACGCTTTCAAACAGGTATGTTGTATCATGCAAGAGAATCCATGTTTCGTAAAGCTAAAAGGTCGAAATCAAAAATTAATCTTCCGCTGTTATCCAACAATTGAAACCATGCATGTATTCTCGTATAAACTTAAGGAAGACTTATTATATATGTTAAATTATGTCACCCTTGTTTAAAGCTCTTAAAAAAAGCTAGAAGGTGATGTATACACTAGCTGATCGTCTATTAGCTGATCGTCGATTGCATTGGTAGGTCCAACTTTTAGTAACAACCAAGGATGTTGAGAACTACAAGACTATAAAAGAATCTTTGGATGAACTGAGATTGTTGGTTGAAAAGTCAGAGTTGTGGGTGTTCAAAGATAAAAAGAGGTCAGACAAAAAAAGTGACAAACGTAAAATAAGTACAGTGAAAGATCAGTCGAAAATTGATGGAGGCGTTCTGCAAGATTTTGGTGAAAATGTTGACCTGCAGGTGAAGATCTTTCCTTATCTTTTTCTTACTATGTGCTTTGCCTGAAGAAATGTGAGACTGAGAAGAGATATGGTCATACTTTAAAGGATATTTTTTGTTATAACCATTCAAATTGTGCTATAACTATATTCTCTTAATTTTCTAGTCGTATCGCCCACGACTGGGAAGTGAGGAATCTTTAGAAGCAAATGGTGATAACTCTAATGGAGACGCCAGCTTTTTAACAAACTACCAAACTATCAAGAAGGTAATCTTTTGCTGATAATGTCTCCTTGCATGTGTATATATTTGATTATTATTAATACATTCGACATTGATATATATTTCGCTAACAGTGTGTTCGTGCATGGTATGTCTTATATTAGATATTTTGTCACATTTTGATGCACCAATTTGTATAGTTCGGAGTTATTGGTCGCCAAGACGTTGTAGAATTAAAACAATCAACTATTGATAATACGTTTTCTTTTTTTAGCCATGTACAGTAGCTTAGTACTTTGAATGCTTTTCTTTCTTTTAGATTCTTGAACACCTTTGTGCATTATGTGTGACCGAAAGTCCAAATGGCAAACGAAAAAACAATAAACATGAACAAAGGTTACTTCGTAACATGGGAGCTCACACGGTCGTTGTGGAACTTTTGCAGATTCCATATGAAAAGGTAACAGACAAATGCTAGGCAATATCCAAAAATATGGTTCTTTTACCTTTTTTACTTCATATTTTCTGTCATAATTGTTTCACATAACATTTGGTTAACCTATTTATTTAGAAAAAGGACATCTACATGAAAGACGTGATGACATTAGCTCATCAATTTCTGCAGCTATTTTGTCTTAACAATAAACATAACCAAGCAATCCTTTATAAACATCTCGATCTCTTTCTTGTTCCAGGGGTAGGTTTCAATTGTATTTATAAATTCAGAATGATTTCGCTCGACATTTCCAGTGCGGCAAAGGGGAAGCATGCATGCAATGTTAATGCAGAATTATCTTCCAATCTAGCTTCACGAAGCCCAAACTCTTCAACATATTTTTCAAGAAAATTTGTCTTTATGTAACGACGTCCCAGACAAAGTAATTCATCATCTGGTACGAGCCATTGAAACTGAAGGTCGCCAAGTTCAGTATTTAAAAACTTTGCAAACGTTAGTGAAAGCAGAGAACCAAGCCGTAAGGAAATGCCAGGATTTTGTCATGGTTGAGGTATCAGATAAGAACTATTACTATTGTTGCTGCATTATAATGTTTTTAAAAGTTGTTTAAATTGCCTTTTGCAACTTGTAAAGACCGTGATTATTCCTTTTTTGATTAGTTTTTGAACGCTGGAGAAGAGGTTCTGTTATTTTTTAACGAGAAAAAGACGCAAGAGAAATTCTTTGAACAGATGAGATCAGAAAAAGACAATCTGAGTGAATCCGGTTCTATCGCGTATCACATCAACCTTGTTAAGCTGCTGGCCACTTGTACTGAAGGAAAAAATGCTAATACTGAAATAAAATGCCATAGTTTGCTTTCATTGGATGATATTCTGAGGATTGTTGTACATCCAGATTGTCTGTCTGAAGTAAGTTAGGTGATATATTAACTGGATTATAATAAACTGTGAATCCATGCACCTCTCACTTCTTACCAAGACTTCTTTCTTGTTTTTTAGTATTGTACTTTTTTACTACCATGTTTCAGGTAAAAGATGCGTATATTTACTTCCTCATTCACTGCTACGTCGACACTGAAGTCGAGATGAAAGAAGTGTACACAAGTCACCATATTTGGGCATTGTTTGATAACTTCTTATTAGACATGGCAAGGGTAAGAACCATCCAACTACAACAGTTAAAATGATTTTACGGCACAAATATAATTTTACTATATGTTATTTTACTATATGTTTAAGTAATAATTGGAAGTAATTCTTGCATGTAAAAGATGAAGTATTTCAAAACTGCACGTGCAAATATATTTTTCTTCACATTACAGATTTACACGACTGGTTTGAACAGACGACAAGCAGATGCATCTTTGGAAAATTACGTCACTTCAACTATCATGAATGTGATTGCAAACTTCTTCACATCACCGTTCTCCCAATGTAGTACAGCAATTGACGTTAGTAAACATTTTTGCTGGAATGAAAGCATTTAAAATTATAATTTTCAGATTAGATCATGGAATAGTATGATATTCACTGTTAAACTGTTCAACTGATTTTATTTTATTCGTTTGTGGGCAACTTTGTAAAGCGACCTCCATGCGCTAAATCCTAATTTCCTAGCGTTATGAATGTCTGCATGATCGACAGTAACGCACCTTTATGACTTTTAGGCCCATCAACTGGTGTTCGTCAGAATTCTTCAAAGTGTTTATCGTTTATCCCAATGTTCATCACTAAGTGGTACTCAGAAATACAACGTTGAAAGCTGCATCCGCACTCTCTGTGACGTAGGTAGGTGAAGTAGATTAAGGGGGATCCTGGGGGCTTCCAGCATTGCACATGCATAGCGGTTTAGACTTCGAGTAGTCAGTGTTTCTTCCGAAATCACTATTTCATTTTTTTAGCAAAGACACGCTCTATTGCCATTCCTGGGGATTTGGAAAATCAGATTACCATGATGTTTAATCAAACTGTAATGATGGCAAAAAGTACACAAAAGTGGTTGAGTCATGGCAAGAAGAAAGAATCAGTGGTCAGTAAACCGATTCCTAAAGACTACAGAAACATTATTGAAGGTCTTCAGGTTAGTAAATAATAAAGTACAAATATGTTTCTATGAAAATTGGGCTGTGCTCTTTCAAAATGAAATGTAACGCAGATCATCCTATTTATTCAAATTAGCGACTTCGTTGCAAAGATTCCCCCGCACTGTAATAATTTTGAGGATTTTTTAGGACATCGTGTGTTTGTTGGAAGAACAATTGCGGCCTCTGATCCAAGCAGAGGAATCGGTGCTAGTGGATATCTTGTATAAACCTGAACTCATGTTTCCTCCAAATTCTGCTTGCCGGTCAAAGTCTGAGAAGGGAGGTTTCATTTCAAGGTATGCTGGTTTAACGACATGTCGGAGAGTTGTTATCACAAGTTACCTGCCTGAAAGCTTTGTGCTCTTCGAATTTATCATTACTGATGTTTTTGAAACAAAACTTTTACATTAAAAGTTGTGCGTTGGTATTCGTAATTTTACAGTGACGAATAACTAGTATTATGAAATGTATTTAGGTTGATAAAACACACTGAACAATTGGTGGAAGATGAAGAAATTTTATGTATTCAAGTCTTGCAACATCTGAGAAATATGGTCGAGAGAGAGACACGTTTCGGACGTAAGGTAAAATGACGTATATGACCACGCTGACCAGAATATAGATAATATCGCAGTCCAATTAAGTACAGAGCCTGGAAACAATAAAGAAGCAGGATTTAATTTCCTGTATAATGTTTTCTTTTTCTTTCTATTCATTCCCATTCAACATTGTGTTTACTTTTTCAGGCTGCTAATTTGAGATCATTATTATTGAAACGATATTTTGGTGCCAACTACTCCAAGATAATGGAAGCATCAGAAGAGAAAATTTATCAAACTAAAGATTCTTCAGTTCGTTCCGAAAAACTGGTTCTTAAACGAGCAGGTGTAACCTTATGTGAAATGCAGTGTCAATTAAACACTTGTGGTGCTACGGATCTAGTTATTGATATTATTATGAAGAAACCCAGCTATCCTGTGTTTCTGGAATGTATAAAACTCGCTATTTCATTACTTGAAGGTGGAAATCATTTAATACAGGTATTGATCATATTGTAATATTCACATTAGCTTGTTTATGGATGAAACGTACAGTCACACCAAAGCAGAAAATGTACTACACTATTGCTTATTTGCCTTTTTTTCTTTTTAGAGGTCATTTTTTGGTCGTTTCATAAATGGAAAATCTGAAGCATTTTTCCATAGTGTTCATGATAAAATGAAAGAAGCAGAAATTGCTATAAAAAACAATATGACGGTCATGGCTGAAAGTAATGCTGGGTTAGAACCGAGTGACACATCTCAAGGTAATGCACAACAAAATATTGCCAAATCATCATCTGGAAGAAAAACCACGGTGACAACAGGTACGAGATTATTACATCGATACTACCCGTCTACCTTCAACGGCGAATAGGTCAAGAATATATAATATACTTTCATATATATTTATACATGTTGTAAAGGTTGAACTTTAGCTCTATCCACTGTTTAAGCTAAACATGCTTCGTACAACCGGCCAATGACAATGCTGATGTCAGTATAATTTCACTCACAAATGAGCATTCAATCATTTCTGGATGTGGTCATCCAAACGCAGTATAACTATAAGGGTCTAAAAACCAGTAGACGACGATTTTTTTCTTGTTTTCTCAATCATTTGATTGTATTCTGGTGTATATGGTGATGTTGTTTTGGGAGAGTCTGGCTCACGACACCCTGTGCATCGGTGACATCTTTTTGGCATCCTGAAAATCTTCATGCATGCATTTTGTTGACATGTACCAAAGTCGTTTAATCAAAGTACACGTTTAATGTTGAAAATTAAAAGTATTGTTGTTCGCTTTGTTCAAATTATATTTCATCTTAAAATGCTATAGGTTTACATGCGCTGCCTTCGTATCTCAATATGAGTGATGAGGTCAAGGAGCAGCTGGCCGATGCTGCTACGCACACAACCCGAGCTTATGCAATGGTTCGTCGTAGTCGTCAACCTGATGCTGACACTGAGCAAGGAAGAACTGGAGTATCTTCAGAAAACAGATCTCTCGTATCTGCAAGATCACCGAGGGCTATTGGGGGATCCAGTGTAGCCTCGAATGAAGTTCTCCTGGTTAAGCCGATAATGAGATTTTTGCAACTTCTTTGTGAAAATCATAATCGTGATCTACAGGTATGGAATTGACTTGTAATTATGTTTCCGCTCTTGCATGCCTGATAGCTAACAGCAAAAGTTTCCGACATTGTGTACGTCAGCACTCGCTATAAAACGACACCTCACTTAACCAAAATGTAGTTCGGAATTTTATGCAACCGACGTCTGGGATAACAGCTCAAATGAAAAGAATTCTTCTTCTCTTGTGCAGCGCCAATAATTCATCACCCAGCAGGGCACGGTCAACCTAACTGCTGAGTTTTTTGTTTTAGAACTACATACGGGAGCAAGACAACAAAACAAGCTATAATTTAGTTCTGCAAACTTTACAATTTTTGGATATCATTTGTGGCAGCACATCTGGAAGCCTGGGTCTTCTAGGCTTATATATCAATGAAGATAATGTTGAGTTGATCAATCAGTGTTTGGAAAGTTTGACTGAGTACTGTCAGGGACCATGTCCTGAAAATCAGGTATATTAATTGTTTAGGAATATTAATGTTTATATATTTTCAATTTATGTGCAAGCGTTTACGTATTTCAGAACGACATTGCATTGCATGATTCTAATGGTGTGGATATCATATCTGCTTTGGTGGTAAACGACATCAATCCTCTAGCAAAACAACGAATGGATTTAGTATTGGAGCTCAAGGTAAACTATTGTTTATTTCGGTTTAACAAAGGAAAATTTAATTACAAACGTATGGATAACACACACAAATACTTATATAACATACACAAATTGTCAGGACCAACAGCAGGGTTGAACCCCAATAACAGTGGCCCGTACTATGAGGCAGTTTGACTCTTAGCACTTGTGTACTATGGAGGTGGATCACTAGCTGATACGCCACGTAAAGAAGGCACTATATACCGCATGGGACCTTTTTATTTTTTCAGTTTTATATACTTCGGTTACTACAGAAGTATGTGGTTACTATAAAATGACGTTTTCATGCAGTTGTCACTTATATTCTAGCTTGAAAAATAATTATCATAGAAAACACCCAATTCCAGTTGTCATGAGTAGTCTAATTAATCGCGTCAGTCGTAAAAGTTTACCCGCGTGTTTTAGTTACTCCCCAGAATTTTTTTATTTTAATAACCGAATAAATTGTTTCCTTTCCAGAACAATGCTTGCAAGTCGTTACTGGCAATTTTAGAGAGCAGAAACGATGGCGAGAATGCGGAAAGAATTTTGTGCAGTTTGAGTCCAAAACAATTGGTAAACATTAGTTGGTTTTACTTGCATGTGTTTATCGTTACGCAGTACGTTTAAAATGTTTAATGTTTTAGTTGGAGTCGTGCAGAAAAGCGTATGATTTTGAAACAGTCGACCATAACAACAACAATGATTTTGAAAGTGATATTTCTCCTCGTGATGTTGGACACAACATTTATATCTTGGCTCATCAAGTATGTTTTAAAAGGGCTTAACAAAGAAAGTTTAAAGCAGTCTAAGTATTGGGAAAGAATAAATAAGAGTGAGGATTCATCATTCGATACGTACATATTTTAAAATGTTGTTTTATGTCTTAGCTATCTCGCCAAAGTAAGGATTTAGCGTGTCTGTTAAGAGCTCCAAACAACCCTGAAGAAAACGAAGAGCCGGTTGGCGCCTTGGATTATTATTCACGCCACACGGCACAGATTGAGGTATTTACATGCAATGTTCAATTTTCACGTGAAGCCTTTAATAAACCACCGGAGACGCTTTATTTGCTAAATGAAATATTTACTTTTATAGATTGTTCGCTCAGATAGAATGATTGAACAAATTGTTTTCCCAGTTCCACAAATCTGTGAATATTTAACTGAGCGCAGTAAACATCGTGTGTTTAAAACGACAGAGCGAGATGAACACGGCAGCAAGGTAAAATAGTGATTTATTATGATGCATGTTTGTATATTTGTTATTTTCTCACTTAGCACTTCCAGCACTGAAGTCGTGTACTCTCTTCCTCTACATATTCCCAGTTTAGAGAAACTTTTGGAGTTGTTTTTGACTCTTTTAACATTAACAATGTACCTCGCCTGCTATAGCACATATAATAACATGTACTTTCAACCATGCAAATTTTAATGTTTTTTCAGGTCTCGGACTTTTTCTCCAGAAGCGATGATTTATTTAACGAAATGAAATGGCAAAAGAAGCTCAGAGGTGAGAAACTTCTACTCGAGTCTTCCACGGCAATTAAAGTTAACATTTTGAAATAAGTCCTTTTTCAAAGTCTTGTTTGCAGCATACAATTGCATAGGTTTTATATACTGTACGGATTCGGTTCCATTTCTTTGTAGGAAATAAGATGTTGTTTTGGGTCAGTAACCAGATGCTGCTCTGGGAACGAATATCAATGAATTTAGCTGTTTTAATAAATATCATGGTCGCGTTATTCTACCCCTTTTCTGGAACTGTGCGAGGTAGGAACAATGTAGTAATGATTTGTAGAAGAAATGTGGTCAAGGCCGAAATTAGGAACGACTGAAATAGATCAATTACCTCGATCAGTTTCTCAAGTGAGCTAAGTTATCGACTGAGCTAGATACGGCGTGCTGATTTCGTCTAATCACTTATAGTCCTTGTCTATATTTTTAGTGATTGATTACCATCTTTCACTTCTGGTGTGGATTGCTATGTTCATCTCATTTGCACTTATTATGTTTTCCTCTCGTCCTTCTGGTGTCAGGACATTTCTCTTTGCTCTAATTGTTCGTTTGTTCTTCTCAATCGGCCTGGAAGCCACTCTCGTACTTCTTGGGATCGTTAACGTAAGTTCCGTGTTTATTTTATTCTCTGTGACTTTATAGACTCGCAGTTAATGTTATAATCTTCTGGTGATGTTTAATCTTTTTTCTAGTTGCTTGCCAAAGGAGTATTTCTTGTTGGATTTATTGGCAATAAAGGATTGTTTCAACATGGACTAGCGAAAATTGCATCAGATAAAGATCTTCTATTTCATCTTTGCTATTTTGGATTCTGCGTCTTAGGGCTTTGTGTCAATGAATTATTCTATAGCTTGCTGGTAAGTGCATGTAAATTAAGTATATAAATTCTGTCACTATATACATTTCGTCGCAAGTAAATGCGTATGAAAACAATCACACTTATATTTCATAGTCAGTTGTGTTATAAACTCGGCGCGTGTACCTCACCCACCTACTGTACATATGCATATCTTTTTCTCCACTTCCTTAATTTGTATACCAGGTAGAACTTACCAGGGAGATAAAAATAATTGGAAAAAACTTCTGTCTTCCAGTTGTTGGACATTGTACTTCGTGAAGAAACCTTAATCAATGTTGTTCGGAGTGTCACAAGAAATGGACGATCTATCATCCTTACTGCATTACTTGCCCTTATTCTCGTCTATTTATTCTCCATTGTTGGATTTCTCTTCCTGAAGGATGATTTTTTAGTAGAAGCCGAGCCTCGGATGCCACGTATCGTTGACACAAGTAAGTCATATCGTTTAGACAATATTTAGTTTGGCGATTCGATTAAAGTGGCTGTGCACGACGAAATGAAAAATGCGCATTGCTGCATGCTTTTCATCCATGTGCACTATCCATCAGCAATAAATATAGGATCCCGTTAGGAATATGTTTTTCCTTTCCCGTGTCGTTTTCAACGCCTGCTTGCGCATTTGGCTATTTTACTTCCAGGTGTAGTTCAAATGTTTCCAGTCTTAACCGCTCAATTTTATTTACCTATTATAGGTGAATCAAGCGATGATAGTGGTGTGTGTTCAGCTTCGTCATCTTGGGAAAATCGCTATTTTCCGGTTCAAGATAATGATAATGACGTAGCTGACTCAGTTAAAGAACATGCTTGTGAAACATTAGCCCTGTGTATTCTTACAACATTGAATAAAGGCTTACGTAATGGTGGAGGTATTGGCGACGTGCTGCGTCCACCATCACTCAGGGTATGTACAGCGGCAGTTAATCTTTTTATTTCTATACAATATTTTTGAAAGCTACAAAATTTAATATCACTCCGCGCATTATTTCGGGTCTTATATAATTGTGCCTGGGCGAAACACTGTTCTTACAGATATATTTCATTCCTCCATATTTTTTAGGAGCCGATGTTTATTGGTCGTGTTGTTTATGATATGTTGTTTTTCTTTATCGTTATCATCATCGTTCTTAATCTGATATTCGGGGTTATTATTGATACCTTTGCTGATCTGAGAAGCGAAAAACAGAATAAGGAAGAAATATTAAAAAACACCTGTTTTATATGTGGTAAGTGCTTTATGGTTGTAAAAAGAGCACGAATGTAGTCTGCTTCAAATACAAGCAGAATCGTATCTCCCAAGAGATACTAATCATTGGTCGATTCAGCTTATTAGTTTTTGTGCTATTTTAAGTGCAATATTTAGCCATCATTACGTCATTTCGTTTTCATCATCGTTCCTACCAGCACGTTATAAAATAGACTCAATGCTAAAACGTCCACATAGAGAGATAGAATTATGTAAATTATATTCGAATTATAATTGAATGGTTCGTCAAATTTTATGGTAAGGTATAACGGTAAAATCTGAACCAGAACCCTGAAGGTGGTGTATTAGTGCAATCCCCTGTTGAAATGTCGTATTGTGCAGCGCTGGAATACCTGATTACAGACGTTTTCAGTCGAGACATGCATGACAAAAAGAATGATTGAGTCGTGAATTGCTTGCTCGGAATAAATGTAAAGGCAGTTTTTTATAGCATGACGCATTTTTCTGTAGGCTTGGGTCGTGCTGAGTTTGTAAACAAAGTTGTTTCATTTGATGACCACATAAAGACAGAACATAATTTGTGGCATTACCTCTATTTCATCGTTTTATTGGAATTAAAGAAACGAACGGATTTCACTGGACCACAAAGTTATGTTTATGGGTTGATAAAGGTATATGTATATATCGGGTGGTTTGTTTCTATACCCAATAGAGAAGGGGGATGATGTATTTGTTAGGGTATGAAATATGTGAGGAACAGCACTCACAAACACTTTTGGGAGAATTCCGTCAATACAATGATAATTTAAATTTGTAATTGGTCAGTTTCATGATTAACTTCATCCGGAGTAAGTTTTGTGTTAAACAACAACGTAAATTATATCATCGCTTAATATGAATAGTAAAAATATAATTTAATGTCGTCAACGTCATCTTCATATAGCAACGAAATCTAGAGTGGTTCCCTCGAATGAGAACTTTGTCATTAGCTGTGGACATTGAGGGAGAGTCTGAACAAAACGATGCTAAAATTTTGCAAGAAAAATTGGAGAATACGACAAAACAAGTGCTGGCACTTTCTACACAATTAAAAGAATTACGTGAGCAGGTAAAGACTTGGATTTATTTCTATGAGTGAGTGAATGAGTGAGTAAGTAACTGTGGTAGTAGTGTAGTAATAAAAGAATGGAAAGGAAAATAAAATAGGATTGAAGTTTTGAAAATATAATGGTGGTGAATAGGAGCTAGGGTATTGATAAATACAATAGCTGCTAAAAACTTATAAAACTGCATGGAAATGAAAAACAGATTAGATAAAATTGATAAGAATAAAATGATTGAAAGGAAGAAAAAAGGTAACCATGCATCTTCTTATTTTGTTTAGATGTCGGAACAACGTAAATATAAACAACGTCACAGTCTTTTTGCTCCCCAAACATCGCTAAATTACACTCTGAATGGCCTAATACCCCGAACGTAACAATGCAGAAATATATAACTGCCTTTTACAAAGCACGATTTCAAAATTGTATACTACAAATAAAATATCTAGTAATTTAATTTGACACAAGCATAATTAAGTTAATTCTTTTAAAACGTTATTTTTTTAACCTTAAAATTTATTACATGACTATAAAAAAGCACGCAGTAGTGGCCAGGAATACCTCCAGTGCGCATGGGCATTAGAAGTATAAGCAATTAGTATATCGATTATTTAATCAAGATGTAATTATTTTGGCAATAAAGTAAATAGTAAACACTGCCTTTTTTCAATAAACCTGTGTTTCATTGACATTGTTTGTGAGATACAACCATATAGGCAGCCCGGTAAATGCGGGTACCGCCTGCATACTATCTTATGTATATACGCATTGACTGGGCTGCCTATGGTTGGCATGCTATAATAAGCACGTATCATATCATATCAATCGCAAGTAGACTGGCATTGCAGTGACGGTCAACCTTGTCTTTGCCAACTATAATTTAGCACCTAGACGTATTTATCGTTTACAATTAATATGCAAACGTTTTTTTAAAACCATTTAAAAAACTCGCAGTTTGTGTTTTATTGAACACTTCTGTTCTGTCATGTTCACCCTCTGAGTCTGAGGGGGTGAAAATCCTGTATACGACCATAGTAGCCCAACAATCAGGTTTTTGATGAAACAAGACACTCTCATGACCGCTCGCTGCATTACGTACGTCACTCGGGTCACGTATATGTATGTATATAGTATATAATTACCTACGTATCTATAGTATAGGTAATTATATACTATATACGTGCCCGAGTGACGTACGTAATTAAGTCGAGTACGCAATCGAGTATTTTTCTTGATTGAAACAGATTAACTTCGTGCCCTGTTAGGCAGTGCGTGTCCATTTGCTCTTTTGGATGGTTTAATTAATGTCAATTAGACATATATGCTTGAGCAATGCATTCATCGGAATGACCTGTTCAATAAAATCATACAAACGAAGTGTAGAGAGTTACCTTTAAGACGTTTTTCAAGAAGACTCGTCAAAAATTTTATGAGCTTCGTAAAAATTTGAATACTGGCCTGAAACATCAACCCGGAAATATTACCTGAAGCCACGCATAAGTACATATACTGAAGGGTGTGTGCAACCTTTTGAAAAACATGCTTAAAAATCATACTAATCAAACGTGAAAATAGCAGCCGTAAAAAGGACTCCGGTCTGCCGGTTCTTGAAATCTAAAAAACTCGTTTTCATGTTGCATTGCTGGACGCAAAGAAGCTTCCTAATTCCAATATTTTTTCCAACTACACCTTTTTACCGCCCAGAACTCCGCCCACCTTGTCGTAAACAAATAAAACAATGTCCAAGTTTGTGTCGTAACAATCGCCACTTGTGACTTGCAGTACCAGCGAAGCATTGTGACTTCACTGATACCGAGCCTGTGAAGACACGCGTGCCTGTCCTATGTTTATAAAACACTGTATAAAGCGCTGTTTGAACTATTGATATTAATGATATACTATTTTAAAATTTCAATATAGCTCAGTGTATACTACGTATTCGGATTAATACTGGAACTGGCAAGTTATTAATATTTGGCCACGTATATTTATTGTTTAGTTATTTGCATAAACATTGTAACGTTTTTTGAGTCTTTGAATTGTTCATATTTTAAACTAAAAACTTTTGATGGATCGTGAATGGATCCCTCCCAACTTACCCTCAAAGTGCACCTGGCATTTGGGAGCAAAAACATCGGATTCACCGCATTATCATGGAAGGTAATAGTAATTTTTTTTTAAATAAAATTTTGGTTAAATTTCAATCAGGATACTATTGATTGAAGATGATTAATAATTTTCATGTTTAGAAATGTGATCAGGTAATATTTATTGTACTAAAAACTACATGATTTTCATGTTTAGAAATGTTAGGACAACCAAAATAATGTCAAATGTCCTAGAAGGAATTGGTGATACTCCACTAGTGAGAATTAATCGTATTGGTAAAAGCTTTGGTCTGAAGTGCGAAATATGTAAGTTGATTTAGTTGCATGGACATATAATAGTGTTTCAAAATTCAAATGTTGTTGATTTCACAATTTCTCATTTATACTTTACTTTTGCAGAGGGGGAGGGGGTTTAAAAGTATATATGTGCAACAACCATGTACCCAACTGATGTTACATATTTTGTTAGGCCAGTAACAACTAGCTAACAATTACCAGTATGTGTCCTTATTTATGTGTCTTTTTGAAGTTTTTTTCGTCATCAGCCACAAACAATACATCGTTGATAGTCAGTGCCATATTGAGAACCAGACTTTAGAGGCTGATTACATGAGTCATTTTCATCCCCACGGTTGATTTCAGCCCCGTTGACTGGAATGAAATTTCAGCCCTGCATCACTATTAATATCCTATAAAATACAATGTGCGATTACATGACAAATTTTCAGCTCCGGGACTACGTACGTTCTACCCCACGTTTCAAATTTCATCCCAGCCTGAGCATCCTGAGTTGAAATTTCACCCTGGGGTAAAATTAGTCCCGGGCTTAAAATTAGTCATGTAATAACGTTTCAACCCAGGGCTGAATGAAGTTATTTGAACATGCGTAGTAGTGCCATTTACGCACATGACTGAAGGCAAAATGCAAATTTATTATTCGCGGACATCTTCAAACTCAGGGCTGAAGTTCTCAGCCCCATGGTTGAAATTATTCATAATCAAAAAAAAATTTCATTCCGATCAACATGCAGGGCTGAAAATGATCTATGTAATTGGTCCCTTAGTCTTTCCTAAAGAACATTGCAGTGCATGCACTCAGGGATTATAGGTTCTATATTGTATCCTTTAAAGAGACTTTTTTCTAGAGGTAGTCACTCTGAAATAAGTACATTACCTCATACAGGATACAAAGGGTCATATCACAATCATTTGCTTTTGAGTGTTAATTGATTGAGGGAGACCATATATTCATATATTCTGCTACCTGGCTAATTCCTTTTTAAAACTATTTCATATTCAATAGAAATCAGCCTGGCATAACAGAATATATGAATATGGTCCCCCTGCCTCAATTAATGTTCAATTAACACCCATGATCACAATACTTCAACTTCTCGATCTATACTATTGGAAAAATTCAATGGGAAATATAATCTTAAATAATAGACGTTTATCTCCATGAAAACTGTGAAAGAAATTTTTAAGCGGTCTGAAGAGTTCTTTTACTTTGAGGCACATAAAAGTATATTATTACAAAAGTATACAGTCACAATGTTCTTTAAAAAATCTAACATAATAGCTAGTCAGTGCTAGTTATATAGGTGCACGTAGCAGCCATGTCAGAATGTCCATATGACTACCATACCATGTCACAATTATTTAGAGATTAATATTCCAATCCGCAATACCTCTATTGCATGCATGACCACAACAAATATCATTTCTGAAAGATATATTACTAGCCAGCCTGACAATTTAGTCATGCTATGCTAATATTTTGGTGTTCATTGACTGTGAAAACAATGAATTTCTAAAGAATTTAATAATTCTAATGACTTAAAATTTGCTAGCATGATCAAATTGTCAGGCTGGCTTTGCCACTGATTACTAGTTGCTAATGTACCAGTGATTGAATCTCAAAGAGCTGGGTCATAAAAACCTATTGATTCAATATATCATACATGCACATAGTGGTGAAATGTGAATATTTCAACTCTGGGGGTTCTGTGAAAGATAGAATTGGACTGAGAATGGTTGAGGATGCTGAAAGAAAAGGAATATTGAAACCTGGAACTACATTGATTGAACCTACATCTGGGAATACAGGTACTTTACTTTACAGTATATGAAAAAAGCTGTAATCCAAGACGCAATCTCGTTCTCTTCCCCGTGGCGGTGGCGGTGGGGAATCTGTTGTGGTTTTAATCCATGTGTTGTTGCACAGTTGAGTTTCACACTAGGAGAGAGCGTGAGATCCAGTAAATTTTTAACGACAATCGAGTTCCGACAGTGAAATGCTACGAGTTATTGATTTTTGAGTTGAGCAAAAAGACGTTTCAACTCTGGGATACCTTTTGATATGTGTGACCTTACGCCTTTTTAATTAACCCCTGTAATACATTCATCATGCAGGCACCCAGAAAATTGAACAATGTCTCAAATTTTCCGCATTTGCATTTATGTTTGGCTGCAATCTCACGTAATTTGACTTTCACTTTTTCCCTCGGAATTTCATTTAGGCCTACCGGGTTTTTTTCTTTCAAATATTTGGTTGAAAGAAATTGATTATTTTGATTCAATCTCTGCTATCTACGCCCACAGTTCTTTCATTTATTCTTCATTTCTAAAAGTCTAAATACTAAATTTTGATGTTCAAAATATTTTCCAATCTCAGGTATTGGTCTCGCTCTCGCTGCTGCGGTTAAAGGCTATCGTTGTATCATAGTTATGCCAGAGAAGATGAGTCGAGAAAAAGCAAGTGCATTTGATTTTTCACCGAAAAAACTCTTTGATGACTACGTTCATTTCAATATGTTTTAGTTGTTTATAGGAAGTTGAAATCTTGAATCAGTGTGTCATATAATAACTTAAGTATGGATTTTATTCGTACATCGTAGGTTGATGTTCTTCGAGCTTTGGGAGCTGAAATTGTCAGAACACCTTCGTTAGCAGGATATGATGCACCAGGTGAAGAATTTTTGACACTCTTGAAAAAACACTATTTATAAGTTCAAACATGAACTCGCGTGTGTATATATTAAGCTACCTAAGTCTTTGTTGAAAATAGCTTAGATTTTAATTTTTTTGCGCTTTAGAATCGCATATTGGTGTTGCTCAGAGATTGAACAAAGAGATTGCCGACTCTGTCATTCTGGATCAGGTATACTGCTTTATTCTGTTTCTTAATTTCCCGAAATTTTTTTTATTAATTTTCAGTGTTGATTAACTTGATTTAGTACCGTAATGCAGGAAATCCTGTGGCTCACTATGATACGACAGCTGAAGAAATTCTGGATCAATGTGACGGTAAGTTTAGACCCGCAGTAATTGGCATGTAGCTGTTGCGGTATCCCGACCAAGTTATCTACAATTATCTACATGTCGTAACAGGCCGTAACATGCCGTAACAAACTTATTGTGACATCATGCAGGCTTTCTGCGTCTGAGTCGACGTCATTATGAGGAAGGTTTATTAACCCATATGCGTGACCTAACTAGTCGCATTCCGCTTGCGCCAAAACAATGTGTTTTTCGTGCAAAAAAATAGAAATAGTGTTCTTTGCCGTTAACCATTTCCCCTCATTCATTGCTCGTTACATAGTTACGTATATTTTGCCATGCATGCATAAATACCCGCACTCATTCATATTGATTTTGCGTATAATTTCATTTCGTGATGTGTTTCTTTGTTGTAGGAAAAGTAGACATGGTAGTTATTGGCGCTGGAACTGGTGGAACAATTACTGGAATTGCTCGTAAGATAAAAGAAAAATTGCCAAATTGCAAGGTACATTAACCAATATGATACATTAACCAATTACTCGGCGAGCTTCCAGGTTGTTGTCGAACGCGTTGACAACATGAGAAGTTTGACGTCCGAATATACACGCATGAGAATAAAGTAATGTACTACCACTAGAGTTTTCGTCAACATGCACATGCATGCATCATGCAATCAGGAACACGCTTTGTCTGCAAACATATGGTTAGCACCACAGTGAAGTCTGCGGACGTTTTACAAAGGTCTATAGATGTAACCTGTATTCACTTTTAGATAATTGGTGTTGATCCATATGGTTCTGTATTGGCTGAACCCAGTAAACTGAATGAAACCGACGTTACACTCTATCAGGTATTTATCAGAAAATGATAAAATTACGATGTTTCAATGATATTTTTGTTATGGTTTTTTTTGTATACCACTCTCTTGATCCGGGTGGGACTTCGAGCGGAAGGGAATATTCGTAACGTTGTTGAAGGTCAACTGATAAATGCATGAAGTCTTGAAGACGAACTTCACACTCTGCTATGCATGTCTACATCTTACCCAGGCAGAATTAGCACGCCTCGGTAACTCTTATCGATTATCGCTTATTCTAACCTCTAAGTTTCCCCGATCTTTTGTATCTACAGGCAGCACTTTTTCCTAATCAAAAAGTATTTTTATTGCAGGTCGAAGGCATTGGTTATGATTTTATACCAACTGTACTGGACAGATCACTTGTAGATGAGTGGATTAAGACGGAAGACAAAGAATCATTTTTAATGTCACGAAGACTTATAAGAGAAGAAGGATTGCTTTGTGGTAGGGCATGGTTGTGAGTCTTGATATAAATAGATATAGTCTTAGATGGGAAGGTGGTAATTCTATAGTTGAAAAAGAACGGGTCGGGCTACTATGGGCCTATGGCCCAAAAATACTGCCGTGACATAATGTTTGAAAATGTGTACTGGCAAGACGCCAGTGGTTTCATATTAGAAAATAACGGACCCGATCGATATTCAAGGCTTTTTCCTAACACCCCAATAAATCCATTGAAAGGATATACTTTATTGTAAATGTCGTTGATGGAAGATATTTATATTCAGGTGGATCAAGCGGAACAGCAATGGTTGCTGCTGTAAAAGCTGCAAAACAACTTAAGGAAGGTCAACGTTGTGTTGTTATTTTGCCTGACTCAGTAAGAAACTACATGTAAGTACAATGAAGGTAGAGTGCGACGTCAGGGAAGGAAGAGTTCAATTTCTAGGTCTATGTGATAATACGTTTCTAGAAAGAAAACGTCTCTATCAGATATTGCCACTGACATCGGAAGCGGTCAATCAAAGCCATGCAACGACTGCTCTACAATTTCAAATTATTTAATAAAATTAGCCCTTCCATTGCAGATGCGAACCGGGGTTGCGCTGAAAACAAGGCTCGGTTTCATCAAGTCTAGCCGTTGTATTTAGAGAGGTTTGCACATCTCCATTTATTTTCATTTATTATTCTTACAGGACAAAATTCCTCAGTGATGACTGGATGGCTGAGCACAAATTCATAGAGTTGAACGTTCCTGATACTTTAAGTAAATTGTGGTAAGCCTTCTGAAAACTGATTGGCTAAGGCCGTCTTCAGGGCCGTGCGGTTTAGGCAACTCGATGTATAAACACGGAATTAAGTTACCTGCCACTTTTAACTTAAAATTACTTTATATTTCTTTGTGCGCTATATGTGAAACAATAAAACAAAATTTCGTCTTAATCACAGTATACACGTACCAAAACTGTTTCACCAGTCCCTGCACACGGTGCTTATACACTGTATCACAGGGTGACAGGACTTGGTTCTAACCAGTGTTAGAATTGAAGCTATATGAAGCAAGCAGCGTATGTGGACACACCAATGTGGGAAACATGACTTTTTTTCGAATGAACGTAAAACAAATACTCAACGTATTAATGCGACCTTTAGCACATCAAGTCAGCCCTTGTGTTTTTGGAGCGCCTCTAAGCTAACTGAAAAATGAACGTGTCATATGCTTTTTATTGAGTTGATTGAGGTGATTCTTTCTCGAATCATGTTAGGTGGTGGGAAGAGAAGGTCAGTTGTCTGGATCTAAAACCTCTTGTATCCGTTCTCTCGTCAGTCACATGTCAACAAGTCATTGATATCTGCAACAAGTTAGTAAAACTCGAAGTCTGCCTTTTAATTATGGGAATTTCATTAACGAAAATGGCAATTCTAAGATATTGTTCGTGTAGGTATATTTAGACATTTCCATTAATGAAGCTAATATAGAATAATGCGAATCAGTTTCGTTTCCATTACAGGACTACTCCTATTTTCTATTACCAGTTTCCCGGTGATTATATATCCTACGATTTATCCCTAGAAAGTACTTACTTTATTTTTCTTGCCTTCAGAGAATCTTACGATCAACTGCCAGTGATTGGAGCCGGGTGAGAGTTCTCAGTCAAATCATAGTCAATATAGCTAGATAGACATGGTCGGGAGACTTTGATTAACGTGCATCTTTAGTGAGTTTAAGAATTAAGATGCACCAAATCTACGAGTGGACGTGACGTAATACTATCTTGTATTCCGAAATTTCACAACAGAGATGAAAATAATTGACTCCTTTTGGCAAACAGAGTCGTAGTAAGTCAGAGCCGCATGTAAAACGGATCAAAACAGGATTCCTACTGTGAAAGGACTGTTTTCGTTTCACGTCCGCGTCGTAGGTTTGATGCATCTTAAACTGGCTTATAGCCAATAAATTCGAAATGAATATAATTTCAGGTTGAGATTTCATGGTGCACAAATGTTTGATTTCCATTTCTTTTTGATCACTTCAATATACAATTATCGAGTGCAATCGGACAACCTCTTTAAAAAATATGCTGTGCAGAGATTTGCATAAGCATGCATGAAAGAAAGGTTAGAGCCGATCTTTCTTCCTTTTCCAGGAAAATCTTAGGTGTTGTAACCGTTGGACATATCATATCACGAATTGTTCGTGGTCAGGCAACAACAGATAGCTGTATTTCAGATGTCATGTACAAATCATTCAACAAGGTAAGTCAGTCATTCCCCTCCCGAGAAGGTCAGAACTTCGTTGCATGTTTACCTGCAGTATACGATGAATGCAATATAGCTATATATATCATGAACCGTTATTTCCTCGCGAAATCGAGGAACGTGAGTGATATACACTCAGATTCATCTCTTTTTAATCAATTCTATTTGGTAAAAAAAAATTAGTTGATGAGACTTTTGATTGATGTTTAGTAATTTTATAACCAATAAAAAAATTGGCCAACTTAATTGGAGGTAACCAATTTCAAATTAGTTATACTGTTTTCACAGTGCATGCAATGTTTTGTATATAGCTATAATCCCAGCTTCCCCGAGTTGCGAGAGTGCAAAAATTGTAAACACATGCAACTTCAGTCCTACCTTATCATAAATGTTTCAGGTGACGTTAGATACTACCCTTGGAGAGTTATCCAGATTGTTAGACAGCGATCACTTTGTTATTGTCGTGTTAAAGCAACTCGTGTGTAAGTCTTACGCCTGTATTCAAAAAGCTCACTCACACTCACACTCATTGAGTGTGACATAAATATTTTGTTAATGCTGCTCAATGAGAAAGTTTTTCTGAATAGATAGAAAGATATAAAGTAAATCACTGAAAATCAAGCCCCTATTCGTCTGGAAATACCGCCATTGAAACGTTATGAGAAGATTAAGATCTCCCACTCAATGAGTTTGAGTGTGAGTGAGCTTTTTGAATACAGGCGTTACTCTGCAAGATAAAAACTTCCTGCGTGTTTCTATATTTCTATGTTGACCTAGAATCTAGTTTTTTGAAATTATTAGTTTGCCAGCAAAGCTTTGTATATACCGGTTGTTAATACGCAAATTGAAACTAATTCCATAGTCGGTCAATCTTAAAAGCTTTCTAGACCAAACTTTTTATTTGTTCAATGGCGTACAAGCCGAGAAGGTGCGTATTCCATGTGGGAAAAATTGATAAGTCAGGCAATCTCTAGCCACTCGAGAGTGCCAGCCTAATTTTTTTGGGTTCGTGCGCCTATGAATTTTTAAATGAATATGGATCAGGGATATTTACATACTGCATGTAAACCTCTGGAAACCCGATTCGAGCCTAAACTTAAGCGGGCTTGAACAGCCGGTCTTAGAATGTTTTTCGTGATATCAATTTATTTTATTTAGATACTGGAGAAAAAGCAACAGAAGATGAAGTGGCATCAGGCATTGTGACACGCATTGATCTCCTGAACTTTATAAGTGGCAAGCCAAAATAGATTTCAGTCTTTTTTTCAACCACAACAATTTTAATCTCAGGAATGAAATAGTCATCCTTGAATACAAAGTTTGACAAATTGGTTAATTTTTTGTTGGATAAATTTAGTTATACTATATATTAAGTCATAACGATCCATCGAGTCCGTCTTTGAGGTAAATGTCGCATTGCATGCATGTAATGTAACTATAATTGATGAAACTGATACTCAAATCGTATTTTTGTTCCTTCTATATCGGTACAAACGTACGTTAAAATAAAGGTCCATGCAATCAAATAATACATATGAGCTATACTGGGCAAGTGTTATTATTACTATAGCATTTTTCGATACGTTGATTTTTCGATACGTTGATCGCGCTAACCCGGCCGGCCATGCTTCTCACATCTCAACAACATTGCATGCTCGGACCGTGAACTATATATATGCAGTTATACTTATAGTCACAATCTTAAAATAAGTTGGATATCTTGTTTATTATCAGTCAAAACTACACAGACACTCATTTACAATATTTCTTCTGATTTATAAAATAACGCTAACAGACATTCCTATAACTATCAATATTTTTATTCTTTTCCGCACTATATGCGATCTCATGGTCTTTGTTTATTGTGGTGCCTGTATGAAAATTTTGGAGCTTTTGTTGACAAATCTTGCGGTGCTGGAAAAACAAATGCCTTCTCTTTTTTGCCTTTTTCCTCTGTTGTAAGATCTCGGAGGTTCGTCTAAATTAGAACAAATCCAATATATATATTGTCCTCTCCAAAAAAACGCATTTCCCTGGACAAATACAACTTAAATTATGCAGTCCGTATTTATAAATGCCTCACTAAATCTAAACTCCTCACTTCCCTTTAACGTTAAAAGAGTTTATATTCGTTTAGTTTTTGAGACAGTGTTTTCCCATTTCAGCGTTTTATCCCATATATATATATATATATATATATATATATATATATATATATATATATATATATATATATATATATATATATATATATATATATATATATATATACTTTGTCGTTTTTCCTAAATTTCAGTCTCCATTTCCCCATTGACAATCGGAAAGTTTACCTTCATTTTTTGTATCGTGTCGTACAACGTCTTATTCTCTATAACGATAAACTAATTAATTAAGGTTCGGTCAAAGGTTCGAGCTACGAAGCTAGCGATTAAATGGTGTTCGGGGCCTATATAGTAAACATTTTCTACACTCTCACTAGAAATAGACCAACCTCGCGTACGAGGAAATTGAAAATTGTCTAGATTTGTTGTGTACCCGTTTTGAGGAATTATCTACCACATAAAAGTTAAAATAGATGACCTATTGATCTTTGAAGGTCTCCATCAATACAATATAGACCTACTAGATATAGGTAATTCCATCTTTTCTGGTTCCCATCGTTGTGTGAACCCATTCCATCGTCGCGGTTGATATTTTGTTGTTTCCATTCGAAACGGTGAACTGAATTCTAAATTGTACGTTGACAGCCGTCGAGTGACGTAATCATTATTGTGGTGATCCAGAAGATATTTTAAGCCAAAACCACTCTACATGCAGAAATTGAAAAAATCTATATTTAACTCATTCGACCAAGGTGTTTAAGGTGCCGCTAGTCACTAACCTGTTGCCCAATTCTGTTATTCCACATGGATCGCCAATCACGTAATTTGAAATCAGAATCATATGCTTTAAACTCCATCATATTTGATGTAACACATGACATTTGGCCTTTGGAAAACTGAATGGAAAATATCAAGAGTGATAGGGTTAGTTGTAACTGAACATAAACTAGTGGATTCAAATATCAAACTGCTGAACACCGCCCATATCAGTACCCCAAATTTCTACGAGTTTTGCCTCTAGACAAAACTAGCTAAAAGACTAGTTAGTGGCTTTGCTAACGCGAGAAACATTATGCTTAACTATATATGACTATAATTTTAAATTTCAAATCCGTGGCTGTGATATTTTTAAAAAATCAAGATGCAACAGCTAATTGTGATTCGTGATAAAATGTTTTACTTACTATTTTTCTCTCCTCAAACCAATCTCCAACAAGAGTGCGAGGTGAATACCCTGGTTCAAATTTCCATCCTGGTAAGTCCCATTTGTTCGTTATTTTTTTTTGTTTCATTTCTTGTTAATCAAATCACGCTTGATAATGAAATCAAATCGTTATATTGAATTAAATGTTCTTAGAAACAATTAGAACTGTACATTGTTACGTCATATTGGGCGCAAAATTTGACGCCGTCGAATCGAAACTTCTATTTGCCTCCACTAACTCACTTTCGTTTTTTGTTGACGTCACCTGATCAGAGCGAGGCCAAGGGATCTACTACCGTTGCGTAGGTTCAATTCTGTCGCCTTCGGACCGATAGTTGACTGGTTTAGATACATATTTTAACATCTGCATATTTTAATGATATGTATTTTATAGAAATCATACCTCCACCTGCATCTGCTGAAGGTGGGATCACAACAGAGACTATTATTGGAATTGTCATCGGAATTGCATTTTGCGATATTGTGGTATCTGAGACATCAATTAAGGACACCTGTGGAAACTGAGAATGCTGTTCATTTAGAAAGTCTGGATAGCAAAAACAAGAAAAAAATGCTAATTTGTATAAATAAAAAATACTCGTTTGTAGCTGTCTTTGATGAAAGCTTTTTCCAATATTATGTTCCAGACTTCCAGCAGCATCGTTTAATGATTGTTTTGCTGGAGTTGCCGTATCGACTTCATTCAATACAGGTCAGTCTGGTTTGCTTCGTGACATAATATTCAAAAATGCCGAAATTCCCTGCATGAAAGACCAGAGCTGATGGACTTAATACTACCGCATGCCATGTATATAATGACAGGAAGCAATTTTATTTTTTTGTCTATCTTCAAGCTATACATTTCTGTCACTATAAAGGGATCATAATACTAATGTCTATATGCAGAAGTATAACTGCACACATAGTTCAACTAATAGTATAAAGTATTATTTCTAAATTACAGTTTAGTAAAAAAAGGTGTTTCCGCATAAAAATAATAGAAAGAATCCCAGTGCCGAATCCAACTGTTGACTGTTGAAGTCGCATGAGCTGAAGGAAATGATTATTCAGTTTTGTCGAGGATCTGGCTTCTGACACTGACAGTCAGTTTATTAGGAAAAACAAATAGCTAAATTAGAATACAAATAAATTAGTTAATAAATTTAGTTGTCGTGATGTCTCTTTCATTTTTTTGAAATAGAATATTGTAAACCAGTTAAACATTGACAAGTAAAAGTTTAAACCTCGCTCGAAGCAACAATCTTTTCTTTTTTCTTTCTGTGGCGTAATATCAATCTACGTATTTAGTGCACTAAGTAAGTTTATGATTTAATCTATGTTCGCTAACCACAGCGCTTTAGAAGCTTTCTTGTCTTGCGATTATTATGGATAAGAAACCGGAAGCAACGTTGGGTTGGGTCGTGCCCATTTCCTTTTCAAACCATGCGTAATATTTGAGTGATTTGACTGTTCGACGAATCGACGAAGTTCGTAGCGTTTTATATCATTCGAAAGGGATGTGGATATTTTAGTTGATATTGCATTGCCCTCAGCTTTTTTCTGAATCAGCAGCTAAAAACAAGTATTGGAAAGAAAGTGTTCTTGGTGATATTAATAATATCGAAGTTTAAATCGTAAAAAAATCGATTGGTTCGATTTGAAGGGACTGCTCTTGATATTTGTAGGCGCCGAGGTAGGCGCTGTTTCAAGCGAGTGCCATCCGTCTGTAACCGTTTGTAAAACATGGCTTTTATTTGCTCAAGAATATCTCGTTACGAAGTCTTATTTATCACTGTTTTCATGTTATTTACTAACGTTCTTTGCTATACTCGTAAGTTAATATACAACTTTGCCTATTTTAATTATACCATTACAAAGTCCGCCAATGACGAAGTTCATTCATGTTTTAAATTTTGAGTAGGAAATGGATGTTTGATATGTTTCATACCCTTTTTCGATACATGTTCTTTACCACATTCCAGCCAGGGTGGAAAATCTATTAAAATTCATTCCTTAGACAAAAGATACTCCCTCCGAAAATCAACATCTCGTCTGTCATCTTGTCAACTCAAATGAGTTGTTATCAAGCAAGGCACAATTTTGAAGACGATATTTCAATGACTTTGAAGGCAAAATATCACTTTGAATATTGCATTTTGTTTTTAACGACTCATATCTTGAGTTGACAAGATGTTGATTTTTGAAATTTGTCAATTTTCTCTTATATTTTGAAAAATTGTCTGCTGAATACTCATTTCGACGCACATTTGTGGCATATTCGTAGTTTAATAAGTTAAAAATTTTAACTACCTTTAACAAAAGGCTTCCTTAAAAATTCATGATAAATTTCTTTTTCTCTTGTTTAGCATATCGTAGCTAGAAGTGAAAATATGCTATTTTCACAGATATTTTTCATCAAATTGTCTCATTTTTTTCAAAACAATTGTCATTTAACAAGAAAAACCTGATCAACATAATATGCCCGACTAGCTCAGATGAAAAATAGCTAAGATGTTCAGCATATACTTAAGGTTCTAGTGTTTGTTATTAAGTAAATATGAGAGGGTTGTAAACAAATGAAGTATCTGCTTTTATTATTTTAATTTAGTTTATTATTTTAATTTATTTTGATATTGCAATGCTAGCTAATAATATCAGTGAAATAGATCTTCACTTGATATTAAACTTCAATGTATATATGTATATATATTTTTTAGCATTTGGGGTTCGTGAAATTGGTTCATCCTACAATTTTACATGCCCTCTCACGAACCAGAATGGCACATATAAATTTTCTAAACTTAGTTTTACTACTGGCAAGAAACTTTTAAAACCTGGCGGAAATATACAACAATATGGAAATATATTGGAAATTACAAATTTGGGATGGGATGATGCTGGACAATATTTTTGTTCAATATTTGATTCAAATGGCAAATTGTTGGAGGACCGTGCTATTACTATACTCACAATTGTACCAGGTATTATTTCTTATATTATTTTTTTTTTATTAAATAGTATGCTTTTAAATTATAATTGACTTATAATTTCATTAATTTCATTTGACTAATAATTACAGTAATGTTATAAATACTGTTTAAATATTATAATATCAGTAATAAGGTAAAGTTTTTATTAATCTTCTTCTAAAATCTAAGGCATGATTAGTGTATATTTAATTATTCTCTGTCAGAAGCTGTAGCTGTATTCAAAGCCTATATTCATGAATTATGCAATATTAGCATTATCTGACATTCCTGCAGGCGGAAACATGCATACATAATTTTGGCATGCTTCCCAGCTGGGCTGCCTATGACGGAACAAGTCAACTTCTCGTTTGCCCCTCGCTTCGTTTGAGGGCTTTGCAAATTTGCTGTTAGTAAACGTATTAAATTGCAATTGTGTTGAATTATTAATTTATAGTAATAGTCTTTTTCCATTATATATCAACATATGTCACAAAATACCAGAGAGTGCTTAATATCCTATAGATAGAGCGAAATACACATAATTTTGATCACCAAAATTCGTCCACTACAGTCTGTTTCATCTGTATAGGAATCATGACCACCTTAAGAAATAGATAAAACAGACTGTACTGGATGACTTTTGGTAATAAAAATTACATATGGATAGCTATTGAACCCTGCGTAGTGACATAGCTAGTCTTGGTCGCTTGGCAATAATAGGAGGAGCTTTGCCGTTAGCAAACTAGTTAGGTTGACCTCATAATATTTTTGCATTGTGATTTTTTATACAGTAAAGAAATATTACTTCAAAATACTACCTGATGTACAGACAAGTATAATTGATGACGGCATGAGATTTAAACTTCGTTGTGAATATGAGAAGCCATCAACGGAACTAAAATGGGAAAGACGACGTTTCATAAATGGAACAAGCAAGACAGATTATCTTCCAAGAAGTGTTATAACTCTTGTAAAAGATGCTAAACAAAGTGTTGAAGAGTATATCATTAATAAGGTCACTGCAGACGATATAGGTTCTTACAGATGTGGAGTGAGGGAAAATGGCAATATGCGTTACACAAATGTGAGGGTTTTGCAGGTTAAAGGTAAGTATACCTATCTTTACTATATGTAGCTATATATATTTTAAATTTATAAAAATCACAATTTTGGCTAACATATTATTAATTTTATAACTGGAATGAAACTTGAGCTCACAGGTTATTTTATCCAGCATCATGCCATCACGATGCCCTGTGATCCCTTTTTGAACATATTTCGCCCGCACTACTTCACGTCTCTTTTATTATATCTTTGTCAATTTAGAAGCCTCCTTATACCACGAAACTCATCCCACCTTTTTACGCCATGCCCCGTCTTATAGGCATTTCAAATCATCATCCCTTCTTCGATGTTCTATATTACATTACATTGCTCTGGTGCATCATGATCAATGCATGTGTCTTGTTCGATGCCCCCCGTCTTATGGGCGTTTCGAATCATCATATCATCATCCCTTCTTCGATTGTCTATATTACCTTGCTTGGCGCATCATGCATGTGATTTATTCAATCCGATTTCGGTTTTTTAACAGGGAAGAAACCACCTGTTTTTCACGAAACGAAACCTGTTTTCGTCAGCAAGGAGGAAAATGATATATCAATCCAATTTTCTGTGCAGGGAGCACCATCACCTGATATCAGTTGTTATCTTAATACACGTCTTGCTATATTCTGCTCTGGGAAGACAATTGAAGATACTGATATTCATGTGGAAAATGGAACATACAGGCCAGCAATAGCATGCTCAAAGGATAATTACGATATGACAGGATATCACAAGTTAATAATAAGATCTGCATTGTTTCCCCAAAACGACGGATTGTACAAGTGTGTTGCAACGAATGATGTTGGTAATGCCAGCATACAATTTCGAGTAAATGTTACAAGTAAGAATGTTACCATGTTTCTGTAAGGTATATATAGTTATATATGGTTATAATGACGGGTGCATGTAGGTTGTATACTACCATTTTCATTCAAGTATGAAGCGGTAACTATTTCACGGTTTTGTTTACGCTTTAAACATTACAAATTTTAGATTATTTGTCCACCTTTTATAACTAAGAAGTTCGTCATTTTAACCTTAAACATTGTTTGCGAAAATGCAATGTAAACAAAAGTATGCGAAACCGTGTCAAACCGAGAGTGTCGATAGTTTACACGCATCGCGTTTGAGGGCAACAGCGAAAGACCAAGACGACCTTTCTTCTTTCGTCTATGAATTGGCACTTTATATATGTAAATAAATATATTTTTTGGCAAAAAAGTAAGAAGATCAGAGTTGCAAAAAGAGTTGCAAAAAGAGTTCAACCTTCCTCCGGTAGGATTTCAAGTTTTAAAAACCTTCCTCAAAATGACGTTACGTCACTGAGTCAAGTGACAACCAGTATAAAGAAATATTTGGTTTTTTGGTACATGCATGTGATCAACTTAGAGTGATCAACTTTTAATCTTCCTCCCCAACCTCATTCAAAGCAAACTGTCCTCACGGATGGTACCCGAGTACCCGTAGCTTTTTTGCAACTCTGAAGAAGATTAGGATTCCTTTTTTTCTAATATCGCGAATTTTGGTGGGAGGATAGAAAAAGGTACCGGCAAGTTGTACCTGATAATAAAGAATGATGCTGAACGATTATTATTATATCGATGTATTCGGATTGTGATATGATTTAAATTCCGTACCTAAATAGACCCTCACATGAGGATTGTTACTATAAGTGTTGCAAGAATTACATTATATGTCATAAAAGTTAACATTCACGTTCAACTTTATACGAATTTTGTTTTTAGCCGCTCCTAAGATTGATAATCCAATTGGCAAGATTTACCAAAAACGAGAAAATGAGGAAGGATCTATCACATGTATAATAAAGAAGTCTAAACCAAGACCTGCTGTCACGTGGTATCAGCAAGACTATCCAGATATAGAGGAAAACCCCAAGGCAGATCAATGGACTATCTCTCAAAATCAACCAGAGTTGGTTCAGAGTTTACAACAGAGAGGAATGTATAAAAGTACTCTTCGAATATCAAAGGATGAAGGACAATCATTTTATCGATGTTTTGCCAAAAATGCTTATGGAAACGACAGTAGAATATTCAAGTTTATACGATATGGTAAGCATTCCAACGTTTCATGATATAATGTGGACGTCCGGGATGTTCGTCACTGGTTTTAAAAACTCGTTTTCGGAGCACTTGACGTTACAAAGCTACAAAATATATTGCAGAAAAATGAATTTCCATGCTTACTTTTGTAGGAATAGGCCAGGAACCATTTGTTGTAGTTCCCAAATCCAAAGTTTTGAATGAGGGAGAGGTATTCATTGCAATGTGTCGCGTTACAAAATTGATTAAAGGAGATATCCTGTTCTACAAGGTTGATACTCAGACTGTAATGATGAATGATAATCGAACAAATATCACAATCACGCAAGGCAGCAATTTTCGTAATATGACGATGGTGATACGTAATCTCACTGTGAACGATAGTGGGACTTATCAATGTGTGCAGAAAGACTTTGCAACCAACGACGTTACAGTAACCTTGACTGTGAAAGGTAAGACGACTTGCATCCGTCTTTTTTCTTACACCTGTTTAGTTTTTATACTCTGGGTTGGTCGTGTTAGGAACATAACAACGCCGGATAAAGACCTCGGATAATATAATGATCGGTTTGTAATTTTTGTATGAAATCCTCTGACATGTGGCATCCGTACCATCATCAACCTACGGCTTTTTTTCCACTTCAACCGTATCGTAGCGTTAAGTAGCGTAGTTATTTGTTTCCCTAGTATTCGACCAGTTAAAACAACGAGATACGCTACGTTTCGCTACGATACGGTTGCAGTGGAAAACGGCCTTTAAGTCTGTTGTTTTGTTATAAATCTTGTTCCCCAAAACTGAGAATAACGACATTCACAAGGTGTGACGTTTATTAAAATGAATTTTGTGTAGTTAGGCTGGTTATCCTAATGCGCAGATGAAAATACTGTATTTCTAACCTAACTTCCTTGCATACAAGTTTATTGTGTTAGCTAACAACAATGTTGTTATTCCTTCCCGCTTTTTTCTAATTTTGTGCTTTGCGTTTTTTTCCTCAGCACTGCGTCCTCCAGTTATATTGCAGTTTGAAAACCAAACAGTTTTAGAAAATAAGGAAGAAGACAGTGAGGTGGTTTTGTTTTGTGATGTGAAAGGCAATCCTTTCCCTAAAATAACATGGATAAGGAATGGTAAAAAGACCGTTGTAAATCCATTGGTAATACAAAGTTGCTCAACTCAAGTACCTGGTTTTTATTACAAGAATAAGGAAAAAACAAAATTAGCGATTTGCAAACCTCGTATGCGACACACGGGGGTCTATACCTGCTCTATTATGAGTCATTTAGGAAACGACAGTAGGGATGTCTACGTTGATGTTACTGGTAAGTTGTAAACCGAAATGTTATTGTGTTACCTTGCGTTACTCGACCTTTTTTATTTAATCTAAGTTACGTCTGTTTGTAGCTAAGCCAAAAATTGTAAAACCCGAGACGCCAGTGAGAAAACGATTATTCGCTGGTAAAGCTTTCCAACGTGTCTGCGAAGCGGAAGGAAATCCAGTTCCCATGGTACAATGGATATTGCGAAACAAGAATAGAGTAATGACGAATATATCCGAAGGGGTTTCAATATTGAAAGTAAATGAAATGGATGAATCTTACATTGGAAACTACACATGTAAAGCATTTAATTCGTATGGAATGGTTGAAAAATTCCTCGTGGAACTGGAACTAAGGCCACCTGGTTAGTACTTCGTTGTTCTGTCTAAAGTTCATATACATTTAAAAAGGATATATATATTCATACATGTGGCCATTGTGCAAGTTGAGAGAAGAAAATGTTGCGTGTACTGCATATGTATCTGTGGTGGCTTAAAAAGCTGCCCTCATATTCTACATATAGGGTAGTGCCAAGCAATCCATGCACCAATTAGAAAATGACGGTTTCATTTCTGATTGCATTATAAAATATATGTTCCGCCGCAGGATAACTACCTAGGTAGCTAGGTAACTACCTAGGCGTTTTCCCCATGCAGTAGGCCTTGTGCTTACCTTAATTATGAACCTTGATTTTCTCGTGGAATGAGCTCTTCAGTCACCGCATGCAGAGAACGTAAACAATCTGTTTCATTAAATCATGGAGTTACGTTTACTACAACGTATCAGTCTTTATTCTTCAAATATAGCCAGCAACCTGAACGCAGGCTAATTATTGCACACAAGGTCCCTAATACTCACTTTTTACCCTAGTTTTTTATGCCTCTGTGTTGCGAAGTCATGGAGTTGTTTAGATGCATATTTTAACATCTGTATATTTTAATGATATGTATTTTATAGAAATCATACCTACACCTGCACTGGCTGAAGGTGAGATGACAACAGGGACTATTATTGGAATTGTCATCGGAATTGTATTTCTTGTTTTTCTTCTTTTTGTTTTTGCGATATTGTGGTATCGGAGACAACAAAAAAAATTGCTCTTTTACAAACATCAATATTTTCTGCGAACTGGAGAGTACGCGGTAAGTAATGTTTACTATCCTAGTCTGCACAGCTTTATGCATTAATTATACCCATCGGAATTCCGTTTAATATGAATAAAATCTATCAAATTGTTTTTAAATCGTTATTGGTGTTTGTTTGGCTAATATTAATGCACCTGTAAGTTATCATCTTAACGGTACTTTACTACACTGTATAAATTAACTATTAGTGATAATGACTTGCTGACATTGTTCTTTATCTCCAAAGCGAAATACGTAATCATGCAAACAATTATTGAATTATTCGCATGAAGAATAGCTTTCGGTTCATTTTTTGCACATGAAGAATAGCTTTCGGCAAGTTTAGCAGGCCTGATAATTCTTCTCAACCTCATTCGATAATCACTGTTATTATATACACAAGCGCCAGATATGAGGTATGCTGCAATTTCATTGGTTGGTTACTAATGAATATATTCATATCTGTCTAGTAGAGAAAGTAAATAAAATGGCGGAAAGATTTGGGGAGTTGAGTGAAATAGAAATCCAAGCCTAGTTGATAATACCACACCAAAATGCACCGAAAGGGCGTATCAGCTCATATACGACTCGAGTTCGCAGAATAACTGTTAAATAATTATTGACCATGCAATATATAGATTAGGATGAACTGAAGGACGAAACAAACATTCATCGTCAATGGCGCACATTTTTCTATACTTTTCTGACATTGCATGCTCTTATCATTCTGACAGTTTTTCAAAACCACATTTTTCATGGTTTCAGGTCGACCCGAGCATCACATTGAACGAGCAAAGCATGAATTTACCGTACGACCCAGACTGGGAATTTCCGTATGAACGACTTGTGTTTGGTGAACGACTTGGTGCTGGGGCATTTGGCGAGGTTTATAAGGCAGAAGCAATGGGAATTCTGGCTTTAAATCCTCGTGATAAGAGTGGTGTCGCTAGTAAGAGAAGATCTAAGATCAGACGCACTTTAAGAGCAAGCCAAAGACCAAAAAAGAAAACCATTCCTCCTAATCTAACCAACGCTATTGTTGCTGTAAAAACCGTAAAAGGTAATATATCTGTTATAGGATACCTGTGCCGCGCTTGTGGTGGGGGCCTGGTTCTGCAGCTAGAATATAAAAGATGCCGTCCTGTGGCCAGTTGTATAAAAGACTAGTTAACTTTTAACTGTGGTTAAAAACAGAATTGACCAATCAGAGTCGTGTGTTTTCGAGTTAACTATAGGATTTATAGGATTTGACTATGCAAAATGTAGTTAAAGGGCTTTATACAAGGGTATTATAAAATACAGGGGTATTTAACTTTTGTATTATTAGAACAATAGATGGAGATAACTCATAGTATAGATAAAACGCAACAATATCACTATAAAATTGGATTGTTCGCTATCTTGAATATTCCAACAGTTCAAGAAATGATTTATAGTTTTGGTTGAATATGTAAGAATCATGCATGATCAATTTACAGTACTGTGGTAGGACTTTTATTATAGAGCAACTTATGATGAAGAAACATATATAGGTACAAGAATATAGAAATATTAGATCAATCTGTCATCGTCAGCCGAATCTTTTGACCTTACACGCGCGAGCAAAGAAGCTAGCGTTGATTCAGTTTGTATTTTGTTTCAGCCCAAGCAACAGAAAGTGAAATTCGGGATTTAGCAGCGGAATTAAAATTGATGATCCATATTGGTGAACACAAGAATATTGTGAATTTGCTTGGTGCGTGTACCACTGGACGAAAGTTGTATGTGATCCTGGAGTTCTGTCCCTATGGAAACCTGCTGACGTTTCTTCGATCCAAACGCGATATTTACAACAGTACCTGGATTAAGGAAACATATGATCCTGAGAAAGAGTTCACATTGATTGATATTGTTGGTGCTGCCTTTCAAGTTGCGAAGGGAATGGAGTTTTTAGCTTCGCGTAAGGTAAGCCGTGTGCATTTAAAGACGTATTTAGTAGAACTAAGCACGTATTTGATAACAGGATATAGAAAGGCTAAATCAACTGATTGAAGGATAAAAATTGTGCTTATGTAATGTATATATATATGATTTACAATTACTCTATTCTTCCCCCGAGGTTTTTTTTATCAAAACTGTATACTTGAAGATTTAGAATTCCATTTTGTGAATTTTTGTAAATTTTATTTAAAAGTTAATTCATCGTGATCTCGCCGCTCGAAATATCCTTGTTGCCCACGAATATGTTATGAAAATATCAGATTTTGGTCTTGCGAGAGATATTTACCAAAGTGATGTATATGTGAAGACATCAAGTGGAATGTTGCCAGTGAAATGGATGGCTGTGGAGTCTCTGTTCGATCGTGTTTATACTCATCAGAGTGATGTGTGAGTAACCGCATTGCTTAGATATGCACGTCAAGGCTAGTTTCCACTCAGGAAAAATCTCCTTTGGATCGGAACAGACAGGAAAATTTTCTTTGTCGGTGAGTTCTCAGGCGGCGTTTATACAAAGGAAACTGTCCTGTCCTGTCCGATCCAAAGGAGAATTTTCCTGAGTGGAAACTAGCCTTCAATTTGATTTTTATCTTGTGCGTGACTGCATGACTTACTTTCTGATATCATTTTCATAGTTGGTCGTTTGGTGTTTTACTGTGGGAAATGATGACACTTGGTGGTACGCCATACCCGAATCTGCCTGCTGAACAACTGCTGGATTTCTTGAACGAAGGAAAGCGCATGCCACAACCGAATAAATGTCCGCTGGAAGTTTATACGATAATGAGAGACTGTTGGCAGGAACAGCCTGAGGAGAGACCCACGTTCTCAGTTCTTGTCGAACATCTTGGTAGGATTTTGGAGAGACACTTGGAAAAAGTAAGCTGTATCAATGTGTGTACTACATGCATGCATAACTGAATAACTTCAACACACATTCTTATATAATGCTTAATATATTGCATTGAGAAAATGCAAGAAGTGTTATGCTGTCAATAATGCTAGAAGTCTTTATGTGATCTTGCCCATCGAAATTGTCAATCATTTATGTCACGAAATCCTGCACAGAATGTTTAGCATGAACCTTGCCTCCATTCACACTGCCGACCTGGCCCCACCTAGGTTCTTGTTTAACCCTCCCTCTTCCTGTGCATTGCGTGATAATCATTGTGTCTTCCAGGCAAATCCTTACCTACTTGTTGAAGCTAGTCCAGAGGAAATTGAAGCTGCAAAAGAAAAGGATGAATTACTAAATAAACCAAAATCAAACTATTATTTGCAACCATTACTGATGTCTCAAAAACTCCACAGGTAGGTCTTCGTCACATGGACTGAATTAAACGTGTGAAATATGTATTTCCATTTGATACAATTATCTACAGACTACAGCCAATGCTATTTTCTCTTACTGGCCAAGAAACAGTATGCAAATTGTGTTGATTTTGAAGATCTGTTTAGATACAGTCAAGTTATATATCAAAACATTTACATTTCACTGTTTACACTGGGCTCAAAGCCCGTAAATCCTGGCGATGATTACTAATATTGCTCCTAATGTTGAGAGTCCATATAATCATAATACGGTCTTTTCTAGCGAATACTTCGGATCGCAATAATTCACTTTTATCTTTTTCTTAGCTATGATTCAAACGCACCTCTTCCTACACCTCCTACAAGCACGTACAGTGGAGCGATTACAGCACCATTGCCAGAAGTTGACACGAAACCAGCATCATCAAAAATTATTAATAGAGCTGGTTCGTATGAGCTGTTACGAGATGACTCGACTTTGGAACAGAACGTACCTGAGAAACAGAAGGTACCTATGGAAACTGAGAATGGTGTTAATTTAGAAAGTCTGGATAGCAAAAACAATAAAAATGGTGTTCATGAAGAGCCCAAGCATGTTGAATCTGTTGTATAAGGTTGTAATACCCTGTAAGGTATATATTTATAAGAGCGGGAATAGAATATATATTTTGGCTTGCACATGCATGAACATAGATATGTAGTTAGCATAGATTGTAGTTATATACGTAATTCTCTTATTTGTATAAATAAAAAAGACTCGTTTGTAGCTCTCTGATGAAAGCTTTTTTGAATATAATACTCCAGCAGCATCGTTATCTGCGCTTCAATGACCGTTTTGATGAAGTTGTCGTATCGACTTCATTCAATACAGGTCAATCTGGTTTGCTTCGTGACATAATATTCAAAAATGCTGAAATTCCCTGCATGAAAAACGAGAGCTGATGGACTTAATACTACTGCATGTATATATTCCTTAATTTATGAGGTATAATTATTTCTGCATGTTTAGTCTTGTTTACCTCGTGTGGCAGGTAACTTGTATATTTAGCTGAAGGTAGTCGTAACGATTATAGCCTAGCAATTTTTATGTATTAGTTAACTATATTGTATAATATTATATAATGCATGCATGTGTAGACATTTATTTGAGTTGATTTTGTAACTCAAATAAAATCGTTTTTATATAACAGAGCTGCTTTCCACTTATTCCACAACTATGTTACCTTTGAATAAAATATGCATGTATATAATTAGAAAGAACTTAGACTATCTTCTGGCAATCTGGCCCGCATTTTTACCTTGATGTAGAATATAATAAAATTTAGGAGCATGCATGCATGCATTTGAAAGGAGCGAATAAGAAGTATACGAGAACGAGTACGCAGTAGCTACTAGCTAGAACGCTAGTAGCTACTTTTAGTATGGTGCACTGCAGGTAATAACGATGGTGTAACGCCTATAATCTATATTCTATAATAATTTTTTATACAATTTGCGAAAATGAAAATAAAACGAAATATATTCCAGATATATTTAACATACAAACCATGCACGCATGATTATATATGCACTCTGAAATTGCCGTATGTGATTATGAATCTGTTATCTTAAATATTTTATGGAAAGGAGTCTGGGTCCGGTAAAATAATAAACCTTAAAAAAGGTTTTGGTGATGGACATATTTCCTCCGCTATATATAGCACCGCGATTTCGAAATCTTATATAGCTACATACAGCGGTGTACAGACTTTACTGAATGCAGATACGAAGTTACATCTTTTCAAATATCGGCTGGCTTTTGTCCTAAGATGCCATGTTCTCGTACCACAAACAAAAGGATTTTTTCTAAAAATATATGCTGTAATGTGAAACTATATTACAAGCAAATTCTCATTAATTCTTATTACAGAATTCTTGCCTGCAATAACTTGAAACAAGTTGATAAATTTGATGACGTAGCGCGTTCAGATGATCGAGAAACACGCAGCTCTCTTTTATTGTTTGTGAATGGATCTTTCTTTTTTTACTTTAAATTTAATCGATATTAAATTCACTTTTTAAAAGTCTGTTCTGAATAGCCATTTGCCACGTGTATGGCATATGTTCTATGGAATATTGTCATGATTGAAACGTTAACAAAAGACTTTATATATATACTGAATGCATGTTTGATATTATGCATGGAATAGCGTCCTGTTGTGTGTTTGAAGCGGCGATAAGCGGAACATCTGCATGCTGACAAAGGATTTCGGCTTAACGATTTAAAAATTACGAAGCTTAATATGTAGATGATCAATTTGAGGCTTTATAGGGTCATTTTCTATACATGAAATATACATGTTTGTCATGTATGTGTGAATGCACTTGAGAAAATACTGCATGCAGAGTTAGCGTTGTACACAAAGCTTGAAAAATAACAATTCCGATTTAATTATTATAGTTAAATGTATACTTGTCTAAGTGCTCAAGTAGTCAAGATTTCCAGCAACAAAGTAAGGTAATGTGAACATACATTTTTATCCTTGACATTCAAAATCAAGATTAACATATATAGCTATAACGTATTATATAGTTCTGTAAACATCCCATGTCCATGATGGCCTATGAATATAGGCCAGCATGCATATATATATATATATATATATATAATTATTTTAATAAGAATGGTCTATTTATTTAAATATATGTTGTTATACGTATGTTCTGCATTGCAATATATCCAAGCTTCTATATTCGACGATCAAAGTTGAAATTTTTTGTAAGATGTCAGGGATGTAACTCGCTCAGTAAAGCCCTGGTTTAGTCAGTTAAAGAATTCTAAAGTATTCTTCATTTCTGAGCAAAATTTCTATAATTTTCTTTCAGAACATTATATTTTCTTATAATTGTGTTCTCAGAAAATTGTCAGTAGCCTACCTTTTTCTGTATATATGATAAATATTTTTTTATCGAATATCATCACCTTTGGCTATAGGCTATATTTTAACTATAACGAGTACCACAATTAAACTTACAGTTAAATCACAAGCTATGCCTGTGGCTATGAGCATATATGCCATCCTATATATCGATAGTCTTAATGGAGTAGCTATATACTTTTAATTTTACCAATGAACACCGCGGCTACATGTGCGGTTCGCTCTCAGGTATAAGAGATGCGTAGTAATCTGTACGTGTATGTGATTGTATATAATCCTTCAGCATATGACAATGAATTAAATATATTGTATCGCGGTGCCACCGTGCCAGTGACAACAATCTTCAATACGTCAGGATTAACTATTTTCTTTATTCTCCCCAGATAAAAAATGACAGATCTGCCTGCATGATACATATGATTATATAAACCGAAAGCCTGGTTTGTGCTCGATTGATATGAGTAACGCTAATACGACGTGTCAGGAGGAAAGAGCGAAAAAAATTGAGCATAAATATGTTCACAATGTTTACTCAAGCCAAGCGTTAAGTTATGATGATTTATGTGATGGTCCATGGCCAAAGATCAAGAATTTTTTGTTTGGTTTACGACCAGGAAGCTTTGTAGCAGATGTCGGTGAGTCAAATTATTTTTTGGTTTATCTTCAAGCTATATTTTTCTGTCACTATATATAGGGATCATGATGGACTGATGAACAAATTTTAGTCTATTTCTATACATCTGATGTATATTTTATAACTTGACTTGTCTTTTCATGCACCTTTATGAAATTTGTAGGTTGTGGAAATGGCAAATATCTTAAAGTAAGAGGTGACTTAGTTGTCCACGGTGTGGATGTTTGTCAAGAACTATCCCACCTAGCTTATGAACGTCATAAAAATATAATAATAGCAAATAATCTCAATTTACCATATCGCTCATCGACAATGGATGCAGTTATATCAGTCGGTGTTCTTCATCATTTTGCTTCGTATAAACGAAGGTTACAAAGTGTCAAAGAACTTGCACGTATTCTTAAACCTGGAGGACAAATCCTAATTTATGTATGGGCGTGCGAGCAAAAAAAAAGAAAGGTGAGTAGCTTTATACTCTGTGTATCTCACTTGGACTGTAACTTACTTGTTCTTTGCCTTATAAAACTGCGATTATGCTTATATTTACATAAAAAGTTTGTTTTCCAAATATGCATTTACGATACGAGGTTGATATATTTATCATAAATATATTTTAGCTCTGCCGGTAATGGTATTGAGCGCTCTTCAACCATTGTCAAGTTCTGTGAACTCTTTGTTACAGTCAATTCTTTGGATATATACATATAGTCAACTATAGGCCCTCCGGCAGGATCGAACCTACGCTTTTGCAATACCGGTGCAATGCTCTTGCATATGTGCAAATATTTATATATATTATATAATAATCGTGATAAAGAACTTGTATACGAATAGAACCTGGTGGGCAATTCTTAATTTATGTATGGGCATATACGTTTATAATACAGTTAATATAACAATTTACTCAACCGATATCTGAACAGAATCGATTATATTGCAGTTTAGTTCTCAAAATGTCCTGATTCCATGGAAAACAGAGAGTGCTAAAAAAGAAGACTGTTTTTGCAATCAAAATATCCAACCAAATGAAGTAAACACGAAGAAAAAACATTTTGTGGGAAATTATTGCTTAGAGAATCTAAGTATGACTGAAACGGGCGAAGATGTTCCAAACTTCAAAATGAAGAACACCGAAGAGGAGGTTGGCATTGATGTGCAACCAAGGAAAGGAGATTCTCTAATTGCAGTTGATAACTCATGTGATCAGATTTCTGACGATGAAAAACAACAAGGCAATTCAATCATAAATTCAATCAGCATTTTCACCGAAGATCTAAAGGAAAAACTGCAGCGTCTTTCTTTTCCAGCGATAGGAAAAACATCACCGTCAGTTGAGGGAAGAAATTGTGGCGAGTCAAACAGCAATCCGCACGACGAGTTGCAGAAAAATTGCGTCAATACAGTTCATGACCTCACTTTGAAACACAGTGCATTTTCGGCGAAATGTAAGCAAAAATTAGATAGAACAGAACAAGGTAAATTGAGTTGTCTTTGTGGTAAAATTAATCCGAGTTATCCGACCTGCAATGGTGATAATACTAAAGTTCCAAAAGGGTGCAATAAGAAAAGTGATAGTTCCTCTTTACATGTAGAACGTTTCAAAAGATTTTATCATGTCTTTACGAAAGAAGAACTATCAGAACTGTTGCAAAATGTTCGTAGACTGAAAATTCTAAGCCAGTGTTATGACCATGGTAATTGGGTTGTCAAAGCTGAGAGACTTGACGCCCCAGAGTGACAATTAAATATTCACTGAAAATCGAGAAATCAAGAAGATGAAAGCAATGGACTCAAGAAAGTATGGAGAAATGCATTTATTTTTACTTCACCACGATACATTGAACAATGTAGTTTGCCAACAGCCTTGAATTATGTCCATGGCATGCAGGTTGCTAACAGTAACAGAGTAACAGACCAAACAATACTGCAAGAACCTCATACCCAGGTTCTTTGTTGTAGAAGTTCAACAACATGCGGATGACTTATCTTCTATAGAATGAACAATCCATGCATATATATTAGTTTCTTTCAATCTACAAATTATCTAGAACATTGACTTAAGTTCATGGTGTTGAACAAGCCGCCCAAACATTCGAAGATGAAGGCTTTGTTTGTCCACATACTATCCTATCCACTATAAAATAACAGTGCAAAAATCGTGAAACATCAAATTGTATAATGATTGGTGCCTTTAGTGGCTTAATTACACAATGGAAACTTTATTTGATAAAGTTCATCTGTGTTTACTTGACTTGTGGATGCTATTTATTCAGCTAGCAGCTGCTTGTCATTATTTGAGTTGTTTCGTTCTCAGCTAAACACACAGTGTTTGTCATTTCTGTAGGCCGGCTTTGCATAATAGTTATTTCAGGGACGATTTTTCTTTTTGGAAAACCAATTGCCGGACGTTGAACCATTTCAAAACTTTTATTCCGACCATTTGTGATTTGTAGATGCCAGAAATAGATAAGTGGGTTGAGGCTAAACGCCAATACCTCGATAACGACCCAATAAGAGTTAAAATCATGCAAAATTTTCATGCATTGCATTTTTTCAGCATTTCCTGAGAGAGTCATTACTAGCATGGTCTGTAGGATAAGCACATTTGGAAGAACTCCAATAACAAGCATTGCCGTAACACAACATACTACCATTGAAAGTTTGGCTTCTTTTTTTAAATTAAAGCTCAAACGACGTTCGTTTCCTGCAAAAATTCCTTCTTTATCCTTCATCCTGTAACTGCGGAAGGACAAGTAAATTTTCATATAGAGCATGACGATTACGATAATCATAATCTCAGACAAAAATGTTATAATCAACATGATAATTTGACGGTAATAATGCAGGAGTAATGAAAAAATGAAGACCATCGACCAGATTCCAATTATTGTTCGTTTATAAAACCATTGATGGTTTTTCATTCTGGAGTGAGACCATACAGAGTGAACGACCGCAATATATCGCTGGAGGGCGATAGCCAAAAGAGTTAGAAACGAGGCTAGAACTGTAGACCATGACAAATTTATAATCACACGACGGAACCCTGAGTGATTTATCAGTCTTCTAAAGCCAAGCGTTAAAGCGACAAGCGATGTGGCCAAATCTGCTACGGCTAAGTTGCAGATAAATATCGAACATGACTTGGGAAGATTTTTTCTGCCAAAAAGGAGTAGAAGTCCGTTGAGAAGCAGTCCAATTAAAGACACAAATATAAGAAGTATATCTGGAACCTGTAGGAAATTTTCCTTTGTTGAAATTGGCTGCGTTGTGTTATTTCCTGCGTCTCCACAAACCATGATACTGAACTCTAAAAGACGGAAAATATGTATAAAATAGAACGCATTTCCGGAAAGGTACTAAGTTTTTATATGTCGCGCCTACCTGAGTTAATCCTATGTACTTCGTGTATTGTAGTCGTTGAGAGGAAGCCGAAGAAATTGCTTTAAAAAGTGATTTTGAAGCTGTTATGCATGCGCAAATACATACGGATAGCAAGTGAATGATTGAATTGCGATCGTATATTATATTTACGTACGTGCTGAACAAACACTGTGAAGTGCAAATTCTCTGCGGAAATTGATGACACCGTGCACATACAGAGCCATCCTGTCTGTGAAGGGGTTACTTGATTCCCTTTATATAGACAAAGCAGAAAAATAGGCAGGGGGGGCGAACGTTAGACTCAACTTATTGAGTGTTCGTAGCGCTTGGTATTGTGGGTATAGGGTATCACTAGAACTTTCATCAAAGGATGCGCGCAAAACCTCCTAATTTTAAATAACATAGGTTGTTTTAGAATGTGTTTTTATCTGTTTCTGCGTGAAAACACAAATGGAAACGTTTGCACACGTTGTCACTTTGTGCATTTTGTAAAATTTCTTAACTGATAAAAAGTAAAAAGCGCCCTTTGGTCAAACATACAGCAGAAATTGCATTAAAGTTACAAAATACAACATTTTGAGATCATCATGCGGACTGTGACGACTACAGTGTAATACCTATATGTACATTCCTGAGAGTATACTTAAATTAATAAAATAACTCTTTTCATGAATGCGTGTAAGCACGTTAAATTTTTATTTATTGAAAAGCTATAATAGACACGAATTTAGTTTTCTGTACCATTTAATGTTTTAATAGTTTTCTAAGAGAGAATTTAATTAAATGGAAAGCAGCTTTTATGCTAAATTTTGAATACGCGCTGGATTGCTCTCTGAGACAGCTCGCTTAGCCGTTTTTTTCTTCTTATCCTATTAGGTCACATGCTCAGACATATACTCAGTAATGTTCAATGCATTTCTGCTCTTACTATGGCAGTGTGCGTTGTATAAAGTTTAGTTTTAGCGTGTTAAAGTTCAAATCCCTATCATCCATATTACATTCACTTCTTTCTGTTTAGTGCCTGAAACTGAACTGAATAATATACTCTCGGAACTGAAAGGGTGACAGAGCAATCGCCCCACTTGCATGACCTTTGCCGAGAATATTTGCTTCAGAGAACGCGAGAAACGCAGGCAGTGAGCCTCGTGCCGGCTTTATTATAGATGGGCGTTCAACTGAAGCAAAACCTCACTCCCTTGCCTATGATTATCGAGTCGTATTTCCTTCTGGAGAAATTCTGAAATCTTGTTTTCGGAAAAGCATTTGTCGAATGCGATTAAGTTTGCCACGGTTCAGTTGACAACGTGAAAGATAAATGACAGGATTTAAACTGAAAGCTAACATTTCCAGCAGAATCCAGTAATAAGCGAAGCTTTTGAATGTTTTGTTGCATTTCAAAATGTCAAGTGTGTTGAAAAGTATTTTGCTTTTATTTAACTGCAAAAGAACGATATAGGGCAAAACTCCAACAACGAGAACCCCTGACACCCAAAACACAGTTTTTGTCAATTTTGACTCTTTTTCCACCTGAAGCTTCAAGCGACTTTTATCAGAAAAAAGACCTTGACGATCTTTAAACTTGTATCGATGAAATGATGTGAAAATCATAAAATATAGAACGATGGTTGATATGACAATCAGTTCGTAAATGATAGTCAGAATAAACGAGATAATATGCCAATGAAGATAAAATCTTGCGGAACCGAAGATGATAGATATGAACCATGTACAAATTGATATCGTTCTTGAAAGCCTGGGTTTGTTTTTCATAACTGAATATGTCCACATAGCATATTCTATGGCGATATAACGCTGTATCGCAATTGCTAAAATTGTTAGAAATGAAACAAATACGAACATCCATGATAATGTTTCCAAAACAATCCCCAATAGCAATTTGGAGGATATCATTTCACGAAATACCCAAAAAAATGAAAGAAATGCTGTACAAAGATCAACAATAGCCAAGTTTCGTACTAAAGCGGAACATGATTTAGGGAGACGCACTGCACATAGAAGAAAACCATTCAACAGAACACCAATTGTTGAAATTACAATCAGACATATTTGTTGTATGTCCAGAGATTTCACGCTGGTCTCTTGGAACGTATCATTCTTGATGCCACCACACATTGTTGGCTTTGTTACTCTATGAATATAAAAACTATTGATGATTATTGCAGAAAATTAGGACGTCAATCCTCGTCATGGTTTATTGAATGTGAAATTCTCTGACAGCTTTCATTTGCTGAACAAACAAGATTAAACTGATATTGTACAAAAATACGAATATAATTTCATATTCAAGAGTTGCGATGAATGAACCATTGTGAGTGTCGCTAAATCATAAGAAGCATGCATAATTCAGTTTAGAGATAGGTTTAGCTTTTAGCTTCATCTGGCAGAGGTGATGCATCAATAAAGCCAAGTGGCCATTTGACCGAAAACAGGGTGGGACCATATACCGTTAAGTTATGTTGACCTGACAGACCTGTTGTTTGAAATACTTGAAAAGGGTTTAGTTGCCTGGAAAATTAAGGATGCCCTAAAACTGGATACGGTTATAGAATGCCAGGGGAAAAAAATGAAATACACACCTCTTTAATGCTGCTGAATTGGTCTTTTGTCTTGGAACGACGGTATAACTGCATGTATGTAATCTCTATTTAAATAGTCAAATGGAATATCATTAAGAGAAATCGCATCTTGACTGCAGCTGACCAACTGAATCATTATATTGGTCGGCAATTCTTGATTATCAAACAAAAAGTTGAGTTATGGGTTATAATTAGTTGCAAAAAAACCAGCTGACCTTACAGGCTTACATTGAACATCGCACTTGTGTGCAATTGACAAACACGCATAAAAATGCATATAAAAATGATATCAGTTAAATTTGAGGAGTTACAGAGTCATTTGGATTGGAATTACACCCTTTTGTGATAATTAGGATATTTGGCCTGGGAGCCACGTTAGCATTATAAACATGGACCCTTTTACGGGGTCACATTACACTTTGAGGCACCACGACAAAACCATTACGAAACTAGCAACATATAACATAAAAATAACAAGATATAAAAAAGGGTGGATCACTTCTATCTCACTTCTCACTATCTCAAGGAAATTCAAGGATTAGTCACTGGGGGGATTACCGGTGCAAACTTAAAGAAGTTTGAATGAAACGTTGTGGAAACACTTCTAAAAAAAGTTAAATCCACTGAGCTATATATATTATATAATGAGGAATCATTATATAGCTCAGTGGTTAAATTTTTATTCTTTAAAAACTTATTATGGCGGCGATTTGTTCCGAAGATAGCTATGAATTCGTCGCACCAAATATTTGTACAGATGCTTTCAATAAGATGGAAGACTTATTTTCTTCTGGAGAACTTTTTGATGTTACACTAATAGTTGGCGAAAAAAAGATAAAAGCTCATCGTATTGTGTTGGCATCTGTAAGCCCGTACTTTAAAGCAATGTTTACGAATAGAATGTCTGAGTCAAGTCAAGATGTTATCACGATTAAAGATGTTGAAGAAGACGTTTTTCTATTATTAATTCGATTTATTTATTCCCATCGCATAATGATCTGTGTTGATAATGTACAAAGCTTACTTCAATGTGCTAATATTCTGCAAATCGACTCCGTCGTGAACGCTTGTTGTGATTTCATCTATAGCCATTTGAGTATCTCAAACTGTCTTAGTGTGAGAGATTTTGTCGACTTCAACGGTTGTGTCAAACTGGTTCGCAAAGTTGATGCATTCATTAAGTTGCATTTTTTAGAGGTGACAAAATCTGAGGAATTTCTTGACGTAACCGTTGATCATCTAAAACAATTATTATCAGGATCTAATTTGAATGTTCCTAAAGAGGAGGACGTCTTTGAAAGTGTCATGAGATGGATTAATCATTCTAGCTCGAAGCGACAGCACCATCTTGGTCTACTAATGCCATATGTCCGACTGCCAATGTTACCTGTTTCATATTTGATAACCGTAGTTGAGAAAGAAACATTTGTTTCGAAGAATTTGGTATGTCGTGATCTCATTGATGAAGCTAAGAATTTTCATCTTTGCCCTGAGAAAGTTTCACTATCAGCTCGCATTTTCCCCAGAAAGTCCTATTCTGGTATGTTATTTTCCATTGGTGGCCGAGGCAAGGGTGGTGATCCGTTCAGCAAGATTGAGATTTACAATTGGCTTGAAAATTGCTGGACACCTGGACCACGGCTATTAATGCCAAGAAGACATGTTGCAGCTGGTGTGATTGATGGAGTTATTTATGCTGTTGGTGGTCACAATGGTAGTGAGCACTTGAATACTGTTGAGAGTTTTCATCCAGCAAGTGGTTCATGGCAACTTTGCAAGCCTATGGGAATATGTCGTAGAGGGATGTCAGTTGGAATTTTAAATGATATGCTGTATGCTATTGGAGGTCTTGATGAAAATACATGTTTTAATCGTGTTGAGAGGTTTGTTTAAAACTTTTTAAAATGTCTTAGACCTGTCTGTAATCTTAGGGAAGTAAATCTCAGTTTTTTCTTGGACATTTAATAGTTGTGTAGTTATTGCTGCACTTTCATTATATTTGTTACTTATATTTACTTAAAGCGTTGAAACATGAAAACTCATTCCCATGTGTAAATTTGCATGTAGGTATGATCCCAAAAATGATGAATGGACAGAAGTGGCAGCAATGACCATTCAGAGAGGAGGTGTTGCAGCTGTTGGTTTTAATGGCTTTCTTTATGCTGTTGGTGGAAACAACGGTGGAAGTTCTCTATCTTCAGTTGAAAAATATGATCCACACAGAAATATCTGGGTTGATGTTACCTCTATGAATCAAGAGAGAGCAGGTATAGTGTTCAGCTTTGCATTACCAGAGTGATAAATCAACAATCTAGGGCATTAAATGTTTTCATTTTGTTTAATTATGTTTTACAACACTAGATACTTATCTTGACATTTTTGTCAGTTGTCTATACTGGCAAATTGTGCATCATTCATCTAATTTCCGTGCAAGTTATGCACTGTGCAAATGACTGTACAAGTTATCACATCTGAAAATTATGTTATTAAGGTCTTGGAGTAGCTGTGTTGGGAGGCTATCTGTATGCTATTGGTGGGTTTGATGACTCTCTTCCCTTGCAATCAGCTGAGAGGTATAATCCACATACTAACACCTGGAGTGTTGTTTCAAACATGAATTGTTATCGTGGAGGAGTTGGTGTTTGTACCATGGGTAGGATGATATGGGCTGTTGGTGGTCATGATGGTGCAAGTTACTTGAATACTGTTGAGTATTATGACATACAAACAGATTCTTGGCAGCTTGTTTCTTCCATGGAGGTTGGACGTGCTGGAGCAGGTGTTGTTTCATGTAAATGTAACATTGAAAAGTTTGGTAAAACATATGCTCTTGTTGAAACAGACATGGTGTAATAAAATAATGATGGTCTCAACAAGAAATGACATTTGAAAAATCATAGAATAATGATAAAATGTTTGAAATGTTTTACCACATGTGTTATACAAACAGTATATAATTGTATATTTGTTAATTGTTAGTGCACCCATAATTATGTTTAGCTATTTATTGTAACCATATACTTTCACTGTACATATTTTAAGGCATCATAATTATAACATAGCCATGGGCCATAGCCTTATTTTTAAAATTAGAATAAAACATTGAATGGACAGCATTTACAATACGGTAGGAAAAGTATAAGGCTGCCACTTCTTCAACCTAAGAGCAAAGGGCAGTGGGGACAGTTGCCCCCGCTTACCCCTTGGTTCCAGTGCCCCGGCTGATATGGCGATACAATCATTTGTATATAGATAGTAGTTTATTACATTCAAAAGAATTATGAATTGTTTGGCATAGCAGAGGCCATTTGCAATAATGATTACGCTAGTACAAGTAGATAAATCAACAGCTACTTTAATATAATAACATATGAATAAGTCGGTGTCATTCCGACTGGCCCGATTATCAGCCTGCGATAATCCCATGGTATTATATACTACTACTATACATGTATTTTATCTAATAGATTATGAACTACATTATTGTTTTTGTTCACCATTCTATATTTGCCCTCAGATGAAGGTTGTCCATGCATGGAGGAAAGTTTATGCTTTCATAAACCCAAAAGAATTTAGCAAGTCATTGCACAATGAAAATCGGAGGAAAAGGAAAAATAATTCTTTCCAATAGTCAATGAACTCCACCGCATATTGCTGGCACTCGTTAAGATTGGTTCTAAATAGTTCCAACACAGCCGTTCTTTGGAGATTCACGCCAGAAAAAATCTCATTTATTATTCCGTCGGCAAAAGGGCGAATGATTGGAATCCAAAGTCCCAACTCTTTGCATGGATTTTCTTGAAACTGAGAAAGACGATTTGGGATTATCAGAGATACAATTGGCGTTCCTTGTCGAAGTATCTGATCAGCAACATCTCGTTCTGTCGTGTACAAAATGAACTGCATTTCTTTGGTGAGTGCATCGCACCAGCTTTCTAGAAGAGGCGCCATACTCAGCGTATCAAGGAAACGCGGAGCTGCGTGTTGACGGTAGGCATTTGTTTGCCAAATTGGAAAACTACCTCTTCCTCGAAGATGATATCTACTAAGGGAAAACGCATCTGCAAATACATCCCGTTGCTCAATTCGTTGAATTCTTCCACGGCAACTAGCCAATATCACAAGAGCTTCAGTGAGACACTCCCACATTTCATCCTTGCAATTTTTGAGATGGAAGCACTCTGCTTCGGAGAACTTAAAAATTGTTTTAAAAGTCTCGATATACATTCGAGTTTTTTCTACTTTAATCTTTCCAACGTGGCAGTTATCCCCGCATAGTTCCAATGCTTTTGATATCAAACGAGAAGATGCAAGTTGAAATATACGAAGAGCATCGTCCACTCGCCCCATATTGCGATAGATAAGACCAAGGAACATGGCAGCCAAGATAATACCTTGAGCAAGGATAGAAGCCCAAAGTTCCTGTCCTTTCGGACATCGAAAGCGCGTAAAAAGTTCAAAAACTCTTTCGGCATGTTTTATTAGTCCTTGGTCGTTTTCAGAACCTTCGAAAAAAAGCATATAAACGTGGTAAAGTATGCGCATGTAATCACCATTTCCAGTGTAATGTTTTGCCCGACGCATGGCTGCTTCAATACTGGGATCATCATGCCTTCCAAGCATTATATGACAGCTTCCCGACATAAACAAGGATGAGTTCTCAAAAAGGCTTACAACACTCTCTTTCGACTGCATGATTGTCTCGTACAGCATTCGAGCAGAATCAAAATAAATCAAAGCTTCATTATAGTTTCCTTGACGAAATTTAAGTAAGCCTTCGATTAGCATACTGTACGCACATACGTTGACCTCGGTTGTGGAATCCGGAGTGAATATTTCCAATTCACTGGATTCTACAGCAGCATTCAAAAATGTTTGAATGTTTAGGATATCATCCTGATGAAATGAAGCCAATGCGGCAATCAAATAGGCAAAGACCCTCCACTCGCACTTGTTTCCATCTCCAATAGACGCCAAAATTTTCTCGCAATATTTTGATGTGTAATCAGGATGGAGACAGGATAAATATGCCAGGCACAAACGCTTTAAATCTTCGTTTGTGGTACTTTCAAAAGCTTCTGCAAACTTATCTACCATAAGGTTAAAATAACGATAGGATGTGAAAGAGAGGGCAATAGCTGAATTGAAGTGGGAATACTCGTAAAACTTCTCACTTGCCGGGAACTGAATTGCAGTGCAACAATGTGATTCATGGTCAGCCAGAATTTTCTTAACAGTTTTCTGAAATGGAAACACTGTATAGAAGAATCGAATGCAAAAATCTCTAACCAACTCCAAATTTAGGTCAAGAGATTGATCGAAGAAAGAGAATATTTCGTCTTGTCTGCCACATCGTAAGTAAGCCATTAAACGAACTTCATTCACAATGCCCACAACTACGGACAAATTGCGGCGAGCCTCGGTAGAAATGATGCCATCTTCATGCAGGCGATCTAAGATATTCCATGGAGAATTATCGATCACACTGGAATACTGAAATTTACCAATGTTAGTTATCAGCATGCCGACACGACAGCACGGTAAAGTTTCTTCTTGATGGATGAAATCAGTCCGATGTCACTAGAAGACAGGGAAAAATGGAATTGATCGAGAGCATTTCGAAGACACAAGATAGCTGAAGATTGTCGGAGGTCAGTCTCCATCATTAGAACCAGGGACAACACAAGGGCGTCATATGTATCGACTAATCCTTGATCGTTGCCATAGAGAAACGAGACATTACTGAGAACTGTGGATAAATCGTAATTATCCTCTTGTAGTGAATGGTCACATCTCAATGCTGAGATATATAATTCGGCTAGCTCTGTTGGTGTTTTAATGAGATCTTTGTTTTGTCCTGTTCCCTGTACTAGGCGACCAAGGGGAGTCTTGCAAGCCTTGCTCATTCGACCATCTACAGATAAACCACGCATTTCGTCATCGTAAAATTCCTTTCCTTTTCCAAGAAATGGCCATTCTACTGCGTCAGCTCTAAACTCGTGATTCTGGCAGGATTCGCTTGAACACTTGAATCTTTGTAGAGAATCTATCAAATTATTTGCATCGTTTAGGGAAGGGATACACATCGAGGGAAGAATTGTCTCCTGTAAATTTAACGTTTTGTAATTGAAATATTCCATTAGTTTGACAAAGTACTCTTTAACAGACGTATCATTCTTGCCTTCTTCGATTAATAAAGCTGATTCTAAATCACTGAACGGAGTCGCCTCTCCTCTTGCGAAAGATCCCAAACCAATAAAAGCATAGCTGATTCCGTCAGGAGGTTGCCCGAGCACTTCCATGCATTCATTTAATAACAAGGCTACGGCTTCTTTCAGAAACTGTTGAATTTCGATAAAAATCTCTTTAATCTTTTTTGCCCTTTTACCTTCGCTCTCAGCATCAGTGTCGTGTAATGGTGAAGTGAAAACGATATGATTACGCTGAATGATCTTCAGTTTTTCACTACATTGTTGTCTGAATTCATACAGCTTATTCTTGTGTTTCTTATCGATATCATGTTGAAATTCGCTTGTGTTTATTGTCTGGCCGCATTGTGAAATTATGTCTTCTTCAATTTGTCGTAGTTTTTTCTCCAGCTCGTTTTTCTTCGTGGCATCGTTGCTCCGAATCAAACTGGAGTTGTAGAGAGCGGTAGCGAGGATGAATGGGTCCAAACGAGCAAACAGTGTTTGTGTTTCGTTTTCGAGACTAGCGCGAGCATTGTAAACATCGCCAAGCTTTTCTAATGCGACTGCTTCGTCGTCTCTATTTTCGTCGTCATGAGCTATTCTCAACGCTCTCGCGATTTCTAGCTCCTTATGCCAGCTTGTAATGGAATGAGAATCTGCTTTTTTCAACTGGGTTACGAAAAACGAAGCATTTCTAGTTGACATTTTGAAATGAGAAATATATACGTATAACTGAGAGACAGCCTCCAGGTTTAAAATATGCTGACTTCCCAGCTATAAATTAGCAGGAAACGGATTAACAGGAATCCGTGGCAACATGCAGAGAGAAACAAAGCGATAAAAAAATAAAGCGATATGACACGATATATAAAGCTCTTCAACTACATTTCGCATAGTTAAATCCTATAGACTCCTAGTTAACACCAAAATACACAAATCTATGAACTTTTAATGGCGAGAGAAAAGAGGGTAAATCAGTCTAGGAATTCGCTTTGCGGAACTGAGTTGCCAGTTGGCACGTAACGATATTTCTACTTAGTGCAGTAAAATTTTGTTGTCATCACAACAAGCGTGTAGTTTTAAACGCAATAAATTTTATTACCATGCAGACCCCTACCACAGTAAGTTACTTGCAATAAGTTATTCACGACATTATATAACATTCGGTCGGATGAGTTGTTTATTCACATGAAGTACAAACCTTTATATTATATTTCATTGCATATGAAAATTCATTTGTCTCAGTATTAACGATAGTAAATTTGTACGATAGTCGTTCTACATGTTTCTGAGGGCAAGAGTTACAGGTGCACGTTGGTACAAGCATGATCTCCTCTTCAGAACGAACTTTTTTGTTATTTTCTAAGTTCATCCATTTTCGTAATTCTTGAGTCATATTTTTCTCGACCCACACAATTCTGTTACAACTGTTATATACACATGGTCTTGGTTTCTCATAAGATAATTCTATTAAACAGAGATGAAAGTATGGACGATTATTTACTTCCATTTTTCTTCTTATCATTCTTAGACTAGTTAAATAGAGGCAATTTTATTTCATATCCTGCCAAAATAATATCGGGTCGAAATTAGACGCATATCTATAATCAAAACCCTGCGAACGAGGTTAATTCATAATATGATATTCAATAGGCATTCATCGGTTTATATAAAGTAAAAAAATTCTTGCTTGAAATAGCATGATGTCCACAGACTTACTTTCTGGACAGCGCTCCAGGAACGAGGTCTGTTAAAAGAGACAACGAGATATAATTCTATCTTTATAATGTCACTAGGCTTAGGGAATTTTTTAATTTTTTCAAAACTAAAATACGTTTATATAATATATGGCTTACTGTCAGTTTTTCTTCGTAACCTTTCGTCATGCATGCGGCAGTGTGATAAATATATTGTAGCGAAATATTTCATTTTGGTCTTATAGTGGGGCTGTCGGACAAATGAACAGTCTTTTTGATCCAACATCCATGCACGTTTCATTTATACTGTTATTACTGTATAGTATATATAAGGCCGCATCTGTGCCGGTGGTATAAAACGTTTTAATAGATCTTGAATAGTTACATCGTAGTTAACTCGAGAATACACGATTCTTATTGGCCAATTCTGCAAGTAACCATAGTTAAAAGTTAACTGATTCTCCTTTTTACCTGAATGCTATTGTAATAAAAATCCATGATTCCTAGGCCTTGGTATATAACAAAAGAACATATTAACATGACTGCAGTGAATCGCTATATTCGCTTCAAAAATATAACTATAGTAACAAACTATATACATTGTCGATCATTACCATTTGGAGCAGTTTTCTTCAATTTGTAGCCGTTGATGGGATTATAATAGATTAACAAGACATAAACAAGTAATAAACTAAAAAAGAAAGTAATGTAGTATAAAAGATATTAACTATAGTCTAATTATATGATATACAAAAAATTGTATAATAATTAAGATATGATTAATAGAATTAACTCATTTAAAAAACTGAAAAGTTGCAGACAGGGTGATCAAGACGGGTAAAGCCCGTTTTCCACTAGGCGAATTTATCGCGAACAGATAAAAAGGAGAAAGCGTTTCTACTTCTCCGGATCACATCACCGGATTTCAGATATCGCTTCGCGTCGCGCGAATAAATTCGCCTAGTGGAAAACGGGCTTACGTATTGATTCATTATTGGTAAATACTGATTTAGCCGCATTTTTCGCAAACGAGAAAACCTGTATATTGAGCTCTTGCAATTGATGTCATAATTCAAACTTTTTGCCTTTAGCCATTTTGGGTGGCAAATTAAAATGCGTTAAGAGAAATTAATATACAATCTTCGTGCATTGCCCTAAATCTATTCACGCGATTGGTCAAAATCAATCACGTGGTTTCTTGTTGCCTGGCGACAGATCAAGGGAATCGTAATTTATTCGCAATAACTGGCAATAACCAGTGCAATAACCCATGAAAATCGTGGTTTATTCGCAAATAACCCATGAAAATCATGGTTTATTCAAAAATGACAGCCTGCAACGAAGCTTGGATCTTCAATGCAGCAATCAATGAGCTCAGATTGTATATTAAAAGTGTTAGAGACTTTATGTTCGCGTTTTGTGGCAAATAAACGCACTTGCTGACCATACAATGAGCTCGAAATGTCAATATTTCCCATCATCGTATGGTCAGCGCGTGCGTTTATTTGTGAACAAAACACTCACAACATGCAGTCTCTAACCCCTAAACAAACTGCGTTATACGTATACGTCATCATTACCACGAGTAGCCTAAAGTCCTTGAACACGCAATCTTACTGTGATCTCAACAGTTGGCGTCAATATATTCAAAACTTTTTTTATAGATTGAGCTTGCTTTGCCGGCTGGCCAAACTGAAATAAATCATTTTTATACTCCAATATCGTACTATAGTCGCGCTTCGTTACCTTTAAAAAAGCTTATTGCAATTGCATGGCTCATGGCTGCTGAAAGTAAAAGACCTTATCGAATACTGCAGAATAACTTAATTTTTCGCCCATGCAAGACTTCTTAGTGAAAATTACATCTGAAACTTTTATGCAGCAAGAGACGAGACATGCCAGAGGTTAAAGGTCTACTTAGATCTAACCGGCACCGTTTATTGTCGGGAATCTCTTCTAAGAGAGCAAGTAAAAACGTACACTTTGTTAGGCATTTCTTGAATCTAACATCCTCAGGTATGATACGGGAACGAAAAGCTATAGGACTACAGGGCATGCAATACACATAATATTAGACTTACCACTGATATCGACAAGACATGTTGCACAACTAGAATCGTAAGACTGGAAACGACTGGAAACCTTCACTGAAATTTATATGATCGCTAACAAACAATCTCAAAAATGCTCCATGCATGGCATGCAACCTTATGAAACATTTATGTACAAGTAAAACCAATAACGAGTATGTTGGCGTGAATGTTGACGTGAATGATAATTAGCATTGCACACAAGTCCCACAACGCGCGAGAATGAAGTACTTACTGTTTAGAATGGATTTTATCATGACTTGCGTAGGGTTACATGCGGCTTAACCCACTTCACAATCTAAAATTTCATGCTTGTGTTGATAGTGCTACACCGATAATGTCGATCTTAGAATCTCATAATTCACCGCGGTGAGGATTTTGGTTTTTGTCCGAGTGAATTTCAGATCCTTATAGAGATGTCGACAAGCAGATCACTCCTATTTCCACGGAACATTTCGGCCTGAAGAAATGTGATTTCTAGTTGTTTAGAAAACGATATGTGACAGTTTTTAACTGGAATGATTCATTCAAGTGAAATTAATCTATTACTTGCATGATTTCATTGGTGTACATGCGGCATCTACACAAGGATAGGGCAGGAGATGTTCTTTATATTAGAGTTTAAGGTACATCCGTAATTTCCAGCAGGGTTCGAAACATGCCCGGCTCTAGCTTTCAGGCATTTGCCTGGACAACTTTAAGTTCCCTCAAAAGTGATTGAATTCAGCACATCAAGCGTGGCACAGAGATCTAGCTTCTTTTCGAATTGTGGGACAATTTATGCGTCTGTGGTAGCGCCCCTCGTCTTTATGCAACTTCCCTCTTCATGGACAGACCATGCACCATCAAATCCCAGCCATTTCATGCATTGTGATTGGTAATGGGATGAATTCTTCATGCACATCGCCAAGATGTTCTCCGCGGGAGACTCAACACAGTGTACTGTGGTCGACCACATATGTATTTCGGGAAGAAATATCATTACCTGCATATATATACATTAACATAAGATAAATATGCATGATTGCAGTTAATTTACTTTGAAGTGGAAAATCCTTAGCATAATGGAATATTATGTTATTTTGGTTAAGCAAAATAATATTATGTCTAATGCTGCTGGATGGTGGCTTACAATTCAAAGTTAAGAGTATAATGTACGTGGTTTTAAGAAATAGACATGCAGTGAAATTCCATTCAGTTCATTTCCACAATTACCTCACAAAACTACGGCAATAAAAGATGATGAACGTTTTTTTCCACGATACAATTATCGGAACCAGACATTACTAATGGGGAATATAAACGTAGTAATTTGCTGTTTTGTCCACCATTAAGAAAGCATCGATACACAATTTATACATAGATACGTGCATATAATTTTACATTAACTCTTCATGCACAAGCATTCTTAAAATTGATTCAGGCCTATTTTTGGCTTTTATGTGACGTCATCGATTCCAGTGAGGATCAACTTGAAAACAAAAAATCTGTGATGAGAGTGAAATAGTTCTTCACTGCATATATGAAGTTGTCCTCGTACTTGGTTGTGAATATTTACAATTTCGTATCAATGACTCAATCCTTTGTTACATATAACTGTCGAGACATCTCAGGTCGACCTCACTCAAATCACTATGAAAATGCTTAATGAAACCCACAGATTAACAAATTCATGATAACGCCAACGGCAAAATGTAGGCTGACTATCGTTTTGAACAGATAAATATTTAATTCAAATTAGTCAACTATACAGCTGTTTAGAAAAAACACTTGAAGTATATTTATATCGAGAAAGGATGTTTTTCTTCATTCCATGGTCATACTTTTTTAAATAGACATAGTTTCGTGTTTACATAGTTATTTTAAAAATTAAATTTGATAATCATTTGGTAATTATAAATAAGCTTTTCCTTGGCCAAGAGTTAAACATAGTATGATTTAAATTAGTTTATATTGAAATCGTCCATTCTATTGCATGCCTTGCTACCGTACGTAGACCTTACGAACAGATTATATAAACCTTTTAGCATGCATTGAAGCAATAAATCTTGTTGACGTTTGTCTCATTCTTGTATTGTTGAAATTAACAATGCATGGATGCGTATATATAATGCGAATCCTCCCTCCGCCTTTTTTCCTCAGGTGCAAACTCACGACCGCGAGACCATCCCATGTTTTGTTACACGTTACCAGTCCTCCCATTCATACGTCAGTGTAGCTCCTTTTTTAATATAGTCATAACTCTGTACAACCACATTCCATGCAGAGTAAAGAGCCTAATGTCCCCCCCCCTGCATTTTTCTATACACAACTTTTACGTACGTATTTATTTAGCGTTGCTATAAATTCGTCTGCTCTGTCAATGCTAGACTAGAGAAAAGAAGGAAAAAATTACCTCCAAAGACTAAATGCTGTTGCATGAAGTGATTGTGAATAACCAACATTTTCTCGAACTTCATAAGCATGCAGTTTGGAGTAGGTTAGTCTAATCGAATGAACCATCAAAGTAATTTTCAAAGAAGTTATTGAGAATTGATCGATCAACTTTATCATCGCAAAAACAAAATTAACTGGTTGGAAGCTGGGAGAAATGTTAAGGTCTGTTCACATGCACGATCCAATTTTGTTGGATCCAATTCACTTCTGACGTATGGAATATACCAGTACTGCATTGGCCTCAGTGCATTTGCTGCCCATAAACATCATAAGACAACAGACTATAAAACATCCATCAGAAGTAAATTGGATCCAACAATATTGGATCGTGTGAACAGACCTTTAAATTTGCTGAGGGAAAGTTAAGTATCCATGTATTCCTAGGATAGTACCTATGTACTGGATATTAGCTTGAACAGCTAAATGTTTCAGGTATTTATTTTAACATTTTTATATTTAGTTGGGGACGTCGTTTAATCAAGTTGATTGGTTACCTGTATTTTTATGACTAGGTTTTTCCTTCTTCTCCTGAGCAGAACATCGACTTCCTATGAGAATTAAAATAAATAATGAGAACATGAGAATTAAATTCAGATACTCCACATGTCAGCGAAACCCGCCAACAATAGCAATAATCCAGGTTAATAAACAATATTATTATTGATGAGTTTAATTTTACCGTAGGTCCCAAGGGTAAAGTGTTCCTCCTCAGGGCCCTGATGTAAGGGCTTAAAATATCCCCCATCCTAATCCTTGTCCTCTCAATGTCCGTTTGAGATAACGGCAATTACCTTTACCTCTCCCCCCACAAACTTGAGTGAAGTGATGCAACCGTGAGTCAACAAAACGTAAGCTAAAACTTAAAAGTTCACATACAAGGCTGTCAACGAATTCAATCCTTTTCATATTTTCTTCAATTACGCCTTTCGTTTTCTTAATCAACTTTTTTATACTTTCCGAGGTAAATTTTTCATCCAAGTATCCCTATATGTACACAAGATACTAAAGCATGAATAATTAATTATTCATCTCAAACTCTGTCGCAACATCAACGATTACAACTATACGCACCTGTTTAATATTATCAAATTCGCCCTCCAGAATTCGAAGTTGTTTCTGCAATTCATTTACAGAATCATCTATTTTCGAAAGTTGCTTATAGTTTGGATCTTCTTCAAGATTATACTATACATAATAAAGATAAGAAAACATTAGGGTGCTTTTCTTTATACGGGAAAACGGACAGACCGTCACAACTTTAAAAAAATCAAAGATCCATTGATCGCTGCCTTTTTACCTGCTGTTGTTTATGCGTTCGGCACATGAGAAGCACAACGTTTGGAACAGGCCTTAGTTAGGTGTCAAATAAATTGTCGTTGGGATGTTTTTCACGTTATAAAAAGTGCATGATTTTAAGAAGAAAGTCAGACTTCGAAAAAGGAAGGATCACTCGAAGAAGTATAACGAGAAGTTGGAAGAGTTTTTGCTCAGGTAATATGGTCATGGTTGGTTGAAAGAATCTGTTGGCTTGATCTTTGGCTTTGCAAATTAATTCACTGCCGTCATGATTTGAAAAGTCAGAAGATATTAGCGATTGCAGGCATATTTTTGTCGATTTTTACTGCGATATCTTGTATATTTCGATTTAAAATGTGAAATACAGGTGAGCTGTTAACTTGATTTTGTTTATTTTATTTCAGAACGAACTATATACAGCGCCGAAAGATGGGGAAGGCGAAACACAAACGCTTGCTCGCAGCGAATAATAGGTATATTATTCTATTAATATATGGGTATAAATTTTGCATTTTGAACTAACTAGTTTGTACACGAAACGAGAATATAGTTTAATCGAATTTTTTGCGACTTTATCCAAAAGTTTTTCCAAGAAATGGCTGAAACTTTTCCGGCTGGCGCAATGCATGCGTTTCGCATGCGTTAGCATGCATTGAAGAAATAAATCTTGTTGAAGTTTGTCTCATTCTTGTATTGTTGAAATTGACAATGCATGGATGCGTATATATAATGCGAGTCCTCCCTCCGCCTTTTTTCCTCACGTGCAAACTCACGACCGCGAGACCATCCCATGTTTTGTTACACGTTACCAGTCCTCCCATTCATACGTCAGTGTAGCTCCTTTTTTAATATAGTCATAACTCTGTACAACGACATTCCATGCAGAGTAAAGAGCCTAATGTTCCCCCCCCCCCGGCATTTTTCTATACACAACTTTTACGTACGTATTTATTTAGCGTTGCTATAAATTCGTCTGCTTTGTCAATGCTAGACTAGAGAAAAGAAGGAAAAAAATTACCTCGAAAGACTAAATGCTGTTGCATGAAGTGAGTGTGAATAACCAACATTTTCTATTAACTTCATAAGCATGCAGTTTGGAGTAGGTTAGTCTAATCGAATGAACCATCATCAAAGTAATTTTCAAAGAAGTTATTGAGAATTGATCGATCAACTTTATCATCGCAAAAACAAAATTAACTGGTTGGAAGCTGGGAGAAATGTTAAGGTCTGTTCACATGCACGATCCAATTTTGTTGGATCCAATTCACTTCTGACGTATGGAATATAGCAGTACTGCATTGGCCTCAGTGCATTTGCTGCCCATAAACATCATAAGACAACAGACTATAAAACATCCATCAGAAGTAAATTGGATCCAACAATATTGGATCGTGTGAACAGACCTTTAAATTTGCTGAGGGAAAGTTAAGTATCCATGTATTCCTAGGATAGTACCTATGTACTGAACATTAGCTTGAACAGCTAAATGTTTCAGGTATTTATTTTAACATTTTTATATTTAGTTGGGGACGTCGTTTAATCAAGTTGATTGGTTACCTGTATTTTTATGACTAGGTTTTTCCTTCTTCTCCTGAGCAGAACATCGACTTCCTATGAGAATTAAAATAAATAATGAGAACATGAGAATTAAATTCAGATACTCCACATTTCAGCGAAACCCGCCAACAATAGCAATAATCCAGGTTAATAAACAATATTATTATTGATGAGTTTAATTTTACCGTAGGTCCCAAGGGTCAAGTGTTCCTCCTCAGGGCCCTGATGTAAGGGCTTAAAATATCCCCCATCCTAATCCTTGTCCTCGCAATGTCCGTTTGAGATAACGGCAATTACCTTTACCCCTCCCCCCACAAACTTGAGTGAAGTGATGCAACCGTGAGTCAACAAAACGTAAGCTAAAACTTAAAAGTTCACATACAAGGCTGTCAACGAATTCAATCCTTTTCATATTTTCTTCAATTATGCCTTTCGTTTTCTTAATCAGCTTTTTTATACTTTCCAAGGTAAATTTTTCATCCAAGTATCCCTATATGTACACAAGATACTAAAGCATGAATAACTAATTATTCATTTAAAACTCTGTCGCAACATCAACGATTACAACTATACGCACCTGTTTAATATTATCAAATTCGCCCTCCAGAATTCGAAGTTGTTTCTGCAATTCATTTACAGAATCATCTATTTTCGAAAGTTGCTTATAGTTTGGATCTTCTTTAAGGTTATACTATACATAATAAAGATAAGAAAACATTAAGGTGCTTTTCTTTATACGGGAAAACGGACAGACCGTCACAACTTTAAAAAAATCAAAGATCCATTGATCGCTGCCTTTTTACCTGCTGTTGTTTATGCGTTCGGCACATGAGAAGCACAACGTTTGAAACAGGCCTTAGTTAGGTGTCAAAAAAATTGTCGTTGGGATGTTTTTCACGTTATAAAAAGTGCTTGATTTTAAGAAGAAAGTCAGACTTCGAAAAAGGAAGGATCACTCGAAGAAGTATAACGAGAAGTTGGAAGAGTTTTTGCTCAGGTAATATGGTCATGGTTGGTTGAAAGAATCTGTTGGCTTGATCTTTGGCTTTGCAAATTAATTCACTGCCGTCATGATTTGAAAAGTCAGAAGATATTAGCGACTGCAGGCATATTTTTGTCGATTTTTACTGCGATATCTTGTATATTTTGATTTAAAATGTGAAATACAGGTGAGCTGTAAATTGATTTTGTTTATTTTATTTCAGAACGAACTATATACAGCGCCGAAAGATGGGGAAGGCGAAACACAAACGCTTGCTCGCAGCGAATAATAGGTATATTATTCTATTAATATATGGGTATAAATTTTGCATTTTGAACTAACTAGTTTGTACACGAAACTAGAATATAGTTTAATCGAATTTTTTGCGACTTTATCCAAAATTTTTTCCAAGAAATGGCTGAAACTTTTCCGGCTGGCGCAATGCATGCGTTTCGCATGCGTCAGCATGCATTGAAGAAATAAATCTTGTTGAAGTTTGTCTCATTCTTGTATTGTTGAAATTGACAATGCATGGATGCGTATATATAATGCGAGTCCTCCCTCCGCCTTTTTTCCTCACGTGCAAACTCACGACCGCGAGACCATCCCATGTTTTGTTACACGTTACCAGTCCTCCCATTCATACGTCAATGTAGCTCCTTTTTTAATATAGTCATAACTCTGTACAACCACATTCCATGCAGAGTAAAGAGCCTAATGTCCCCCCCCTGCATTTTTCTATACACAACTTTTACGTACGTATTTATTTAGCGTTGCTATAAATTCGTCTGCTTTGTCAATGCTAGACTAGAGAAAAGAAGGGAAAAATTACCTCCAAAGACTAAATGCTGTTGCATGAAGTGATTGTGAATAACCAACACTTTCTCGAACTTCATAAGCATGCAGTTTGGAGTAGGTTAGTCTAATCGAATGAACCATCATCAAAGTAATTTTCAAAGAAGTTATTGAGAATTGATCGATCAACTTTATCATCGCAAAAACAAAATTAACTGGTTGGAAGCTGGGAGAAATGTTAAGGTCTGTTCACATGCACGATCCAATTTTGTTGGATCCAATTCACTTCTGACGTATGGAATATAGCAGTACTGCATTGGCCTCAGTGCATTTGCTGCCCATAAACATCATAAGACAACAGACTATAAAACATCCTAAATGAACATCCCTTGAACAGCTAAATGTTTCAGGTATTTATTTTAACATTTTTATATTTAGTCGGGGACGTCGTTTAATCAAGTTTATTGGTTACCTGTATTTTTATGACTAGGTTTTTCCTTCTTCTCCTGAGCAGAACATCGACTTCCTATGAGAATTAAAATATATAATGAGAACATGAGAGTTAAATTCAGATACTCCAGATACTGTAAGCAAAACCCGCTAACAATAGCAATAATCCAGGTTAATAAACAATATTATTATTGATGAGTTTAATTTCACCGTAGGTCCCAATGGGTCAAGTGTTCCTCCTTAGGGCCCTGATGTAAGGGCTTAAAATATCCCGCATCCTAATTTTATATGCCTTATCCACATTTTATCCCACGATATCCCACATACTCCCACCCGTAATTGTCCTCGCAATGTCCGTTTGAGATAACTGCAATTACTTTTACCCCTCCCCCCACAAACTTGAGTAAAGTGATGCAACCGTGAGTCAACAAAACGTAAGCTAAAACTTAAAAGTTCACATACAAGGCTGTCAACGAATTCAATCCTTTTCATATTTTCTTCAATTATGCCTTTCGTTTTCCTAATCAACTTTTTTATGCTTTCCGAGGTAAATTTTTCATCCAAGTATCCCTATATGTACACAAGATACTAAAGCATGAATAATTAATTATTCATCTCAAACTCTGTCGCAACATCAACGATTACAACTATACGCACCTGTTTAATATTATCAAATTCGCCCTCCAGAATTCGAAGTTGTTTCTGCAATTCATTTACAGAATCATCTATTTTCGAAAGTTGCTTATAGTTTGGATCTTCTTTAAGGTTATACTATACATAATAAAGATAAGAAAACATTAGGGTGCTTTCCTTTATACGGGAAAACGAACAGACCGTCACAACTTTAAAAGAATCAAAGATCCATTCCATTGATCGCTGCCTTATTACCTGCTGTTGTTTATGCGTTCGGCACATGAGAAGCACAACGTTTGGAACAGGCCTTAGTTAGGTGTCAAAATGAATTGTCGTTGGGATGTTTTTCACGTTATAAAAGGTGCTCGATTTTAAGAAGAAAGTCAGACTTTGTAATTTCGAAAAAGGAAGGATCACCCGAAGAAGTATAACGAGAAGTTGGAAGAGTTTTTGCTCAGGTAATATGGTCATGGTTGGTTGAAAGAATCTGTTGGCTTGATCTTTGGCTTTGCAAATTAATTCACTGCCGTCATGATTGTCCCATTCATACGTCAGTGTAGCTCCTTTTTTAATATAGTCATAACTCTGTACAACGACATTCCATGCAGAGTAAAGAGCCTAATGTCCCCCCCCCCCCCGCCCGCATTTTTCTATACACAACTTTTACGTACGTATTTATTAAGCGTTGCTATAAATTCGTCTACTTTGTCAATGCTAGACTAAAGAAAAGAAGGAAAAAAATTACCTCCAAAGACTAAATGCTGTTGCATGAAGTGATTGTGAATAACCAACATTTTCTATTAACTTCATAAGCATGCAGTTTGGAGTAGGTTAGTCTAATCGAATGAACCATCAAAGTAATTTTCAAAGAAGTTATTGAGAATTGATCGATCAACTTTATCATCGCAAAAACAAAATTAACTGGTTGGAAACTGGGAGAAATGTTAGGGTCTGTTCACATGCACGATCCAATTTTGTTGGATCCAATTCACTTCTGACGTATGGAATATAGCAGTACTGCATTGGCCCATATTTCATTTGCTGCCCATAAACATCATAAGACAACAGACTGTAAAACATCCATTAGAAGTGAATTGGATCCAACAATATTGGATTGTGTGAACAGACCTTTAAATTTGCTGAGGGGAAGTTAAGTATCTAAGTATTCCTAGGATAGTACCTATGTACTGAATATTAGCTTGAACAGCTAAATGTTTCAGGTATTTATTTTAACATTTTTATATTTAGTTGGGGACGTCGTTTAATCAAGTTGATTGGTTACCTGTATTTTTATGACTAGGTTTTTTCTTTTTCTCCTGAGCAGAACATCGACTTCCTATGAGAATTAAAATAAATAATGAGAACATGAGAGTTAAATTCAGATACTCCAGATACTGTAAGAAAAACCCGCTAACAATAGCAATAATCCAGGTTAATAAACAATATTATTATTGATGAGTTTAATTTCACCGTAGGTCCCAATGGGTCAAGTGTTCCTCCTTAGGGCCCTGATGTAAGGGCTTAAAATATCCCCCATCCTAATTTTATATGCCTTATCCACATTTTATCCCACGATATCCCACATACTCCCACCCGTAATTGTCCTCTCAATGTCCGTTTGAGATAACGGCAATTTACCTTTACCCCTCCCCCCACAAACTTAAGTCAAGTGATGCAACCATGAGTCATAACAAAACTTAAGATAAAACTTAAAAGTTTACATACAAGGCTGTCAACGAATTCAATCTCTTTCATATTTTCTTCAATTATGCCTTTCGTTTTCTTAATCAACTTTTTTATGCTTTCCGAGGCAAATTTTTCATCCAAGTATCCCTATATGTACACACAAGATACTAAAGCATGAATAATTAATTATTCATTTAAAACTCTGTCGCAACATCAACGATTACAACTATACGCACCTGTTTAATATTATCAAATTCGCCCTCCAGAATTCGAAGTTGTTTCTGCAATTCATTTACAGAATCATCTATTTTCGAAAGTTGCTTATAGTTTGGATCTTCTTCAAGATTATACTATACATAATAATGATAAGAAAACATTAGGGTGCTTTCTTTATACGGGAAAACGGACAGACCGTCACAACTTTAACAAGAATCAAAGATCCATTGATCGCTGCCTTATTACCTGCTGTTGTTTATGCGTTCGGCACATGAGAAGCACAACGTTTGAAACAGGCCTTATTGTTAGGTGTCATCGATGCATAAAATAAATTGTCGTTGGATTGTTTTTCACGTCATAAAAGATGCTTGATTTTAAGAAGAAAGTCAGACTTTGTAATTTCGAAAAAGGAAGGATCACTCGAAGAAGTATAACGAGAAGTTGGAAGAGTTTTTGCTCAGGTAATATGGTCATGGTTGGTTGAAAGAATCTGTTGGCTTGATCTTTGGCTTTGCAAATTAATTCACTGCCGTCATGATTTGAAAAGTCAGAAGATATTAGCGACTGCAGGCATATTTTTATCGATTTTTACTGCCCTATCTTGTATATTTCGATTTAAAATGTGAACGAACTACGGCGCCGAAAGATGGGGAAGGCGGAAACACAAACGCTTGCTCGCAGCAAATAATAGGTATATTGTTCTATTAATATGTGGGTATAAATTTTGCAATTTGAACTAACTATAGTTTGTACACGAAACTAGAATATAGTTTAATCGAATTTTTTGCGACTTTATCCAAAATCTTTTCCAAGAAATGGCTAAAACTTTTCCGGCTGGCGCAATGCATGCGTTTTTCGGACACAGTTTTCGTATCGTGAATACCTATCCGTCAGCGCCTTATGTTAGTTTTGTACAATGAAAGACCGGTATATATATACATATATATATATATATATTGGTATATGTATGTACGTTATGCTAGACTTGACATGCGCTGAGTTATTTCAGTTTATCTATTGTAATTTTCTACTTCCAAAGTATCGTATCGTGTTGTAGTGGATTCCTTTGTTTCCAATTAGCTTTACCACAAAACAAAAATATAGGCGCAAAGCAAGTCACTCTAACTACTGTAGGCTTCATATAGCCGTGAATTGTTTAGTTTTACCGAGGTTTTTTTTTAGATTGATCGAATCGTCAGAGTCAAGAGTCGGAGCTTTGGGACATTTATGCACGCAAATACAAAACTCAATTTGACTTCGGTTAAAATATGCACAATAAAATTGCATGGGATTTGGCTTTTTTGACTGAGATATGCTGAACACTCTTCTGTTTACCTCCTTGATTTTGAAATTTTCGGTTTGCGGTTATTGCATGGGTTAACCTGGTCCTGTCAAGCGCATGCGGAGGAAATACAAGTGATTCTGGGGCCCCATCACTTGTATTTTTCCCATCTTGAATGACAATAATCAGGAAAAAAATATCGCTCATAGACCGTCTAAAACATGAAAATGCATGAGAAATTGTATTTCTAAATGGAGACAATAGTCGAGTTTCAGTTTTTTGGGACCATGAAGAAAACGATGATTATTTCCTACAAGGCTACAAAACGTGCATGACATTTTGTATTCCCGTGCGCAATGCGAAGGCCTTGGACGAGTGGCGTAGGAGATAATAAAGGTGTACAATTGGATTTTGAGTGATCATTTTATCCTGAATGCTTTATACATAAGGTGACATTTCTCTTTTGGAAATTAATATGATATTTTTGTATTTTCGTTAAGGGATCAGATGACGAGGTCGAGGGATCGTCGCAGGATCACATGTTGTGAAGGGATCGTCGCAGGATGGGATGACGACGAGACGGGTGTACAAGTGGAAGCTAGTTGAGGTACATACTATAGGTATACTAATTAGGGTAATGCATGCTTAATATAAGTGCGTGGTTTATTCTCGGATAATTCCTCTCGTGGTCTAACCTAATATATTTACACATCAAGTGACATTTAACCCTTTTCGACAATGCATGATAACAGGAAATCTGTCACAGCTCTCATAAGGGCGTTTTCGAGATTTCTCTATGAAACATTCCTGGTTGTCATTTGCGTGTGAATTTTATCGGCTTTCAGTGGTCTTATACAAATTTCTTTTATTTCGAAAAACAAGAAAAGCTTTTGATACAATAGTACTAGCCACGTTATTCTGAGTCAACGAAATACAATTATTTTAGTTCATGTCTGAGAAACTCTAATGTGTGTAAAAGTCAGTCCTCCCATTCATACGTCAGTGTAGCTTCTTTTTTAATATAGTCATAACTCTGTACAACGACATTCCATGCAAACTAAAGAGCCTAATGTTCCCCCCCCCCCGGCATTTTTCTATACACAACTTTTACGTACGTATTTATTTAGCGTTGCTATAAATTCGTCTGCTTTGTCAATGCTAGACTAGAGAAAAGAAGGAAAAAAATTACCTCCAAAGACTAAATGCTGTTGCATGAAGTGATTGTGAATAACCAACATTTTCTATTAACTTCATAAGCATGCAGTTTGGAGTAGGTTAGTCTAATCGAATGAACCATCAAAGTAATTTTCAAAGAAGTTATTGAGAATTGATTGATCAACTTTATCATCGCAAAAACAAAATTAACTGGTTGGAAGCTGGAAGAAATGTTAAGGTCTGTTCACATGCACGATCCAATTTTGTTGGATCCAATTCACTTCTGACGTATGGAATATAGCAGTACTGCATTGGCCTCAGTGCATTTGCTGCCCATAAACATCATAAGACAACAGACTATAAAACATCCATTAGAAGTGAATTGGATCCAACAATATTGAATCGTGTGAACAGACCTTTAAATTTGCTGAGGGAAAGTTAAGTATCCATGTATTCCTAGGATAGTACCTATGTACTGAACATTAGCTTGAACAGCTAAATGTCTCAGATATTTATTTTTACATATTTATATTTAGTTGGGGACGTCGTTTAATCAAGTTGATTGGTTACCTGTATTTTTATGACTAGGTTTTTCCTTCTTCCCCTGAGCAGAACATCGACTTCCTATGAGAATTAAAATAAATAATGAGAACATGAGAGTTAAATTCAGATACTCCAGATACTGTAAGCAAAACCCGCTAACAATAGCAATAATCCAGGTTAATAAACAATATTATTATTGATGAGTTTAATTTCACCGTAGGTCCCAATGGGCCAAGTGTTCCTCCTTAGGGCCCTGATGTAAGGGCTTAAAATATCCCCCATCCTAATTTTATATGCCTTATCCACATTTTATCCCACGATATCCCACATACTCCCACCCGTAATTGTCCTCTCAATGTCCGTTTGAGATAACGGCAATTTACCTTTACCCCTCCCCCCACAAACTTAAGTCAAGTGATGCAACCGTGAGTCATAACAAAACGTAATATAAACCTAAAAGTTTACATACAAGGCTGTCAACAAATTCAATCTTTTTCATATTTTCTTCAATTATGCCTTTCGTTTTCTTAATCAGCTTTTTTATGCTTTCCGAGGCAAATTTTTCATCCAAGTATCCCTATATGTACACACAAGATACTAAAGCGTGAATAATTAATTATTCATTTAAAACTCTGTCGCAACATCAACGATTACAACTATACGCACCTGTTTAATATTATCAAATTCGCCCTCCAGAATTCGAAGTTGTTTCTGCAATTCATTTACAGAATCATCTATTTTCGAAAGTTGCTTATAGTTTGGATCTTCTTCAAGATTATACTATACATAATAAAGATAAGAAAACATTAGGGTGCTTTCTTTATACGGGAAAACGGACAGACCGTCACAACTTTAAAAGAATCAAAGATTCATTGATCGCTGGCTTATTACCTGCTGTTGTTTATGCGTTCGGCACATGAGAAGCACAACGTTTCGAACAGGCCTTACTGTTAGGTGTCATCGATGCATAAAATAAATTTTTGTTGGATTGTTTTTCACGTTGTAAAAGGTGCTTGATTTTAAGAAGAAAATCAGACTTCGAAAAAGGAAGGATCACTCGAAGAAGTATAACGAGAAGTTGGAAGAGTTTTTGCTCAGGTAATATGGTCATGGTTGGTTGAAAGAATCTGTTGGCTTGATCTTTGGCTTTGCAAATTAATTCACTGCCGTCATGATTTGAAAAGTCAGAAGAATATATTAGCGACTGCAGGCATATTTTTGTCAATTTTTTCTGCCATATCTTGTATATTTCGATTTAAAATGTGAAATACAGGTGAGCTGTTAACTTGATTTTGTTTTTTTTATTTCAGAACGAACTATATACAGCGCCGAAAGAAACTCTAATTTTATCCAGTTAGCTGTAATAAGCCATGAGTATATAGTTTGCTCGAGAGTCGAAAAACTGGGACTTTTTAACAATTCGGTGAATTTTTGGAAGTAAAACTATTAAGGTTTGATTGAGAAGTATTTCGGGAGCGCTTTTCTTAAAAAAGTGATTAAATCTTCATTTTTTTTCTAAGACCACCTTAGCGGCTGCGGAAAATGCATGAGATGGCTTTAAAACGAATGAAAGTAACAAAATGCAATTAGCATAGTCGACGCGCACGCAACAAAAAAAATTTCGAATTCGTATTGGCCTAATTTTAGATTAAAACGCGTGCGTGGCTTCTGGGTTTGAATCCCAGAATACTGTCGTAAAAGAATATTAATAATATGGTTGCAACCATCACGAAATTTAGCTACTTCTGTACGGACCCCAGGTTGTTGACACAACTCCCTGATCAGGTTTAATTGTATCTTAATTTGTTAAGAAGTTGTGCAGAAGTTGAACACATGATATATGTCCACACAGGTTTCAGTTTTGCAAATGTTTGCAGTCATGCCCTTTTTTGAAACCCTGGGGTAACAATTTTTCTATGGAGACTCTATGCCTTCAGGGAGCAGCATCTTACCCAGGCTCTTTTGAATATTTTGCTAATTGATTGACATAGAACAAATTTAAATATATTGTACCTTGCTTCCAATTAACATGATTTTGCTTCCTGATTTTATTCCATACGAAATTAGCATGGATGATAAATCTTGCAATGATTTACCTTAAAAATTAATAGTTCGATCATCATAACATCATGACTTTATCTCAATGTGTTTATTTCCTTTATTTTTGAGGAGCCTCCTAAATATTTGGTGTACTTTCAAATTTAATTTTTAAAATTAATAAAATATAGTCATATTTTTCATCATTTCCAATCATGGATTTCAACAATTGTGCACAAGCTCACCTTTATGAATCAACTTTTGGGCATTACGTGGTACTCCAAGTTCTTTTTCAATGCATTCTGCCAGGGACTGGACAGTTAACATGCCACTTGCATTTTTAGCACGCAAAGTGATAGCATGTTTTGTAGGCCCTTTTCATAAAACAACATTCAAAAATTTGAAATATATATTAATATAGTTATGTTCTGAGTTATATTCTAAAATCTTCCAAGTGAAAATATATCTATCATGTACAAAGGTGAACTGACTAGTTGGTCATTCAGTGGCAGCTGGTGCCCAGCCAGATATACTAGAATTTGATGAGTGCAAGAAATCATTGTTTACGTCCAAGTTTGATGAGTTAAGAGTACTAATCAGTAACAAGCAAGAACCCATGTGAAAATTATAAATTGCAGAGCTCTGCACAATTTTGATGTCTTCTGTTTTTTAATTAACTACAATATCTTTTTTGAAATCTCTGGTGTACAAATTTGCACACACATTCCCCTCAGCGCATGAGAGTTGAGAGTGTTTATTTGGTGCAGGAAGTACAAAAAGTTGTGAAGTGCTCTAATAGCACATATCAAAGGAGTGTGATTTACACATTTCACCAGTGAATCACCAGGTCCCCTCAGCGCATGAGAGTTGAGAGTGTTTATTTCGTGCAGGAGGTACAAAAAGTTGTGAAGTGCTCTAATAGCACATATCAAAGGAGTGTTTGCACATTTCACTTTGCACAATTTGCACATTTCACCAGTGAATCACCAGGTGTAATGTTTTTTATACGACTAATTACCTAATTTCTACATATAGATCACATTGCGGTTGTGTCATCAACTTACCATGGGTAACAATCAAATCCAACGTTGCAAGAGCTTTTTCCTCCGTGGCAGCCATGATCGCTCAGCAGAGTGAAAGTTGATTTTTAATATAGGAACACATTTAGAAACACGGAAACAAAAAATTTACAAAATCGAAAGTGATCCACGTGCCGCAAACGTTATACTCCAAAAAACCCCCGAAAAAATATTCCCGAAAATATGACGTCATATATGACGTCATATAGGTCCTCGCCACTCATAGACTGGTCCTCTCTGTGCAACCTCGTACCCAGGGTCTTTACTCGTGCTCTCTGTGTCGCTATGACCACTCTACTGAGACCTACTGAGACCAGTGAGCAATCACCACTTAATATAGCCACTACTGACACTGAGTGACCATGACTATCAACCTTTCAGTAGAGGGATAGAATGGGTCATATCTTCCTAAAAATTGAATATTCCCCCCTCTGTGCCCAAAATATCCACCAGTATTTAAATATTAAAATGGCGTCGTCAAGCGTCCGAAGATGTCTGATGGCCAAACAAAATAAGGTTTGTTTAATTGAACTTCACACAATAATAATCAAGAAGATTACAAGGGATTGATGCATATTTGATATTTCATGCAGTAATACAGATTGTACATCTTTGACCATGTTTTATATTAAAGTAAACGTTTTTATATAATGATATTATAAATATTAAATATTATCACAGACCACTGACTCACTGAGACGAGTATCACTTAATTCTCTCAGTCTCTCTGGGATCTGTTGTACTCCTTATGCAAAGCCAGCAAAGGATCTGTTACATTATGCCTTTGCTGTTTTTGAAAAACGTGACAAAGAACTGCTGCTGTAGATAAAACTTTTAGCAGTTTAAGCTGTGATATATGTTCAACAAAAGCTGAACAGTGAAGTGCATGAACACTTGACCTTTTCTATTTCCTACTGTATTTAATGAAGTCAACATATTGAAAATTGGATGTGGCTCCCAGTCTCAACTCTCAACTAAACATTTAACAGTCAGTCACTACAAAATTTCAAGAAAATACTAAATGACCTGCAGTTTTTTGACAGCACCAGTCCACTTTTGTTAGTCAGAGGGAGCATTCATAGACAATAGACATGCTGGCCTAAAAATGCTGGGAGGTGGGGTAATGTCTGCCCTGCGAGCCCTGTAAGGTACATGCCTGCTAGAGGCATGCTTTCCCAAAAAATTTTGAAATTTAGAAATGCAACTTTTCACATTTTAGGCCTAATGTTTTTTTATTCATTGCTTACACTATTTGATTTTAGATTTCAGCAAAATTATCCAGCCCCAATTATTATAGTTTTTATCTCTTAAAGTACCTTTTGTACAGTTATTCAACCAATCACAAACTTTCTTAAGTTAACACAACTGTATCTATACATATTCCTAAATGAATTGTTTTTACAGGTATTTCTATTACCTAATTTACGGGGTATTGCCAAGCACCTTTGCTATAAAAGGCAGAATCTTGCAACACTCTCTAAAGACCAAAGGGAGAGTTTAGCAAATGGGCCAGATCTAAAAGATTTTCTGTCTGAAGATGTTGACAGGGATTTCAATCCATATAAAAGAATTAAAGGGAAAAGGTTTGTTTGGAAGTTCTTAATAATCAAAGCTAGAATATGCATAAGTAAGTAAAAATAGTATTGTTTATGTTAATTACATAAGTGTATGGTGCGTAAGGGTATGTGTGCCAAACTGCACACAGATGAGATGTCTGCAGACTGTACTAAACTCGATTTTCCTGCTTTAGGACTATTACTTGCCTTATTTAATCATGATTATTTAACCTGTTTTTTATCAAAAACCTGTTGGTAAATTGGAACTAAGAAATATGTGTTATTTTCTGTATTCTTTTTCAGGTTACGGTTACCACCTTGGCTTAAAACAGAAATTCCAATTGGGAAGAATTATTACAAACTAAAAGAATCTCTGAGAGATCTTAATCTATCCACAGTAAGTCATGACCTATATGATAATGATAGTTTGTAGTACTCCACCTAGAATGAATGTTGTTCATCTAATCAATATGGTTTAGTTGTCATGTTTAAGTCTAGGTGTAGGAAATGGTAACACTGAGTGTCATTATGCATGCAATGTGGTATGTCTCATATATTCAGACCATTGAACCCAAATAAGACTGGAACGCTCACTCTCTGACTTTCCCTCATTAATGAGTGAAGCCAAGATGGTGGATCATGAAGCCTTTCTTGTAGGTATGATCCAGGCCTCCGGCATGGAAATTTCAAAGGAAAATCATAATTGCCGCCATTTTACCTACGAAATTTCTGCGTGGAGGCCAGGATCATACCTACAAGAAAGGCTTCAGTGTCCGCCATCTTGGCTTCGAACTTCCGACAGAGTGAGCGTTCCAGTCTTATTTGAGTTCGCTGATTCAGACATGAATATTATTCTATTTTCTCCTTCATCCAAGGTATGCGAGGAAGCAAAATGTCCAAATATCGGTGAATGCTGGGGTGGAACAGACGGTCAAACAGCAACTGCAACAATCATGGTAATGCTAAAAATAATAGCCTGTCACTAAAATATTAGGCTGAGTCACTAAAACAGCAAGTATGGCTGTATTAGCCTGATAATATATTGCACATTCTGTTTGTTTTGCAGCTCCTGGGAGACCAGTGCACCAGGGGATGTCGTTTCTGTTCAGTGAAAACAAACAAGAAGCCACCACCACCAGATCCAATGGAACCTGAAAATACAGCTACAGCAATTTCAAAATGGGAACTGGGTTACGTTGTTCTTACTTCTGTTGATAGAGATGGTTAGTGTTAACAAGTACATATTTAACCATAATTAACCTTAATACTGAACAAGGATGACTTGATGCATGTCACCAGTAAATTATTTTCAAATATTAACCATTTCTCATTTAGATTTACCAGATGGCGGTTCCTCGCATTTTGCTGAGACAGTGATCAAAATCAAAGAAAAGTGAGGTTTTACTTCAAATTATCTTACTGATTAATCACAGCCACATGCAAGAAAAATTGGCATGCCACTAAATACTATCTTTTAGCCATCATTTTTTGCCCCTTTTTGGCGTTGATAATTTGCAGCAGTTTAATTAATAGAATGACATTGACGTTTTAAATAGTATCTTATTTTCCAGCTTCACTATCAGTTTAGATCGCATAACTTTTTTTGTATTTTATTATGCAGTGGTCATATTCAGTGTCAAAGTTGATGAACTGCGATGTAAATATTTTTCTATAATTTTCTTACACAGGAACCCGTCACTGTTGGTTGAATGTCTCACACCAGATTTTCGGGGAAATTTAGATCAGGTTAAAACAATCGTGGACTCAGGATTAGATGTTTACGCCCATAATGTGGAAACTGTGGAACGACTTCAGTTGTAAGTACTGCATGTATTTGGCGAGCGTGGCTGCAGAACGTAGCTACGAGGTTATGAAAAACCTCGAGTACGGAACCTGGTAGAAAACCGATGCGATCATATTGGGACGCATATATGCCATCATAATTTGGGGTGCATATACCTTTTGTATAGTTGATTGTGCTTCCCAAAATTAACGTTTATCGGTTACTGCTGAATATATAGATACTGTACCCCCGGTTATCGCGCTTGTTATGCGATACTGTACCCCCGGTTATCGCGCTTGTTATGCGGCCTCCCCCCCCCCTTTTTCTCACAGATGGGTGGACAGAACGGTCAGTACTTCAAAGCACGTGATGTATATATAAGTCCTTTCTTGTTGCTTTTTTCGTGATATCGTATTGATAATTAATTTTCTAGGCTTTTACGTGACCCCAGAGCCGGGTACAAACAATCTTTAGACGTTTTACGTCATGCAAAAGACGTGAGACCAGATTTGGTGACAAAGAGTTCAATCATGTTGGGTGTTGGAGAAACTGATGACGAGATTCTGCAAACTCTAAAAGGTAATGAACTGTCGGGCCTCGAAGTTTGCCAAAAAAAACAAATCAATTTAGGGGAGATTCTTATTTCAATAACATCCGTCTCCTCTCATGCTGAGGCAATTCTGTTGAATTTCAGATCTCAGAGAAGTTGATGTGGATTGTGTAACCCTCGGACAGTATATGCAACCTACAAGATTACACTTGAAGGTTGGTTCATATCTAAGGTTTAATAATAACCGCGTGTTTTACCGCTATTGAATGTATGTCTGTGGCCAGTTTCTTAGTCTTCAGTGCAATCCACTCTGTCATTATTAAACTAGGTAGTTGAATACGTAACACCAGAGAAATTTGAACATTGGGAGAAAATTGGACAAGAATTGGGTTTCGCATATACTGCAAGTGGCCCGTTGGTTAGATCTTCGTACAAGGCTGGTACGTTACTTGGCCTTTGCCATATTTTATGTATTAAAGCATGTACAGATTGATGCGCTCTGAATGAAGAAGCTGTAATTGAAAGTATCATTTTGAACCCATTTTATCACAAAAGGCTCTCACCCACTAACGCCATTTTGTCACCAAAGGCTCTCCTTTCATCGCAAAAACTAGCTCGCCGTAAGTACTTTCGTCCAATCACAATGCTTGACAGTTTATTTTAATTACATGCAAACACTCGCAGCGAGCTTGCGAGTTGATTTTACGATGAGTGGAAAAGAGCCTTAATTTCTGGTGATGCGAAATTGTGTGCACCGCTTGAACACATTCCACGTCGACGTTGCAATGAAATCTTAAGGCAGTGCGTTATTTTCTTATTTAGGGGAATTCTTTTTGGCAAATTTGGTAAATAAACGAAAATCTTCGAAAAAGTGAAATAGCAGCCAGCGATATTTGAGGATCATGTCGATGAAGGAAAACTTGTATTAATTATATTTGTATAGGGTATGTAAATTCAATATATATATTTTATCATTGCCGACAGTATAAAATTAAAAGTTCGACTTTTGCCTGCCTTCATTCTGAATGGAAAATTCAGGACTCACACCATCAAAGATTGTGGACTATGTGTGATACATCATCATGGCGAGTGTCCAACACAGTACCTCTAATAACAATGTTAACTTCAACGGTATATTGTAGACACTTTTACAGTTTAGTAACTGTAACTATATTTGCAGTGCTATAAAATTCATGCTGCATAGATGGGATTCAGGACAGCGGTTGTACACCATATCCAAAGAAATATCGCGACATGCATTGCAATGCATGCATAGCCTTGTAGTATATGGGAACAAATCATGTTTACCCCGTATTCTGTGAGGTGAATTGTGACAATAACTAACAATGAATGAATGAATCTTTGCACTGCTATAATATTAACAAAACAATTTATAAATATACAGAATAAAACTGACTAAAATAAAATTATAATACATGCCATAATGTTTTCAGGCAACTAACAACGTTATACACGTTTGCCCGGCTTTTTTATTTGTTGAAGATGCCAAATATTTCAGGCTTGTAATGAACAAGTGCAGTCCGATTTGTTTAATTTTGTTCCAGTTGGGCACTTTATATTTGGTGAACAATAACATTCGCATGTATTGCTATTCAATAACTTGTTTTTTCTTTTACATCGGCTCTCTATACCAGGGCGACATTGGCAATCACAGGTATCTGAACTCCATAATTTGTTGGTGTTTGAACATGCGTAAGGCGGATAAATACATTTGCAGCCACAATGATCCGTGTCCCATTGCTAAAGAAACGAAAAAATATTTTACGAAATAAGGCAATAGCCAATAAGTAATGTTTTGTGTGAGACGATAGTATGACGATAATAATATAAGATTAGATTACAATAAGATAGTATGACGTAACCGCATTGACCAGACTGCCTATATATGGCTTAGTGCGACTTTTGGAATTGAAGTACATCCCTTGATCATTAATCATATAGTATAGGTTTGTTTATAATATATATGAATTCAGCTAATATATAGAATATACATGGTTTGGAGACCACGTGCATAAAACTGCAATACAACTCATTAACTATGTTGAGGTAGATTTATGCAAAAAACTGTTCCTTTCTTATCACATTTTTATTGTATTTTGCACAGACAAACCAATAGCAATCTTATAATTAACATATTTTCAAGTCAAGATTGGGGAGCTTAGCAAGACGAATGCCATTGGTAAATTTGGCTAAAATACAATAGACACGTGACGAGAAAGAAACCATCTTTTTGCACAAACGTGGACAATAACATAGTTAATGAGTTGTATTGTACTTTTATTTAGTCTCCAAACCACATATATTCTATTAACTGTGATGAATTGCAGTAAAACGTTATTACCTTCGTGACCTGGTCACATTTATGCGGGAGAAATTTACACTTGCATTTACATTCAACAGCATCATACGTTTCAGTTTCGTTATTACAATGATGTTCTTGTACGGTACACTGACATCCACATTTCGTATGATTGAACATCTTTTTCACTTCAATATTGTGGGTTGTGCCGTCGAATACGATGGCGTTAAAATAGACTGGATGTGCTTCTTGTGGTGCACAGTGGATTAGATATGGCGGACGGAATCCACATCCACCGATACACTGATTCAATTCGATGAAAGCAGGGAAGGAAAATCCAGTCGTTGGATAGGGTACCTCTACCGGAATTGTATTCAGGTGGCACTCAATTGACTTTAACTGTTTAACTTGCTCTGAAAGAAAATGCATGCAAATTTATTGCATATGCACCATGTTTACAATGAAAATTTGAAGCCTGGTTTTTATCACTCGCAGACGGTCGGCGATGCTCTGCGATCCATTGTTGATGACCAATGAAGTTGTGTTTCTAAATGTGTTTCTTTATGCATCAACCAACGACAATAGAGATCGAGTATTTATACCACATGATTGGCTGCAATTACCTACCATCATATAATGCACGGCGACGGAGGAAATCTTCCTTCAAAGAGTCCAGGACTTTCGTTTTCATTCTTTTGTAGACCGTTGAGGGAATAGACTAAAGATACAAATTTTTAAATGTTGAGCAATGTAAATGTTTTACGCCACATAACTGAATGCAATATTGCAGAAATGGTGGTGCAAAATGTAGCGAAAGTACATGGAGCAGATTGTATTGTATTTAGGCATCCACTATAGTGTCCCTGAATCTCAGGATTAAGGTTCATTTTTATCCGATTAATTATATCTTTGCACTGTGCAGAAGCCAAAGCACCACAAGGTTGTTACATGTAACATACTTTTCTTTTTGAGTCCAGCGATTTCTTGAAATTCATAAGATGTCTAGCATGTGCGTTTTCATGTTGGATCATTTCCAGTAGTTTAAAAAACTAAAATTTCAAGAAAAACATTTTCAACATAAAAAGGTAAATATAAGATTAGGAGAAGTCAACTAAGAATAGGATATAAATTATTTAATTTGACTCAGTAGCAAAGCTAGTTAGTCGTAGATACAACCATGCGTCGACAATCGTTAGCGCGCGGTGCAACTATACACTTTCCTTTGTACAACTACACTTTCCTTTCACTGGTACTGAATGACAGACTAGCAAAGTCCCGGTATAACATTTGGTTTACACTGGCTCCTGAGAATCGCCTGAATCAGGGTTCGTTGTATTATTTTATATGTGGGACCAAACGACCGAATTTTCAATACGCGATTCTCAAGGCGGGGGATTTAAGCTCTAAAATATCCGCATTACACAACCATACAGGACTCCCCACCTTTGCATAGTACCTTCGTAATTTCGGGTTTTTTTTAACCAAGTCCCTCCCCTCTGGAAGCTCTGCTGCGTTCAACGTATTTCATTTTAAAATTTTTTATGTCAAAGGCTAACATGCAGGATTTGCGATTAAAACATTTCCTTCCTTTCTATGCTGCTCTAAGATGCTGGTTTCGATAACTTGAAACTAAGTTAAGGACTCGGTCAATAATAGTTCGGAATGCGGCATTTGAAAACACAGGCAATTGAAATATTCCCAAGTTTGGTCACTCCGGAAATTATGGCCGTATTTCTCAAATATTCTCGCCCACAATGAAGAAACCAAATTAATCTTTGATTCTAAAAAAATGTCTATCTGCATGCATGGTATTTCCTTGTTATAGTTAGTAGGCATAGAGATGAATAATAATGTATATAAACTTTTGTTGCTTGCGGACTTTGCGGTGAAGCGATAACTGAGCTCTGCAATAAAAAATCTTGTTGCTGTAACAAAATCACGAATGAATTATTCGAACACTAACAGTAAGAAGTATAATTGTGTTGTGCACGGAATTTGAACCAAAAGCAACTTTCTCGACGCGTGCATCAGTTATAGCCTGTAAAATATACTTCACTCACGCTGTTCAAACAAACTAATTTATAGTTTTACACTTAAAATGCTTTTTCTTCCAGCGATAATCAATTTCTTAAAATCATCGATGATCGATAAACGGCATTGCATGTCACTGCCGGCTTGATCGATTTTAATGTTTCCAGGAAAAAAATGTTACAAATTCCTTCACAACTGAACAGGGTTGAAAATGGAGTTTGTATATTTTGGCATAAGTTGGTTTACCAGATTAGGCGAAAATTGTGCTAAACACTGAATACGTGAGGTTTTATGTTTTTGATTTCTGCTTCGCTATACACGGCATCCCTGGAGTTTAAAGAAAGTCAGGGATAAATTATTTCCATTCAGTCGCCCGAACGATCGAGAACACTGAACACATGCATCAGGATTTATGGTCGACTGCTCTGCACTGCAGTTATTTGCATAAAACACAAGAAGTATTTGACAAAATAAACAAGAGAACAAGATGCAAAGACAAGAATATGCATCTCTTTTGGGTCAGAATTTGACAGTATAGTCAGTATAGGCTGAGTTGAAGCAATCATCACTGCAAGTATATAGTAATAGATGACTTTTCAGTATACGCGCAGTAGGGTCTTGGGTGTAAAATCTGATAGTTTTGTAGTTGAACCAAATCAATATTGAAAGCAAAAATGGCATCGCTGGATATGGCATGAATACTCCCGCTGGGAATAGAACACAGAAAGAAGTCGTCGAAAGATCGCGGTGGCCATTAGAATATTGCTAAGTAGAGGCTACCAAGCTGGTTCTATATTGATATAGTAACCCTGCCTTAATGCCTGCATGGTTTTTATCATCAGTCAATGATTTCAATCATAAGATTTTCTACGTCGGTACTCTTTTATGAGTATACGAAAACCTACGAGGATGAAAACCATGCGGCAGGTTCCTACTATGACCAATGCAGGCATCAGAAAATGTTTCTGATTTTGTATACGCATGGGACCTCCGTGCGTAAAATGATATCAATGGTCGAATGGTGGCGCATAATAAATTTACGTAACTCAATAAACTCATACTCATACCTGAATATCCGGCATTTGTAAAAAAATAGACGATCAAATATACTAGGAGATTAATTAACTATAATAATGAATCTTTATACGAACGTATTCGTCATTAGGAGAGAATAATCAATGAAAACTTACGTTAGCGTCTTCTGTCAATGAATCTGACTTGAAAATTTTTTGGTCAATCGTCTATATAGTGAAAATTAGAAATACTGATGTGTGATGTTCATTCATTATATGGGTGTTAAAATAATAATGGCATAACATTTAGAGAAGATGATATGATATGTTAATATATCATTAAATGCTGCTTCTAATCAGCTGCTTCTGCTGGCCTGATGCTTGATGCTACACGCCTCAATTGTAGACTTACAATAAACAGTCTATTTACTGTTTCTTTACTATGTCACGTTCAAATACTGTGAGTGCCAACTGATAAAACATTCAATCATTGCTGTTATTAGCCAGCTAATTTCGATTGTCTCCTAACTTTCATATACAATGAATACAATAAGTTGACGGTTGACCAGCAGCTATATCCACACGCTAGGCGTATCTGAGTCCAACGTTTATTATAGAAAAGCTCTGCGTGCGCGGTAATGCATCATTGCTTTCAAAACTACAAGCTATCGGTATCGCGGATATTTCTAAATATCTGGATATATCTCTATCTATTCTATGTCTAACGTGCCAGTGCCAGTGTAACGAATTAGATACCCCGAACTGAAAAATTTTGGGTGATCAGAACTATAAGGTGTGATTATAGCGAACTAACCATGTCCACCAATATATAAAAAAAACTGCGAGTAAAGTTATTATATATATACATATACATACCTCGCTGTACACATGAAGAATTATACTAGATATAACCACAATCGATAAAAGAGATCTCAAAGTCATGGTTGCTATTATCTGTCGAATTATATCTTCAGCATCTACAACCAATATTGAATGCATGCGTTTCGCGCACCCCCTTTTGTAAAAAGCCTTTTCCGTGACGAAAGAGCTTTGTCATGGAAATCATATATTCTTATTGGACCAGCTTTAATTATTCAGCTTCAGTTAAGTGTTGAAATTCTGCAATCACAGCTATGAGTATATTCCACTCGATGGTGACGTTTTCACAGACAAAGAATTTTTGTATGGTTTCATGTGATCACACCATTGTCAATTTGTCATGGATTATAAGGTCAATTTCTATAAAACAACGGGATTGGGTATAAGAAAAATAGAAGAAATGCATTCATTTGTGATATGTTTATGTTGTATCATGTTTGCTTATATGTTGACTTTTTAAATACTTTGTATTATCATGATAATCATAGGAACGTCTTTGTTTGGCATATTTGTCTTTGCAAACTATCAAAAAACTTATATTGGATTGACAGGTAGAAGATGCCTACAGTATTTTCGGCTTTTTCGTGATGCTAAGAGACCGAGGAGACGAACGAGCTCGGAAGTGCTTCAAGAGGTTAGTTTTTTAGGGTCTTTGTTTCCTATAACCACAATGAGGCACAATTGAATATGATGCTGGGGGGCGGACCTGAAGGGATGCAAGGGATGGGAAATATGTCCTCGAAATTCTGGCAACTGATTTTGGCTGAAATTAGTTAGGTCGGGGCAATTTTAGCTGAAATTATTCGCCCACCCTCCGCAAAGAATTGCTTCATCCGTACGCGTATGTAAATAGATATATGCGTAGAAGGATGGGTGGGGAGCATTTTTATATTACCGGTGGACAATCACGGGAAATCACTGAGAAAACACTCAATGAGTACAATAAAATATCTTAATCAAAAAGCGGGAACTTAAATGTCCTGATTTCACAATAAATACAGTGTTCTTTATCGGACAGCTTTTCCGAAGCAAGATTATTTTCTGATGGGAATATTCTGTGATTGTAGAGGAGTTTTTGATGATAAAACCAGCGACATTCTTTTCTAACCGACCTATCTACAAAGGAAATCTTTGTGTAGCGAATCGAAAGTAGCTCATGCCAGGGTTGACGGCCACTCATCGCACACGTCTGCCAGATACCGACCACACCATTTCAGAATTTGCAAAGGATTCACCGGCGTAACCACGAACAATGCTGACTATTATTATACACATGTATCCGTGTGACACAGAGTTGCAAAAAGAGTTCAACCTTCCTCCGGTAGGATTTCAAGTTTTGAAAACCTTCCTCAAAATGACGTTACGTCACTGAGTCAAGTGGTAACCAGCATAAAGAAATATTTGGTTTTTTGGTACATGCATGTGATCAATTAGAATTTCACACCAAATTGCACTCCACTCAGTGCAATTACCATTATCAATCATAACTTATTCCATATTGTGTATATTGCCCATACAGTTATTTTTTATCCCGGGAACAGACGTCGTGCCAGAGTACTAATTTCGCCCAGAGATTTGATAAAACCCGTTGATTTTGTTTCTATTAGAACATTTCATAGATGCCGGCAACGAACGCAAATTTGTTTCAAGGAGTAGATAGATACCCATTCTTCCAAAAATATCTTCAAGGATAAAACAACGATCAATGCTGTGAGGGCCGGTTTTCATAATATTTCGAATGCCTGCTCACCAAAGTTTGACGACCATTGAGAATAAGCGGATTTGCGCATTTGTGTAGTTGCTAAATTTGCAAAATAGTTGAAAGCAACGATTACTGCATAATGATTTTCAGCATACGTCTAGACATGCAAGTATTATTCACATATTTCGAGAAAGTGCCATTTCAAAGCCGAAAAGAAAGGCTTTGAGAACCTAGAAATGATCGTCGTCAACGTGTTATTACGTGTCATGTTGTTCATATTATGACGTCACATACAATTCAAGATGGAGGAATCAAGTGATAAAGAGGATAGTACAGATACCAGCGAATTAGGATGGTAAGAACATATTCAGAATTAAATGTGACGAAAAATTATATTGTATGGAAAATCACCATATAAAAATATTGTATTTTATCCGCTCTGAGACCCAAGCATATCTTTTGATAGGCGTTCAGATTTAATTAGTGCTCTTTCTAAACAAACTGATATCGTACGACTACGAGAAATATGTCGTGGGCACGAGATTCCTGTTGAATGTAGAGCAAATATTTGGCAGGTTTGTAATATTAATGCTTTATTACTCCATTTAATTTTCAGAACAATGAGTTTGTTGCACAAATAGAGTTTGTTCCCACACAGTGTTAGCTATAGGGCTTTAGTATAATTTCAGTATTGAAAAATGACCTTTGAGCATTCTGATTGGCTCCCTCAGCAGTAACTATGAGGCAATAGTTACTGCTCAGAGCAGTCTGAGCAGTAACTATTGCTTTTCCCCAAAAAAACATGGCTGAAAATACTCAAAATCGTTTCGGAAAAATTTCGGAAGCAGAAATTGAGAACATAAATCAGTTGTATTTATAAATAAAACTTTTTCAATACTGAAATTATACTAAAACAATTAGTCGCCTCAGGCTCGGTGATTACAAGCCTATATTCACTTCGCCTTCGGCTCAGTAAATATAGGCTTGTAATCACCTCCCCTTCGGCGACTAATTGTTAAATAGCCTACAGCCCATCGCAGTACAGTACATGTTTCAGTCAATTTAGTTCTGTTCCGTTTGTATTAAATTCAAAAACGTACTATTAGTTGCATAAGATTTTATAAAATATAGACATAGCTGCTGATTATGATGGTTAGGTTAAGTATTAACTTGCACATATGAGTTTTTCATAGCCTTACCTAAAAACCCTTGTCTTGAAATCTCTGCAAGTGGCTAATTAATGACTGACATTGCAATGGATGTGTAGATAAAATATTGCATCAATATTATTACCTAGTAATGATCACTTCATTGCAATGACAGTATCAATCCTTGCATTGCATAAACTTAAAATTCCGCTTTCACTCTGGTAATAAGCTAGGGTGAGAGGTTCCTCTATGACATGGGAAAATACGTATAATAAGCTTCATAATCTGTATCCAGACCTCTGAATTCAGGTTGGCTTTTACCAAAAGGTGACACAATCTTTTGTACCGGTATTAATTATAATTCAAATCAGACATTTCATGTATATGAGACATATTGCTGACCTGTGCCAAGCTGTCTTCGTTTCAGGCTGGCAAATTTTTTCTGACCTAATTCCTCGCTAATTCTGGTTCCTTTGTATCAACTATAATTGAATTATAACTGTATGGCTTACATGCAGTATTAGTTGATTTATAAAATTCGCAATTCCTGCACTTACAAAAAGTGAAGTAACAATGATTGTTTTAAATAAAGGACAAACAAAATACAAAAATATGTAAAAATGTGTAAAATAAGTGTGCTTTAAAAGTTTATTAGCCAATGGAGACAAAATATGCCTACAGAAATTGGTAATATATCTATGGTGGCCCATAGGGGACATGCCATAAATATAAATATATGCCTTCAGAATTTTATATAATGCCTTCAGAATTCTGTATGATGCCTTCAAAATTCTATATGATGCCTTTGGAATTTTATACGATGCCTTGGGAGTTTTTCGTGATGCCGTCGGAATTTTATATAATATGCGGAATACGGAGTAAGGAGTGCGAATGTAGAGTATAGAGTAGAGCGAAGGATCAGAGTATTACAACATTTTTGTAAGTAGTGGCAGCGCTAGGGGGGTGTGTTGTTTGCCCCCCAGATCTTTTCATGTTACGTAAGTAGTGTAATCCTGTTTTAACTTTTAAATACTTTTCTAGTCTTTCCCCCAAAACATTTCTTTGACCCCCAATTGCCCCCCACTCATTTTAACCAGGCGCCGCCACTGTATGTAAGAAGAAACAAGGGACGTTGCGAAAAGTGCAACCCAGGTCCTCCGGCAGGAATCGAACTATAACTGAGGTGAGGTTAGGTATAGGGTTAGGTATGACGTTTGAGAGATTTTGAATTGACAAAATTCTGCTGATTTATTGGGACTAGTTCATGAATTTTGATGAAATTTGCATTAAAAAGTACAATTGACATTTTTTAGCTTTATGCCAAAATCTAAAATTCTACAACTTTATTCTAACAATGCTACACGCTTTTTAAAAAACATATCCGCAGTGCGAAAGCCTTCAAAGATGATGGATTGCTTTAACAGAAAAAAAAATTCAGATTGCATCAGTTAAACTCTCCCATCAACCAAATTGTTGTGAAATGTTCATGTAAATCTCATAACTCCAATCCCCCGATTGTTTAGTCCGTACTTCCGTAGTTCGTTTTTTTCTAACCATACGAATTTTATTGTCTTGCGCATGCGCTCTGCCTCATGTTTTACACGATTACACGTGTTATTGTGCATAATATTGTTCATAGGGCAGTTTATATACTATAGCCCTAGAACTAGGACGTAACTTATTAGCTATACAAGTTACGTCCTAGTTCTATAGTCATATGGTATCGCTATCATTGGAGCACGCTACATACATAGTTCTAACAGTAGTTTTGTAGTAAATTGCCTACTTTACTATATTTAATTCATTTTATTTAACGCATATCATAAGTGTTTTACGGATTTTTTATTTACTGCGGCAAGGTTTTCATCAGCGAGCGTTCAGCGGTATGCAAGCGGTAGTTCAATTCTTGTTATATAGATGTTTTGTTGTTCATGAACTAGTCCCAATAAATCAGCAGAATTTTGTCAATTCAAAATCTCTCAAACGTCATACCTAACCCTATACCTAACCTCACCTCAGTTATAGTTCGATTCCTGCCGGAGGACCTGGGTTGCACTTTTCGCAACGTCCCTTGTTTCTTCTTACATACAGTGGCGGCGCCTGGTTAAAATGAGTGGGGGGCAATTGGGGGTCAAAGAAATGTTTTGGGGGAAAGACTAGAAAAGTATTTAAAAGTTAAAACAGGATTACACTACTTACGTAACATGAAAAGATCTGGGGGGCAAACAACACACCCCCCTAGCGCTGCCACTACTTACAAAAATGTTGTAATACTCTGATCCTTCGCTCTACTCTATACTCTACATTCGCACTCCTTACTCCGTATTCCGCATATTATATAAAATTCCGACGGCATCACGAAAAACTCCCAAGGCATCGTATAAAATTCCAAAGGCATCATATAGAATTTTGAAGGCATCATACAGAATTCTGAAGGCATCATCTAAAATTCTGAAGGCATCATATAGAATTCTGAAGGCCTCATCTAAAATTCTTGAGGTATCATATAAAATTCTGAAGGCATTATATAAAATTCTGAAGGCATATATTTATATTTATGGCATGTCCCCTATGGGCCACCGTATATATCTATCCTAAAATTCAATTGTTTCAATTTCTAGGTATGCTTAAATGTTGGTGATAAACCAAATCCACTTCAGCAATGGGATGGAAAGCTAGACACTCCAGATCAACAAATGATAAAGAAAGATTGTCAGACATACGCAGGTAAATACAAAGATTAAAATTGAAGTGCATACAGTAACTAGGCAAGCAACATTACTGTTAGAATGCAAAGGAATACAAATATTCCCTCCAATAGTCACAAATAGAAGAATGTATGGAAAACTTTAAAAAAAATTCCAGCATAGCAATTAAGCTGAAATTATATATAAAATAAATATAAAATATATGCCCTATAAATTTTTGTAATGTTATTGTTTTGTCCTTTAACAGCCAGGGTAATTCTTGATGATAGTGAAAGTGTTGCTGAAGACATTGAAAAAATAATTACTTTCTACTGTAAGACAAGAAATGAAAGATACAAATCACAAAATGGATGGGTGGAGTTGCTACTGCCATTTATATCTCTTCGTCTTCCCATTGGAGACGTTTATAATATCTTTTATGCAATGCATTCAAAATATATTCCAAGGTTAGACCTCATTTATAAAATTTCGCTAACACTTGTTGATCAGTTGTTTATTAACACTTGGTGATCGTTTGTTCTCTGTTGTAGCTTCATCTCTGCATAGTATATCATTTTGAAAAACCCATATTAAAAACGAACGTCTTGTTACCGTCATAGTAAAAACGACCCTATATACCTGGGTATACCATATTCTAGTATATCCATACCGTATTCTAGTATATTCGACCATGCTTGAGTATACTATATTCCAGTATATTTGACCATGGGCGAGTATACCATATTCCGGTATATTCCAACACATTGATATAGATATTATTTTTCACCTAGGGGCCATCTACTGTAGTTTCCAAAGGGCTGCATGTATACAAAGAGCCAGTTGCTCTTTAGGTGTTGGTTTTACCTACGCACAATGATCAGTTGCCCTCTGTGCTGGTTGCATTTACGCATGGTTATCAATCATCTCACGTTAAACCGTAGTCAGCTTAATAGTTTGTTTGCCCTCCTCTGGTTTCTGCTAAATATCTTCTAATGGCACCCTATATTCTGTTTTATTCATTAGAGAATGTCACAATGAAGGCAAACCATTTCATCTCTTCCGTTTACTATTGCAATACCATGATCCTGAGTTATGTTCATTTTTGGATTCAATGAAGTTATTTCCGGATCAATATGCCCAGAAATGGGTTAGTCCACCACTTTACTACGTTTTCTTGTGTTTTACCTTCGTGTTGCCTAACGTTTATATATTCTTTTTTCTTGACAGTTTCGAAGTCTTTTTGCTGCTACGTGTGATAGCAGTGTTGTTGAGGCGATGTGGGATGTTTACTTGTTGGAAGAAGATCCGTTCTTAGTATTTTTTCTTGCACTTGTAATGATTATAAATGCAAGGTTCGTGGTAATTTCTACAAACTATGCACTTTGTATTGAAGTGTCGCATGTTTTTCCATTAGATAATATGATGTACGTTCCAGGGAACCTTTCAATCAATATCTTGTTGACGGTTATCATTTTAGGGAAGACGTCATGGCACCCGACCAGGAAAAGTCTGATATTTTAGGCAAGTAATTATATAATGTTTGTGTATGAGAAGATCTTTTCATCCACCTCTGTCGGTGATATACAACAATATACGGTGATAATTCCATGTCGGGAGTCCATGAATTTAAACCTTAATCTGATCCCCTAGAGTTGGGTTATAGATAGATTTAGATGGAGATTTTATTCGTGGATTGTGGACATGGAGTTAGTAACTCGATATATTCTAGCTTCGTGACAGACTCTATTACAGTACTTTTGTAGCTCCTTTAACTTTAATCTTCAACTTTCTATAACTTTGCATTATTGTGATCCAGGCAAAAATACCGTTAAATTTTATTTGACATGGTGTTTTCTGGTGGTGAATGTACCACTTCCTGTACTGTACCAGTTACAGCGAAATTGCTCCCGTCCATTCACACTTTTTCTTCTCATAGATATAATATCGGAATTTCCGTCGCAACTAGCAGCCGATGACATTGAAGATTTTTGTTCCTTAGCTCAATATTATTCATCCAAAACGCCACAATCATTTAGGAAGGTACAAGTTTGCTTACCATTTTATTTTTGTAATACTACCTAACGATTATTATTTTATTTGGTGGTATTTATCACAATCATTTAACCTGCATGGGGCAAGAATTGTTATATTATCATTTCAACAATACAATTTATTTTCATTATGAATATTATATAGTTCTTTCACAGCCCATGATAAAAAACAAATAGATCTGGAAATTAGCGAGGTTCATACTTGATTTTTTCTTCCCAACAGCAATATTATGGTCAACTGTTTGGTATAAAGACTCTGAATGCTCACAACGTTGCCCAGGCATTATGTTTACCAGTATCCATAGATGAACTATTGCAATCCCACAAGAATTCGGTATTTACTTATTTGTTATTATGATGTTTGACGTATGAGCGCTATACTTTTTAAAACAAACAAAGACGAGTGATTTTATGATAGTATTTTACAGCATATCAATACCACTGCCTCCTTTGTAAAGTTTGTTTATTTTCAAATATTTTCTGACGCTATTATTTATGACTACTCTATTTATTTCTTTGGCCACACCATAATAACTCTTACTCTGCATGCTGTATTTTTCTGCATCGTTTCTGAATTCTCCCTTTAGAGTGATGAAATCCGATATTTTTTGGTGGATTGTCGACCTGCAGAACAATATAACAGTGGCCATCTACCAACAGCCTTTCACCTCGATGCTAATCTGGTTCGTATATAGCTACATGTTAGTAAAATGATTTCCGATTTGGATTGGATTTAAATACTTCTATTAAGAGTGCACGAAATATTTTCGCTCAACCATCAATCTTATTCTATTGACTATAAAGTTAAAAGCGCTCAAACTATGTATTCTGTCTATACAGGTCTGTTTTGAATGACTTGTTTGAGCTGTTTTACAAGTTTGTTCAGAATTCAAAGATTAATATTAAAAAATGTGTCATTAGATGCTGCAAGCACCATCAGACTTTTCAACAACGGTTCAAGCATTATTTTCCACACAAAAACAATCAGTTGCCGCAGGATCAGCAGCTGGGGGGGAACATCTTTGTTTCATGGGGTCAGGCAGGGAAGAGGAGGATCAGTATGTCAATATGGTCGTGGCTAATTTTTTACAGGTAAAATCCAAGGATTGGCTAACGTTCTTTGGGGGGGGGGAACGTTTCCCGTCAGAGAAGAGTTGGATTTCATCCGGAAAAGTTGTTTATTGAATCCAAACAATAGGATTTTAATGTGCTGGAAAGTATCCTTAAAATAAAGAAAATTATTTTTACAGACTCAAAAAAAATTCAAACATTTCCTCCAGGTACCAGCTCTCGTCAACGTCGAAACCTTTAATCAGTAGTTCTTTACGAACTGAAAAACTCCTTCACGCAATTTAAATATGAAACATTAAATGATTTCCAAAATTTGTTTTCAGAAAAAGACAAAATATACAAGCATAGCCAAAGGTGGTTACAAAGGTATCGCTTAGACTGATTTTCAGTTACAAATGTTTAGAATTAGTACTATTATGAGGATTTTTATACTGTCTCTTATTTGTATAAATAAGTGATGCTTTTATGATTTGTTTATTTAGCACTTCATGATATATTAATTGATGATCTTACGCATGGTCTTACTGATCACGTTGTCTCGTCATGTATTGCTTGTTCTCCTCACGCCGCTACACCAGGGAATCAGGTTTGTTAGTCAATAAACTGATATTTTGTAGTTTCTAAGCTTTATGTATTTCAACATTTGTAATACATATTACGACGACGGCAACGACTACAATAACAGAATTTTCGAGGAGTTCTTGACATTCTCAACACAACGGCAATTAGAAAACGGAAACGTCACACAATATTTACTTCTTAATTTACTTCTTAATTTATTACTAGTTGTCTTTATTTTCTGTCATCACGTTCCCAAACTTAACTCTGTATTGTATTGCCTGTTCACGAAATGTACTTTACGTCAAATAGTTCTTTTTTACTATTGGTCATTGAGCAGATGCAGGTCATTTAGATTGAGCACGGGAAGGCCAAAGATGACGTGAAAACGGCGAAAAAATGGCGTGACGTTATTTTTTTGCCACTTTCACGTCGCCTTTCCCCAGGGAACTTATATAGCTAAATAACTACATAAGCGCCTAGTCTTTGATGTTCCCGTCCGTCCTTAATTTTAGTCCGTCTGTTAGACAGAACCACAGAACTTAGGACACAACAAATCTACGACGCAGACGTGGTAGTCACTATAGGTCCTATAGTGTATTAACACAGCCGCTAAGACGTGGAAAGAAATCGATAGTTTTTCCACAAGTCCGCATGACGCATCGTAAATTTGATGGTATGCATTGACGATTAACGCATGCGCATAGCCAAAACCAATACATTTGATATCGCGTAATCAGGGGTTGAAAATTAAGGGCATATAAATATTGAATGCTGTTAGGGTTTAAACAATTGTTTTAAACTGTAAGTATTTTTTTTTATTTTTATGCCGTCCCAATTTAGATAGCGTGTAGTTCACGTTAGTAATAGATATGAAAGTGATAAAGTATATAGCTATAATGTTTATAGTCAACTGGTGAGGAAATGTCGTATATAAACCTGGGACTTTACAATATATTGTAGTAAAAAAATGTGGTAGAGTGACCTGCCAGGTATATTCTGTTATTTTATTACGTTCACCAGTCATAATTTCTCGTTTGTTGCGCTTTTATTTTTTATATATTGCATTATACGTGAATGTTTTCGCGTGAATTTGTGCATATTTCTTAGAAGTCGGGTTTTATTTCCTCTGTATCTAATTTCAATAAATAAAAGCTCCGCGTCTCGATTTTCAGCGGCATATCGGGTATCCTTACTACAAGACGTTCTAGCGCTTAGATTGTTATCCACATATAAATGCCTCTGCTTACATAAGTGTGATACCACGTATCAGTTTCGAAGTTTTTAGCCGTCCTTTAAGTAAAAAATAAAACACATTGTTTAACCCAATGCCGTCGAATATCGTTACTATCGTATCAGGGGAAAATTGGTTCTATTCCACGAGATTTAATTTGGAATTTTCGTTTGCCTGCTTTTTTAGTATACTGCGTCTTTTGTATAGGCAATGTAAACGCGTTTACTTAGTCAAATTTCGCTTTATTAGTTTATTTTTAAAGCTAGGTTAGGTAACATATATTATGACTCCACTTCTAGACATGGACAGACATGAGTAGAAAAGGAGAACAGAGTCCTGGCGTGAGTCAATGTTATATTAATTAATAATACTGATAATACACATCAATTGTATGTAGGGGTTAGGGACATGGGTGCGGTTCGGGTTGAGGTGAAGGTTAGGGTCAGAGTTAGGGTCAGTTTTAGGACATTTTTTAATGCGACACCCAATATAACCAGTCGAAAGAAAATGACGTCACGACATTTTGGTGGTTGGGAACAAGGCAATCTTTTTGAATCAGTGACATTGTCTGACATGGTGACAGAGGAAAAAAAACTGATTTGATAAAAGTTTACTTTGTCATTACGGGCCTTTATGTTGTATATCTATATTATTGAAGCACCGTCCATATATTGTTCTTACAGGCAGGTTTGGTGGACAAGTTATCTTCCGCTATTCGTACAAGTAAAACAAATGTAAGTCAGAAGTTCTCCAATTGGATGTCTGAACCTCGCAATGAAGTCAGGTAAGTGCTTTTAAAAAACACTAATCTTAAATATTCTTAAGCATTACTCATAGAAATAATGGTCTATTATTTCAATGGCATTACTTTAGAAAGGTTTTAGAGTTCGCAGTTTTTAAATTACAGTTCCATCGAAATGTTACGTTACTCGTTACGTAAATTCATTCCACTAACGACTCCGTTACACGACTGTCACACAAAGTATATATCACACAACTAATATGGTATCTTGGGAGTTTAGCATACTGCTCAGCATTCAAGAAGATAATTGGTACATCTCATATTGCCTAGGCATGTGAGCAGTTTTGACAAAGTTGGTAGAAGGTATCGAAACTATAATCCTGTATTTACTATTGAAGATGAAGAAGATGAAGAAGGTATTCCTTATAATTCTCATATTCTATAAACTTTTCTTAATATGTTCAGTTCAAGTGTCTTTACCAGCCTGATAATGATGACAACGATAATGTGAGACTTACATAATATAGTCGACGATAATGTGAGACTTACATAATATAGTCGACGATAATGTGAGACTTACATAATATAGTCGACGATAATGTGAGACTTACATGATATAGTCGACGATAATGTGAGACTTACATAATATAGTCGACGATAATGTGAGACTTACATAATATAGTCGACGATAATGTGAGACTTACATAATATAGTCGACGATAATGTGAGACTTACATAATATAGTCAGTTTATACTGCAGTACTGACTACGGAATCACAGTAAACAAGGTTTACGTATTTTTTTTAAATAGATGAGTTAAACGAGTCAAGCTCAGAAGATGAAATGAAACATGAAACTGTAAATATGAAAACATGGTTTGAAAGAAAAGATGTTGTTCAAGTGATTTCGTCGAAAGAAGTATCATTCAAAACGGGTCGTGAACACAAAAGGTTGGTTCCGCTAAACCTCAGTTTCTTGGCCTTCAGTTCTTCTAATTTATCATTGGTAGATAAAACACAACTACTATAAATTACATTAAATGGAAACACCTGCGGTCGCATAAATGAGCTTTTATTTCGAAATCATAAATTGCCTAGTGCCTGCCTATCGCAATAATTCAATCCCAGTGAACTTTCAATCCTCGTGCATTAAAATGAACACCGTCCCTAGTCCTTTATCTTTTTTCACCAATGAACAATACGTTCAATCAAACATTATTTCATTTTAGTCACATCCTAATTACTGATTCACACATGTTCGTTCTGCGCGAGATGACGACTAAAGCAGGCTGGGCCTCCATACGGTCACGTGACCGTCTTAAAGATATTTTTAAAATCACGTCAAAGAAAAAACGTCCCGACGTTATAACATTTACGATAACAGCAGGAGAGGACACGAAAAGAGTGAGATTTATTATTCCAGATTCACGCAATGAAATACAAACACTGAAACAGTTCTTGGTAAAATCATTGGGTGGAGATAACTAGTGTATAGAAAGTGAACGGTATTGCAAATGCCTATAAATGTCACATTAATAGAAATAAGATGTATTTTTGACTGATTATAATACCAACTATTAACGTAATATAGTGATCGATAACTGAAGATACCGTGTTTTTCGGGGTGTTTTCATGCAACACGAAATTACTTTTTACGGTATAATCGCGACTTTCGTTAGTCGATTCCATAGACGCTAGATACTGTTGTACCTCCGCTATAGTGCGACACCTCATTTATAGTTAATATGATACACCAATCTTTTCTAGAAGGAACTTAATATTTGTTGCGAATCTGCGGTAATCTTTGGAGTTGAAATAAGTCGGCATTTAGGATCACGCAAACCACCACACAACGCGCGCCTCAAAATTCAAGGTGTCGATTGGATACAGACTTCCCGATGGATGTAATCGCACAAAAAACTTTATAAATGATGTGAGACTAATTGAATTTTATACGATGTGGTTAACCTCGGAGGTATTTGACCCTTCGACGGTTTTGAAATGAGTTCATCAACAGAGGCAAACCGTATACATCTATATTAATTTGGTTGTTTTACAACTTCTGTGCATCATGCGACCGGGATTCAAAATTTGACGTGCTCGAGACAAGAGGTTGACTCTAGACGGGATTTAGTTGGGGCTGGGTTCGGTCTCGTCTATTGTATATAATTTGTTTTAAAGACTTCCGAGTGGATATTAAATATAGTTACTGACCTAAACCAGATAATTACTTGATTTATTTCTATTGAACTGTTTTACATATTTTACAAATGTCAAATGATTTCTTTTACAGAGAAGGTATAAGACTATTCAGTGCTTTCAGTTGTTATTAACTAGTCAAACTATGAGTGTATTTTTCAGTTTTGTTCTTTCTGTATTTCTGTAGTTCAGAAATCAGAAAGGAGAAGCTGTTACAGTCAAGTATTCATACTGTAGTTTATATTTTAGCTCTTTTTCGTCGTTCGTAGAGTTTTCTGTAAAACGTAGGCATCAGCTGGATCTATTCTTTTATAATACTGTTTCTTTGTATCAATTATTTCAAAGTCGAATTTCTTATAGAATTCAATGGCAACTTCATTACTCACTTGAACATGTCTAAAAACATCCCAATTATTTTTCACATTAAAATCTTTCAGTAGCCATAGGTATTTAGTTGGCTTTATGTGGTTAGAGTAAAAAAATGATGGGGGATTAAGTGTACCAAGATCAAATGTATATCTCACAATCCTGTAACTGTTTGTGTTGATTCTTATTGGAAAAATTCTGGGAAAAGATGCAGTGATCAGGGTGAAGGTCTAGATAATCTGGTAAGTCAAAATCAGGTATGTCATTTGATTGCACATACAGTAATCCATTAGCACTCATTCCATTCTTTCCAGAATTGAGAACAGAAAAACACCTCAAAAGTCCCTATTCCTATAATGTTACTTTAGTGGCAATTTCATCTCATCTTAAATGGGTCAAAGTGGCAATTTCATCTCATCTTAATGGCCACATATATCATTATATATACTCACAAATAAATGTTATCAAAATTTCCATCTTTTTCACATATCTTTAAGACATGTTCAACCATAACTGTTCCTAGAGCACAAGGACAATTTCAATGTAAGAAAGCATGTTACTTGCAATGTTTCCTGGTTGTCTATTAGTTATTAAAAAATCAGAATCATGCAGTGATGAAAAATATAATGCATACGCATGTGAGTAGATATCTATATGTTACCTATTCCAAGCTTTCTATATGGGGCTAAGCAGCCCAACGTCATTATGTATAGTCGTCTTGTATTGTCAATATGATCTACCCGACAGCATACAGCTCCAACCACTGTGTCATTATAAAATGCTGTAAATATGAAACAAACATTGTATATTACAGTAGCTTTATACCTCACATAGTATATGTTGTTTTGCCTGGCTCTCCAAGTTAGTTTAGGAACAAACTTGTTACAGGTACATTAACTATTCCCACAGTGGAATAAATCATTTGTGGTGACTGAGGACAGATTTGTGTATATGAGGACTGGAATTCTGGTGCTTTCATATGTATGCATGTACAGTTGTGAATTACTTTTAAAATTCTGGGTATGTGATTCAGGGTATATTTTTGCCTAATTAATCACAAAATTCAACAGAATTTTATGCTTAGTTAAGAGAAATCATAGCAAAGGAAATCACTGCAAAATCTATTATTTATTGAGTTTACCTAGTTTTGCTAGTTCTCCAACTTCTAACACATCTTTATAGAACTGACAAAAGAAAATACCAAATTTTCAAATTTTTAATATACAACAAGAAAATCAATTGTTTCTTTTCATCTGGACTCCTAAACATTGTATCTCCAAACAAATTTATTCCTTTAGGAATAATTATGTGTAAATTACAATTTGCAAGGTTTCTTGATGGACAATGATGGGTAATGTTCCTATCCAGATTGCATTTACTTTTACTAACTAATAGGTTGCAAAAACTAGATGAATGTTCATTAATTAAACTGACCATACTCTTCTAATTATGAGTAAAATCAGGGAGTAATAAAATTAGGTAGGGCACATCAGCTACATCTGAATTTGCTAGCTATATTAAAATGGATTAATATCTCAAGACGTATGCACACGTGTTAGAAGCGTGTTGAATAAAAATTCCAATAGTTCTATATGTACTAGATAAACTAAATAATTAAAAACATAATTTTTGCGGTACCTTATCATTGTAACTAACAGGGAAAATGACTGAATTTAATTTTCTCAGTTGTTTGATGTTATGTGGTGTAACATCTCCCAACTCAATTCTGCCACTGTTTTGAAAAAAATAATAATAAAAGTGCTATGAGCAACGCATGAAATAAATCCAGAAGGCCATGATCATCAGAAAACGCATTAACAAATAGACATACCTTCGCATTTTGTCATGTAATGGAATAAAACCTAACCACAAGGCATGAAATTCCACCAGATATTAAATTATGCAGAATCCCCCCCCCAATCCTTCGTGATTCTCGCGAGGACACCGAGTCTGAATTCCGGGGGGATGAAAATTCCAGGGGGGAGGACCCAATCGAATTACGCAAAAGATCTTGAAAACAGCAAACATGGCCACATTGGACATTAAAGTGAAGCGAGCTAATAAGATCTACCATGCTGAGGTAATTTCAATATGTGAATATATATATTGAATCATGTGGCATTGTTCTTAGTAGTAAATTTTGGTATTTGCTGGTTTTGACAAGTTTGACCTGAATTGACCATAGGAGGGGGAAAGAGGGGGTAGATCTGTAGACAGTTTCCTGGTTTCTGGAGTGCTTGGAAATTGATTGAGGTTTTAAAATGTTGATATTTTACTTTATATATTTTCAGCAGAAACATAAGAATGTAGAATCCCATTGTGTGTACATGTAATTTTATTCTATAAAATATTAAAAATTCTGAAATTTTCAAACAACCTCATTGTTGAAATCCTTAATTTCTTCCAGGAAAAAGTTCAAGGTGTAATTATTGTTCAAAGCAAGACAGACCTTTCTCACAATGGGATCAGTTTGGTAATGGATGGGATTGTGAACCTACAGCTGAGTGCGAAGAGTGTTGGGGTTTTTGAGGCATTTTACAACTCAATCAAGCCAATCACCTTGGTTAATCAAACAGTGGAGATACAGAAAGCAGGAAAATTATACCATTCTCTTAGTTATATATTTTGTTGTGTATTTTGTTTGTGTTATTTGTTTGTTAATTAGCATTCAGATTGTCTGTATGAATATATATATATATATATATATATATATATATATATATATATATATATATATATATATCATGCATATGTCATGAGGCACATCAACCACTGTGCCTCATAATGTGTTTCTTTCAAAAGATTTAAATGACCTGTATATTTTTCTGACTCTCCACGCCTGCTGGAAAGACAGAATTGCCCTTTGAGATTCCCCTAACAGGCAAGATGAACAAACAGTTATATGAAACTTACCATGGAGTCTTTGTTAACATTCAGGTATGTTTTGTTTTCACACAAATTTCCATGCCAACAAAAGCCTCCATCTGACTAAAATGATATGTTCACAGCAAAGTGGATTCTACCAGATAATAGATGCACAACCAATCTGATTGTTTGTTGCATATTTCAACATTGCAAATATATAAATATGATATATTGTGTCTTGTTAGTATATATTATATAATTTTTTATTAGTACTCTCTTCGCTGTGAAATGAAACGTCCAATGTTGAGTAAAGATCTAATGGCTACCTGTGAATTTATTGTGGAGTATACAAAGGTACATATTATCCTCTAGTCATAATTTTGCAATCACTACCTCTCACCCAGGAAAGTCAATGAAACGCCATGATCATGTAATACAATTCGAGCTTTTCAATTTGATATATTTTATTATTTATATTCATTTTTATCCTCTGATTTTATGCATATATCTTGTTTTCTCTTCAGAGTAATTCTCCAAAGCAAGCAGCAGCAAAACAACTAGAGTTCAAAATTACACCTGATTCACTTGAAAATGTTAAAGTGGTATGTCTGTTACAACAATTATCAAGCAAATGTCAATTTTCTTGTAAAACTGTAGTGGTGACAATGGGGAGTCAAACAACAATTTCTGGAGTTTGAGGTTGAAAATAAGCTTACTGGATGCTTGGATACAGTTTTGGCTTGACCTTATTTCTACATTAAATCAGCATTGTACACAGCGGCAAGCATTTTTAGTTAAAAGGCAAACATTTCTAACAAATAATTGTTCTTCTAACTTAGAAAACAAAAGTTCCCTCATTTTTGATAAAAGGAAAGTTGGATTCAACTTCTTGCTGTATTACAAAACCTTTCACAGGCGAGGTAAGTGGAGTTACTCATTACTGTTCATTGCCCATCCTTGAATCTGCAGATTAAGTATCTATTCCATTTACTATCTATGATTCATACCTGCAAATAGGTGATTTAAAGATGCACCAAGGGTTGCTGAAATTTTTCCTTAGTAACTCAGTTACATTCTTTTTGTACTTTAAATTCAACCTTTCTCGAACATAGGGAAATTTTGCCTGGGTGGTACCCCCATACCCAAATTGTTTTGAAAGTAACATGCTGTTGGCGTTGTTATGCGGTGTAAAAATTAAGAAGCACTGCAGGTTCAATTCACTTTTCTCAGATTTACGAAGTCACCCGTGCTTTGCAACTCTACTCTGCAATATCACGCCTACCAGAAGTTCCCCATGACTTTAACTTTTCCGCTGTGTTTGTGATACTTTTTTTTATCGAAATGCTTCTGTACTTACAGGTGACCGTTGTAAACTCAGAATTATCGATTAAATCAATCGAGTTGCAGTTAGTTAGAGTTGAAACATGCGGTAAGTAGTAAGCATAGTAGTCACGACACGAATGCGTTGAAAAACGCTTTTCTGTCATTTGTAATGTAATTTTTGAAATCGATTATTTGCTCCTATTTTTATCCAGTTTATTTTCGTCTTTGCAACAGGTTGTGCTGAAGGATATTCAAAAGACGGTATTTCGTCCTATATTTAATAAATTTATGCAGTTCTGTAAATTCCATGAGTTCCACTAGTTCTATGCATATTTCATTTCTAAGTATGCTATAAGGATTTTGATTATACGACGCAGAAGATTTTTCAAAAGAGGTTTTAAAAATGGCCAAAATTTAGGCTTTGAAGTCGGGGTAAAAGTTCACACATCGAAATGAATGCGAAATGAAAGTTCATTTCTCGTTTAACATTTATAATCTAAATTTATCATTTATAAACTAAATTTATAATTTTTTGATCTCTATATAGCTACGGAAATTCAGAACATTCAGGTAAAGACGATGACTTGTAATTTGCATGTATTTTCGTAGACGATTGAAGATTCATAATTATGACATTTTTTGTTAATTTCCAGGTCGGGGAAGGAAATGTGTGTACGAAACTTCCTCTTCCAATTTATATGGTGTTTCCAAGATTATTTACTTGCCCTTCTTTGGCTACACCAAACTTCAAAGTTGGTGAGTATTTGGTGATACGTACAGCGGGCTGTCAACTACATGCACGTTCCTGCATGCCCGCGAACTATGCTCATTGTAATGTTTTATCGTCTCATTCCATATATCTGCATGTTTATATACTTTCGTAATTTCGTATTCCTAATGTTATCTTGAATGACCGTAGTGTTTAAGTAATTAAGTTTATAACTCATATCTAACTTGCATTTCAGAATTTGAAGTGAATGTCGTCGTGGTATTTAATGATGATTATTTAATTACTGAAAACTTCCCAATTACTTTAACAAGGTTTTAATGTGAAAGAAAATTGTACATATATGCGAATTAATTTAGAGTCAGTGAAATTTATATAACAGCAAGGCTCTGATTTCACTTTCACTACTGTTACTTAGCTCTAACTTTCGCTGACTTACTGCGCTTGTGATTGGTCAATCTGACAAAGTTAAGCATTTGATTGGTTTATGTTTGCTTTAAATGCTTTAAAGGTTTTAAAGTAGAGAAAGTAAAATCTGAACCTTGATGACAGTTTAACGATATGGGCTGAAAGCTCGTCAGTTACAATTTCCAACGAAATGGAGATAATGTCATAATCGATCATCGCTTCCTACCTGATTTCCAGTTGCATTCATTCGTACGTCTGAAATAAAAGAAAAAATATGTAACGAGAAAAGTTATCGGTATAGAATAGAGAAACGGTAATTGTATATTTTTATAATGAAAAGAATCATTAATTGTGAAAAGAATATTACGATAATTTTTAACATGCAGTCAGAACATGTCGTATTCATGATAATCCAAGAATGCAAGAAGAAACGATAGTAGTTTCTTGAAATTGGTAAATGCACATTCTAAACAGGGACATTATAAAGCCTGTAAATGTTTAGATAAAATACTAAAATTTTTAAAAATATACCTCCGGCAAAATCTATAGAGCGGAAATCCATTCAGAACATAGGCTGAGATGGCAACCAAATAGAGTCCCCTGTACTCTATACGTATGTGGGAGAGGGCACACCTGCACATTCACGGTGCCATCGGTACTATGTTGGGCCCTTTTGCCCTGGGATAATTACATTGAAATTAGCCGCCTCATCCACTGCCTTTAGAAGTAATGGAATGAATGAAACACGATCTCTAGGGCTGTTCTGCTGACGACCTTCTTCGCTTAGGGGCGGTACTGTAAGGGGCAATGCTGAGTGCTGTCTTCCTCAACTGGGGTACAGAAAGAAGATGTGGGAGAGAAAAGGTGTGGTTTCGATTATCCCTCTCTAGGCCGCACTTCTACGACTGCTCGCTCGCACTTTCCATTACAGTGCTTACACAGTTTTCCATCTAAGAGAATAGATCTAAGAGTGTTCTAAAATTTTAGTTATGTCGCCATAGAGACGTACCTACAAACGTTTCATCCCCCTGCAAACACTAACATTCAAAATGGCGGTTACTTTACAACACTGATTCAGTCTGATTGATGCATACAGCAAGAATAATTTCTACATTTCCCATTTATTGGCGGTAATACTTTATAAGTATGAAGGTAAGAAGATGGCATAAAACTATTTTGTGTAAAGGACGGACAACACTTGATCGTTCGAGCTCTGAAGGCATGGACATTAATAATTTATACTTGTATAAAAGTTGCAGGTACCGCACTCTACCGTATCTATGTTACATGAGTCTCGTGTTTTTTTTGTCATACGTAATTGGCTGCAGTAAAGTGTGTATTTTATCGTCTTAACCTTGCTATAATCCTAAAAATTCTGTTCGAAAAAGTAATTATACAGTTTGTTTTAACACATAAAGCGTATCTTGACAACCAAGACATCAACGGATCTTTTAATAACAGATTATTAGCATGTTTTGAAATGCTTTGTTAGAATTCTCCCGAGCTGCATTCACGACATGGAGGTATATTATTATTATAAACACAGATGTTTTAGAACATTGAATCCAGGGAGATGTTAGCCTGTTACGTACTATAGACAAAGTTGTAAAATTATGTGAAATATGTGATTATTCATAAAAATATGCAGAGGTTTATATACCACAGGTCACAGGATGAATAATTTTATGTGACTGTTTAGTTGTTAGACTGAAAGTGATGACAACACCAAGAGAGATAGCTAACTGTTCAGACAATGCTAGTCTTTTTATAACGTCTGTTACTACAATATTTATGCTTTACTGCCTGTCCATAATTAATATACTATGCTGGCAATATTTTATCCTCTAACAACCAGAATATTTTGGTGTATTTAGATGCATTTTGATGTATTCATTGTGATTTTACTATAATGCACCTTTACACTTGCAATGTTTGCTATAATTTAAGACATTCCAAATTTTCTTTAATAGGTGTGAACTACTGAATAAGTTGCAGGCTGGATTTGTCTTGCCTTGTTGCTGCTCTAGTTATACTATGATTATCTGGGCCTGGGATATTATCTTTATTTCACTATATATATATGTCTCTCATCAAATTCTTCTTTTTTAAGAGAGTTTTTAGTGTGCCAGAAAGAGTCCATGGTGGTGGTTTTATAAAATATGAATGGCAAAATAAACAGGGAAATTATCTTGCTACGGCTGGGTAGGCAACTTTCTCCTAGATAAAAAATCTACTTTATTATTAGTACTATAATGAAAGTTATAACACCATATTGTACTGTATCTGTTATGGTTTTTATCACTGTACTAATGGGTCATCAAAATTGTAAAGTTTGAAAATTCTCAAAAACAGTAACCATGGTCAATAGATAAACATGAGCAGCACTTTGATACCTTTCTCCTTAATTTTTATATTTGACCTAATATCCTTAAAGTATACAGCAGCATTCCTTCATAGATCCTTTGTTCAACTTGTGCAGGTGACTAAATTTTTGTATTTATTAATTTAACTTTTTTAGTGCAAATCGATCTGTCATCATATTTGATCGCCATGGAGAGTTAGTTGATGAAATAAACTTGCCTGGGTAGGGTTTGATATGTATATACAAACTGTTTACTACTAATTTCTTGCAGCTGATTCTTATCTGATTTATGTACCTTTCCTCTAGGTTATGTACTGGTTTAGCATGGGATAAAGAAGGAGATACATTGGGGATAATACATGATAATAAATCTGGTAAAAATATATCATGTCAGATGCATACTATTTCATAACTTTTCATTATATGGTTCTAGATGGGTTAAAATGCTCAGTCTGTTCCTGGTTGGGGAAAACATGGTACAGAAAGCCTATGAAAGATTTGTTCCAGATCCCTTTTAGCCTCACATCAGCTCGGAGAATAGCTATTTAACTTGAAATGTTGCTTGTATAGACAAGGAAGCTCATTAGGAAACCTTTTTGACATATTACTTCACCTTCTGGCCCGTTCCTGCATGTACCACACATGTGCATGTCCTTTGTTTCAGTGTATAAATTAATTTATGATTTGTGTTTATTAAGGTGTAATTTATTTATGGGATGCAAACTCAAGAAAAGTTAACCAACTGGAAAGTGGCCTAAGGTAGATTTACGTGACAATTATTTTGACTTTCCTAATTTTTAGGTTTGACCTGATCATTTCAGGTTAATGCTTTATCACTGTTATAAATACAAATTTATTGTTTAAAAATGTTTCAATGTTATTACAACGTCACTTAGATTTTTTCATCATTTACAAAACAACACGCTCTGTGGACATGTGTCTACTACTTTCCAAAATGACTTGTCAACTCCTTGGTTTAAGTGTAAAATATTTTTTATGCAATTAGGGATACTCTAACGTTCCTCGCCTGGTCGATGGTTGGAGGTCAGCTTGGTATTGGTATGTAAATTCTAGTGTATGTTTGGATTGTCAGGTCATGTATTCATTTTTTTTTCAACCAGCAGCTATGTGATCTCCATTATAGGGTCTCTCAAAGGCAATCTCTTAATCTATAACCATCAAACATCAAGGTACTTGAAATAACAAGTGTTACATACATTATTTAAAATGAAATATGCAAACATTTCCCCAGCAGAAGTCAACCTTATATAGACCTAGGTCAAACATCGCACTTCCCAGGAAGAATAGATAATTAGACATTTCAGCCTAATATCCATTGTTTTCAATACATTCGGCGGACAAAGTGACTTTTCAACCTAGCTAGACCTCATAATTAAGTAAGTAAACTTGGCTATGTGCACACGGTAACGTTTTCGAGCGTTTTCACATTCGTTTTCATCCCAAAACGTAGGCATACTTTTTCTTCGATCGTTTGGACAGAGCGTCTAAACAATAAAACGGAAATTTTTTTTTGAAAACGCTCGAAAACGACGCTCATGTGCACATAGGCGGACATAGACTGCCTTACTGTCAATATACTGTTACTATACCATGATACATTTGAAAGAATATTACAATTTGTATTGAGTCACTATTGACTCATTTCTACGTTCAAGATATTTCCATGCAAAGTTTCGTCTTAAGAATTTCATCGCCGTTCATTTATTATTTAGGAAAGTTCCCATTCTTGGTAAACATACAAAAAAAATCGTCGCGGGAGCTTGGAATACTGAGGTACCGTGTGCATGATACTGTTCAACCTCGTCTGAGGTACGATGCATGGATACCGTTATATTAAACCAGGGTCAAATTTAAACCAGGTTCAAGGATTCATTTTTCATTTTAATATACGAATTTTTGAGTCATTGTTCCGAGGGCAAGCAAATACAGTATAAATTGGCAGAAATTTAATTCCGAATTTGCCCTGGCTCCCCAGGAGAGCATGATTTCTGACCCACTGTAGCTTTATGCGATAAAGTTTATCCACGGGTTATTCCAAATTAATCTACTAAAATCAATATGTAGAATTTGCTGGCATTGGGTTCAGAAGACAAGTCTTTAACAATCTCTAATACTGATGGTGATACTGTTCGACAGGTGAGAGCAACGAAAACATGCAGTTCAAAGAATACGTTAATGTATATACTTTTTCTAATCGTAATACTTCTACTACACGTATTTTCTAATTTTCTAGACATCTTTGAGGTCAGATCCCTCTTCAATACAGTTCTCAGAAATGAAAACAGACGAAAGAATGTCGAATGGTGAAAACACGGTATTAAAAATTCTCAAGTTTATGAATCGTCGTGTGTGATAAAGAAAGTGCTGCCGGTGGAGAAAAATACCGTAGGCGTAATCTTTCTCTATCTTGGATATAGGTCAGCGCCATTGTTGGCAAGAAAACATTGTTTCTTTTCAATATTCATGATCCAGACAATCCCATTGAGCTCGCTTTTCAGGTCTATATTTCATATTCTCCTTTGCTTTCATTTCGTTTCTTTACCGAGGTTCGAACATTCAAGCATACCATACTGATAATTTTTTAACCTCCAGGCAAAGTATGGAAATATTGCAACGTACAAATGGTAAGTGTCGACCTTATTACATCCATGCATTTTGAAATTCATCTCAATAATAATGGACTGTTTTTCCTGATGCCTGATCTACTGCCTGACTTAGGTTCGGCGATGGTTATATAATGATAGGTTTCAACAGTGGTTATTTTGTTGTTATTTCAACTCATATGAAGGAAATTGGACAGGTAAATAATGAAATTTATGGTGCAAATTTTTAGAAGAAAAGTTATTGTTAATTTAAGTTTCATTAATTCACCAAGTGGCGCGTGTCTCTTACATGAAACGTCCTATAAAGACCCCACAAGCATGCACCAATGCATCAGACACAGTCGACAATTTGTATCAGCAAAAACACCCATAACTTGGATACGCGCATGTGCAATGCCGTCTCTAAATGAAGAACTATTGCATGAAGTTTTTGAATTATTTTTTTCTCAGGAATTATTTCAGACTCGTGACCACAAAGATCTTCTCACAGATATAGCAATCTCACTTGAACTCAATAAGGCAGCATCGTGTGGAGATAGCAGGTAATACCTATGGACATACTGTGTCTAATTTTATGGGCAACAAAAATACCGTGTCATCATCCATTTTGACTTCCAAATATTCCTCTAAGAAAACATGCTGCCTTACTAAGTATCTTCATTTCCCACAAACGAATATTCTAATAATGGGAAAATTATTCTGCAAATGCGTCATTTTCCGGCAAGTATGATGCATTGTATGGCAAGCATGATGCATGGACCTGGGATGCATGGGGTGGAGGCCGCTTTATTGTCATAGCTAAGAAAATGAGTAATATCTGGCTATTTTATGCTGTATGACATGTTGTATTTCCAATTAGATAACATCTTGTTATATTTCTTATTACAGTGTCAAAATCCATGATCTAACGGAAATGAAAGAAATATACTCGATAATTACCATTGAAGATGCTGGAGGTAAGTGATCTATATTAACCTTTAAACAACAAGGGTTAAGTTGAATGTTCCAGACATCTTAACACCACCGCACGTATAGCACAATTTCAAAAATTTTCACATGTTTAGGATCACTTGATAAGATTGAATGGACAGCTGATGGACAACTTCTTGCAGTTAGTACAATGAAAGGTAAAGAATTACGCATTAGTCATCTCTTCTTTCCTACTTGCTCAACTTCCTTCGATACTTAATATTATTTCTACCACATCATCTATTCTCCTATACTCGCGAGCATTCAGTCATACAGTGTATTGTCATTTTTCAATTTTTAGGTGCAATTCATGTTTATTTGACCAAGCTGCCAGTTCTTGGAGACTCTCATCAAACTCGACTTGCGTATTTAACATCATTGCGAGAGGTACTGCGCAATAACAGTATATCCGCTGTGCACACTGCCCATCAGTGATAAATAAATAAATAAATAATTAATAATTAGATAAATAGTTTTGTAATTCACATGCAGGTAAAACTACACTAGCACGAATTTACAGAGCCATATTTTAGTCGACCACAATCTTCTCTCCCCACTAGTATGTACTGTATAGTAAATATTTGAAATAGATTAAATTTTTTATAACGAATTTGTTACATACATTGCAACGTTTTAATGTGAACATTATTTTCCATTTAGTACAATTTCCATTCAATAATATTTTTCGATAAATTTATCATCGTGTTTTTGCGTTTAGGTCACAATCGTCGACAGCGTAAACCAGGTTGGTAATAACAAGTTGATTGCATGTTGTTGCATTACTGTACTGTTGACAATGAATTAATTTCAACTTTCTAGGAAAGACCAGTCATGGTTGACTTGTCTATTGAACCAACATTTCTCGCTCTCGGTCCTTATCATATGGGTGTAGGGATGAATAATCGTGCGTGGTTTTACGTCTTTAACCAAACAGGTGCGTGCCTGTAACTCGAGCAAATCGGGAAGTGTGAATGCTCGTAATATATATCTACGCGAAGTATATAATATTTCTATGAATTATTAATTTTTTCTACATAATTTCAACAACATCGTATTCATAACCACATACCATCATTTGGACATTTCACACATTAATTTTTATTGTCTAAATTAAATTCTGATAAAATAATTGTGATAACTCACTTTAGTTGAGCCTCAGAAAGATAAGGAATATCTTGGCACTGTTAAGAAGATGTGTTTAAATGCGGATTATGCTGCAGTAATGTTTGACAATCGTATTCAACTTCATTTGGTGAGTGAAGTATTTAAAACAGATCTTACAAGTCTACCAAGGATTATCTATCCAGGATAATAAAGCATTAAGCACCTTCTTAATCACTAATAGAACTGTCTGTATTCGTGAGCTCACTAGACCCAATTTTGTGGTTTGGAAACGAGTGTATTAGCTTCATGAAGCACGCACAAGATATTTACGGGTGTATTAGCTTCATCAAGCACGCACGGACAAAAATTGACGATTAAGTATAGAAGTGAACTGTGTACTTAGCAAAAAGGTCCCCGAGAGGCCCCTTAATCTCTCTGGAAGGCATCAACATCAGCATGCGCTAATCTGGTGTTTTGTGTTCTGATTATGATGATTTGATCTTCGTTAGATCGAAAGTGATGGCATGGATGGAAATGATGCAAGAGAAACCCGATTATTTCCTGAAAAGAAAACCGATGGAAATATCACTTGTTTTGGCTTAACTCCAGATTTCCTAATTTATGCAACAGATGTAAGCGATTATCACTCTACGCTTAACATCTCACATTTTATATCATTGTTCTAACCTAGAACATTTGACTATGTATTGGAAACTGTAGTCCTTTCGCTGTATATTTCGATACAGACCATTGATATGTACTATTCGTACGTTCATTGCGTGGTCATGGGTTCTTTTTTATCTTCTAGACTGGTTCCTTGTTCTACTTCTTCATCGAAGACTGGAAATTTGTTAATGAGTTTCGACACGTTGTTGGTTAGTGTTTTTCATACTCACAAGTTCATATACATGTTGCACATATACATCAAGTTCGTCTTAAACACGAAGTTTAAAATATCTAGTATTATTTTCCTTGTTTGTTTGCAGGTATTCGTAAATTGTTTGTGGATCAAAGTGGTACCAAACTCCTTTTCTTGGATGATAAAAGCGACGGTTATATTTACTGTCCGGTAAGCAGAAGTGGCGATTATTTTTTTGTTCTATATCAGCAAGTTCTTTTTGTTAGAACAAAACATACTGTCAAACGATTTGACATGCAGTAGTGTCTCTGCTATAGGCTGCAGCGATGAAAGATATAGGGCCTTTTAACCTTCCTTCATTACAACTTTTTAGTTTAATAATAGCACAAGTGGGATAATATGATAGTACGTATAATACTGATCTATCATCAACTTGTTTTAGGCTAATGATACTACTTTTGAAGTTCCTGACTTTTCACCCAACATAATCGGAGTTGTTTGGGAAAGTTATTCGTTTGATAAGGTGAGAAAGTAGATTGAAAGCATGTGAATATTAGAGTATCTAAGTTAAATTGAGAATTTTTTTCTTTGTAAAGGACGTGTTCTGTGCATATGATGAAGAAAATATCTATACATATATATTTTACCGTGAGACAGTTCAAGGTAAACTGCATCAAAATCACTCACATTGATTGGTCGTGTTATTACTGCATGAGTACTTTCAAAGAGTTTTTATGCGTCATTTCGTTTTCAAGCATCGTTTTTAGAAAAACCTCTGATAAAGTTCGAAGTTTGAAAAAAAACGTGGCAATAAGTTACTTTTTCTATCATTCTCGCTTCAGGTTCTCGATGCATAATAGCAGGTGCTACAAAACTTCCCTTCGGTCACTTTCCTCTTATTCTTTACAACGGAGAACTCACTTGTCAGACTCAAAGTGGGAAGGTATGCAATGAATTTGAAAATTCAACGTTGAATATCAATAAGTTGCCATTGATTGTATTTTACCGAGATTGTATTTTGTATATTAACATATTCTTATTTGTTTAAAGACAGCAGAACTACGCTTATCCAGCCACTCGTTCCTTCAGAAACCACAAGATGTTGCTGTTTCCGAGGTGAAGATATAGAGGATTAGCATGTGATCACTGGATTACTTTAATACTTAATTTAATGCCTTCCCCAAAATGGAAACAAACGTCTATTGATGAGAGAAATTAAAGGCGGTCAATTTTGCACTTTCGTGAAGAGTTATTTACTATGTTTTTCTCTATAAATGTTGCAGCTTTTGGATTCATTCAAACAGTGTTTAACTCTAAAAAGGTACAGTAAAAACATATCACAGCGCTTATATAAAGAGCGTTATAGTGAGTGAATGGATGGTTCGGTAACTTGTATAAACTATTTTCTATATGATTCCCAGGTTTAACGAGGCGTGGGCAATATGTAGAGTGGTGGATAAGAAGGACACTTGGATGGATCTTGCTAAGAGTGCTTTAGAACATTTAGAGATCGAACTAGGTGTGTAATATATAGTTATTATGTATACGTCATTGACCTAGAGATAAATTCTTCCAACGAATCAGTCACCTTTTTGAATTTTTAAATTGGAAACATTTAAAAAACTTTTCATCTTTGAAACCTTAATCCTCTGTTACCAATGATATTTAGAAATGAGACAATTAGTTAATTTTAGAACTTATTTGCACACGGTGGCCATCAGTTGCCTCAAGAGAGATTTTTAGACTACTTCCTGCGAGTAGGTAACACATGTATTTTATGAAATTGTTTCATTTACAGCAATTAAAGTTTTTCGAAAAATGGAGGATGTTGGGATGGTTTTGTCACTAGACGAAGTCAAGGTATTATTTTTGCTCATGCGCAAATTACTGCGTAGTTTGTTTGATTGATGTCTGTTTGACTTTGCAATTTACAGTCTGTTTCGGAGCTTCTCATGTATGAATATTTCCGAATGTAGGATGTAGAAGATAAAAATCTCTTGTCTGGTTACATTGCCATGTTTATGGAGAATTACAATCTAGCCCAGGTACCTGCACGAGTCTACAACATTTTCAGTTTACTACGCTGGTGAGGCGCATGCGTAGTACATTGTGCCTCATAGTTGTAATGTGGTTTTTTTATTAGGAATTATTTATGGCCTCAACGAATCCTTCAGCAGCATTGGAGGTAAGTAGGCAGTAGTTCTGTGTCTATTTGTATGTACGAAACGGCGTTGTTGGTAACAAACAATAGCACAAAACGTGCACTAATATATATTGCTCGCTCGCCTGCTTATCTTAGCCACAGATCTCTATGTAATATCTGAGCGCGAGTTTTGCGCCTTCCAACGAAATGTGATAGTTTTAATAGTGATAGTTTTGTGATGTCCGTAAAGACGTTATACTGAGGCCATGTGCTTGCTGTTACAGATGCGTCGAGACTTGTTGAATTGGGACCAAGCATTAGAACTGGCCAAGAGTCTTGCTCCTGATCAAATACCATTTATCTCTCGTGAATATGCACAACAGTTGGAGTTCACGTATGTTGTACCATTTTACGTATAGATTGTAAAATGAAATATGTATGAAAGCATTTTAATTTAAGTTTTAAATTCCTGGAAATGGTACAAAAACTATTTTGTGTGGAGTGCATCTCCAGGCCCGCTTGGCAGGTCGCTCTTCAGCAAGAAATCTGGGGATTGGTTTGGGATGTATAGAGTCTGTGAACTGACGTAATTTGCGGACAAAGAAAGTTTATGATTGGCAGCAGACTGTGCAACGCAGCCAGTTAACCAATCATGAACAAGCTTTGTCTGCAAACTACGTCACAGCCCCAGACCTTTTAGACCAGGTGAGACTGCAAGGTCTATCTGTAGGATGCTTTGCTTTTTCACTGGTATAATTGGCATAAAGGTTTATAGGGCCACTCTGTTCATGTCTGTGGTATTAAAATTTATAAAGTATAATATTATCGTATTTGTCATTTCAGTGGTGATTATGCCAACGCTTTATTACATTATGAGAAAGGGGTAACGAAACTTCCAGAGGTATGTTTATTTCGAAAATCTTATTGCTTTTTTGCATGCGTTACATACAGGAAGTAGTTGTAGTAATACTCTTGTTTTAGGATGCACGTTTTGGAGTATTCTTGCGCCAACATGCAGTTTAATATATCAACCACTTGCTCTGATGACGTCACAGTCAAATTATGAATATTCGTGTGATTAATGTATACTGATTCCTGTATTGATTAAAAAACTTATGATAATGAACGGGCCACTCTTGCCTTCGTTTAGGAAAAGAACCATGATGACGCATGCATGGGAGGTGTTGCAAGAATGTCTATAAGAATGGGAGATATTCGACGGTAATATATCTGAAGACTAAACTACATAGAAGCTTGAAATACTATATATAAAGGATAGGTTATTTTTATGGTATACCAATGGCAAGTTTGACAGTTTTAATAGCAATTGATAGCAATTCACATTTGATTACCACTTCCTTTATCCTACAATGGAATGTAATAAGTCATTCTACATTATTATTCAATCTTGAGCGCAAAGAATCAGTGTCTGCCGTTCTTGCTCGGATCTACATTGCCCACAAATTGTTTAGCCTTTCCACTACGGTGTAAGACGTGTACCTTACGTTGAACTATAAAGATTATGATTGGTCTCTCGGTCTCTTACGTATTATCTTTTCTCTCACTCTAGTGGTGTGGGTCTGGCGACAAATAGCCCAAGTCGACAATTAAAGAAAGAATGCGCAAGTATTTTAGAAAATATTAAGGTATGATCGCTTTTCAAATATACATCTACTTTTTAAAATATAATCACGTCATGAGTACACTTTCCATGCACCTGGAAGGCTCAATCTCAATAGGCCTGCGTGCTGAAAAATGCCTCAGTGCTTTTTTTGAGGAATATGCGATGTCAAATAAATTATGATGTTTTTAAACACAGCAATATGGAGAATCCGCAGTTTTGTATGAAAAAGCAGAGTACTGGGACAAGGCAGCAACCGTCTATATTAAAACGAAAAATTGGTATGATAGAAATTGATCATTAATTTTAGCAAGTTGCTGTTAGTACCTAGAATTTACCATGCACTGATGACATATGTACACATATACTAGTGCATGTTCTTTGTCAAAATACTTGTATTCCAAGCCGTCCAGGTAGAGCTTGATAATGTTAGCATCTTAATTTGTTCAATTTATCAGGAACAAAGTTGGTTCATTACTATCTCATATTTCATCTCCAAAACTTCATATTCAATATGCTAAAGCAAAAGAAGCCGATGGAAGATACAAGAAAGCAGCCAGGGCTTATGAAGCTGGCAAGGATTATGATAACGTTATAAGGTATGCGCCCATGGTCGATGCTTTCTAACTGCAAGCGATTAAGATTAGCCTTTAAGATTACACTTGCTATTTTTGCTGTCGGATTTTATGTGCGATTTTCTTCTTTTGATAGATGGGAACGAGTGACTAGTTACTGATGTTCAAATAAAAGCTCTTATATATCCGAGCATTCGTAACTAATTACTCGTTCACGTCTATCAAAAGAAGAAAATCGCACTTAAAATTGCAAAAAAAAAACCTGGGAACGAGGTTGATAAAATTGCAGTAAAAATCGTAAGTTGAAACGAACCTTAACACATTTACATATATAGGCATCTTTTTATCACCTCACTCTTCATTGCAAAATTGTTTGGGTTGTGAATATGGCACCCTATATGTTAACCTGCACCTGCTATCATTCAGAGGCTCCAAGATCTAGATCCCAATTAATGTTCTCATGTACCCGTCACTACCACGACAAGTGATAGATACGAAGTAATTTACGAAAGATAATGATATACACTCTGTTACATCTATATTGGTGTTATAGCTCACTTACATACCCTCTGCTCTTCATTTTATGTATGCAGGGTTTACTTGGATTATTTGCAAAATCCAGAGGAGGCCGTGAGAGTCGTGAAAGAAACCCAGTCGGTTGAAGGAGCAAAGATGGTCGCCAAGTAAGACCTTTCTGTGCTAATATGGCGTTCCTTTTAGTAGGATGTTCTATACATATCATTCCTCTAACCCTTGTATTATAAAACTATTTTTATAACTGTAAAAATCAGTCACCACGTCTTCATCGGAATTTTTTTAAATCTCCATGCATGCATCTCAGGGAATAGCAAAATTAGAAAGCAATCCCTTTACATAGTGGAGTGACCATGTATATCTCTGTTATTATTATTTAGATTTTTTCAAAATCTCGGTGATTTTTCCTCTGCTATTCAGTTTCTTGTTTTGTCAAAATGCAATGACGAGGCTTTTCAAATGGCTCAGGTATTTATAGCAATTTGTTACTTTACGCCATTTTTATTGTATAACATAGTATTTAGTAAAATATTACCTCTTCACAGGCCCACAATCAAATGGAACAGTATGCCGAAATTATTGGTATTTATTACTGGATTAATTACTATACATTAGAACCTAAAAATTGAATGAAAGGATAGAAAAACGGCCTTTGCATGGTTGGTTGACATGCAGAGAAATTCGATTAGGTAATTTTTCTATCAACCGAAATTAATCACGTGTTTGTTTGTGTGTAGGTGATGACTGTACCCCAGATGATTATTCCAGTATGGCGTTACATTTTGAACAAAAGAAACAACATTTCCTGGCTGGAAAGTTCTTTTCTAAGGCTGGTCAATACAGCAAGGTTTGTATGCGTGTTGCATCACATGTAATCACATACATACAGGCATTGTATCAATCTCGTACCAATGGTTTCCCCTCCTCAAGAGGGAAAACCCTGGGTACGAGGTTGGCATTGCATGGGAGCAATCGGAGCATTGCTTATTTATTTTTGTTGGAATGAAAATGGAAAACAATATCAAACCAATTTAAATTTAGAGAACCTATCTCAGGCCCCGCGAGCCCCGAATTTTATGAAACTAAGCCATGTAATATAATAATTCTATTATCTAAACAGGCATTGAAACATCTGTTAAAATGCCCAGCCAGCGAAGACGGTCAAGCAATCGAACTAGCGATTGAGACGGTAAATTTTACTTTGTTTTTCAACCATATAGTTGCTGTTTGGTTTCCGTGGGTTTATGAAATATTACCTTGATTACGATATTTCAGGTTGGTTTGGCCAAGGATGACGCTCTAACTCATCAATTGATTGATTATCTTATGGGTGAAGTTGATGGTATGCCCAAGGTAAGATATATACTTAAAGGAATATCGTCGTAATCTCGAGTATTCATAAACTGTTTTTATGTTAAAAGAATGGCGTGAAATAGCAACAATTCTTGCAATTTTTTACTATAGGATGCTAAATACGTGTTTCGCATATACATGGCATTAGAGCAATATCGTGAAGCTGCAAAAACTGCCATCATTATTGCTCGGGAGGATCAATCAGCAGGGAATTACAGGAATGCTCACGATGTTTTATTTGGAATGTATCAAGGTTTGTCCTACAAAATACTCAATGAATGACATACTATATATAGAGTGTTTAAGAAAATCTTCAAGTGTAAAGAAGAAAATAGAATGGCCACTTTGCATCATGTATAATACTAGATCAACGAAGCTGGTGTTCCACTATCCGATATAGTAATTACTGAAGCGTATTGCTAATGAATATTTCCTTAATAAATTATGTTAAAAAGACAGTCATCAACCGAGGGATTAGACATTCATTACCCGTGAGTATATAGTGTTAAATACAATATATGTTCTATGGTGATTCTGTATGCTTAGAACTTCTTCAACACAAGATCAAAATACCAACAGAAATGAAACAGAATTTAATGATTCTTCACAGCTACATTTTGGTCAAGGTAGGTCCAAATAAAGAAATCCCTTAGATTCTCTTTCTCTTTTTTTATTTGTCCAATCTACGAAAGAGGTCTGAATATATATATATATCAATATGTATAATTTCATTGTTACATATGTTATATCTGATATGTTACATAATTTATTTACATTCAGGTTCACGTTAAACGTGGAGACCATTTAAAAGGTGCCCGTATGTTGATACGTGTTTCCAACAACATCAGCAAATTCCCATCCCGTAAGTAAATATTGATTTCGCAATCTCTATCCAGCTCTATCTTTGAGGAGGAAAAATTTATTGTGTTATTTTGCAAATAATCGTGTTGTTGTTCTACAACGTGTACATTACATTTGCGATATGACGTGTACAATATACTTGCAATATCACGTGTATATTATACTTGCAATATCAGGTGTACATTACACTTGCAATATCACGTGTACATTACACTTGCAATAAAACGTGCACATTACATTTGCGATATAACGTGTACATTGTACTTGCAATATCAGGTGTACATTACATTTGCGATATAACGTGTACATTACATTGGCAATATCAGGTGTACATTACACTTGCAATATCACGTGTACATTACATTTGCGATATAACGTGTACATTACACTTACAATACAACGTTGTACATTACACTTGCAGTATAAAGTGTACATTACATTTGCAATATGACGTATCACATAGATAGTCCGCCAACTTTGACGGCAAGAGTCTTAGGATTTTATTGATCCTAGGATTTTTTTCTGACTACAAAGCAATTCTTCATTATAGATATTGTACCAATCTTGACTTCAACTGTGATTGAGTGTCATCGTGCGTCACTTCGTAACTCATCATTCAGTTATGCCGCCATGTTGATGAGGCCTGAATATAGAAAGGATGTTGACTTGAAATACAAAAAGAAAATTGAACAAATTGTCAGGTACACACTGCTATAGTCATACTGACAGACTCATGCATGTTGTTATTTTGATTATAGAATAATAAAAATTTCCTAAACATTTGCATAATTTGCGACCTATGGTCGTTAAACGTTTATTCGCGCAGTGAGCCTGACGTTAACAACAACAATTCAAAGAAGCTGTCACTTTTGCTTAGGAAACCCGACAAAACAGAAGAAGAGGAACCAAGTGATGCATGTCCTTATTGCGAATATCTTCTTCCCCAAACTAAACTAGATTGTCCTGATTGTAAGAATAACATCCCATATTGCATCATTACGGTGAGTGTTTTTTTTAGAGATTTATCAGTTCAATACTTTCAATGTCAATAAAAACCAAGAAAACTATTCGCCGCTACCGGAAAATATAACGAGTAGGGAAAAACGAAAATTTGAATATACGTAGATACGAATCCGGAAAACAGATTTAAAAGTAGATCTGTAGTTGTCGATGCAAGCTAAGCCCCGACCACACCCTATTAGGGGAGAGAGGTAGTTCAATGCACATCGCTTATCCAGTAATCTGGATCCACTATAGGGACGACACATGCTGAAGGACGACTGGTCTGCTTGTCCAAGTTGTAATTTCCCTGCTTTGTATTCTGAGCTGAAAAGGTTTGTGACTAAAAACTTTGGTCAAAAACTCCGCCGAGAAATCTTGCACTTCTAAAAATGTTTATCGTTAAAGTTTTTTAGATGGAGGTGAAGGTATTTGTCCTATGTGTTCAGAGAAGATCAACTTCAATGATACAAAGTTCATCAAAGATCCTGTTCAATATCTCAAAAACGATGAATCGGAAGCTTGAACTAACTTATTTCTTAAATTTCCCCTCTATTTATTCATCATTCTTTAGTAATATATGATTGTACATAAATGTAAATAGTGCATGTATAAAATTGATTTGGTCAGTCTTCTGTAATGCTGAGCGTTTTATTCCTGACTACTACGTGCGTACGTTCGTCCTCAAATCAATCATAGGTCAGTCCACTATAACATATAAAGGTTGGGCCTTGTAAATGTTGTTATAAGGTCAGAATTACAAGAAAATAGCTGAAAATCCATGTACTAATTTTAGGAAGTGTTGCATAGGCATTTTAGGTATGAATGTGGAAAAACATACTTAACCACATGTTTTTATTCTAAAAATGTATGCACTTGTATGACAAGTCTACATATATATATATTATGATTCAGCAAGAGATTAATTTTCTTTTTTTTATTAGTTAACTTTTCTATGGAATTTCCACATTAAAACATATGTATTATACAGTATAGTGTAGAAAGAGTCAAAGTTAAAAATGTCATGCATGCTATAATCAAAACTTTAGAGGGATACTTGGCCAAAACACCGGATGTCTCATATCTACATTCATATTGAAATGTAACTGTAGTGAAGTTTCTAAACTCTCAATATCATATGCTGATCTACCATACAAAATTTTCATTTCTTCACTTCTTAAAGCACCTTGTTGCTGTGTTGGTGCCACAGTTGTTGCTTCAAGTGCAATTTCATTTACTAAAAAATATTTTAAAAATTTATATAATAGGTATCATACCATACTGTATTTGTAGAGCAATCATTTACCGCTTCATGTCAGGAAAGACACTGGGTATTAAAATTTAAAATAGGAATTTCTAACAAACATTACCTTCAATATAATCATCTTTTTGAGCTTTTGCAAGGTCTGCTTCTTTTTGCTTATCTAAATAAATAATAAACTATTGGCCTATGTATATAAGTGAAATCTTATAACCTCTTAGAACCTTATACTTACTTCTTTGTTCCCTATGTCTAGCTGATTGCTCGAGAAACTTTTTAAATTCATTGTTTAATTCCATTTCAAACTCTTCTTCATTTTCACTTTCATATTGTAAGATACCACAAGTATCCTGTGACCTGCGATCATCAACATATCCTACTCTGTCACATCTAGCATTGATCATTTGGGAATTAATAGATGGTAATATAGAATTAGTAACATTGGCATTAGTTGCATCTGTCTGTTTCTTTGTCAATCTATTCAAACGTTCTTCTCTTAATCTTTGTTCCTCAATACAAGTGATGCACCATGTTTCACCATTATTTTCTGATTGATTTGTTCCACCATGTGTACCATTCTGACTGTTTAACCACCAACTATACCACATGTTTTGAAAGTGATTTTCAGATGTAGGATAGTAATTATTTGAGTGGTTATTAGTGCAACATTCACAGTCCACGTAGGATGACATTATCAATATTTTACTAGAATTGAATATCGAACGTAAATACACGCAAATATCGAAGGTAGAAACAATACATTAAATGTCAAAAAAAAGTAAAAAAAATTATCAGCAGCGGTGAGAACCACTGAGGTGAGAACTGTACGACTTTCTCCTCGTGCGCTTACATGACGTGTCGTCCATGGCAATGCGGGCTCATTCTAAAGTACGACATTCGCACGTGAAATAAAAAATTATTCATCGGCGCAGTTCTCTAATATTGAGTGAAAAACTGAAAATATTATGGTTCATTTCTAACTTGTTTCTGTGTATTTTGTTGTTTCGTAATGGTTCCCTTATCGTTGAAGTGTGCTACGTGTGGCAAAGAATTCAAGAAAAACGCTTTACTTCAGCAACATGTACGAAGGCACACAGGAGAGGTGGGTCAGGGTTTATATTTGCGAAGAAGCTACGATAAAGTATTGTAGAAAGTCGTTTAAGTGACGTTCACCTGACGGCGAGTCGGCGACGAAGATAAATTATTAGCTTCTATTAATTTAGAATTGTAATAGAAGTTTGCGCACACTCCATTTTCATGCAACATAATTGTTACTTTTTAATGTAAATTAATACATTGAAATAATTCAATTGCCAGTATTATCATTAGGTCCTGTTCCAGCAGGCTAAGGCTTTTTGAAAAATTGTTTAAAGCTTCTTTGTAGCGGAATGTGTGAATCTCAATTTTACTATATTTATTTCCTTATATACTTCAGAGGCCAGTTGTTCAAAGCTAGAGGCGCTTTCCATCATCAGCCAAGATGGTCAGACTGGTCAATGAAATGATTGGTCAATGAAATGACTAATAAGATAACTAATAATGACTAATAAGATTTTCATATTATAGAAACCTTACGATTGTTATCTATGTGATAAAAAATTCGACTCAAAGTCACATGCACAAAGGCACATGAATTCCCATTCAAAGAACACTTTACTGCTCAGGTAAGCAAGCAATAAGTTTAAATTGGACTTCAGCAAGTTGATAAATTTTCAAATTCTAAATTTAAGTTCTCATGACAACTTTTACACAAAGTAACTCCACTCACTTTTTATTCTCATTTCATTATCAACCTACTGTGTGTAACTTTATGACTCATGAAGTAAACCTGAATATATTTTTCACTTGAGGCTATAAGTTCAAACTTGCTTAGGAACTGATTAAAACATCCCTTAAAAATTAATGTCCTATGCTTTTTTGTTTCCAGTTGTACAGTAGAGGGATGTCCCAAGCAATTCAAATTTGAAAGGACAATGAAACGACATATTCAGAGCACACATATTTTACACAAGGTATTGTGGTGTGAATTAAACATGAGATTATTATTAATTTTATATGTGTAACAGATAGAGTTGCATTATTTCAAAATATCAATGACTTTTTTAACATTGCTTATATATTTTTTACATGGTAGTGCACATTTGAAGGGTGTGAGATGGCATTCAATAAGAAATTCAAGTTGAAAAAACATATGAGAGAAATTCATAATGATATATACCTTAAGTATGAAAGTTTGTTTAAAAGAAATTCTTCTGCATTATTATGCTGTATTGTATGATATTAACTGTTGTTCTGTTACTGAAGGTGTACTCATGAAGGGTGTACATCAGTGTTCACAACAAAAAGAAATTTGGCTCGTCATTTGTACAGTCATGAAAGAGGTGAGCATCCCCTTGCTTTGAATGCAAACAAAACTAATTTTACATTTCTTTTATAACATGCAAAAGTCACAATGATCTTGTGTTTTCTAGAGTATGAATGCAATGTTTTGGGCTGTGACATGGTTTTCAAGTCACGATCTGTATTAAGGAAACATCGTGAAACACATAAAAGTGAGTTGAAATATTGTATGACAGGAGGTTTTACCATTTGAAGTTATGGAAACATAAAAAATCTGAGTATTGCACACAAAAAAGTTTGTGAGTTAGTTTTGCACTTCTACAAAAGCAGCATATTTTCAGGTGTGATCTTCTGAACCATTCCCATCTAAATCACTAATTAATATTCAACTGTCATTTTTTATTGTTTTTAGAAGTACACTGTACAACATGTGACCTTGTGTGCAGGAACAAAACAGAGGTAATAAACAGAGGTTTTATTCCACTGAAATTGGCTTGTTGTGGTCAGGATTTAGCACTTGCAACTGTGTACTGTATCCCTGGTAGTTCAGTTGTTTGAACGAGTTGGATTACTCACCCAAATATCCTGAGTTTGGTTATATGGTTAAGGATAATTTTGATGGGGGGTGTAGTTCAAGAGTAATGATCTACAATATTTTAGCATATCTTAGCAGAAAAACTGTCCTGGTGCACTTTTGCATTGATATCCATCGAGTGAGTGTTGGAAGTCAGTTTGCCTAGAATAAAGGTTAATTTAACTTTTTATATAATTATGCAGTTTAAAAAACATTGCAAAGAGGCTCATCCTAAACCGAAAAAGACGTATGATTGTCCTTATGAAGGCTGTTCCAAGACATATAGTACAGTAAGTAATTGCCCAAACCTGCTGAAACTAGTTCTCTATCTACTTTCATTGGTTGTAGCTTGTTGCTTTCCGAATGATAGTTCAACAGTATTTGTTAATTATGTTTATTTTGTAGGGGTCCAATCTCAATCAACATGTTCGTGTTGAACATGCTGGTTTAAGATTTCACTGTGAAGTAAAAGGATGTGGGAAATCATTTCGTTACAATGTAAATGAACCTTTTATTTTAACCTTTAGCATTAAACAAATATTTTAACATTGTTTACTGTTTTGCAGATAAACTTAAAGAGACACATCGCTTCACATGAGGTAACAACTCACTGTTTTTCTACTTCACGACCACGCGACATGTTTTTCCTATCATGCCTATTATAGTTTGTTGCATATGTGCGGAATATAATTTACATCATGTTTATATCAATTGCATTGTGTGGTATACTATCCAAGGAGAACAACCAAACTAATTTCAAGGCGAAGGGCATTTGCTTGATTTCTTTATATTTTTCTAGGGGGAGGGTTGTTGAAATAGAAATTATTCTATATTAACCTATAGTCGAAATTTTGAGCATATGTTAAGTTATAAAAACTATAACAATGTCATAAATTTTCTACCAAAATAGTGAGATTTCAAGGACAAGAGGTATAAGGTTTTTCAATTTTCAACCGAGAAATTACTTCACAGCCCTTTCCCGGCACTTCAGATTATGTTCAGATCACCTGGTATTGTGTACAGTAACTTGCTGTTTTTAACATCCATCATTCTTTGTATAGGCTCCAGCTAAAAAGACGAAGAAAAAACGTAAAAGAAAATCTTTAGCTGCAAAACTTGCGAAATACAAGGGCGAGCTTTGTGAACTTCCTGTGACTTATGTGGATCCAAACGAAGATGTATCTTCGCCATCGGAATCAGCCTCGTGCAAAGAAACACAGAGTAATCATTGCAGTGATATAACGATGGACTCCCCATCACATGTTGAAGACAAAACTGAAGAAATATCTTCTGCGACTTGCTCTGCTGAATTTTCATCATCAGGTTCAGAAAGTGTACCAAAATCCTTACCGTCCGAATTGTGTAAAGAAACACAGAGTTCTCAATGCAGTGATATTTCTACGGATACCTTATCGCAGGTTGAAGACAGAACCAAAGAAATATCTTCTGCCATTTGTTCTGCTGAATCTTCATCATCAGGTTCAGAAAGTGTACCAAAATCCTTACCGTCCGAATTGTGTAAAGAAACACAGAGTTCTCAATGCAGTGATATTTCTACGGATACCTTATCGCAGGTTGAAGACAGAACCAAAGAAATATCTTCTGCCATTTGTTCTGCTGAATCTTCATCATCAGGTTCAGAAAGTGGATCAAAATCTTTACCGTCCGAATTGTGTAAAGAAACACAGAGTCCTCAATGCAGTGATATTTCGATGGACTCCTCATCACATGTTGAAAACCAAAGCGATGGGCTATCTTTTGCGATTTGTTCTCTGGGTCCTTTATCATCAAAGTCAGAAAGTGGACCGAAGACTTTAATGGAACGACTACAAAGTGTTATAAAGGATAGGGAATAACACAAGTTGTGCCCTGCTGAATATAATCCAGAAACCAGTTCGTCCAATGAAACATGCACATGTCTTGGAATAGCTTCATGGTAAGAAGCAGAAGTACTTGTGTACTGTTGTTCAACATGACAAATATATTACTGGTATCTGTCTGAAATACAAGTCTTTGAAGCGTGTTTGAAAGGGAGGCTCGACATTTCTCATTCTTTTAAAACATTAATTTGTTTTTAATTTGTTCTACTGGGGTATGAAAGATTTCGTATGTGAACGACAACCCTCCTTTACTGAACTCCAATGTTTCATATCTTATCAAAAATTGATATTGTTATTTTGTGGTAGTTGAGTCTTGAGTTGAGACATTTTACTAGCACTTGTACTGATAAAAACGGCTTGATTGTCACTTGTACTGATAAAAATTCTTAATGCTATAACGTTAACATAGACAACGTTTCCAATTATAAGTATACATGAAAAAAGTTTAAATAGTTTAAGGTCTCTTCTTATTCATAATGGACTTGGATCGTGTTGATGGAACTGAAGTTGTTAGGTTCTTCGACGTCTTCAAAGCACCTTTTCCCTGACGTGTCTGCTGAACATTTTGTTTAGCAGATTTTGCACTGCGGTTTGCAGCGACACGATTCAGTGATGCTATTTTCGCTAGAAAAAATAAATACTATCCAACAAAACATAACACAACCTACGTTGAAGGAACTCATCTATACTAGTGGTTCGACGTGAGCCAATGAGGGGGTTCATATGATAGGATACAAAAGACGGTAGCCATTTGAATCGTGGCCGGTATGAACTACTGAAATTCTTGTGTATAAATATCAATATTATGGGAAATAAGCTTTACCTATGAAGTCTGGGTTAGTTTCGTCTAGTCCGTTCAGTAGAGGTGTAAAACTCTTGAAAACGTGACCAGTCGTTATGTCAAGATGTCCTTTATAAAAAGAATTCATCATTAAATATCCACCCGAGGTAATTAGTCTGACGTGTGGTGGTCTAGACACGGATGGCTATATTTTGAAATGTCACTCACGTTTAACTTCGACCAAAATATATGTTCGCCGATACTCTAAATATTCACTAGCGAACTGCTCTGATGGCCTTTCATTCATGCTTTTCACGGCACCACTTTCTTCTGCCAAATCTATAGTGTCTACGTATTGGAAATAAAGAATTGGTAAATTAAAAGCTTACAATTTTTTCACATGGAATATTTTACCAGCTGTACTGAGTCTGAGAAGATCTAGTTTTTTTATTCGTTATTTACCTTTTTCTTTGCAGTTGCAGCGTTTCTTTATGTTTTCTATCAGCAATATATTTTTACAATTTGGGTTGAAGAGTTCCTGTTGGGAATCTCGAATAAAATTAAAATCAGTCAAAAATCATGATTTTCCCCCACCACCAATTCAATTCAGAATTCACCCACCTCCAAAAAGGACGACTATAAACATTAGATTCTGTTGAGAGATTTAAATAAAGTGTAATTGCGGAAGAACGAAAAATGAAAGAAATGAAAGTTTCAAAAAAACAAACTTGAAAAATAGCGAAACGGGAGTAGTTAATTTACCCAGCATCCTCTGCGGCAATACTCATGCAATATATGCAAATTCGTCTTTCTTAGAGCCTTCAGGTTAGAGGGTTTAAATCATAGATAACCCGGAAATTTACCATAAAATTAAATTATACCAGTAGTCGCCGTTTCGCCGTCGTGCGCTCAAAGGCTTAGATAAGTGTTCCCGAAGAAATAGCAGTCATATTCGTAATAAATAACCATGAGTCACCGAAAGTCTCCCTCATGTCTTTTATCAGCAGCATGGTGGCCGAGAGCTGCCACTTCGAAATAATGTTTGAAAAGCGTTTTATTATTGTGGATTAGAAATGTTTTATTTCAGATTGATTTTAAATTGTAAATTCATTTTTAGTGCAACTTAAACGTCTTCAAATTAATTTGGAGACATTATGGAACAGTAAGGAAGAAGTATGCCCCAAAATCCCTGTGCCCCAAATGAATTTGAAAGCGTTTAAGTTGCACTAAAAATGACTTTAAAATTTAAAATTAATCTGAAATAAAATAATTCTAAGCCACAATAAAACGCTTTTCAAACATTATTTCGATATGGCAGCTCTCGGCCACCGTATTCAGTATTCACGTGCCAAATGTACTCGTTCCTTACTGTTCCGTAATGTCCCAAATTAATTTGATAAGTTGCACTGAATATGAATTTTAAATTAATCTGAAATAGAATATATGTATGATCTACAATAAAACGCTTTTCAAACATTATTTCGAAGTGGTAGCTCTCGGCCACCATACAGCAGGAAAGGCAGGCAATGGGTCGGGTGCACTTTTAATTTAAGGGATTTGAAAAACACCCGAATATTTTAGGGCAAAAATCAGATGTCATACAATGGGCAGCAGTTTTGACAGTTCCGAGAGGTTCTCTTGTATGCTAGTTCATATCTATTTGCAGATTCAGCCGGAAGTGTACTGATTCCAATAGTTAAAGTATCTTGCAACAAGTAAAATATTTTGCAAGAACTCATTGACTTCTTCATATTGATATTACTCATCCATTGTCAAAATATATCAACACATTAATATAATCAGAACATATACTCGTGGTAAAAGTTTAAAATTTTAAATGCTCTTCCCAAAGTAATAAATTGATGAACTGATTTTTAAAAAGGATTGCCAACTCCATGTTAAGCTGAAAGAAAAAAAATGGAAAGGTGGGGTATCCTGGGTCAACCATTTTAGTGGTAAGAGCAATGATGATACATAGATAATATATTACTAACATTGTCTTTATTTTAACAAAACTTGACAGCATATATGAAAATAATGAAATGGTACATAAATAAATTTAGAACAGTCAATACTATGATAACCAGCAGCAAAGATTTTAAATTTTCAAGTCAAATACAAACATAAATACAGTATTTTCATATCAATTAAAGTTTTTAAGTTCATCCAAAGTAATGTCAAGTTCATCCAAAAATCTCCAGAATAACTGCTTATAATTATAGTAACTAGTAGTTTGAATTTATCATATTTTTAGTTCTCTCTCAAATCATAAATTGGCAAGTCCATATTCACTGGTTTCACTCGTCGTTTTCGAACTCCTTGGGATCTTTTCTGCTCAGCCGATGGTTTTCGTTCTTTGCCCAGTTAATAACCAAAAAGCCAGAAATAAGACCTGGTAAGATATAGCCAAACGAAGTCATGAAACGACGTACAACATTTGGGCCACTTTTGGTGACGAATCCCGCAAAAGCACGCTGCTCAAATGGGGACAGAGAATAAGTGATGATGTTTTTAGCTCTAGCAATGTTTCCAAACTCTTTTCCACCCATTGTAGCAGAACTTTTATGTGCAATTTACTATAAACTGCTAAAAAATTTCATCCAATATGGTGGTCGGTGGATGACCATTATCCATTGTCCGTTGTCGTCCTACCCTGATCCTACAACGGAAAACCTAAATGCTCACAATTGTTCAATATCATCCTCGATAATCAATGTGATCCTCTTCATAACCCTTCATTAGAAATTTTAGAAGTGAATAACAAACAGAAAATATATCTTTCCGCTTTTATGAAGATATATTAAAATGCAAATGGTTTACATACAAAAACCTTTATGAGGCAATGGGACAGGAATGTACATTAGAGTAAATAAATGTGACGTTGCAAAAAACGAAGGATTTATGCCGTTTGCGTGGAAGGTTTTTGATAACTCGGACAGTATGGAAGAAGGAACGCCACCTTCTAGCATTCCTAGATATGGCTCCATTCAATCTGATACAACAAGTCGTAGACTTGTCATTCCAACTCGAGTATTAACCAAACAACTTGAGATTAAACACGAGAGCAGTCTTAAACGTAATTTGACAAACGTTGTTAAAACGACTAAATACTCAATATGGAATTTTCTACCAAAGAATTTATTTGAACAGTTTCATCGTTTTGCCAACATCTACTTTCTAGCAATAGCAATTTTAAACTGGGTTCCGGCAATAAAAGCATTTGCGAAAGAAATAACTATGATCCCATTGTTGTTTGTTCTCACTGTGACATTGGTAAAGGATTTATTTGAGGATCACAGGCGAAGAAGGTCAGATAATGAGGTCAACAACAGACATTGCCTTGTCTTTGATAGGTGAGTTGTTCAAATTTCCATTGTGTTGAATGCATGAACTAGCAATAGGTAATTGCTAGTATTGCTTAACATTTGAGCGCACCTGAATAAAGCATCATGCTTTGTTACATTATTATACTATTGTGCTATACATTTTATATAATTGGTATTATCATTATAACATTTTAATGTAATCTGGCACTTTTTTAGTGGCTGTTTATATCAGTCTAACTGGTGAAAGTGAGTATATTTGCCCTTTATCTCTCAATTGTATCTTAAAAAATATTTCTAAGAAAAATATATTTTGACGACATGCAGTATACATACCTGCCCATCTTCTGCTTGTATTAGGCACCACCATTAGACACTACATTGTCTGCATTCTAGCTGCAAAGTGCTTACCTCTTGTATTTAACCTTTTTGAATCCTACTACCGTGGCACTTGTGGTCATCCTAATACTATGAGATGTTCCAGAAACAGTTGAACAGTATACATATAGAGTATACAGTCTACACTGGGATACAAATCATATTATTCAGGGTTTATTTGGTTTCATGTTTGGAAATACGTACGCATATATTTGTACTAATTTTCAATCCTTTCTCTTCTTTTATGACCTCACCCTTTGAGCTTAATTATAATTATAATGAATCTATTGCAGTATTGCAGGCTACATTCAATTTCATAATATTCCCTTACATTGTTTTTATTCTATTCATTTCTTTTAAGAGCTTCACAATATCCAAAATTGATTTAGTGAATCATGTACAGTCCTGATTACTGGAGTGTTTCATTTCTATCTTAGAAACATCCTCTCATTTTTCCGAACACAACATCCCAACATATTTAAAATATTGAATTTATTGGTTCATGCAGCAGTGAAATGAAAATGTTTTTGTTTTGCACTGGATTTTAACTGCACTCAACTTTAATGTGTTTGACTTTCTTGCAGTATCAAATTTAGTAATTATTTTTTATCTCTGCTGGTTGTCTTGACCTATATATATATATATATATATATATATATATATATATATATATATATATATATATATATATATATATATATATATATATATATATAGCACTATCAAAAAGATCTATATATAGCACTATCAAAAAGATCTATAAAGTAACCATAGATTAACTGTATTACTATCATAATAATTTAAGGGTAAATAATTGTAATTCTTATTATACGTATTTATATATAATTAAATTGAGGCATTTGTCAAACAAAACTTGAAGTTCCTTAATTTTTAATTTTGATGTGTAATCTGGGCCAACCACATTTGGAAAGACAACCCAAATGTTTTCATTTTTAAAAACATTTAATGAAAAAGGCTAGCATGGGTGCATGGGAGTCTTCGCAGACTAAGTGGAAAATAAGCAGATTCTTTCTTATTTTCAGGAATTTGTTTCTTAAGAATTTGTTCCTAGTTAAGGATCTCTTTTTTCATGGTTAATAGAGATTTTGTTGTGCAGTTAAGTGTACTTTATTCTGCAAACATCCAGGTTTCAAAATTAAGGAGAGTTTTTCTTGTCAAACGTTCAGAAACATCTCTCCTTGTTGTCGTGTCGCGTGTGAGATTTGGGTCGTTCATTATTAATTTTACGCCGCCTTATTACAAACCGTATAACCCGCGATTGCAATCATGATGGAGTAATTACGCGTTTTTCGTGTTCGTTTATAATTGCTGCAATGGATGTTTGCACTAGCGCATAGTTGCGGTTAGTTTGCAAACAAAATTAACACGATATGAGTTCAACGGACGTTTCAAACTGCCTATATATAGCTATAGGACCGTTGTTTCTATTACTGAGGAAATTGCCTGATTTCATTATAAAGAAATACTGAAATACACTAGTATTTCGTAAGTGTTTCGAATAATCTGAAGTTGTGTGAAAATATCAGAAACCACTGAGTTTCTTTCTACTTACCTTAAACAATATACTGGCACGAGTTCTTTACTTTTAAATTAAGAAATATGTCTTTCTAAAATTTCCTGCTTACCCTCTTCAGACTTCAAGCTTGTTCCTACTTTAAATATACCCCTTTTCCTATATATTATATTCTTTCAACGCTTTCTAATCAATGTTTCGATTGTTGCGTTGTTGTTTGTTTTGTAATTCTATAATTTAATTTCTTTCCTCGGTGTCCATTAGGAGGTTTACTATAGCTTTCTTTCAATGAGATACAGTTCTCTCATATCCTATGGAAGCCACGTGAGAATTTTACAGGAACAAGCCGTTTCAGTGTTGTTCTTTCTTTCAGTACAACCCACCAATATGTTGAAACAAAATGGAAATCCATTGTTCCTGGCAATGTTGTAAAGTTATCAAATGATGAAATTATTCCTGCTGATGTATTATTATTGAAGTCGAGTGATCCTAATGATATTTGCCACATAGAGACAGCTAACCTTGATGGTGAAACAAATTTGAAACAAAGAGAAATTGTTAGAAATTCTAATCAGGTATATTCATGACTCATGAGAGTTTCCAACTACAGTTTACGGTACACACCACCTCACACTCGTACAAAGATTTTTATACCTGTCGGTTCCAAAAGAATAATCGTATAAACGGGAATTGTGAATTTTTAACCAGCAAAATCTAGGACATACAAGTTTCAGTTACCATTATAATATATATTATCTACATGTATGTATAGTTAAAGATCTTGTTATATTTTAGGGTTTAGGGTCTAATGGGGCTGTGGATTTTTCTTCATTTGTTCATTGCGAAGAACCGAATAGTAAAATTTATCAATTTCGTGGATTTATGTAAGTAATGAAATTTTTACTCCACGTTTATTTGGCTCACTAATTTTAATATCCTTTCTTTAAACAACAACTTGTTTCAAACATTGTTTCCTCTATCGCTAGAGGAAATATTCAACGAAACAAGTCCATTATTTTTGGCCTGAATATCCTTGTCCCTCCCGAACGTGCTTGTGGGACATCGTATTGTCTTGCCATAAGACAGGGGTGACTATTATATGCACTGTATCTATATCTTGCAGGGGGCACCACAAGATTCAATTATATAGACAGTACAAGTATTAAGAATATTTCTTTTTTTAGAGACACTGATGGCAATCAGATACCAATTGGAACAAATAATCTTCTTTTAAGAGGATGTGTTATTCGCAATACAGAAAATGTAGAAGGCATTGTAATATATGCAGGTAAACGCAATAATGCATGGCTTTCAAACACAAGTCTTTCATATATATAAATTGACAGGTTTTGCTAGAGAGTAACATGAGTAACGGGAATGAATGAATGAATGGTGCAATATAATGACAAACCCTATTTCATTAGGTCATGACACAAAAGCGATGCGAAATAACGGTGGCCCAAGAAGCAAACGCAGCAAATTAGAAAGAGATATTAACTGGGATGTGATATCTTGTGTATTTATTTTAATATCACTGTGTTTGATCTGTGCTATAGGTAGGTTTTTGTATTTATATATATCAACTATATTTTGCTGGATCAGGCCGCAGGCGTTGACTCATAAAACCATTTTCCTTGCCTTGCATTGTTGGATATTCTGTATTAATAGTTATAATGCCTAATCCATGTTGTAATGCCTAATTGTGACTTGGTATGGAAATCGAAAGTACTTTTGGTCAAACGTAGGTGATATACACCCAATATATCCCCAAAACGCATCATAAGTCCCTCGTATTCTATTCTTTTATTTCAGGTTGTGGATTTTGGACTCATAATAAAGAGGCATTTGACCATCAGTATACCCCAGAGTTGGACCTTAACAATGAAGATGTCATTCAGAGAGAACCTGCATTGGAAGGTTTTGTACGATTTTGGACCTATATCATTATTTTTCAGGTCTGAATACCACGTTTAGTCAATTTTTGTTTTTACCACGTTTTAAGGTCGTCCATGTATATCTATCACTGAACGTACAAGTGCATGTTGAATGTAATCTAATAATAATTGAATGAATGAACACAATATCGATTTATTCCAATAGGTGCTAATTCCAATATCCTTGTACGTGTCTGTGGAAATTGTGAAACTTGGTCAATGTTATTTTATCACGAATGATGTGGAAATGTATTATGAAGAAAAAGATCAACCCGCATTATGTCGTGCGCTAAATATTAATGAAGATTTAGGACAAATTAAATACGTATTCTCTGATAAGACTGGAACATTAACAGAGAATAAAATGGTGTTCAGACGTTGTACGATTAATGGGAAAGACTTTCCTCATTCAACCAGATATTCTCAAGGTAACTACTGTAACTATCTTTACTGTAAACACCCCCCCCCCTTCCTTGTGTTTATATAGTTTCCAGGCCTACTTATGTAAGTGTAAATTGTAACTGTAAATGTAAATGTTTTAAAAAATAGATAACCTAAGAGATGAAGCAGTACCTCAGGGAAGCCATGGTCAGGATACGACAGTAAGTGATGCTAAATATATTCAAATATCAAGTTGTACTAAATATCTTGATATATTTATCTTAATATTATTTGTGCTATCTTCACTCTTAGGACTCTCCTAGTGATAATTCGTGGGATCACGAGTTAGCCCAAGAGATAAAAAGCAGTTCATCTGACAAAATCTCATCACCTGTCAAGGAATTCTTTACTTTGCTGGCAATTTGTAACACCGTTGTTGTTTCGTCGCATGGCAACCAGCAGAATGACGTCACTACCACTTTAGGCCAAAAGGAAAAATCCACTGATCGAAATGAAACGGTCAATGTAGATGGTGAAACAGATGCAGATGGTCAAACAAATAAAATGTATTTAAATGGAAGGCTCGAAGCGAACCAAGATCTATCAGGTGATAACAGGCAAGAACAGACTTTAACTTACGAAGCTGAATCACCAGATGAAGCAGCTTTGGTAAAATCTGCCACAATGTATGGATATAAATTAATATCACGTGGGCCGGATAGTATAACAATTAATGTACCTGGAGAAGGCATTGTTAAGTATCATCTTCTTCATGTCTTAATATTTGACTCCGTCCGCAAAAGAATGTCAGTGATCGTTCGTCGTGAGAATGATGATAGGATAATAATGTATTGTAAAGGTGCTGACACAGCAGTTATACCTCGGTTATCCAAACAGAGTAAGTCAAAAACATTACAAAACTGCAATAATGCAGATGCGCTAGATGGAAGAAATGCAAGTGCAGAAACGGAAGATGTGTCTTTGGTTGAAATGACGGAAACTCATCTTAATGTTTACGCAAGAGAAGGTCTGAGAACCCTTTGTATGGCAAGAAAGGTAATTTTCAAGGTCACATTTGGTGTAGTACGATAACTCCTTCAAAGTTAAACAAGGAAACATTGCGCAACAACATTACGTGTTCTCTTTATTGTTGTTTTAATTTAATTTAATTTTCCCGACATCTAGGAATTAACTGATGAGGATTATCATAATTGGTTATCAGAACACGAGAAAGCAGAGATATCTCTGTACAATCGTGAGGAGCTATTACAAGATTCATATTGTCAGATAGAATCTAATATGGAGTTACTTGGAGCAACCGGTATTGAAGATAGATTACAAGAAGGTGTTCCGGAGGCAATTGCAACGTTACGTGCGGCCGGACTGAAAGTATGGGTTCTCACTGGCGATAAACAGGTGCAGGGAAAATATTTGAGTGTTTTTGAAAGATTGTATAGGGGTAATAAATTATAGGAATGTAGGATCTTATATTTCATTGCAGGTGCTAAGTTTAATTTTCGTGGGACGTTCGTTATCTAGTTTGTGTTGCCGCTGTGTATTTTTCTAATTTTTGTCATCCAAATGGCGTCTGACTGAAAAAACATAATTGGGGTCACTTTTTAGGAAACGGCAGTAAACATTGCACACTCCTGTCGCCTTCTGGACCAAGAGATGGATAAAATAACGCTTAATGCTTCATCAAAAGTAGGTTCATTTTCAATACCCAGTGAATTAACCTTCTGTCAGCTTGTGTTAGGCGCATTCTCACCATTAAAGACGTTTATTTAATTTTTTCATGTTACTTAATATTCCCAATGTTTCTGGACTATATTATGTCTATCGCAAATATTTGTCACATCTTTTGTTGTTTTGTTTCAAGGAATCGTGTGCAGAACAAATCAGAGCGTGGCTAGAAAGGATGAATGGTGATTCAAATGATGCAAGTCAACAATTAAAACAAATGAAACAAACTAAATATGGGTTGATTATAGATGGACAGACACTACAATATGCTTTGGAGTATCCACTTGCTTTGGAATTCCTTCTTTTAGCTAAATCATGTCAAGTTGTTGTTTGTTGCCGGGCTGCTCCTGTTCAAAAGGTACGTGACTGAAGTATGATTCCACTTATAAAGTCTGCAGAATACGTTAAATTTAGCGTATTTAAGACTAACACCGTATCTGAAGTGCCATTATCAATATCCAGGCTTCTGTAGTACGTCTTGTTCGAGAGGAACTTGGTGTTATGACATTAGCTATAGGTGATGGAGCTAATGATGTTAGTATGATTCAAGTGGCTGATATTGGAGTTGGGATTAGTGGTCAAGAAGGAATGCAAGCTGTTCAAGCTAGTGACTTTGCTATTGGAAGATTTCGTTTCCTTGTTCGATTATTACTCGTCCATGGTCATTGGTGTTATGATCGTATTTCAAAGCTGATACTATATTTCTTTTATAAAAATATGGTAAGTTTTACGGACGTACTTTACTTCCACTTTAAGAATAACAATTTTAATTTTCAGCCGTGTGCGTGCTGAAATTGGCTCTATCTGTATTATGATAAATTTGTTTTCAATACTGTTTTCTTTTGCGTTTTAGATGTTCGTGATGGTGTTGTTTTGGTTTCAGTTATATAACGGTTTTTCAGGATCAAACGCAATCAATGATTTGAACTTAATTTTTTTTAATCTCATCTTTACTGCTTTACCTCCAATAATATCGGGAATTTGGGATCAAGATGTCTCAAGTGAAATTCTTCTAAAAAAGCCATACCTTTACAGACAAGGTCAAGAAAGTGAGGTAATACTGTAAAATAAAATTCAATTATACTTCGGTTGATTTATGATTATTCAACTAACAATGTAGTAATCTTTTCACAGCTTTATTCTAGGAAAATGTTTTGGATAACAATGGCCGATGCTATATTCCAAAGTATTGTAATCTTCTTTTCAGCCTTTCTGGTATGTTATAATGATGAAAAATATCGGATAACATGGTTTGGATTTTTCAATCGTATTTAGTTGTTTTATCGCATTCTGATTTTTCTGGAAAGATGCTTTGCATTTACAGTTAAGACTAGTTATCATCTTCCATAGGTTTACTACGGAACACAAGCTGGTTTATATACAGTTGGAGTAAGTCTTCATCAGTGTGCAGTTATTGTCGCCTCACTTCAAATTGCAATTGAGACAAATTATTGGGTATGATATGCTTTTGATTTGACCTTCCATGCTACCATTGTCATTCAACAAACATTGGCCAATCGTATGCGATTAACTAATGACGATCTGACCAATCAAAGCGCATGAAATAGGCCAGCAAAAAGTACAGCAGCAGTGATGAGTTTAACCATGCTATCGCTTCGCGCGTTCGCAATCAATGTTTTGACCCAGTCCTTTATATATTTATTTAGACAACAATTCATGCTGTGATTCTTGGACTCAGCGTTTTGTTATCATTCGTGTGGTGTATTGTCTATAATGTCGTCTCACCTGTTCTGCCAGATTATTTTGTCGCTATAGTAACAATGGGAACGGCAAATTTTTGGTTGTTGTGTATTCTAACAGCTTTTGTATCGATGTTGCCAAGGTCAGTGGTTTTTCCAACAATTGTGTATAAGCTAGGGCAGTGAGCTACAGAAAACTATTAGGGAAGGGAAGCTATTAGGGAACTGCATATGCAAAAGCCATGGCTGAATGGAAACTAGTGTCAACGCTTTCTCTAGGAATGGATGCAAGATTGACTGACTCTTTTTAATGTTCATGCACTTGAATTATACAAGAAGAAAAGTTGGAAAACTGACACCCAATTTATTATTATAACTTCAATACATTTTCTCGTAGATTACTGGTGAGAACCTTACAGCAATCATTATCGCCAACAGAGATTCAGAAGGCTCGTCTTGAATCTACTTGTCCTGAAGTTTCGCTTATTTCGTTTGAATCAAGAAGTAGACAGTTTTCCGCTGAAAATAACATACATGCCCAGACGTCTGGAATAAAAGTATAGGCACAAAATCCATATGGAAATCTAATAAACTCAGAATCCATATGGAAATTCTAATAAACTCGGAAATTATGTTAGAAATATTATTATATTCTAGAGATTGTGAACATACCAGATATTGTGACACATCCATTTTTCGTTAATGTGACGTCCACGTTTTATGCTGGACCTCGCTGACAAATATTGCTGTAATCATAGTGTAATGTTGTATAATGTACGTGATAACGTTCTCTTTGGTCCTGTCAGTCGTTCAAAATCTACACAGCATTTTCTTCACATCCTTTGAATGAATGAATCCATATTCCATTCACTAACAGCAGAATTGTTTTTCTCATATGATATGGGCACATAATTGTTCGTGGGGCGGGCCGCGGGGGAGGTCTTGCAGTTACAGTCAATCAAGCTAGCATGAACCTGTTTAGCGAAATACAGGCCTGACATTCTTGTGCACTGAATACATCGTCCAACTATATGGTCCAACCAATCCATTTGCTGGGCATGGGCATGCATATTAGGTGTTTGAATTTGTGAAAATGAAAATGCACGGGTACCCATTTTAGCCGTGCCGTGCCAATAAATGGAGTGTAGTGTAAACGGGGTTTTTGCTTTCCCGGTGCAGTGTTCTCATCATCGTTGGCTTTGAGGGCCAGTGTGCAGGCTAGAGTTGGTGTATAATTTACTCCATCAACAGGAATATCTTTGGATCGAGAAGGAAATTTCACTGATTAACAATCCTAAAGGTGGTGAGCAAAAATGTTCTTGTATGAAGTTGTAAATTATAAGGTTATAATTTTGACGTGAAGAAAATAGCCGCGGATTTATACATAATTTGCCGCCATTCTTGGCTTACTAGTTTATGATTGGAAATGTCAAATACAAGATTTGTGAATAATCACAGCGTTTCACGTAATCTAGGTCACCGTTTGAGCGGATCAAATCCACTAATTTTAACAATAATATGTACAATAATTATTTTTTCAAACTAAACACATGCACTTGTAATATCAGTGGAATAAATACATTCTGTAAATATGTTACATTTTATGGCAATCTATATTCTTGACCATTCTGTTGACCGTTGACCGGCTTTTGTCCTTTTCCCTTTTTTTATTGCTCCTTTCTTTGTTAATCCCAAGAACCATCTCGGGTAAACGGCAGAGGAATAATGAAAAAATCCCGGTCTGACCAAGCTCATCTCCTCTTTCCAAACACATTCTTTACATTCACTGGACGATAATGCCTACATTTAAGAGCAAGAAATATATTTAACAGGTATAAGTTGATCTTAGTAAAAACAGCGTAACGTTTACAGGAGGCGACTCAATCGTAACAATCAACTAATTAAAATTGGTTGTCTCAGATGCATCTCTTTTTGATCATTTTTTTAGAAACAAGCAAAAATTTGTTACTTTAACAACTTTGTTCAACATATAAACAGGCCTTAAAAATCTCGACGAGCCATAGGACCGACCAAATATCGTACCTAGGAAAGACCCTAGGTACGAACGAGGACGAGCCGTGGTCCAAAAAAAATGTACGGGAATGCCCTGTTCTTCTGTTTCGTTTTTTATGTGCATGCTTTTTACTGACCTTTCCTTAGTAGAGGTCGAGAATTTCTTTGTCACACCGAATGTCACTCCGCGGTTGGATTAATGCTTTTAGTCGCTATGCAGATCCAGTTATATGACAATAATAACTATAAACATGTTTGTAGTTCTATTGCTGACTTTAGTGACTTACCGTTGTGCTTATATCACCATTGGCTTTCATATACAGAAATAATCCTGACTTTTTCCCTTGTAGTGTAACTTTGCCACCAAAGTCCACTGTTCGTATCGTGATATCGCCTAGAAATTTAGGAAATAATAGGGCGGCCAGGTCAATGTCGTATTAGAGGTTTTGAGAAATTTTTGAGAAATCAATTTCTGCGCTAACAGGATTTGATATGACAAACAACATCCGAATAAAACTTTAAGGCTTCATTGGTAAATCTTGTGCTAGCTCCTCTGGGTACGAGGTTGGCTTTGAATCTCTGCATGAAGGGGAAGCTGACGAATACTATGTCCACCTTTTCTCAGGGTTTGAAAACAGCTTCCTGGGCAGGGGAGAGGGCAATGCAACAGGTAATTTCAAAAACAAATAAGACAAGAAAGAGTACCGCGTTGTACAATTTTTTGTAAGGCAAGTACACTTCACTCGGACCTTCACAGATTTGCTACAAGTTATTAATTGTCCTTAAAAATAGCATATAGATAAAGTGACAACATTGTTATTTTAACACAACTTGTTGACAAGCTTAAATACAAGCCTGTTGTGAACAAATCTTGTTGATAATACATAAATGGTAGCGAAATAATTGATTATTAAATTCTTGTGCATTATTCCTGCTGCTATTATTTAAAATCATACTTTTGTTGACTTGTATATGTACCTATTGTACGATAGGCGGTATTCATATTGTTATTGTCATTAGATGATTTTGAAACTGTACGTATTTAGAGGAGATTCTGATAAAACAGTGCAACGTAAGGGATTTCGTCACTCATCTGGGGAGAGTTTCTTTATCAAATATTAACACTGCTTTGTCAGTATGTGTACCCAGACAGCAGTATTAGCAAGTTAGTAAAACTTTCTTAGTTTTAATTAGTTAAGGACACAGCATGAACAGCGGTCTCTTCCATATTTTCAGCATGACAGCAATATCATTTAACACCAAATCATGATTCACACATATTAAATCGCAGTTGCTAAAACAATCGCACAACCTTTCTGGCTGTCTGCATGCCTGACTGCAAATGTTGTTAGCACGTTTCTAGCCTCATGCTAATGTTGACAGCTATACGAGTCCTAATTTCAACTGTTAAGTACATGCTTTTATGTTAAAAACTAATTATTTGACACATGTATGCATTTCTATTGGCATTGACATTCGACGTATAAATTGCACTTTATCCCACGCGTCTGGCCACAGGAGTCTTAATGGCGAAATATAGGCCTTGGAATGAATATATTGTTTACTTTCCGTCTTTCATCATAATTAGGAAGCTTAGATTCGTGGTATATGGCCTTATTGTTTCATTTCTTCAAGGTTCTCATAGGATCTAATTCTTCAAGATCTAGATGTGTTACATTGATGTGGTACACGTCAGTTCACGATTTTCAACTTTCACGTCTCTCTTATTCATTCCTTTACACGTGACAAATTGCCTACTGCATTGAAAAGATTATTCTGCATAGTTCCAGAAAAAATCATAGATGATGATTAACGTTTATCGAACGGCGTTAGCGCATTTTAGATCAACAGATAAAGGTTAAGTAGGACAGGTCTTAAAATAAAGGAGCCCTCGAGTCGTTTAACCGTCAATATGGAGGGCTGTAAACCTAGATAGCAATAAAACAAGGGAAATGGAGAGGATTTGCTGAAATGACAGAATAAAACTTACTGTAAATATTTTCGTATGCCGTTGAACCAGCTATTTCTCCAGTTTTTCGTATCTCCAGATAGTAGCCATGACGATTCAGGAGACGAACTGTTCGCGAAGACATTGAATCAAACTTCAACAATGCTTCAGAGACGTAGATCACGTATATAAACGGTGGCAGATGGCGGAAAGGTACAAAATTATAGAAGTTATGCATAATTAAAAATGATTGGTCGTAAACCTATGAATATTCCAACAGATAAATCAATGATTTTGAAGACTTCTCATCAGATCTCCTCTCACATATTCTATTCATCACATGTGTATTGATTTACTGACACTATATTGACCACATAAATCATGGATCCGCGTGTTTCATTTTGCACATTACGTTGTATAGGAACTTCTTATCAATTCTTACGGCGAACAAAGAAATCTTATGATGTGGCAATAATTTAAAACCCGAAGAATGGTGTTAATTGTTTAGTCTATTCATTGAAAAGACATGTTTTGACACTCTCGCCATGTGTTGCAAATCCTTGCTAACAGTTCGCCGTAAGCTGCGGTGTATAGATATGAAGATCTATATTAACATTGCACATGCACTATTGTATTAGGTGGCCGACGTTTTGTTATCAGGGTGGGTGGAGTGAAGGTATAATATGTAGCAAGACAGTAGCCCAGCATGCACGCTCAGACTTTGTGAGTACCGCAGCGATTTACGGAATGTTATTTGGTATTACAAGCTTGCAAACTCTACCACAAGCTGATATGTTGATTTTCAAGTTGATTGTTTCTCTGCTCCTTCTTCATAGACCAATAAAAGTATATCGACGACATGCTGTTCAGAGTGCTGGTTTAGCTGATTTGACGTTAATAACTAGCATGGTGATATCCAATGGATTTATACAATTAAAGTATATCGTGTGGAAGATCATATAACACGGAGATAAACTTTGTTAAAGTAATGCATGTTCTTGAAGTTATCCGACGAAAGCCTTCTCCTGATATTCTATCCGGTAGTGAAAGCTGAAATTCGTTGTAAGGTTTAAATTATATGTACGCAGTTAAGCCGTAGATAAGCCAAAAACAAATGTGACCTTATCTTTCAGTCTTTAGACGATTATTATGTCGGAAATATTTTGATTGTTTTATTTTAATACTTGCTCTCTTTTTAGCTGTGTGATGCTATTTTTGAACAAATTGATTTGACTTGAATATTGATCAATGTCTTTCGTGTTGCCGATTCCGGCGCAAAATATCCAGTTTGGAAATGTACATATATATACTTGTGATATTCTGTTTCGCGTTTATTATGTACATAATTTGATATAGTTGTTATATCAATTATTACTAACACAAACAACATTCCTGATGAAACTCGATGAAGTTATGAGCTGGCATTGCGCCCAGTTTTTCTCATAATCAGATATACCCAGTATCAGTATTCATCAACATTTCCCCAGCAGCATTCCCTACCTTGCATGAACACTAGCTAAATTATGTGTGATTCAGATACACCAGATGACACTTGCATGAAAGCCCGAGGTTAAGTCCAAAACAAATGTTAACTTATCTTTGAGACTTTATGTCGGAAGTAAATTTGATTGTTTCATTATAATTCACTTGTTCTTTTTTGACTGTGTGAGTGTGAAACCTTTTTTATCTATTTGGTTTGTATAATAGCAATTGATCAATAAAATCGTATTCAACTTTCAGCCTTCAATTCTATACTGTTTTAACACATGTGGTTTTTGATAGTACAAAAGTTGCGCCACAATTATTTTCGGTCTAATAATATTACACAAATAACACTCCTGCTGAAGCTAATTAAAACTATGAGCTAGCCGCTGGTATCATGCAATGCGCTCAGTTCTGTCATTTCTTATTATCTTTCCGCAGTAATATTTCATATATAGCATGGTTTTTTCTCGCCAGACAATTTTCTTTCAGTTTGTCAAATATAAAGAAAAACAAAAACTTTTTTTCACCGGTGCATCTCGGGCCCGACCACTATAGTTATTAAATTCTCGTTTCGACAGCAGTCAATGGGGGCATGACTGGGAACGTTGTCTGTTTAGTTTTACGTCGCCCAGTGCGGGATTATCTAAGGGGAAAAGGAGGCAGTTACACTTAGCCCTAGATTTTCACAGGCCTAAAAATCGAGAGAGACTGAGAAAGACAGTTGGTCGTTTCCTCTGAGCTCTGCAAGGTCTGCAAGGATTGAAAGTTATGAAGTTGCATCGTTTTCATGACAAGTTTTTGCGCTTATAAAGCTGAAACGGTCAGTCGAATCAGACCGTGGTATTTTAGTGCTATCTACCGCTACATATGAGACTATGGACTCCAGAGAGCAGATCCAGAAAATGCCCGATTTTGATACACACATAAAAACTGCAAGTACACAATCATGCACCAGCCGCTAATCTCTGTTTTACCGAATGAATAGCATGAGTATAATGATCTGGTTAGGTAAAAAAACCTAGCCTGTTTTTCCCAGTAGACAGTCAAGACGCCTGCCGCCATCTTGTGCACGAGATTCAGTGCTCTGATTGGCTATTGGGCTAGAATGATCAGTTGATTGATTGGCTGGCTGGATCATTGAACTGTATCACAGATTAGCTATATAGCTAATCTGTGACTGTATGTAAACAGTTGTTTGTTTACAGTTCAATGGCTGGATGTATAAAACAAAAACCATTTTGTCGTTTTTATGTCGATAAATATGTCGATATCGACTATGAAGTGGTATCGGTCATTGTTTTATTGGTATCATCCGTATCGATTACTCCCGGTAATAGCCTGGTGTCGAGAGTATTAGTATCAGACTTAGAATATATTTCTTGTTTACTCACATCGTGCATGTTAAAATGAATGTCAAATGGATTTTCATTCACTCTTCTAATGATATTAGATGAATAAGAAAGGGGAAATCTATCGTTGTCTAGAGGATGTATTCAATTATAAGGAGTTTAAATCTAAAGTTCAAAAAGATGCCGTGAATGCAGTTATTAATGGTATAATTCACCCATGTTACTGTATTTTAATTATATTTATACCCCGGCATGTCAATAACAAAAAAAGCAAATAAATCAATGTCAGTCAACAAAAATTGAACAATTAATATACTGTGACTATGATTAAAAATGAGTTATCCGGATTCCAGGTCCAGCCTACTGGATATTTCATATTTCCAAATGGTCAGATACAAGATGACCATATTATTGGCACATATAGATATTGTAGTGTTAGGCATTGAGATTGTGAAATTGATGGTTCAGCTTCCCTTCATATGGCTTGTTTAATGAGTGCTCTTCCTCCAGTGTTAAATATATTTGAAAGAAAAGTCAAATTTCAATGATAATTTAATTGCTAAGATGTAAAGGGATATATCGACACAGGGGATAGAGCATGTATGTGATGATTTTGTTGGTGTATATATTCTGGTGAATTTTTAAATATGCATTGCAAAATGAACATTTCTATGAGTGTTTTTTACCACCAAAGCTCATATTAATATAAAGTCATTAACAATGAATTATAGTTTTTAGGCAATCATCATATTAACTAGGTGACTGGGTGACTATGGACGTAATTTATAAATGTAATAGTACAGTTTATACATGGTGCAAACCATCTCTTAGATAATTTCTTTTCTTGATTTAGGCAAACAAGATGTTTTTGTATGTATGCCAACTGGTGCAGGGAAATCTTTGGTATACCAACTACCAGCGGTAGTTTCTTGTGGAGTTACAATTGTTGTTTCACCATTACTAGCCCTAATAAAAGATCAAGTAGAGTCTCTTAAAGCACTTGGGGTATGTGTGGCAACCTATAACTCCAATATACAACTGAATGAACGTTTGGAAATAAAGTGTAATCTTCTTAAGGACACTCCATCAATAAAACTTCTTTATGTGACTCCAGAACTTCTTGAAACTCATGAATTTAACAGAGTGTTGCATCAAATAAATGAAAAGGGCAATTTAGCATACTTTGCCATAGATGAGGCTCATTGTGTCTCACAATGGGGTCATGATTTTAGACCTGCTTATGCTAAACTTGGCCTAGTGAGGGAAAAGTATCCAGAGGTTGTATGGATAGCCTTGACGGCTACGGCAACGCCAAGGGTCCAGCAAGATATATTGGAACTGTTACATTTTAAGCAGCCAGTGGCTAATTTTAGAATAGGTGTTCACAGACAAAACTTATTTTATGATGTTAGGTAAGAAAGAATTTTCTTGTCATTTATTGTGATTAGGTGTTATATAAAGTGTTAGATAAAGACATCATTCTTGCATGTCAGTAAAAGTGGATGTAGTAATTCATAACAGGAAGTGCTTTTTTCTACAGATTTAAAGAACTTTTGGATCAGCCCCTTGAGGATTTGGTGGATTACATTAAATCAGTTTTGAAGATGGAGGGGCATAATAAACCAAGTGTCATAAACGTAATCCCAACTACTGACCAACGTAAAAATAGGATATTTTCTTAGTTCAACAACTATAAGTTTGCAACCACATATTGACAGGATAGATTTAGTTATGTATAAATTTGATTAAGTTGAACCCACGGAATTCTCTATAGACCCAACAGCGAATAAATCCGGCCCCAGGTGGTCTTCACCATTGTTCTTGTCTATAGGATTGTGGTATTATTTACTGTCATACAAAAGAGAATTGCGAAAACATGGCAAGCAAATTATCAGACAGTGGTATAAAAACTAAAGCGTATCATGCAGGTTCGTGCAAACACATACTATCAATCGATTTAAAGTAAATATATATTTCATGATGTATAAATATCACCCTGGGCGTGACAACCCTCGTGTGCATGACGCGATCAACTTTTTTCGGGCGGGGTTGTTTAAAGAGCCGACTATTTTTCACGAGAGAACAAATTCCTCGATGACATAGAAAGGTTGGAAAGCGGGCAACGCTCTTATGGAACCAAAATGATTCACGACGAAGAAAAAAGTAGGATAAGGAGGTTATTAAAGAACAACAACGTTTTTTAAATCTTCTTAAAGTACCTCTTTCAATTCACCGACATTGTTTCATGAAATCGAATGATATCCATGTTATAGCATGCAAATATTGGCGCCGACTATGACGTCTACCAGGCTAGTGGTCGAATATTGGAGTTGGGGTGTCAGGCCCTTATCCCATTTGCGCCACTGAAGACAGCGTGTATGTGATACTTATTGTGCATCTCATATGACGTATAGGATTGAACTCAGGGTTACGTCAAAGTATCCAACAAGAATGGATGGATGGAGTTATATCAGTCATAGCAGCAACTGTTAGTTTTGGTATGGGTGTAGATAAATCTTCCGTTAGGTAAGTACCATGTAATAATAGGTCTTAGCCATAGTCGCAGGTAATGCGCAGGTGAGCGCATAGTCGCAGGTAATGCGCATGTAACGCGCAGGTGAGCATCTTCCTATGGAACGTCGCGCAATATAAATCTAAGTAATGATAATAATAATAATAACAATCCTTAATCTTATAATAGTAACAGGTCTTAGCTATAGTCTTATGGACTATCATTCCACGGTGATTAAGTTTGTTTGGAGATTTTCTTGTCAGCCAAGTGAAAATTCAAGTTTAATTGTGAGAAAAGTTGTTTAAACGTTGCAGGTTTGTTGTTCATTGGAAAATCCCGCAGTCGGTTGAAAGATATTATCAAGAAAGTGGTCGTGCTGGGCGTGATGGAAAAAAGTCATATTGTCGGCTGTATTATTCAAGGTTTATAGCTACTTGCTGCAGGGGTTTTTTCGTATAATTTTCTCTTGTCAATCGAGATTCTTGCTGTATAAAGTGGTGTGAGGCCCTTACCTTACAAATATTTTGGGCTGTTTCAAAAGGGTGTATATTTTTAAAGAATATCGGGTCTGCTTCTTATATCAACTTTGAGTTAGGTCTTTGTGGTGACTAACATGGTGGATTTAGTGGGCAGATATTGGATGATACTGTATAATTATATGTATAGGCAATTATGCTTTTGCATTTTTAATGTGTTCCATCATATTTCTCTATAGATATGAAAGGGAGCAGATACTCTTCCTGTTGCAAAAAGATCTTAAAAAAGAAGTATGGATTTTACAGGCTCCGTGATTATTATACATTTACTACACATTATCCGTATGATTATGAGTAATGTTTTTGTAAGTGCAGTTACCTGTGGTCATAGAAACTATTTGCTCAACAGCGATGAGAATGAAGCTGCAACCTTTGATTTGTGCAGGCTGAGCGCTCTAGCCACTGACTTTACTACAAGTCGATTAAGCGGTCATTTGAAGAACACTTCTTCTCTTTGCTTTTGTCACATGAATAAATACGTTGAAATCTATGTTATGTAGAAACGTGGAAATAAGTCGCTGAAGGAAAAAAATTCAATACAAAGTTTTAAAGCTTTGGTTGAATATTGCGAAGAAGCGCGGTAAGGAAATGCACGAGTCGTTTGGAGTCGATAACCACTAAAATATTAAGAAAAATATAAACATATATTCATAACAACTTTTGTAGATGTCGACATGCGTTCATTTCTAAATACTTTGGAGATAAAAAACCTGAGGTAAATACAGTATGCTTAACCTTAGGCCTAGTATGGGCGCTAAATGATAGAATTGGGATTCTGAGCCTTCAGAGAATGCTGTTCATGAAATTAAATGGTGTACTTAATGAAACCTATCCTTTTAATCTCTAGTTTTAGTCTCGATTAGTTTAACATGATAGTTTTCATATTATATCGTCTCCACTATGTTTCCTTCCCCACATCATTTAAAAATGCCCCATTTATTTCATTTTCCATACAGTGTAACAAAGGATGTGATTTCTGTCGTAAACCCAAGGATGTGGAACTTATGATTGAACAATTGCATGAAGGAGTGATAGCTAATAAACGACGCAATGGATATTCCAAGACATACATGTGTTCGGACTATGGTGAAGGTAGTGATGATCAGTATGGTGGAGGCAAGCGCGGGCCTGACACGAAGTAAGTTGTGTCCATCATCCAACTCCTGTAAATTGGACTCTGCATCTCTAGACACTTAATAATGAAAGACAGCTCTTCGTTTCCAATTTCGTTGTATCTCATCTTTAGGAGTTAACTAACTTTAGTAATGGTTATAGTAATGGTTTGAATGTCAACTGAGGTATTTCGCGTATCTAGGTATGACCACGATGAGGCGGGCGACCCAGATTTTGAAGAAAAATGTAAGAACAATCGCGTTAAGATTATCGAAGAAGAGTTCAGAAAGAGAAAAGGGGTGAAGAAATGTTATTAATTCTATCATGAGCAGTCTATATATAGTTATCCCTTAGAAACATCTATATTATTTTAGGCAGTCGATGAACCAATTCAATATGTGAAATAAATATAGGGCAAAAAGAGGAACATTCTCTTTAGGCTACACCTAGAAAAATCAAAAGAAAAACTGTTCATGTAGCTGGCTCATGCAGCGTAGAAATCTTTCATCTTAGACACAATCAAGTAATTGTTACAATATATTATGAGTTGACTGTAATTTTCTTCATTTAATAACTCCATTTGTAACAGGTTGGATCAAAGAAAGCCATAGATAAAAACGATCTCGACAATATCCCAGGTGACGATTCAGAGTTGTGTTTACCTTTAGACTTTTTATGTTGTGTTTGCATGCCGATATTTTTCGGTCAAGTAATAGCTAGCTACATCCACGTGACATACAAAATCCATATTTTATTTTATTTAGGCCTGGCATGCAAGCTTAAAAATGCATCGAATTTATCTCGTATTCCAAAATTGGCAGTCAAGGTATTGGCTTATGTATTTAAAATTTTAAATCAAAGTAACTTGTCTTGTTGCACGAAGCAAAAAACGCGAATGTGTATGTTTGTGCTTTTGGATGCAAGTCCCAAGCACGCTAAATTCTGAAGCCTGCAGCACACGTACGAGAGGAAAAGGTTCAGCTGACAGGCAGGAGTGACCCTCAGAACCATTCAGTTTTTTCGCCCATGCAGCTCTGAAACATTGCGTATTATTTACAGGTTCGTGAATTCTGCCTTCAACGGCTGGAGAAAGCGTTAGTAGCAAATTGTGAGAAAAGTAACAGGTAAACCTTATGCTGCTGTTTTCATTCTGTAAGATATTTTTACCGTACCTTTTGTAAAATATATCGCCATTCATAAAAAATGTAAGCATGAGATAGACTGGTTTTCTTATACGGGTCATTTGGGAAGTAAAACTTGTTGTGTTCCTAAACGAGTCAAAACTGGTTGGTAAAATATGCTGAGCGCAGCGTCCTTGCTGCATGAGTACTTCGTCTGGAGGTATACCCGCTCTTGGCGTGTTCAACCTAGCTAGGCGCCAGAAAAAGTGCCGGGCACCAGTGTCCGGCACTCAGTCTAAACCAATCTTTATCTCATGTTCTCGTAGCCTGGGAGCGAGTTGGATGTGGTTGGATGAATTGTTGGTGTCGAGGCGGCTTTCATTACGTCGGCTTTGTTTTTAGGCCCGTCACACCCGCATTAACGAAATCTTTAAGGGCGCATCACCCGCGCGGGCAAAGCGAATGTAATGGAAAAATCACAGTTGATAATAGTATAAAAGGTTTTATATAGACATGTTGGAAATGCAATACAATTAATGATCTAAATTGCATAGCAAATGAATTAAGCAGTAGAGCTATTCAGGCTTGCAACGTGTTTCCGGATAATTTATGCAATCAAAGTGCTTTTTGGTTAGATAATTAATTAAAATGTATAATCGCCTAGACAAAATAATGGCGGTCACATGCGCGATGCATGGAGATAAAAAGAGTTCCGCCGTGAGCGGTTCTACTATTCTTGTATGCTGTGTCCTCCAATCTTAACCGAAATGTTGGCGTTCGTCTGTAACCTTTTCTAGTGAAAATCGGTTATTATTATTTGTTTCTTTGGGAGAACACAATGATAGGATAGAAAGGATGAGGTATATGGACAAAGAAATGATGAACGTCAAAAGTGCACAGGCGCAGAATAATTTTGTTTTTCACCAATTTATTCTGTCATTAGTTATGCTGCCTAATGTTTGTTAGAAACTCGTGGGAGTTTGCAGACAATATCTTCGACAAGAATAACAATAGGATTCATTGTTAATGAACTGAGTTCTTGTGATCAAAAATTTAGTGTGGTTTTCAATTGTTCTTTCTGGTTATAATTTTCAACAAGCATCAACAACTCGCATAGCAAACTACACTTCGAAATCTACGTATTATAAATTGTCGGTGCCACGCATGTTAGTCTTGCATGGCAATCTGTGAGAATGACAAGAAAGAGTGTAAGTCTCCGGACAGCTGTGGACAATACAGTGCATAGTTTAACTTTTTCCCAAGTTCCCATGTGTCAGAGATGATTTTATGCCGGTAAACCACATGATAGTAAGACATGACTTTGTATCTATCATACATCATCTACCGTTCAATTTCAGGACAACGTTTCGTGTTGAACAGTTGGCTGTAAACTTGGAGAATGAAGTTTTCCTTGCGAACAGAAGTTCTCAGATGTACAAATTGAACATTCAACAAAAGGTATTAATAATGACAGCAATGAATATACTAGTGCTTGTAGACAGTTCAGGTACAGCAACCTTGTCTGTATATTGACATGTATGGCCTGCATCGCCTTTTACCGTTGATGTACATGAGTGATGCAGTCCGGTGCCATGTTGTTTTTTGGATCAGTTCGATCGAGCATGTGATAAACTCAATCTTAATTTTATATAACGTGGTCAAAAATGATTTCATCTTCTGAGTAACGCTCTGCATATATATGTGCACTGAAATGTAACAGAAGTGTATTTATAAAATAACTAAGAAATATGATTAAGAATACCACAGCCGTGCAGGATTGATATAATTATTCCAAGTCGAAGAGATAATATTTGCACGATTTATAGCTGCGACATGCAAATTGTCTTGATGATTCTACATTCAATGTTGATGCGTTTTTCAACTGTAAAGCTTTACTTTACTTTCGTGTACGTCTCTTTTAGGTAAAGGAAATCAACCAGTCGACAGAAAATAACGAAATATTTTCAGTGGAAAGCGACAACTTCAAAAGCCCCGTGCTGGTAAATAGTAGAAATCCTGCTTCAATTACTGAGTCTATGTATATCAGGAATCGTCTTCTGATTCTAATGATTTCTATATTTCCCCGTCATACCGCCTATACTATTATTATTTTTATTATTATTTTTATTATAACACGGTGTCGCTGTTTTCACATCTTAAACAAAAGCCCCGTTTTTCACTATACACGATTTTTTGGCACGGCACGGCTAAAATGGTTCCCGAGCCCAATTTATCCGTGTCCGGCCTTTGTTTTGTTAGTCTGAGCACTAAAAAATTGGGTCCGGGTACCGATTTTAGCCGTGCCGTGCCAAAAAATCGTGTATAGTGTATAAATTGAGTGTGGTGTAAACGGGGCTATAATCTGGTTATAGGTTCACAACGATAGTGATATTGAAGTTGCTCAATTTGTTAAAGCATCAGAGTTACTCCAGGTAATGGTAATGAGTATGAAGTGTTGTTATATAAAAGCAAGCACCAATTGTGACTTGTTGGGTAGGGGTCAGAGAGTGCGTAGTGGATTCTGAAAGAAAAATAAAGGATACGTGCCACACACCTCCTCTCGTGACTTTAACATATTCTTCAGATTTTTCAGATTCTTCTGTTTCTTATTTATAATAGAATACATCAGAAGATATTGGCCCTAAAGAACCGGCAGAGACAAGGGTAAGGCTGGTTTCTTTGACCGCATGCAGTTGAAATTTCCTCTATTGGTATAAATTTATAAAATCGTAAAGAATCTGTAACAAGTACAAGGGTTACACGATACTTGTACAGAATATTTGGAACAATAGTATTATGTAAACGGGGTCTAAAATAGCAAATGCATGTGGTCTGTGGCCCTTAGATCCCATGCATTCTTTTTAATTGCATTCATGATAAATTTATTAAGGGTAAAGAAGAAGCAATTGATATTGAAGAAGGCTCACGGCCAGCAGAAATTATGGTAAGAATGTTATTTACTAAATATTTGCATTTGCAAACACTAAATATAATCTTTAACTTTATGTCTTCATGGTAAATGTAATTATAACCTTTGCTGAGGATTTGCAAAAGAATAATCTTACTTTTCTCAACTATGAGGTGATTTAATGTCTTTCCCATTGTCATATATAGTTCAGTGGATTTCGACCAAAAAATCAACTTATTTTGAATGCGTACGAGGAAAAAGACTGTTTGATGTATTTATGTTTGTTAGTTAGACATTTGTCAATGGAGATAGATTTCTTCTTGATAGATCAAAGACGAAAACTCCGAGTCCGAGGATATCTTCACCATCAAGGTGAGGCGTGATTATAGTATTAATGAGTTTAAGATGCACCAAAGTACAGTGCCGGTTTGGCGGTTTATTCGAATAAGAAGAACAAGAATTTTGTAATTTTGCAAGTAGCTGTTATTTCATTATTCAGGTAGGGAAGATTGAACAAGAAAATGAAGATATAGAGACTGATTGTAAGGTATATGTAGTTCACGTTCCTTGACAAATAAATTGGACGTTGTTTGTTGTTACCCCCAAATTAAGTAAAGAGTCCAAAAAAGCTTTAATGTCGCACCTCTACCATTCGTCCGCGAGCTATATCCATAAAGCACAGAAAATATTGCTTAAGAAACTAAGCATAACACCAATTCACTCTAAGCAGGTATTCGGAGTGAACATTTCATTCGCATCGCCTCTTGCACTGTGCTTTATATCTCTGCATTGCAATCGAATGACCCAATTAATCATATTCTTTCTTTCATAGAGCATAGTCACGATAAGTTGTTCAACGATAAAGCCTCTGCAGGGGTAGGTTTTAGTTTTAAATAATCATAAATCGCATTGACCTGGTCAAAATGTACTGTTTGTTAAATCAATCCAAAGCTTTATTGTCACTAACAGATCAATCCTGTGACGTTTATTGATGGGTTTGGGGGAAGTATTACAGTTTAGGATTGTAGCTACCAATAATACCTAACACCGTAACATATTGTGTATGTTTGTTTTTAAAAGATCACCAAGTGGGGATAGCCCAAAATCTTCAGTGTTACAAACTCTTAAACGGCCATCGATTAGTAAAGATGTTCAGAAGGTAATCCTCAACACACACATAGCGTTGATTTAAACATTTGTCCCACCAAAGCGCTTGCTCCAAACGTTTCACAAACGTATTGGAGGTTGATTATTCGAGCGTTTGTTATTACTGGATGCATAAGAAGAAATTGTTTCATTGATGTTTATCTTGTAGATTATCGCCAAAAGAGAAAAGCATTCGCCTAAATCAGAATATGATATACCATCTCTTCCTCCGTTACCACCTCTTACCGATTCCGTCAAAACTACGACAGCGAAACTGGACACTTCAGATCCTGAACCTTGTTACATACTTAAACCTAAACAACAGAGTGAATCATCAACTTCATCGTCTGGATTGCAGGAAAAGAATGAAATATTTGTGCGGACCATTAAACAAGAAACATTTGAATCCCAAGTCACTTCATCCAGTGTTCAACTAACTTCCTCTTCTCAATTGGCAAGCTCTTGTAGTTTTCAATCACAAGTTATACCAGAGACATATTTTCCAATTCAATCAAAACAACCTCATTGTATTAATTCACTTAATAGTGACGTGCTGCCTGGTGACATTCAAGATTCCCTCCCTGTATTCTCCAATGCATGTGTGTCAACCACTGCCAACCAAGCAGCAACACATCTGGTTACATCGAGTGATAAATTTAATTCATCAAGTATGCCGTCACCATACGGACTAATGTTCACCCACGGCCATCTGCTGTCCAAACGGCGCATGCTCAAGTAATACCACCACAAACTATCCCATATCCCTACCCTCAATGTGCTCAACCCATGCAGGGGATTCCATCGACATCTATGGATCCAAGACACTTTTACGGAAAGATCCAACCTACCAATAGTTCTACGGTCACTTCATCTTCAGGTTACTTTCAAGACAAATATAAACTATCTGTTCCAATGAATGGTATTACGATCCCTAATATGCAAGTTCAGCCACCAGTATCTTCACAGTGTGAAAAACCAGCGTCTAGTTCGCATTCAATTACCAATGCTTCAAAAACACTTACAACAAGTGAAACGGTGAAACGTCGTCCGCGTTCAACTGCGACTAAAATAGCAGAGAAATCTAGAAATAATAAAAAGGACTGTGCAGATATCATTGTAAAGTATCTAACCCCTTACTATAAATCTGGAGAAGTCGAGTCAAAGGTGAGAATCTATGTATTTTTCCATGAATAAATACCAGGTGCAAGTCTATAGGATAATACAATGTCAAAAACATGCAATACATCAGAAATTAGAATGGGTACTGAGAAAGCTGGACGATAATGTTACCGTCATGGTAATTGTCTTGCCATACGGTAGAATTAGTCTTTACTAATAGACAATTCATTGTCGTTTCAGTCATTATTCAAGTCTCTTGCAAAAGAGATGACTGAGAGATTGGTACAAAGTATGGCAGGCGTTTGTGGCGATAAATGTAAGTCTATAAAATGGGGTAAATAACGTCATTGCATGAGAGTGTGTATTTTTAATGTATGACTTGTTACTGGAATTACCATCTCGATTTACCATTTCTAAAAAATCCATACCATATTTAGCTGTCTTATCAGCCCTCTCCACAACAGACCCCATATAAACGACTTTTTTCGACTACTTTCTTTAAAAATTGTAGTAAGTGTAGTTAGTTACAGGCAAATGCACTATGTAACGCAATTCAACATTTATTGCATCTTGAACGTTTTGTAACACAGAATACAAAATATAAAAAACAACCAGTGTCTCTTGAACAGTACGACCAATTCTAATACACAAAAAGGACTATTTTTTACTTATTTTTTAAGTGAAAAATACAGCAAGATCACTGGTGAAGATGTATTTTGATGAAAAGCGTCGAAGATCTTCGAAAGTCAAGTGATGATTATATCGACTTAATTTGTGTGGGCAGTGAAAAAGAATTGTTATTAAATGTGCTTCAAGACAAAGAAACAAAAGTAGCCTTCAACAATTCATCCTGGAAAAGACAAATTCATCCTGGAGTCTAAATTGCGTCTCATTTCTTTATATTATTAATTCGGCGTGTTGTCAAAGAATGTCGGAACAAATTTGTCAGTTGTTATTTGAATAAATTGTACAACTGGTGTAGCTAATGAATGACATTTAGGGTGAGCCTTGTGCATTTATTTATCGTCGAGTAATATATAACTACAGTTAAAACTGTATTATTTCAAGATTATCACAAAAAGAGTGGCTAAAACAATTAAATGACACGTTTATGCAAGAATTTGTATTTTGCGTCATGCCATAAGTTTAGTTTTTTGCAAGTTGACTTTTACAAATGACTACAAATTTATTGACTGTTCTCATCCGGGGCGAAAAAGTATGGAGATTTGACCAGATACTATTGCAAGATATAGCTAATCTGACTCTTCGTCCATTGCTATTCCTTCTTCTCGAAATTCTTTAACAGCTGTCTACAGTAACAAAAGTAAAAAAAAACTGCGATTCCTGAAAAAATTATTGGAGTCTGTGGTCGGAATGGTTTTAGGCCAAAAGAATGTCATATATAACTTTTTGAAACAAGAATAACAGAATAATCTAAATAATTGAACTGTTCGGTATGCAATTATTCCCTCATTATCATGCCAAAGACCTATATGTAAAACTGTAGGGATGAATTTAGGAACCGAAATATCGTGTCCAATAACTTCTTTTCTAAGATTAAAATTAGTAATACCTCGAACTTTTCTTGTACATGATCACAGAGATCGGACAAATCGGAAAGCCCTTTCCTCAGCGCATCAACAGCAAGAATACCTTAGAAAAAAGACACAGCTCAATATTTCTCCACATTATTCGCATGGATTAACACCTTGTTACATATTCACAATAAGTATCTGGACACACTAGATAGTGGTGAAAATGAACAAAGAAGATAAGCGTATGGAGTGTACATAATCATGATAATCAGATGATGATCCAAAAACGTTGTTTTTATTTGTCATTGATAACGGTAATACAACTTGAAATTGATTATTCACAAACTTATGTACCATTGGTCTGTATCCTTATATTAATTTTATGTTCTGATGGATGAGGTATGGTATAGCCACAAAAACCAACGTCAGAACTAAAAGATATTAAATATAGTTAGGAATATTTGATGTTCCCATGGATCCAATGTGGAACAAAGCTCAAACAAAAAGCGCGCTCACTTAATAGTATTGATTTACTAGCCTCAACAGGAATTAATTTACAACACGTGTTCAGAAACTACATCGCAAGCCCATTATTTATGAATGGCGCATGCCCTGAAGCAATTTCAGCGTCAATAAGAGGACTAGAAGGGCCATATAATTGATGAATTTAGCCGCGCATGTCGTATTACGCGTGTGTTCCACCATTTCCTAGCCTGTCAATGTCATTTTTTGGTCAATAAACATGTGCTGGGCGACTGCTTCGCCATCTGGCCAGTTTTTCTATATTTTTGCACAAAGAAACGAGCACGCTTTGCGCCGCTCGCCACTGAGGCCCTTCTAGTCCTGTCTTCTTTCTATGCCAGCGTATTTGTATCGCTTTCGCGGATACGTGTGGACGACCGAAAACACAATGAATCCACCGAATCAGTGAAACTTTGAAATCCGTAAGGAAATAATTTCCGGATACAAACGAATCCGGATACCTGAAGACAGGGTGTAGTAGTAAATACTAATACAGTGTCAATGCAATTATTACTGTATTTACTACACATTGGGCCATGACTATATTTGTAGTAATACTATTGAATTAAGCATACTTTTTTGCAATCATATAACGAAGTGCATTCCCCAAAGTATGATCTTCCTCATGCAACACAAATGTCAGACATGTTTCGTCATCTTCAGCTCCAGAGGTGGGAATCTTCCAAAACAAGATAATAAATATGGTGGTATTCACAATCCAATCCTGTGTTCTTTATTTAGCAACACAGATTGTATGATTATTCTGCAGTATTACGAATTTTATTACGTGATTAATATATTCTGAATATAACATAATGAGAAGCGACTAGTGAAAAAATGCGTAGAATGTGGTCCGATTTCCTCCTGTGAACATGAAGAACCTGTCAAATGTTCATTTATTTTTACCGTGTGAACACCTGAAGTCCTTGAAAAGGTATCCTTATATAGTAGAAACTAGAACGTAGTTATTAAAACCTAATTGGCTATAAATAAGATATAAATTATCTTCCATGTATCCACAATAGATAGTGTTTTATGGATGCATAAAGATAGATCAATGATTTAGGAGCTGAAAGAAAACCGAAAAAAAAAACACAGCCAGAATTAATTACCACTTCCAATCTTCTTTTAAAATTCTCAGCCTCGTCGTCCGCCATCTTGAAAATCACCAAACGTCTCTGCGATACCTATATTACCCCCCATTTTTAACTATATTACTCCTATCTACCCTTAAATTACCCTTATCAATATATATTGTACATTTGTACTTCATATAAATGCAAAAATTGTAATGTATAAAAATTTACTGTGTTGCGACAGATTTGTTGTGCTTCAGTGACTTTTATGGCATTTTCGTATAGAAATCTGTGTTAATTTTACACCGTTTGTTAGGAAACCTCGACAGAATGGTCTGCTGATTTTGTTTTAATTTCATAACTAGCTGATCAGTACCTAGGGTATGTAGAAATATAAAATTAGTTGGGCGTCTGTATGAAATTAGTTTGACATATTTGTTATTGTTGTGAAATGCTATAATTTAGTGAAATAATTACTATATTACACTTGAATAGTAAATTTGTGTAACTATTAGGTGTTTAAACCCTGAATGAAAAGTGAATTGAAAGTTCAAGACGACCAAACTCTGTGTTTTGAATATTTGTACAAAGAAAGTCGTCATGATTAATCCATCATGTGACCTTTGCTTCTTAGAACACAATTGCACTCATTATTTCGGTATCATTTTGTTTTCTAAACTTTTGAAATAAAAGCTATCCAGAAATGCATAAACCAAAAGGAGTTAATGCTTGAGCGTTATTCTCTAACATCCAGTGTTAACTTTTGTTTTTCTCTAATAATTTTGCATGTTATTCATCATTTTATTTTATGACAATTTTATCTTATTTATTATTTTAATAGTGTGATATCATTATGCCTTTGTTTTATTCTGTTGTTTCCCGGGGGACGACGGTGCTTGCAAAGCATGCATCTTGTGCTGGAAATTTTGCTGAAGTTTCCCACCAGATTCTGGGAAGAATCCCTCCTGAAAATGCCAAACTTACATACACACAATCAAGGTTAGTTATACTTTTGATGCTTTTATAAAGTTAATTAATCAGTGTGTATTCACATAATGCTTGGAAAACTGGTATTGTGTCATGCTGAACTTATGTCGAACAAAATGTTTTAACATTATTCAGTAATCTTCAGCATAACTCCTTAATTAAACCAGACATAATTAACCTAATGAATATTTTATAGTTTCAGCTAGCTGCCAAATCAGTATTTTCGTGCACTGTACCATAAAACTTTTTCTGACTTTCCTTCAAAATAGCAACTTTCTATACTGCTCCCAATAAATTCACTTTATCAGCTTTATTTCATGTGAATATTTCTTTGTTTTTCTCACTTGTAGCTATCTATTTCACTACATTTGTGAAGATAGGGTAATTTATTTGTGTATAACAGATGATGTGAGTAGAACAGTAGACCTATATATATATAAGTTTAATTTATATTGTCCAATAATAATCATTTTTATTGATTTTTTACTATTATTTATAAGTAGTCTTGCCAAAAGCATTTGATATACATGATTTTCAGGAATCATGTGAAATAAGTGCTTAAATTTAATTATTCTCTATGCCAATAATTCCTATACATGTACTGTACTTAGGAATATTCACCATTGAATATTTAACTATTTATATTTCTAGAATTTTGAGCGCTCAAAAGCATTCCTATTTTTGACTGAAATTAAGAAAAGGTAAAATATTTCATTAAAATGTCTCTTAAAATGTCATCCCAGCAAGTTTTGTGTGAGGCAACCTGTTTCCCAGAATCATGAACCAACACTTTAATCCTGTGATATTTTTTGAAGGTTTCAAAGAACCTATCAAGGACGAGCTGACACTGCCCTACCTTTTGCAATGAACAGCGAATTTTCAAGAGTTTTAGCCTCAGAGATGGTATTGTTCATATTTGCTTTTACACATCCACCAAACTGACTTCTAACATATTTAAAGAAGTAGAGGCACAATGTTCTATTTTGGCTATTTTCGTTGAAATACAGCAATTATTATCTAGAAACAATATAGTATTTGACCAAATATATACTTTAACTAGCAACCAACCCAGTCTCAGCTTCTACATACACTATTCTGGCAGCAATTTTTGCTGGAGATATTATTTATTGGGTATTCTAGCTTGAATGAGAAGAGAAGTCAGAAAATCATACAATTATGTAGAAAAGCAAGATGTAGTATGGAATATTTAGGAAACTTTAGGAAATTTTTAGAAAATCCATGTTACCAAGGCACTTGATAACAGTAGCTTGTATTTGTTGCAGAAACGATATTCTGAATCTGGAGAGAAGGATGACAATATTGCGAGGGTGCAAGGTGAAATAGATGAACTGAAGGACATTATGGTGAAAAATATAGGTATTGTGTGGATTACCATAAATAAGTAACTAATGGAGGCCAGAGTGGATGTATGGAAACACTATAAACCACATATAGTATAATTATGTCAATATTTGGTTATAGACACAATATCCCAGCGAGGTGAAAGGCTTGAACTCTTAATTGACCGTTCAAGGGACCTGAACACAGCTGTGAGTTTATTCTTAGATAATCTATGTCATTGGTGTTTATTAATATTGTGACTGGTTGCCAGCCTTATACCCAGGCGTCTTTTGCTTAAAATATGGTTTTAATCTTTTTAATAATTAATATCAGCACGAGCGCGCAGGGGTGCTTGGGGAGGACGCGACGGTTCCCTCGTCTTCCCCAAGCACCTCCGCGCACTCGCTCAGCCGAAGATCTAGATAACAAAAAACTGTAGTCACCTATTTTGATGCGCCCGCATGGGCACGAGGCTGGCTGGTTGCAGTATCTTCTTGAAGATTGGACTTGTTTCTAATATCTATTCGTCTGATTCACGTGCATGTAGTGGAAAGGAAAGATAACAAAGCCGCGAGGTTGCTTATGAAGAATTCGTAGCTTCAAATGTATTTGTAATATCTTTTATATTGTGCAGTCAATGACATTCAAGAAATCAAGCAAAACCTTGGCACGTGTTATGTGGTGGAAAAATGTGAAAATGATCATCATTATCACGATTGTAGTTATAGTGAGTAAATCAGCTTTATCGCTAATGTTTTACAACATTGAAGAGAATAATGTTAAAATACTTTACTGCATGTGTTGTTAAATTTTAATATCAGTTGTTTGAATCAAGTGATCAAAGACAAAGAGCTTTTGCTCAAAACGACGACGTTCTTTTTGTATCTGAAAGGTTACAAACTGGTCAAATAAGGAACGCATTTTTTAATTAAGTTGTTTGCAAAGAATAGTCAATCTGGACATCAGAGAAAATTGAAATGTCTGTTAAGTAGCAGTTATGCAGCTATAAGAATATCCTGTGAAAATAAGATATTTATCTTTATCCAAATATTTCTATGTAGGTGTATCATCAGTTGTGCGTATATATAGTTTGCCTTTATTCCAATACAGAATGAAGTTGATATATTTTTCTTCAAACTAACATTGCTTGTTCATTGTTTTAGATTATCCTGTACTTTATTATCTCGGCAGCATGTGGTGGACTGGATTGGAAGAAATGTACATAAAAACCATGGATTTACTCGGATTATTAATTTCTAGACATGCAATTATATAAAATCTAAAAAGTGCTGGTGACGACCAGCAATGCACTGCACAGGACAAAATTAGTCTTTTGACGAGCTTCTGGTTGGGATATCTAAGAAATACCTCTTAATTATTGGAAATTTTGGAATTTTTTGCTATTTTAATACTTAAAGAGAATATGCGGTATCACAATCACTGAGATCACGATAGAGAGATCTATTTACGGTATTCAATACCGACAATATGCTACCATGAACTATTATACAAAAACGCCTCAAAGTTTCATCGTAACAGACTGATGATGATATAACAAAATTGGTAGAAAGCTAATGTTGAGGCACGGAATCGCGGCTAGTCTTGTTTAGTAGTTTTTTCTCGCGTAAATATTGTGCGTAATCCATGATTTTTATACATCAATACATACATATTGTTTTGTGGTATACAGACATACACTGCTAATTAACCAAGTTCGTGCAAATAAATTTAATTATTGTAAGGAATTGTTTATGTGGTGTTTAGCAGGCATGGTTAAAGCCTGGTTTCCTTATGACAAAGATACGCCGCAGATATACGCGGGTCGGCGCCTTGCGTCGATGAAGCAAACTATGTCGCCGACATGCGGGCGGGATTTTTAAAAATAGCGGCAATAAACGAAAGGACCACATGGAAAGGACTTTGCTTTCCCTTCCGCCATTTTGGAAACTGGCATGCTGCACCAGTGCAACATGGTCTCTGTGGTTCCTTTGAGTCTGTATTCATTAACAAACGCGTGGACAAGCCTGGCTGTGAAGAGAGTCTTTTTATATAAGTTTGCGGAATGGAATAAAACAAGAAGTCAAGACGCGGGGGACGCTAGTCCTTCCCAGAAAAAATGGTGAAACAACAAGGTCAGGGAGAACTGGGGGGGCATTTGCTCCCTCGGGTTATTTATCAGTTAAATTGAAAGATAAAAATATTTCTGTCTTTTTACAAACGCGGAGTTGGTCAGTTGGTCTTCACCCAACCTCGTTCCTAAAAACTAGGTTGGTCGATACAATCTCGTAACCAGTGCTATCTAGTAAACTCTAGTAATCTAGTAAACCAAAGTCATCTAGTAAATCCAAGTCATCTAGCTGGTAAACACAGGTAACCTAGTTAACCATATAGTCAAGGATATCTTGCTTGTCTGTACGGGGCTTTCCTATCTATTTGCAGACAATCCGCTAGAAACGTTAGTCTAGTTAGTTGGTGTTCGACTGTTCGTTAAAAGTGCACGATCTGACTTTTGTACCACTCACAGTCACCAACGCCGTGCATCCTTGCTTTGTATGTCGTAATCTGATTGTATAATTATGCACGGCAAAGCAAAAGATAATTTGTGACTTTATAGGTATTGTTATTTGTGCCTTTAGTTTCATATTGTCACAAAGCTGATTTGTAAAATTCGATCTTATCAGTGTGATCCCATTGAACAGTAGATTGAAGCACTGTGATAGAAACTTTACCAAGCTAAGTGCCTGCGTTGGACT